ATAAAGTAAAGCTTATAAGAGTATAGTAAAGAACTAAATAGACCTAGAAGTACTAGCTTAGCTAGTAACTAAGTTAGAGGAATTCGTAAATCGCTACTAATAAGCTTCTGTGAAGATATCTATTAAAGAAACTAGATTATAAGTTAACTTAGAAGTCTAAAGATAAGTCTTAGAGCTGCCTTATTAAAGGATATCTAAGGTAAAGGAAGTTATTATAATAGATATAACTTATATAATAAGCGCGAAGGTAAGAGGAGATAAAGCAAGGAAGTTATTAAGGAAAGAATAAAAAAGTATTAAAATATAAGTTAATATAAGAAGCTTTATAAAAAAAGAGGTATTTATAAAGGAATTAGAAGATACGCTTATAGCTATAAGTAAAGAGGAAAAGAGCCCTAGTAATATTAATAATTTAGCTCGCCTAGTAAGAGAAATTATTATAAGTACTATAGTAGCTCTAGTTCCCTAACCGCGTTAGTCCTAGTACTAAGAGGAAATAAGTAAGGCTATAAAAGAGTTTAAGTTTATATATAAGAAAAGGGCCGAGATTAATAAGAAAGAGGTTAACTTAATTAAGGAAGAACTAAAGAAATAAAAAAAGTAGAAGATTAATAAGAAAGGCGGAGATAAGTAGAAGTGCAGCTATAAGAAAGATATAACTACTAACTAGAAAACTATAATAGAAGGAAAGAAAGTTCTACTAATTATAGTAATAATAAAGCTCTTAAGTAAGATACTAGGATTTCAGCGAGTTTACTATAGTTACTTATGATTAATAGCAGGGCATATAGGTCTCTATATAAAGTAGCTCCCGGAAGATTTAGCTATTAAGAGATTATATATTATATATAATAGGAGGTTAGAAATCAGAAAGCTAAAGATAAACCTAAAGACTTATATTTAGTTTTATATAGCTAATCGCTCTCCCTACTTATTAAATAAGCTTAGACCTTATAAATTTCATAAGAAGAAAGGGCTTAAATTATTCGATTATAATTAGAAGCTAATTCTAGATAGCTAAGATCTAATAATCTTATTATAGTAGGAAGAGAATAGATAAGTTATTTACTTCTTCTTTAAATAATAGTTTAGTTCCCTTCTTAGAAAGTAAATTTATAATAAATTAGATATATACTAGTACTACTTATAAGAGATTAATAGGCGTAAGAATATCAGATAGCTATAGAATATATTTTTTTTAGTAACTTAGTAGCTTATACGCTAAGACTCTGCCTATTATATATTATATATAGCTCTTTATCCTAATAAGAAGTAAAGACTAGTTAGTTACCCCTACTATACTAAATATACTATACTAGAAGATAGAACCTTTTTCTATTATATTAATTTAAATATTAATAATATACTTACTACTAATTAAGAGGCTACTATAATTTAAGGTAGTATCTTACTAGATTAAGAGGATAAAAATAATTATACTTTCTACTATCTAGGGATATAATATAAGCTAAGTAAGTAGTAAGCGCGTATTTATAAGCGAGGATAAGATACTAACTACTATATTTATTAAATTATAAACTAAACGTTTACTTAAGAGGATACAGAGGTCCTAGGAGTAGATTAAGTTAGGACTCCTTATAGCCTTAGAGATATATAGATTACGCTACTAAAGATCTTACACGGGTTAACTAAGCCTGTAATAAAGGTTTATCGGACTATCTTACTATAGTTTATTATAATTTAAAATAATAAGGAAACCTTAGAGGTTATAGAAAAGAGAACTTAAAGAGATCTAGCTAACTCTTATCGAGATTTCATTATACCCTTAGCTACTCTATTAAGCCTTATAAATCGATATAAAACTATTCTCTTTTAGTTTACTATCATAGTTAAGCTTTCCGGGTTAAGTGCTTTATTTAATACTCTAGTTATATAATAATAATAGAGTTTACTAGTAGTAATAGCTTAGAGAAACGTTCTATTAGGAAGAGATTAAGCGGCAGCTTATAGTTTTATTAATAGGTAAAGAGCTAAGGCATAAATTATAACTATAAAAGCTTTTAAGATAATAAGAAAAGTAGAGAAGAAAGCGTTTAGAGAGAAGTCCTTTTACTACTTAAAGAAGGTATTAGAAGCTATAAGTGTCCTAATAAGAGAGGTAGAGTATAATATTAATTAGCTAAGTAAGGAAGTAATAAAGATCGTGTTAAAAGAGGGCCTATTATTTATAAAGGAGGCTAAAGAGTGTTTAGTAGTAAGTATAGGTAATATAATAGAGGTAGATAATTAGTAGGATTCTCAGTATATATTTCCTCTTATTTATATAATACTTCAGGGGATATAGTCAGAGGGCGACTACTTATTTAGAGGGGGATATATATAGTAGAGTAATATAGTTCCGGGTCGGAAGATAGTTAGCTTATTCTATAGATCGTATAAGTAAGCGCGATAGCGCGTAATAAATATATTATCTTCTCTCTCTTACTCTTACTACCTATTTAGTTAGTAGTCCTCTACGTCCCTGCTTACTATATACTTTGACGGCACTACCTCACTCCTCTACAGTACTATTATAACTTATATTAAAACTAAATAAGTCCCAGAGGATTTAGTAGAATAGCTTAGCTACCTTATTCTCTAACTCCTATCTTAATATAACGTTTCTAATATATATAATAGCGTAGTTTTTACACTAGATTCTTAATACTCTATTGAATTATACGCCTCTCTTTACTTTAAGTAGCGCCTATAGAGCACTCTCTCCTAAATAGCCGGTGCGTAGGTACTATAGCTATAGAGTTATAGAACGCTCTTTAAGTAGTTAACTTAATAGTTAGAAACCTTACTTATTTAAGCTACGACTTAGAGTTAGGTATATTATAATAGGTATATATATTAAGGTTACTAGGTTATAAGAGTAATAAGAGTATCTAAAAGACTTATATTCAAAGAAAGTTAAGTTAAACTTTCGAACTAGCTATTTAATAACTACGCTTATCTAAACCTCCCTATACTATAAAGTAGTATCTTTCCTTAAGTACTATAGCCCGGCGTCTTTTAGTAACGCCTCTAAGATAATATTAATATAGAAATCACAGACTATAGTAACGTTATTAAGTAATAAGTCTTAAGTATTCAGACTATTTAGCTTAGCTAGTAAGTTCTTAAATACTCGCTTTCCCCTACTAATAACTAGAATTCGTTATATACTAGCTTCTATATAGTTGTTATTAGTAGATCACTTAAAGGAGCCTAGAACTAGCTTACTCTTATAGTTTATTAAGTGCTAAGCGCTGCAGTTATCTACTAAAGTACTCTCTAATAGTATATAAAGGATATTAATAAAGTCTATAGTATAGATTCCAAATATCTCTTTAAGGTCTAAGAGCTTTAAATTAATAGTAGCTACGTTAATATTTCTAGGGTACTTCCCTTTAGTATATTAAGATAATAAGTCTCGGTTTTTACTAGACTTTTTTCTAGTGATCTATATAACCGGGATAGTAGTTTAACTCTCCTTTAAGATCTCTTAGTATAGTTCTATATACTTAAGTATCTAAGCTGCCTTATGAATCCTTTTAATTTACTTATTATTTAAACAGAATCTTATACTATTAGCTTAAAAGCTATTATAAGTAAACTAGAGCTTCTAGTACTTAATTAGAAGGTGCTAATATCTAATTCCGTAGGAGTAGTTAGTCTTCCTATCTTCTTAATTTAAATAAGAGCGATTCTAAGAGCTTCCGGAATAGTCTTATAAGCTTTCTATATTAGAATAACTACCTAGTATTAGCGTGGCATAGAAACTATTAGCTCTCTTACCTTTATTCCGGTAGTACTCTTCTATATTTACTATAAATACTAGACTATACTCCTCTAGTGTTATACTATATTAACGTCCTAGAGTATTATCTCTTATAATATTAGTAAGTGCTTAAGCGGCTTAAGTCTCTAACTAAACTAATACTATATTTAGAAAAGCTTATATACTATATACTTCTTATATATTAGGAATATTATATATTCTTATAAGACAGAAGTTCTTTTACTATAGCTTATACTATATATAAGGTTTAATTCGCGACTTCTTATCTTAATATATTAGTAGGCTAAGTATATTAATATAATCCGAAATAACAGAGGTTAGTACTACTATATCTGAAAGTATTATATCACGCTTAATAAACCTAACTAGCGCTTATAGTCTTATAGCGCCCTTAGCTATATTATTATTAATTATATTAGTTAGAATAGACTAGCTAATAGTACTATTTACTTAGTTAAAAAGGTTCTAAATACAGTTATTAAGCGCTATCTATTTAGCTAGCTTATTTAAGTACTCTCTTATTCGAGCTTCCTAGAGTACCTTAATATCTTTAAACTTAGCTTCTAAGGGCTTACTTATAAACGCCGGTAGTTCTATTATACTCTCTCTTTCCTTAGTAGTAGTAGTGTTCTATTTCACTAGTAAATCTAAGTTAGCTTATATTAATAATACTATCTACTTATTAAGGTAACTATTTATCTCCTCCTATATAAAATCGTTAATACTAAGGAGATTCAGTCGTTACTTAATAATATTTCTAACGTTATTAGTATCAGGGTTAATAAATCTTTAGATTCCTTTAAGTTTAGTATAGTACTAGAAGGTCGTCTACTACTAAGGCTACTACTTTCTCTAATTAAGAGTATCGCTCTTATATTTAATTAACTTATTTTAAAGGTATATTAATATATCAGAGAGACTTTCTATAGAACTAATAGTATTAAGAGTATTTTAGGAAATTCAGGGAGGTATTTAAAGGAGTTCTTTAAGTAGCGGTATAAGTATCTCTTAATATTACTTATAACTCTACTTATATTACGTAGTATACTCGTATAGTAGCTTAAACAAGTGAATATAGCTCTTAACTATTATATACTATAAGGAGGAGCTTCATGTAATATGAAAGTCTTAATTTATTAAGGTATTCTAGAGCTCCCCTATAAGGGGAAGCTCTAGGAGTTCTAGTTATATAAGCAGCCTCTAGTTAGCTAGAGCGCCTTAGGGAGTGCCTCAGGTGCGCCAGGTACACGACAATTATTCCATTGAATCTAGAGTCTAATTTCGGGGGCATGGTACGAATCATCGATTTCGATCTCGATTCTCTGCAACAAATCATGGACTGCTGTATCTTCAATTTTGTCGTACGCTTCAAACCCCAAGGATGAGCCATACGGCCAGGAAATTGCCGTCTGGAAGTAGCTGCCGAATTGAGCATCGACAACATTCAGTGGCCGGATCTTTTTTGTTTTTGGCTCTCCCACAATTAGGAAGCATTGTTTGGACATGAAGGTCGTGATTTTGACAGGAGTGCGACCACCACTGGCCATTGAGATCTGTTCGGCGAGTTGAATCTGTCCATGTGTCATTCTGCAAGCAGGGAACGGCTTGATCGCAGTACTCATCAATTCCAGGTAGGAGAGAAGAAAAGTCTGTGAGGAGCTGAGAGGAGAAGGTGTTGCAGATTGTATGTTCAACAAGCCGAATCTGCCTTCAATAGGCTCTACGGCATCAAGGACGTCACTTTCGGCGAATGCGACACACATGAAAGCATCGTGCGCTGCAAGCCTGGATTTAGGCGTTTGTTCCATGATCCATTGGCAAGGTACTGCAGAAGTCCTGCTGCTTTGGATGATGCAAGACCGAAAGCATTCTCGATCGTGATGGTATCAAGGTCTCGAAGCTTGCATATGGCGGCGACGGCACCAAATATTCTTGCAGTACTTGTGTTGTGAAATCCGCGTCGGTGTCCACCCGTTCCGAGACCTACACCGAGTTGACAAGTGAATTCGTAACCTGCTGCAAGAGCGGTGAAAAGTTGGGAAGTTGAGACATCGCCTTGCCGCTCGGCTTCAGCAACAGCTGCGTCAATGATGCTCACTCCAGGACTGTCAAATCGTCAGTATGTGGCACCCTCGGAAATTCTATATCACTTACTGCAGCATACTACCAGAGTGTGTGTCGTCAAAGTCCAACGAATGAGCCAGCGCTCCATTCAATAGAGGACCATAGGGAGGCGAGAAAGATTGTCCATTGGCTACAACCGTACAACTTCCCGTTGTGGTCGAGTTCAAAGAAGTGACTGCTTTCAAGAAAGGGACGGTTGACTCTTTGGCAAGATGTGTGGCACCAACTACGACACCGAAGTGGTCCAGCAGGAACAACTTCAGAGTTTTGATATTCTCAGCCGATAAGTCCTCGTATTTCAAATCATGTATGAAGCGCACGAGGCCTTTCTTCTTCACCAAGCCCTCATCGATAGCAAAGGTTCCAACACCAGCCGAGATATTGCCGCAGTTTGCGGTATAGGTAATATGCTCGTTGTCGATGCCGTCTTGCACGAAAGTGTAGTCAACATCGGCGTCCTCCTTGATGATGGAGCAATGATTGCGATTTTGGATGTTACAACATGAGTTCATCCCATGCCATCGATTTGAATAGGATCAGGTGAGCCCATGAGACGTTTAAGCAAGCGATCTCGCTTCGTTCCTGGGGGAGGTAGATCATGTTCGTGGAAGAAGAGCGCTTTGCTTGTGCCGCCCCGGATGTAAACAGCCGGTACCGAGGCTTCCTTTGGGATCATTCTGTGGATATTTGAGCCAGATAAGCGTATTATAACTTGCTTTTCGTTTCAAGACGAGAAATCCAAGAATTGAATATTTCAGAAAGAATAAATATATGCATCGGGATTGTTCGTGACAGCTATCGGCGTATTTGTCCAAAACCGGCCCGACTTTTGGCAACCCCGCATTTCGAGACAAGCGACAAATACATACAGCAAGGTAAATTCAAATCATGCGGCGAGATTCGATGAAGATGTTATGTTTCAGAAGCTATAGGCGGTCCCCCGGTCCCCCGAGAATATTAAGTCGTGACCTGGCATTCAGAACTGTCAACTCAGAGAAGCCATCTCATGAGTTCAGAGTTAAGCGAGAATTGCCCCTGAGTCCCGTAAGCGACATACAAACAAGAATCGAAAGGAGACATGAGCATCAGATATGGTCGATTTGTATGGACTTTAGATTGAAGTTGGAGGAACTCGCCTCCAGAGCAGACCAGTGAAATTCTGTTTTAATTCATATTTGGTATTTGGTCACTTTTCATAGGTCCCACCCCAGTGCGGGGGTTTGGAGCACTCTACCGCCTGCTCTATTATGTGTTCTTTAGTATTTTGGGATTAAATAAAGGACTGAGTGTGACGCATCAACAGTGATAAGGAGGGCTCTTTAATTTCGAAGATGAAGCTTGCGATCGTGGAAATCATCAAAACCAAGGGCGGGGCCTGTCACGTGGGTCGGCGTGAATCTTGAAACGCGTCGCGTTGATCGAAAGTGAAACCAGATCCAACATCAACAAGCCCAACATGATCTCCGCCAGCGAACCTGCTCAGGGGAGCAGATACCTATGTCCCTGAATCCGATAGCATGTCTCCAAAGGACGTGTTCCTCATCTATGAGAAGGCGTTCAGGCACGAGGGAGATACAGACGGCGCCCTGTCAATCGAAAGCATACATTCGACCAGTCACAGCGCAAACCGATGGGCTCAAGCTCTTGCCAACAATCGCCACGAGGAATGCAGCGAATCTGGCGATAGGAAGGATGCAATGCGCCGAGTCTCTTGGACGAAGACGCAATGGGGAAAGTTGTTTGCAGAAACTATTACAACGCCAGGAGCGAAGGAGTTTGCTATCACTTACTCTGTAGAGCGGAGAGACTTGGAAGGCGACGAATTGACGGAGAACCATTATCCGGAATCAGCAGTGTCAGCAATAGAGGATCACAAAGAAGATGAAGGTGCCTTTGAGGGCTGGAAATTCTCGTGGGTTGGGGAATTGGACGATATGGGAGCTCGAGACGAGATCCGATACCTTGTCTTTGATAATGGAGGAGCCTGGCAGGCCATCGAGAAGTGTCTACAAGGGAACCTTCCAACATATGTTATTGCGGGGAAGAACGTTCCTCAGTCGCAACAGCAAATAATAGACGAGAAGGATCTTCCATGCCTCAATCGTCGAGCGTTCTTAAACATGGCCAAGGATCTTGGATTGCCAAAGCCAGCTCGGGAACAGCGGCCGACGAATGCTCTGAAGTGTTTCGAGCGAATGAATTTCACAGTACTTGGCCGCGTTGAAGAATCGGCCAAGGCTTTCTCGAAGTCCTTAGCTGAAGCATTCGGAACCGTACCACAATGCAATCATACCTCCCAGATGGACTATGTTGTTCGCCGTGGTGGCGACTCTGCGGTAGATATCCAACTTTTCGAAGAAGAATGTCGAAAGTATCTGAGAATCAACGACCCCACTGTCATCACGACCAGGCAGTTTGCGGAAATGATACTGAAGAGGACGTCGAATAGCTTGCCAGCAGAGAATCCTAACCTCACTATAACAAACGAAAGCATCAAAGAAGCTAAGATGTGTCTTGATGGTCTCACATTTTTGGTTCCTACTAGCGAACCTCCGATTGATGGCTTAAATGTCCATAGCTATCTACAGTCAGAAGGTGGTAAGGTCCTCGGAAACATTCATATGATGGACCTTGTGGATTACGTTGTCACAGGTACGGCAGGGCTATCACCTGAGCATTCAACCATGGCAGCACAGTATGGCGTGAGAGTCATCACCATATTAGAACTCCAAGGTCTTGTAGCCCGTCTCAAGGCCTTGAAGAAGGCAAAGGACGGGCTGGGATTGGCTATGGGGTATCTCCCACACCTCCCGCCCAAAACACGAAAACGGAAATCAGAGTCTACGTCGATCAGTCAACCTTCAAGAAAGTCTGCGAAGCTAGTTGCTTGAGATGCAGACCGACAATGCCAAATGTCTACTGTGCGCGTGTTTGCTGCATTATTACGGCTGTGGCTCCGCAGGGATTGAAGGGTAACAATTCATGGTGTCTCTTACATGCTAGATTCAATGTATCGATACTGCTTGTCATCCTCTGCCATCATTTGTACGACAGTCGGATGCACTAGAGAGGATGCTCCTGCCAGAGTATGAGTGCTTAGGTGCAAGTTTTTCACAATATTTCGCAGACCTCAGTAACGAGGAACAGAAATGTATCTTGGGAGAAATGCTAGATTGTCATAATTACAGGTATTGTGCTACAATCGTGGGAAGTCCCTCAGATCCCAATGATGCCAGCAGCGAGGACGGTTGTTATTCGCTCGTACGGAAATCCATTTACTGCATTGAGGACTGTGGGGTTTCTTCAAGAGGGCCGTACATTGCTTGCTTACAAGAGCAAAGGCAGGCCAGGTATCTTGAGTCCTGTAAAGCGACACAAATTAGCGAATCGATTTTGAGCTTGTCAAAGCCTTTCTTTTGCAAAACACGAAGCCAATGATATTTGATGCAAAGGTTCAGCAGTAACTCCGAAACCAGATCACTCTTCATCGATGGATCACGTACTCTGTAAGTGACTCCAGGACTTCAATGTCCTATAAGCCTTCAGGCCTGAAGGCTGGATCTCGAGCCATGGTGTCTAATTTCATTCTGATCCTCGTTTTCAGCGTCAAAAGATTGGCTCTGTGTTGAGGATCTTCATATAAAAACTCATGAATAGTATCTTTGAAAGCATTTGATAACCCAGGCTGGTTTCGAATCTGGGTGCCGTAAAGCTTGCCAAGTGGAGCGGCCCCGTGAATGGTGTGGCCGGGGGTGTATGGCAGATGGGCTTCTGGCGGTCCCAGGTTGAAGCATGCTGATCTAATTAACGTTCAGCATTCTGGTTTCGGGTCACTGAAGTTCTGTGTAGTGCATATTGAAGATAGAGGCAATCATACTCATACATAATCGGTCCGATTTGCCATATGTTATTGTGTGACCCAAATTTACCACAGATATTCGAGACCTGAAAATCGTTGTTGTTCCATCCGGGGTGAAATGACTCCTGTAGATTTGGACAGGCAATGTTAGAGGCAGATATCAATGAGAAGAAGGGGATCCAGTTACAGATGTACCCTTCGTATAATATCTTCTGGTGCCTTGTCTTCCTACTCGTTTGTGATATCGCTCATAGTCATTATGTCGCCAAGGGATATGATTGTTGGCAAATACCTTTTGCCAGTGCCTGGGCCCAAATCAGTATGTACATTCGTCCTCATAAGGATAAGAGTAGAGGTAATCTACTCTCATAACCCAAAGTCTCCAAATTGGATGCCATCATGTCAGTTCAGGTCTCCACGTCAGAAACGATGTGTGGAGCTGTCCACTCTCAAGTCAGAAAATAGGAAGAACCATGCTAAATAAATCATCACAGAGAAGTTATGAGTACATTTGTCGATCCCATGCGGGACAGTTCCCAAGTCCCGTTTTTTGATCATCGGCGCTGGGCAAAAGTTCGCCTGTCCGACATTGAACGATTTACATCCATACTTTACCAAACCTTCTAAGCCAATGCTCGATGTCTTTTATACATGATCACAAAAAGCAATCGATGGGCCTTGGCCCTTGGCTGATTTTAAGGGAATTTTCTCATGTCCCAATGATGGTGACAACGAGCAGGAACCGTGTTGGCCCGTCTAAGCTGCCATACATTGCACTGGCGCTGAACCAGCTCTTTATTGAATCTTCCGAAGTATGTACATTGTGTGCGTACCTCAGGGTGAGTTATCGCCTGATCTCTACAGGTCATGGTCAGCCAAGATTTATATAATCCAATATCATGAAGCAGAATGAGGTTCAACACCAGCAGCGGACCCTTTGAGATGGATGTGCGAATGAGTATTGTTTGACTTACGGTACGAGTGGCTCTGTACAAGCCAGGTCTTGCCAACCTTCCGGTCCACGTGGAACCGGTGCAGCAAGATCGGCCGCTACACATGCGTCTATGGCTGTCTTGATCCTTCTCTTTAGCCGTATCAGTCTAGGTCGATTATGTGGCACTTCATACAAGCACTCGTGTATGGCGTCTTTCAGGTTTCGAGAAAATCCAAGGATCTGGAGATCGACTCCGTACAGTAAGCCTCGTGCGGGCTCGAGGCCCGTATATCTCATAATCGTAGCGGGTCGGAATGGTTGATCTGGTCCTGCTGGCGGCCGGTCATAACAAGCTAAGCTAATGAGAAGGTTATTACTGGATACGAAGTAGGCGAGTGCCCTCGCCGTATGGAGAGGCCAGGACTTTGGGTACTAGTCCGAGAAACGTCGGGGTAGTCGGAGACTTATAGAAGTGAATTTTGCTTACTGAATAGATTTGAAGTTAGCCGATAGTATTTACAACTGAGAGACAGTCCACTTCGTGACTATCTTCAGTAGCTTAGATACCTCTTTGCCGAAGAGTGAAAGTATTGGGAATTAACGTACCTCATACATGATTTGGCCTATGCCCCACTGAATTATCAAGAGATCAGCTTATGTTCTAGAATATTCAAGACGTAAAAGGCAGGCAATGTCTTCCTCGGATTGTCGGAAATCAGAACCTGACAAGTAAGATTACATACAACATTCGTTTTCGTGCCCCATCTTCCACAAACGGGAGAGTTGTTATAATCATAGTGATTCCACCGGTCTGAAAATTGTTCCTATCAGGAAGAACGTCAGTTTGGAGTCTTCAAATACTTTCTGCGTTTCTTTTATGAGCCTACTCACGGGTGCCATATAGCCGTCTGTTCCACGATAACGTTCGATCTGATTTAAGTCCCAAGTTGGGTGCGGGACTACAGTATTAGCTACCCGATCGACGAAGAAAGACGCCCCAAAATCTGTAAGCTGTGATCTATTCAGTATTTAATACCCCTCAAACATGATATTTATTATTGTAAGCTTTACCTTGCACAACGGTGTGTGAGGATGCCGGGGATCGCGAGATGCTGCTAAGACTAACTTGTTCAGAAACATGAGTCTCAAGGAAGACAGGGAAGCATACTGTTGGGTGGCTTAAGATCAAAGTGCACTAGCACGCCAGGATCCGCCGCAGTTCCTTTTAAAGGATTATGTGGCAGTTTTGTGACGCCGTTGGCAGATTCTACGAAGGGATTGTGCCGTTCTAGCAGAATGCAACCGTCCACTAAGCATTCGAATATCCGCCAGAGTGTCAGCTCCTCAAAGCGAATGTTCCTAAAACCCAATTTAGTGAAACTATTCTGGCTTACATATCACTAGAGGAGACTACCTGCTCACTCTCATCTCCCTGAGATCTTGTAAGGACCCTTGCGGCAAGTATTCCATGACCAGTCGGCGAGCAAAGCCAGCACCGGGTGCACCGCCATTTAGCCAATCAATATGTAGATGCTGGGCTGCGACCATTGCGGGTGTTATTTGCGTTGGTGGATTGACAAGAAGCTTTACAATATGGTCTGAGTGGTTCGCTTGATTGAGATATACCATCTTTCTTCCTTCTTCCAAAAGTGCTGGCCCAGGGTCTCGTTGCGACTTAATTGCGATTCTGTCATGAACAGCGGGGCGGCCAGCAGGCGGGCCATTCCACTCCCACATAGTCACCTAATAGTGAGTAGCACATCAGTGTTAGGCTCTATCTTGTTTCATAGTGGATTATTTTCTACTGACCGACCCTCCTCCTCCAGTTCCCAAATGCTTGATTCCTTTCCAATTTGGGCCGCCTAATTGCGCCACAGGAACTCCTGGTACCGGTGCTAGTAAATGTAGGTGTCTTTGCTGAGGAGCTTGTCCAAGAGGAGGTCTAGCTACAGGTTTTATCATGTTTCCAATTGCTGTCGGAGCTTGTGGTACTGGCGGCTGAGGATCCGGAGATGGAGGCGTATACGGGACTGCTGCCGTGGCATCATAACTGGCCTTAAGGATTGTGAGTTTCGATTGAAATAGGACTAGATCCAAGGATTTGAACTTACTCGAACTTGAAGATCCGTAAGTGGTGCCGCGTTCGGGTGATTTACCATATACCAGTGCCGAAATTCATTTTCAAAGTTTGGCGTGGGAATAATACCGGCATTTGCCATTATTTATAAAAGACTTGATTCAGCGGTAAATTTTGGGTCTCGGGATACTGATGTTTACAAAAGAAGGAATGATACAATGCATACAATAGTTCTTTCGATCCCGAGGGAAGATCTTGACTTGAGTATTGAGTTCTTTGTTCTTCTTCCGCATGCCGCATGCAGCTCAGAAACAAATTAAGCAGGCTGCACAAAGGTTTAAAGATTGATGACTTGTTGTTTCGAAGGTAATATTGTATTCTCATACCCTCTATATGCATTGCAATTGGAGGAGGAAACGAAGCTACCTGAGAGGTCACGATCATTATATCCAGCTCCAAACTTCGCTAAGCTTATGTAAACAAACATCATTTTAACTAGCGAGTGGCGATGAGGGGGCTACAAAGAAGCTTCATCATTTCGTCCCAGAAGTTTACCTTTACTTGTCTCGAGAAGTCTTTATCTATGAGATTGACCAGTCTGCCGACTCTTGGTTGTTTCAGTTGCAGGTACCAAAAGATGAAACACCTCTATCTTTCCATGACATGGATACATGTACATACACACCTCTTAGTACATTCACACTTTCAGAATCAAGCATTAAACAAACAATTAGCCTCCAAATTGATGCTCTCTCAAGTCCCAATGAACCCAACAGCGAGGACGTAAGATATTACCACGCACGGCAATCTTGTGGCCACATCTCCCCCGACCCGGTCGTACAGTTCGGGTACATCTTTTGGTTCTTTCCGGCATGGCTTGTGCTTGAGCTCTAGATTCCAACGCAGAGGTTGTCAGTCGACGGACAAAAATCTTTCAAATTCACTGCGATAAATTTCTTGGACTTGATGAATCATGGACTCCCAAGATAAAGCTGAGCGATGAGATGACTGAACTTACGGGGTAAGTGGTTCCAACCGATTTAGGTTCTGCCAGCCCTCTGGCATCGCTTGAGGATTTGCTGCAATGCAAGCTGCGATAGATCTCACGATCCTTCTTTTTAAAGTGAGTAGACCGGGTCGATTCTCGGGCAATTCATATAAACACTCTTGGATTGTGTCTTTGAGCAATGTTGATAAGGGAGGCTGAATGATGGCCTGGATTTCGTTTCCGAAGACTCGACCTCTGGGAGGGAGATTGTGTATGGTAGCAGGCGTGAAGGGCTCGGAGGCTTGTACTGTGAGTTGGTCGTAGCAGGCGAGGCTGTGATGGGCATTAATTAGTGTTAGGTAAGTTGGGTGCAAGGATAGTATGAGGAGGGCTGTGATGATCTTGGATTGATTGAAGGCGTTATTGTAGCTGGTGTAGTCAAGGACAAGATGCTTCTGGAGGAGATTGGTAACCTTACTGATGTGGAATAAAAGTTAGATTGTGTTTCAAAGATTCAAATGGTAGGTTTAAATTCATCGGACGGCAAATTGAAGAATTCGAAAGATAATGAAACCAAAATCATACCTCATACATTATCTGTCCTATACCCCACTACGTCGTTATACAGTCAGTTCATGTTCGCAAGTCAATAATATGGATTGGAGCGACCCAAGGGAGAGCAGAGCCCGGGTTCGTCATTCAACATACCACATTTGTTTTGGTGCCGTATCTGCCACAAATATTGTTTGTATCGTAATCAAAATGATTCCAACTTTCAGAAAATTGTTCCTTATCGAATCCAAGTTTAGCGGTGCAATATAACTAACAGCTTGAACAGGAGAAAGCAAAAAACTTACAGGAGCAAAATAATCTCTCGTGCCACGAATACGATCATTTTGATTCTGATCCCAAGTAGCCCACGGGAGTACCCCGTCTCTAGGGATATACTTGGCCAATCCAAAATCTCCTATCTATTGGATGTCAACTTCAACATCGTTCTGTAAGTCTGTCCTTCAAAGCTTCAGATACGCGCTGATGTCTTCGGTAGCTCACCTTACAAACAGGCGTATCAGGATGATCTAGCGGGCTACGATCTCCATTCATGACTATATTGACTTAACACCAGATCCACAGACCTTGTGGAACGATATCACACAGAACTTACTATTGTCCGGCTTCAGATCAAAATGTACAAGCACTCCAGGATCTGTGTCATTTCTTGCATAGGTATGTGACCCATCGGGTATTTGCGCGACACCATTGGGGGGAGTGTGGAACTCCAATCCGTGCTCCAAGACTGCACAGCCGTCGACGAGACATTCGAAGATCCGCCATAGAGTGAGTTCTTCGAAGCGTATGTTACTGAACAGTATGATTAGTAGAGAGTTCCGAATGAGTATTTTCCGAATGGCACCTACCGTTCTCTGCGCATATCTATCAATTTACGCATCGATCCTTGCGGGCACTTGAAGAACATTAGCCCTTGGACACCAAGAATTTCAGACATATCATTTTTGTCTTCAAATAAGCAGCCAGAGAAAGTACGCACATATTCCATGATCAACCTCCTCACCGTCCCAGGCCAGCCCGGGCCTAACCCTTCCGCCGCAGCCATGGCTGGCGTAACAATCGTCACGGGATTTACCAGAAGCTTCACAATATGCTGCGAGTTGCCTTGTGCAAGATCTTCCATGTACCAGCCTTCATCTCTTAGCCACAGGTCCGGATTGGCGCCTAGTTTGACGGCGATCTTGTCTCGTGGTGGAGCAGGCTGGGGACCAATGTACTCCCAGAGTGTTACCTTGCATTGAAGGAAATCAGTCAGCGTTTGGGCTACAATTCAATCACTGAATTCTTGAGATTGTACAGTGAGATTAGCTTACAGTTCCAAATCCACCTTGTCCAAGTTGTTTGACTCCTCTCCAATTCGCAGCATTGTACACATCCGGCGCAACTGGTGCAGTCCAAGCTGGGAAGATACCCGGTGTAGGTGCAGGAGCGAGGGCCGGTTTGTTATTAGGTGGGATGATGCTCTGTCGTTGGGTTGGACCTGTTGCGGGTGGTGGACCGACAGGAGCGCCGGGGTTATATACAGTGTGTCTGCTTGCGTTGTATACTCCCTTGGAGATAGTCAGTCATGGCACGTTGCGATTTGGCTCTGTGCTGATGGTCGGGAAAAGAAATCGAATGGACATACGACGACAATCGCTGCGGGTGTTGGGGGGAGGGTTGGGGAGTTGATGGCTTGCCATGCTTGATATTCGGCGATAAATCTTTGGACTGGGAGGTTCCCGATGTCTGCCATTGTTGCATTTGTGTGTAGTCGAGGGGAGGTGGCGCCAGCTATTTGATTTTTTGAGATCCGAAATTATCTTTCAATCTATCACTACAATGAGTACAATCAGAAAAAAGCGTGCCGAATAGCAAAGAGATGTTGTGTTACACTACGAGAATCATCCCTTTGTTCTCCCACCTAAGCACGCATGCGGGGGCTTGGAGTCCCGAACAAAGAGCCTCGACAGACGACCTAGCTGTGATACGAATATCATTTGATAAAATTTGAATCATCAATACAGATGATGAAATGAGGGGTTTCATTGAAAGGAACTAAAACAAGACACATGGAGAATTGAGTCAAAAGTGTATCTACTTCCGCTTAATTCTCGCTAAGCTCAAGTAAACAAACACCGCCCCAGTCCGAAAATCTGCCTTGTACGTCAGACACCTACATTAGTGCTGTCGAAGTTACCACAGAAGCCTAAGCAATTATCTTTAGCCAACTGTGAGAATTGCAATTCACTGTCCTTGCTTTCCGACCGTCCGAAAAGCCCTGCACACCTGCCCCTCCCTTCTAATCCTTCTGATCTAGATCTCCTTACGCGGCATTTAGAGAACTCGAAGGGTATTTATCATCTTGAACGCAATGTGATTCGGTAGATACAGACTTGATAAGCCAGGATAGTCAGAAGTGTCTTGTTTTATTGATGAGAGGTCAAGAATTTCGGTCAGAATGCGAAGAAGTCCTAAGCTTGGAAGACGTGACTTGAGGAGCCGCATCACCAACTTCGTGCGCCAGGCATTGTCCAGAAGTCGCCAAAACATTGACGTTTCTCTCTCATGGAACTAACCATAGAGGTCTCAATCATACTCGTGAAAGAGACGAAATGTAACAAAGATAAATCTTTGTGCAAAACTCAACTTCGTGATCCGGAGTGGAAATACTTCAGCCACATCCCGAATGCTGCGCCACATAATATCCTCGGCCGAATTCTGACTCCCCCCTATGTACTGTTGAAAGGAAAGAATGAAGTGGAGAGTTTTAAAATTGCATATGCAGTTGTTTCCATGGAGATGTCTCGGAGATATGTAAAGTGTGCGCGTTCCCCTTCACAAGTCCCATTAAGCAAACCGCTGAGCACTCAATGGCTCGCCGACTCTCTCTAGCGGCACTCGCACATAAAAATATTACAGAATCTCAACAGATAGCACTTTCTAAGATTAGACGCCACTCAAGCATGGTCCCCTTGACTGATGACATGTTCATCGACTCGTCTCCTTCAAATTTCCTCCTCGAGCTTCATCCAGATTCAGGAAGAAGTCCTTCCGCGGCAAAACTGCACCCCTGTCCATCTCCCGGCTCTTTTAGCCGCCACAATCGCCCCCACCAGATCCACTTGAATTGTATTTAGGCTAAATGTAAAGGGACGCTACCAGGAAAGACTGCATGGAGGGGCAGATTCTAGATGGGTGGTGGATGATGGTTGACCACACGACTCGAGACGAGATTGGGGATGGGCAATACAGCCAGCGTATTTAGCCAGGCGGATGCTACAGCTGTTGCTGGCGATTTCTGCTTGGTGGAATGTTGGGCGAGGTGACTCGAAGTGCCGGAGAGGAGAGGAGAGGAGAGACACGTAACAATGCCAGGATGGGGTAGTTGGATGACAAAGTTGAATTGAGAGGCTAGGAAAGCTCGGAAAGGTACAGTTGGGAGACATCTCCAGCCAAGAAATCCGCAGAGATGGTATATCCTTGGAGAATGAGGTAGCCATTGGTAAGGTAAGTCAAGTGGGTGGTGTGGATAATAGCAGGTATGCTGCAAAGGTAGGGTAGCACAGGTGCAGGTGCATGAGCTGCATACATATCCGTACGTCAGGTATAAAAAGCCCTTCGACACTTTTCGGTCATATTCTACCTACTTTCTCCCAATTGGAAGCAGTACAAGCCACGAAACATATTGCTTCTTTACAAATCCGAGTTTGAACTTCTACGGATCGAAATATCAACTCTATGCGAATGCTCTGGCGGTAAAATGGCCTTTTACATCCTCTTCCTCCCACCTGCATTCTATTGCCACGCAACCCCCACCTCTTCTGTCCCCTCTCAAAACTTTCAAGCATTCAACTGACTTTCTCTGTTCTGTCACAGCCCCTCTCTTCTCCCATCAACAATTGGAAAACCAAGCCAATCCACTTCCGTCTCCACTATCGGCATTGCCCCTCACTTGCGCTCGTCTATTTTCTAGTCCAAGCTCCATCCCATCAACTACCCCTCCACGACTTTTCTTCCTCCTTCACAACTCCCACTCCAAACCTCGACACATCTCCAAACTCCCACATACGATTATCCTCAATTCGCGATTCTCTTCGACTTCAATACATCTGCAAATATATCTGCGAAAATGGCTTCCATCAAGCTGAATACTGGCCATGCCATGCCCCAAGTTGGCTTTGGTCTCTGGAAGGTGGACAATGCTACCTGTGCGGATACTGTGTATAATGCGATCAAGGTTGGATACCGGTTGTTTGATGGTGCTTGTGGTATGTGTTTCTTCTCTCCTAAAATCTTGAAGGAAGCTCTGTTTGGTATATCTCTAGTTGGAAGATAATGCATTCGAGTTTCTTACCCCTCAATCTCGCTCTCCCTTGATTGATTCTGGAATGAACACTGACAATTCTAGATTACGGTAACGAGAAGGAAGCTGGTGAGGGTGTTGCCCGAGCTATCAAGGAGGGTCTCGTAAAGAGAGAGGATTTGTTCATTGTTTCCAAGCTCTGGAACTCCTTCCACGAGGGCGACAGGGTCGAAGTATACTTCCCTCTTGCACCCCTCCAAGACACATACTAATCTTATTCCCAGCCAATCTGCCGCAAGCAACTTGCCGACTGGGGCATCGACTACTTCGACCTGTACATCGTGCACTTCCCCGTCGCCCTCAAATACGTCGACCCCTCCGTCCGCTACCCCCCCGGCTGGGCCGTCGACGGCAAAGACGACTACCAACTCTCCAATGCCAGCATCCAAGAGACCTGGACAGCCATGGAATCCGTCGCCGAGAAAGGCCTCGCCAAATCCATCGGCATCTCCAACTTCCAAGGCTCCCTCATCCTCGACCTCCTACGCTACGCCAAGATCCGCCCTGCCACCCTCCAGATCGAGCACCACCCCTACCTCGTGCAGCCTACTCTCCTCGCCCTTGCAAAGGAACAGGGTATTGCTGTTACAGCGTACAGTTCGTTTGGGCCACAGTCGTTCATTGAGCTGGAGTGGCAGAAGGCGAAGGATACCCCGGTGCTGTTCGAGCATCCTGTTGTGGTGAAGATTGCGGAGAAGGTCGGCAAGACACCGGCGCAGGTGTTGCTGAGGTGGGCGACGCAGAGAGGGTTGGCGGTTATTCCTAAGAGTAATGATCCCAAGAGGCTGCAGCAGAATTTGGAGGTTACGGAGTTTGATATTGCGGAGGAGGATATTAAGGCTATTTCGGGATTGGATAGGCATTTGAGATTTAACAACCCTACGGATGTGAGTATTTCCATCCCCCTTTTTTCTCTTCAAGGTGGAGAAGTTTTGGTAGAGGATTTTGGATTGAAATTGAACTGACTTAAATCCAGTATCTCGGCACCCTCCACATCTTCGCATAGATCCAACCTCCATCTTCCAATATTCCCAGACTTCAACCGCACTTTTCTTCTGTCATACCATGATTGGGTTCCCTTCGTTGTCTTCAAAGTATGGGCGGGTTTACTTTAGGGAGATTGCTTCAGTTCGATGCTCGATAAACGCTCTAGAATCAGAATCTTGCTACTTATATTCTAAATTTACTTCGCTCTTGCTGCAGATGGCGTGGAATTTTCGGCTTGCGTAGAAATAAGGAAAGGAAATACAAGCGAGTACACAATATACACCACTTCACATGCTCAATATCTGTTTCATTGCTTATGGCGGTACCATCTACACAGCCATTCTGTGGACTTTGGTGGTCTTTCCTCCTCTGCTAGTGCTCAATGCGAAGTAAAAAGGACTCGTAATATTGCCTGTTTCCATCTCTCCTGAGAACTCCATGCTATGCTATACTGAGCCACATCCATATCCAGATCCTGCCACGCTGTGTTATGACAAATAGCCAGTCAATCTGACCACAGTGTTGTTCTTCCCTTAGCCTGCGAAAGTTCTCTACGTTCGCTTCCACTTCCCATTCAAGGCTGTGAACCATATCCACATCAAACCCATTACCGAAGCACGCCAAGCGTAGAGCAGAAAGCTGAGAAGGATCTAATTATGATGTGGATGATCTATCTATTTCTATAGGTATGCTTCAAGGACGCCTGTACTATGATACGCGGATGAAAGCTACAGAACACATGTTAGCGGAGTGCTCAAATCGCATGACAAAGTCCTGCTTGAGAAGGTAGCCAAAAAAAGCAGCCAAGCACGAAGGAAGAAAAGTAGGCAGCAAAAAAGAAAAGGGAATACTCACTAGCGTCAATCTGCTTCACCTGCGGCAGCGCCAACCTAGCTTTATTCCTATACAACGCCGGCTGCCGCAACTGCAGCGGACACCCCTCAAAGTAAACCGTATTCAACTCCTTCTTCCCACCTAACACCTTCTCCACCTCCGCAAAATCCCCCACCAAATTATAACTCGCCCACACCTCCTCCAGCTCCTCTAGCCCCTCCAACCCAGCCAGACTCTCAATCTGGTTATTACTGATATCCAGGACGCGCAGCCCCGTGCAGGATTCTAGTCCGGAGAGAGACGTCAGGGCATTGTGGCTGATGTAGAGTTCTTCGAGGTGTGGGAGGGAACTGAGGCCTGTGATGGAGCGGATGCGGTTGGACTGGATGGAGAGGATTTTGAGATTGGTGAGGGAGGAGAGGTTGTTGATTTCAACGATTTTGTTTTTCCCTAGCCAGAGCTCTTCTAAAGCTGTTAAAGTCTCTAAGCCTTGAATCTCACGAATCCGATTTGCTGCCAATTCCAAATTCCGCAGTTTGGTCAGCCCTTCCAGATTCTCGATGACGCTGATTTTGTTCTGCACGAAATAGAGGTCTGTGAGTTGTGTGAGGTGCGAGATGTTTTTGATGTGCTTTATCTTGTTGAAGGAGAGGTCGAGGGATTTGAGGAGTGTGAGGTTGTCGAGGTGGGAGATCTTGGAGATCAGGTTGTCGTAGAGGTCGAGGTCTGTGAGGGTGTTGGAGAGGGGCTCGAGGCCGGAGATGGAGGGGATGGAGTTTTGGCGGAGGCAGAGGCGTTGGGTTTGGGGGAAGCGTTCGAGGCGGAGGGAGGGGATGGAGGATATTCGCGCGTGGACGCAGTCGATCTCGGTGGTGTTGGAGGGGTAGTCGTCTAGAAGGTCTGAAGAGAGGAGGGGTTAGCATTCCATTTGTTATCTTTTGTTTGCGCCGGGAGCTCTGTGACGACATCTCGTACAGCTAGCCCGAGAGATATCTCAGTGAAGAGTGTATACCCTCTTCCTCGTACAGGTTCAACTTTATGCGCAAGAAAGCCATACCTTCATCCGCCTCAATCTGCTCTCCAGGCAACACATTCTCCTCGTCTGTATACTCCGCATCTGAAATCGCCTCTGGGTTTACCAGCTCGACATTCTTCTCCAAACGTAGTTTGCCATCCCAACCACTGCTACTCCGTGGTGTTTTGGGGGTATCGTGGTCTGCGGAGTCAGTGGCGGCAGGGTCGGTGATAGAGATGTGTGGTGGGGGTGTTGTTGATTCTTTGGGAGTCGGTGACGGCATCGTGATAGCTGCTTTCTCTGATCGTTATGCGAAATTCTTGGAGGAACTGGAGTGTGGAAGAATTTGGGAGGTGGTGTTTGTATTTAGTTGTCGTGTACGCTCATTCCATGGTGTTTTGAGAAGAGGTTGGGTGAGGTGGTGATCTTGGAATCGATTTCCAGACCAGGCTCTGGCTTTGGCGGGGCTGACAGATTCTCGAGCCGGAAGTGGAGGCGAGGCGGCGAACCAGACAGCTGGGCGATCAAGCGGATGCAAGAGTGACCATCAAAGCCTTTCCCTTGCCTTTGCTTTCATCGCAACATGCATACGGCAACCCCACGGAAGAACACGACAACATGCATGCGAGCAATTGATAGGATACTGCACATTTATCACATCGTGTTTACTGGTGTGAAATGCTTCGTGCCGTGCATGGAAAAGCTTTCGTGAGACAGCTGTACATCAGCAAAGGAAGCGCCAGAGGGCAATTGGGATATGCGTCTCGATGTGCATTTTCTACCAGGTTACACGGGGGTACAGAGATTCTCATTCGGGGTCGAACTCGAAATCCACCTCATAGATATGTATTCTACCAGAAGAGGGTTTTGGGTGGTATCCCAACCTTGTTACTCCCTCCGGTAGTATTCGGCGGACTGGTCATCGCTCTCTGGACTTGGAAATGCTTCATGATGGTTCTTTTCCAGAACAAGATCATCTACATGCCTGGACTCCCTCCTAATGCACGTCGAGAGACGATTGCAGAGTACAGGACTCAATGTAGTGGAATTGAATGGCGAGAAGAAATGATCAGATCGCTGGATGGGACAAGGATTAGTCTCTGTGTCGCTAGTGTCAACGACTTCGATGTTTGTAATGAAAGGATAGTGTATATCCTTTATTTCCAGGGTTAATTTCCATCTTCCGTTTCAAGTGAACGCGGCTTATGGTATGTAGGTAATGCTTCTTCTATTCCTCCTCGTTTGCCGTTTCTCTCACCTGTTTTGAGAATGTTGAGAGATCGATGTCAGGCTGGTGCTGTCAGGTATACGATGGTATGCTGCAGCTATCGTGGGTACTGGAGTTCCAAAGGTAGACCATCGGAGAAAGGCATCGCATTAGATGCTGCTGCTTCATTGGACTGGGTACGAGACGACTTTCTCAAGCAAGGTGGGAAGGTTACGGAGTCAGTCCCAGTTGTCGTCTGGGGTCAGAGTATCGGTGCAGGTGTGGCAAATAATCTCGCTGCACAAGCACAATCGTTTCAAATGTCAAAGCCAAGTCTTTCGCTCGCGACTCTGATTCTGGAGACGCCGTTCATCAGTGTGAGGGCTATGCTCGAGACGCTATATCCGCAAAGATGGCTGCCGTATAGACATCTGTGGCCGTTCTTGTGGAATCACATGGACAGTTCCAAGGCTTTGGACACCACGAGTCAAAGATACAGGAGTGCAGAGATGAAATGTCCGAAAATTGTCTTGCTGGAAGCTGGGAAGGATGAATTGGTTCCCAGAGAGCATGGGGCCGTTCTGGAGAAGAGGTGCAAGGAACTTGGGCTGGACGTTAATCATATAAATGTCAGTGGAGCACTGCATACAGAAGTCATGGTCAAACCAGAGGGAAGACTGGCTGTTGTTAAGGCCGTGGAGGACGTAGCTCGAAGAGCGTTCTCGACGTCACGTGCCACTGGATGAGAAAAATTTGGATGGAAAACTCGTTTCAATACTTCCAAACGGAGCGAGCGCGAAAGCCCAGTTCGGATCCGAGTCCCGTACCTGAAATAAAGTGCAGCTTGCAGCTTTTATCATTTGCGGAGCACGAGATATGCGTCTATTTTTGGCATCTCGATCTTAGCCGGCTCACTCCGAAGTATTTCTCTGCAGTGGCTTGCAGCAATTTCAATCTATATAGTTCGCAACCAGCTTTCAATCGATCATATGATGTATGATTGGGACATACGGAGCGAGATTCATGAACCTGGAAAGATGAACAGAAGTTATTCTGGGAGTGGGCTGCTCCGAACCCGCAAGGAGATACCATAAGAAGGAAAATATCTGCTGCTCTCCGATTTCCACGCCTACGAGGACCACGCTACAAAACTCACATTCAGAGCAAAAGTTAGTTATCCCTCCATCCCTCAAACATTCTCACATTCAACTATTCAAACACTTACTACCCGATCCAGTCGACCATCCTAACTTCCACCAACACACACAAGAAACCACCCCCAAGATGCACCTCCTCATCTCCCTCTTCCTCGCCCTCGCCCCACTCCCTCTCCACATCCCCTTCACCTACGCCACAACCCTAACCCTCCAACTCGGCGGGCAAACCACATCCCTCTCCAGTGGCATCTCAACCCATGATTTCAACCAGACCTCACTGGGACTTTCCGACGCCGGCGCCGCTACATATCCCATCACGACATGCGGCTGTACGTCTTTGGAGGATAAACAGAGCATGTGTGCGCACATTGTGTATGACGGGGCTCCAGTGCAGTTTTATTCGAGTACGGATTGTTCAGGGCCGATGAATTGGGAATTTGATGGGACTAGTTTGGAGGGTGGAGTGGGTGAAGCTTGGACGTGTGGTTTTGGGACTTGGAGTAGTGGGAGTCTGGGGGTGGGGTGTCCATAGATCTAAAAGCGTTCGAACGCTACAAGGATATGATAAATCGAGGGGGCCAAGGAAGAGGGGACTTTGTGTACGTTCACAACTGCATTGTGGCAGCTTCTACAATGGAGGTCAACCTTGTCACGTGGCTATTCCTTCCCATTCCGGCTCTCCTTGTACACAATGCCAGAGTATTCCGAATGCATAACTGGCAAATATAGAGACTTCTCAGGGTGGCTGCAAGCTTGAAACACTACAGTTTACTTCTTTGTCCGTCAATCACCAACACGCCACGAAACCTCCTAAGAAATAAACTTGTCACATTGTATATCTTCACCTTGTGAGTGTCTTCGCAACTTGCAATATTTTGTCCTCCTGTGAACGCTCGATCTATTCCAATCACCACATCACCAAAATGGGTACCACAGGATACGATAAACAGTTCCTGAATAGATTCCGGTTCTGGGATCAGTACAACAAACCTCTGCCCCATCCACCACGAATGACGAAGGCTGCCATAAAAGTACGTGCTATCTACATCCTCTAAACAGTATTTCCTATCTTTCTTTCGACAAGTCTTTCTGACCTGACTTCGCAGGCATCATACAATGCAACATTTATGCACCCACCCGGTCTCCCCGCTCCACCAACAATTCCCGTCCCCCACCCCGTAGCAACACCCCCGGTCAGACCACGCGCAAACCCCAAACCTCCTGCATTCCCCCGCCGCGACAGGAAAAAGTACCAAAACCGTTCTCTCTTCAAAGGACCAAAATACCAACCTCACGGCGCCCCCCAAGGCGGCCATTTGAACTGGCTACCAGTCAAGTATCTCGGACAAGGTGGAGGCGGCGCCGTGGTATTGTGGGAGTACAATGGCCCTTTGGCAGCTCCACTCATCAGAAAGATTGCTGTGAAGAATAAAGTGACTCCAGACGGGAACTGGTTGTTGGAGGAGGGGCAGATGATGTCGCAGTTGATGGCGAGTAATAGTGAACATATTGTAAGATTGCTTGTTCAGCCGCGGCAGTTGACTGCTGCGAATAGAGCTCTTGAGGGTGGCAGTAGGCCATTACCGAAGGCTTGGGAGGGGGTCGTGAGGAGGTTGATTATGGAATATTGTTCGCAGGGGAGTTTGGGTAGGCTGCTGGCTGAGAGGCGTCGACGGTATGTAAGATCCTGTAAATACCGTGCAAAGGTGTCAAGATAGTAAGCCAAAGATACACTTGTAGACTGTTACTGACGTTTTGTGCGTACACACAGAAACCTCCCGTTTGAAGAACTCACTCTGTGGCGAATCTTCGAATGTATAGTGGACGGCCTATCTGTGCTTGAATTTGGTGATGAGCTCATTCCTGACCAGCATAGCTTGGGGCGTTTCATACCCAAAGCAACTTTTAATCCTGCTTTGGATTTGGTTGTACATTTTGACCTGAAGCCTGATAATAGTAAGTTGAATCACCACAAATCTACTCAAAGGTTTATGTCCAAAGATTGCGCTGAGAAATGTAGTCTTTGGTGTAGACAACCGAACAGGATGTACACATCCCCATACGCAGACCTGGAAGGTAAGTTACCTGACTTTGTGTGACTGTTTGATTGCATCTGTACACAGAACAACCAAATACTAACCACTAACTTACCTGCAGATCGGTGATTTTGGCTTAGCACAAGAGTTCGATAGAAATGGATTTAACCAACCCGCTGGCACAGGGTGGCAGGGGCCAGAGTCTGGGACCTATGTGGCGAACGATATTCACCTTCGCCACATTGGGACTGAAGGATTTTTCTGCCCTGTTAGTATTTTCTCGACTAGAGGAGGCGAGGAAAGCACAATACCGGGGACGTGAGGCTGATATACTGTTTTCATTTAGGAACAATTCTCGCCGAGGTGGAACTATGCGGATTATCGGGCTTCGAGTCTCTGTGCTAAGTATGGGCGGAAGACGAATGTTTGGGGAGTAGGACAGATCATGTACGAGTAAGTGAAAAACCAACAGACCCCATAAAACCTATGATCCGATCCATCCTGAAAGGTATCGCCCACTCCTAGACTTGCCTGTTTCGATCAAGGTCTTCCAGAAGCCTACTACCCATTCAATCCCTCAGGTCTTACCGCTCCCCACACACCATTCAGTATTGGCAATACTGCAGCCAAAGGCATATTGTACGGCACACATTTACGCGCTACACCCTATTCAAACAGACTCAAAGACACAATTCACCAATGTCTCTATGAAGAGCCTCATCACCTACTGGACTTGATGAAACTCAAGACTAAGATTAAGATCGGTATTGCGATGTGTAGTGTACTTGGTGCTCAGCCGGAGGGATGGCATACTCTGGATTCTCCTGAGCCGAGGACGGCGTAAGTGATCTTTCCATGACTTCTTTCACAATCCTCATTTCTCCATGGATCTCGTTCTCACACTGACCTCGTCTCAAACTTCCACATTAATTTCTTTCATGAGATGGTGCGACTGTTATGTGATGGAGTAAAAGCTAACACAAGATCGATAGGGCAATGGCAAAAGTTGTTCCGCCACCTTCAAAACGATGCACACGAACCGTCAAAGCCTCCCCTGGTTCGACGCGATGCAGCAACTGGGTTACAGTCGATCCCGAGAATATGCGTCCTAGATGTGGAATGCATTACAACTTGATCAAGTTTCCGTGGCAGTGATTGCGAATCTTATTTCGCCGCTGGGAGTGTGAATTTGCGTGTGAGAAGATGTCTCGTATGCGATGATCATGAGGACTTCGAGATACTCAGAGGCATCACGACGGTCCTGTTCTCAGGGGCTCTTGACTGGTATCAGTCATCAAAGTCTGTAAGAGATCAATATATATCTCTTCCGAGCTCAGAATCACAACGGTCAATTTTAAGAGCAAGTGTGATAACTGCCAAGTTGTCCTGTTTACCAGAGTTCAGGGGTTTCGTCGCTAAGCGAGAGGAGAAGCCCCATGATGTTATTTCCACCACAAAAGGTACACCAGCCGAGTGCATGAGCTTATCATATATCGGGGCCATCACTTAAGCAGCTTTTTTGAATTCTCCCAAGTGGATTCTATACTAGATCGCCGAATGTCTATATCCACCCTCACGTCCCCCCTTTTCAACGGTGCGTAGTTGTGTGATGTTTACACCTGGAAGCTACGCACACCATGTCGCACAGTGAGGGTGAGAATATCAGAAACTACCAAGGACATGCTGAGTTCTAAGTTACTTTGCCTATTGAACAATGTTAAGTCATCTCGGAACTGATACATCGTTATAAAACAGATCCGCGAAAAGCCGAGCACACGATTCCTCTGCACATTAACATCATAACTTCTTTTGACTTTTTGATATCTAAAAGAGGGCTTTTCCTTACATCGGGTATGTCGGTCGTCACGGCAGCATCGCTTCAGGCAAGCCGGCTTCAACCCACAGTTTCGCAGGTAACTGCCCAAAAAGGGTAGAGTGTCAGCCACAAGTGTCACGCTACGTTTCTGTCAAACGCTTAGCAGCCGCCGGCTTCCCCAGAAACCAGATTTGTCCACTGGGATTTCGAAATCGAGATACGGAAAACAAACGCCGCAAGATATGACGTTCTTCTAACGAATTGCTAGCTGCAACCTGAACATGCAGGATCCAGATATCCTCAAACTGACGCATGGGATATTCTGGATCAACAACATGCATATCTATCTCTGCATAAAAGACTGTCAATCTGCCGTTTAGTTAATACTAAATGAGGCACCCGTAGCGGGAGCTATTCCACAACTCAGCTTCCGAGAGGACCGAAGTGGCAAGTAAAGTCGAGGGTTTTGAGCTTGACTTACTAGAACCGTTTCTTTTTCAACCTTTTTAAGTGCACTTGGGGTTTCGTCGAACTTTTGGACCCCAGTAGTCTGTTATCCTCCAGTTGTGGTGCGACTTCCTTGGATGCTTTCACGTAAAATTATCAACTCGGCTTGCGGCGAGGAGATCACAGATTCACAAGTCGGGGGAAGCTGCAAGTTGCCATCGTTTGTGGGGCTTCTCTAAAGAGCTGAGAGTATAAATGAGCTTCTACGAACTTAATATATTTGCAAGACTTATCCGATCCCAATCTCCCTAGATAGACAACCAAGCGTCAAATCAAAATAACCAGTACTCAAAATGAAGACCTCCATGTTCCTTGCTACGCTGTTCGCAGCCAACACTGCGCTCGCCCAAGGCGGAATCACCTGCAACGGTGACATTTTCAACAACTACTGCTGCGAAGGCGGCTCTTTTAGTGGGCCCGTTGTATCTTCCTTCCTCGGAAGTTTTCTCCACCCGCGATGCCTCTCGCTCCTCCGCCTTCGCCAGTCGGGACTCTTCTCGCTCAGCAGAACAATCTAGTCGTGAAGCTTCGATTACATCTGCTGTGAGCGGTGCAATAATTACTGCGAGGGCGGTGTTACATGGACGCGCTGTGACGACGGAGGTTCAGCCGGGTTTGACATGTATTGGGGATGCGGTGTCGTCGATTTCGGGGAATGGGGCGATTACGGGGGATTTTACGACGACGTATGGATCGGGTGGTATGCCGACTACGGCGACTGATTCTATGACGACTGAGTCTATGACTACTGACCCAAGTGCGACTGAGTCAACTGCAGGTGGTGCAGCAGCTGGTGAGTGTCTCTCCCAAATTCTTCTCTCCAGTAATGTTTTCTTGAACTCGGCTAAATTGTGGAAAGGAACAACATCAAGCTCGACTGCTGGCGCTGCTTACATGACTCAAGCTCCGATTCTGGCGATGGGAGCTGCTGCATTTGCATATGCTGCCATGTAAAATCATTTGTAAAGAAATGAAGGCGAGAAGGAATTCCACAACGGGGAGAAACAAATTGAGAAGGCCAGATGACTCCAAATTTCCTAGTGCAGTATCAAGAAGCACAATATACCTAGAGAGAAAGACTATGAAGTAGATATAACGTATTAGAACATGTAGAAAGAAAACTTCTATGCTCTGACCTACATTCAATTTTGATGTCCGCCAAGTGATAACTTACCACAGAGCGAATATGTCATCATCCTTCAAGTCTTCGCAGTACACCTCATCAACCCGACCAGCTCTTCTTCCATAATAGATATTTAGACCACTAAGCATCACAAAAAGCGCTTTGTAATGTGTTGAGATTTTGAGTGAAATGTTGAGTGTTTTGCACTTGATGTCCTCTCCGGAGGTGAGGAGTTCGAGATTAGGCACTTGATTCAGTTTTGTATGGTCCAGTGGCTTGAAAAGAGCCATCATAGATAGCATTGCGCGTGAACCTTATTTATGATTAGGACTCAAATTTTGCAGGATCTTTAGAGTCTCTCGTTGTTGTGCTAGACCAGCAGAAGGAGAGCAGAGTTTGGGCTGAACAGGCTCGAAAAGTGGCCATTTACCCACATTGCCAAGCTTAAACATGATTGGATATTCTGTCTTGAAACTGTCTCTTTTCTGATAGCTTTTGGTGTGAGTGTGAAAGTAAGCAAGCTAGCTACGAGTAAGGAAGCGCAACTCGGAGAAGATTGGTGAATATTTCGTAGTGCACACTCCTCGAAATTTATCTCGCTTAAAACAAAACAATCCGTTCGCAGCTCTCACTCATCCGATTTTAATTCCACCCCCACTTGCACTGACCACGGTACCAGTGATCCATCTTGCATCCCGACTGCACAGCATTCCTACCACATCCGCAACATCCTCAGGCTGACCGAATTTTGGAGATGACTGGAGAGTAATGAACTCCTCTTTGAAGACCTCCAGCATATCAGGTGGACACTTCATGATTGAGTCGGTTTGAGTGAGCCCGACCGTGACGGCATTTGCGGTTGTGCCTTCCATGAAGGAGAACTGATATTTATTAGTTCTGTAGAAATGAATCGAAAGGGACGAATGTGCCCCCGGACAATGAACGGAAAGCGTCTCACCTTCTTCTCCTTGCCACCGAATGCCATCGACCAAGTCCGACACAGCGACTCCCCCGCCGACTTCCCGGCCGCATACATCAGCTGTCCAGACCAGGGTTGTCTCGATCGCACAGACGAGATGTAAATGATTCTACTCTCAGGCTGGAACATCTTCCTCTTGATAAACTCCTCAACGATCAAAACAGGCGTTTGGATGTTACTAATCATGCTCTCTTGGATACTCTGAACCGTCAACTCTCCCAGCGCAGCATCACGAGCATCCGAGGCATTGTTTATGAATATATCGACTCGGCTGGAGAAAGTCTCGACGAGGGTGTCTGCAATTGTTTGAGCGCAATTTGGGGAGAGGATGCTGCAGCTGATGCCGAGAATCTTGACCTTGTGGGTTCTATTTGAGGCTTTGAAGTGATTGTCGATTTCTGCGTTCATGGAATTGATGAGGGCGATGCTTTCGATGGTTACACATGTGCCTAGGATTGAACAGCCTCGTGATGCGAGGTTCAGAGCAATCGCTCGACCGATTCCTCTTGAGGCCCCGGTGATTACGGCGACCTTGCCAGCAAGATCCTGTTCTCGAGTATGGAGAGTAGCCATGGTATGTAAATGTAAATTGTGAGTTGAAGTATATGTGAAGCTGTCTGGGCGTGCAGAGCTGTGAGGTATGTTAGCAGCCTGGTAGTGGACCTGGTGGACTTCACTGCTGATGACTAATTCGTATTAGCCGGATGCGAACCACGCTAATGTGGGATGTTCGCAAGCCAGGAGCAATATGATCCGTTCCACTGCGAACTTCAAAGTTTTGAAGTACAGACCAGACATTCAAAAATAGTTACTCACCAGTAGAGAGAACCATGGATTTGCCTCCAAGCGAGGTCGAAGATATCAATCTTTCCGACGATGTCTGCCCTACGTGCTACAACCTCGACACATCCTTGATCGTCCAGCTCAATCTCTATGTGTATCGAAACGATGAGGAGATAGAAGTGAAAGTGAGTCCAGAATCACTTCAGTCCTCAGTATGCAGGTGTGAAAGTTGCAGGGTGTTATGGAAGGGCATCACAATCAACTTCGCGAAGATTCGTAGAGAGCCTGGCAGAATCGTCGAACTTCGCCTGAGGTTCTTTTCTGGGCGTGCACTTCGGGTGGTCGCGGTTATGGATCAGGAAGATTGGGACGGAATTTTTGACCTCGAATTTTATACCATGGAAGGTATGCACTTCGCCCCCAAGTGAATATTGACTGGCACCACGAGACTGTACTATGCTGACCAGCCTGGCAGATGAGACTCCTGTATGGTCGGCATTCGGTATTGGCAGTGAAGCTCCAGCAGTGTTAGATGCCGACGTATGCGTTCAAAACTTGAAGACATGGCTTGGAACTTGTTTTGAGGACCACAGTGATTGTCGCCAGGAAAGGCCTTTTCATCCCCCTGGACGTCTTTTAGACCTTTCGTCTTTCTCGAGAGGTCATATCAGGCTTGTCAATTCTTCCCAAATGGAGGAGATCAGGTATGTTGCGCTCAGCCATTGTTGGGGTGCAACTCAACCGAAAACCACTACCAGAGCAAACCTTCATGAGCATGGCGTCCAAATACCCGTCCACGATCTTCCAAATACCTTTCGGGAAGCAGCCATAATTACAGTAGGACTTGACATCAGATATCTGTGGATAGATTCCTTGTGCATAGTTCAGGATGACCTAGGCGACTGGGAAACAGAGTCAGCAAAGATGGCTGCAGTATATGGCTTGTCATACGTAACTATCGCAGTACTTCACTCACCTGACAGTCATGGCGGTTGCTTTCTGACAAGATACTGGAGACATCCCCTTTGGAGGTGGCCTGACGACGTACCTGTTCAAAATGGATCTATACCCATTACTACACAGCGCGGAGATACAGTCTCTACGGTCATGACTCGAGTTGCACTTACAAGCGCACATGAGAACTTCTTTGGGCTGCCTGAAATGGACGCCCCTCTACAAAAGCGAGCATGGGCCTTACAAGAGCGCTTACTTGCACCGCGAACTCTCCTGATATACCCCGAGGAGCTTGTATGGGAATGCCGGACAACCGCATCTTGCGAGTGCCGGGGACTGCACATGGACAGAGACACTGGATCCTCCATTTACGCTCAGCAGATCGGGGAATTGAAAGCAATGATACAGCCTCGACAAAACCTGACAGTCACCGAAGCAGCCAGGAACTGGCTTCTAATCATCTCAGCTTATTCCACTCTGCGACTGACAAAGTACAGCGACACCCTGCCTGCATTGTCGGGCCTAGCGACACATTTCTCCCAATTCATGAAAAGCGAATACATGGGTGGATTGTGGAGTGGCGACTTTCCACGATCTCTGCTCTGGCGGGGCAGGCAACAAATGGAGTCTGCCGATGATAGCCTCCCCTCCTGGTCCTGGACAGCAGCACATTCTGGACTGGTCTCGATCGCTGGTATAACTTACGATAACTCTTTCTTGCAAGGAGACTTCGCTGCCGATTGTAATTTCAATTTTGTCTCTTTTGCAATGCCCTTGTCATCTTTATCAAGTTTCGCAAGCTGCCTCGGAGGAACACTAAGTGTTACCGGTGTAATGGTCGAAATAAGCAACCTTCTACACACCAAGCCGAGCAACATCTTTCAGAGGAAGCCAGTTTATGGGCGGAACGCATACCTTTTCTCCAATGATTACCATATAGACGCTATAGAAGCCGACGAAGTTTGGCAATGCTTTCTTCTTGGGTCTACCAGGACAGATTCCAGAACTCACTTTTTGGTGTTGAGACCCAGTGGTCAACCAGCAACATACAGACGTGTTGGGGTGTTGAATGTCGGCAGAAACAACGAGAGAGACGACTTGCTTGCTAGGGCAGAGAAAGTCACTATCGACATCATTTGAGGTGGGGTCCTAATCTGCAATCTGAGCAAACAAGACGTGCCCAAGCTTTTGGACAGGTTGGGAATCGACATTGTACAGAAATCTTTCACTGAGGAGGAGAGTGCCAGCCATGACAGTCAACCTTGGAAGACAACGAAATATGAACTCGGCATAACGATAAACATGCATCAGCAAAAACGGAACAAGAAAAGGAAACTTCGTAAAATAATAAAGTGCAGCGGAGAAGAGTATTATCTCAGCTGTGGCTGATGCTTCTGTACCTCGCTAGCTCAGGGGCTCCGCAGGGGTTGAGGCAGGGGAGCTCAAGGAGGCTTCAGCCATCACATGCTTCCCACGCTAGAAGAATTAGCCGAGAAGTAGTGCCTCTTGGCTCCTCCTAGCACAAAGTCAACCGTCACGCTGGTGAACCTTCATACCTCAGGTAAACTCTCACAGCGCTCAATCATATGCCAAAAGGAACATCACAAGTGTGTATCAATATTGTATCTATGCTTCTATTGATAAAGGTAAGTTTCATCATTCTTCTCTCGAAGATCCAAGGCGTCGCAACGTTCCGTTTGCCTTGTTTTTGTTCTTCAGGACACAGACAAGGGCATCCACCAGCCATCTCCGCTCAGTCGTCGTACCAGACCATATCTATCACATTCCCCTGCAAATCCGTCTCACACTTCCCGCTGCTTTAATCCTCATGCCCAGTCCATTCGCTGCACCAACCCGGGGAGCTGGGTTGATTGCCGCGAGGAGGCAGAAAGTCAGGCCATGTGACCTTGAGTCACGGGCTGAGGCACCATGTTCGCGTCAAGTGGGCTTCCTTGTTCCCTGCCCAAGTCGCGCCCAAACACGTCTCCCCGAGGCCGCCTTGAACACATCCCGTACTTTTGCCTGCAACCTAGGCATCCTTGGTGGGTGATGGGCTGCTGGTATATATAGCTGGCTCCTCTCCTTCTGGTCACTTCCTCTCTTTCATCCCATTTCTGAGGCTCTTCGACATTCGACAAATCGACAAATCGACAAATCGACAAATCGACGACAACTATCCATCAACACATATACGAGGATTTGGATGATACAGCCGTGCACTACCGACAAAACCATTCTACAACATCTACCGATTGAGTGTCTTTCACGACATTCCGACCGAGACATTAATTACCGTGAACGAGAATGTGGAGCAGAAACGTCAACAAATCACAGACAGAGAGTTTCTCGAGGAGTCGGCGAGGCACAAAGAAGTCTTCCTTTCGAGAACATGCAGTGTCGAAAAATCGAACGGAGAGATCAACTCGCAGACCCCCGACCGAGGAATCAAACCCGACAAGCAGGTAAGCAATTCATCCCAGCCTTCCTTGCAAACAAATCGTACGGTCGCTAACTTTCTTCCGCACAGTACCCTGACCTCCTCGATTATCACACTCGTCGTCGGACGCGAACAACGGCTCTTCGCAGCACACGAAGATGTCCTCTGCATATCCCCATTTTTCCAAGCTGCATGCCGCGGACAGTTCATGGAAGCAGCATCTGCGAAACGCATCTCCCTGCCTGACGAAGAACCCGAGATCTTCTCTTCTGTCCTCGAATACCTCTACAAAGGTGATTATCATCCTCGGCTCATACACAATAAGAGGAAGAACTCGTGGGAGCTAGAGACCGGTGATGGTAGTGCTGGAAGTGTGGAAAGCACAGTATATCATCACGGCGTTGATGGAGAGTTGTTGAAAGATACAGTCATCTATTGTACGGCGGAGAAATACGGATTAGATGAGTTGAAGAGAGTTGCGTTGCGGAAGCAAGGTCTTCGTAAGTCTCCCCAGTTTATACCTTCCTCGCACTTGACGTCAACCATCGCTCTATGATATCTAAATTCAAACCATTATCCACTGCCTCGTATAGTCGAAATCGAAAGCTAATAATCACTTCAACAGAATCCGGCATTCAATGCAGCACCATCTTATCATCCGCTCGCTACGCCTACGCCAACACACCCGACACCGACTCGAAGCTTCGAGCACACTACCTCGCCCTTATAATCCGTAGCCGCGGCACATTCAAGCGTAGTGGTACCATGCAGATGGAGATGCACGCCGGCGGGTCCCAGCTATTCTTCGATCTCTTCGTTGCATTGTGCAATCATGTCGATGATGTTGCGTCGATCGCGTAAGTCTTCTATCTTCTCCCGCTCAGCCTCAAACCAACCTCAATAGTGACTCTTCATCTTGTGACTATGTACTGACGAGTAATAGTGGCTCACCTCGCAGTGTGCGGACTCATCACTGATGACTCGGACATCCCATGACCTGTTCCGTGATTCTCTCCTCAGGCTCATCTCCTTATCTCCTAATCACGAATCTCCCATGGCTTGGCTTCGTACTCTCCTTGCAACATACACGATAAAGTACATTTGGCGAACGGGTTTGACGAATTTGATTTGATACCAGGCGTTTGGAGATTGGCTCGCTTTGCTTCGCCCTACATTACGGATCCTCACAACACAACACTCAACAACCATACTTGTATCACTACTCTTCTAAATTGGCGGATAATTGTGTTCTCTGTTTATCGTTTGATGTTTTGGCCAGTCTGGTTGTGTTTCCATCTCGTCGCTGTATTTTCCTTTCTTGCTTTGCTGTTCCACCACTTGTTTTGCTGCTTGTCTCTCACCATCTCCTCTGGCGTCAGGTGTCCGGTTCATTCATTTTACACATTACATTCTCATTACTATCTATCCTCCCGTGCTCACTACACAGTCGAGTTGAATCATTTCATATCATGTCGAGTCGGGTCAGTCCATCCATCAGTATTCAGCCAGCCACCAACCAAGAAAAGCAGGACGATCGATCAGAATGCGCGCCATTTGTATTATTTATTTCTCTGTATCTCATATTTGATGGCATATTCTTATTTCCTGTATTTGACAGACAGATCTTAAATCTCAAATCTCAGATCTTGAGGTTTTGGCATGTTACATTCAGGCTTATTTGCGAGGCAGAAGCCGAGATGGAGGTGGAAGCCGAATATCAAAATTGCAAGTAGATACATATTTTTGCAAATGAGAAAGACGCTGGATTTCTGAGCGAGAAAGCATGTAAGAGAGCCAGAAAGTGAGATTGCGAGAAGTCGAGGGCGAGATATTAGGCAGAGTATTTTTTTTCAAGAGAAGAATGGAAGAGAATTGGGCAGAATGCAAGAAAGGCGAGAGAGATAGGAATTTCTGATAGGCTGGCCATATCAATCAATATCACATCAATACAGAGATTTTGCTGGGTTTGAGTATATCTTCATTTTTTCAGCGGATTTCCATTTAGGGGAAAATGACAAACTTTGAAAATCTGTAAAATTTCAGGTATGTGAGCGGGAAAGGGTAAATCAGATCTCACAAAAAACCACAAAAATCATCACCAGAGACAAAAGAAAGCCTCATTAATCATGCATTCTTACGCTCAAACCTCCTTATTAAACCATATCAGCTAAAGTGCTTGCATTAGCCTCCCCCCCCCTCTCTTCCCTCCTCATCCTTCACAACCTCATCCCTGAAAGTGCCCTGCCCAAAAACAAAATTCGCCACCCCCTCAAACTTAACCTTGAGGTTCAGCCTCCTTCCAACCTAGCTTAGATGCCCCAAGATAGCTCCAAACCCTTACATACGAGCCCTGCTAGGCCAGGGAACAAGAAATGTTTGAGGGGAGGTGATTCGTCAATGGCTGGAGCTCCAACGGAGAGGGGGACCGTGCCGTGTGAGTCACGGCTGGTGGGTGGGTGGATGGGGTGCAGTACGGTGCTGCTTTTGCGAGGGTTGGGGTTGTGGTGTGGTGTGGTGTTGGACTGGGGGTATGAGGAGGGTGAGGACTGGTGCGGGAGCGTGAGTGAGGTGGAGTGGAGTGGAGTGGAGTGGAGTGTTCATCGTGGTGAGTGGATGGGTTCGGTTGGGATGTTGTTGGGGTTGTGAAAGGGGTATTCTTGGTGCAGCAGTGCGTTTGTGTTTTGAGGTGTTCCATGGTGTGAGTGTGAGTGTGGGTGAATGAGTAGACAAGGCTGCTGACTGGTGCCGTAGTGGATGTGTAGATGGAAAGGTTCACCGAAGGGATCATCTGTGACTTGCTGGTTTTAATCGATCGGCTGGATTCGGAAGTGAGGAGACGAGGCGAGACATGTGAAGGCAAGATATTGTGTGGTGCTCGTCAGCGTATGGTTGGGTATAATATAGTACATATGACTGATTTGATGCTGAGCAATAGCAAGTCCCTCCTCGGGAATAGCAGCATGAAGAGGAAAACGGCCCAAGCTGCACAAAAGCGGAATGCGAGATACCGAAAGACTGGTTTGGATGTTGTGGCCTGGTTTGTGATAGGGAGTGATGTGGTGGCAAATAGCTGGTGGGGACCCAACTCAAACACCAGTGCCGGGGAAGGCTCCCCCTTTACTTAGAACGACAATGCCGCGCTCGCGGGCTATGTATCCTTTCATTAGGTTCTGTGAGTGGTAGATTAGCGATGGACGTGTGAAAGAAATTATTGAATCGGGTTTGGGTAGGATGTGACATGCTGTGCAGACCAGTGCGGGATTGTGAATGTAGGTGAAGGAGGCAGTTTAGGCGAGCTGATAAGGGGCGTTGCCTGGCCAGGCTACTATCAAGAAAACAAACGGACCGAACCTCGATTTGATGAAAAAGGGGCTGCGACCGTGCAGCAAAATTGCTCACGACGCTTTGGATGACTGGTTTCGTTCAAGAAGAGGAAGCAGTTACCTTGTAAATCATGGTCGAGAGTAAACACTCCACCTCGTCGTTCTCCATCGTTTCCTTGCTTCCCAAACTGATCGCTGCTCCAAAATCGCTCACAGGAATTCTAGTCTTCCTGACAGGCGGTGCAGCCGGATCTTTTGAGTTCTCCTCGAAACCACCGAAGATGAATACTTTTCGAAGGAGGTTGCGCAAGGCGATATCTCGGCCGCGCTCGAGTGTTAGGTAGATGCGGCGCTTGGTAAATTCGTCTTCGCCTGCCACAAGAGCGGCATCGAAGCCTGCCAGATCGCCATTCTTGATGCAACGGGACAGTGGCAGGAAAAGGGCTTGCAGGCGTGGATAGGGTTCCAATAGAGCACTGCTTGGCAAGGTGTGGGCGGTGAGGAGGTGGCAGGGGATGAGGTAGGTGAGAATTAATCTGTGATGGGTCAGTTCTGGTTGGGCATTCCTAGTATGACTGCATTAAGATCGCTGCGGACTCACTCTTTGTTGCGGATCGAGTCCTTGTGGCACATTTGCCAGGCTTCAGTGAGATGTTTTTCAGCCTGGTACAGACCTTAGTATCTTGGCATTTCGGGACGGAGGCAGACAAACCTCCTCGTAAGCCTCCTCAAGAAAATATATGACTCCAACATAGTACTTGAATGTCACTTGATGTGCTAATGGAAAGGCATCTAACGTTGGCATGTCGCCTCGATATGCTTGGATTGCCTTGAGGATGTTCTTTGAGAGACTGACGGAGTTGAGTTTGAAGTACGTCTTGAAGAGGAGATTAATAATGTTGTAAATTCCCCATTTTCGTGATTCTTCGAGGGGTGCTCTACAGGTAGTTAGCCGTATGTATTGGTGGGAATTCGCGACAACTTTACCTGTCACTTAGACATATTGTAAAGATCCTGTTCAGATGTCTGGCTGCATCTTCTAACTTCTCGTTCTTCTCGGCCTCAGGGTTGAAATCATCAAAATTGGTGACTGATCCCAGTGTGCTTGCAGCGCCCTCATCTGCCTTGATGGCGAAGATCCTGATGTATTTGCCTGCCACGTACAGGCAGGGCACTGTCCAGGCTTCAAACCCGCAATTGGTGTAGCCCCTGATAAGAGCAATGGTCATGTCACGCCAAGATTCGTAGACCTTGACCCATGATACCTAAGGAAATTAGCTGAGATTCTCTAGACAGCTTCTGATCTTGTAGAGTCTAGTGTCACGTGACATATGTGTCGTTGATAATTACGTCTTGAAACCGCGCCTGAAGAGCCAACAGTGTGCTCTTCTGTTTCCCAATCGCCAGAGTCTTTTCTTGGGGGGTTCTGGGAAGCCTCGTACCTTTGAGCTCATCTCTGCAGCAGCTTCCGCCTTCAGTATCTCGCCAACGGCTTTCCAGTACGCGTGGTATACATCCACCCATCCATTGCCCTCCTCTGCTGGCAGTGTAAACGGAGAAGCATGATTGCTCATGATCCGATTCTTGAAATCCTTCTGGACATGTTGGAAGTTCGTACTGCGATAGAACCGATCGAGTCGGTCTGGATCTGAGGCTGGCGATATGGGAGAAAATGTCTGGGAGAGGTCATAGCCATTGCCTGCCTCATAGGCCGTCCTGAAATCGTTGAAAACCGCATCCATCTTGAATGTATGGTCAATTGTTTGCTGCGAATTTTGAGTTGTCAGGAAGTTGTTACGATGTCCCGTGACCTTGAATGCCTGGAATTTGAGGTTTCAAAACTGCTCCGAGGCCAGTCCGGTCAACTTGAAGGCATGGTAGGGCGTGACGACGGATTCGGGTTTCGTGATATAAGATCAAGACAAGAATTGATCAAACTATCTGCTGGATGGAAGTCTGCAAATGCTGTCCTTGTTCGCCCTTGCTGTTCGTTTGTTTGTTTGGGCCAAAAGACCATTTGATATTTGCCAAGCCCGCTAGCTGCAAGTTGTCTAGCGTCCCGCACGAGGGCAGCAATTCTGAAAACCCTACGTGGGCGAAATTCAAGACGAACTTCGCGACCAACTTCAACGACAACATCGACAACGACCACCGACATACAAAGTGAGTCCTTTACACCGCTCGAATCTATCGAAATCTGCTCAATTACTGACTACTCAAAGATGGGTAAGCTCTAGATTTTCTCTCTTCCTTCTGCCACTGGATCCGGATGACGGCGCAATTCGACTTTGAAGATGCGATGAAAATTCTGCCCACGACTACATGGCGCCAGGAAGAGCTGCAAGTTATCCCAAAGGCGATTTGATGGTGTTGGATGGTGGATTGACGGTTATGGAGCACAGCCGACAACGCACTGGACTGGAGAGGGCGAAATTGAAGAATTGGGAAGACGCATAGGAACTGGCACAATTCAGCCTCAACGTACAACACCTCGACGGACTTTGTAAAGAACACCAAATGCCGGACTGTGGGAATGGTGTCTGTCGATTACAAGCCCCGAGAATACCTGAATACCTACAGCATTGACAAGAAACATCCACGCACCCCCACCAAGATACCGAGGAATCTGGATAGAATGGGAAATGAATAGCAGGCTAACACACCACCTCAGGTCGTCTTACGGAATATCAGGTCATTGGCCGCCATCTGCCATCTGAGGCAAACCCGGCACCAAAGTTGTACCGAATGAGAATCTTTGCACCCAACACCGTGGTTGCAAAGTCTCGTTTCTGGTACTTCTTGATGAAGCTCCGCAAAGTCAAGAAGGCGAACGGAGAGATCGTCAGCTTGAACGTCGTATGTACCTCCGAAATGCGACAGATTACATGGATATTGATAATTTCTACAGATCCACGAGAAGCGCCCAATGAAGGTCAAGAACTTCGGTATCTGGATCCGATACGATTCTCGTTCTGGTACCCACAACATGTACAAGGAGTACCGTGAGATGTCAAGAACCGATGCTGTTGAGTCTATGTACCAAGATATGGCTGCCAGACATCGCTCCCGTTTCCGTTCCGTTCACGTACGCTCACAAAAATCCGCCTTCCAACCACACAAAATGCTAACAAATCCCAGATCCTCAAGGTCGTCGAGCTCGAGAAGACCGATGATGTCAAGCGCCCATACATCAAGCAACTCCTCACCAAGGACCTCAAATTCCCCCTTCCTCACCGCGTTTCCAAGGCTACTGGCAAGAAGATCTTTTCCGGAAGCAGACCATCGACTTTCTACTGAGTGGGTTGGCTGGGGCTGGTTGGGTGATAAGTTATTTGGCTTGGGACGGAATCTGGTGTTGCACTGCATAAAGGGTTGTTTTCTAGCCTTTGCCCGTTGAGCCAGATTACGAAATGGCAATGAATAAGCAAAATCTTGAAGCATTGCATGCGACTGCTGTGAGATTTGTACTTTGTGGTTGCATTTGTGGTCCCCCCAAATTATTTTGGTAGCGAAGAGGCAACCATGCTCGTATCAATTGACTTGGATAAACCACTCTGAGCACTTCTCTAGCAGTTGATATTCCCCACCTAGGGTCTGCTGAAGGTTTTAGGAGGTCGTGGAGCGGTCGAAACCAGGATGTTCAAAAAGTTGGGCCAAGTGGTGTTTATCAAAAGCTAGATTCTCTCTCGCCAAATTGCAACTGCTTTCCACTACAACCTACGATTTCAGCCACTTATGCTAAGTAGCTATTCCTCTGTTTCCTTCGTTTTATTGAGTCTTCTCGGCTGCTCTCAGCCATCATGTCCATTCACGACTCGCGTATACGAATTTTTGCCTGTAGTTTACAACTTACCATTCTCCTCATTCGCCTTCTGACGATCGATCTCTGGCTTGGCAGCGAACCGTTTCTCATCCCTGGAAGCTCCGACTGGTTATGCTTGAGGTGCTAACGGGGTTTTCTTTGCCATGATTTCAGCATCTTCAGTGGGATAGCTGAATGTTCTGCGAAATCTCGAGGTGGCCCTCGAAAGAGAATGAAGTAAAGATAGAAAAGGAAGAGCATGAGTATTGAATCAAGGACGATCGGTGAGCCCGTCCTAGCAGACGAAGAGATTGATAAAGCGTGTTACAAGTGCACTATCTGAGGTAGCTATTCTAAATGATCACAATCTCTCTCCCAGCTGCCTGAGCGCTTACCTTGAAACGCGATTACAGCCCGTTCGAAGCCAGGAAGTCAGTTATCAGCCCAAACGCTCCCGTAGCATTGAAAGCGAAATTCAATCCATGCCCAGCCCCCGGGTAGCTGACGGCTTTGAACGCTTTCGCTTTCACCTTATGGAAAATCTCTTTGGCAGGGTGCTCAATCACTTCATCGCACCTACGCCGTTATCAATTTTCAAGCTCTAGTAGATGGTGTAAGTCTATATTAGCTTACTGTCCAGTACAAAAGATTAGATCGAACTGTCCTGCGATGACCTGCTCCCGGTCAGCGTACGTTCACGAGACGTGTGACACGAGAATTTACCATAGCTGGGCCTGTAAAATTCAGAGGTGCTAGATTAAGCAGTCCTCCGGAGATGGCTTCATTGATGCCGAATGGCTGTCGGTTTCGGTGTGCATATTTGGCGATACTTACTTCGTAATCTGGAGCTTTAAAGAACCTGCTTTGACTTAGTCTTGGATACGAAATGGGCAGGTACTCGCTTACGCGTTCACATTCGAGTAAATATCCGTCGGCGTCAGATATCCCTGCGAGGTTTCTGGTGAGTCGATGTACTTCATACCTAGCAAAAGAGCGCTTACAGAGTCTAGTGATTTCCATTTTGGACTCTCTCCAGATGCAATACGCGGCTGGAATGCTTCCAAGAACCCAGCGCCGTTCGTCCCATTGAAGCTGAAACCTACTTTCTGTAAGGAATATCGTTTTTGAAGAAATCACCATAATTACCAGTTAAGATCAATCCCTCTGCAATTAAAGGCTTCGCAGTAACGAGGGCTGCCGAGAGCACACTTCCGAAACTGTGTCCCACCAGGACGAGAGATTTTGGCGATCCAAGTGCCCCGATATCTTTTCCAGCTCGTACAGACGTAGCAAGCTCTTCCAATATGGCAATCTGGATAGATGCTTGGTTGACGTAGCCGGAAACTCTGATCTCATGTAAGCTACAGTTGTTGGAATGGACTCATTGGACTCACAGAGTAGACTTCCCGACGCCCAGTCGATCATAGTAGAAGACTGAATATCCTCGCGCGATCGCCCAATCTACGAAGCTGTACTTCTCTTTGGACACCTCCGGGTCCCAGTAACTATTTCATGGTCAACTACATACATCACCGATGTTCAATAATAAGACGGTCTCACCTTCGATCGAAATTCAAACCATGGCTTAGGAGTAAGACAATTCCACTCGCACCCTTCGTTGGGGTACAGAAAGTCGCCGAGATGGTATATGACGCAGTTGTCAACACCGGTGCTGAACTCGAGTCGTAGGGATTGAACGAGGTAGCTGCCGTTCTGCTATTGATGTTGCTGATGAAATCCACGACATCAAAGTTCGTCTCGAACTTCTTACCCCAGACGAGATTGACGGATGTTGGTGTAACAGGGATCTCGTAATCCGTGCAAATCTTTTTGTGAGAATATGTAGCAATGGAATTAGAGGCAAGAAGCGCTGTGCCCAAGATGAGCTTGAGAAAGGAGTGCATGGTGAGCGATTTCAGGATAGGATACCGAATATCAGTACTGGGTGTTGATAATTTACATGGTTGGGTACCTTTATACATTCAAACTTGACGGCGCGATGGTGTCTGCGGGCTGGTTACATTTCAAGAGTATGCAGCTGCACAGTGCACAGTCAGATAAGCAAGAGCCTATTCAGTATGATGACAAAGACGCCATGAAATCCAGCGAAGTCTCGTGAGCCTGGTGTTCAGTAATCTTGAACGAATTCTCAGTTGACGCGACAAATTTGAGATGTCCGTAGCTGAAGTGACTGTATGTGAACATACCTATCAAGCAATATTTATGCGGGCTGGATTTCTAAGATCGATTAGGATACCGACAGAACTTGACACTAACTTGGAGTTGGGGACATGTTGCACTGGTAATCGCAGCCCAACGCATACACGTATGGTTTACATAATGAGAGAAAATTGTACCCTGCCCGGGACGACCTGCAGGAACAAGTAAATTGGTCTGTTTCGGAGATTATTCAGCTCTTGCCTCACTGTGCAACATACAGGAGATACCTACTCAGCTACTACCTACTATCAAGGAGTCTGTCTGAATGGGAAACAAATGAGGCCCCCAATAGAACGATTTTAATCAAACATAGCCAATAGCTATGGACATTGCCTTTTGATGGATTCGCGTCCAGGAACAAGCACTTCTTGTCTCGCTTAAATTCAGAGGCAGGGTAATGCCAAGATTCAGAGTCAACAATGCGCCAGCTAAATCACCTAGGGAGCTTTTCACAAGTTTTGTAATTTTTGATACACCTGATAATCAGTGGCATAGTACAATTAAGTAGGTGTACGTTGAACTATATCTTGAGCGACATGGTTTTGGAGCTGGACAATGGCAACCCATCAATATCTAACCAAAACCCCGTCATCCACTAATCAGCGGCGAATGAAGCTCGAGCGTAATATTTTAAATAGCGACAAAGTAACATAAAACGAAGTAACAAATGCGGCACTTTTAGCTCAAGAGTTGGAAACGCAATGACAGAACCTCCAGTCTAAGTGATCGGCAGCGGAGGAGCAATGGCAATTGCTTGCATCGTGATGGCATCAACGTCCGTAGCAGCAGTGTTATTCGTCAAGATCGCAAAAGCCGTTCCTTGAAGTTGAGAAGGAACTTCTGCCCATCCATGCCCATCTGAAGTTACCCTGAGAGGCACAAACGCGGGCTTATTGGCTTGATTCAGCCACCCAATAAACAGCTTATCCTGGGGTCCTATAATCTGCGTTGAGTTGAAAGTGAAATCAAATCTGGTAGGTCGACGACGAGGCGCAAATTCACCGTAGTTGAATCCATTGACTTTCATCTGGGGAATGAGACCAATTGGAGGGACAATTTTGCATGTTTCAGGGATGACGAATGGCTGGAAGAGGTTGTAAACAAGTCTGCCGGAAAGTGGCGTATCGAAAGCAGCTACATTGGGGATCTGTTTGTTCGTAATGCGGAAGAAAGCATCGTGGCGTGCCTCGACTGCAAGAATAGCTGCAATGTTGCGAACAGGCTTGGCTTCGTTTCGAGCAAATGTATCGGCCAATGCAATGGCGCCGCCAATTCCGATGCTGGTAATGAGATGGCCAAGTGCGAGGAACTCATCGAGTCCAGATACTGGGAAATCGTATTTACAACGTGGGAAAACAGTTCCATTGAAGTGCTTGACAACGCCTTCAGCAGTCTCAACATGAACTTCTTCATCTGCAGCGATCTTCTCGATGACAGTGTCGATGGCGACAGGGAATTTTGGCATTTTGGGCCACAGCGACGTGATATTTCGCAAACCTTCTTCAAAGAAAGCAGCTTCGAGATTTTCGTTGTAGCCTGCAAGCTGAAATGCAGCTAATGTAGCTGGTGTGAGAGTTGGAGGAAGAGGTCCGTTCGGTGGTCCACCACCAGCAATCTCGTCGAAAGTCTGATTGCCTGGAGGGAAAGTATATGGATGAGTAGAGGCTACAATAGCAAACAAAAACCAGGAAAGGTGTGATCTGTGCATGATGTTGAGTTGTTGATCGTAATGTTCGTAGAGGACTTGTGAGAGTTGCTTGTCACAAAGTCTTAAATATTGTCCTGAGAGACTTCCTTTATATCAGTTTCCTCAACAAAATAGATATCATTGGAGCAGGGCATATTCTGAAGGAGACATAGCTATCGCATTCAAAAAGTGAATCCGAGACGAAGATGATTTTTAATAGGCAACAGGAAGACTGCATACTGTAGAACGTAATCGTACAGAGGCACAGTTACCACGACCTTGGTCTTAACGAAAGCGATCCCAAAGTAATTCGAAAGTAATCTTCTAATTTGATCCCATATGCCAGACCAGTGCTAAATAGTATCGACCTCTATTCCCGGCTACTGAATATTTCTCTGAAAAAGGCACGTGAGATCGTTACGACGCAATGAATCCGAGAGTGCGCAGTCAAGTAAGCATAAAAGATCGCACATTTTCTGCGACATGTCATGCTGACATGAGAGGTTGTATCCCATACGACATTGCTCTCCCATATCTGGTTCCACTCGAAAATCATTATCTTTGAAGAGCACAGCGAAAGCTTCTCATAATAACTCTACTCGTAAGAGGTTCCGAGACATCATACGTCTCCATCGATCATATGTCATGTTCCTCTGGTTAGATTTCGCTCCCTTTAGAAGTTCCAAATGCTGCATCATACGATGCTTCTCTCAGGGGAAATTCAGTGTCACTTGAAGCCCGTATGTTTCCCAATCAAGAAAGGGGCTTGGCCGAGACCAGGTCACGACCATATTGTTGGACTTAAATGCGCTCAACATCTTCCCACCACCACCAACTCTATTTATGATCTAAATCGAGTGCTTGTTTCTTGATTTCCAAACTTCCCTCATCCATAGTAGGTTCCTTTGTAATCACATAGGCGTACGGTAGCAACTCATCCATGTCGACTGTGACGAACTCGCCCGCTGGATCCCGAACAATCACTCTGATTCCTGGATAGTAATCGAGCATCATTTGTCTACATCTTCCACACGGACTAATCACCCCTCGGTCATCATTTGCGACAGCTACGCAGGCAGCCATCGTCTCCATCTTCCCATCGGGCCCTTCGAGACCCGGGGAGGAGGCCGAGCCAACACCGGCGGCTGCTGCATTGCCGAAGGCGACATTCTCGGCACAAGGTCCGCCGGAGAAGTGATAGACATTGACACCTGTGAAGACACGGCCGGCTGTCTATGGATTGATTAGTTGGGTAGTTGTTTTGTCTTATTCAACGTACCGACAGCGCTGCGCATCCTACTGTGTGATCCATGCCTTTTTCGCCGGATGGGAAGCGGGGTACGGCATCGATTGTTGCTGTTGCCGTTGCTATGAGAGTAGCTTCAGCTGTAGTCAGAGGTCGAGGCATTCTGAACAGTAATTCGAGCTTCTCAGAATCAATATTTTTTGAAGACGAACGTTGAAAAGAACAAAGTCGGTCTCAAAGTGTACCTCAGTAGTTGATTGCTTGGCCGATGTCAGGTGACTCTATTACCGTTCTCGAGATGGCCAGCTCATTCGCTCCTTTGTGGCGGACAGGACGTACATATCTACGCATACGGCTGCTAGATTCTCAAAGCGGATTGTGTATATGTATGTTTTCTCCGGCTTTATTACAATAAATTTTGCGGCCAATTGACTCACTCGGTGAACTAATGCCCCCACTCTTGGCAGGACATCAACCTCTCAAATCAGCCCTCCATCACACTTCATAAACCCATTTCCTTGTACGCTATCCCACAGCCATATAGTACATCGCTCATTCCTCTTGATGTGTCCAAACATGATACTACATCACTTTCGTCGTTTACATGACCGCTCGTACTCCTCACCACCCTCGTCATCTTCCTCTATCAGAGTCAGCGTCTCATTGCTTGACAGGATCAAAATACTTACTAACTCGCTTTCTCTTCTTACACGAAAATTCTCTCGAGCCTTGTGTGACTGGCTGTGATGCAAAAGGTTTCTCGTTTGTTGCGTCGAAGACTGGTAATGGTACAGCACTGTCTTCAGAATGGTTCTCGTCATCCCAAGGGAGAAGCTCTTCACCCTCAATGCAGACTGTAATTTCACTTAGAACATCAAATACCGAGTTCGGAGTTATGAACAACTTACTCAAGGCTCCTTTATATTCCCAGAACTCTCTCTCGCTCTCGCTTTGACATGTCGCCGTCGTGTCCTTGTCTCCGTCCGCTCCCTTTTCATTCTCTTGCTGCTGCTCTTTCATGACTCCCAATTCAGGCACCTCTCTCCCTTTCTTATAAACTCTACTATTATTCAAACAAATTCCCGTAATATTGACTTCCTCTTCGCCCATAAACTCCTAAAAGACATACTTCTCCAAGTCAAATCCATCTGTAATGTTCCTGCAGCGATAAACCATTTCCCCATCCTTTCGAACAACCAATTTCGGATCGGTATACGGAAACTTCGGGTTGGCCAGCCATGACCCCAAACTTTTATCACGATGCAGTAGCTTCTTCACGTGCTTAAGAGCAACAACTCTTGACTCTGCACAAGCGGCGAGATTTGTGTAAGGAGATGGATTCTTGCCCATGAAGTCGTTGATGATTGTACCGTCGTACTTGGTAGGTACTCCGTAACCGAAGAAAGTGTCGCGTGGCTGTGATAGGATGAGGTGTGCTAGACATTTGATGTAATGTTTGGTGTGGTGGGATTTGGGTGATGGAAGCGAGTCCTCCCATATGGAGTGTCGAAGCTCGAAAGGCAAGCGAGGAAAGCCGAGGAATGATGTTGACATTTTGACTGTGGCAGGGACTATGTTGTCAGGTGTTCTGGGTGCGAAAATGGAAGAAGTCGAAGTTTTGCGAGAGATCTGAAGAGCTAGTGTCGTGACTCTTGCCTGTGGTGCCTTTTCGCGGCTTTGTTATTGTCTCGCTTAGTGTTGTGTTTCGTGACTGGTGGTAAAGTTGCGATAGGTCTTGGCAATGTGGTTGACAGTATGAATGTTTCATTACTCAGCGTACTTAGATCTATAAAAGTATAAGCTGGCTACATATCCAAGTCAAGCTTCGAACAAGTCATTTTCAGTTTGGATTTAGGAAAATGCGCTCAGCGGACCACGTGCAGGGCTCCCTGACCGCCGTGTTGAGAAGCCGGCTTGATTGGGAATATCCAATAGGATCGAACTGGGACACGGAGAACATAAAATGGCTGCATGGGCAGGCAAAAGAGGTTTGGATATTGTTGACTGAAGGTTTTAATTCTGCAGCAAATCTTCTTCATCACCATATTCATCATCCTCACTACCCTCTTCTTCACCCTCTTCTTCTTCATCATCTTCACCACGAATAAAAGGAACAAATCTAAAATCAACGAAACTGATACCACCGCCCTCAACTTCAACCATGAACTGCAAACTTAGAACACCTTGCTCATCACCTCGAACGCTGACCTTGCTGGCTAATCTCATAGCTTCAGCTGCGGACTTGATCATTTCGAACTTATAGCTCTGAGTCCACTTCTCAGCCACGGTAAAAGTCTCAAGCAATTCTCTGCCCTTGGCAAACTCGACACTTGCGCTGCCAAGAGGACCAACAGCTGATAGACTTAAGTACGGCGCACCAGGATGAGCAGTAAGGTCAAGACGTGTTGGAGAAGTAGCACTCAGCTCGGAAACAGCATCGAAAAGCCAGCGTGCTTGCATAATGATTTTGACTTGCATGGCGTCTCGTTGGAACGGGATTTCTTCGGGATTTTCGGGCTCGTAAGTGTTGAGATTGCATGTGGTCGTAACTCCTGATTCTTCCAGTATGATGCTGAAGGGCGACCCAATGCCAGCGTATGATAGTCGACAGACACCAGCCATTCCGAGAGCTTGGTTGCTGAATGCATTGGGACGACCTGGTCGTATGTTGCTGGAGTATCCGTCGTTATCAGACTTTAGGAATCGTGCATTTGCAGGATCTGCTGCGCCGAAAATCTGGAGAGTTTCGAGGAGCGCTGCAAGAGAAATTTGGAAATTGGGATATTCGGGAGCTTCGGCTTCAGTATCGTCTGCTACAGCTTCTGGTTCTGGTAGACTGCAATTGAATGTGGTAAAGAGAGCTTTGTCGAGGAAGACGATTCCTGGAGGTGTTAGTAGACGTTGATGTAAAGCAGCAGCACGACCAACCTTGCATAACACGAGACTCCTCAACAGCAAAGCGTATGCCTTCCGGACTGATCTGAACTTGTGCCTTGGGTGCAAATCGAATGCAATTGAGTAACTGGAAGAGCTGTCTAGCCGAGCTGGAAACGGATTTGAAGATAGGTGGACCGTTGTCTTGCCCGCCAATGGTAGACATGTTTCTGGGAAAGGTATGAAGATGGTGTCTGATTGAAAGGTAATGTCACAAGGTCTTAAGCGTGCTGAACTCCTCTGCTTTTATTGCTCCAACTATTGTACAGGTTTTATGCGAGGGAAGGAAATTCGTTGAGATTTGACGACCGGTCTTCTTTATACATAGACGCCAACTGCGCAAATCATGTAAACTGCACCAAATCTACCTAATATTAGCGGTTGCAAATATGACTGGGGAAGTCCACGTACGCAATTGATAATGAAGCTGGGATTCCAACGAGGGGTATGTTGAGCACGGATCTATCTGCGGAGATAGTCAGTCATTGATTCAAGGTACTGCAACTTTGGGACGTACTCAGGCCAAAGTATCCAGTCAGAAGAAGGCCGAGGGATAACAGAGTGAAGCCAACGAAGAACTGACTATCCTTGCCGACAGATGGGACAAATGGGTTGCCGGCGGCACTCTCCCAGACCTGGTGCAGTGATGACTCCATAGACTTGGACTTTTGGATTGGGGGTCTTGGTGTTTTGCTGAAGGGTTGGGTCGAAAAATACGTCGCAAGTGGATGTGGGAGCCTGGATAGTCGCTGTCAACACTTGACAGCTTGTTGAAGACGCGAACTGGCCTCCCCAAAGCTACCAGGGTCGGCGAAACATATCCCCGAGATTTAAGCTCAACGCTAGAAAGAATGTGGATTGGCCTTCGGCGTTAGCCAAAAATAGTTTGAAGGTTCAACGACACATTGTGACATTTGCACGTTTGCTGTGGCAATCCCTTTTCTTCTGCTTCTCTCTTTGTTCTTACATCAGATCCTTTGTTCATGGTGTATCAAGACAACCAGGAATGTGCACGAGGCTAGAAATCAGCCTTGCTAGCGTTTTCGCTAATTCTGATTCCTAATCCGGGGCACGTCCGCCTCCACTTTCAGTGACTTCACTCCTGATGTCCAGATTCATCCAGGACAATCAACCCGCCACCACTGCCGCAAGCAGGCTGGAATAATTCCCCTCAATACCCCGAGGGTCTGCTAGCCATCGCGGTTTTATAATTTGCGCATCGCCCTTTCGTACTCTGCCGGCGCATCAGCATCTCCAGCTGACAACCTAATTCAGCGTCCCCTCACTGCCCAAGATCGTCACAGGACATTCAAACGATAATCCACTGCCACCACGGGCAAAGATGGGCCCGGCCAAGGAACTCAAGCGCAAGGCTACAGACGAGCCCAGCACACCGTCGGATAGCAAGAGAGTCAAGAAGTCGTCTACAGACCCCCCTGAAGAGCAAGGCGTACACCGGATACCTTTCCCAGAGAGACCCGCAGTAATTGAAGAACGAAATGGCGAGATCGAATTCCGAGTCGTCAATAATGACAATAAACGCGAAAGCTTGATCATCCTCACAGGCCTGAAGTGCATCTTTCAGAAACAGCTTCCCAAGATGCCCAAGGACTACATAGCGCGCCTGGTCTACGACCGCACGCATTTATCGATCGCGATTGTCAAGAAACCTTTGGAAGTTGTAGGAGGAATCACATATCGACCATTTCACAAGCAGCAGTTTGCAGAGATCGTATTCTGCGCCATATCCTCGGATCAACAAGTCAAAGGTTATGGAGCACATCTGATGTCGCATTTAAAGGACTATGTCAGAGCCACATCGAAAGTCATGCACTTCCTCACCTATGCCGATAACTACGCTATCGGATACTTCAAGAAGCAGGGATTTACAAAGGATATTACGTTGGAGAAGGAGAAGTGGATGGGATATATCAAGGATTATGAGGGTGGAACAATCATGCAGTGTTCTATGCTTCCACGGGTACGATATCTGGAGATGGGTCGTATGCTACTCAAGCAGAAAGAAGCAGTCCATGCCAAAATCAGAGCATTCAGCAAAAGCCATGTTGTCCATCAACCTCCCAAGGAATGGAAAACTGCTGTGGGGAAGATCGACCCCATGTCCATCCCTGCAATTCGCGAGTCTGGCTGGTCGCCCGATATGGACGAACTAGCTAGACAACCTCGCCACGGCCCCAACTACAACCAACTCCTCCATCTCCTGAACGACATGCAAAATCATGCTTCGGCATGGCCATTCAATCATCCTGTCAACTCGGAAGAAGTCCATGATTACTATGAGGTCATCAAGGAGCCTATGGATCTCAGTACCATGGAACGGAAACTTGAGGCGGACAACTATGCTACGCCAGAGGAGTTCATTAAGGATGCTAAGCTGGTGTTTGACAATTGTCGAAAGTACAATAATGAGACGACACCGTATGCCAAGAGTGCGAATAAGTTGGAGAAGTTCATGTGGCAGCAAATCAAGGCGATTCCAGAGTGGTCTCATCTGGAGCCGTAGATATATTGGAATGGTGGATGTTTGAAATGAGATAATTTCCATTGGAAGCGTGTATCAAATGATTGGAGTTGTACGTCTTATGGATTCAGGGTGGGGATTGGTATTGTGGAAGAAAGAACTCTGCTCTAGCGATGGGCGTTGGGGATTCTCAACCTGGCATGGTTCTGGTGTTGTCTGTACTTGGAGCAGGCTGGCGTTTTGCTTTCGTTCATGCTGGTTCTCCCTGATCATATGAAAGATCGTTCAGGGCTTTATGAGCGATTTATGAAATGACAAAAGCAAGCATTCCTCCCTTCATTGAACCACTTCATAACCTGTGAGATCATGTTGCCCAATCCGTACACATCTCTACGGCAAGTGAACAAACGCGTCGAAATTGCACGCATGGAGTACTAGCTGTTTTGGCCTGTATGGCCTCCATAGGTAAGCTCCCAGATCGAATAGCGTGGTTTTCAAGAGCACAAAGAAAAAGCCCGTGGCATTCCGAGGTTTACCATGACTGTAACAACTCAGAACACAGCAATTCGATTGCTCTTCTTATGCTTGTCGGCTCACGGGCGATCCTGAGAATCGTCAAGACACTGATCTGAATGCAGGTGGATTTGTTGGGTCGAGGAACAATGGCACATTCCAGGCATGGATGGGACCATGCACGGGCACAAGTCCCACCACCAGTTCAAGCTACAGCCACACCTTTGCCTTTGCCTTTGCCCCGCCACAGCGATCAGCCGCTAAAGCACGTCTTGCGTGTGACGAATAAGAATGAGAGGGAGAAGAGCGGACTTCAACGCGCATCGCAACCTCGTCAACCTCACAGCCTTACCAACATTCAGTTGTCCTAGATCTTACCACCTCCGACACCAGCCATCTGACAACTCCATCACCACCTGTATCGCTTCTTCGAGATATCCGCAGGGGGAGCCGGGTACAAGTTCCTGAAGCCCTCTCCAGATTTAGCAAGTCCGGCAAGGGACCACCTCCTCAACCTGCAACCAGAGTGAGCATGCCTCCTCCCCTCCCCAGCCAGAAGGGCACTGGAAAGAAGGGACGAGATCGCCAGTCGCGCAGCCGCAATACTACCCCGAGCATTATGTCGCAGTCGGACCCTGAAGAGACAGCCTACCTTCGCATGCCCCTCCAGAACTTCCAGACTGACGAGGGAATCGACAATTATGGCAGCGGCAAGGACAAGGACATCCCCACCTCAAAAGAACTCGAGGCGCTTCTAGAGAGACTGCAGAAACTGGTTTCAATAGCAGATGCTAGAGGTACAATTGCCGATCGGGGCATGAGAACTGTTGTGGGCTTGCGCAAGGAAAGACAAGAGGAGATCGAGACGGAGCGTCGAGATGACGAGACAAAGGAGAGACTTAAGAAGGAGGCGCTGGATGAGGAGGAACGCGGTCGCAATAAGAAAGCTTCGAAGATGAAGAAGCGAAAGGATGCCAGTACTGCTAGAGAGGAAAGGCCCCTTGCGCATGGAGCTCATGGTCTGGCTGCTCAGGATGGTTCTCATCACCCAGGTGAGTTACTAGTGATTTCATTGTTCTCATTACCAGCCCTTGTGTTGGTCGGTCCATTGTTATAGCCTTCCTCAGTTGCGAGTTTCTTCATTTAAAAACAAACTCATTCACTAATACCTTGGTGCAGAGCGTTCATCTCCTTTAAATGACAAGAAGGTTGTAAGAAAGGCTTCGAGGGAAAGAGACAATGACTCTGCTAGCTCGTCGCTTTCACCGGTCGTTGCCACACCTACCGCCACTGGTATGGATATTGACAAAGACGATGATGACGATTCGAGCTCCGACGAACATCAACCTCCACCAGCACCCGCTATTCCACACCTTCAAACTTTTGGAGACGATCCCAACACTTTCCCAGATCCTACCCTCTACGAGATTCGTCCTGTCAGACCTGGAATGACCATTGCAGAGATGAATGAGCTTTACTCCGTTGCAGGCTTCCCAGAAGATGACCTGGAAGAATTCATCCCTGGCACACCTCCCGACAAGGATTTTAGTAACGCCAAGCCGACAAATCAAGTTCAATTTAATACCTTCGCTACCTATATCGAGCCTTACTTCCGTCACTTTACTGAAGAGGATTTGGCCTTCCTCAGAGAGAGAGGAGACCGTGTTACTCCTTTCGTTATCCCTCGTCGTGGGAAGAAGCATTACACTGAAGTCTGGGCAGAGGAGGATGGTGCACTTTCTGTCGACGGTCCCCAACAGGGTCGCGACAAGTTTCCTGCCAATCAAGCTCGTGGAGATATTGAGAACATGACCGATGCTATTGCCGAGACCGATCAGATTTCTGCTGGCCCCATCCTCTCGAGACTTCTTGCAACTATGCGACCAGAGCACCGTGCACCTGCTGAAGAGAAGACTAATGGAGTCAACGGTGATGTTGACATGAATGCTGATCTGAATGCCGATCTATTCGGCGAGCCCGTCCAGCCTCCTAACGAAGCCCCATCCGTTCCACCTGCTACCTTCATGCCCGATTCCAACACCGAAGCCTGGAAGAAGGCCACCCACCCAAAGCTCGATCACGCCCAAGTTGACGAGCGCATAAAGCAAGAACTACGCCATATTGGTTTCCTCCCTCCCGACACCGAACCCGACTACGATGCCCACTATGACGACGAAATCGCCGGGCGTCTCCGCTTCCTGCAAAGCGAACTCAAAGAAAAATGCATCATGAACGGCGCCCGCAAATCTCGCCTCATGGACCTCGTCAAAGAGCGCATGGCCCACCAAGAATTCAGCACCATCCGCGAAGATCTCGACGGCCAAGTCCAATCCGCCTACCTCAAACGCACGCGCACCATGGGGAAGAACAAAAAAGCCAAGCGACCTGGTGGCGCAGGTGGAGGGAGCCACGTCGTTGCTGGTGCGAGCAATGGGATGGCACGCCCTGGAATTGGCGATGTTACCAAGACAGTGATGGAGAGGCGCAAGAAGTGGATTGATACTATTGGGTGTGTGCTTGATAAGGATGCTAATCAGGTACGGCGGAATCGGGATCCGGATAGCTCGATTTTTAAGCAGGAGGAGATGGCGGAGTATATTCGGAAGGAGAAGGAGAGTTGGGATGAGGAGGTGGAGGAGGATTAAGTGAGCGAGCAACCGTGTGGAGAATGAGAATCATCAGATGAGATGAGATGCTTTGTATAAATAGTCTCTTCTTCGCTTTTGTGTTCGTAGGATTTTTGATACGAGTATGTTTATTACGATAAACATACATACGATGAACGAATCATTTGCAGCTATATTGATATTAATTCGGGACGTATGTAATGTACCTAGATAGGGCAGATCAGATAGCAGATAGATTGTAAATTATCTCTGAGGATAAGGCAGGCTATTTATTCGTCCCAGGTTGGATTGCTGCAATACAATGCAATAAAATATAATGCAATACAATACAATGCAATGCAATATCCACGAAACCAGCCTGCTTCGTCTTTCGTCTTCGAAGGAGAAAGAGAAAGAGATAGAGAAAGAGAAAAATAAATACAGTGGCAATGGCAAACTACAATGGCAAACTGCGATGGTGAAGATATGTCTATACAAAGATAAGATAGCGTGGTCGCTTCTTAGAAGAGGAAAGGGAGGAGGGAGGAGGGAGGAGGGAGGAGGGAGGAGGGGGTTTATGTTTGTGTTTGAGATTGAAATTGAGATTGGGATTGGGATTGGGATTGAGGAATGTTGGAGGAGTGGGGATAGTGTGTTGTTTAAGGTGATATATTGTTTGCGCTTATTCCCTATGATTTTCTACAGTGTGGGGGTTTAGTGGTTGTGGTGGAAAGAGATGGGTCGGAGTGAGGTGCGCGTGGATGTAGACGTGGATATGGATGATGGGGAGGGGGTTGGAATTGGAATGGTGTATGGCATAGGATTATGGTTGGACGAGAGGAATTGATAGCCAGTACAAATGTCAGGAGTATACTAGAGTACTACAGTAGAACAGTTCATCCATTCTGACATGAGGCGATGTTTAACATGGTCTGGAGGACGTGGTGTTGGGAGGGCATGAGTCGTGACGTTTAGCGAGAAATAAAACATTACGAGGCATTGAGCGTGAGTGGATGTAGAAATCCTAGTGATGCAGAAGAGAATAACAATGACATTGACAAGTTCAAGTTCAATAGCATTAGTCGAGGGAGAGACATGGATGGATTGAGAGAATCGTAATTGCATTTATAGCGAAGAGATTGATGAAGTATTTTAATGTAGTGGGAGGTGCAGATGGAGGGTCATAAAATGAAGATGTGAGTGGGGCTCCCTAAGAAATTGAAATATCGCCCCCATATTGCCGCGCTTAAACACAACGTACTAAAGGCCGTCAGATATGATTATAGGAAACTGAAAATAGAGAATGAAAACGATGAAAATAAACATGTAAAATGAAAATGGAGGAAGTATAGAAAGCATGAACGAGTAAACAAGGAGGCACTTAAGCGAGCGTTGGAGATGTTGACAAGAAGCAGGGTAGACAAATGGAAGAGGATAATTGATTGGGAAAGGTCAGTCCTAACGAGATGCCAGAGATCTGGAGTGATGGGTTAGACTGTGCTGATCTTTTGAGCCGAATTGGTGTTTTCCGGTGGCTGGGGATTGTTTGCTCGTCATTTGGCGGCCGCACAGTCTTGCTGTCTCGAGTGATGGAGTTGTTGCTCATGCTGGTGTTGTAGATAGCCATCATGATAATGATTAGCCTGAGATATCTTGCAATCTTTCCGATAGGGTTGTCGCACGTGGTCTGAGAAGTGAAGTTGACTGAGGCGTGAGGGATTCATGAGCAGTGGCTGGCTGATTTCGTGTCGAGCTGAAGGTCTTTCATCTGCTGATATCTGGTGCAGTATAGTTCGGGACGGAGCTGTTCTTGAACATGGATGGGTATCAGGTAGAGCTCTCCTGATGCTCCCCCTCTTCATTCACAGTTTCGGCAGTCTCGATGAGAATGTTCTGACCGGATTCGGAAGCTATGGAAGAAGAATCATCATCCGAACTCCAGACCTCACCAAGCCTCTCTAAATAACCCACTTTTGATTTGGCAATCAATGCGGGCGAGCTTCTTGATTTTATGAGTCTGAAAATATCACTGTACAGCTTGCTCCTGTATTTTGCCATAATAAGATGACCTTCTGTGACAAGAGCCCCGTGATCTAGTAGTGCAGTGCAGCGATGATAAAAGCCATAGGTGACTGCCTGTAAGAGTGCTTCTGAGGTTGCACCTGCTCCATTAGAGAGCAGATGTTCCAGGATAGCGTCATCTCGACAACGAGGTGTACACGCCCACAGAACATTGGCTTCTGAAAGTAGGCCTTGATCGCATTTTTCCAGGAGAAGCACTGTAACGGGGCCAGGTCTTCCGTGCTCATCAAATGAAGCCATGAGAACTGTTCCCGTGATAAGAGCACCGTGATCTACCAGGAGAGCGCAATGATCTATCCAGCCAGATCTTGCCGATTCCTCTAAAGCCTGTGATGTTGCCAATGCACCGTGCTTGAGAAGAATTCTGAGGATTTCATCGTCATTGCAATGAGCTCCGCAAGCCCAGTATACATCTTTTTCGGATACTCCAGCCTTGTGTTGGATCAGCAAGCGTAGAATGTCGATATTGCCATATTCACATGCTGCCGTCAAAGCCGTATAGTCAGGAATGCGATCACTCTTTATAGTCACATCTGCATTCCCGTGTACAATCAAGCGGTAGGCCATGGAATAGAGCCCATTTTGTGCCGCATACATTAGCGCAGTGACACCATTGTCATCCCTCTCGTCTACATTTATGAACTCCATATCCAATAATTGAGTTACAGCTGTGTGCAGATCTGACGAGGCTGCTTGATGCAGTATGTATCTGGACATTGTGTCTTTCGTCCATTCCGAAAGCAGCTGGCCGAATTCTGGTCGATCATACAAGTTCGTCGATATTATCATTGTGTTTGCGTTAACGGGAAAATTGAACTTGACGAACTTCCGGGATGCTTCAGCAGGGTCACCTCGACACCGTCGACATTGTAAGATTGCCGCAAGATGATCGGCGGTGTAGCTGAGCAGCCTTTCAATTTTCAGTAGAAGCTCTGGAGGAAGAACATCCTGATGATTCAAATGCTTATCGAAGTAATATGTCGAATAGAAAGCTAGAGGCTCGTTATATGAGCGCCCCCAGAGAAGCTTCATATTTGGGGATGGACCAGTCGAGAAATCATTGAGCTGCATGAAGCTGATACAGGAGCTTGCTATTTCCCGATGTGCTCTCTCTGCGACTGTGAAATATTTCGCTCGCAGTGCTTGCTGAGCTCCCGGTGTCGCAACCGCGGCCTGGAAGTATTCGATAACGGAGTAATGAATCGGATGCACGTACTCGTATTTGAACGTACCTAAGAGACCAATCGATAAGAGAAGGCCGCCACAGGAATCCAAGATAGCCTCCTTGTCGTAGGCGGAGTTTGCCAATTCCTTGTACTGCGTCATACCCTCTTGAATTGCCAACGCATCCACAAGCTCCTTAATTCTCATTGACCTTTTTGCATACATAACCCACATCAGGGCTTTCCGTGCCAGCTCTTGCAACGCAGGTGATTTTTGCTCAATCTTTTGAAGGATGCGGTCGTAAGTACTGTATAGATCGCGTGGTAGGGAGACAAGCGCCTTCAAAATGTCCTGGTCTCGTCGTTCTTCGCAGATTATATTAAGTTGGAGTTTCGCCCACAAAAACCTTGCCGCATCAGTAAACACACACATCGTTGGCGGCCATGAATACTTGCTCACATTCCGTTTGATTTTGACGAAAGTGCCTCCAGTATCGCATCTTTGAGATCAATTTTCTGTAATTTCAACTTCTTTTCGTGGATCCGTCGTGCAATTTCATCCTGGAGGAAGATCTTGATATCAGCATCCACGCATGTTGAATCAATTTCCACCACTGGGCATCCATCGAAAGTGTCCATGATATCTTCGTCCCTTCTACTTGTGACAAATACTTTGATCAATGCAGATTGCTCCTTGACTAGTCGCGCGATAAAAGCGAGTATCTCTTCCCGGCTGCCAGATTCGCATTCGTCGAGACCATCAACCACTACGAGTGCCTGGGAAGGGAATTCGCGAAGCAGATTGAAGAACTGAACTTCCAAGTCGTCGGATCTTGGAGATCTCGCATCACGATAATTTGTCTGAAAGAATGTCAAGACATCCCCTGGAACTTCTTTCAGCTTGGACGTAAGTTGACGTATTAAAGAACCTAGCAGTTTCTCTAGAGGGTGGCGTTCAGGCGTTTGGTAGCTATAGTACGCGAAGACTACGCATGTTCCTGAATCAACCAGCTCAATACTTGAGATGTGATCCAGGACTAGAGACCTGGAAATTCTATGAGCAAAAGTTTTGACCGCTGCACATGTTAAGTTCACCTACGAGAGAACAGACTTCCCAGCACCGGCTATATATATATTTCAGTTTCTGAAGCATTTGATGGAAGGTAGACTCACCTTTTCCATGACACCAGAGCAATGATGAACTCTGGCTTTTGATCCAGGATTGGAAAGTCTTGTCAGCTAACAGCCATTCCCCTGTTCCAGTGTGTTTCTTCTTGATCATGTCTTCGAATGTCGCCTCGTAATCAATGTTCGAAACCCACCCAAGGAACTTTCTTCTCTCTTCTATTTGCTCCCTGGTCTGAATGCGATACATTTCTACTTCGGCGCTGTTGAATCCTGATATAATAAGTTCAGACTGGGAGTTCAATAGACTCAATTGCTGAGCGTGGGCAGAGTTTACGAGGACATTGAGATGATGGGCAAAGCTTGCTTTGATGTCGCCAAATTTATCCTCGAAGGGCTGCCATTGAACACGGATGAACGTTCGCATATGAGAGAAATCTGGAATCCTGAAGTCAGACAGTTGTGGCCCTGGTTTTGGAATTTTGATTGCACTTACTCTTCACAGTGCCATCACGATTCACGAAGACCCGTCTGGAGTGAACACAGAAATTAAGAAGGTCACAATATATATCTGCTAGTGCCTGAGAATATTAAAAGTCAAATAAGAATGAATCAGATTCATTTCAACAGTGATCTATAGAGGAGACTACTTACCTGGCGAACGATCGTGCTACTACAATGTTTGCTGTACTGGTCAAAGACTGCCACGTAATCTACCATCTGACAGATCATCTGACTCAATTTGTTATAGAATTGCACAAACTTTGCAACAAGCTAGATGATCAAATAGTCAATATTGAATGCAGTTATGAGATTACTTAGTCACTTACGTCGATGATCAGACGAACACCTCCTATGACAAGGGATGATATCTCAGGACTATGCTGAATAGCAATTCCAATGCTTGTCATTGCTGTATCAAGAGCTACAATAGCTGGTCCCAGTCCTTTAGCGCCGGTTCTTGTCTTTGATGTTCCATCGTACTCATCCAGTTTCCGTATAGTCTCCATTGACTTCTCCGGCGAGGTGTGTACGTAGCTGTTGCGAAAGGCTTCCCTGTCGCGTTCATCGAGTTGTTCAACAACCTTATTGATAGCGTCATGGAAGGCCTGGTTAGCACCTGAGACGTCCGATGAAGATATTGCTGTACTAGTCGTCTCGTTCAGAGCATCCTCCGATGGGGCTATTTCTATTACATGTCCTGTGACAGGTTCTGGGACTTGAAGCTCCTCTATCTCAAACCCGGAAGATCCAAGGGCAGGCGATGTCGAGGAATTTAATTGTGTTGAATCATGGGAGATAGCAGGTGGTCGTGATGGAGGAGTTCTGCGGCCTGATTGGCAGGAATCTGGGCCATTCGGAGTGGAGGGAGACGAGGCTGTAGAAGAGGACCTCAGCCTCAAGGACACTTTCGCCTTCAGTCTGCTTAAAGTATCAGACTTGAGACACGCCATGAATCTGTTGTTAACCAAACTCTATACGCATGCTGTTGGCTCATCTGTACTTGCGTTGTAGCCAAGAAATCGAAGGTTCAAGTTTTCTCGGCTTGACAGACCTAGCAGACATGGCGGCCTGCTGTGTGGCCACGCCATTCGGGGAATATTATTCGTTGCTTATCCAACTCCAGATAAGGCAGCTAGATAAAGCAGGTGTATTTAGCGGAGTTGTTAAACTGGCTTGGCCATACATAACCAATAGATGTCATGAGCCAATCAGACTTTGTACTCACGAAAGTGGCGATAATTTCCCAGGTCTGTGTACCTGTCTGTTAGGAGTACTTCAATGTGCCAGGAGCTGTCTGTACTTAGCTTCTACCAATCGTAATGATGTGTAAATCAAATTATCCGCGAAAAACAAAAACCAAAGTCCCGGAGTGTGCGGATACGACGTATGGATAGATGGGCGAGCCCAGATTCAGACACATGCATGGAGTGGTCTACACCTCTGAGCGAGCATTGAATGCTTTGCATGGAAAGTCAGCCACATGATGTGACACAGTGGTCTAGTCTTGCACGCTTCGAGATCTCCCGGTCATCGACAATTGTATGGCGATCAATCCGAGTGGTGTTCCTCGACATGTCGCACAACATATGCACACTGCCTATAATAACCGAAGCTATAGGCCATGTTCACCGCGTTCTTCAGGAAATCCGACGGCCTTATTGGCTAGTAACGAATCAAAATTGTGGTCTCGCCCATGCTGCCATATATCCATGTAGAGGCTGGTATACGGCATGTACGTTTTGCATCTTGCGTTTTTCCCGTCTTAAAGAGGTGACACGGGCATATTGAACATGTTATAGCTAACATTTGCATGCAAGCAAAACCTGCTTCTCAGTGAGAAATAAATGCGGGATTGAGTACTGCACGACAAAGGGCAGCTTGGTTGATCTTAAAAGGTCAACATGTGCAGCATACTTGAAGTCGTGCGCCTTGCAAGTCTCCGAATTTGCTGATTTATTTGTTTGTGAACCATTCAGGGGACTTGTGTAAGCTTAGATGATGTGTGTTAGGTGTGCTGAGATAAGTCCGAGAAGAGGACAGTGGATATGAAACATGAGCCAGCGATTGATGCAGACCTTTCGTAGCGACTCCTCGAAGAAGGAGAACTTCGAGAGCCGGCAGACTCATCAGTGCGGACATGATCAAGATGTGATCAAGGTCTCGAGGTCCACTGCGGCGTTCCAAGTATGTGAGTTTGGAGGTTGACACAGATCCTCCTCACAAACCAAACGTTGAACTTCCTGGTTTGATCAATCCAGATCCAAATTGCATGATAAGGGAAAATGTGGTGTTTGGGTCCGATCATATTAAGCAGCTTCTCGTCCTGGAGCATTCGCATTTTGTGTCTGAGAGTAGACTTGACTACTTGACAGCTTTATGACCAAGGTGCGGCAGAGAAGTCATTTGACAGACATTCGTGGCTTATGCAGTGGGTATTCAGAGGATTCTGGTCGCATTTCGGACGATGAACTATTCCAGACGATGAAGATGTAGAGAAGAAGAGAAACCGATCCCAGTCAGGACTAACTCAACCTGACTCACGTGATGCGGCGCCATTAGCGTGTTTCTAAGCCCTCCCCACTCGCGACCAGTCGCGATACTTCAACCTTCATTGTCCTTGCCAAGACTACTCCCTTCCCCAACCTCTAGATCTGAAGACGATCAGTCATCTACACAACCTTTCATAATCTGCAGTCGTGATTGCAGAGCAACAAAACCCGCAAATTAGCATGACGGACTGCCCACCAACGACGCCAAAATGTCGACCTTCAGGGGAGTGATGGAGGGGTTCGAGGATATTCGAGGTAGGAGGGGCTTCGTACAATCTGCGAAGCTTTAACTAACGGCCTATAAGTTGATTATTTCCGCCCTACTTCAGGACTGCCCAATCCTCGAGCATGCTTTCTCAGCCATGTTCACAGCGACCACCTCCAGGGTCTCGAGTCGAAGTTGTGGCGTACCTCTCCGTCCGTGACCCAATGTTCCCTCGACGAAACGGTCGAAGTGCTGATATAATGCGTAGGATATACTGTTCACCGGCCACCAGAGAGATTCTTCTTCGACTAGAGACAAAGAAGAATAGGATAGGATACGAGACGAAGGTCTTGGAGGCAAGAAAAGTCCAATACAGGCATCTCGAAAAGCTTCTTGTATGTGCTCGCAGATGGATACCTACAAATCTGACATTGCCGAAGAAGCCTATCCCTCTTGATACACCCACCGAAATTGAATTGAAGCCCAGTATCAAGTTACAAGTTACACTGTTCGATGCGAACCATTGCACAGGAGCTGTGATGTTCTGTATGTTCCATTGGATAATCGGAGTGCAAATGCTGATTAGGTGAAGTGTTTGAATTGGATGGAACTGCCGTTCTGTACACTGGTGATATCAGATCCGATCCGTGGTTTGTCAACTCGTTAAGTCGCAACCCATTGTTGATCGAATACACATCAGGTTTGAAGACGCTTGATTGTGTGTACCTCGACACCAGTAATACTGTACCACGCGTATTCCCATCGAAGGCAGATGGACTCAAGGAGCTGGTGGAGAAAGTTTTGCAATACCCTCAAGATACCGTCTTCCACTTCACTGCTTGGACGTATGGTTATGAGGAAGTATGGATGGCACTCTCAAAGGCTCTCAAGTCCCAGGTATACTTTCAACTTGCTCCAACTGTTTCACCATTATGCTAACAGGCAACAGATTCATGTTAGCAAATATGCCTACGGTGTGTACAAGTCCTTGCGAGGCGAAACCTGGGACAAGAAAGGACAATTCACCAACTTCCCCATACATGAAGGAGCTGCTCTGACCGGTTACACCTGCGGTAATGGTTTTCAATCTGGATGCCTAACAGTGAATCCCAATGTCCGGCTGCATTCTTGCGAGAAAGGCATTGGATGTCCCCTACTCAATGACAAGACCGTCTGGATTCAACCAATCGTCAGACGAAGAGAGGATGGTACTGACGAAGCAGAGCCTGCCGTGGTACAAGCTGGCAACGATTTAAGCGGATGCCCTCAGATTGAATTTGATGGAGATGTTTGCATTGATCAGTTGATGCCACTGTAAGGGTTTAAAAGTCTTTAGGATCCAATATCTAACTTCGTCTCAGCTTCTCGGGCGCGAACAACTCAGTCATGCGGGACGTCAAAGAACTACTATCCAAAGTCCTTGATACCCCCGGCCGAGTCTTGTCTTTGGCAGAATTCGGATCAGATGGAGAAGATAGCAATGTTTCATTGGCTCAGCTTGCGGCCGCAGTGATTCGGGCTGTTACTGAACAACAACGCAACGACTTAATCACTTCGCGGGAGAAGGGCAAGTCCCAATCACTCCCTAAGGTCATCACGTTCCCTTATTCTCGACATTCATCATATGAGGAATTGTGTGAACTTCTGAAGATATTTAAACCAAAGGACGTTTGGCCCTGTACAGAGGATCCATACTACTGGCATGAAGGTATGGAATAGCTTTAATTTGGTCATCAGTTTCTGACTCGATACAGTCGGAATGAGTATCAAAGATCTCTTTGGTCACGAATGCTCCGAGGCCATTTTTCGGTACGACCGAGAGATGTCGCAGAAAGTGTCCCAGGCCGCATCTCGACATGTTCATATTCAGTCACAAACAACAGCAAGTTCGCAGCTCTCAGCACCGTCAGTTAGTCCACCTTCAAAGAAAATAGCTTATCTTGCTACGTCGACTGCAGAAGCCGAGGATGAGCGAACTTCTCGGTCCTGGCTCATGGATGTTGATGACGAGGATGCTCCCACTTCGCCTATCATGACAAATAGTGTTGAATTGTCTGCACGAAGTGGGACCAAACTCATTAACCGCAACGGACAAGGACTTCTGAGACCCTTCGATGCGCAAGGTAGTGAAATCGATGTGGCATCAAGAGCACCAGAGTCGATCCCAGAGGTTCTGTCGAGCTCCCGGCGCAAGTCAAATTTCACCGACTTAGGTACCCCACTCAAGCGTTCTCGCCTGAGTCTAGATGATTCGGAATCGTCACCAACAGGCATTTTGGCTGGCCAGAAATGTAACCCCTACACGATTTCCTCTGACGATTCGGATCGTGACAATCCAGACACACCAGAATCTGATGCAAACAGTGAAGAGTCCCAAGAAGGTAAGGATGAAATTACATTCTTCGATCCCGTAGATGCGATCTTCCGCTGCAAAGCATGCGAGCATGAAGTATTGGGTGGTGAACACGGAGTTTGTACTGGCTGTGATCAAAGCGCTCTTGATTTTCCTTACATCGAGGAGGCACCTGGTGGAGCTGGACCTTTACCGCAAATCGCTCTTGATGAGTACACGGATGAAGTTGTTGTCGAGTCAACTGTCATCAAGGAACTTGTTGGTGATTGCCTCGACTACGATTCTTCCGCTTATGACTCTCAAGATTCAGCCGCCAAATTGGAAGAACAGTACGAAAACAACAGCTTCATTAATGATGAAGACATCCCAGAGCCTGAGTCTGAAGAGGAGTCTGACTCCAGCAGTGGCGAGGTTGATTGGGAGGCCAAATTTAAGGAGCTTCAGAATCAACACCTTGGACTTCAAAATAACTTCAATGATCTTGCAGTGCGGCATTACGAGTTCCGGAAGGAAATCTTGGGCTCGGACATGTCATCTGAGGCGGACGACGATGACGTAGATGAAGACGATTTCGATGAGGACGGCATGCTGATCGTTGAAGTCACTCCTCCCGATCCTATCGCTACGGACATCGTCTTGTCACAGGCGGGAGAGCAGTCCCAGGACTCGGAGGTCACCGAAGAGCGCATTAGAGATCGTGTGGAGGCTTTTGAGGCGGCGAGAGATGGTGGCTGGCATGAGATGTCGCTGGCTTCGGTTTCAGGCAATCATACGTATGCGGAGATTGAGTTGTAGAAGTCTGTTGACATCTACCGGAAGGCATTGTTGATCAATGACTTACGAGGGCGACGACGGGGAGAATATCGATTTGCTATTTTACAGGAACGGAGGAAATGGCGATTTGGAGTCTTATGAGATAAATACCCAGAGATTTGCTTTTTCCTTTGCTTTTTATTTTGCTATTGTGCATGGATGGGAGGGAACGGGATGAGAGGAGCGGGGGATCATGGAAAGGGTGCATTATACCCACGGATTAGCATTCGCATTTGCATCAGGCGTACTTGGACTGGCTTCATAAGGAATGGTCATTAGCTAAATTAATTAGCTAGTTACTTAACTCTCTCAATCAGTCGTAACTAAATATGAGATATTTGCAGACTTCTTTCTTTGTTTCGTTGAGTTGTTTGCTCACTACTTACAAGCAAGAGGGATACTTTACTCAGAACCTGTCGCCGCCCGTAGTACTAAATTGGAGGTTCCTTGGATTGTTGTGATGTGCTGGCGACCTCGACCTCCTCTTTTCCCTCCCTCTCCCTCCCCAGCCCAGACGACGGCCGGCTGGCCTTTCTGCAAAACATACATACATACCTAGGTAGGTACATGCTCGCTCATCCAATCATCCAATCAGTCACTCACTCACGCACTCTTCCCCTCATTCACTCCTAGTACACTCCCCAGCAAGTGTCTTGAGTCTTGAGTCTTGACCTCCTCACGCTCAGTGGTCTCGATAGGCCGGGCGGGCGGGCGTTGAAGAAGACTTTTCTAATCTACAGCAACGTAGGGTTAATCTACTTCCACATGTTAGGCCTTGAGCATGCTTCGCAAGACTGGTTTACAGGGGACGCGTAGGGTATCCTGCTTTGAGTGAAAGATTGAGGCTGGAGATGTGGTCGCTTGCGGGCTGCGTGCGAGGTTAATTGAGGAGAGGTTGAGTGGGAGGTCGTTGGGTCTCAGGCGAGGGGTGGGTTGCGCGGTGATTGATTGGGTGCGGAGGGCTTCTGCCTACTGTCAATTTACAAACTTAGAACTTGGAAGGTCTGGCGGGGAAGAGGGATGGATGGAAAGTGCAGGTGCCTGGGTAGTGCGGTACAGGTAGATTCTAGGGTACTGGATGATTAACTTTGAGGATGGGATGGTTGGTGTTTGCTTGCTTGGTTGGTAGACATCTTTAGTCGCGAAGTATACGTCTTGGTAGGTTTATGGCAGTGGTTGGGCCGACCTTTTGCTATGGTGACAGCGTGCTGTAGAGGTAATGGTAGCGGGTTTGGAGGGGTCGGGTTGTGATCTTGGTGGGCTGCAGGTGGTGGGGTTGACAGTTGTCATTACGAAGTTACTCGCCTGTTACCTATGGTCGCTATGGTCGCCCACCCACCGAGGTCGAAGCCAGCCAGGCCATGGCCAGCCAGTTCATCATAACATACTCTTCAAGGAAGACATCCCTTTGGCTGTTAAGTGTTGTTGAAGACGTGGTCGCGTCTACTCGGGCCCATGAGAGAGGGGTTTGGTGGTAAGAAATTTGGTCATGGGATTTTTTGATGAGGTTTGTGGGGACCAAGGATGAGGGATATTCCTTTGGCTGGGACGACGTGGTTATTTCTCCAGTATATTGAATTATGAAAGTTTCGCTGGTGGCTATGACGGAGTTTAGGAGGATATCGGTACTCTCATGGAAGGATACCCCTCTCACAATGCTCGAGTACCCTACCAGAAAAAACAGACGTGGTTGGTGGGCCCGGTAAGCAGAGCAGACGTGTCACTCTTAATAAGAGCTGTATTACTGCATCGTCATCCATTGGATGTGCTGCAAGTCATCTTTGGTGGTAGAGAGGTACGGTCAAAGTATGGAATGGAGGTCGTACCTCCGCTGGAAGTGCATGGTAGGGCTGGATACGATGGGGAGTGACTGGATGGGACAGGTGTAACGAGGGAGATGAGTTGTACCTGGACAGCGGAGCCGTGCATGGAATATAGTTTGGAGGGAGGCTTTGGTACCGAGTTTGGTGATGAGTACAGGTGGTGGGATGCTTGGTTTGGTTCGGTGCTGGACACGTCGACTTGACTTTACGTAGGTATAGGGATATTCGGAGGAGGGGAGGGGAGGGGGATATAGATTTTTCTGGTATCGTGTAACGCTGTTCACGATGTCCGGATGGGTATGTCGAGATAAAGTTCCTACCAGATAATTCGCCAATGTTCGTCTCAAGTTAGAGGTTTCTGAAATCAAACCTTGAATGTTCTATGCGACAGTCTAACCATCCAACCAACCAACCAACAAACCAACAACTCAGCTGAAATAACATCCAGAATCAAGATCACGATCAAGATCAAGATTTAACCTTAAAGGTCAAGCCTCCCGATACGGGACGGCTCAGTAGCTGCCAGCCAGAGTGATCTCTTCGGGACAGGTACAGTGCCTACACAGGCGGAAGGCTGCTCGGGCTGATCATTGGCTGTGAGATTATGCTTGAGATCGGGAGGAAGTGGTGCTGCAGTAGGGGGAATTGGTGTTTATTGGCCTTCGCTTCACGATTCAGGATTGCTAGGCTGTTTAGTTGGCGAGTCTGGTGATTTTTAACTTGAGTATATGTATTGTGATAATGAGGGGGCTTTTGTGCAGGTTGGAGAGATGATTGGTTTGTGGGCTTGGGAACGGTGGAAAGAGTCGGGCTGGTTTGATTCGATTTGATTGACTCGTGGTGGGTGATGTGGATTTGACGGTGAAGAGTGGAGTGTTCGCATTATGTGGCATTGATTGGACTGGAATTACTCGGGATGCTTGTCCAGGCAATGTGAGGTGAGGCAGGTCAGGCACCTGGAAGTTAATGTTGTGCGGTACCGAACTGGAGAGAGGTGTTACGAAATTACGGATCATGGCAAGGATGTTGACTTGGATCTGCGCCTGGCCCTGGATCTTCAGGACCCGAGGATTGTTGTGACATTTTGCAGTTTTGGAGATTAAAGCCAGGGCATGCAAGGAGGAAGAGGTGTTCGAGACAGACTTGTGAAGGAACGCAAAGGCAAATCAGAGGACATGATTTCAGCTCTTCTTCTCTTTTTATTTTTCGTCGAATCATAACACTCGTTACATCACGGATCAACCACATAACATTACTTATACCTTGCGAGCCAGCAAATTGTTTAGACTATTCCTTTCTTTTGTTAGTGGCGTGGATTAAACAATTCCATGCCCATAGTATCCCTGCAATTCTATCCAATCCCTTCTTCTCCTTTCTCAACCATTCATCATCCCGTCCATCCCACTTCCACTTCCTCTGCCTCTCCGTCTCCGTCTCCGTCTCCGGCCTGGTCTTGACAATTTCACGACTCGACGCTCACCACTTGGCCGACTAAACCCGACTCACCGCAATCCACCCGACTCAACACCACCAGATCAGACCAAACCAAACCACGCAACCCGAACTGCGACCTACTATAACGGCCACTTCCCACGACCTGCCCTCTTCCTGTTCCTATTCCTGTTCCTACGGATTCCAAAGCCACCCCATCCTCCACGTCCGAACGCATTGATATTGAAAAGGTCGAAGCCCGCTCCTCGAGAGTGCTCGATTCCTGCGTCCGCAGCAGTGCAGTTTGTGAGAGGGTAGGTTCTTGTTACACCAACTGGAGGAATACGACGGACGGGCACTATATTGCAGAAGTAGGAAGGACCGGTCAACGAAATAAACGACTTGAACGACGCCTACAGAAAAGGAGGAGTGTTGGCTGGCTGGGCTTACGAAAAGGCCAATCTTGCGTGGAATCTTGTACAACCCGACCTACTCTGTTCCTGTTACGACCACTCGGCGCGAGGAGAAATTGGGCCTCTCTGCAAGTCTGCGGAATTGACAAAACTCGACTTGGGATTCTATCTATTCACGTAACTACGTTGGTGGCTGTGAATCATTGTTGATCCATACCCGGACTCGGTGCTGAGGAATTCACTGTTCGAGAAGGAACCGCCGAGTCAACCCACCATATAATCTTCTCTCTGCGTCTTACTCACCCACGACCCGCCTCTCTCAATCTTCTCATTTCTTTCTCTGCGAACAAACAACTCCACGCCCCGGCTTGGATCTATCCTCCAGGGAACCCCTCTTGTCTCTCTCTACCTCCGTGTAGTTGCTCTCTCGAGCCCCCACCACGTCCCCTTCCAGCGATATCCTATCCAGGCACAGACGAACACGACCACAACCACGTCGCAGATTCCTAACCTCGAGACGCCCCACTGTGCCCCAAGGATCCTGAACGATTTCTGACCTTTCCGTCTGCGCAGTTCTCATTGTGCCCCTCTACGCCGCCTGAGAAAGACCTCAATTTCTCGGGACACGACATCTCCAGCAAAAACACCTAAAGTTTGCAAGATGAAGGCGCCAGCAGTCGATCAGCTCGTTTACGAGTTTATGTTTCCCAAACCAAAACCTAATGATCCGCAGAATTTCCAGGGCTTGCTCCAGCGAAACCTTGTCCCTGAAGTCCGTCTCGAAACGCAAGCTTTCTACGGACATCTGTCTTCACAAGAAGCAAAGTATCCCGGGCTCGATTACTCCTACCAACCACACCGAGTCCGACTTTCCCGCTACCCCTGGCATCGAAGACTCTTCCGCGCGTTCGACAATGTTGGGCTGACCAGACACGAGATTGCGAGCTTGACGAAGTGGGAGGGTACGCGTTGGGCGAAGGAAAGATTTGAGCGGGAACAAGGAATTGTGATCCGAGACACGACGGCAGATGGGATTTTTGATTGGGTTCCACCTGAGCTACGCGTCCCTGTTACCCCATTGGCACACCGTGCCGATATTGAGGATATGGAGGACATCCAGGAGGATGAGGAGACCGAGGAGAATGAGGCCGAAAATGAAATGGATGAGGATATAGATGACTCGGATGTTGAGATCCAGAGCGTGGGTGTTGCGCTGAATGAGCAACTGCGAGCTAATGCTGCTCTACGAGCGGCTGGTAGCGATACGATTATGGATGAAGCGTGGGAGCAGTGGTTGAAGGAAGCTGCCGAATCTGGGGGAATCCCATACATGCCTACAGAGCTTTCACCAAATGCCAATATTCCGGGGACTAGACCAGCGGTTGAGAACTCCGCTATGCCCTCCAGACTTTTAAATGCGGCGAGGATGGGACAGTGGTCACAGATTCCGGAGGCTCTACATAATGTCGTTCGACAACACATCTCAGACAACAACCGCCGGATGGAGGATGCCCATCTTGGTCCTACCACACCCTCACATGGCTCGAGAAGTGCTAATCCTCTGTTCGTTTCGAGACCACCAGCTCCAACAAGCGCTACTAGCTCGCCATTCTCAAGAACTTCAACTGCAAGCACGACCAGCTCCCCTTTCCAATCGAGATCCAGCCTCAGTTCCCGTGCTAGAATCATCCCAGTCGCAATGTCCCAAGCAAGAGATCCGAGACTGAGTGTCATTCTCGGGGCAAGTCCATCCAGTGTCACGTACCAGTACAGTCGCCTCGGGGTACCCAACCACGCACAGAATCCATGATAAGAGTTCGTTCTTGACTTGCATGGATCTCAACATCATGCACCGCGCTGCAATTTCGAAGCCGCTCTCAAAGGGAAGCGAATGGGATCATTAATTGGCTGGCCATTATATCATTGCTTCCTTGTCTACTTGTCAGACTTTCCTCTCACGATGTTTCTTTGTTCGGGTTTCGTTGTTATACACAGAACCCACTGGTTAACAGGCGTTGTATTTAGCATGGCGTTTTATAGGGCTTCTTTTTTGCTTGTGGTCTGCTCGCGGGTTTTCGGTCTCGGTTTCGGTTTTTTTCGCAATGGAGAGATTTAGCTGCATTGGGGCATGGCTTGGACTTAGCTTGCGCGATGCGCTTTTGGGGGGGATGGAGGAACGGGCACGCCATTAACCTTTAGGTAGGTATTTGGCTGTGCTTGGCTTGGGAGCATTGAATCTGGAAGAGGGACTTTCCATTAAGGGCAGGGGAGGAAATAGAAATGGAATGGAAGGCAGGTGTGGACATGACGGTGAAGCAGCTTGATTGGCGGCATTGTGGGCGTTTCTTTTCACTTTTTTCATCGAGAACTCCCAACGGGGGATGGGAAGGGGGTACATATGGGGTTTGCGATCGAAGGAGGTCATGCATGGACTTTAAGGCGTCGAAAATGAGAGATGGAGATGGGGATGAGGGGGTGTGGCCATGCATTTTTGGAAGGATCAAGCGAGCGAGCGAGCGTTGCATTGTTTTGCTAGCGAGACTTGCTGGTAGAATTTCACTGGTGAGGGACAGGATTGGGGAAGGGAAACGGAAAGGGTGTGGGAGATGGGCATTGAGGAATGATTTGAAATGAAATGAATTGGGAGTATAAAAATGTTGCTGCTAGATAGCTTGGAGCTGTGAATGATATCTTCGATGACCTACCCTTTTCCTTTTTTTTTTTTTTTTTGGATATTTCTCCCTCGTGTCTATCTCCGCATGTTCAGTTACCTACCTACTTTCCATTTACAGCTAGCTCTTGGCAGTCAGTCAGTCAGTCAGTCGCTAGGGGATGTCGGGGTCGGGAGGGGAAGGAGAAGGGGCGAGGTACTCGTACCTACCTACCTAGGTAAGGTAGGAATTCGCTTGGGGACTACAGTAGATTCGCTCGGATTGGTTCGGTTGTGAGTGATATTTCCATTGGTGGGGATTTGTTGACATCACCCCATCACATCACATCACACCTCTTCTTAACTGTGAGGTGGTGTTGGTACACTAAGGTAGGTATCAAAATATCCTTTTTTTTTTTAAAGATTAAGGATTTAAAGTGGCTGGCTGCGCTTAGCTGCGGCGTGGTAGTTTCTGGGAAATTGTGAAGTTGGGAAAGGATTTTATCGATTTGGTCGGGTTGGTGGTCTGGCGGCCTGGTGGGAGGCCGCTTGGAGGCTGTTTCGTGGCCACCTCGTCTTATGACCGGCCACTTGATGGCTGCTGACAAAGAGGGTAATAGAGACCTGGGGAGGGGGCGATGGAAGGGGGGTGGAAAAGATGTGATTGGGAGTGGGGAGGGGAGGGATGGAGGGGGGATGGCGGATGGAAAGATGGGATGAACGAACGAACGAAGGCAACCGACGTGTTGGTTTGGTTGAAAGGCGGGTGGGTGTGGGGATGGGGATGGGGACGGGTACGGAGATGGGGGTGGTGATTGTTATGGGTATGGGGATGGGGATTGGTAAAGTTAAGCGCTTGGGTCTGTTGGGTTTTGGGTGTTGGTTGTTGGTGGGAGGGACTCTGGGGTGGGCGCTGGGGCAAACAACCGTGCGTGCGGATGCTGTGTACCGTATCCTGGGGTTTGTCTGTATAAAGGGGTTTCTTGTCTAGAAGGGTGATGATGATGAAGGTGATCTTGGTTTCTTGGTTTGAGGAGATATCTGTATGCGCGGATTTGGATCTTGGTACTTGTGCTTCAAGTGGTCGTCAGTACGTGTCGAATGGAAAGCTCGGTTAAGGTTGCACAAGTGGCGTCAGGTGTTTTCTTTGTTTATGTTTGTGGCAACAACAAAACTTCACGTTTGCTTTCAAGGGTCGTCCCAATAGAAGTATTGACTGTTTGAGAATAGTTAGGTAGCCGTGAAACTCTACGACAGAGTCAGGAGCCGAAATTCTGCCACTCCTTCTATGATGCAGCGTTCGGCTAGTGACATAGCACGGGACGTCTTTGTCTTTGTCTTGTGAGTAAACAAACATCGTCTTCCTCCTTGATAGAAGCAGGTGTCAGAAGAAGATAGTGAACATTTGAGAATATGTGGGTAGCCGTGAGTCTCTACCACAGAGTCAGTAATATTCCGCCGCTGCTTCATTAGATAAAGTGCTCGCTTAGTAACATGACACCAGACGTCTTTGTTTATTTTCTTGTTTGCAACAATGATTCCCTGCTCTTGCTAGGAGCAAATATCAGAGGAAAGATAGTGAACTTTGAGAGTCTGTAGGTAGCCGTGAGTCTCTACTTCATGTTACAGATGTCGGGGCTTGATCTTTTGTTACATGCTTTATTGCCTACCTAGCTTGGTACTTAAGGCTAGGTAACCCACTCCGTGAAATTTTCAGCTTCGAATCTTGGATTGCTGGACATCTGAAATCTCAATTCTACTTATTCGTCAACCAGTTCGGAGTATTGATCTGGAAAACACTGCAGGAGGTGATCAGTCAAGTTCTGAGCCTTTGGGAAGTACTGTATGTTTCCAACTATCTACCCTGTCATGATTTCATCCCTGATGTCAGAACTAACGTATCCGACCTTAACAGAAGACATCTGTCTAGCTTTGATTACATCACCAACGCCCAAATCATCACTGTCCTCCCGTACAACCAACCCCTCAAGTCCAAATCCAACCCATCTAAAACAATGTCAATCTCCTTCCTCGAAATAGCCGTCCACATCTTCGAGACTGTGCTTACAGTGATCAGCTTTCTGATCTTGTTTGTGATGGCGGTTTGGTTGGTTTGTTTGGTAGTCACAGTTTATGCACATACTCGTCCGGTTGAGAGGGCTGGATCTCGGGTTGGGGCTGGAAGGGGTCAGAGACGGGGGGGAGTAGAAGGGCAGGCAGGGGATTTGATTATTGTGTATATGAACGAGGATGGTTCTGATTGGGAAGCATGGTTGCTGGATGGAAGAGAGATGCCGTTTTGAGGGTCGGTGTGGAAAGAGAGGGAAGTGTATGTGAGGTTAGGTGCCGGTGGAAAGAGGATTACTTTTGGAAGATGAATTGGGCACGTTGGGACATTGACTTGGTACGATCAGGACCGAACCGAGCGGAGCTCTGATTCAGACAGTGCAAATTAGTGTTTTTTCTCGCTTTTGATTTGTATCTGAATGCCAATTTCATGAAGATCTTCGCTCTAAAAAGTACAAGCCAGGCATCCGAGTATCATTATCATACAGTATACACCATTGGCCGCTCCACCAAATTACAAATCTTACCTGCCCAATATACATATAAAACAGCCTGCCAGCTCTGCCAACCTCCTACTTAGCTTTCCTGCAGGGGTGAATACAAGCATGTCTTCTCCTGATTCGAATATTTACCGTAGATCCGGGCTGTCAATCCGAGTTTCTTGAGCACAGTTGCGGGATGAGAAGGCGCATCGTCGAAATACTCAAACGCTTATCAATGCTACAGTCAAGAAGACAACAGCAATATGCACACCCATAAACTCTCAAACAAAGTATGGCTGACATAATAATATTCAATTCATCTAAAGGGGTATCATAACAAGAAAAGAAGTTCGTCCTCATCGTCTCATCGGCCTGGGTCCACCAGGTAAACCACCAGCTCTAGGTCCAGTAGGTAATCCTCCAGGACGTCCACTAACAGTATTAACCTTCACCAGTCCAACCTGTGGCGGCATCGTTCGCTTCTGCAGCTTTGTAGCTCCTCCCGTAGTATTGTACCTCGAAATACCTCTCTCCTGTCTCATACTCGGACTAGGCTGAAGTCCGCTACCTCCAAATCCACCATATCCACCCGGCCCACGGTCATTACGAACGGTATTTGATATTGGAAGAGAAGCGACAGAAGCTGATGCAGGAGGTGCTTGCTGGCCTCGCTCTTGCGCGAGACCTGCGAATGCCATGCGGATCTTCTCTTCTGCTTTGGCTAGTTTCTCCTCCTTCGTTTCCTCGCGCTCTACTTCCTCTTCCGATTCGTATATCTCATCTTCGTAAACGGATGGACTGAGCATTGGTTTGCTGGCAACATCGAGGTCGAATCTATATGCGTCGGCGAGCTTGTCTGCACCCACAGCTCGCGATTTTTCAGCTTGCTCCTGCTCGAATCGTCGTTCTGCTTGCTCTTGTTCATAGAGTTGACGTTCTTGTTCTTGCTCAAAGGCACGACGCTCCTCTTCTTCTTTGAAAAGTTGATCCGCTCGCTTTTCCGCCTCCCGTCTCTGCTGCTTCTCCAATCTATCCTCTTCAAGCGCTCGTGCCTCTGCTTGTTCTTGTCTCTCCTTCGCAGCAAGTCTCCTCTGTCGTCCAACCTCGCGTTTCCTCTCTTGTTCCTCTTCGTATTCCTGTCGATCCAGCTCCTTCTGCCTTGCGACATCTCGTTTCATTTCTTCCTCCTCCTCGCGAGATCGCCGCTCCGCCTCCTTTTCTTCTTCGTATTTCAGCATCTTGGCCGTTAAGCGATCAGCTTCCTCTTTCGCTAACCGATCTTCCTTGGCCTTGTATTCCTTTTTCTTCTCCAGCTCCGCAACTCGTTGGCGCTCTTTCTCTATCTCTCTGGCTGCTCTCTCCGCTTCAATCTCAGCAGCCAGTTCAGCCTCCTTCCTGGCCTCCTCTTCCTTCTCAACTCGAATCCTTTCGGCTTCCTCCTCGGCTTCAATCCTCTTCTGTTCCGCCTCCTCCGCCTCTCGTCTGGCCTGCTCTTCAGCCTCTTTCCTCTTCCTTTTCTTCTCCTGGTTCTCAAGATCCAGCTGCCTTTCCCTCTCCACATTCTCGACAAACTTCCTCATCGACTCCGCTTCTTCTGCAATACGTTCAGCTTCTTTGTCAAACCGCAATTGTTCTTCAAGCATCCGTTCGCGCTCCATCTCCATCTGTTCCCTTTCAATTATAATTCTCTGCGCTTGAGTTTGTAATTCCACGATCCTTTCATGTTCAGCATCTCTGCGCTCCCGCTCGAGTTTAAGCTGTTCATCCTCCTCTCCATATGAGAGGATGCGGCCTCGAATCTGCATGACATCTTGTTCGATGAGCGATGTCCGCTTCTTGATTGACAGTGCTCGCTCAGAAGTGGTTGGTGAGCCTTGCTGGCTCCAAACTGAATCTTTCCTCCCTTCCACCACAGAATTCAGTTCTGAAGAGGTTCGGGAGGTCTGGCAACTCCAAATCTTACTTTTTGGAGAGGCCATTATCTGTTTGAGTTCTTGTGACGTGCTGGAGCCTTGACTGCTCCAACCAGAATCCTTTCGTGTGATGGGTGTGATTGGTGGATCTCGCTGGGAGATTGTCAGTATCGAAATTGTTAGGATTTGCTAATGTTGCTTACCTGTGCCATTCGTGGCTGTTCTTTCACCACTGGCTTTGGAGCTTCTACTTTCTTGCCACCAGGAAGAGCGAAAAGATCATCTGCAGAGTCCAACTGGCTTGAGATTGAGCCAAGCACATCCACAGCCTTCGGTTTGGTCTCGACAGCAGGTGTGGAAACTTCGGCCTTTCTGTCTCCAGGTAGGGAAACAATATCGTTAGGAGCATCCAGTTGACTGGAAAAGAAGTCTAGCATATCCATCGCTTTCGGTTTGACCTTTTCCACCTTAGGTCCAGCAGCACCCACTTCCTTATCGCTTGGCAAAGCCAAAGTATCACTCGGCGCATCCAGCTGGCTCGCAAAGAAATCTAACATATCCTGCACCTCGTCCTTCTTCGACTTCAGTTTCGCCGTCGCGCTTGTGGCATCCTTCTTGTACTTCAACACCGCGTCCACAATCGGCATAACTTTCGGCTCTGGTTTACTTGGAGCAGCTGCTTCGACCATAGCCAGCACTGGGGAAACAGGCCGATTAATCTTGCTTTCTTGTTTCGCAGGCGTTGCTTCGACCATAGCAATCAGAGGCGAGACCGGCAATGCTGGTTTCGATTCCTCGACCGGAGGTTTGTATGCGTTCGCAGCGTACCCAAACATCCTCGCGACCCTCGATGCATTTGTTGGGGCTTTCTGCCCTGCCAACGCGGCGTCCTTCATGACTGGCTCTTTAGGAATCTCGTATAACTTCTTCGCACCCGAATTTACGCGCTGGAACCCATTGGTTTGTTTCTTGACTGGAGGAGGTTTCGATGACGTCGCTGACGTTATCGTGGTTGGAGCTGGCGCATTGAGTATCGAGATATCGACTTTGGTTATTGGTGATTTCTCTATGATGGGATCAACTTTCGGGGCAGTCGTGTCTGCTACTGAAGTTGTTGCCGATTCTCCTGCTCCAGCAGGCTTTTTCTTCACATAAGAAGAAAAGTAAGAGCCCCATGTTGACATGGTGAGTCTCTAGCCTTTCGCGGTATTGTACTGTATGCAGTATGATGCACTCGAAAGGGTTCAAGTCCAAATTTTACTTTCTTTTGGAAGGAAACCACGCAAGATCGACACTTTAGCAGAAAACTAATTGGCCACATGTCAGCCAGCTCGTACCTTGCATCTACATGTACGATTACCGCATGAAATGTTAAAGGAATAGGTTCGCTCCGTTCGAGGTTTGGTTTGGAACACACCCACGCGAGCCACGTACCTGCATACAGCGTTACAAGTGCAAAATAGACTTCCGATGCGATGCGTTTATCGGTCTCCAAACGAACGTTGAGTTCTGTGTATTAGAAGTTAAAAATAAAATAAAAGTCGCGAAATCCAGCACATCGTTTAAACAAAGCTTTGAAAGCTGCGGGAAGATACCAGCGCCGCCAGGGCGGATGCGAGATTCAATATTATAACTGTAAAATGGTCGCGGGGTAGAAGTAAGGGATGAAAGTCGTTGACTGTCAATTTTCTTTTTCTCTGAGTCCCGAATCCAGACCGACGTGAGGAGGTCGCGTGGGCTGTGCTCTGATACATTCTTGAAACGTGCCGAGGAGGGAAGGGCTGGCTTGCTGAGACAAAATCAAGTCTTGGCGCGATTTACTTAGCGATGTTTTGTTTGGGTTTGCGAGGGTGGGCTGTTGGCAGGTTATCTTATCAGGTGCGTGGACGTCATTGGAAAGGGTGCGATTCAGTTCAAGGGAATCCTGTGAGTATGAAAGAGGATACATGAGTCGGCTGGGATGCTTCGAGGTCGTGGCTGTGGTGCTGTTGGTGGAAGATGTTTGATGGATGGCAACAAGGCTAGCCAGGTGTACAGTTGCAAGCGAGAACCCCTGAAATTTAACGAGAGGCGCGCAATCCTTGGTGTTTATGAGTCTCCTTTATTAACAAGATTCTGTCAGCACACAAGTAAGCGTAGACCGAGTTCATGATGAGATACTTGTCGCTGACCCGCCGAGAAATGGAACAGAGGTTTGGCATAGTTCGTGCCATTTCACGAAGCTATTGTCCAACACATTTGTACCTTCGAGAGGGCATCTAGGTCCTAGAGTGGTTCTCGATGCCACGGAATTTAATCACAACAGGTGGGGCCACAGCCTTCAAATCGGATCGCAAACATGGCATAACGACAGAAATAATGTTATCGATTCATGCGGTTGAGTACAAGGAAGCACCATCGGTCATTTGTTTGCGCTCAACTTGGAAATGCACGCGATAGAAATCATGGAAATCGGCCATGTTCGACCCCTCACTTAAGCGAGATGTTTGTTTGCTTTAACTTGAAAGCGTGGAATTGATTGGATGAACTCCAGTGCAACGGCTTATCGCAAGCCAGATGCATTTCCATCGAGTCTAGCCTGCAGTATATGATGATGATCCTTGCTTCGATGTTGATTGTATGGTAAGAGATTCGTGCAAAGCGAAGTGACTGGCTGTTAGCGACAGATGTTGTCGATTATCTCACTTTTTATCAAACATGAAGTATATTATCTCAACCCGTCCATGTCTAGCAAATCTCTCTTCTCTACTCCAACACTTTCCAAAACAAATTGTAAATACTTCAAACTCCTCATAATTTTTACTTACCATTTCGTCATCGATACAACAACGCATCATCCTACCCAACTTCCACAACATGGCTGTATCTCAAAACGAAGCCCTTCTCGTGGCTGTGTTCAAGCAACTCGCTGTCACAAAGCTCGACTATAGAATACTTGGGAAAGACCTCGGTCTGTCAAGAGAAGCAGCTAGAAACAGATGGGTCCGGTTTCAGGTCAGTACATCTCGCTCTCCTCTCCCAACATCTTGCAGATCTACTGTCTGGAAGAGGAGTTCTATTGTGTCAAGTCAATTCGCAAAACTGACAACTTTCAATAGGCCAAGATCATGCAGTCTGCCAACTCCAATAATGCACTTCCATATGAGGACACCAGCACACCTCAGACCCCGCCTCAGACCCCTTCTCCAGTGAAGAAGAAAGTTGGGGCTGCCAAGGCAAGAGCTCTGAGTGCGAAGAAGAGGAAGAGAGTGATGAGCGAGGACAGTGATCAAATGAATTTGAATTTGAAAAAGGACATGGGCCAGGATAGGGACTTGGAGGCTGGACAATACATAGAGGCAGAGGAGATGTTGGAGATGGAAGCGAGTAGATATGATTTAGCTGCCCGGGGCGAGTTATGGTGATGCTCCAGAGGTTTTGTGGGCGTTGTGACTTGGGATTCATTTTGAATCATAAATTTGGAGGATATGATGTCGGTCATCTATCAAAATACATTCAACACATTTGCCACTCATTACAGTGTTCTCTTCAAAGCAGCTCAGTCAACGTGACACTAGGATAATTGTTAACTCCGAGAAATGAACGGGATACGCTTTCGATTTCCCCAATACCCTGCTTGCCACTGCTTCCTCTTGCCTAGAACATGCATTTGCAGTTCAAGGAATGATATGTGATGGAACGCACACCTCCTCTCCAAGCTACGTCCATGTTTGCCTGTGAAATTTAGGCTACAATGATACAAGCGGGAGTCTGCAGACTCCGCCTTTCTGCACAAAATATGTTCGAGCTTTCTCAGCCAAAGTGGTCGATCGTGGCCGTGAGATTGTTTCTCTCACATCGAAGAGCTTTACTTAAAAGTGGTCGACCTTCCACCACTAATTCATGCATTCATCTCATCAAGTCGTGATACATCGAAAACTTACAACACCTTCCCTTATCGGTCAACAAATCAAAATCTTCTATCCACAGTCTTGTTGAATTATAAGCTTATGATGGCTTCCGAAAATCAGGTCATGGCAGCCGTGCTTTCCCAACTTTCTGTCACCAAGCTCGACTTCCAACGCTTGGCAGATGACATTGGTCTCTCCAACTCCGAAGCAGCACGTTCGCGATGGCGTCGCTTGAAGGCCAAACTTGATGAGTCTGTGGCAGCCGTCCCAGAGTCTAGTCCAAGAAAAGCTTCAGGTAAGATTCCAACAGTGACAGATACAGTCTTCAAGGACTTCGCTAATCATCTCTAGTCACTTCACCGTCTCCACGCAAGGAGGCACCGGAGAAGAATGGGAACGGGAAGCGGGTGAGAGTGCCAGATATAGATGACATTGAAGATGATTATCATAAAGACATGGTTGAGAAACGTGAGGGGAAGGTTGTTGGGAAGGAGAAGGTTAAGCGGGGGAGGGGCAAGCCCAGACGGGCTGTGGTGGAGAAGAGCAAAGTCCTTGTGCCGGACGATGATTATGAGGGGGATGAGCAGGAAGAGGAGCCGATCGATGATATCGTTGATGATGCGATTCTGAAAACTTCTTCATTAAGGAGGGAATTGTAGGAAGGGCCCTGAAGCAAAGATTTCGTCCACATTCGGGACCACATATTTTCAATCCCAAGAAGACAGCTGGAATAAGTAACCTGAAAATTATACAAGAATCTGATTAAACACGAGAATTTATCTATGAGTGACCTGACCCTGTAAAGTTTGTGTTTCTCGGAGTCTGACTTAAGTGTGGAGCAATTGGGAGTAAACTGTGGGTCAGAAGATCTTTTTAAGCATATTCAGGGATCCGGAATCTCTTTCTCATACATCAACGACTGTCAATATGCATACTAAAACGCTTAAATAAGTAAAAAATCAAGTTTTGTTCCTCATTTATGAAAAGACGGAAGGCAAAATCAACCCAGAAGGACAAAAAACAAATCTCTCGAAGAGGGCCGAATTGGGGATTGAACCCAAGACCACGTACAAGCGTTGATATTACCCAAAGCACGTATTCTACCACTGAACTATCCGGCCTATTGATGTGGAGTTCGAGATGTTACTTGGTTATGAGTAGCAGGTGAAAATTTGCAAAGCGGAGTTTTTCTCTTTAAGCGAGATGCCAGGACTCCACCTTGAACTCCACTGTATTTCAATTTAGAATCGCACGATTAGTCGTAGAAACGGTGCTTAAGTTGACAGGTAAACAGATTTACAAAAATTGAATTAAACTTTATTGAGGCTATGACTGAGATAAGTAGGTCATTCGTCCAGGAATCCGTCACTAATCCAACTCCTCGCTCTCTGCTGCTGGGTTCTCATCAAACCACCTATCGCGAGAGAGGCAGTAAATAGAGATCATGATATTCTTTGAGACTAATTCAAAACACAAGAATATTGTACGTTCAGGGTCTAGAGTGTAAGTTTTCAACTTTTCTCCCAAACAAGGCAAGGTGCCTCACAGTTCATCGGAGCTCCTCGACTCCGCTTCCATCCTCTCATACGTCGTCTCCATACTCCCAATCTCCACGTCCAGACACTCCACACACGGAAGTCCAACCATCTTTACGAGTCTAGCTGACTCCATCGAATTCTTAATCGGTGTCGTGTAAGCAAGTCTCACACAGCCACAAGTGTATGTCCAAAAAATTTTGGCATATCCAGGGCGGAACTCAGCATTAACACAGTCGTTGCATACGGAATCGGCCCTTTCAAGCGACGTCGTGGAGGTACATGACGTGTAGGAGTGTGCGTTCGAGCATGGTGTGGCGAAGATGAGATGCTTGCAAGTGCAGGTATACCTTCTGAAGCCTTTCTCGCACATTTTGACTTGAGTTTTGGTACACCACAGGAGGGGTGGAAGCGGGATGAGGTACTTGGTGGAGGAGAAGGGAAAGTGAGGGGCCAGTGAAAGTTGATTGCGTTCTACTGCTTATCTTTGAATTTCAGACTTGTTCTTGATAATAAAGAAGCGCCCTGTTTGACATTCCTTTCAGCGTCTTGATGCGGGGCAAACTGTCCTAGGCTTTGAGGATCCGCCCGCAGAACAAAGGCTGGGACTTCTTCGCGAGAATCTAAGGTCAGTAAAATGTTTAGACAATGGTTTTCGCATTTTGATCTATCAAGGACTAAAACAATTATGTTGTTCTATCTTCACGTGCCTTCAAGAGAACAATGTCAGCGATCTTGGTGTCCATAAGTCGATCCCCAGGTAATTTTTGACATCTCTCTAATTTCAAACAGCATACAAAAAAGCTACTCAATAGATTACATGAAAACTCCGTAAAAATGTGCAGAAAAGAGATATACCTCTTCACTTGCGGTGAGACCCTCCTTTATGGAGTACTCAGCTGTGTAGATGTCACCAACTGCAGTGGCATTTCAGGCGTCACATACACCAGACTGTCTTGCCCATGTAATATCTGCTACCAGATAGGATTAGTGGCGATAGAATGGCAAGGAGGTGGGGCATAAGAAATGTACAATAGATGAATCGAAGCAGTAGAATTCCAGATCGCTCTCTAAAATCGCTCTTCTCCGGTTATTACTCCATGAATAGAAATACATTTGCCACTTCATTTCTTGTTTACATGCCATTTCAATGTCAAATTCCTAAACGAATGAGTCGAAATGACTCATAAGCGTCAAGCTTAAGCCATCTCAGAGACGTATTAATGGTCCTCCAATTATACCAAGTTATCGTCAGGTTGTCCACTCCGATTACAAGCACTGATAATTTACCTTGACTTGACACGAAATATGATTCACAAAGATCTTCGTTACAGAATTTTGTTACACGACTTCTCATTTCAAGGACCAGCCCTAACAAGTCCAGTAATGCTATCTATTGTCCTCAGATGCTTCTGCATCTCTTTTCCATGCGCTTTCGCACCTGCCCGCGTAACACAATCTGGACAAGTGTCCCCATGAGGGATTATGACCTGATTGCCTTCAGGATCGCTGCAGTCGGAATACGCACATTTAGCTACGCGTTGCCAGACAGTGTGCCTACAAATCTTGTACTTGAAGTATTCGTTGTAGCACATTTTGAGTCTACTAATTACTTCAAGATCTACTTGCGTTGGTTTAGGATAAGAATAGGACAGCTTAGGAAGAATTTTCAGGATGTGTATCTGACGACATTAATATATCTGGGGGACTCTAAATCTGGCTGAATATCAAGCATTGCATATATGGGCATCTCAATGGCATTGTTCTCTCCCGGGATTGGCAAACTGTCAAGGAAGGGCAATGAAGTCACCTATCGTCTGTACAAAAAGTCACAGAAAACTGGCAATGGCTTTTGCATCTCCCTTTAACTGCAAACAAAGGAGCTCACGTTTTAGGGCGTCAAAGCGTTCTTTGAGATTTGGAGTTGAGACAATAAGAAACTGATAACAATAGAAGTTTGAGACAAGGACTTTGGGTTGATCCATCAAAGTGTGCTAGTGAAGACTTGATGATCCAGCTCCGGCATTGTTACAAGGGCCTGATTTAATTTTTACAATTATGAGAGTCATGTATTATGTTCACTCACGATCAATGGACAAGTATAAATTCAATAGACAATTAAAGTGTTCAATAACAACAAATAGCATTTTTGGTTTATCAATTTCCTCAATTTCTGTTTTGCCACTTCAGGTATCCTCGCTGATCCTATCTCCCCTCACAATCACTGAATCATTTGCTCATTCACTCAATCCGAAAGGTTTTGCTTCTTGATTTACAACTTATTTCATTTATTTCCAGCCGGAAGAAGCAGTCTCAGTGGCGCGGCTCAAGAGCTCTACTACAAACTATGACCATAGTTCTGCTCCTCATCTCTCACTCTGTCCTCCATCTGCATCCTCTTCATCATCTCCGCCCTCTCCCTCCTCACACAATCATCACACTTTTCTGGTATCCTCCGAAAGAACTCGTCGTCGCGATTGGGACCATCACAGTCTTTCCATTGGCAGCGGGCGAGTCGATTCCAGACTAGGTGGCGGCAGGAGTAACGTAGGAATTCTTTGTAGCACATTTTCTTTTGTGATGTGATTAGAGTGAGTCGTGGTGTGTTGGTGTGCGAAATGATATCTGTAGACAGTGGAGAAATCGGAAGCCTGGAAAAAGATCCAGAAGTTGGATCTTGGAAGTTGTAATGATGAAGATAATGAGACGAGAATGGAAATTCATGTTGATATGTAAGACTTGGTCAGGGTGCTGTCTTCATCTTGATAGCCAAAGACGCTCGACCCCAGCAACAGAATACAAAGAATAGAACAGCCTCCATTATCAAGTTCTTGCCAGTAGTTTGAGCGGACTCTCCGCTCTGGATTAGTAAGTGATACCTAGACTATTCTTCTATCCTCCGCTGCCCCATCTTCCCTTCGCCTTCTTCAGACACACAGCAAACAACCTCTTCTTTAGCCGTTCCATTACTTGGTGGAAACAGGAAAGAAAGAAAAGTTTGGGTCACAACTAAGTGCAAAATAGGTGTCCCCCTTTCATCTGGATTTAGCTGACCGCTTAGTAAGCTCTGAATCTTTAGGAAGGCTTGGGAGAGAGGGGCGGGGTCATTCAACGGGTCGTCATCGTGGCCGGACCCGACCTAAGATTTCACTCAAATTTGAGAATATCAAGACTTCTTATCACATCATGAAGAAAAATAGCACATCTACAAAGAACATCCCAGCAGCACTTGTGCTAAACTGGACATCTACACGCGTTGAGATTCTCTGCCCATTCGTATCCTGCGACGAAAAGGTACATGGTCATGGCTATTCCCCGCCATCCGAAAACAACCTCAATACTAGAGAAGCACATTGTTCCTCACGAATGCATCTTCAGTACCGCCTTTTGTTTCCATATGAAGACGATCCACTCGTGAGAAACTTTGGTTTTCCTCTTAGATCGTCAAAACCTAAGATGGAGAACCATCGCTGATGGTAAAGGACCCAAGGATTGATGAGGCAGAAGAGCCAATCTCGACTTTACTGCGCGAGACACGACTTTCAGACTCTGCGCACGACTATACCTTGGATAGCGAAGACGCAGAACAGTTCCTATCAGACTGCATCAATAACGACTATTTGTTGTGTAAGCACCGGCTCGAAACATCAAAAGAACGTGACGTGTTAGTCAAGGGGAAGGACTCTTGTAGTGGTAAATCGGTGCTGTCTTTCGTGAGCGAGGAAGGTCACTTGGAAATCGCCAAGTTGCTGTGTGAACATGGCGCTGAGCTAGAAAATTTCGACGATGATGGAAGAACTCCGGTGATGCTGGCTACTCTCAATGGCCGCGGCCAGACCGCAATGCATCTAGCAGGGTATGGTGCTTCTCTCTTTATCAAGGATAGGGATGGTACAACCTTGATTCAGGCCGCGAAGACTGCGTTCCGGCAGCTGAGTGAGCGGGAATGGTCAATAGCCAAAACTCCGATCTATGCCTCGGAAATGGGTTCTTCGGAGGCCGTAGAGCAAGTGGACAGCAGGAATCATGTCCTCCAACATATCAAAGAAAGGAAGGAGGGCTTAAAACACATTATTGATCTCTATTTGGCATTAAAGCCAGAAAAGGACATCCAAGAACATGCTACGTCAGATGTTATGGAAAACGACTCATTTCGCATTACACAGAGAAATGTGTTATGTAGGCCACGTATGTCTCTGAGTAAAGTCCTTTTCGAGACCGACATGGCTAGAGACACCAAAACTTTCGCGTTCCTGGATCGCGGTCGGCCATTCGATAATATACAGGCCGCTGCCGTGAGTGGTTATACTGCGGGAGCAGGTGGGGCCAATGATGGATGTTTGAGTCGGGACCTCTGGACGTCGAGAGTCATGAATTACTGCGAAGTTATAGGACATGAATTGCCTCAGATCAACCAACTAGACAGATCAGTACCGAAAGAATTTTACGCTTCTCATGCTGAAAAACAGCTGATGGCGTACTTCTTGTGGATGCATACGACCATAGATCAGAACTTCAGGGAAAGCAATGACGATGGGGAGGTCTGGGGAAACAACAATGAAATGCGTAATCTTCATCTCAGCAAGCCTGATGTTATGTTGCTGAAGAAGGATATCTATGTTTCGAGGGACCCTTGTACTGATTGCAAGCTCTTTCAGCAGCGACTTCTTGAGAAAGAAGGCATCGACTTTAAATTCTTCTTTATCCGGCCGATTGTGGTTCGATTCGGCAGCTAGCAAGGCATTCCAAAACAAGACAGTGCAAGTGGCCAAAACTAAATACAGTATTGACATTGCAGTTCCTATCATGGCACTATAGCGACCTGGTAAGATACTGCACTTTTGTCAACCCCACTGGTCATTCAAGCCTGGGGATACAGAATCTGGTGGAAATGGGTTATCGAACGGCAGTCATCGTGTGTCTTAAGTGATATAGAAAAGCGTCTGCTTTCAGAATCGTTTCATAGAAATTGGGTATATAGGACACCGATTTCGCTCCTAGCAGTACTTCTCGCAAGACTCAATCTCGTTCACCAAGTTTTCGAAAGAGTTCATTGTCATCATTGTGTCAACTTTTCTCGGTAGCTCGCTCAATCTCCTATTCTTTTCCTTACTTCTCTTTCTCCCTATTTACCTTTCATTCAACGCATTACAATGGCTTTTTGTTTATTCGACAAGAGATACATAAGAATAGAAAGAGTACAAAGACATTATGTATAAACCTCTGTTTCTATCCTTCTTTGTAGGTTGCCCCCCAAACCTCCCACAAAGGCCTTTATCTCACATTCGACAGAACAAGACAATACCATTGAGACAGACTCTCGAGTCTCTCTCGAGTCTCTCACCAGCTATATAAACCCCCCGAAACAGCTCTCTCATCATTATATCTATCATACAAACCAACCAAAGCAAACCAAGCAAAACAACCAGCAAACCAAACAGTTTAGAAAACTCAATCCATTCCTACAAAAAAAAACCCGTCCATCCAAATATACAGCACAACACCCACCACCACCTTGCCACCCACGAACCAAAAATACCCCAAAAAACTTCACCCAAAACAAAATCGGCCAACAAAAATAAGACAAAAAAATGTGCACACGAGAATACTGGAAGTACACCTGCGGCCACAAGGTCTTCCTACCCGACAGGACTTGCGTCGCATATCCGATACACGGCGACGGTGAAACTTATACTGATCCAGCCTTTTGGATGCGTACGGACCTACCTGAGGCGTGTGAAAATTGTCAAAAGGCTGCTTCAGGGAGGGTGCGAAGATGAGATGATGAGATGACGAGCTTTAAAGTGGAAGAGTGGAAGAGTGGAGGTAGACAGAGATATATTAAAAATGTTTAAAAAAGAATATTGAGATTAGGGAATTGAATTTCTGAGATTTGAGAATAAGTCCGCTGAATTGGCTGGGTGAGTATGAAGCTTGTTGGATAGAGAATTGTGTGTTTTGATGAATGCTGCGTGACGTAAATCGTGATTGATTGTTTTTCTTCTGCATCTATACCTTGGTATGCTAAGCGAATATCAACACTCGCCTCACTGCCTCGGCCCTCCTCCTCCCACGCCATTGTCACTGTCACCCTTCCCTCTTCCCACCCCTCTCCTCTCCTTAAACCACTAACGACATTCTTTGAAGTGACTTAGTGTTCTTACATGTTGGAGCTAATACAACAGAAATCTCAGCTCGCTCTACAGGGATGCTTCTTGAATTGGTAAGTGCTGAAACGTAAATTTCGAGGTAACCGGGTCCAGAGTGTTTGGGAAGGGCATACAATGTAATGTAAGTGAGTGATAGGAAACAGACTGTAGAAATTTTGGAGCGATCACCGACTCAGAGCTGCTTGAATTCAGAGTACCTAAGGTATATTTTGTCTCTCTTCATAGAGACGCCCATTAACAGCTTAATAAACAAACGCTGCCTGCGTCAACGGCAACGTCACCGCCGGCTCAGCCGTCATGTGGACCCCATCAGCCTCAACCCTATAACTCTCGGGATCCACCTTCATCCTCGGCCTCACATCATTAAACTTCATATCCTTCTTGCCGATACTCCGACAATTCTTAACGGCTTCGATGCGTTTATTTAGGTTGTAGGAGGCGATGTTGCCGCTGGCGATGGATGACGCGGAGACGAAGAGGATGGATGTTGAGGGGACGAGGGGCGCGAACATGGGGCGGGCGATGATGGGTTGTACGGTGGGGATGGAGGCGTTGGGATCGCCCTGCGGGAGGGGGGTTAATATGTCAATTTGTACACAGATGAGAAGCGAAAATGGCATGGAGAGGGAGGGGAGGGGACATACCATTTGAGCGTAAGCAATCAACCCACTCTTCACAACAGTCATCGGCTTCGTCCCAAACCAAGCCGGATCCCAAACCACCAGATCCGCCAGCTTCCCCACCTCAATACTCCCAATAACATGACCCATACCCTGCGCAACAGCCGGGTTGATAGTATATTTACTCACATATCTCTTCACCCGGAAATTATCCGCTCCCGTTCCCTCATCTTCAGCTAGATAGCCGCGCTGCACTTTATTCTTGTGCGCTGTGTTCCACGTGCGGAGGATGACTTCGCCGCAGCGGCCCATGGCTTGGGAATCTGAGGACATCATGCTGATGGCGCCGAGATCGTGGAGTACGTCTTCGGCGGCGATGGTTTCTGCGCGGATACGAGATTCGGCGAAAGCGACGTCTTCGGGGATGTTTTTGGAGAGGTGGTGGCAGACCATTAGCATGTCGAGATGTTCGTCCACAGTGTTGCGGGTGAATGGTCGTGTGGGGTTCGTTGATGAAGGGAGAACATTGGCGTGTTCGACGACGCTGATGATATCTGGGGCGTGGCCTCCTCCGGCACCTTCAGTGTGGTAGGTGTGAATTGTACGATTCTTGATGGCGGCGATGGTGGATTCGACGAAACCGGATTCATTGAGTGTGTCGGTGTGGATGAGACATTGAACATCGAGTTCGTCGCAGACTGTGAGGCAGGAATCGATGGCCGAGGGCGTAGTTCCCCAATCTTCGTGCAGTTTGAGGCCACATGCTCCAGCGACGATTTGTTCTCTCAGCGCAATAGGAGAGCTATCATTACCCTTGCCTGTGATTCCAAAGTTGACAGGTAGAGTATCACATGCTTGGAGCATCTGTCGCATATAATTCTTGCCTGGAGTACAGGTCGTAGCACTCGTCCCAGCACTGTTCTCATTAGCGAAAGTCAATAACATTCGTCCGATATCATACCTAGGACCAGTACCACCACCAAGCATAGTCGTAATACCCGACGCAATCGCCTCATTAACCTGCTGAGGACAAATGAAATGGATATGCGAATCAAATCCACCAGCCGTAATGATCTTCCCCTCTCCAGCAATAACATCGGTACAAGACCCCACAATCATGTTCGGCGGCGAGATCCCGTCCATCACATCCGGATTCCCAGCCTTGCCAATACCAACAATATATCCATTCTTGACACCAATATCAGCTTTATAAATACCCGTCCAGTCCACAATCAACGCATTTACAATCACCAGATCCAGGGACACCTCATCGGAAACACCAGTCGCTTGACCCATACCTTCACGAAGTGTTTTGCCACCTCCGAATTTACACTCATCGCCATACGACGTCAAGTCTTTCTCGACCTTGATCCAAAGATCCGTGAAACCCAATCTTACCATATCGCCAACTGTAGGACCAAACATCGTCGCATACGCCGCTCTATCCATCTCAAACCCAGAAATATGTCCTGCGTCAACAATCGGTTCAGGCGCATGTGCGAATCCACCTTGTTGGAGCTTTGCTACGATATCGTCTATGCGTGAAAGATCTACTTTGCCCGTCGCTAGATGATTTCCTCCACGAATAATCTTGTTTCCTCCAATCTCGACCAGAGTGACAGTCTTTGTATCTCCAGGTTCGAAACGGACTGATGTTCCTGCTGCTATGTCGAGGCGGTATCCGTAGGCTTTTGCGCGGTCGAATTCGAGCTGAGGATTCGTCTCGATGAAATGGTAATGCGAACCAATCTGCCAAAATTAGCCAGTCTTCTTCCGATTTCTCTTCTTCCTCTTGCCCTCTCCAAATCGTCCTCCTCCCTCCTCCTCATTCCAACCAAATATCCAACCCAAAGGAAATCAAGCACCCACCTGTATCGGCCTGTCCCCCAAACTCCTAACCCTCAACCTCACCCTCCTCCTCCCCTCATTCAACCTTATCTTCCCCTTCCCCACACCCACACCCTCCCCATCTCCCTCCCCATCCCTCCCCCTCTTCCCCCTAACCACAACCACCGCCCCCGGCATCCTCACCCCCTCATACTCCTCCTCCCTCGACAACGCAAAAAGATCCTTATTCGGCACAGGCAGAAAACTGCCATAGAGCGCCCTAGCCAAATCCCCGTCGTCGGTACTGATAGGGTGGTGCACGGTGACTAGGTAGGTGCCGGTTGGGAATGTGCCTTCGACCATTATTTCTGTGAGGGTTGAGCAGACGGAGGGGAGGACGTGGCGTCGGCCGAGCATCGTGCTGCCGAGGGACATGAGGTCTGAGACGGTGTGGGCGCCATCGCGGATGAGCTGAAGGGGGAGAGGTTGTGTCAGTATGGTGTCTGGGTAGAGGGTCCTGGGAGGAGGGAGGAAGAGGGCAGGGGAGGGGGAGACAAACTTCTTGTAAATTATTCGCAATCAGCGCCTACAACCCAATCCAACCAAAAAGTCAGTATGATCTCCCCTCTTCATATCATGCTCCAATCCAAAGACCACCTTAACCCCCAGACACACCTCCGGACAAAAGAGAACTCACACAAGCCTCCGAATGATTCAACTTCACCCCCCTCGCCAGCCTCCTCTGCGCAAGCAATCCCAGCTGCGAAATAACGAGCTTATCGAGCTGTGCGACGCGACAATGGCATACATTAGCAGATTTCCTTACTTCCAATTAATACAGCAGTTTCTCGATCCCATCTTTCAGGTGGGCTTCAATGCCATCCCCTCTAGCTCCCTTGAGAGTCCGAATAGGGATCGGTAATTGGAGTCATCCCCTCTGATCTCGGGAACAGCAAATGGGGAGAGGAAAAGGAAGTCGGAGAAAGAAGAAGAGAAGGGAAAGGAGAACGCACCTCTTTCGGAACGAGATGCATCGTGATGCTTTTTGCGACTCTTCAATCTGCTCTGCTGGAACAGAGAGGGAGAAGTACAGTAGACAGGAAGTTCCAGGTCCGGAGGAGCTTCAATTATTGAGCTTAGGAGTGAGCTGGTGAGCTGTTGGAGATGCGAGTCTGGGACGTAGCCTACGAGCCTACCTATCACCCCGCGCCGATAAGCAATGATTTTTCCGGTAGGGATGTTGATAACAGCCATGACAGCGCGAAATCCCCGGCTGGGCAGGGGCAAGGAAAAGGCTGAGTGGATTAATTGGATGATGCTACTCATCCGATTGGCTTGTGCTATGACGTGCAGTAATAGATCTTGCTTCTTCAAAGTATCAAAAGTTATCGCATTATTATTCGTGCTCAGAAGAGCAGATACGGCCCGGCAACGGGGCAACGGGGCAACGGGGCAACGGGGGTTTCTTGAGACCTCAATGATATAACCTTACATCTAGAGCGAGGGTACTGGGATGTTCACGGACTTCGAGGTTGCGGGCTTGGACTATGAATGAACCTTTTTCTCTCCCTTTCTTCCTTTCTTCCTTTCTTCCTTTCTTTCTTTCTTTCTCTCGTTCTCTGTCTCGTTCGGCCGCAGACAGCCATGGTAATTTAATTCTCTGATGAACCCTTTCCAATCGTCCGTGACTGCCCCACCATACCAGCGAAGTCCATTCAACACTTCCCTGGAAATACCGTCCAGGCTATCCCATAATCTGCCTTAACACATCATCTCGGAGCGCGTCTAGGTTGCCCGTGGCATCCACGATTATGACATTGTCTTGTGGGCGGCACGGGTGATCGATCCACTTCTGGAAGAGGGCGTGTGAGTCCTGGTCTGCACGGGTGCTGCGTGCGGCAGCAGGAGGACAGTCGACGGCGGCTCGCTGACTCTTCACTGAGTCCCGGCTGCGCAGTCGTTGGTCTAATAGGGGAATGTCTTGAACCTTACACTCGACATACCAGTAGGTGAAGCCGTGTTGTTTGGCAAGTGCAGACCCTTGGTCGAGTACCTCCTGGTAGTTGCAGGTACTATCAATGATGATGCTGTGGCCTTGCTTCATGAAGTCCTGGGCTAGGATCCACTGAAGCTGGTAGGCATGCTTTGCGGCTTCGTCAAATGGAGTGTTGGCTTCAAGAAAGGAAGATCGGAGAATATCATGATCGATGATTACCCCATTGACGGAGCATCCGAGCTTTTTTGCCATCGTACTCTTCCCAGAGCCTGGTGCACCAGACATCTGAATGAAGAGCTTGTTTGGCATTGTCTGAAGCATTTTGTTATGCTTTGACAGGTGTGTGTATACGTGTGGGGTGTGTGCTTTCCGTGGATCGGTTGAGGAGAAAGGGAACTCATCATATAGGTAGAAGCTAATTGCACATGATCGCACAATCGATTCCGGTAAGGTAGTCACATATACGTGTCGTGCCATCCTGGGTACTACAGGGCTGTGTAAAGTTATCACTGAAATTATTGCTCTGCAGAAGGGTCATGAGAATAGTGCGACTCCCCATCACGCTCGTATATCTTTTGTCTTTGCAAATAAGGTAAATTATGTTTCTCACAGCTCTATATCTCTCTGGAATCTCTCGATTGTTAGGAACTGGGACCATGCTTGGGCACGTGACTCTCAGTCGAATCACCACAAATAGTACCTACGAGCCTACCTGCCTAGGTATGTATGGCTCAGACTGAGGGTAATACCCTGACTTCTAGGACGCTCTAGGATTAGCTCAGGCGTCAGGGTTCTTCTACTTCTACTAGTTCTTTTTTTTGTTCTTCCTCCCTTAGGAAATTTAGTTCAGAATTCTTAAAATTGAAATTGTTGTAGCTGACCTTACTATGCCAATAAGAGCTTTGTGACATCAACTCTTTTATCCTCTAGGTCATCTCCTTCCATTTTGTCCGCCGTTTCAGCATCGAAGCGGACACCTGTTTGTTTTTAAGAAGTATCGTCTTGAGTCCAGCCGGCCTCCAAAATAGGGTTTGGCATTGCAACAACCGGCTGCGAGCATATTGCTTGGTTTGTGGGCGTTGGCATGGAACGAGTTGACTCTATAATAGTGAATTGCTATAACTCCAGTGTGAGGAGCGAAGAGAAAGCAGTTTCATCGAAGTGATCACAATCCTTCTCGTGGATAATGGGGGGAGCAAAGGGTTCTGATTGATGAAGGAGCTCCCACTCGACTAAATACACTTGCACTAGTCTTGCATCGTACCTTTTCTCCATCTCCCAACCAGAGCTCGCTGTGTACCAGCTCAAGCTTCGAGTCGACAGGGCTAGCAAGGACCATACGGGATCTACCTATTAAGAGTGCGTGGGTTGATTGACCTGACGTTGGTGCCATTGAACTCCAGCACCAGCGTAAGCCAGACTATTGAGGCGAGGGTCATCAGGAACGTTCGACAATAATTTTTGGTACTCGCAGTCGGAGCCATAATGATAAAAGCTCATCTTGTCTCCACCGTTCGCCAGTTCGACCAGCTGGGAGACGTTCCGAAATGATCGAGCGTTATTCCACACACGGTGCGAGTCCACGCCGTAGCCTTGCTGATGACTGAGTCGAATCCACTCGTCCCGCTTCATGAAGTGCGGGAGCACCACGTCAATCAGGAAAGGACTCATCCGTTTCGCGTAGTCGTCTTCTCTCTGCGAGATGACTTCCGATAGACGGTGCGGCACGAAGGTTCCGGACGTCGTTCGCATTAGCCTCTCTCCATTTTCATGCGCCCGGATGTCTCTGAAGCTCTTAGCGAGGAGCAGACCGTCCCTCTGCTCGGAATTGTCAACGCATACTCGCCAGGACAGACTTGAGCTCGATGTCGGCCTCTCGATGGCTAGAAGGCACAGTTCGTTTCCTCCCATGGCCAGAGGCTTACTGAGTAAGAAGAATGAGTCATTCTCGACAACCCATCGACCAGGCTTCGGGAAGGGAAGCTGGTTCGCCTGCAGCAGGGCCAAATGCAGAGGTGAGATGCCGAAGATCCCGGGGGAGAGAAGCTTGTCGTTGTCTCTTGCGGTGAGTTGCGAACGGGATGATGATCCTGTCGAGGAGACGTGGACGATCCTCAGATTTTCGATGGCCCACTGAGGAACTCTGCAATCTCTGAAGAATGCAATAGTCCTGCGTGTTGCCGCTGCAAGCATGTGGGTCTGTCCTCTCACACCATTTGATGGATGGATCACCACACATGGAAAGTTACTAACGCACTCGCCTGGGTCGGTCGAGATGAATACCGCGGTACGCTTTGGCAAATAAGTTCCGACCATTTCGCAGAGAAGTTTTTGGAGCGTGGAGACAGATTCGTTCTTGACGGAGAGTTCCAACACATCATAGGGCCATTTTGTATTCGATGCCTGCGAATCAAACAGAACATGATTTATCATCGCTATTCCAAACTCTGCACCTGTAGGTACGCACTCAAAGTCAGATGACGTCTCCGTGTTATTGATACAAAGCTCAGCTTCTCCTTCCAAGAGGTCGATAACGTCGTTCAATTTCTCAAGTCCCATGAGAAACAGAGGCACGATCTCCCATGGTGTGTCCCTACCCAGAGCACAAGCGCTATCTGAAACGAAGTGTGCCGCCTCACCAACCCTCAACCTCAACTCAAAGGATCGAACGCCATCGTGCTCGACTTTGTGTATCCACTGTTTCATCAATGTGTTGGCTGCTAGGGCTGGAATGAGCATGTGGGCAGCACCGTTCATGGTATCAGAACCGGGGTGGTTCTGAATTGTGAGTTTGTGAGAATCATCGTCAGCAGAGTAATCGAAAAAACGCTTCCTGATCTCCGAAAAGCCAGTCAGGGAGAATAGCAGTTTTGAGATGTCATAGCAATAGTCACCACGCTCGAAAGTCTTGTCATCAGAGGAACCAAGGAGTGAAACACCGCGAGGATCAATAAGCGCCAGTGGCTCATCCTCCTCTGGGTCTAGTCGGCTGAGTACATTGTGGATATTAAGGTCGCCGTGGATTTCGCCGAGGATTTTGGGCGAAATTTTGGCCAGCCTAGGATGACACTCCAGCTTCTTCATGACCGTTTCGAACCCAGACAATCGCCTCCCATTCAGTATGACAGTCTCCTGCTTCAGGATTCGGTCAAGCGTCTTGTCTTGCTGACGAGCTATCTTGAGCCGCCTTCTCATCCGAGCAAAGTGCGCCTTCTGAATGAAGTAGGGGCTACATTCTTCCTGGCCCTCGGTCCAAACCGAGGTGGCCATCCGGGAGAACATGTTTACCACGGCCTTCACGATGGACTCGGCACCCACATTGGCAAATACCATCTCTCCAAAAGAGTGACTTGGGATGTATGGCAGCACGAGGGTAACATTGCCATTGTTGTCCGTGACTGTATCAGGTACTACGAACATTCTTGTCTTCTTCACAGCCCGACTGGACCTCAAGAACAGTGACTGCCGCCTCAGCCATGGTGCACCGTTGCCGTCAATTCCGTACCCCGAAGCTGACTTTCGAACCGTCACTAAGCCATCAACTCCTGGCACCAGCGTGACGTTCACTGAAGATCCACTCTCGTCCAGAGCAACGGGATTAATTGCGTCCAAAGGCTGCCCGGCGCTGTGCGGAGCGAGGATGACTGCCCCGCCGATAATCGCATCCACTCGAAGTTCCTTGAAAACACATTCACCCCGGCTCCATTGCTGTTGTGACTTGAGTCGCTCGAGGAACTCGTCGACTGAAATGTCGTGCATGGGTAAATAGTTGCGCGGAACGAGAAATTTCGAGTGTACGCTGGCATCGTCCAGGACTGGTATGGTCAAGTGCTGACGGAACTTCGATTCGAGGTCGACCACGTCTGCAGATTCGCTAGGAGGGTCTCGAGCACTATCGGACTCCCTTTTCTCACGGATGTTTGTTGTACACCTCTGGATAAGTTTGATCAAGTCGCAGATGATCCTGACTGTGCCGAGGCTGATACTGTTGGAGATAGGGAGGGTGATCGAGGTTGTAGCCAGCATTTGGCTGTGCTTGAGATCTCCTCCAACTCTGCCGTGAGGACTAAACTTCCCATTGACAGCGACACATGGCATTCTGTCCGCACTGCAATGAACATTCTCGGCCTTGAGAGCATTGCAGATTCGTCTCGCGCTGAGTCCAAAGCTCTTGGCATCGATCGTGGCACTCACCTGGTAGTGATTTGTTCCCAGCCCAGCAGGGATTTGCTGGAAAGTAACACCAGGAACACCAGCGAGAAGCTGCCGGTACAATTGCCCAGCCTCTATACGAGCCTGAAGGGCCTCCGGGAGGACATCCAGTGCTCGGAGACACATGAAGGCGTTGACCTCGGCGAGGGCCTCATGACGCAGGATCCCGGTAGGGTTGCGCTCCAGCAGGTCGGCCAGAGACTTCGGGCACACGATAAGACCGCCCGATCCTGCCCCCGTGAAGACCTTCGGGTAGCCTAAGCTGTAAATAGTAGCATGAGCGAGGCCGATCGAAGGCGGTTGGCCGTTGGTAGCGCCGAAGCTCTGAGCATTGTCAGAGATCAAGGTGATGCCATGCTTGTCTGCCAGTTTGCGGAAGGGTCCGAGATCGCATTGAGTGCCGAGCCAGTCCACGGTGACAATTGCTGCGGTCTTGTCTGAGAGGAAGCGTTCGGTGACCTCGGGCGACAGGAGCCATGAGTCCGGATCGACCTCCACGAAGACTGGCTCAAAGCCTCCGTCAATAACGGCTTCAACTGTCGCTCCAACCGTGGTCTGGGGAACAATGACTTCTTTGCGGCTAGTGGGCCCGCTAGCGCTAACAGCGGTCAGTACGGCCCGAAGCGCGTTCGTGCCGCTGCTGACGCAGATGACTGAGGTCTTGTCCGGATCGACTTTCAGGAACTCTTGGATACGGCATTGCAGAGCGACCCGGTAGCTTTTCCCAAAGCTTCCGACCCCAGGAAGAATCTTTGCAACAAAGCGCTGCTGGCTGCCACGCGCCTTGGACTCCTCATTAGGCTCGTTGCCGAGGATGGCATCGACTGCGGTGAAGTCTCCTGTGGCACGATAGCCTTGGGTATGGATTAACGGCACAGGCGCATGACGAGGGAACGCTGGACGGCCGCCGAGCACAGCGAGCTGAAGTGGAGCATTTCCGACGGGGGCCATGGCGGATTCGATTTTTCAGGAATTTGCTGGCACTTTGTCAAAGGTGTCACTACCTACGTCTTTGCTAATTAAAGCTGCAAAACTCAGTTCAAAGAGAATGCTCTCGAGATATCGGAACTGGTGAGTCAAAGTTCAGTGCAGTGTCTTGACAACAAGCTGACTGAACGACACTACTCTGAGAGCCGGACAGGTAGTCCGAAGTCGTCTTTATATTCTCAGGCATAAGCCATTTGTTCTACATGTCATCTGTGATACTACTGTGCTATCGTCCAATTATGAATTAGAACAGTCAATGGAACCTCAGATGTCCTGCGCGACCTTATGACTCCTTGTGGATTTTAGTAGGAGTCTGGTTGGAGAAGTGAATATTCAATAGGAATTTGGTAGGAATTCGATGGAAACTTGATAAAAGTTGACTAGGAATCAGACGGGAACTTGATGGGAGCTCAATCAACAAGTTGATGAAAACATGATGAGGAACTGCTGGGAACTTGTTGGGAACTTTGTGAGAGTTGATGCTGTGTAAACCTTCAACAAAGCTCTTGCTTGAACCTTTTCGTGATTGTGGGATGGTGGAACCAGCTGGTGCCGGAGTCATGCGCAGATGAGACTTATGACCTCGAATCCCATTGCAACTTTCTCGTTTTAGCTTAGACTTCTTAAGGTGAAAAGGAGAACTGGCTGACCTCGCTAGACGTTATGAGAATCTCGTCCTAACTCTGGTGAGTTTTTCCCTACTGTTTATTCTGTCCTGTTGATTTAACGCTCCTCGAATGCATCTGGCATGTGCAAAGAAAAATCCACAAATAGACGATGTACAGACCTTGATCTCCTTCGAATTCTTTAAGGTATCACCGCTATGCTGTACTGTCTGCATGGATCGGGAAAGCCATGGTCGCCAGTCCAGTTTGTGGCATCCCAGAACCCCCTAGCTCGCTCAATCATCCATCACTCTCTTTGCCACTCCCCTCAAATTGCATTCAAAAAGCAGCGAGAGTCTGTAAGCGTAGGCCACAGATTCATTCCAAACAAGACATGCAATATCCGCACGATTAATGGATCTCCAAGAACCAAAACCAAGTTTTCCCAACTTCCTTATGTGCAACATGTGGTGGCACCAATCGCGATCTTCTCTACCATCTGCATAATGATAGGCGAAGCTCGTAGACAATGGTCTATCAGACAATCTTTCCACAATATATGATTGGAGGAATCTAGCCAAAGTTCCAGAAGTCCCGGAGTCACAGTGCCACGGACAGTTTTGCCTGTCAAGTCCCCGAGTCGAGTTCTGTCAGGCTGTACATTCTTTGGTCATCACACATGAAGCTCATCTTTCTACCACAAACAATGACATCAAAAGAGGCGATTCAAACCAAGTTCTTGCCGTGTCCCTTACAGCCAACCACGCCACAAAGCCGCCTGAACCTGAGATCTTCTGAACGCACTGTTATATTGTGGTGAGACCACCCGGTTTGGTTGCAGTGTAAAGAAGTTACGCTCGCTACCTGCTGTTGCAGGCAGTAAGACACAGAGTGACATAAATGTGAAACCATTGTTCCTTCAAGACACAACACCAACAAGAACACTTAGAATAATCACAACTACTACACTCTTTAGAGATATTCTATCTAATCCATTCTTTTCTTCACTCATGGTTTGCCGTACTTCGCAGCTAAGATATATGATATCATGAGATTTGCTCAATCCTATTCTTTGTACCAAAGTACTTCTTGTGCCTTTAGTGCTACCTCTCTTGTAGTGTGGGTCTTTGTAGTTTGGTGGCCAGTTAGAAAGAAGAGTGTTCAGTTGCAGAGGTGGTTATCCCCAAGACATAACCTAAGCTCACATCCCTCGAACGGGCAGATACAATGATGGTCGTGGTGTGCAAAGAAGGCGAAATGACAAGAAGGAGCGCAAGCCACGCAAATACTTTGGCATGATTCGAAGTGTCGAAATTCTTGCGAGGATTTGTGAGATATACCTGTGAGGCTCTAAAAGGGCTACGCTATACCCAAGGAAGCATCAACCAAAGCAATGGAATAGGATTCAAGGCTGGCTGCCTGCAACGAACGCGGAACGCCCCTGTGTCAAGCTCAAGCACCCACACTCTCGAAGATTGATACACATACTACCAGTCTTTGCTTTTTGTTCGCTCCCGCTTCCGAGGCTTCCCCGCTTACTTTGCAAAGAAGTTCCCATGGAGTAGCTACCTATCCCTTTTAAGTGCCGTAAACACACTTTTGACAGGACCCGGCGCTGAAGCGAGGCACTAAGATTCTGGTGGTTTGCTTGTACCACAGGGGACGCGCACTAACTAAGGCCTTGGTAAAATAGTTGTTCTGGAAGGCAATTCAAAGGATAATAAGTAACCTAGGAATTACTATCCTATCTCTGTCTTGGTCGTATTATACTAAGGTATCTTAGCTAGCAGCATCTTTACTTGTTGGTGCGCGGCTATCAAAAGAGGGAGATAAAAGTTATTAGAGCGACTAGTGGTCCCCGCTGCCCAAGCACACCGTGGGCATTTCGGGGTTACTCTTTTATGATCTGAAGGTAGACATCTTCTCTTCATTCATTAGATCTATCATATCCGTCCTTCTCTTCTCTTGCCACTCCCCGATCAACGTATTGGAGCTCTGTGTACAAAGGTACCAAAATGTGGTGGAGAAAGATCCTATCCTGTCCTATCCAATCCCATCACATCCCATCCTATCCAACCGATCCTGTCCCCCTCTTTCCCAACTTTATAGGCAAACCCCTTCACCGATAATACTCCAAAATCGTCCGTTAATCCTCCCAAGGTATTTTGCAAACGCCAATAAACACACACCGCCAATCAATGCAAATGCAAACGCTAAATTCAAATATCAAATATCTCATCTCATCTCATCTCATCTCGTCACCCTGAATCGATGCTTTTCAAAAGCCGGGAAATGCCTTGGAAAGATTCTTCCGCCCTAAGTAGGATGTTAGTAATATGAATCTGGTTCACGGAGAGACGAGACAACTTACACTTAGATTTATGCCTCTCACTAACGAGATCCGGATCTCGTATCGGAATCTGTCCAGCTTGCAATTCTCGAATCCTCCGCTCAACAAAATCTTGTCCCGAGAGCTCCAGACTCAAAGCGCCTTGATCACGACCTGCCCCAGGATGAGCCACAAACACTGGTTGAGGCTGCCTAGGTAATGGCTGCACCGCTTGACGTGGGCTCAAAAAGTGTTTTCGGATGTTTGCTCTGAGATCTTGAACTCGCCGACGGGCACCGTAGGCCTCAACATCTCTAGGTTCGTTTTGAACAGAGACCCGCGACCTGATTCGCCGTAGATTGCGCTCTCTTCGAACCATTGCGTTCGTTATGATTGTAGGACAGAAACCGATTGGCAACGCACTCTTTTTACACATCGGACATAACGAGCTGTTGTTGGCGAGGAAGGTGTCGATACATTCTGGATGGAAGATATGGCCGCAAGGTAGTTCTCGGATCTCAGAGATACCAGATTCGAAGTCTTCTAGACAGATAGCACAAGTAGGTTGAACGTATGGAAGAAATCTGTGGACGAGTGTAGAATCTGGTATAGGAGTCTTTTCATCGATTGGAATGAGTTCTGCAGTAGCAAGCTCTTTGGCAGACATCATGTCATATATGCGGGGGTCCGATCCGACAACCGTGGAAGCTCCACTGAAGTCATCTTCGTGTGTCATGCTGACGAAATGTTCCTCTTTCTGTGGCGACGCTGGGAATGACTTCTCGTCCTCTGACACGTAGATGAATAATGGTAGGCGATCAATTGCTTTTTGAGGAACTCTAAGTCGTTTAATTCCAAGTGCTTCGAGATCTACTTCGCCATTTGCAACACGTCGACGTAACGATTTCCGTCTAGATCTTTGAACGAAGTGCATGAGACCGGATATAGTTCCCAGACAGATCACCAGAACAGCAAGGACGATCAGGAAGTAGACCCAGAGGGTCGGCAAGACCGTCTTGGTGCTCAGCCCGATTTCCGTGTACAGCCGGACATAATCTCTGACATCGACATCAGGAAGTTCCGCGATTTCGTGCCCGTACGGTACTTCGGTCATGTTTCCAGAGTACAGACTCAGCTGGTGCATCAAGGATGAACCGAGTGCTCCGGGAATGGCATATACTGGGAATGGGTGGTGCGTCCTCCATGCCCCGCCATCTTGAAGATCCCAGGCCGCTGAGTTGGAATCTGGAGTCGTTGTATCGTCTCCAGGCTGATAGAATATCAAGGCTCGGACTGGAGCCATCCGAGCAGCAGCCATGTATTCGAATGTACAGTCGACATTGATCCAAGGAGCGAGTGCTACGAGTGTGAAGTCGGTCTGAGGGAGATTGGCGGTTCGGGTGACGTTGGCTGGAGCGTATTGTTTCGTAAGGTTGTAGCATGCATCGTCGGTATTGAGGTCGGGCACGTAGAGGAAGCCACTGATGGTTCCATCCTGGTTTGCATTCCGCGTCGAGAGCGTTTGGAGATTGTCGTCGGCGAATTGAGTAAAAGAGACGTTGGGCTTTTACGACAGAGTCAGCGTCAGATTAGGCTCCTATCCGATGAATGTAGGCAGGATGGACAGTCGAAGGACAGTTACATACCCGTAATTGTGCCACGAGAGAATCATCGTAGCCTGTGTCACTCCATTCGTCGTTGGGAAACAATAAACTGGTTGACGGTCAGCGATGCTTGGCTGGCGTTTTCTCATGTCTTGGAGCTCGCGGTCGCTTTCTCTGTCGTCGGGCGCAAAACCGCAGAGATTTCCATCGGAACGGGCGGTACAGGGCTCGCGACGGCTCGGTGGAGTCGTGAGAGTTGAGAGAAGGAGTCGACTTACACAAAGGTCTCGATATCATTAATAGCTATCATGGGGACGGCGTCAGCGAGGGTTCATTGGTTGATGGATACAGATGATGAAGCCAAGATACCAAGAAATCGCCCAGGCTGATTGCCAAGGTGGGCATCATCACGGGGGGAATGGTGGTGACAGGGCACATACACATCTTCGGACGGCCATCAAACCTTGCTGTTTCTCAACAGGAAGAGGTGCAACCTTCGGGCCTTTCGCAGGCCGTACACAACACGCTCTCGCTTCGATTTGACCGTGTATCACCTTGTTTTGACGATATATTCTCCTCCCCCGCGAGTCGTGAGGTTTTTCGAGTTGATGGTATTGCCAAGATAAATTGGAGATGCCAAGAGTGACAAGAGGCGACAAGCTTTGTGGACAGGTGATTTGCGTTGGCTGACGAATGCCCCTGAGCGCGGCGAGTCATTTCACTGGTCGGACGCTCGTTAGCCTTCACCCTAGGGTCTTAGTGAGACTGGTTTTGCACCAGATCTCACGATCTTTCGATGCAGTCTTCAGGTGAGTCGACGTGGAGAAGGAATTTTCGAACGCAACCAAGTCCGAACTGTTTTGTTTTAATTATCACGCCAATCTTTTCATGAGCATGAATTCTCGTTCCAGATTCTGGCGGGATGAACCAGCATTCCAGAGCTCTGCTGAGGTCCTCTCCCCTCGATGCGGTCAACACAAACGGGAGCCGACATCCGAAGTTTGAAGTAGACCAAACTCAAGATACCGACCATACCGAAGTGCGCGCAGTGAACACGAGACTTTGATAACGGATGCGGAGTTCTCTCTCACCGATCATGCACTTAATATGATAAAATTTTGTTCAAGGAAATGTTACTGGCCGGATCCCACGGTAGGCTTGCAGGCACAAGAGCGCGCCGACGGGAAGAGAACAGGAATGCGAGAAGGCCGATCAGCTTGAAATAGTAGTGGTTGATTGGTTCGTATTCCTCTGAACAAGAGTCTGAAGGGTGACAACAGCACATCCGATGAGCCGAAAGAGGTAAGTGTAGTAAAAAGGAAACTCAAACTCGATTGCCTTCTCCTTGCTTGACTGTATGACGGGCGATCCAACCACGAACCGTCTGAATTGCGTTATGCACCTTACTCCTGCAGACCTAAATTGCCATCTGCTGCTCGCTGATCCCATTTCCTTGGTGGCATTCTCGGTTCATCCAACTAGGAGCTTACATCTTTTACCAACACGAGCGACTCACTTTACCAGAGGAATAACGAGCGGGAGAGAAAGAGGGTGGAAGAGAGAGACAGCTTATGAATTTGAACTACCAATATCAACGGCATTCCAACAACAGCGTCATGTGCTGCCGAGAAAGAGAAATACATTTTATGGAAACGTAAAGCAGATTTCATCAGCCAGGTGGTAGATATTGACAAAACTCAAAGTAAAAAGGAAGGTTATTTTCCGGACTTGGAGCAGCTCTTGACAGAAGAAATACCATCCGATCAGGACACAGCTACCCGACAAAGAGTAGCAGCAGTCAAGGTAAGTAAGTTTAGACAGCCAAAGAAAATTTGGAAAATTAATGATATTGCCAAAGTTGAAGAGGAGTGAAATGAGAGATAGAGGCTGAACTGAAGAAGAGAACCATACCTACCTCGTATGAGGAGGCAAGAAGTACAAGGGCTGCATCCCCAATCAAAGTCGGCAATAAATTCCATCCGGGCCGAGTGTTCTGTTGACAATGACATAGGAAAGAATCTTCGACGTACCTTCCTATGTTTCTCTCATAAAGCTCACCTTGATTCCAAATCACGTCCCCGATATCCCCCCTCGCAACTTTCATTTCCTCAATTCTTCCTCTCTTTTCCAGCTCTGTTCTCTTCTAACCACTGAACTCCTACCAGCGAGCGTCCACCTCACACGGCATGATTCCATCCTGGCTGTATAGATCCGGTACCAACACATGCAGTACGATTCGATACCGGTTCCTAGAACAACCACAACGCACTTCTCAATCGTCTTCCAGCCCAGCCCAGTATTCTCAGCCGCATGCATATATTGACCGACTCCGCCACCTCCAACATATTGATGCACTGTGGTGTTCATGATTTCATTCCCGTACGCCCCCCTCAGACACGAGCCACGTTCCCTGGTATACCTCGGAACCAGCTTCTCGGAATCCCAACATCCAATTTGTGGCTTTCCGATGCTGCACATGTACAGAATCTGCCTGCTCGGTCCAGCCCAGCTCCTGTGCCACCTATCCCGAAAGCAGGGTTATCCGAGCCGGATGTCGTTATGTTCTGTCCTGCTTGTCCGAGTCCCTGTGAAGCATTGCGTTGCGTTTCGTTGCGTTGCGTGGTACCTGCATCCAAAAATCGCGTGCGGAGGTAGGACATCCCTTCCACATCGGGTTTCAACCTTCTTTCCGTTGCCTCTCAGCCTCCTTTCCTTTCCGATACTGCAATGTCGGAATCCGCATGGCGTGGGAATCGGGAAGTCGTAGCGAAGTTACACAATGAACTGGCGGGATGTGTTACACTCCTACAGTGTATTTGTGTATGATCTGCAAGATGTCATCAAGTCTTAAATACTGCTGGGTATGCAAATTCCCGCTGTCATTGGGGCATCGACAAGTTTCGCGGCTTCTTGTGAGGGCAAGATGCAGGCTGGAGTCTGGATGCACCTGCGTGCGCGATGCTGCGTGTTGATTGTTGTACGGCATCTACCAGGGTAAGAAGACTCTGCTGCATCTTGTCTTACCGCAAAGTTCTGTTCGTGCCTTGCATTTGGCCTTTGCTTTGTTTTTCAGCTTGCTGTTGATGATGCGGTTTACATCCACATGAACTGGTTTTCGTTCTCTGACAGTAGCGCTCTTAGGCTCTTATCAGGAGCACATCACTGGCTCGCATGCTAAGATAAGGATACCACCTACTATTTTCATAGTCAGTCTTCCACATTACCAGGGAGAACCTCGGCTCTATCTGCATGTCATCCACCCTTATTTTCATCTGACATGAACCCTGAACTATCACTTCCAGGATTACTCCGAGTTTGAGATGATCCGATAGCAAGGTACGGGGGAATAGTCAAAGAGGGCAGGAGCTCATGCGAGGAATACGATACAAATTTTACTCTCCTTTTCCGCGTCAATTCTTCTTCAATTCTTCAACTTCAAAATGTCCAAAATATCCAAAACATCGAGCAACACAAATATAAGGTAATGCCAATAGTACGCTCGCGTGACATTCGCAAGCCGTCAAATCAAAGCGATTACCATCCTTTCACCACTCGCCAGATGTTGCCCTCCAAGTTCTCAATTGACAGAGCACACATCCCAGCAGGGCTTTGCACTTTGAGTAAACGTGACCCTAGGGGATCGACCATGCCATGCACTCCACTCCACTCCAGTCTGACTTCAGCTGGTTGGCCTGTATGCCCTGCCCTGTCCGGCTCAGACTGCTTCAAGCGAGAACCTCACTGTACTTACTGTCTTGTGTCTCCTATCAATACAATACAATACAATACAATACAATACAATACAATACAATATCCCCCGTAAGTAGTACACATCCAAATGAGTTTAATATCATACCCAAACCTCCTCGCTTCGGCAGGGCCCTACCCATACCCACATGGCTCTTCCCACGAGGCGGCTGGCCCCAGAAGCGTACAGTACCGTACCTCCGTAGGGCAAAGAAGGGCAACTCGCAGGCAGCCGGCGTCCACCGGCACACAAGAAACTCGCCAAACCACCAGCGCCCCCAGCACCGCATCGCCAAGCAGCATCAACCCTAAGAAGGCCATCTCGCCCGCTCTTTCTCGATCCCCCCGAGCCCCCCCAATCCCTAATTCCCAATCTCCATTCCGCCAAGCTGCGAAACCAGCTCTCGGTCCCTTGGCAGCAAAAAGCCTATCGACCGTGCAGCAAATAGAATCGACAAACGCTGACCTCCTCCGAGATAAGCATCCCGTCGCCGTCGTATCGCATGGACTGGACAGAAAGTATTATAAGTGAGCGACTGACTGTTGCTGCTGGGGAGCGCGAAAAAGGGTGAATGAAGTGAAGTGAGGTTAACAGAAGAGAAATCAAGTGGTGCGTGCTGTCGCTTGCTTACCTTACTTGCTGGGAAGACCTTCAATAAACATCAACCGACAAACCGCCGACCATCTTTGAGCTCTGCACAACTTTGCTTTGCGCTGCTCAATCAGCTTCGTATAGCCTTATCACGATTACAGACTTGCTTTCTTGTGTGCTGATCTTAAGCTATCTAGCTAGTTACATACATAGCACTTCAAGATGGTTGGCTTCACAAAGAAGATCAACGATGCTGTCGCAAGAAGCATTGTCGGGCGACGCTTTCGTTTGATGGGCTCAGGACACCCAAAAGCTCGAGAGGGATCCAGATTCCTCACTGAGATTCGAGCTGGTCTGGCTACCTTTTTCGCAATGGCCTATATTATATCAGTAAGTCTTCCAAAAACTGACCTTCTAAATTGCAATTCACTTCAATCCTCGGTCTCAGATCAAGCTTGCTAAATTTTCGTTCACAGGTAAATGCAAACATCCTTACGTCCAGCGGAGGAACCTGCGGCGCCTGCGAGATCTCCGAAGGAGGAAGCCCCTTCGAATGTCCCGGCCAGCCAGAATACGCTCTCTGCCTGAATCGCATGACTCGTGACTTCGTCACTGGAACTGCTGCCATTGCCGCACTCACCTCTTTCTGTATGGGCTTGTTCGCAAACATGCCGATTGCGCTTGCGCCTGGAATGGGTTTGAATGCCTATTTCGCATTCACGGTTGTGGGACCGTATGGATTTGGACCCGTGAGCTATCAGCTTGCTTTGACGGCTATCTTTATCGAAGGGTTTATTTTCGTGGGGTTGTCGCTGCTGGGTATGCGACAGTGGCTTGCGAGAGCGATTCCCGCGTCGATTAAATTGGGTTCGAGTGTTGGTATTGGTCTGTATTTGAGTGAGTTTACCTTCCAATTTTCACCTCAAGAAAGAACGCAAATCAGCTGACATACAACAGCCATCATCGGATTGACCTACTCCGCAGGAATCGGAGCCATCACAGGAGCAACATCCGTCCCCCTTGAACTCGCCGGCTGCGCAATCGCAGACCGCGACCCAGATACAGGATTCTGTCCTCCAGGCGTCGATAAAATGGCCGCCCACACATTGTGGGTCGGAGTCTTCTGCGGCGGTTTCCTAACAGCGATCCTCCTCATGTACAAAGTGAAAGGCGCCATCATCGCGGGCATCCTCCTCGTCAGCATCATCTCCTGGCCACGCTCCACATCCGTGACGTACTTCCCTCACGACCCCACCGGAGACGACAACTTCAACTTCTTCAAGAAAGTCGTTACCTTCCATCCTATCCGCGATACTCTTGCTGTCAATGAGTGGAATCTGAGTGGTGCGTCTGGGCAGTTTGGGTTGGCGCTTATTACTTTCCTTTATGTGGATATTTTGGATTGTACGGGTACGCTGTACTCGATGGCGCATTTCTCTGGAGCGATTGATCCCGAGACGCAGGATTTCGAGGGCTCGGCTGTGGCGTATTTGGTTGATGGTAAGTAAACATCGTATCCCTGTCCCTGTCTCATGCATCCCATTCCAACATCAGACGAAATCGACCTCCAACGGACTAAACCTCTTAATTTCCAAACTCCAAATTAAACCCTGAAATTTCAAGACTAACGCACCCCTCCCCATCAGCTCTCGGCATCTCCATCGGCTCCCTCTTCGGCCTCTCCCCCGTAACAGCCTTCATCGAATCCGGCGCCGGCATCTCCGAAGGCGGCAAGACCGGCCTCACAGCAATGGTAACCGGCCTCTGCTTCTTCATCTCCATCTTCTTCGCGCCGATATTCGCATCGATCCCACCCTGGGCAACAGGCTGCACGCTCATCATCGTCGGCTGCATGATGGCCACCGCAGCAAAAGACATCAACTGGAAGTACTTCGGGGACGCGCTCCCCGCGTTTCTGACCATCGCCATCATGCCGTTTACGTATAGTATTGCGTATGGGCTGATTGCGGGCATTGTCAGCTATATTGTGCTGAATACTATTGCGTGGGTGCTGGAGACGGTGAGTGGCGGGAGGATTGTGCCGGCTGATAAGGAGTCTAAGGAGCCATGGACGTGGAGGATTAAGGGGGGGTTGTTGCCGGCGTGGATTGTGAGGGCGGCGAAGGGGTATGTTTTTTTTTTCTCTTGCTTCTTCTTCTTGTCTTATTCCCTCCCCCATCTTATTTTCTTTCTTTCTTTCTGCTTTCCCCCATATATTCCCCAGCACACATCACCCATAAACTCAAACTCAAACTCAAACTACAAACTACAAACTACAAACTACAAACTACAAACTACAAACTACAAACTACAAACTAACACTCTCCTTCCATCAGCCAAAAAGATTTCTGGCACGACGACGAAAACGACCACCAGAATACAAACACCTCACCCATCACAAGCAGCAGCAGTCCCCTCCCCTCAGACAGCGCTTCAGCCCACGCGACAGACGCGAAAGATTCGTCTGCAATCACGAACTCTGATGGTTTGACGGAGGAGGGTGAGAAGGGTGGGAAGATCGCATAGTTGGCTGGTTTGCGGAGTGAATATGAGCGGCCTGGGTGCAAGCGTGTGTGTGGTTTGCTTTGGCTTTGCTTTGGCGAGGACTTACCTTACCTTACCCTTAGTTTTAGTTTTAATCTTATTTTTTTTTTTTTTTTTTAAAAAAAAAAATAGGCTGAGTGGATAGAAGTGTGGATGGGAAGGGCGATAGGGTGAAGCTATACATTTCGGCGGGAGATGGGAGATGGGCGAGAGGGTGTAAGATATGATAGGAAATCATAGGAAATGAAACGAGATGTGGCGAGATGACAAGGACATGGACATGGACATGGACAAGGACAAGGATCAGGACAGGACAAGATAAGACGTCCACGCGTTAAATATGATGAAATATCCTGGCTGGTAGATAGGTAGCTAGTTGAGCAGGTGAGCAGCTGATATGAATTGCGAGGCGGAGATAATTGACCAGAATAAAATCGATACTGAACTGAAGCATGAATCAAAGGCCTTGGATGTGTGTGTGTGTGTGTGTGTGTCTGTGTTTCTCATGGAATGAAGATTAGGGAGTTGTGTTATGAGGTGTTATGAGGTGAGGTGAAATATTTGGATTTTTTTCTGGTGTGTGTGGGGGTGTTGATATCTGGATTTTTTTTCCGGTGTGAGTGGTGTGAGTATTGTGAGTATTGTGACTGCGTGCTGCTACGATTGTGCAGGTGGTGAAGATTTGATAACTTGATGGGTGGTTGGGAAAAGAAAAGAAAAGAAAAGAAAAGAAAAGAAAAGAAAAGAAAAGAAAAGAAAAGAAAAGAAAAGAAAAGAAAAGAAAAGAAAAGAAAAGAAAAGAAAAGAAAAGAAAAGAAAAGAAAAGAAAAGAAAAGAATGCCGGAATGGAATGGGACTGTAATAATAATGTATTGGATTGATTGATTGATTGCTTCGGAGCAGGAAATGAGGCATATTGAAACGCCAATCGTGAATAGTAAAGGGGAAAGGAGTTCTTTTTTTGGGGGGAGGGGAGAGGGGGGGGGGGGGGGTGCTTTGGATTGTTGGAGAGTTTTGGTTTATTTTTTGACATGGCGGCATTTACAGATAGGTAGGACAGGGTATGTATGTTTAGGTATGATATTCAATGGAAGTGGTGCTACTGTATCGTCAAGTGGGTCTGGGTTTCAAGACTCTCCTTCCATTGGTGATGCGATGTGATGTGATGTGATGCTTAGATCTTAAAATTGTCATTTGCTACCTACTTATGTATGCATGATGTTCCGTCCTTGCTAGCTATGCTATGCTGTGCTATATGCTACCTGGATATCCTCCATTCCTATCTTATCCTATCTTATGCTATCCAATGCCGAAAAAGAAGAATAAAATGCCCAAGTCCCTATCCTATCCTATGGTTCCTACCAACCCAACCCAATGCTACTCATAAATAATGCCCATAACCATACCTTTGCCGAAACGAACTGCCAAATCCAAAATGTGCAAAACCCAACCCGACAATGCAAAAGACAGACACAAAACTTAACCAAAAAAAAGTAGTCGACATAACCACAATTCAAACCACCCCCTGAAAATGCCTCTCCCAAAAATCAAACCCCAACACACACCCCCTCTCAACTTTCACCGCACTCTCCAAAACCCTCCAATCAAAAATCGGAACTCTCTGTCTCCTCCCACCCCTCGTCCTCCACCCACCACCTCCCACCCCTAGACCCAAACCCAAATCCTCCACAGCCTTCTCCACATCCTTACAAAACCTGACCGCTTTCTCCGGACGCGTGATATCGACTAGTATGAACTTCTTAACCCGACGACCGGATTTGGTGCGGCGCGGGATGGTGGGGTGAGAGAGCTGGGATAAGGAGGTGAGGTAGTGCGCGCCGTGGTGGGGGATGAGGGTTGAGAGGAGGTGGGTGTTGGTGAGGAGGCAGGGGGAGACGATGAGGAGGGAGGAGGAGAATTGGCAGGGGGGTTGTTTGGTGGTAGGATTTTGGGTGTGGGTTTGGGTGAGGAGGCATTTGCCTTTGCTGAAGACGATGGGAGATTTTGGGGTGGGGTCTGGAGGTGTTTGGATTTGGGGTGCTTGGTTGTTGGAGGAAGTGATGGGGTTATTAGCTGGGGAATTCTTTTCTGGGGATCGAGATTGGGATTGTTGGCTTTGGCTTCCGCCGGAGGGGATATTTGATGAGATTTGACCGAGGGCTCTTCGTGTTGGTTGTGAGTTGGTTGGAATAGATATAGAAGGATCGAAAAAGCTCGGTGGAGGTTCAGGCTTGTGAGCCGTCTCTCCAAGTTTTGCTGATGAATTTTGATGAGGTGAGGATTTCGCGGGTGTTGGCTGAGCAGTGACCTTGACTGTCGCTGAGAGTGTCGAGGATCGAGGATCCCACCCAATACAATAAATTGGCGCTGGTTTTTCTGCTACTGCCCCTGTATCTTGAGGAGGTAGATTTAGAGAAGAGGTTGGTGGAGTTGGGAGAGTATGAGTTGGGTCATTAGAACCAACGCCACGTTTTATCCGCGTCCTAGTCCTTCGCTTTGGTGATGGAGGCTCTGTTGGAAAATTCAACATAACCGGTAGAGAATTTGGCAAATGTGTAACATTGCCAGGTACAGGAAAGCCACTAGGAAGTGTGACAGGACCGAAATTCTTGAGAACAATTCTGGTCAACCATTTCGCCTCCCGAGGCTGCAATCGCAAATAAAGTCCTTCCAAGACGTCGATCCTATCTGGAGGGGTTTCGTCTAGTTCTTTGAGAGACTTTACCGCCACCGAAGATCCGGCATTGAATATTGCTATTCGAAGTAATGCTTGATCAATCTCGTCGGCGGATATCTTGCTTGCTGTAGAGCTAGGCGGAATCTGTAGACGGTATTAAGAGGAATCTTGTGGGGTTGAATGGCCATTGAGTTACGAGCCATGGCACGGGTGAAATGAACGGCATCACTTACGATTTTCATGTCTTGCAAGACCTTACACAAACGTGATCCAAGATCTCCATGATTTTGAGCATCATCTCTCCAACTTTTTAGTCTCTGGTACATCTCGGTCGGCATCTTGAAGATTCTTGCAAGGATCTGTTCCATGTACGCCTCCAGTCCATACTCTCGATCGGTCTGCCTTTCTGGTCTTAACATCATCAAGACAGCGTTACCATCGGTATCTTGGGCATTGATTCTCCATCGATGCATCCGGAACCAAGACATGAGTGCATCCTTGGTCAGAGACCTCCGATCCTTGGGTAGGTATGCCACTTCTCTGACGTGTATACCTTCGAGTTTATCCAACAGGTCGCACAGGTACACAAAGGGGAAAGGCATGATTTCTTCGAATCATGGCAGCCGAGGATATCCAGCTCGGAATCGGAATAATTATGATGAGTCGCTAAAATTGGATATGGAATAAAGAAACTGTCCAAAATGAAGCTAATGGCCGATGAATAATGCCGGGGAGCTAAAGCGACAAATCCTTTGTCGGCCGGGAACCAACACAGCCAAATCCTTAACGGGCATTCAAAAGCCCATTGATGAGATTATCAAGTGGTTGACGGATTCTTGATATCTGATAGACCACGCAGACCTGTGCGCTCGAGTCCCGACAGTCATGAAAACATGACACTCGTCCAGAAGAACTTAACAGGATAGAAATCCCTGTCTCTTCCTGCGCCGGAGCCTGCCAGATGATGCTGGTGAAATCTGATCCTTTGAACCAAAAGATAGATCGATGTGTGATTCTATATATATATCTCAAAGACCAGTTCTCGTGTTGGTATTTAAGCCGGGCAATACCCTCAAGTCGGATGAAGTGGGTCTTGGAAAAACCTTGATGTAAAGTTTACCGGGCCAATAAAAGGGTAACCAGCATCAAATTTCGGGTAGGAAGGCCTTTTTTTAGCTGGAACAAAGAAAGGAGGGCGCGCAGTATTATGAGAGGCTTCTAAGCATTATCCTCCCAAGCTGAAATACTCTGAGGGGCCGATGATAGGCTGATGCTGATGGAGGGGTTCTATCAAGCAGGGTGATGCACTGTCCGAGAAGTGATAATACTTTCAGATATGAAGTGCGCTTGCTAAGGCCGAAGGATACATTGGACATCTGTGGTATTGTTGATGTTGGTTATGGGAGACGTGTTGTTTATTAGAAGATGGACGTGATGCATCAAATGTCAGAATGCGTGATCCCGTGATCCCGTGATGAAGAAGCAGGGAAGACCCAATATTAGCGTGCCCAGGCGACGCCAGACCCTTTCCGGAGCACCAATCTAACGAGGCCCTGTTTCCCCGGTTATTGACATGGCCTGCTCTTCCTCCTGAATCAACTCCCACTCATTCCTGTTGCTCTGACCAGAAATGGTCTGAATCCCCTCATTTGCACTCCTCTGTATCGTACTCTAATTCTTGCATATATAATGCCTATATGACTGTCACATACGCACCAGCTTATTGTTATTATTTGTTGATTTTTCTTGGCGGATCCAATTGTTTTGTTGACTTTCAGCAAAGCCAAAGCATACTTCGACACAAACGACACCTGCTCTACTGGCTTACACTCGCACAACGAACTGCGTACCCCTCCATACTCGAACAAGAAGCTCTAAAGCTGTCCCCGAGCACGTTATGCAATATGGCATCCACCCGCCGAAGATCATCAGTTAGCCGTGCGTCGGTCGAGTCGATTTTGATTTCAGGGGAATCGACCCAGCCGGCAGCTCCTCCAAGTCCTCACGTCGGAACTTCCCCAAACAGAGCACAGTCTGCGATGTCGCCGCCTCCTCGACCAGTAATGGGACATGCTCGTGCCTTGTCATACACTCCGCGACGGCCCAATCGACTGTCATTGAGCTTCCCGGTAGCCCCCAATAACAACGGGAACGAATCTGCGCGAGCAACTCCTACTTCGTCGAACATGCCATCATTTCCCCCAACTCCGATAGAACAAATACCTCTGCCATCTCCAGATGAACATAACTCTTTCCTTGTTGCTTTAGCTGGACAAGAGAGAAAGGTATTGGAGTTGAAGGAGGAACTTGCCAAAGCTGAAGGCGAATTAAGCAAGCTGAAGAAGCAATACGCACGCCACGAGGCAAGCAGGAAAAGGGCAGAGGTGCGACATGTAGAGCCATTACAGACCGTTGTAGCGGAGGGCTCCGGCAGTGAGGATCCATCAGTTATGCCACGACTGAGTGCGGATATGGACAGGCGGAGAGCTCTGCTCAACAGTCTCAATATACCCAAGGAGACACGGCGAAAGTTCTCAGGTGCCCATACCCGGACACTCTCACTTCTCTCTCCTGAGCGAACGAACTTCCATCAGCCGCAGCCATTTCCACCCGTCATGGAATCATCAGCCGAGCACCAGGGCCTGCCGAAAAGTCTTACAATGCCAGATACCAGTCAAGGACTCCGAAGAATCTCGTCCAGTCGCGCAAACGCAAGACATTCTTATCAGATCGGTGTGCCTCTAGGTGCGAAACAGCTTGCCGAGGATCTCAAGTCCGGAATGTGGACTTTCCTTGAAGACTTGCGCCAGGCGACCGTTGGGGATGAGGCTGTCAATGGAACTTCAAGTAGAACGATCTTGGAGCCTCCTCAGAGTGGGCCCGTGAGGAAGAGCAGTAAGAGCAGTTTGACGAGCAATGATAAAGGCAAACGTGGGCAATCACCAAGATCAATGTCTCCGCGCACATGGGAAACTTTGACTGGAAGCAGTCCCCTCATCGACCTGGGAATTGAGGAACCAGTCCGGCCCCGAGCAAGATCACCATCGACGATTAAAAAATCTCGGCCACTCTCTCTTGCAGCACCCCCTTTAGACGACCTCGATGATGACTGGGCCGCATGGGATTCTCCTATTCCAAAATCGCCACGTTGGAGTGGAAGCACGACCGTCTCAAATCCAGCTACACCGTCAAACGAGAATGATGATGAGAACGTCAAGTATGAAAAACCCTCCGCCTTACCACATTTTACCAGAGTTAACAGTACTAGAATCATTGGACAGCCCTCGGACGAGCTCAATACTCCAACCAAGCGCACGGATATACAGTGGCCAGCATTGGACAATCTGAATCTGAGCCCTGGTGCTCTCAAGGGTAACTTGCAACGGACTATGTCCACCATCATGAAGGAATGGGAGAAGACAACCAACAACCTTACGGAACAGCAGTTGGATCAAACTCCCGCCGGCTCTGAACCTGAATCGTCCAGCACCGAGGAGGTCGCTATGATGTCTCGATGAAGTATTTAATGAGCTGGCAGGATGGACTGGCGCGACTGGGGTAATGATGATTGTCTTTCTCATGATGGATGAGCCTAATGAAAACACGAAACTGAAGATAGATATAAATGTATATAAGGAGGTTGAATACTGGGAATTAATGTTCTTTCCATGCCCTTTCTCGGCTCTACCCAGAGATTGTCTACTTGCTTGTGTATCTCCATTCTTCCCTCGCTAGATTCCTCTTTTGCTTTTAGATTCTTACAATGTTCGATCTGCCTCATAGTCGCGCCAAAGGCCCATCGACTCTCGCAACACCGATCGAAGCCTTGGAGATCTCCGACACCGACTTACAACCAGTCAGCATCATGCATCGTCGAAATTCATCGTACAGAATTTCGATGGCCTTCTCCACGCCTTTTTGGCCATCGTACTGGAAAGCAGTCAGCGAAATTTCAGCCCAAAAGCAGGAAGAAGCTTACTGCCAGCCCCCAAATCGCTGGCCTTCCAATCCAGCAACATTCCGCCCCAAGAGCTATTGCTTTGAAGATATCCGATCCACTCCTGAATCCTCCATCGACATGGACTCTGATCTTCCCAGCCGCAGCCTCAACGCACTCTGCCAAAACATCTATAGTGGCTGGACTTCCATCCAGTTGTCTTCCCCCATGATTGCTAACAATAACACCATCACACCCATACTCTCTCGCCAACAAGACATCCTCCGCCGTCAACACGCCCTTAATCCAAATCTCCATCTTCGTCCTCTCCCTCAACCAAGGAATCTCCTCCGCCCAAGAATGGCTATCCGAATTCAGCGCCAGAAACCCAGAATCATGCGTCTGCGCTTGCAATTGCTCCGTCGTCCTCTCCACCATCGGGAACTCCAACCCAGCAGGCGTACGGAAATCATTCCTCCACTCATTATACCTAACACCCAACACCGGCGAATCGGCCGTCAAAAAAATAGCCACACAACCAGCTTTCTCCGCCCTCTTGATAATCCGCTCCTGCAGTCCCCGATCTTTCATCGTATACAGTTGTATCACGTACGTCATGGGACCATTCTCCAGCCCGGCCTTGACGATCTCTTCGACGGTGTAGTTTGCGAAACTGGAGACGCCCATGTGGATGTTTTTGAGTGTGCAGGCACGTGCTGTGGCGAGCTCGCCGTCTGGATGAGCCATGCCTTGGACGCCGGCGGGGGAGATGCAGAGGGGGAAGGAGATGGATTGACCGAGGACGGTGGTGCATGTGCTGGCTTTGGAGACGTCTTTTAGGACACGGGGACGCATCCGGTATTTGGCGAAGGCGGTGCTGTTGTCGTGGAGGGTTTGTTGGGCGGTGGACCCGGAGTTGAAAAATTCTGGAGAGGGGTGTGAGTTTTTGGTTTCAACTCTTGAGAAGGGATGAGAAATTGTGTGGTGATACTCCAAAGGGAATTCCACATGGGACTGTGGATGCTGTATTAAGAGGAAAGAACACAAACCTCGTGCTGAAGTGGGTAATTTCTTCGAGCCTGCTTCCTGGAGGTCCTCAATGCTGAGGATGGCCTCTTTGCTCATAGCTTTAACAACAGATTTCTCTGCCATGTTTACTTCTGCAATTGGCACTCTCGTCTTTCACAATCTCCTTGAAATATATCCCCTCTCCGCTTACTTTACGCTTGCTTCAAAGTTGGCGGGGTCCCGGTGAGATTCAGATAATTGAGATTTGAGATGCTTTAAAATTAAAGCTGAATTGTTTGGTAATGGAAATTCTCGATGGCTCTGTTCTCACTTGAGCTCTATATGAAAATCGAGAGATATGATGGTGAGAAATTAGCTGCGTTATGACTCTGTTGTTGAGCTGGGCATTGGATCCTGATGTGGAAAGTGGGGGTAAAATCACGTGCCCACGCCCTTCAGTCTACCTCACCTCACCTTCATGCAGCGCCTTCATCCTGCATTGTGTGTCAAAATGTGTATTGGACCGCGAGTATGAGCGTCATAGCTATGGCGCTTTGGAGGGGTAACATAGTTGTGGAAGCAGGGGACAAAGCCCACTTTGAATAGACGGACGGATTGCTCACTTTGTCCGAAATCCCGAATTGGCGACGAGGGGGGCTTGAGAGTTGGGAAGTTTGGATCTCAGATCTAATGAGTATGCTTTCTCTGGATGATGAATGGAGATTGAGCTCTGGTCATTCTGATGAAGCAGAGATGTAACGAGAGGTCCTGGACAGTCAACTCGTCTTCCTGGATATTGGGAAACCCGCATTGGAAGAGATTATGAGCAGGTTCGGCTTCTCAGGATTTCAGAAAACGAGGGAATAGGAAGAGAGAGACGGCTTCCAAGATGATGAAGAGGAACTGGAATGCTAGTCGTTCGGATGCTGTGCAGGAGGAAGACGTACTGGACGCTTTTCACTGCTCATTGAGGCACCAGCTCCCATGGAAGAACCTCATGAATGGGTACATTGCTCACCAACACAGAAAGTCGGGTATGTCTGTATTGCAATGTTGGATTGAAACATTTACCTTACCTTGTAAGGTGGATTGTATGGGAAAATGCAAGTACCCTGGAGAGAAGCGCTGAGAAATGGAAGACAAAGTAGACATTGCACAAAATGAAGGTGCGGGGAAACAAGTACCAATTTCAATGATTACCCCATGTTGTTTATCGACATGCAATGCTCTAATTCACTCACTTGGAGAGGCTACATGACTCTTGGCATATGATGGAACAGTATTTCGTGTTGGGTAGCGCATCTGAGATTAGTGGACAATTGAATGAAGACTGATGGAAAAAATATGGAAAATGCTGGAAGTCTGAGACGGAACTCGTAACTTGCACAAGGAATGACTCTTGTCAGAGCAAGAAATTACGCTCAAGTAATAACGGCATTTTGTGAAATATGATTCGTACAATATGAAAAGTGACCAACAAAAGAACATGATGGTGTCTTGAAATAAAATCTTGGCAAAAGTGTAAGCATAAGGTAGCATACCTTATTTTCTTCATTCTGTGTCTTTGATACCTGCCAGGAGGATTCAATAATACTCCCAAGCTCGTATTCCGCAACCAATTTACCCGAACCACTTCCACCAATCACCAATGACACAAATCTTTCTGCCCTTTGACAAACGCGAACACAACCTTCAAACCCGTGGCGTTGAAAATAATATAACTTCAATCCATACCGACGCATGCAATAGACATCAAATTTAAAACCGAGATTGCACAACTGTTAGCCCTGTGGAAAGTTTCCCCGGTCCGACGGATATTTTTAGCTTGAAGGGTGTGTTGTCTTCTCAAAAGGGTTTAGCGAGAGTAAGCGAGCCAAGCCTTCAAAGGTTAATCGCACCTCCCTGGCAAGGAGGTTCACCGAGAAGAATCACCTGCAACGACGAATGTGGATCTCTCCAGATCACCGCTGGCCAGCTGTCAAAACTTTCTTATTATTCCCTGTGCGAGTCATGGTCATCTCCTTGTTCAGTGCTTGCGCGAAGGATTTCGTGGCGCTCGTTAGCTCGAACCGAGGCAAGAAGGGAAATTGATCGTCCATTTAGGACCCTTAAATTCCCAGTACGGGGCTCTAAAATCGTAGTCACTTGGCAGCTTCAGCTTCCTGGGAATGGCTTAGATGACACAATCGACAATCAAGCCCCCAAAGAGCACGCCCAGAATCGAGTGGGGGTTGATGTGCAAAAGATTGTCGGTGCCTGAGCTGCCAAGTCGGCGGGCGGGTTGGATGTCCCCTTCCGCAGATGCCTATCGATGATTTTGATTTGCTCTCTCATGCGCTTTTTTAGTCGATTTCCATTTTACGCAAAAGATGTTGTGGAGAATGCCTTGCAATTGAAATCGTTTCTGTATTATCTTGGTAATGGATCGAATCCAAAGCAGGAGCAATCACCTCAGTCTTCGTACGTACTGTACATGTTCCAAAGTTCGAGCATCTCTGGAAGAGAACACCACTCATCGGAGGTACTTAGGCCAGGACCAAACCCATAATTGCGAACATGAAAATGGCCAAGCCAGCCGCAAATCCATTCTTCCCACCATGCGCAGCTCCAGTTGGTGTTACGCTGGGCGTATTAGTAGCTGATTGTTGTGTTGCACTAGTCGTGCTGGTCCTCGGGGCTCCAGCTCCAGCTGCCCCACCATTGAATGTGACAGTTGACAGAAAGGTCGACCTTGTTGCTGAGATGCCAATTTGTGGAGTAGGTGGTGCTGTCACTGCTGCTCCCCCAGAGCTCCCTGATGCTCCTCCACTCCCTGAGGTTTCTGATGGTGCGGATGTGCCAGTCGTTGATGCTTGGGAGTTGGCATTGTTGGCGCCTGGAACACTTCCCGTGTATGTCGCATTGAGAGAAGATTGCGAAGCTTGGATCGTTGCTGGAATAGGTGCGATACTGTAGCTTTGGCTCTGGCAGGCTTCCGTGTCGTCTTCAGTCAGACCGACAGTGTACGAGATATTGAATGCGGCTTGACACCAATTACACCTGGATAGATTTCAGTTTGAAGTGCTGTTGCAAGCTTGATCAGACTTACGCTATTTTCGTGGACAAATACCCATTTGCACAAATGCATTCGTACCACGGATTCAGATCTTTGGCATTTTTCTGTAGATCGCTGCATTGATCCCAGAGATCCAGAGCTGATCCGCAATATGCTCCCTGACCGTAGCAGAAGGACTAGAATGCACCGCAGGGTCAGTCTTGCTATCTTCAAGGTAGGTAGGTATCTTGAAGACGATGGAAAACTGCAAACCCACCAAGTCCTCTTTCAGTTGTCTGGCTTCTATTGCGTTCGACTTGTCTGCTGCGGCGAGTGACACTAAAATAAAGCAGACCGCAGTTGAAAGGGGCATCATCGTAAGCTGCATCTTGTGTGTTATTAGTGAAATCTCTCAACGTCTTCCGCAACGAGGTTGAGGTCAGGCTGACAAGATAATTATATGTTGGGCTTCTGGATCCAGAAATAAGATCGGCAAAACCGAATGAGGATCCTAGCATATGCTTTCCATATTTGGCTTTGGCAACTGCAGTGAATACCGGGTCGTTGACCGCTCACGCCTCAGGTCGACTTAGTCTTCTGAATGCTGGATATGTTTTATGCTTAATTTCCGCCAGGTCGTCATTGGCTCTTGTACTGCTTGGCAGTTTATTTACGGCCTTTGAAAGACGATTAAGTTCATCCCTCGATGGGTGGTTCAGCGCCCCCATGCTTCTTTTGGTCGTCCCGTCTCATAGGCGAATCAACATTGGTGAATGGCGCCACCAAACCGATCTTACCCCTTTTGCTGCACTACGTGGAAGTTAGAGGACCAAAGTACCATTTCCAGAGCCGGCTTGATTATGTCCGAAGTTACCAGAACTCAGCTTGCTCTGTTCGAGAGATCATCGTCTTGTCAGCACAGGCTCAAGTTCATGCCGCCGATCACAAAAGAGGAGGGGTCCAATGTCTCTAGTCTAGCCAAACTAGCTTCGATGCATTTCTCTTGCAAGAGAGGAAAGAGTTGCATTAAGTTATTACCGTGTGCTTTCCTTCACCAGTCTGGTCTCATCACACAATTCAGCAAAGCAAAATCGGGACGACTTGGACGGCGGAAACATGCATTTGCAAGATCTTACGGTTGGTTATGTCGCAGGTGTGATTGCCGCGGCTATCTTCGTGGGTAAGAGATGTGCTTGCTACCTAGTATTTCAGAACGGCTAATTCTGGGCAAACAGCTCGAGTCTATGCTCCGAGTGTCTTAACATTTATTCTCTCTGCGATCCTACGAGATCAGAATAGTGCGGCAACCTGGTGAGTGAAGCAATCGAGAACTCGGGTTCCATTACTCAACAAGTTCAAGGACTGTTGCATCTGCAACACTTAATCGTTCATACTGGCCAAATCTGCTGCAGTCCGACGGAGCTAAGAACCATGGAGTGCGAAAGGATATCATCTTTCTCACGTGTAAGTGACGAATCGAGGCTTTACCCGCCTCTGTTCCTGAGAGCAAGGACGTACTGACGATTCGTCTCTTCAGACTTCATATCTCTTATGGGAGCGTTGATTGCTATTGCTGGTATAGTGACGCCGTTAGGGCTCTTTGAGACTTTGGTCTCAACAGACAATGTCCAGACTCCATTCCGATACCTCAAGGGTAAGCGACCACCTCAGCGTTAATGCTTCGATGATTTTGCGGACCGGTATACTTCTACACAATAAAAGAGCTCCTCAGCCCATCACCGAAATCTTTCTAATTCTTCGAGCAGATTCTTCCCCGTTCGGATATGGTACACCACAACGGAGCAACTTTACATTCAATCGAAAATGTGGAGACCTCGGTCCACTGCCATGTCCGTACTCAGATACCATTGTCGTCAACGTATTTGACCAGAATGGTAATGGGACAGTTGACACACCGTACGGCTACAACATGACGATTCCTGATATTGTAATGAATACCTACTCTAGCGGTGTCGGCAACGACACGACTATCTCTAATTACTTCGATATTCAGTGGAGAAGGTATCAGACGAATTCGGTTCCAGAACTCAACAACGGCTCAACATTCCTTGTCGGAGCGTTCCGTCCAATGCAGAGCTTGGCTCTGAATAGTGCCATCCAGCCAGTGGAGGGTTTGATTGTGGACACCATCAATGGAGGAGTTGGATTTAGGAACCGTAAGTTTGCCAATCTCAGTGAACTTTTGCAAACCTACATCTGGCCAGCGTCTAATAATGACTCGGATAGATACCGTGCCCCCTGGCTTCAAATATGGCGCATCCTGGGAGGAGGATATTCTGTTCATCGAACCTGAGACAGTTTGTGTCGATACCAACACAACTCTCGACTTCACGATCGCCCCAAGCCCCAATATTAGCGTGTCGGTCGTCGATCTTGTCTTGACCGACCGTGGAGGCTTCGTCAACATCAACAAGTCATATCCTCTCATTGACCTTTCCGATCCCCAAAAGAATCCCAAGTTATATGAGCGTGCGTGGAAGGCAGCATGGATGACAAATGCATGGACTATGCTTCTCTACGTAAGTCATTGTTTTACCCATCAATGCTCTCCTCTCAACGATTATTTGAAGCTTTTTGAAGCATAAGGATACTTTTATGTTTGCTAATGTGCTCCTAGAATATTACAAATCAATATAACGAGACAACAGGCCGCAGAGCATTTTCCTACCTCAACTCCACAATGGACAAGAAATTTGCTGTGCCCAGTCAAGGTAGCAGCGAGTATTACGATGCCCTTATCATGGACAGCACTTTCATGGACCATCTCAATATTGGAGCTGGACTTAGTGCTACAGACTCGCCGAATGCCGATGCCAGGCCACCAAGGCTTGGAATGCCCGGTATCAGCTCAAGTAACTTTTCGGATATATGTGAGTAGATCCACGGTCATATCATTCTCTAGGCCTAACATTCGTTCAGCTCTCATTTGCTCTGGTTCTGGTGGTGCTGACTTCGCAAACATCACGAATATATTTGTCACTTGTGGAATCATGAGAGGAATACCTCAGCGTCTAGATGCAGGATCCAACATGATTTTCGAAGCCAACAGCCGATGGACACAACCAATTTATTCCTGCGCCACGGCAGTAAAAGCCACAATCAAGACTGTTTCTTTCACCTTCAACGGGACAGAAAACGAGCTGTCGAATCTCAATATCACGAAGTTGAGGAACAAGGAGTATCCCAACGACCAAAGTCGCCCTCTATGGGGCGTCGAGGACACTGGAAACTATTATGCCCAGACGGGTTTAAAACCCATCTGGGGACTGGTCTCATCCGATTACGAGAATAACCAGAATGTCTCGGTTGTTCGCCAGGACTCCCTCTATCTCCCAGGATACCAAAGCGCATACAACTCGCTGTTCTCGTTATTCTCACTACAGAACCTACCAGCCAGTGAATTCTTCCTGAGCGCAGCTGGTAATGCATATACCGTCGGAGGAGCATCCTCAGCCCCAGTCGACTACAGCGGCGGAAATAACATGGCAATGTGGGCACGCTGGAGAGAACTCAGCGCAAATCCCATCAACGCAGCGCAAATTCCCAACATCGTCTTTACCGATTATGCAGCTGCATCAGTCGTCGGCACCAAGGGTGTTCTGGGTCCCGGAAATGCAGCACAGCAAAATCTTGTTGCACTTCCCGTCAGTCCGACAGAGCGCCGGATCAGATACCGCTGGCCATTCGCCATCCCAGCCTTCATCGTTGCACTGATGCTCATCCTCATGTCGATTGCTGGTCTCCTAACGCTGATCTTCGGCCACGGAAGTCTCGCCAAGATGCGTGCCCACCTCCACCAGAGCTCTACAGGACGAATCTTCACCACCTTCCTGTATCCAGAGCAAGGAGGTCTGCGTGTCAGATCCAGAGATTGGAGTAAGCGGATGGGGACTGCTGTTGTGGATCTCTCAGGAGATTATCCCATGCGAGCAGGCCCGATGCAACAACCGGAGAAGTGGAATAGGTCAGGATCGGGAGAGGCTATTGCAGAAGGTGAACAGTTCTTGGGTCCGCAGGGCCAGGCAAGTCCGCGGATAGTATATGCTGGCGCGCCGGGAGAGGGCTTTGGTCAACCTCAGCCGTACACTGGTGTTCAGCAGCATACTGTGCCTGCTGGTGGGAAGTAATGGAATGTGTTCAGATTTGATGTATACCCACCCTCGTTTGCTATGATCTTGTACCTAGACTTTGCGAAATGTGCCATTGTACATACTCCACCATTGTCAGATATCGTTAAACTTCTTAAAACTTTCACAAAATCCATAATCAGGTAGATTAAACAACGCTCGCATTTAACTACAATTATGACCTAATCTAGAGACAGCCGCCTGACAACTGGAGGATTATACGCCAACATGCTTGGCTCATAAGATAACAAGCTCTCTTCCTTCTCATTCGGGATCAAATATGGCTTCAACCCTTTTCCAAAATTACAGAAACAAACCACCGAATTCACAACCGTGAAGAAGAGCAGAACAGCACTCAAACAAGCAAATAGAGTCAACATCGTGAAACCGGTTTCGTACATGTAATGGACATCTTTCCAGGTGTACATGACAATCATCTTAAATACGAAATAGCCGAGAGAGGCGCAAAGCATTATCTGGAGGTTATCAGCTGACGAACGAATGGATGAGTAGAGGTAAGGTCTTACGGTAGTGATGATCGTTCCTGCTCTATTCTCTCGTGTAGTCCAGAAGTGTGACAGGATCAGTACCGCGATAATGAGCGGCACTGCGCAAAGCGTAGCAATGAACTCTACGCTTCCCACGACCAGGACCTGCGCTGCAAGCTGGGCGATGTACCCAATGATGAAGAAGAAATCGACCTTCAGCAACAGAATGTAAATCTAAACACATGTGTCAGTTGAACGTACTCAACCCCAGGGCATCGTTAAACTGCCAACTAACCTGATAAGCAAGGAACCTCCTCTTCATCCCCGAGTCCCCCGCAATAGCCCTGTAAACCTCCCACTCAAACTCTCCATGAATCTTCCACGCCAAGGCCCCCATAATCACAGTCAAAACACCCACCACGACCGGTAACACAATCAACACAATCTTCACATCGCCCCACATATCCATACTCAGATCCACGAGCGGCTGCCTCAACGCATCTCGTGACCCTTCGATACTTCGGATGCTGGTGTGGATCTTCTCAGGCTGGATAGCAGTGTAGACGATCAGTCCGATGTTAAGGATGCAGGAGATGCTGATTTGAATGGAGCTGCGACGACGGAGGCCATCGTAGATGAAGACTAGAGAGTAGAGCGAGGCAAAGACGAGGAGGGTGAGAAACGTGGGTATTGTGCGTGAGGCAGGGACCTGGATTGCGTTTGGGCGGAGGAAAGTTTGCCATTTGGCGAAGATGTAACTGTTTTGCATTGAGTATACTGTGATAATGGGAATATGTGAAGGGCTGTTTACCTCTCGAGTACTGTCACGACGGTCGCTTGCACAATGGCAGCGATGAAGAAAGCACGTGTACAGGTTGTTTGCGGCCAATGCTTAGGCTTCGTATTGGATGAAGCAAACATTTCGAGGTGGGAGGTAAATAGATGAATCTTAAACGAGCGACGGAGGAGTGGGGACGAGATGCGTTCTAGATTATGCACGAATACGTGAAGAGATGCTTCGAGAGATCAAAAGACAACGAGCAGCATGGCAGAAATAATACGAGGAAGAAGAGCGGCGCAAGGGAGGATATCGACGTCAGTTCACCAAGGTTTTCTCGGCTTAAACACTAAACAGCTCCACATCGCCACTGCCGGTGTCTTGGTATACGAGATCATGTGATCGACAGTTGACGATCCCCCGGTTGCCAAGGCTTTGAATTATTTCCATCGTCGAACACTCCATTGTTGATACTGAGGTGAATATAATATATCTTTGGGATGCGCTGACTCTTTTTGTAGGGAATTCTGTGCACGTATTGACTCCTCAGCACCAAAAATAGAAATTCTCGCTAATTCCCCTTTATGCAGGAGATCTTTACGGAGAACCTTGATTTGATGTTTGCGCCTGCTCTGTTGGTGCAAAACCTATCATTGAATAACGTTTTAATAACCACGTCCGAGGACGGATCAATCTCCTGAGACGATCACACACTTACACGATGGTTCCCAGACTTCCTGAATTGCCTGTATGCCTTGCATCAGACAGGCGTCAGATTTGGTCACTTGAACGACCGTAAGAAAGCAGTTTCTAGCCTGTCATATGCAATTTCCACTTCACGTTATCAGAGGCAAATTATTTCACCTTCAAGGGTCAAGTTTGTGTTCGACGACCAAATGGCGTCCAGAGAATCCAATCTTGGGGGAGGATGTCTTCCTTTTCCACCTCCCTTCCGGAGACTACTTTACAGGAATCTGTCCTACCAAAGCATCAATTAACAACACTAATTGCGGTTGGCATCAAATTTAGGTCTTATTCTAATCAGCAAAGCATTCCGGAAGTTGATCAACCTTCTCCTTCTTCTTCTCTGCAGGATCCTGGGCAGCAGCTGCCTCTGGTCTTGCTGGAGTCATCGCTGGAACCATCGCTGGAGTCATCTCTGTCTTTGAAGCTGTGTTGGCTGGAGCCGATTGTGGATTTGGCTTCAATGAAGGTGGTGTCGGTGTTGAGACTCGGATGGATTCATATCCAGAATGGTTGCTTGCAAGAGCAACGACTGAGGAAGGCTTGCGGCTCTGAACTACCCTGGGTAGGATATCAAGAGGATCGTCGTGCTCTTCTCCGTTGACTGATTCATACTCTAAAGCCTTAACAAGCTTATAGATGATCACGGAAAGTACCACTCCGGCAATTGGTCCAACCCAGTAGATCCAGTGGTAGCTAGGGAATGAGTGATTGACGATGCATGGAGCAAGAGAGCGAACTGGATTCAACGAGCCGCCTGTCCAGAACAAGCCTGATAAGGTCAATACCGCAGATCATATATCATTCGCCCAATACTCACCAACAAGCTCTGCAACGAAGTACGACAAGCCAATGCCTATAGGAGCCAGATATGTAGCAGCATGGTGTTCTGCTGCGAGCATGAAGATCACGAAGGTCAATTGAGCTGTTAAGAGCATCTCAATCACAACTCCTTGGGCCGGGGTTGTTCCACCACCAAGAGTTGTACCGGTATTCAGACCACCATTGAATAGACCATAGACCATATATGAGGCTGCGATAGTGGCGACTGTTTGGGCGACGCAGGGAAGTGCGCACCTGGCCCAAGTGATGGCGCCAATCAAAGCCATGCCGAGTGATATCTGCAGTACCATCAGTCAATTGGTTGAGTTTAGCTTGGAGCTGCATACCACGGGATTGAACAAGCCTCCACTGATGCGAAAGAAGGTCCATGCAGTGACGACTAAACTGAAACCAGCAGACAGAGAAGCATAGAGCAATTGCGCTGGCGAGGCAGCAGGCGGAGCTGTGGAAACCCCATCTCCCTGTTCTTTGTTGGATGATGCACCGGCCACCTCGACACCAGCAAATGCCAGGAAGACAAATATGAGGGTACCAAGGAATTCGCCGATGACAGCAACAACATGACCCCGAGCAGAGGGGTGAATGAGTTCGAACAAGCTCCTGAATATCTGCTTGAGAGGATCGACACGGGAGAGACTGGTTCCTTCGCGATTGAGATTCATTGTAGGAGCGCGAACCAACGACCCTAGCCTGTTGTCGGCCAATGCCGGGGCCAATCGAGCATCCATGTTGCGTCGTGATCAGAGTATTTGATGATGTATGAAAGAGGGCCAGGTAGGTAGGAGATGCTTAGGTGGATAAGGATAAGGGTGGAGAAGTGATTGTGTTAACGTGGATGGAAAGGTCTACGGTTGACGACGAAAAATCTGGGGGAGGGTACATCGCAGATCCATCGTGCTTTCTCCACTCCCTAATTCTCCGCATTTCACTTATTTCTCATGAAAACATCAGTGGGCTTGACTTGGAAGCTCCTGACGATCGCACCTGCCACCAATGTCCTGTTGATGGGATACCGCTCGCTTAGTTGCTTCAAACGGTCTCGGAAGTATGTCAACAACACCCACGCGTTGAGCTAGCACATAAGAAGAACTTTGTAACAGCACTAATCGCATGGAACCAACATTCAAATTTCAGGAGGCAGCTTTGTGTCATTCGAATAATGCAACTTGAGACGAAAAGACAATTGAAGCCCGGAACTAGAAGTGCCAAAAGATTGAATTGACACATTCAACAATCTATTACTTGCACTAACAGGTGTAGCCCATCTGAAAGTCCTGCGAGTGGTGCCGATAAAATAAGACGAAGTTTCCTCATCTACAACTTGGTTTCTCGTCCCTTCTTGTATAGCTCCTCTACCCACTGCATGAACAACTCAATGGTCTTCGGGTCTCCCGGCGGGTTGAGCTGGCTTCCATAAATCCCAGAAATACCACCAACACGATCGACAAACCACATTAAGTTCGGGTATCCACCCCAAAACATAGTACCCTTTCTTCTACTTCCAACATCCTCCATGGCCAACATCCCACCCAATCCCCAGTCAACCTTAGTACCGAGAGGCAAACCACCAAATGTGTTGTTGACTTCGGACAGTTTCAAAATCTCCATCAAAGTCGCCCTCGAAGCATCCGTCAACTGCGGTTTGAACATCTCCTTCACCGTCTCCGATTTCAGTAACTTCCCATCATCAGCCAAAACACTGTACAGTAACTTCTGATAATCAATAGGCGCAGCATATCAACCCGCACCACCAGCACACGTCTCGGAACCACTATTCCAGAGCTCTTTTCCCTCTCTATGCACAATCTTGCCGGTTGGATTTGCCGTCGTACCGAACATCGTAACGCCTCCTTCCCGGTCATTCATATCTGTCATCTTGGCCATGAGATCTGGTTTTGTTTTCGGAAAGAACGAAAAGCTCTTGACGCCAAGCGGACCCCAGATGTTTTGTTGCTGGTAAGCCTCGAGCGACATGTTGGTGACGCGCTCGACCATCCAGCCAGCCCATTCAATCCCTACGCCATATTCCCAGGCTTCACCTGGTACGAAGAGGAGGGGAAAGAGGAAAGCTTCTTTGAGGTCTTGGGAAGTGTTGAGGTCTGGTGTTTTCTTCTGCCATTTCCGGTATCGTGTCATCAACGGATCTGTAAAGAGAACTCGTTAGTACAGATTTCGGTTTGCTTGCAGTGCTTGAATTGCTTACTGAAGAAATCATATGTGAGTCCTGAGGAATGGGTAAGGAGGTGTCTGGTCAAACAGTCAGCACTTTCAAACCTTTTGGAGTGATTTGGTCTCACCTGAGAGTGATCGCCTTGGTATTCTCTACCAACACTGGCGTTTCTTTCCCCTGTTCGTCCTCTTCAAACCCCGTCAAGATCTTGACCCCTTTAAACTCAGGCAATATGTTCGTAACATCCTCGTCGAGCTTCAACAGTCCTCGCTCAACGCATTGCACGGCCGCAATTGTGGTGGGAAGCTTGGTACATGAAGCAAGCCACATGACAGCATCAAGCTTCATAGGATCAGGATTGGTAGCGTCTTTGAGTGAGCGTAACCCGAAAGCTTTCTCGTACCGGTATCTGCCTGGAGTTTGTTAGACTTCTCTCAAGACCTGAATAACTGTGGGATGCTGTTACCTTCTCTATCACCAGCGATCAGAAGAGCTCCGGGAATCTCTCGATTCTTCACAGCCTCCTGCATCCGCTGTTCGAAAGTTTGGCCTGGCATCTTGAATTTGTGAATATTGAATCTATCTCAATGGTCTACGATTCTAGCTTTCAAGTCGCTGGAGGTAAATAGCCAGTTGCTCTCTAGGGAAAGAGGATCGAATGTGTGGTTAACTGGCGAGGTAAATATCACGAGAAGAGGCACAGCATGATTGATAATCCAAGAAATGAAGACAAAGGAGACCAGAGATACTAAATAGTATTCAATCTCTGCATCCCGCAGAGGGATAACCTCCACCGAGACGGCGATCCAGGAATCTGTACCCCTCAAACCTCGGCTGGCTTCCCAGCCTCGCTCTAGCGAACTACCCGCGAGCTAAATCAACAACGCTGGGCAAATCTCCGATACCCAACCAATAATATTCCTTTTGCACAATGCAAAACATTTGCCTTATTCAATTAACCCTGTTACGGAGTTCCGAGCTCTCAATACTTCTCTTTCTTCGTGACGTATGATTTAAGTAAGAGTGAGCGGTCAAGACTTAGGTAGACTTCGAGATACCCGACTGCATTGCCGCAGGAACGAATATGTGCGGGCGCTCTATGTACCTATGTAGGCTTGAAGCATGAATGTAAGTCTCTCAACGTGTACCGGCGATCATCATTCATCATTCGATATAATCGTATCAGTCCATAGTGATGGTTGTCAGCCTTGCATATTGCATGCTCCGTGACTGTATCGGCGTTTAGGCCAGGCTGTGGTCGGGTAAGCAGAGGAGAAGTGGTATTTACGTCCGATGGGATAAATGCCGAAAACATACTTCTTAGTAACTCAGCAGGAATACACGATGCTGTGAGATTGTCAGCAGACTTTGGCAATGACCCGCTGGTACCTAGCTGCCTAGGTACTGTTCAAGAGGGTAGTCACTCACCGAATCAACAGTCCGCTAAGAGAGTTCCCGTACGTAACCTTTCGAAGGTCCACACCTGCAATCACTTAACTCGAAGCAAGATAAAGGAAAGATATGGAAGGAAGTGGCGTGATCATCAACGCCTCCATTCTACAATTGAAGAAAGAATCCTCTAATCCAGATAAGACTATTACTGTACAGTTACCTGTGCCCTCCGAACGCCTTGCCAATGCTCACTCAGATCACAAAACACTCAAGCTGACATAAATACACCCTAACCATTCCCAGATCGTGTCATAAAAGTACAGTCTATCCCATTCCAACATATTTGAACCAGTTCGGCCGGCAATCTTCTTTCATGAGCCAGGACTCGCCGTCTGTGAAGCGGCCGGTCATGCAGCCCTTGCACTTCGGTGAGTTGGGGCAATTGAAGTACGGGATGTGTTGGTATCCGATGTCACGGAACCTGTTTACTTGTTAGTTTGCGCGGCTTATCAGCAGTTGATTGGGAAAAACATACCAATGGATCTTGCTCGAGTCTTCGAACAATCCAAGAGCAATACTGTGCACAGGTGCGTCTCCCCATCTCTCATAGAAAAATCCACCCGCACGATCCAGATGATTGAAATAGTCTTCATACGCTTGACTCCTCCAGAAACTCATATCCGCAATCTCAAAATTGGACCAGAAATGGCATGTGGAGTATCCATTCGCTTTCATATTGTGCTCGGGTCTCCTTGTCGCATCTGACAGCCATTGCATCGCATTGTTGTCGTGAAGGTATTCGGGATGAGCAGCAACGAACTTCGTAGTCTCGGGCCACAGCGTAGGAATCGATTGTGGCGCATCGTACAGATTGATCGTGAAGCCGTAGGTTTTATTGTGGTCTTGCATGTATCGGAAAACATCATAGTCCACATCGCAGAAGAAATGGACCTTTGGCTCGACTCGCCAATAGAATTGTGTGTTCGCAAGAGCGGGGTGTTTGTAGAAGAGACCACTGTTCCATCGGCACATCTGATGATAGGACTTCATGGCTCCGTACTGGATATCATTCTCCTTGAGGATTTTGGCGGATTCTTGGAAGAGCTCCTCGTCGATCCATGAGGGAACGTCCCAGTGTTCTTTTGGAATAGTTTCTGAACAAATTGTCAGCAATTTCCTGTGCCTAGGCTTCAATCCATCATACCATATATACACTCTGCTTTCGTCTCTGCCTTCGTCCGCCTCTTGAACTCCTCCGAGAATGGCACATCATTGAAGAAGGTCCATGGGTAATTAAATTTCGAATTCCACGTTCTTTCGAGATCTCGCATGGCTTGTACCATGCCATCAACCTCCTCGTTTCTAACCAAAGATAGGAGGGTAGCGTTTATTCGATTCGTCCCTTCAGCACCTAACCCGTATCCTTTGTCCGCCCTCCACAACAATCCTTCAGGCTCATCTGTGACTGTATAGTGCATCAGCTAAAGAAATACCATTTCAGGGCCAATTGGGCGCATACGGTCCAGGTTGGGGTCTCTGTCCATATTCTTGAGGGTATCACCAGGGCCTTTGGGATACCTGGTTGGGCCAAATATTTGGTATAGGAAGAAAATCCATAATCCTACAGCTGCCAGACCTAGCACTCGAATGGGTTTCGCTATCGCCATGATGGTTGGGGAGGAGAGGAGTGTTGTATCTCTCCAACAAAAAAGTCCTGTGCCCTCAAGTTGCGCCTCACACTCAGATCTGGGATCGATCCCCTTAACGGAAGTTCCCGTAATCCCATCAACATGTCTCAATGCCTCAGGCAGATATCTCTCATCATGACCACGGCGCGTCTCCCCAGACGCGTGCATTATCAACAGAAAAGGAGCAGCTATAAGAAATATTTGCGTCGATGGTCTTGTGGCAATGGCGCATATTGCAAAGCTAGGGGGGTTGACAGATGAGCTTGTGCAGCTCCTCACTTCTACTTCAGCAAAGGTAAACAATATCCCCCGAAACAGAACTTCTCCATGTTACAGCCTTTGCTAATCTCTGGCACAGTCAGACCAGGCAAGGTTCAATATACATCGAGAAACTGCGCTACGAGCTTTGCGCTTCAACAACTACCCACGAACAAATCAATTCGATGTCACAAGCCAACTGGATGGTCTGGAAGAGAAGCTGCGAGTTTACAATGAAGATCCCCTGGCAGATGCATTACGGGAGCGACTGGATAAATTGACGGCCTTAGAAGTAAAATGGACCCCGGAAATTCTACATCTTCTTCTTGAGCTATCGGATCAGCCAGTATCGAAGTCAAAGCTGGAGAGGTTGGACTTTTTAAAGGAGCCTGAACCAGATGCTGGACCGACTCTGAAATGGAAGGACCTCGCTGCAGAGGATCCTCTGTTGCGAGAGAAGAGTGTCTGGCGGAATGTCGACTTTGCAGCCGAAGATTCGGAGGGCGAGGATTGGTATGAAGATTCTCGATCGGATGTTTCAGTACATTCGGGCACGACTGCGCAGTCAAGTGTCGAGGATGAGCTCAACAGGCGTCCAGAAGACCATACTGTTGACACTATCGACAAAGTAGCACTGCAGGAATTACGAAAGCAGCAGTTCTGGCAGAAGACTCCAAATGTGTTTGGGGTAAAACTGGAAACAGTGAAGAAAAGCATAACGGAGCTCCAGGCTATCCGGGAGGTTCTCTTTATGCTAGGGGGGCTTCCAACGTCACTCTTCGAGGTCGATCCTAAAGAGCAGACGATAATTCGGCCATCGAAAGGTTATGCGCTGAAGCATATATCTGCAGAAGCGTTCTTCAAGCTTGCCAAATCCTTTGCCGACGATGGATCGTGCCTCGCTCGTCTTCGATCATGGATCAAGCAGCCACAGAGCATTCCATTACTCCAAGTGTTGCAGAACACCCTACAGGCTCTTGTTCACGACTTCGAAAAAGCGCTGTCGGAAATCCAGCAGCGGTTCATCTCCCCCGAAGAAGATGTTGTTGTCAGTCTTCTGAGTGTTCAAGACGAACTCGCATCTCACATATATCCCCTTGTCCGACTTTCAAATATCATCAAGAAGCTAGAAACTGAGCGATATGCTCACGCATTTCGATACTTGGAAATGATTTACGACGATACCTGCACTTCACAAATGAACGGAGACGAGAAAACCTATGAATTCATGGGACGCATATTTTTCGACTGCTTCCGCATGTACTTACGGCCGATGAGGACATGGATGGAAGAAGGAGAGCTGGCGAAGGACGACAAAGTATTCTTCGTTTCGGAAGCAATTGGAGATGTGGAGCTGGCTTCCCTGTGGCAGACCCGATTTAAGATCCGGAGAACCCAAGATGGTGTCTTACATGCACCCAAATTTCTTCAAGCTGCTGCAAACAAGATCTTCAATACTGGGAAAAGTGTGGTAGTACTGAAGCATTTGAACCAATATGAATCGCTACGATCTACGGGAGGGCCGGAACCGCTTCTTGACTTCGATACAGTGTGTACTCCATCCGTCTGGCTTGCTCCTTTCCCGGAGCTTTTCGATACTGCCTTCGACGGCTGGGTCCAGAGCAAGCATCATCACGCATCGTCGATCCTCCGAAAGACACTGTTCGATTCATGTGGCCTTCAAAGGTCACTAGATGCTTTTTCTTACGTCTACTTTATGGCAGACGGCATTACAGCATCTGGATTCTTCTCCAACGTCTTCGATAAACTTGACACTTTGAACGCATCCTGGAATGACCAATTTACTCTCACGGAATTGTCCCAGAGCACCTTCGGCTCAATTCCATCTGTGAACCCCGATCGACTTCGAACAAACGTGTTGACCATTCCTCGCAAGCACCGAGATGTCGCAAATTGCCGAAGGACAGTAAAGGTCCTGACCATTCTAGAATTCAGATATCATCTGTCGTGGCCAATACAGATCATCCTCACCCCAGGGACCATCACATCATATAGGCGGATATTCACATTCCTGCTTCAGATTCGACGAAGTTCCCACATCCTCACTCGACAGCGTCTGATCTCTGATCGACTGACTGCCACCAGTAGCACTGACGAGCGTGCGATCTACTACGTCTTGCGAACGGGGTTGCTGTGGTTCGACCAGATGCTCTACTATTACCTGACATCACTTGTGCTGGAGCCACTGACACAAAAGATGCGAGCAGATCTGGAAGCAGCGGAAGATGTAGACGCCATGATTCAGGTCCACTCGGCGTATATAAAAGCAGCAACCGAGCAAGCACTTCTTGGAAGTAAACTAGAGTTGATCCATAAAACCATTCTCAAGATCCTAGATCTAGGAATCAAGCTCGAAGACGCTCAAGCTGCTAATGCAGCATCCAATAAGGAGGCCATGGAACATCAACAAGAGATGATGGATCTCTCAATGGCAAGTCTAGGCTTGCAAACTCCCAGGAAGAAAGCCAAGCGATTCATGAAAGTGCCAAAGTCAGCGAAGAAAGACCTGGATTCAAGTTCTGACGAGGAGAATGAGGACTTCGATGTTGATTTGAGTATCTTATCCTCGCCCGGTGGTGGAGACAAAGAGGAACTTTCATATCTCGAAAGACTGAGGAAGATGAAGGCAGATTTCGATAGGCTAGTTCGCTTTGTAGCGAGTGGATTGAAGGGAGTTGCGAGGGTGGGAGGAGGAGATGCAGCTAGGAGTTGGGAGTTACTGGGCGAGATTCTGGAGTCTGGTCTAGGGAATGACAGTGGGACCATGGGGTATCGGTAAAGGCATCGTGTCAAGATTATAGGGATACACCTTTTGGTGCTACTGCACTCTCGAGAACGTTTGTTGACAGCTACATGTGGACGGCGTTAGATACCCAATATGACTTCTAATCTTTCTGAGTGTCTTTGGGCTATCCCAACCTCAAAGCCTGCATTGTAATCTGATTTCAAGGGCAGGCAGTAGGTAGTTTTCCAAACAAGACACTGCACATAATGTCCTACAATCAAAACAAACCCTCAAGGTTCTCGCTTGGAAAAGGGGTCAGCAAATACCCACGCGAATAAGGTAGCCTTGGCAAGCGGATCCGCATTATCACGCCTCATGTCGTGCTCTGAGCCACAGCCAACGGCTGCAGTGTTTCTCTCCAAGCGGGGAAACTGTCCGGGGTATTCGTACTGTACAGTACAAAACCCATCTTTCTCAACTTTCCTCATCCTCTGCACATCTGGCGCAATGTTTCGTCACTTCATATTCAGATCCAAAGAGAAAAGCTGCTCTGGCGCCCTTTAGCCCCTCTTCACATCCTGTCAACTAATCACACAGACGGAATGACTCCGAATTCCGACGCCGACGAGAGCAGCCAATGGGCCAGACATGCTTTGTAAGAAAACGGTCAAATTCCCATTCACGCACGGCGTTCAGATAAGTATCGAGCTATGTAAGCTACCTTTTATCTCGTTCCTTATCGGGAAGCTGGTCAACTTCCTCTCCTCTAATCAGATCTTCACATCATCCATTCTGTTCCATCCATCTCACCGTCTCGCTCCTCCATTTCCTATCTATCTGGTATCCTGCATTGTTTGGAAATACCAAGCACGGATAAGCTTTGACTAGATAACCTCTATTCGAGACAGAGAAAGGCATTCAAGTCATGATGGCAGACTTCGAATATGTCTCGAAGCACGAGGCAACGGAGCAGACTGGTCCCAAACCACCATTGGATCTCAGCCATCACCTGTCGAGAGTCACAGCTGCGCGGAAGGAGAGTCAAATCAAGAAGTTCTATCAGTACTTCCAAATCCCAGGAATTGGTAACCTGGCAGGAGGTGAGTTTGCAATTCCTTCTTCCTTGCTGATAGTAAAGGTGGGGTGGAAGTCAACATTTGGCGTTATCGCCTTGCTATCTAGACATCAATGACGCTGATACATATTATATTGCAGGTCTACCCAATGCTTCATTATTCCCCTTCGACACTCTCGAAGCCCAGATCGCGCAGCCAGAGCGCTGGACGCCTACTCCGAATGATCCAAACGATCCATATAAAGACCTTTCCAAGACACTCGAGAAGACCAGCCTGAAGAATGGCAGAGATGTCACATCCTCCACGCATATCACCGTGCCACATACATCCGCCATCAAGAACCCAATCCAAAAGATCGATCTCACAACAGCTTTACAGTACGGCACTGCGCAAGGATACCCTCCACTCTTCTCCTTCCTCCGCCAATTCACCCGCGAAGTCCTCCATCCTAATGTCCCGTATGCTGGAGGCCCAGAGATCAATCTTACGTGTGGAAGTACGGATGGTATGGCGAAGGCGCTGGAGGCTTTCACGAATGTCTGGAGCGAGGAGAAGGATTGGGTGCGCGAGCGCCCGGGTATGCTGTGTGAGGAATTTGCCTATATGAATGCGTTGCAAGCTGCTGCTCCAAGAGGAGTACAGATTGTGCCTGTGGCTATCGACTTGGAGGGTATGCTGCCCTATGGGCCTGGTGGACTGGAGGATGTTCTTGAGAACTGGGATGATTCGAAGGGAAAGAGACCGCATTTGCTGTACACTGTTACGTGAGTACTGTCTAAGGTTGCTCGTTTGGATGTGATATTGACATCGCACAGCATTGGGCAGAATCCAACCAGCGGAACTCTGTCCGTTAAGCGTCGCAAGGAGCTCTACGCCATTTGCAGCAAGTATGATGTTATCATTATCGAAGACGATCCATACTGGTATCTTCAATTCCCATCAGCAGTTGGAAGGGAAGCAGAGGCACGGAACCTCCCTACCCCAGCTCCACAACCAATCCATGAGTTCGCTAAGAAGTCTGGATATCCATTCATCGACAGTCTCGTGCCATCATACCTCAATGTAGACTACGACGGCCGAGTCGTCCGCCTCGACACTTTCTCCAAGACTGTCGCGCCAGGATGCCGAGTCGGATGGATTACAGCGCAGCCCGCAATTATCGAAAGAATCCTCCGCATCACAGAATGCTCCACGCAACAACCCTCCGGTTTTGTACAATCCATGCTTTCAGAGTTAATCATGGGCCCTCAACCTGCCTTGGCAGAATTCTCCAAGAAATCCAAGAAGGACCAACTGGCATTCACAGGCTGGGAGACCGACGGCTGGGTGCGTTGGCTGGCTGGTCTACGAGGCAACTACGAGAACCGCATGAATAGGATGTGCACGCAGCTCGAGGAAGGCCGTTTCTTGCTCAAGCAGAAAACACCAAACCAAATCGCTGACGCTGACTGGGCTGTGATCTCCAAGACGAAGATGTTCTCGTTCGATTGGCCACGTGCAGGCATGTTCGTTTGGGTACACATGCATTTCGACACGCACCCACTGGCAGGCGTCGTTCCCGGTCCCAAGATGTCCGAACTCCTCTGGGTATTTCTCACCACAGTGCCATACCTTGTGCTCGCTAGTCCTGGCTCGGTGTTCAGTCCTACAGAGGAGATCAGAGCGGAGAAGGGATGGCAGTATTACCGTCTTTGCTTTGCGGCTGTGGATGAGGATGAGGTGGAGAAGAGTAGTAAGAGGTTTGCGGAGGGGATCAGGGCGTTCTGGTTGATTAAGGATAAGAAGGAGATGCAGGATATTGAGCCGGAGATTAATGAGGCGAATCTTGGGCAAGTGTGTGATTTGGGGATGGGTATGGCTTGTTAGGTCTCTACATATGTCCTTGGGAGGCATCTGTCATATGGTGCTAGGACGGCTGCTTACTTGGGATACAATCGGTAGAATGGTTACGAATTTGTTAATGTCAATATCAATGCAGTCATGGTTTGATGAAATACAAGAAGGAGACTTGCATATGCATCTATGGCGAATAGTGACGAGATGTGTCAATTCCTTTTGTATGGCTGGACGCCGTGGGGGTTTTGGTTACCTGCAACACAGTCGCCTTCTGTTTCACGAAGCTCGCGATCGGTTTTATTGTTGATTTCGATTTGTTTACAGTAGCAAAGCTTGAAGATTGTAATTTGAAAGATAGCATCCTGATAGTTTGCTTGCTCAGAAATGTATAATCAGAGAGGTAGTACGTCTTTGGAATGAATGGACTGTAGATTTACAGCAGAGTTCAGAGAGTCCCATCTGAATGGTAGATGTCCCACATTGGAGCTAGACATTAAGACAGGGGTCACCACATTCACGTCTCTTGGCATGCCACTGCACCAAAAATTTCCCCTCGTTACCCCACTACCGTAACATCAACAGCCTTGTCCTCCCCGACGACACATAAAACATACAAAGTTTATACACATTCCCACGACAAACCTAAAAAGGCCTCGACCTCCCTTCCCCTACCCTCGATCGTCGAACACTCAATACCACCTCATCTTCCACCTCCATACATACTGAGAATCCAAACCACGAAACCCAAACACAACCTCCCCCACAATGGAGAAAATAACCACCAAAATCGCCGCCCTCCCCCCAGGCAGCACCTACTTCTCCCTCGAATTCTTCCCCCCAAAGACAACAATGGGCTCCTCCAACCTGCGCGCGCGTCTCGACCGCATGTCGCGGGCTCTCCGCCCCCTCTTCATAACCGTCACCTGGGGCGCCGGCGGCTCCACAGCCACAAAATCCCTGGAACTCGCAGAGCTGTGCCAGCGCGAGCTGGGTCTGACGACGTGCTTACACCTCACATGTACGAACATGTCGCGGAAGCTGGTGGATCGCGCGCTGGAGGATGCGAAGGCATTGGGGATTAGGAATATTCTTGCGCTGAGGGGGGATCCGCCGAGGGGGGAGGAGTATAGGGATTTGGGCGTGGATGGGGCGGAGCAAGAGGAGGAAGAAGAGGAGTTTGAGTGGGCGGTGGATTTGGTGAGGTATATTCGCAAGCAGTATGGGGATTATTTCTGCATTGGCGTGGCGGCGTATCCGGAGGGGCATGCTGACGAGAGTGATCCTGCTGGGCAGAGTCTGGAGCATGATTTACCGTATTTGGTGGGGAAAGTGCAGGCTGGTGCGGACTTTATCATGACGCAGCTTTTCTTTGATGTGGAGGCGTATGATAAGTTTGAGAAGAGGCTGAGAGAACATGAGAGTGGTGCGTTTAAGGATATACCGATTATACCGGGTATGATGCCAATTCAGAGCTATCAGATGATCAAGAGGACGACAAAGTTGAGTCATGCGAGGATGCCGCCAGATGTTATGGGTAGGCTGGATGAGGTTAAGGGAGATGATGAGATGGTGAAGAAGGTGGGCGTGGATATTGTGAGCGAGATCGTCACACATATTCAGAAAGAGCCAGCACCTGGGCCAAGAGGATTCCATTTCTACACGTTGAATTTGGAGAAGGCTGTGTCTTTCATCTTGGAACGGACGAATCTCATTCCATCCTCACCACTAGACTCCGAATCCGCAATTCTGGACGTACCGGTACCATTGGAATCTCTTCAAGTCAACGGCTTATCACAGAAACGCCCAGCTCGCCGCCAAAGCTCAATAGGATCAGATCCTCATAACCGAGTCATAATCTCCGGCAGCAAAACCTCCAATCCGGACCGCGAAACAACAGGTGAAGAAGCCGCCGTGCCTGCTGAACCAGTCAACACCCGCGCCAACACCCTCGCCATCTCAGAAGGCGAAGGCTCCCTAGGCCGCGAAGCAACATGGGACGACTTCCCCAATGGCCGCTGGGGTGACGCCCGTTCTCCTGCATACGGAGAAATCGATGGCTATGGTGTAAGTCTGCACATGTCCGTCAACCAGGCCATCAAGCTCTGGGGTTTCCCAACCTCGGTCCAAGACATAACATCCCTCTTCATCCGACACATCGAAGGCTCAATCTCCGCTCTCCCCTGGAGCGAACAAGGTCTCAACGAAGAAACTAACACTATTAAATCGCAACTCCTGAAACTGAATCAGAAAGGTTGGTGGACAGTAGCATCCCAACCAGCCGTCAACGGCGTCAAATCCACCGACCCAATATTCGGCTGGGGTCCCAAGAATGGATTCGTCTTCCAGAAAGCGTTCGTAGAACTCTTCATCCCAGAAGCAGATTGGAAAGCTCTCCACGCTAAACTCACGTCCTCCGAAATCGCACCAACAGTATCATGGTACGCGTCCAACGCTTCAGGATCCTTCCTCTCTTCGTCGCCCAATACACCTGATAGCGAGGGAGGTGGCAGCACGAATGCCGTTACTTGGGGTGCGTTCCTGGGCAAGGAAATCATTACGCCGACGATTATTGAGGAGGTTAGTTTCCGTGCGTGGGCGGAGGAGGCATTTGGGATTTGGGGGGAGTGGGGGAGGGTGTATCCGACGAGGAGTGCGAGTAAGAGTGTGGTTGATGGGTGTAGGGAGGGGTATTGGTTGGTGAATGTTATTCATCATGGGTATGTTGAGAAGGAGGGATTGTGGGAGTTGTTACTTTCTTGAGAGTGATCTTGACAACTGGGTTGTGGATAACTTCGCAGGCTTGGTACCATTTTAGAAGCGAAGATGCATGGAGAGTGGATTGGTGAGTCTCGGAATTGGGAATATGGACCAAGGATAGGATACCCAGTGAGGACTCGGAGATATCAACTTCTGCGATTGGAAGATTGCGCTGTCGCTACATATATTGGGAATGCGATTCAGTGCTGGATGTAGATAGACTTCCTGAAATTGTAAAAGATACTTCGGACATACCAAAAGGCGGCAAAGGCGAAGGCGAATGGAGTTAATTTTCCAATTCAGCATCAATTCCAATGCAGTCCAGTGCAATGCATATGTTTCGAAATTTCACGACCTAAATCACGTCTATCTGCACTACGAACCAGTCAGTACAACAGCTCAAAACAGCATTGAAATCAAGATTATCTCTACCGTCACCTTGCCAGAATAAAGCACACTGACATAATTCCGGTATCGGTTACGCTGGAGTGAGTATCTTTTACCTAGAACTCTGGCGTTCTGAGCAAGAAGCAGGAGACCTCTGCAGAGCAGTCGCGCATATCACATCTCACATCCTTTCTGACACCCTGCCTTACACATCACATCAGACTTCCATTATTGTAAAAGGGAATCTATTAGTCTTCATTTGTATTGAAAACCACTTGTCCCATCCCATCTCGAGCTCAAGCACTCATCAATCGAAAGGAAGGAAAATGCAGACCATCAGGAAAAGAAGGAAAGGAAGGGGGTTTCTAAATACAAGCTATCCACCCAACCAACAACCAACATTCATCCATCTGACCATAAGTCTGTATGTATGTCTGTCTGCCCAAAGAATCTTCTCACCAAGACCCCGAAAGAGAGCAATCCGTGCATCCATCCATCCATCCGTCAAGTCTTCTGTGAAAGTGTGTGCAGTTTTGTGAGTAGAGAACCCAATCCATCCATCTAATCCACCTATCCATCTGTCAATCAAATGTCTTATGCAAGAGTGAGAATGAGAAATGCAAAGCCAGAACCAAGCAAACAAACCAAACCGTCATGCCACCGACCTCAAGCGAAACCGAAACATAGCAGGTAGGCGAAATCTCTCACTTTCTTCCTCCCTAAAGAAGAAGAGGAAGCGAGGATCCAAGAACTTAATCCCAGATCGCGAATCACCATGTCGAAAAATGTCGTTTGGTGAATGCCAGAGTGGATAGAGGAAGAAGAAATCTGCCGTATGCAAGCAAGCAATTGTAAACGAGCAAGCAAGAGGAGAAATCATCCGCTGGTGTTGCTGGAGGCAAGTTAGTCAGCGATGCGAGAGGGAGGATCTCGATATCGTTATGTCGTATCGTAATGTATTTTCGATTTCAGAAAAGCAAGAAAAGCAAGCCCAGAACGCCTCATGATACGCCACTCTTTTGGTATGGGAAAGCGCTGACTGTGTCGGTTTTTGTTGTAGTCGAAATACGCGGCGCGAAATGTAAACAAGGGGGAGCGAGCGAAGAAAAACGTGCTATTTGTGCAAGGGGGAGTTGGTTGATGTTGTACAAGCGGATTGAGGTAACGTTGATCATGCGAAGACCATCCCATATGTCCATCCATCGATCGATCGAGAAATGCTGTGATCGTCGTTGAAATTCAGCATTTCTCGCGAGGGGGAAGATGTGAGATAGAAAGACAAGATTGACATGGCACTTCGCAGAAATTTCTTTGGGGAAAAGAAAAATCTAGACCTCCTCGTCCTCGTCACCGTAGTGATTGTCCTGGCTGTTGAAGTTGTCATTGTCCTCGAAGGTATAGTGGTCCTGGGAGACGGCGTGGCCATTGGAGTGACCATAGCCGCGACCGTAACCGTAACCGTTGCCATTGCCATTGGTAGCGTAGGTTGGGGCGTTGCTATAGTCGGGGGCACTGATGTCCTCATCGCCGTAGTCCTCGACCTTCTCGGGCTTGACGCGGCCGTTGACATCCTCGTCATCGACCTCCGAGTCGTGCTCAGTGTAGCTCTTGGCGGAACGCTTGGAGGGGGTCTATGTCAGGTGTTAGCAGGAATGTCACAATGAGAAACAGTCTTCTGTTAAGCATGGTTGCGGGTAGGAAGTCCGTCTCCAGGACCTCACAACTTTCATGAGTACGAGGATGGGAAGAACTTGCCTTAACAGCACCACGAGCACTCTTTGCCTTCTTAGAAGGAGTTTCGGCCATACTCTCATCGTCATCACCATCGACAGCCTTCTTACGCTTACCACCACCCGGAGTACGCTTGTTGGGTGTCTTCTTGGCGGCGGATCCACCGTTCTCTGCAGCAGATTTAGTTAAGTCCCAATGAGGTTCCTTGCGCGCGCGCTCGAAATAGGTTGATACAGCCTTACCACTAACGCCATCCCCGTATTGACCAGCGATGGCTGCAGACATAGTTAGCGAGTGTTCTTTTAGAAGTTAAGCGGTTTGATGACGGGGAGGAGTGGACAATAGGAGATGGTAGAGGAGGACGGAATGAGATGGATAGAAAGTTGTGGCAAGAGAGGGGAGTGCAGATGGAGCTGGCTACCAGCGTTCATTGCGTCGGCTTCCTTCTTGATAGGCCTGAAGCGATGCTGCAATGCAGCTGCTGTAGTCCCATCATTCATGCGAAGCGCAATTTCTGTTCAGAAGTCAATGTCAAAATTCGCGGGACCATCAAAAGTTGTGCTGTAAATGCTGAAAAAAAAAAACGGGAGAAGAGAAGGAAAGAAAAGTATCAGAGCTGGTAGCACATTTGAGAGTCTCAGCCTCCTTCTTGATGGGACGGAAGCGATGCTCTAATGCCGCAGTAGTCGTGCCATCAGCCATATAATGAGCAATCGCTGCAGAAAAGTCAATATCAACAATTGTTGGAAAATGCAATGTGTGCAGTTAAGGCAGGCTGTGCTTGAACAAAGAGAAAAGAAATGAAGAGCAAATGTTCTGACCAGAACCACCAGCCTTGACATGACCAGATCCAATGCCTAGAGTCTGGGGATCACCTCCAGCATCAGCGCAAGCCTTTTGACGCTTGGCGTCTTGCTTGATGGCTCGGAATTGGAATTCAATGCCACCCTTGGTGCTATCCTTTCCGAAGTACTTGCTGATGTCTATGTTCAACAATCAACAAGGCGTCCAGAACACGACTTGTGTGCATGTCTGTGAATTTTGTGCAGTGCTGGGATAAGAAATAGGAACGAATCTCTGACTTTTGCCAGTTTTGCCGCCGCCCTTGGCACTGTAGAGGCTATCAAGATCGATATCCTTGGGGTCTAAGCCCGCAGATCTCATCTCTTGCTGCTTCTTGCCCATAGGCCTGATACGGTCTGTGAACTGGAATTTGAGGCCGTTGGAAGTGACATCGCTGCCCATGATAGCTGCCATCTCTAGAAGGGACATCAGATACCCGTTGTATAGAGCAAAAGAAAATGTGCTGTAGAAAGAAAATCGAAGATGGACCCTGACCAGAGAGACTAGGAAGCTTAATGTCCTTGCAGTCAAGACCTTTGGCTCGACCATCACGAAGAGCGTCAAGGTTCTTCTTGATTGTGGTGCAGAACTGGAATTTGATACCACCGACGGTGGCATCGCTTCCAAACCATCCAGCAATCTCTGGGATAATATGAGCATGCATTCAAAAGACAAAAGGAAACGGTGCTGAACGGTGCTAGAATGTAAAGTCTGACCCTTTCCACCAAGAGTTGGAAGAGTGATAGTCTTGATATCAACGCCGTTGGCACGAGCACTCAGAATGGCTTGGACGTCCTTCTTGATGGGGACGGCCATCTGCCATCTGAGAGCTGAGACGGTTGCATCACTCCCGAAACAAGCAGCAATCTCTAAAGTCTGATCAATACACATCGGTGGAAACAGATCGGAAGTAACAGAAATAATAGATAGAAAGCAGAAAGCAGAGAGTAACCGAAGAAATAGACACGAGATGACGAATGCAAGTGCTGAAATGGCATAGTCTGACCCTTCTTTCCGCCCTTGCCAGGTGTGTCCTTGACGTCACCTCCGAGGCTCAGATCCTTAGGATCTCCCCCAGACTGGACGCAGTCGCGAACAAGCTTGGCTTGAGGCAGTATGTGACGCGAAAACATCTTTGCGATACCACCTTGAGTGGTATCACTACCAAAATGCTTGGCCAGTTCTGCGGGAACGTCAATGCCAGGACAGAAAATGCAAAGTAAAATAAACAGAAGGAAAACGTGAATTGTGTAGAGCATGGCAGATATCTGACCCTTTCCAGTCTTAACATCGCCAACCAGGTTGAGATTCTTGCAATCACCACCTGAATTGGCATGATCCTTGACTTTCTTGACGAGAGGTGTAACATGGCGGCAGACGGCAACCTGGAGCGAGCCAGGTGTGACATCGGTGCCAAAGTACTTGACCATCTCTGCTGGGTGTCAATGGATTGGACGAGGAAATGATGAACAGAATGGAATCGTGAAGTGTGTTATGTGCAATGTAGGTCTCTGACCCTTTCCACGCTTGCCTCCCTTGCCATCGTCATCGCCTCCGCCTCCGATGTTGAGATCCTTGGGATCGCCACCACCGTCGGCGAATTCTCTGACTTTCTTGGCTGTGGGCTGGACATTGCGGTTGATCTGAAGCTGGATGGCATTAGGAGTGACATCGCTACCGAAGTACTTGGCCAGTACTGCTTCAGTAAATGGGTGATCGGAATATGAATTTTGAGGAAAAGGGATTGGAATGGTGTTGAGTGCAAGACAGATCGTCATCTAACCCTTCGCTCCAGCGCCTTTGGCCTCCCCGCCAACAGGCACAGTTTTCGCCGGATCTTCTCCACGAGCAATAGCGTCGAGGATCAGTTTGGACGTTGGCTTGATGTTGCGGAGGAAGTGCATCGAGAGTGCATGACCCTTGAGCCCATCGCCGAAGCATTTCGCAGTTTCTGCGTTCGGGTCATCAATATCTGTAGCGTGGGGAACCAAAAATCCAAAAGAAAACTTGAAAGGAACAAGTAGATTGAATAAGGGAATTGTGTTGGTGTTTGGGATATGTATGTGTCTGACCCTTTGTCCCGCCGCCAATCTTGGTAATCCCAGACAGCTGGAGTTCTTCGGGGTCACCTCCGGCCTCCAGCGTGTCCAAGACAGCCCTGACATCGTGCTTGATAGTGCGGTCGTAGAAGTTGCGGATGGCTTTTCCATTGACGGATTTGCCATAGCAACGGGCTACTTCTAGGAGTACATCAATACAGAGACAGGGAAATGAGATAGAAAGAAATGTGCAGTGTGCTTGAAATAGATGACGAATGATCTGACCCTTTCCAGGATTTCCGTGACGGACACCCTCAATCAAGACAACATCCTTTGCGTCTCCGCCTTGAGCACGGATATCTTGGATGAGCTTGACATTGGGGGTGATGTCGCGGGCAAAATGGGTTTGCAGGGCTACTTTCGTAGTGGTAGAACCATAACAAGAAACGATTTCTGGAGACGACATTAATGAAAACCCAAGGAAAGAGACATATCCAAGTATGGAACACAGAAAGGAAATATGTAATGTGCAGTGCCACTGCTTCAAACTTGCCCCTTGCAAGATCCTTGGGATCTCCACCGGCAGTCAAAGTATCGTTGATCATCTTGACAGATGGCCTCACAAGACGAGTGACAGCATGGCTGACAGCCTTGGGAGTTGCATCTGTGCCAAAGCAGCGAGCAATATCTGCAGCGACATCAATATGGCTTTACATGATGAAGCTCTGCGTCCAGAACGCAAGGCAGGGGTGTATTGTGCAGCGCAGTGTAACCAGTATCTAGAACTTGCCCTGTGCACCTCTCCATTTGCCAGGGAGGTCCAAGTCAGCTGGGTCACCGCCAGCAGCCAGAGTCTCAAGGACCAATTTAACAGGTGGCCGAACTTGTCGCTTAACGGCATTTACAATTGCGCTTTCCGTGGCATCACCACCATAACAACGAGCAATCTCTGCAATGTCATCAATATGGCTTCATTTTGATGCATGGCTGTAGGTATCGAAGACAAAAACGAAAGGAAATGTGCATGTGGTATGGTGATGTGAAGGTCTAACCATTGCCTCGACCAGTTCCGGCGATAGCGATCATGCCATCGGTGTCGCCAACATTGATGGTGATAGGATCAACTCCATTCTTGACCGCATCGTTGATCAACTTCGCATCGGACTTGATACGACGGAAGCGATTCTCGATAGCGGACTTGGTGCAGTCGCCACCGAATCTCGAAGAGATGTCTAATGAAATCAACAAGAGAACAGGAAATGAACTGAAAATCAGACGCGGAAAACCCAATGTGCAGAAGATGCGGAATGCAGCAGCCATGGATACCTTGAGCCTTCTGAGACTTGGCAGTGGTCTGGGTATCATCCAAGGGGACGGTGAAGGGATCCTGTCCAGCATCAACTGCAGCGGCGATGGCCTTGGCATTCTTGTTGATGATGTTCATGCGGTCCCAGACAGACTTGTATTTTGCCCCATCCCCGTAGTAACGAGCGACGTCTAAGGAAGAGACATTATCAGGGACCACCAAGGAAACTTGAAGTGAACAGCAAGTGAGACGCGCAGCATTGAAGGAGGGTGTGAGGCGAAGAAGGGGCGGGAGGAAATTTTGTCAGTACGTACCGTCGTAGTTGAGCTTCAGTCCCGGGTGGGCGGCGATAATGGCCGACAGAAGTCGGACGGAAGATTCGTAACTCTTCCAATTTGGCATATTGGCGGTTGTTTGGGTTTTCTGTTAGGTGAAATGACGAGTCAGTGAGAATTAACCATATGTTGGCGAAGTGAGGTCAACAGAAGATGAGTGGCTGATCTGGAGAGGGTGATTATCTGATAGAGGGAAGTTGGGTGCAGGGTACCGTGATCGAGCTGATCAATAATGAGCGGCTGCGAAAATCTGAACGCGTCGCAATGACAGCGATTCAAGTAGAAGCAGCAGATACGGATGAGCTGATCTGTGCAGATATTTGCTGGGGAGGAAGGAAAACGTGGTTTGGCTTGTGTTTGTGGGGGCAGATGTGAGGGACTAGATCGAAGCTGTATCGACGTCGGAGACGCGTCCAGCAACGAAATGTGGGAAATACAGCAGGTAGGCAGATACGATGGCAGAGAGAAGTAATGATGGTGTGATGAGGATAATGGGCTGATGATAGGTTGACTTACCTTGGGGTTGTGGCTTGTTTACTGTTTTGTTGACCTTGGTCGAAGTGGCGAAGCTGCGAAACTATCAGGAAGCTAGTCAGTGAGAGATAGAGAGACGAAAGAGAGTTTACCAACGTATACTTGAAAGAGGAGAATGCTTACGTGGATGTGTGAGAAAGGCTCGGGTGGGCTGTGGTGGAAAGAGAAGATTGATGGAAGTTGTGGTTGAGGAAAAGGGAGAGGAGGTTGGAGGCTGAGGAGAGGGCTTTTTGTAGGCGACGGCGAGAGTGCGGTCAAGGCTGCGTTGACGCTAGCGTGCCACGAGGCAGTTTCGAGGAACTTCGGGAAGTGAATGAGAGCAAACAAAGCAAAGTTGCAGGCAGCATGTGAGTTCAGGTTATCTCTTGTGAAATCTGGCCTGCACTCGCAAGGGTTTTACATAGTCAAAGAGCAGAGAAAATCGTCAATTTTCATTTCTAAGAGCCAAAACAAATTCCTAAAGCTTCAGACTCTGTCACATACACGGTTCCATCGATTTCTGGACCAGTCATGATGCGTGTTGTGGTTGCTGTGCCAGTGCATCGCCAGCGAGACTTGAAGTGTTGTTCACAAAACATCACGACAGCCGCACAGGAACGAAGCGAGATCTCCCCGCCCCTCAATTTGCAACACCCCGGCACCTCTCGATCGACTCCTGGCCACCACCCCTCCACGGATCAATTATCTGCCCTCACGCATATCACTCAACGTGCTTTTCCGGAAGCAGTACAGCTTGTACGGCCCGCCGCATTAGTTTATAAGATGTGATAGAATCTGCAGCCATTGACCAATCACGAAAGAGCCGCATCTGCAGTTGAGATCTGATCTTTGGGATTCTCAAGGAAGAACCGCTGGGTTTGGAATATCGCCACGAGTCTTCGCAAACATAGTGCAGCCTGTATGGTAGAAGACGAGTTCTGAAGAAAGCGCCGAGAACCGACTTGGTATGGGCCGGCTCAAAGCCTGCAGAAGAGCAAGCATTCTGCATCGACTCTGGAAGAACTATCGAACCAGTCGCAATCGCAGTTGTCCCATGGCTTCCAGATGAAGTCAAGATACGATGAATCATTTGGAAAGAGAACCGAGCTCTGCAGGACATAACAAACAATTCAGAGCAGGAGAGCGAAGTCCGCCCCAATCACAACACCATGAGTCATTTTTGCATGTAGTCAAGAATGCGGAAGAGATGCATCATCTGCAGAAATTCAGGTTCAATGGAGAATCAAGTTATGCAGGACGACGAGGAGAAGCTTCGACACAATATTGCACCCATCAAACCTGCTTTGGAGCCTGAAAGTCAAGCTACAGAACACTCGAAAAGACGGATCGCATAAATGCAAACAAACAGTATGTGATACAGTGGCTGCCAACCAAATATGCAGCATAGCGCATACGTTCAGAAGTCTGAGACTCGAGGTCTGCCACACGATCCGAACGATGAGATACCAGGAAGAGAATGTGCACTTTGGCCAGGATACTGGAAGCTCCAAGCCGATACCCGAACACAGCGATCTGCTCAAGAGTCTGAGAGGCATCATGCCAATAAGAGGAAGTACCGAAAAGGAAAAGGCAAACAAATCATGTGCTGGAATCAAAAGCGTCTTGCCACTTGGCACTTGTTCGCGGAGGCAGTCCGATGGGAGTTTCTAACACCCTAGGAAAATGATGATGCCGCCTGAGCAGGGCAAGCAGATCTTGGAGCCAGAAATAGACAGTCCAAAGATGAAGCACCAGAAAAAAAAATCCGGCTCAGTTGACAATAAATTCAATTCGAAACTTGTACATCTACCCAAGTCGTATATCCTTCTCATTAAGCGCATGCCCGTTCATCCGCATGGCGATATCATGGTGGCCCTTGAGGACCGGTTCGCCTTCCCCATATACCCAATATTGTCCTCCAAGGAACAAGTCGCAACACATCTGGAAAATACCACAGAGCTTGAAAGTCCATGGAATCTCGCTAGTCGCTGTGAAGAACCAGAACATCTTCATAATATCACCAGCAATCCAACTGGCAAGGACTGACACTCTGAAGCCCTTAACAGATCGGGAGCGGAAGTTCGAGAGGATTTGCGGGATGGGAAGGGTCGCTTCGATTGATAGTCCCATTATTCCAATAAGGGCAGAATATGTGGCGTACAGACTTGGAACTGGTGACAGCACCAACTCAAGGCAGACAAGTGTGAGGAAGAGGTAGAGGAGGAACTGCCAGTATCTATAGAACAGTCAATATGACGTCGCAGATTTGCAAGAGCTGCGGAGTACTCACGGTTTTGGAGATCTCCACTGCCAGAAGTTGTATGGTCTCTGGATGCCGAATTCTCCTTCACGAGCCCCTGCAAATGGATTCGCCATTTCTCCCCCTTTGGATGACGGACCAGGTCGATGATCGAGGGCAACCTTCAACAGAACCAACTGAATGGCAATCATGATGAATGATTGTATGAGCAAGGACTTGTCAAATTGCGCGCCTGGATAGTAGAACACTCTGCGGACTGGTCAGCATGAAGTCCGCTTGATACTAAGCCCCTCGAGTCCTGGACAAAGCTGCACTCACCTCAACACCGAAGCCACAAGCATGATCAACGGAATATCCAGCGAGAAGCCCGCGCTTGACTTTGTGCGGTGTATTGAGTACGTCTGATCCGCATATGAAGTGATGGGAGAAATGATAATGAAGATGGGAGCAACGAAGCCCGTAATAAGCGACACCAGACCCATCTTGAAAGAAAGACTGAACGCCGGATACGCGACGGGATTGACGGGAACGAAGTATTGAAGTCTATATTCTTTCCATCTATAGAAATATGTACAAAGAAATCGATCGCAGTCGGATTGCACGCGCTGGATTGAAGGGGATGGCGTTCAGGGGCGTCAGATTCGAGGTGGAGGTGAGATGAATGGGCCAAGATTTATTTCGAGGAGCAAGCCTCTTCAAGCCTTCGGGGCGGGAGCTAGGCTGGAACAACCTTTCACCGAACAGTCTGGGCATGTGAAAGCCTGAGCTTCATCCAACGTCTTCCCATCATGTCTTTGTTCCAAGCGGATACTCACTCGAGACTAAACTTCATTATTTTTGAAGGTCCTGAGATAAATTTAAGCTTTTGCTTATTGGCATACCTTACCCTCTGTGCTTTAAGACAATGCTCCCGCACTTTCCTGGCTATGCTTCGCTGCAATGCCTAACCTTCGTAAGCCTGACTACGGCCACTGCTTTTCCCTTGCTTCAGTATTGAAAGATTCATTATCTGGTGGATAAAACAATGCGGGAATAATGTTGTAATCTTACAGGCTTGTTCATTGCATTAATCCATCCTGTTGCCTCAACTTTACATTTCAACAAGTTTACCCAAGTGTGACGCTCTTCCGGGGTCAAGAGCGGGCAAAACAGATCCAGCCACTAGTATACATCAATATTAGGCTGACCTGAATGTTGTTCCCATCTTCGATTATATGCAATTATATCTCTGTCATTGGTTGCTCATTCATAAGCTTCTTCATCAAATCTCTAAGACTGCCATCCTCGTTCATCAATTGAGCCTCTGGACTCATGAAGTCATCCGCAACCTTCGCCATACATCCAAAGAAAGCATATTCAAACACCCAAGGACATTCGTCCGCCCAATTAGCCACCTGTGCTGTGAATTTGAAGACATCTTTCTTATCTCTGCATATCGAAGCAATCTCAGATATCACAACTGGATATTCTGGATACTTCTCATGTCTGCTTGTCATTAGCAATACTCGAGTCATAAGTTCCCATAGAAGAGCTCACATTTTCTTGATATACTCAATAGCAGCGCCTCCATCGGGACCATAGTAATGCAAGCCCAGATAATCAGGCGGTTCTCCCTTCTCACAAATACTCTGCATAAACTCCTCCAACCACTTCTCCCCAGCAGCATCACTCGCACAACCAGGTCCCACAATCATCTTCCCCTTCTCCTTCTTCAATGGTACCATCTTCTCCATCCACATCTCCGCCGCTTTCTGAGGCGTAATGCCCGCTCGTTCTGGCTCATTGAAGTAATGAATGATAGCATGCTCGTTGTCGGATATCATTCCCCATTCATTAGGATCTGTGAGTTGATCCATACCGCGGACTGTTGGACGGAAAGGGAGTCTGCTCCTGAGTTCTGGAGTTGCCCAGGCGTTCCAGTTTGCTATTGAGGAGATAGGACCGGTGAAGTTGAGGGACTCGATAGCGTGCGGGATATTGGCAGTATTGGTCCAGTCCCAGAGGAGACAGCGTTTCTTAATTGTGGTCATTGTAACAAGGTGGTATAGGTACTTTAATGTGAAGCAATGAAGTGATATCGACAAATCAGGATGATGATTGTAACAGGATTGAATTGAAAATGCTTTACTTTAACATCTGGGAAATATAGAAAATTTATATAATAAATGAACCAACCTGAAAGAAAATCATAGAACTATATTTCATTTGTATGTTTGAAACTGGGATGCGATGCTGACAAAAGTTGGAACTGGAAGAACCTGAAGGGTTTCCACTTGCTTGGCATTGACTTTAGCGGGGTCACGGTTCAGTGACGTCCGGTTGCACACGCTGGTTTGTCGCGTCCTCAAGTTCTTTTCGAAGCTGTCGCAACCTCAGCGACCTGAACATCTCGAAACCCACGATTACCCACAATGCCGCCCAATCTTGATGAAATTGAGTACGCGCCCCCCTTCCAAGATGGTCTACCAGCTTCAAGGCCAAGTCTTGTTATGGATTACGACTCCCCAAGTCCTGATCCCGTACCAGGCGCAACCCCGGATCCAAAACCTGCTATCAAGCTACCAGAACCCAAGAAGATAGGTCCGCCACCACCAGATCCATTGCAGAAGCTACTGGACCTTCCAATCCTTCGGCCAATTCCATGGAAGGAGGGACAGGATTTGCCTCCAAGTAAATCATCAGAGCATGAGCGAGTTCAGGTTCGCAGCGCAGTTCTTCTAAGCACAAGAGGGGATGTTGCAGAAAATCCATGTAATCGTTGCGCTCGAGGGACTGGTCGGTTCGCAAAGTGTGTGTACAAAGAAGGATGGTTCATGGGAGCATGCGCAACATGTCAGATGAGCTCAAAAGGAAACCATTGCAGCTTCAGGCTGGAGAAGGAGGGTAAGTGTTTACTTTGATCTGGCACAAGAGTTTCTGACTGACAAGTGAAATTTAGCTGCTGCGAAAGCAAAGACAGCTCTAACGAACTCCACGAACATGTCGGCTCAAGAGCTCGTCCAAGGCTCTCCTCCAGGTGATACAATTCACGTCAATGGTCCATCAATGAAGCGCAAGCGGGTTTCTACTGAGAAGGCAGCGGCCCATACCTACGAGAAGACTTTTGACGATGATCCAAACGCCCTATTGCAATACGTCTTCAGCCAGCAACAAGCTGCCAATGGAAGTAACAAGCGTCACCACCAGCAATATCTAGCCAAGAGAGAGGAAGATGCGCGGGTTGGCAAATTGAATGGTTATGATGTTGGGCGGGAGAGTTACAGAGAAGAGGATCCATATTCGCCAGCAGCCACATATGGAGGCCATGAGAGATCATCATTCACTGCGCGTGCCACTCTCCCTCCAGACGACGAGCCATTACCTCTGATTGACACGTTCCCCCGCAAGAAGCAGAAGCAGCTCTTCGCTATCATCGGTAGTTTGCAAAGCGGTATCAGGACATCTCGTCAGCAAACGGAAAACCTTCAGAAACAGCTAGATTCCCTTCAAATGATCCTCGGAATCGAGCCCGAGGAGGTCGAACTATAATTGATGATGCGAATGTCTTTCATCTTGCTTTTGCATTCGGAGGAGTTTGAACTGGGGATACCCGATCATGAGCTTGGACTGGAGTTTTACATTTGCGATACCGCATGGGACGAGCATGATTGGTGGCGTTGGATAAGTTACAAATATGGAGTACAATGGCGTGCGTTGAAATCGGATGCTCAGGATACTGTAAATGTATGAGCGATGATATGCCTGAGATGCAAAGGCTACGAAGGTCCACAATGAACAAAGCCTATGACATTCCCGGCATGTCCGGATTCATGCTGGACTGTGTCTTATCTTGTCTTTTCGCACTTGAGAAGCACACACACTCACCAGTTCTTGCTATGTGCTTGAGACCAGTACATCTGCCTGGGAAGTGTTCCGAGCATAGCGAATCACAGTTTGTATTTCATTTCATGGAACTTCCAAACCCCACGCAATCACTTCCTTCTGTCCTGCGTTCTTTCAATTTGTCTCAATACTTCAATCTACAGATTCCTTTTCTTCATGTACCTTGAAATTGCAGTACTCGATTCGGACCAACATGCATCTCCAAGGATACATGCAGCGGGAAGTCCGCACATGCACCTGCGCCTTCCAGCAAACGCCCGGACCCCGTCCAATCAGACATCACTCCAACTCTCTTGTACAACATCCTGTTTTGCATTCTTCCATCCAACCTCGATCATTGAGTCGCACCCTCGAAATCATTGACCAGCCTCGTTGAAGAACCTCTTTCTTGGCGCCATGACAGAATGCACGTCAGCTGAAGAGTTTCCAGGCAGACAAATGCAGGCACGGCTGAGAATCTCCGCAACTGACTTGTCATAGTCCCGCATTCCATTCTTCACATCGGACGAAAGCCTACACACGGAACAACCATTGCCCTATCAATACCTGCCTATCTGCTGTGACGTGCTGGTAATGTAGTATCTCTCGGTGAGCGAATCAGCCGTCGAATCAGTCGCACTCGTCTTTTGAAGTTCAGGGTTGTCATAGGTAGGGCTGAGTGCAGCCGCGCCGGAGGAAACGAGCGAATCTGGTGCTGAGGTGAGAAGCTGACGGACCCCACGCTACTTCACATCCACCCTCACACACTCACATCACACCACTACATCACTCACATCATCTTTATCACTCAATCACAGCGTACAGCCAAGACAGGTACCATGCGATGCGGCTGCGGCTGCGGTACGATATTGTGTGTGGGTGGGTGGTTTCGAGACAGGATGAGAAGGCGGCAACGGATGTGGGTTCTATCATACGCCACTGGAACCCCTCCATGACGGGATGGAATGGCTCACAGAACACCTGGGGAGGCTGTCATATTCTGTTCGACCTATAGAACGGGTGTATTGCTCTTCTCGGCCGGTTTGAGGCTGAGGCCAAGGCAGGGCAGGGGGAGAGGTAGGTAGGTACAAGTCTGATATAAGTCGACCTACTCCTACTTCCCTCAGATCTTACTTTATACTTTGCATACACTCTGCGAGTCATATAGTACGAACTCAATTGCATTGCACCTTTCTCATATATTATCTTATCTGAGGTCGATTTATTGGATTGATCGATTCATTCGTTGATTTTTCTTCAACAATGCGTCTCAACTCCTACCTCACTGCGGTTCTAACCGCAACCTTGTCTCTCTCCCCTCCTGTTCTCGCAGGAGGCAAACACCACCCGAAGAACTTCTACGCTCGCAATCTCAAAACTATATCCTCAATCTACAACCTCACCGTCTTCCCCAGTACGTCCCTCCCCATCGCCAAATCCGTCTCCATCCCCTTCCTCCCGCCCATAACTAACATCCTTCACCTTCACAGACAACGTCCCCATCATCACACACGGCGGCTCCGCCGTACCCAAAGGTCTCTTTGCCGCCAATGCCTCCGGCCGTGTCTCGCCTTTAGGAAACTTCACGGGCTTCGAGGACAGCATTGAGTATTTCTTTGCGTTGGCACTTACGCCAAATGAGCCATCGTTTTCGGTTTTCACGAGTGCGAAGGTTGTGAGCTTTATTAGCGGGTGTGCGAATGTGGCGGCTAGTGTGGCGTATTTGGAGACGAGAGGTATGTTTGGCTTCCTCATCGAATCGATTCGAGAATGTCTGGGATTTGAGATTGGGGACGGTGGGAGGGATCCTAGACCCCCGATCTTGAACCATACGAAAAAGCGTGTATTAATTCCTGAGCAGTGTTGAACCCAAAGTCGACGGATAATGGGAAGTATCTCAGTACACTCAAACAGGTATGTTTTCGCAGCACCTTTCAAAGTCCCTCTCTACAGTGACAGCTTGGAATGGACTGGGTCTTTGAACACAGCTGATTTGGACACAACAGGTAGCATTCTGGCGCTTCGACGATGACGGTGCTGTCATCGCATACGATGCATGGATCCCCAACCTCAATATCTGGAACTTCCTCGCACGGGGAGAGGCAGATATCACCAATCCTTTCGTGCAGCAAGCTTTCATCCAGCGCATCTGTCCAACCATCCAATCGCTCTGCACGGGTAAAAATCAGCAATACACTGAGTATGTTCTTTCTTTCCTCTTCCTTCTGACTCATCCTTCCACCTCCTTGCATTTCCCTCCCTTCCCACAGGTAACTAAACTGACACTCTCAGCACCATCTCCTGTATCGCCTCAATGACCGCCAAACCCTTCGGCAACTACGACGAAGTATGGGGCGACAACGTCGCCTGCCGCACCATCCATCTCATCCTCGCAGGCGTACGACCCGACGCACACTGCCCGCACGTCGGACCTGATGGCGGCATGAAGTGTGTGAATGAGCCGTACAATCATGGGTACTTCGATGACGAGGACTTGTTTGGACAGCCGACTGGGAAGACCTTCGTGTGTCCCGATAAGGAGGAGGAGCATGATCCGTATAGAATGGAGCTGGTTTGAGTGGAGAGAGCGTATGAAATCACGGGAAAGGAAGGGTGAGGTTGGGAGGGGGAGGGTAATAGTTTTGTTTGGGTATATGTATACTTAGGTGGGGGATATTTGCGAATAGTTTCTGAAATACCGAAAGACACTTGAAAATGAAGTGTATTAAAGTATCCACACAGGTATCTTGAAACTTTACGCACAGAGACACGCGCATATGTTTAAGTAGAACACATCCCTCAGATACGATCTACAGATTAGTATGTCAACGAGTACCTTTCACGGCTCAAGGTAGCCACAGTCTTCCCGGATATGGGACTGATGATGTCAAGGAGCTCTTGAAAATATCTGATCCTTGTCAGAACTCTCCCAGTTTCTTCTTTTCCCCGCTATATACCTCGTCCCATCTAACCATCTCGCTTAGCATCCCGGTATATTGACTTTCACATACCTATGGCACGGGCCGATCCGTCTCAGCGGTAACGTAGGGCTATGCTTGCAGAAGAGACCTTGTGCGCGTTTTTGTATTGAGATATAAGATGCACTCCTTTGATGCGTGAAACGTAGACAAGAGGAGTAACGTAAGATATCATCATGTCGATATCAGGGCCACAGGATCAATTAAAATCACCTCACCTAACTGTCTCAAGCACAATGCAGATGCCAATATCACCGTGATCAACAAGCTCTATAATATGGTGTGATTTCTAAATTGTGGTTCACTGGATGCTTTCAAAGTCTATGGACAGGCTTGTGGTGCACTAGTGCTGGCTGAGCAATGAGGTATGGGGAGGAGAGTGTGTATCGGAATGCTTTCCGCTCTCGGTTTATAATGGGTGTGGATGGTTAATTGACGAGCAAATATTGTATGGTCTTTGGTAGATTATTGATTGTGGCGCTCCTTCAGAATTGAAATCTGGTACAGTGATAAGTTGGAATGCGAACGGAAGTAAACAACACGTGATGTGCTCATCTACAGCTTCGGTACACCTGGAACCTTGAAGATGATTAATATTGTTACATGTTTGATGGATCAAAGTCTAAATGAGTGAAGAATCGCATTCACGCTGTCTATTCTACCCACCATCGTAATCGTAGCTGCCGTTGAAGAGAAGTAAATGATTCGAACCGGGAGGACTTTCAGGTCACTCGCCTCTCTCAAGACTTTCTTCTCTGTTGTTAATACTCGAGAGTACGAGTTTCCTTCTCAAGGGCTGATGAGAATGGGTAGCCTTTTCTAGAAGGAAATATACGAGGTACAGTACTAGCATGTCTCCGATCTTGAGGAGTCCAAGCCAGTGTGTTCCAACACAGTATGATCATGCTCTCTGTCATCCCCCACACCAGACCGAAAGCGTCCTCACTATCCGCATCGACGTAAGATTCCTGAAAATCACAATAAAATGGGATTCTTCATTCACTAGAATAATCTCATCGACTTCATTAGAAATCAAATACTCTCTGAACCGATGTTTTGACTTGATAAGACGCTGGGTTCGGGATTGGGCAGCTTTGAATGGAGATGTGGCAAGAATACTCGTTCGACTTGGGATCAGTCAGTGTGCACACTTGGTGGTTATGCGACAGTGTTGGGGTGTTTGCATAACTCCGAAGCTTGGGTGGGCGTAGTGAGGAGGAATGGAGGTGTGTGAGAGAGTGATGTGGAGCTGTTTACTTGCATTAAGCGAGATGTTCGGTATCAACGCTGTGTATTTCCAGGAGTCAAGTTTCATCGCGCTGGATGTTCTGATTGTGGAGGAGAGAGAAATGCAAGCACCCCTAACGAAGTTTGAACTTGATGACTAGAATATATTCTGATCAAAATACAGTCTCCAGACACCGTCATCACTTGTCGACTTCCAACGCCAAGGAGGAGCTCCACAGTATCCCTCCTCAACCTCTCTTTACTTCCAGTTCATGCTAGTTCGACGTTTCTCTTTTCCCCAGAAGCTTTCTGCGAAGTGATGGCTGTGTAAATTGCACGGGCTTTCCAACATCGGTGGTCATAGCCAACATGCAAAATCCAATTTAGGAGGACGGTACGTGATCGAATCCATTACTGACTCGGGTACGCAAATCTCGTAGAATAGTGTGTAAACATCGTTCCTTTTCATATCTAGGGAGTGCTTTCCAATGGACACACGAACTACTTTTAGGAAGCTACTTTCCCTTTTCCCTTTTCCCTTTTCCCTTTTCCCTTTTCCCTTTTCCCTTTTCCCTTCAACTCCTCCTTCTTCTCCCTCCTGCAACCTGTCAAATCCCCAATTCAAAAGCTAAACTACCAAACCCTCAGGAATTCGGACCCCCCAGCACTGCAGTACACCTCCTTTGCTGCAGACCTCAAGCTTTCCATGGATAGCTGCTCTACTCCACCTGAAGCACGAGCTTGTATTTGGTTTCAAGGGTAAATAGATAGAGGGCATGCTACCGAGGGTATTCCGAATTTGTTTCTGATGGCAACTCTAGAAAAATTTAAGATGCTTTGAAAGAAACCTTATGAGACTTCTGAATAATATAGCGGTGTATTGAGATGATACAAATTTAAAACTAATTTATGATTGCCTGTACGGATGTGGGTTTCTGAATCATGGACAGCAAAGCAGGACAAAGTCTTTGGCGCCTGGCTGCCTCTTTAGAATACGGAATCCAGAGTTTACATGAATTGAATGCATACTTCTAAGTCATCACTGCTTGAATTAAAATACCAGAATTACATGAAGTCCCGAAACTTACATATCGTGGTTGTCTGGGGACGTGGAACTTCACCTTCAGTAGATTCTCGCTTAGCATGAAGTCCTTTGTTGCATCTTGAAGAAACCCAGCATCAAAGCTTGATTGGGAATATCCGATGCTACATCGTTGGATAGCTAGCTTTCTGTAACGTTGCAGGGTATTTTTTGAGGAAACAAAAAAGAAATATGATTAATCCCGCCGTAAAGCGCTTTTATGCGCCGTTTGGTTTGGCTTTGAGGTTATCGAGACTCGCTTAGAGCGTTCATGGATGATTTCGTTGTCTTCCGCGCTGTAAGACAAAGGGAGTAGCTTCGCTACTTTGTTCCGAAGTAGAAGCCTTTCATCGACCTCTCTAGATTGTCATTTTATGGTTGGGAAGTTCCGAAACTCTGAGTGAAGCAAGTGCAGCTGAATATGTAGAAAGTCAAATGGAGATTGAAGAGGGTAATCATGTGTTCAAGTGCATGTATCGGTTCGAGAGCTGTTGTAAATAGTTCTTATAGTTCCTTCTGAAAGTTTTAACCCCAGTAATCGAGAAACTGCTTCTCCTCTAATTGATGAGATGCCTGCGATGAGGAGTATCAGCCGTAGTTTGCTGCAATGCAGCTTGAGGAATTTCTCGTCGTTGACGCTGCGAATATGGCCAGGCCCATTTTGACACAATGGATAAACATTCAACCGGCGAGATATGGCAACGGTCGCGTAAGTGCCATTTACTATCGCATTTGACTGGAGGGAGTTCATTTTCAGCAAACTTAGTCAAATTGAGGCTGGCACTCCTGAGGAATGCTGTCGGCCACATCGCAAAAACTAACTTGCAACGCCCGTCTGATATCTCGACTTGCTTATGGCCTTGTGCAGCTCGGGTAGATCAACTAGCTCCGGAGATCAGAATATTCGTAGTTGAACGAATCATGTCCTAGCTAACTGTCATCAAACTCAACAAAGTTATGTTGCACACAAGGATCCTAATCCATAGATTGAAAAATAAACTCCCGGGAACTCTCATTGGAATGAGTACTAATAGATCTCGAATAGGAAAAAATAGTCGAGAGTTGGAGTGACACAAAAGCTAAAAAAAATAAAAGAAGCCGGCCTGCTTAGCACCAAGATAATTCCCACCCCCGCTTTCTCGCTTCGGATCAACTACCGATATTTACCTTTGACCCCTGACTCAAAGGATCCAAGCTCCCTTAGCTCATGACTCGGTGCCAACCTAGGGTACTAGGCGACCCCAAACAGTAAGGTTGCCGACGACGACACATCGAGATCCCCTTTCTCCCATCCCCCATCTCCCCCAACCCTCAACACCGCCACATCGCCCGCACCAGCCATACTGTACAGACAAAACAACACCAACCTAAAGTAAGTTTAATTCCTCATCTGGAGAACCCCCTACGCCTTTTAGCTCCAAACTCAAACCACAACTCTTGAAAATTCGGTACCCTAAAATCACCGAAAGCTGTGTGATAGCCGTGATCGCTGCAACTAAGGAAAACTTGGGAGGACCACCCCAGAAACTGGCTACTTTAGTGCTTTCCGAGCGGCAGATTCGTCTGTTGGGATTTGACCAGACTCGGGATTTGCGATTGCTGGGTCGGCTTTGAGGAGGCCAGTGAGATGGTATGCCGAGACTTAGTCTATCTTGCTTGGGGGGAAAGTGTGCTTTGGTAAGTTTGTTGGATGTCACTTTAGCTCTGGCGATGTCGCGCTGCGCTGTCACTGTTGGTGTGACTCGAAGTGTGGGGAGCTAGCTATTTTGTTGGTTTTGGAGGATAATTGATCAACCAGTGCCCGATGAAAGTATCGAGGCAAGGGAGATGAAAGTTTGAACCCGAGTGTGTCGTCTCAAGTAGTCGTCTCGTCTAGATAGCAGATAGCATAGCAGAGGGAGAGATCTGGCGCTAGAAGGGGCGGAGATCTTTGCCGCAGATTAAAAAATGGCAATTAGACCTGTAAGAAGGGGGATTTTACTTTTTGCTGTCTGGAGAAGGGAGAAGAGACGTGGAGTTTCGTTTGTCCGATACGTTTTCCTTTCTTGATTAGCCGTTTGATTTTAGCCTTTTGCTCGTTCAGTTGACGAATCAGAGGAGACGTAAAATCAAAATGCTCTGTGCCGGCCGCGAATATCTAAACTATGAAAAGCGGGCAGCGCCGCACATGGGGCAGCGGCGGTCCACCTACGATCAGGGACCCACGTGAGGAGGGATCATGGATCTCCCTGTGCGTGCTACGTAGGTAGACTGATAGACCAAGGTGGGGTGGGTGGGAGCAGGGAATGTGGCGGTTCTTTTGTTTTGTGGCCGGCAACGAGATGGAAACTTTGACCTGACGAAGGTTCACGGCAATGGAAGGAAGCGGGACGAAGTTTGAACGGCATGTCCGCATGAAACTTTTTGTTTGTTGTGGGGGGGGCGCAAAAGTGCACAGTCAGGAATCTGTAAGACAACCGGGTTGGGACACTCGGCAGTTGAAAGATTGAGGAATGTTGGAAGTCTAAGTCATGAACTCTATTACTGGGTCTGACCGTCTGGGGCTTCGTGAAACTGGACCTTGAGCACCGGAATGTAGAAAGTCAATTGTGGCTTCGGCTTGTCCGCTGTGTCGGTAGTTGAGGTGGGCGAGTCAGTGCTGTTTGTTGGCTTCGGCTCGAGTGTTGACAGTGAAGCGGTGCAGCAGCAAGAAGTCAGTCACTACTATCTGGGAGCTGGACATCGAGAATTGTTTTGATTGTTTTGTACAGTGGTAGTAATAATATTACAAATATGTAAATCTGGAGTGTCACCTATGTGCAAGTGCTGTTTTTCCCATGCCCAAGGTATCTATTAAACAAAAAAAACGCTTGATGACACGAAGCATGCAATAGCTGTGCCTCATCCGACCCAAGTGAACGCCTGGATATTGTTAAATACGTATCGTAGAATCATTCCATCATAAAACAAGTGACGCCCCGAGAGCTTTTCATGCCGTTCAAGCATAGACACAGTCATAATCTCTCGAGAAAGTCTTCTCAATCGCCTCTCTGAACTCAAAAACTCCATCGCCGGTCTCTCTGGCAAACAATGCGATGTGTGCAGTTGGTACTCCAGTCTCGGTCTTTATTCGCACCAGCTCAGTCAGGTCTCGTATACGTTGTTGAATTGAGGCTTGTTGGTTCTTTGAGCTCTGCCAGAATTGCGCTAGCTCAGCGATAACGGTTTGAGCTCCGTGGAAAGAGGTAAGACGATTGGGAATGGCATTGGCGGTGATCTTGGCGGTGAGGATGTCGATGGCTGAGACGATCGCATAGCCTACAAATGGCGAAGAGAACTTAGTTGGTACGTCGTCATGCCTTGGACTCGAAGGTGCCGATGCTCTAAAAGCTGTGAGAGTGTCAACCATTCTCAGAAGCTCCTCGGCATATTGCTTTGCAACAGCAACATGGTGCACGAGTTGGGACTTCGTCAGGTTATATTGTTGGATGTATCGGTTGAGCTTCATCGCCGTGGTGTTGTAGACTGTATGCATCATCATGAATGTGCCAAGCTTGCCCTCGCCCGATGCTCTGGCAAGATTTTCGGCGGAGAAGACGTAGCAGGAAGGCAGAGCATCGTTCCAGATTCGCAGTCGACGAGTGGCATGTTCGTAGAAGGTCGGGAAGGTGTTGCGAGTTGTTGTTGGACTCGGTCGTTGTGAGGTTCGGTAAACATTCGCCATTACGTCTCCCCATATGGTGGTGATATTAATTAGGTACGCCATCGATCCGATCGTCCAGTTGATGTTCTGGATGGGCGGTGTGGCAGGGTCGAAGTATGGGTTCTGGATATCGAGCTGGGATTCAAAGCTCTTCACATCGCAAGGAAGTCGTAGGAAAACATCATCCGAATGGATAATGCTGAGATGGCCAGAACAAAAGCCATTGAATCTGTCCATCAAATAGCAACTCCAGAACGTTCTCCTTCTACACTCAGCGAATCCAGCGCGTGTCAGTCCGTATGGATATGACTTGCGGTAGGCATCGTCCGTCTTCTCCATCTCCAAATTCAACTTGAGACCGCTTGCAGCCCTCAACGCTGCTCCGCAAAAGTCCCACGCATCTTCCGCATTATTATTAGCAAAGTAATACAGAGCGAGGAGAACTCGAGACTGGACGAGCTGAAGGCTGAACCGACTGTTGTCGCAGGCAAATCGAGCCACAGCAGCGAATTGAGCACCAAATCCCTTGTGCTCGCTCTTCAACGAGAAAACAGTTCCAAGCGCGAGGATGGTGTAAACAAGCATCAGGTCATCAGCAGACTTTTCACCTACGGACAAGACCCAGGCCTTGAATGGACCTTCCGGAAACATGCAATAAGCAGTCTCGGGAACGTGCTTGAAGAATACCGACATGAGGTCTGCGACAAGCATGGGGTGTGTACCGAACGGGTTTGTTTGCCATTCTTGAAGCAAGTTGGAGTGGTTCGCATTGCCGTTGACAGGCTCTGCCCAGGGAGTTGTCGGAGAAGTAGGATCTTGCACTGAAGCGCGAGGAGAAGCTTCCGATGCGACAGGAGTGAAGTCGTTGTATCCATTTCGTTGGCGCTTCGAGTGATGGATCTCCGAGTCGGGGGTCGCTTGTCGCACTTGTCGCGGGGAGACTGAGTGGCTACTTTCCCGCTTCTCAACCTTGAATGACTCCAAGTCGGCTCGCGATGAGGCCGGTCGTGATACTGAATCCTCGGGGTCTGATGGTGGGGTGTCTGGAGATCCATGACCACCTCGAGGGCTGTGCGTTGAAATTAGCAACGATCTCCAGATAAGAGACTCCCAACCGAGATCTTCACAGCAAGTGTTTACTTACGCATTCTTAAATTTGCATATTCTCCCAAACTTCTCGCACTGAACGCAGCGCGGGTAGTCTGGGTCGCATTTGATCTTCTTTTCTCTGCAAGTAATGCAAGCGATTGCCAACCTCTTCCTTGGTTTCCCTGCTTTGGTAACACCCCAGTGTGCATTGACAATTTCTCCATCGATGACAGTTTTGCAATGCGTTCCATCGTCGTAGAAGTAGCACATTCCTTCGCCTGGTACTTCAGCTGACCGCACAAATCTAGGTAGAAACTGCGTTCCTGTCCAAATTTTTGGTCCCAGCCCATCCTTTGTTGTAATTGGGTCGCCAGTAACTGTGCTTGTCGGAGTTGGTGGATAGGTTGGAGTAACTGGTGCGCTATGTTGTCCATCTCGATATGGCGCTCTAGAATCTAGTTCAGATCTGTTGACCGCAGCTGGTTGGCGAAACTCTGGGTGAGGTCTGAAAGACGACGATGTGTCTCTAGAGAAGTACTCTGGCCTGTTCGATTGCGAGTGAGGTGACCAAGCAGTGATGGAGGATGGTGGGTAAGGCCGCGAACTTTCAACAGAAGGATATCTAGTGTCGTAACGAGGAGACTCGGGTCTTACTCCAGGTTGAGTGGGTCGCGGAGGAGGAGGAATTCCAAGTCTTTCGACTTCTGGTCTCGCGCTGTATGAGTACTGTCGAGCTACAGGAGGCCTTTGGAAGTACGATGGATCGAATGGCCGATCTGCATGTATTGGTGTCGCTGGCTGCCGAGGATCATTTGGTGACACAGCTGGGAAAACTGGACTATGTCCATCCGAGTATGATGTAGGAGGTCGAGTTTGATGTGATGTTGAAGCAAATAGACTGCTTAGTGGAGGCAGTTGCTCTCTGGTAGACTTCTGGGAGGTCTCTGGCCTTGATTGGTACATATCTCCTGTTTTCACTGGCGAGACCGCAAAGGGTCCCTTCTGACTTTCTGACATTGGTGACGATGATTGTGAGGGTTTCCAACCATTGCCTTCCTGTTGGCGATCCGTGTGGTGGGAGAAGATTGTGTTGGACCTCTGATATTCCCTAGGCGTATATTGGTCCGACTTTTGATCGTAGATAGAAGGCCGTTCTTGTAGAGGGGGGACGGGGGTTTGGGTGTATATCTGGGTCATATTGAGAACTAGTCGACCGTATCCAGGTTAACGGTCCGCTTTCCAACGTCAAAAGATGGCACCTTGTCGAAAGGACGTCTGTTGGCGGCACAGTATCGTTTTGGTCGACTATTTCAGGAAGACTGAAATTACTTAGATAACCGGTTGAATTCAGCTGACTTCCAACAAGAAGACGTTTCCGAGGCGGCAGTCGTAACGAAGTGCCGTCAGTCCCGATTTGCACAATAGTACCGAAGGAGGTTGGTCAATTTGGCTTGTGAGACGTCGGTCCGGGTACCTCTATTTACAAGAGGAAGGTGAGTTGGTTTCAAGGTCTGATAGGTGTTCAAGTTTGAGCTTCAACACATTAGGAAGAAAGGTCGAGTTTCTGTCGGTAGTGGAAGAATTGAACTTGTGGCTCATGCTGTGACCACCAGTTCGGCCTTACCCATTCTTCTGGAAACGGCAGCTCGTGCAAGTCCGGTTTTCAAAGAACGGCTTGCCAACAATACAAGCGTCACAAACGAATTGGATTCTCAAGGGTATTATACCTGGCTCGTGCAGAAAGTTACTTTAGCAGGATGCAACTTGCGGGATAGCGAGCAGGGGGTATTTGGGGTTTTGGGACGGCGGGGAGGAGGAAGACGAAGGATGAGGTCTTTTCTTGATCTTGTTAAGCGTCTTGGCCAGAGATATAATGAGAGAACGAGGCTCGAGGAGGCTTGAGATGAGCGCTTGTAAATTTACGGTACCAACAAGTGACCCGCCATACCAAGAGCCAGCGATGTTAGCAAAACCCCCGAGGATCATCGAGAGGAGTGAGATGATCCGATCCGACTAGGCTGACTACCGGTGATAGACGAGGGATCCAAGACGAGACCCGGCCCTGTCAACGTAGCGGATAGTTAGTGCCTCAAACTGGTCTATGCCTATCGTGGTAACGAAAAACGTAGGGCGAGGGGGCTTGACGGTAATGACCGCGCTTCCAAACTAGCCGCCCCAGTGCGTCTTTGCCAGGCCGTCTCACATACCGAATACAGAGATGGCAGGCAACGGGGAGCCCAGCCTGAATGACTGCTGCATGGCATGGCAGTAATGGGTCCTGGCAGTCCCTTGTCCTACTCTGCCCATCCCTGCTTCTGGCCAGCTTCCATACTGTATGAGGGTGGAATAGTCGAAAGAAAGGACCCACGGCCGCGACACAACGTGGATATGGAACTTGTGGGGTAGAATTTCGGTGGCGTTGCAGAGATCGCAAGCCATGCCTCTCTCATGCGGCGGCGTTGGCCATCCTGAGGTCCCTTGAACCCAGCCGAGCCAGCGTGGAGACACTGACTGCACCAAGCTTCTTGGGGAAGGAATGTGGATGTCGGGAAAGTGGACGGTGCTAATTACAAGTCCATGATTATCGGCTGGGATGGCAAAGGAGAAATGATGAAGGTTCACCAGGTTGGTGGAGGTAGGAATTGTAAGAGGCCAGCTCGGTGCCGCTAACTCCATCAAGCCGGCACAAGGCGCTCTTTGGGCATAGCTTTGCAAGTGCCTGTGACTTTCATGGTGGATTGATGCTGTGATGCTAACCCATTGAGCTGTAGTGTTGGAGGGCCCCATTCGTCTACAAACAGTCTAGCCGCCGTCGCAACTTTTAGCAGTTCAACCCGGCCATATATGAGGTCCCGAATTCCCAAAAATCGGCGCTGGTAGCCGCAATAGTACTGGCGCTATCGGTCTGTCTGTGACGGATAAATAATGCGATGGGCTGAAGTTTCCCAGCAGTGCGTGAGCCTGCCGCGGGTGCATGCAGGGTGTTTGCGCACTGTCTGGAGTTCCGGTAACCCCTCCCCTTCAAGAATTCCGCAGAGTATATTGCCAGATACTGCTGCATCCAGCCCATCGAAACGGTCAGCTCTCACGGCACCCCTGAATCTCTCTGCTGGCATACAAAGAATTGTTGAACAGAAGTGCAAATTCATACACCGTGAGCCATCTGCATCACGGTTCTTGATCTTTGCTGCAGTGAAATCACCAGAAACTTTCGTCGACGTTGAGTGTGCCCAGCCAGCCTCCTCGAGAGTCGAGACACTTATCTCCGGATCGCTAGATAATGCATGCTTCAAACAACTGTGCCCGGTGAAACTCTATTGTGATTAACGAAACCCCCTTCCCCTCCCTATTTCTTATCCACAGCTTGAAGCGAGCTCTAGCTAGCTTCTTGGAGGATTAATATTGCTGGAAGGAAATCCGTGACCAAGACTAGGAGCTGCTGCGAGATTCCGTGTCTATGAAGGAGCCAGGTGTCATGGACATGCAAAATTAATCTGATCTGATAGCGGAAGCAGGTTGAATTGACGATCAGGACACCCCGCAATTTCCTTCACAATCTATTTTTCCCAACGTGCCGCCAGATCTATTAGAGTCCCCTAGACCAATATCAGCCAGTTCTATGATGCTGTATTAATAGTTCCTGCACCACGAGGTCACGTTGCCCTGCTGGTATCGTCACAGCTGTGTTTCCTGGTAACGTTTAGCATGCCAGCACGCGGCCTCTAAAGTCATGCAAGTGATGGTACCGCCATGCTGGATTCGGAACATTCTCCGATGAAGCTAAGCCGAGCCTGGGCTAAAACAACCAGTCGCTGATGTCCATGATTCTGGCGTGACTTTTGCTGGTCCAGCCAGATTCGAAGGAGATTGCTAGCTCCCGGAAGATCGACGTGTCGGCGTCTGTAAAGTTCCAAAGTCTAAAGGCCATGTCGCGAACCAGAAGCTCGGATACACAGACAAGATGCGTCGTGGTGTGCAGACCTGTGCAAAAATGGCCGGAAGGATACGTACCCTCTGCCATGGTTGGTGCGCATGACATCAGACCTATCGCTCTTTTCACCAGAATTATTTCAAGGTTCTGTCTGAGCTTCGTAAACAAAGTGCGACTTCAGCGGCCTCTGAGTTGAGCGTTTTACGGACGTAAGAACAGTGGAACTAAGTACCGAAATGTGCGGCGGATACAGCGTCTGAAAGTCAAAGAAGGTTTGCTGAAACTCTATTTCTCGGGGTTTAATTCAGACGATGAATCATGAAAACGACCACTGTGTGGAGACACAGACTCGCGTTCGTTTTGGTTTCGCTAGCCTCTCACACCGTCGTGTCGACCCCAGAAGCAACAATGCGAGTATTTCCCCATCCAGATGCTTGCAGGCTGCTGAACAAGTGCCACAGAGTAGCAGGAAATTGCCTGGCTCATGCTCGAGGGAGGAAGGAAATTTGAGTGGGGTTGTCGAGGTCGTATGTCTTCATTCCCGTGATCTTGTGAAATGAAATGAATACGTAATATACAATTACCGAGTCACGGCAGTGAGGTTGGTGAAGATCTGACCGTCATCAGCAGCGGTTTGCAGTCTCACAACACAACGACGTGACGAATCCATGTGCCGTTGACACGATCGCAATATACCGGACAAGGATGAACATGATCCACAAGTCCTGATTCTTCACGGGTTCCGACTGTGCCCCAACGCTGCAGGAACAAGCGCGGACGCATGGGGCTGGCATGGATGGTCCGGGTTGTTGATCCTCTCATAATCTGATAGACTTCGAGCATGGGTCTCCATTAGCGATGGGAGCACTGGCCAAGGCCCAAGGGTGCCACGCTGAGTGAGGAGTAACGATAAGGTGCCGTCGGAGTCTTGTGCCGAAGTGGCCGGGAGAAGCTCGAAGTACCGTCTCGTCTGTCTAACGGAGTACCAAAAGCAAAACCGTTGTACTTGTGCGACCGAATCTCATCCCCTTGCATGTCTCGCACGCGATGAAGACTGACCACAAATCTCGACTCGACCTGCCACACAGTATCGTCCTGTTCCATTGAGAGTGTCTGAGTAAGCAGCCGTGGACTTCGTTTTGAGGAGATTCTTGCAGAAGCTCAGTGCCAGCACCCGTCTTCGTTCAGACATGTCTCCGGTCAGCTTTTGATACGGCGAATACTGGCCGCGAAACTGTCATTGCTCTTGCAAATATTCCCAATTACCTTCCTTACTCGTACATGCCAAGTCCCTGGTCTGTAGGTAAGATGTCAATTCCATACCTCTCTTTGGACACCGTCTGGAGCTTGCGGGTTTGCCTGGGACAGAGGAATGCCGCGAATACAAGGGAGGTTGGCGTGTACGACGGTGCGAGTACGGTGCATTGGCCAGTCACCCCTGCCCATCAATCACCCACACCACCTTCCTGTAGCGACCCAAACCATCCCTCCACTCCCTGGCTGCACCAGCACAGACCGCAGGCGCTGCCATTTCTCGGGATCGGGACCCTCTCCCCTCTTCCCAGACCACGCTACCAAACAACACGCCCCCTAGGTTTACCCAAAAGCGCACCATCGAAACCTCCCCTGGAACGCACTCTCATTGGCCAATTTACGACTTTTCCCGAGTCATCTTTCCGCTAAGTTACGCCACCTCTGCACTAAGTGCTAAGAATAGTGTAGACCACGTTAGACACACCTTCATAATTTTAATACCGGCAGCTGGGTAAATGACGCTGGTCTCCCGCATTCCGTTTCCCGAGCAGAGCCTTGCGATTGTTCGAGGGGTCCTTCACATGATGATACTGAAAATGCATGGATGTATGTAAGGATCAATAAGAATACGCTGCTAACAAAAGTACCATACAGCGAAATCAGGATACCACTTGGCACTGGATACCACAGTATCATGTTGTGCGGGGGACCAGAAAATGCAAGGCATTATATTTCATATCCCTTCATAAAAAACGGGTCTTCATGGATGTACGAGTCGCAAGAAATTGCCCATTCAAACCCATTCCAAGGAAAGTGGTGCAACACAAAGGCACGGAAAAGTCTCGAAGCAGTGGAACTTTGAAAGACACAGGGCATCTGAAAAGAAGCTTCTGAGGGTTTTCGTCTATTTTATCCGCAAGAAGAAGGACGACTGAAGATCCACGTTTCTTCCATGATCCACCCGCGGAGCATGGTCATGGATGAGAGACTGGGGCGCCAAAGCAAGGTTATCGTCATGATCCGGTCTGATGAATCAGAGATAGCGTGCGGCAACTAAGCCGGGCTGCGAAGCCCGTACTGCTGTACTTTTCGGATTTTCCACTGCAACCTTCCCAGTACCGCGAAATTATCTGCCTCTTTTAAGCTGCGCGAAACATCGGGCGCTGCAGCGCTTCTCACTACCGACAAGGTATCCGGATATGCCGTGATAGGTTCGGCTTTTGTGCACTTTGCAATTGCCCACCTTGTAGACATCATCTGAACGAGCTGAAGCCCAGGCAATGGGGAACTCTCAACAGGCCATTAACTGCTCAAACTGGGAACAAACATTAAGCTGGATTTGTGGGCTCAAGGCGAGTGGGAGTGAGGGGAACGAGGAACCTTAGGTGAGGGGTTTCTGAATGATGCAAAAATTTATGCATCCTGCCTTGGAAGTAAGGCATCAAAATAAGCGAACAGCTTAGTGCCGAGGTAATCTGAACAACACAAAAGTTCTCTCAGAGAACTGTACTCGTATCATTGTCTCAAATAAATGCCAAGTCAAGGACTACTAGACAACAATTAACAGATTCACACGCTGAACCGATCGGACCGATAATCTGGGGGCTCATGCGACGACTTGTTTTTGAGTTTCCTCTTGCGAAATCCCGACACCGAGGATACTTCGGCCTCTCACATCTTGGTACTATGAAGGGCCGATGTCAACAGCTACCGCATGTGGATGACTGCGTGCCTGCATACACGAAGGCCATTTCTATCTCCTAAGGATTCCAGAAAGATCTCAGGTTGCCCTCCCAGCCACACATGGCGCAACAGCCCACTCCTGTCCCAGCAAATGCTCTCGCTCGCTCAAAGGGGATATCGGCGACCAAACACCTGCCTCTTTCATCACCAACACCCGTCCCAGGAATGGGAACATTTGGATGCTCCCAGGGTCTTGGTCTGCTGTAGTTAATCCGTCCACACGCAATGTAGTCTGCTACTATGCCGCAAAGCACAATCACCACGCGCCTCATGGTCGCATTTTGACGGTCGCCGCATTACTCAGCAGCTTTCGTCCCTTCATTTATTCATGCGCTTTGGAAGTCCAAAGTTTGGTTGCGCGTGGTGCGGTGCAGGGATAGAAGAAGGATCTGTCCACGCAGGGAACGTACCCATGTCTGTGTCTGAGGTAAACATGGAGACGGTGGTGGAGTCCACGGGTAAGCACCGATTCCATCCATAACTCCCGCGCAATAATGCATCCCTTGCCCCTGTCCGGGCCGTGGTGCCAGTATATCTGACAAGCACGCACCACTTGGCAACAGACGAGATCTCTTCTTCATCCCCCCGATCCAATTTTGCACACGGCACAGTGTGGTCCTGTCTTAGGCTGGGCATCGTCGCAGATCATACAGAGGGGTCCAATAACAGAGCCAACTAAACAATATCCGACGACTCCTCAGGGGACAGTCTTACAACCTTAAGCGGGTGCGGCTGCGGCTGCAGAATATTTGATATTCCACTCAGTCCGCATTCGCAAGCTCTCCCTTTTCAGGAAAACAGATGTGATACAAACTGGTAGAGATTGATTACATTGCGGCACTTCACCTGCTTCGCAATATGTCTTAGATTAAGGTACTGCGGCACAGATGTATTTCTGATATTTGGTGTTGCGCACGAGCCGGATCAATTTCAAGTGCCAGATGCCACCGTTGCATTTGAGTGGACTAGCTTCAGGATGAATTTACTCAGGCATAGCCGCCCGCTCAACGGTGGCATCCGGACACCCCTGGCAAACCACATCTCGACTCCAGAGTTGGCTTGATGCAAGTCAAAAAATGTTGTACGACACCAAATCTCTATCATCCTCTCATCCGTTCTAAAACTAGATCCATAAGACCTTCGCACGTGGCTCCCAGACCAACAGCACGATGCAGGATTGAGTTCTTACCACAGGTGAAAGGCTGGACACTGGAGACGACAGATTTCTCCAACAGCGTCATTTCATTTTGAACTACTGGGAGCATCACATGCTGACGAACTAATGTCCAAGCATCCCGCCTTCTGAAAGCTGCATGCCCAATCATTTCTGGTCCAGAAGATTAGAGTCGACAGTCTAGCAATATGCTTCGCTGATAGGACTTCCCACTCCACAACCGCAGAGCTGCGAACGAAATAGCTGAGGATATATGTTTTAGGGCAGCTGTGTCATTGGATCGGAGGCACCGATTTCTTTGAGCCTACTTTTACTTTCCAGGGACAATGATGATGCTATTTGGACTATCATCCTCCTCTTTCCGATGGCTGATGCCTTTGTAAGTCGACTATCTTCTGTGTTCATGTCTGCTGCGCGTCTAGACTGTCTTATTTCACGGGGGGGTTTTTTTTTCTATTCTTTTTTTTTCAATATTCTCTACTTATTTCCGGCCAGGTCACACTCATCTTTCTATTACATCCCCGTTCTCAAAGGTCGTGATACGTTGAGTGGCAGGGCAAGCCGTCCCTCCAATGACCTTGAAATTTGCCTAGTGCATTCGCACTGACGAAATTCACGTCTTCTTAGCCCTCGACTCTGTCTTTATTTCGATCTCTGACTTTATCCAGCTGAAATTGAGAGGGGATTAACAGGCATTATTGCGCTGCATCAGAACCACAATAGTTGTTGCATGTTGAAGTCCTGATGAGCGCCTCTTTCTGCCGTGACATTCAAACCATCATTTCTCCTCTTACCAGAAGCAGCCAGCAACGACATAGTGGATTATCTTTGCCGCGGGATAAATCAGTTCCACTCGATGTCGTGTATGGTAAAGAAGACGATCCGCGTTGCGCATCAATTAGACCTAACCTGCTCAACGCCAGGGCCTCATTCCCTGTTTCTTCTCGCTTGGGTCTTGGAGTTTAACCATAGAGTACTAACAAAATAAACATTCTTAATCCACAGACCTTAACTCAAAGATCAACGTGTCGCAAGCCAACTGAATTATCTAATTCAAGCCTCCCACGTATACAACTCCCTCAAGACATCTTTAATGTTGGTTTGAATATTCTCCGCGTGGTAGCACATACTTGTAATGAATCACCACTTCACGATCGTCCGGGCCGTACACGGCTCGTCTATCCTTCACCCATTTTGAACTCCCGAATGCAACTGACATCCTCAAAGCCACCTCAACTTTCCCCAAATAGCGTCTTACGACAATCGGAATTCCTCCCCTTACGAACCGAGCTACTTCCTTTATCAAGCCCTCCAGGGTCATACTCAGAACCCCCTCATCTCGGCATCAGCGACCGAGTCAGACTGTGGCGCCTCCCACGGAACATTGTATTTTCCACCAGTGAGCGCGGCTCGCGAGAGGCAGCCACACAGAACGAGGTTACAATACAACGACATCGAATTAATGCTCACGACACAAGAGCTAAAGAGAAAATACCAGATATATGGTGAGACGGTTCTTGTTTTCCGTTTATGGATCCTTGTTTAGCTTTATTGGGGGTTCTTGGCCGCTGGTGCGTCTGTTGGGAATTTTTAGGGCAAGGGAATTAGGAGAGAGGTGCATACATGCATGAAACTAAACCAATCCACGGAATACATCGGGGGTTCTCTCGGTGCCTTGCCACTGTTGAGGTGGTGGTGAATGGTTGCTGCCTTTGATCGACCGGGGTCTTTTCTCCTGCTCTGCTGGCAGGTTGATGGGAAGGATGGTTACAGTGATAGAATGTGATGTGATGCAAAGTGTCGGATCTTTGTTCTGCCCTGCAGTAGAAGGAATGCAATGCAGATCGGGTAGACCAATATGGAGACGGACGAGTGGATGGAGAGATGTCCGCGGTTACGGGACTTGGTACTTTGATAGTCCAGGTAGTGACAGTTTTACGGGAGTTTGTTCACTTACGACATTGGAGAAGACCTTACGTGAATGACTTGTCAAATTCGTAGACCTAGATCCAGGTAGTTGACTGTCATGCCAAGTCCAATGACTCTTGAGCAGCACTATAGTGGCTGCAGTGATTGGAAGATATACAAAACTTCAAGTCAATAAGCTGGTCTCTCATCAAGTCTGGCAATATCTGAACTAAACGCTCTGTACAGTATGTCTTTCTAAATCCACCTGTGTATTCTACAACTTCGCTCTTGTCTTCACAACCTCTCTTGCGTAATCCTCTCTCAACAATCTCCTCAAAATCTTCCCATTCGCACTTTTCGGAATACTCTCCACAAACCTGAGACCCACAAGCCGTTTCCCTTTCCTCTTCTTTGCTTGCACATACTCCATTAACTTCTCCCTGGCCCTATCCATCCTCTCCACGTCATCCTCCCCGTTGGTTTCCCTCAAAACAACGAAAGCAAATGGTCTCTCCCCAGCGTGATCATCCGGCACGCCAATCACAGCACAATCCTCCACCTCTTCATGGCCTAGTAGCAGGTCTTCCAGCTCTGCTGGAGCAACTTGGACGCCTTTGACTTTAATCATTTCTTTGATGCGGTCGTGGATCACGATGAAGCCGTCGGCATTGATGGATCCGATGTCGCCAGTGCGGAGAAATCCTGACTCGTCGAAGGCGGAGGCCGTGGCAGTGGGGTTGTTGAGGTAGCCAGGGAATATCTGCGGGCCTTTGGCTAGTATCTGGTGTGGTTGTTAGTTTCTGGGTATGTTCTATTGAAGCCTTTGGAGGGAGCGAGGTGCTGCTTCAGCAAAGCTTCGGCTCCGAGCACTTGCCTCGCCCTGTTCGTTGACACCCAATTGCCTCCCTTCGCTGTCTACCACTTTCACCACGGTGTTTGCAACCAAATATCCGCCAGTCCTTGCATATTGGAATGAATGCTTGTCAAGTGGATGTGTTGTGATACATCCTGTACTTTCGGTCATGCCGTAACCTTGCTTGAATCCTCTACCAGGGAATTTAGTCTCTAGAAGCTCTAACACTTCCTCGCCTGATACCCAAAGTCAACTAAGCAATTACAGAAAACGAATGTAAAGCTTTAAGAATTCTCCACCTCTTGATCAATACATCTGGTAAGGACAATGATAGACTCACTGATCGGTGCTGCACCCGATGCAAAGCGCTTAATGCAAGAAAGGTCGTAATCTTTGGCGCTGGGATCGTTGACCAAGCGAATGATTATCGGGGGCACTACCTGTACTTCGGCAATTCGGTACTGCTCGATTGTTGAGAGCAAGCCCTTCATGGTGAATTGTGGGAGGATGACGACTTCTGCACCAATAACGAAGGGCAGAACAAGCATCTTCACCACACCCGTAACTAAAGCTTCGATAAGTCTGGTGATTGAATTTATGAAGGGAAACTACCTTACTGTGATAGAAGGGGAGCAGGCCGAGAACTGTTTTGTGGTCTGACGATGTTGTTGGGATGAGCTGAAGGCATTGTGCGATTATGTTTTGATGCGAGATCATGACCTGTGGCTCCGCATCAATAAAACAAACTCTTTGCAGACTCTGAAACATAAATTGAGTCTTACAGCTTTTGGTAATCCAGTAGTCCCACTACTGAAACACAAAAGAGCACAAATCTCGCTGTTACTCTTCCCACGCGGAATCTCCCACGCTTTCACCTGGCGAACACTTCGACCCTCTTCGATCATCCTTTTCAAGGACTTGACACCAACCAAACCACCAACATTTCTGTTTTCATCAGTCGCAACAACACAAGAATCTTTCCTCCCGAGCTTTCTCAAAGCTCCCTTCACCACACTAACAGTTTCGCTCAAGCAAAACACCAATTTACAGTCCACCGTCTTGAATACATGCATCATCTCATCTTCATTGAATGCTCGGGAGCTCAACGCTGGGATACCACCAGCTCGCATGATGCCATATAAGATGGCAGGGTACTCGATCGTGTTTGGAGAACATATTGAGACGACATCTCCTGGCTGAAGGCCATGCTCAAGAACCAGGGATGTGCAGATGTTGCTTGCGAGAGTTTGGATTTCTGGGTGAGTAATGCGAGAGAGTGTTGATGTATTGGTGAAGCCTTTTGGTTTGGTACCGTTCTCCTGGGGTGGGAAGTACTCGTTGGTATTATCGAAGAGGAATGCATGTGTTGTGATATGAGAGGGAACTGGGTAGGTTAGAGCTTTCTGTGTCTGAGGAAGCGCAGAGCTGACATACTATCGATCTCCGGATGAGAAGATCTGAATAACATCTTGGCTTGCTTGAGGTAAGCAATGACTCGCCGAAGATGAGGTATAAAAGACGTGTTGTTCATTATTGTATGCCCCAAAGATGTCGGTAGAGCTACCCCGCAATTCGGTAAACTACCCCGCTACCCCTTTTCACCTCAAGACCAAGGACATCTCAATATCTTCAATTGTTGTTCTACTGCAGGCAAGGTCCAGTAATGGCGATCAAACCAAATCAGCATTGTGGATAACACAAATAAGACCACGTCGAACAGAAATCACTGACTTGCATTCATGGGATAAAAAAGAGTAGGAAGTACTGGGTGATCGAAACAACATGCTGGTCTTTAACTTAAAGTGCGGGCCACAGCCCAACAATAATTGTTACCTTATTTTCCGCAATAGACAAAATAAGGGATAATTTTAAAGTAGATTTTCTCGTCTAGGAATGATTTATGTCCATGGGAAACCCCCTGATAGCATAATTGTAGTCTATGTCCACAGCGGAAAGGTCATGGTAGAACATTTAAATGGACAAGTCGGTTTGTGTCAACATTGAGGCGTGAAATTATATCGTAGAGTTAGGAGGATAATGGTATACTCATGAAAGCAGTTATTAACTCATGAAGTATGCTCAGAAGGAACGAAATTTGCCAGTCTCTTGATTATCTCGCGAATTTGACCTGCTGGTCAGCTTACTAAAACAGACGAGTAACACATTTCAAACCAAGTCCTGAATAATGAGAGTTCCGTAGTCGCTACCCTCATATTTAAAATTACAACGAGTTTTAGACGGAGATGGTTTCATTTGAGGCGCAAATAAGAGCCTGTTGCTTTGACTTGGTGGTATATTTGCTTTGTTGATGTCTCCGCTTAAAGTCTTGGCTGGGTGGTTGACCAGTCGGAGACAACATGGACTTTTCTGCGGGCAACTCGAAGCAACAGCAGAGAAATAATGTGCTGTAAATCTGGCCTGTACTTGAAGTTAGAAAGATTCATCACGAGAAAGTGGTGATTGACAGACCGCACATACATTGTGATCTTCCTTGACGGTTTCACGATACAATTCTACCCTTCCATCCGTGTTGGCAATCATGCACGCATCTAATGCATATTCATCAATCGCTCCAGCTCGTGTATTTCCTTCTTTGTATTAGGCACCGGGTCAGGATCATCGTCGAGTGCGACGTTGTGAGAAGGATGCTCAGGATCCATGGCAAAACAAAACCAATTTGTCAGGCCCACCCTGCGAAACCCAAAGGTTCTATAAAATCGGACCGCATTGGCATAAGCTCTCCTCTTGACGATTCTAGACTCTTCCAATGACGTTCTACCATAAAGTTGTCTCTCTACATCGTCCGGAACAACACCTGGCTTGACAAACATAAACCGGAGACCCCTCTTCTGCTTTTCCGCCTTAGCAATCTGGGCTTGAAGTAGCGTCTGAGCAATGCCCTGTCTGCGATAGCCCTCTTCGACGATAAAGAGAGACAGTATTAGTATTGCGCCATGGTTGATTTCTTTGCCCCACGGATGCATCATGTGTCTGCTTTGTAGTGTGCCATCGCGATTACATAAGTCTAAAGCGAATGTATGGCCATTCGATTGGCTACTGAGTCGCTCGAGAGATCCGTGGAAATTGCGTGGTTGAAGTACCTTGAGGTTTAGTCGATCGATGTAGGAGGTTCGTGCTTGTCCGGCATTCTCGTCGTTGTCATCCGCATATATATCAAAAAATCTGCAGAAGTGCTGGAGTTTAGAAATCACCAATACCCGACAGTCTAGCTGGATCTCAGATAGGTGTATTTTTGTCTTTGTGGTTGAATCCTCTGAAGCGATTAATTTCTTTCTGTCGAGATCGCAACTGTCAGCAGTCCTGATAGTGGAATTCGGCGCGTCGACAAGTGTGAGAGAGGCCATGCTCTGGGGAAGCTCTGCTTCAATTATGGCTGACATTCTGCAGACCGAGACAATGACTGTCTAGATAGATATAGAGCTCCTTGCTGGTAGGATTCCTTGAAAAGATATATTTCGAATTTACATTGAACCACGCTGATGAATTTCGATTTAGCTGGCTTAAGCGAGGCTACATCGAGCCTATGCTCATAGTCACTAGTCCGTCCTACACTTATTGCTAGGAACCAGAATCAGATGGCTGTATGGTGATTCACGCTAATTTAGTGCAGTTACTCCAGAACTAGTCATCCAAAGCCTTGTGCCTAGCCAATTTCTTTCACAAGAATGTGTAGCCACTGGACTGTGGTGCATTCTCACAGACGAACTAAATATCGGAGTGACTTGCAAATATTGCCAAGTGCGATTGAGCTTCGTTTTCCAATATACAGCTGGAGTGAGAATTAGATTTGAATCTATGATTGGAAAGTACCCAGATTATTAGATTGTTGGTTGCAGCGTTTCATCGACCAAGAATGATTTCCAGTTGGGGCGGCACCACCTCTCAAAGTCACAAACCAAGCATCCTAATCCCCTCCCCAAACAATGTCCACTTCCACTCATCCTTCACTCTCTCACTCAAAGGAAAATGTCTCGTCTCAACCGGCACAAACGACCTCTCCACAAAGTCCTTCCACTTCGTCACATACTCCCAAAAACGCGGGTCGGCTCTCTCCAAAGCTTGCATCGCCAACAAGGTCCTTTTGTCCAAGTCATCTCTTGACGTGTCCAACCAAACGGAAAGTACAGCTTGCTGGTACGCTTAAACTGCTCTTTGAAGTTCTGTCTCAGGGTCTTTACCTTTTCTGGTTTATCTACTGCAGTAGGCAAGCCGTATTCTTCAACTGGGAGGAAGACAAAGGTTCCGTAGAACCTCCACAGTCTATAACTATCACCCATCCAACCTCTCAGAAGCGCACCGAGTTTTCTAGGCCCACGAATACAGTTTTGGCCGCTGTCGTCGGGGATCTCAGTGCAGGACATCCAGCATGTGTATCTGGAGGGGTGAGGACGTGGCGGGATGAACTCTACGGTCGCGGAGAGAGGAATTGGCCCGGGTTATATGATTTTCAGATAGGAGTAGAACAGTTTATTGGTTAAGCCGAAGCAAGTCATACTGCAGAGACTGGATTGGGCGAAGATGGTGTGAAAGATGTCGGAGGGAAGGAAGGCGAGCTGGTAAGGTGGGTGTGCTGAGTCTGAGAAACGGGTATAATTAGCTAGCTGGGTTTCGAGATTGGTTGGATAAAATCCAATATTACCACTGCCATCATTGAATGTTGTTGAGAGCGCTGGGATTGTATCGTTGGAGATTTCTGAGGTTGGAGAGATGGCTTCGTCTGAAGCCATGCTCACTGAAAAACTCCATTGTGCGAACCTTGAACCTATTGATGCTGTCGAATAGAGAATGGTGCTATAAAATATGACTCGAAGCTATTCGGGAGCTTGTTTAAACCATGATTCTGAAGAAAGTTAATAAGCAGTGTGATTAGGTCCCAGATATAGGACGTCTGGTTGCGTGCTAGTCCCATAGATTCTCGGACCTGATGTCATCGGCATAAGACAACAAACATGCTGGGACTAGCAGTTTGAATATTCTTAACTGTGTGATGCCGTTGAAATGGTCGACTTCTTCTGCGAAAGCGAAAATACCTATGCTGATTTCGTTTGTAATTCATCTTCGGCGGTCAAAAGATAACATGACAGTCAAGGGGCGGACGTAAACCCTGGAATTATGGCAGAATGCTTGAATGCTGAGTAGTGTGGATAGTTGGTAGCCTCTCAATTGAGTCTGAGATGTGTCAACTCTATGAAGCCTGTATGTCTATCATCTATGGTCTATGTTCTCAGATCTATGGTATTTCCTGCCTCCCATGACTCTTTTAACCAGAGTTTCATACAGGATGAGAATTTCACCCACCCCTACTCCACAGTTTCGACTCCGAACCTGTACATCTCACTTCTTAATCCCCACCACCACCAAATTCCTCGGACTCAACCCATACTCAAAGACAGCCTCCACCCAGGCTTCGCCCACACCTTCCTGCTCCCTCAACCAAAGCCATCTATCACTCACAATCAAACTCTCAACCACCCCGGCACTAAACGCCATCAAGCTCCACGTAACACTCAACTCCTTCTTCAACGCTCCATACCTGTCCGCATACCCCTCAATCTGCTCATCCGTGATCCCCTTCATCCGCTCATTAACCTTGACGCCTCTTTCAGGATCATTAGCTAGCTTATCCAATGCGCCCCTCAAATATGATTTGAATGAACCATAGCAGCCTTTGCGTATTGAGCCGATTATTACGGGCTCGGTGGACTCGAGGTTGTTGGAGGGTTGGCCAGGTTCTTGGTTCGGTGTTAGTTTCTTGACGACGCCGAAGTCAAGGAAGACTTTTTGGAGGAGTGCGCGGTAGAAATGGCGGGTGAAAAAAGAATCGCTTTCTTTTTCAGTCCAATTCAGGGGCGCTTGGACGGCCATCATACGAGCTGTGATGTTGAGCCTAACCCCGTCTGTGTTATAGGTTGAAAGTTTTTCGCTCATAGGAAAGCCGTGCGGATCGCAGGATGCAGACTCTTGGCCGGAGGCATTGATGGCGCGCAGATTGGGACGTAGGAGCGGAAGTTTGTAGGTCGGTGGGCCGAGGCGTTCGGTCATTAGATTATAGCAGCAGCCTACGATGGCGATGGCGTGGACGGAGGGGTTGACGAGGAGGGAGCGGATGCCGTGATGTGAGAGGTTCCCGCAGGAATGGATTGAAATAGCCATCAGACGCGTTTCCTCGCTCTTGGAAAACTCCTCAATGACTTGTGGTAATGCAGGATTTTCATCTCCCGTGTTGACAATCTGTAACTTGCCAGCTGGAGCTGCAATCTTCATCTTCTCGATCTGCTCCACCACATCTGAAAGATCTCCATCTTGTACAACATGCTCCACGTACTGAATGTACCCCTTGCCATCAGCGGGCGTATAAATAGTAGCCAGATCTTTACTTGGTCTCATATCGACCTCGTTCTCCTTCTGCGCGACCTTCACAGGCTTCGCCGCTCTCCTCAGCGCCTTGACATTCAGCTGATCAGTAGGCACCAAACGATCCTGCTTCATCCGATACACCTTCTTATTCCGCATGACCTTCTCCCTTTCCGCAACACCAGCAAGAACATCCATGCTCTTCGCACCCGTGATATTCAACTCCTTACTCTCCACAGCAACAATATGCTTGTTGTACGGCGGACTTGCAAGTGTCCGACCGAGATAATTCTGCCCGCTACCGAAATCAACGAAATGCGTGATTTCCTTCCCAGTAGTTTCCTCCACGGAATCAGCGACTCGAACAACGTAGTCGGCGAAATTGCTAACTTCGTGCACTTTCTTCGGAATCATGCCTACAGCGACATGTCTCGGTAATTTCGTCACTGCTTTCCCTTCTTCGTCCTTTCGACTATCAACAGTCCGCCGTAGCGAATGTTTTCTGATCTCACGGATATACTTGATCAGACTTTCAGGCGGGTTGTCATCTCGGACTTTATCAAGATCGTCACGCATCAGGAAATCCAAAAGGTCCATGGAATCACGTGCCATGAGCCAGGAGCGCCATTCCGAGGGAATAACGGTGTGATATAGGGACGGTTCTCGCGTGAAGAAATCGAGGATGTGGACGCCGCCGCAAAGGGTTTGGAATATGGTGGAGGCGGCGGAGAAGTTTAGGAGAGATGTAATGTATTCGTCTGTGTTGGAAAACTCTTGGGAGTAGGGGAGTGGTGTTGGTGGTGCCATTTTGGATGTGTTCGATGAGACGAATCGTGAATAGCTGCCAATTCTGAAGATAGGCTGTTTGGATGCTGGACTTGGGATACGGAGCCTCATAGCATTGGGGTTGGTGTATGGATTTAGTTTCTGGTTCAAAGAATTTTTCGGCCCCGCGAAAATTAGCGAGCGTAGAACGCAATGTATTTTCTTCCTCAGTTGAACTCTGTGTCACAGTGAACGAGAAGAATATTATCTTAATGTTGATCCCACCCATATAAGCTTTCGTTTCGCACACGTATCTGAAATGCCCCTGCCATGAGCAAGCCAGAAAGGGGCAATCTAATCACGTGATATAGTAGATCGGCTCTGGAGAAGAATTCATTCCTCGATATTGCTATTGTCGTCTCTGGAAAGGACTCTAAAAGATAAAAAATCAAGAAAAGAAACTGTTCAGTTTCGGACAATGTTTGGCAGCCCGAGCGGGACGACCATCCTTTCTTACTTCATGGCAGCAATTTGAGGACTCTTGGCAACCCACTCCTCCAAGCTCTCAAGCTTCTCGGACAAAACCTGAATTTAATATTAGCAGCTAATTCACTCTGGACTTATAGTATGACTATGAGGTGTTGACTTACCGAATGGTCATCTTCAACATTCTGGCCTCCAAAGAATCCATACTCTGTAAAATACTTCATATTCTCTGTCATATCAGCCGCTACGAACTCTGGCAGTCCAAATCCCATCAACATCTTTTGGTACTCCTCATAAGTACACGTATCATCCACAACATCTACCCCGCCAATAGCAGCCATAATCTTAGCCGCCTCCTGCACGGTATATTCCTTCACCCCACCCATTACCACTTTACCTAGCATCTTCTCGCGATTCAAGATAATGGATCTGACGTATTTTCCCGTGTCGGCTTGCACAGAGATGAGCGGGATCTTGAGACTGGTAGAAATAGGTGCGAAAAGTTTGTAGCTTTGTGTGTTGGAGGAAGTGGGGACTAGCATGAGGGGGAGCTGTTCCATGAAGACGCCAAGTTGGAGGAATGTTGCGGGGATGGCGAGGCTGCGGATGTGGTCTTCGATGATGGCTTTACTGTCGAAGTGGAGGACGCCAGTTATTTTACCTTCGGTAACTGTGTTCTGTTAGTGAAAAGAAGAGTTTTGAGTGGGTCGAAGTACATACTTCTGGTGACATTTGGCAGACTGCTCCAGATGAGATGCTGGACATTGAGCTCCTTGGACTAATGTTAATTTCGACTTGCCGATTTTGGGGACATTCATACCTTCGCAATATCGGCAATGTTCTTTCCCTGCTGGATTTCCCTTTCCTTGTCCAAGACTTCTTGCCAGTTGGTGACTGCGAACACTGTATGGGCATCCTTAAATGCTGCTCTCAGGGACTCCTTGTCATCGAGATTGGCCTGCACTGTTCAGTTTCTGGGCGATTGATAAGAAGGAAATTGTGACAAACCTTAAGAAGTGTAACTCCTCTTTCAGCGAGCGCAATTGCGGTTGGCTTTGTTGGATCTCGTGTGACACCGTGGATTTCAAACTGCTCTGAAATGCTTGGATCTCCGAGAATCAAGTTGACAACGGAACCTCCTTGGTTACCTGTGACACCAAAGACAACAAGGACTTTCTTGGCAGACATATTGGGAACTGAATTCGTATGGATGATAATCGGGAAGACAATGAATTTGGGAGTGGAGTGTTTGTTATTGCTGTTGCTTTGGAAGACTATGATTGAAATCAAAACAAAGACAGAACCTATCACTTATACAACTTTCAACACGGTCAGCATGAGACTCAAGTTGTCATAGATAATCAAGATGACAAATTACTAGATCGTCATTCCATGCATCAATTCTCGTGAGTCCATTGGAATTGAAACCAGGCAGTTCTCGAGGAAAAGGAGCGGGGGGAAGATTGACCCGAAATGCGCCACACCCGTGTTTAGCGAGGGGCTAAAAACGCCTCCATCCTGTCTGTTGTGCCGGCTTTGGCCACTCGGATTCCGAAACTCGGGTTTGGATTTGGAAGCACCACGGGGCAGTTGAAGGGGATGATGCGTTCGCTGCTGCATGATTGTATCGTTCTGATATTGCAATTGGACATTGAGTTGCATCACAAGATCTCTGTGAGAACGACATGTAAGAATGGTCAACCCAAAGGGTATCTCACATTCAAAATGTTGTGTGACTGGTTTTTTGCAAGCTGACAATAAGGAAAACAGATGGTTAGGAGGTGGTTGAGGAAGTCTCCTTGAACGTTTTCGAGAGCCATTGCATACCAAGCGATTTCAAGCGACGGACGCCATGAAAACACACCTTCGAGAGAATGCAGGGGCTACAAAAGAGCATAAATAAACCCTGTTCAGTCGATCATGGAAGTCATCTACGTGAAGGAAAGAAAATAAAATGCAAACATCGGTTTTGATCGGTGTCGAGTTCTGGAGAAACCAGCCAGCTGCCAGCCAGGAGACAAGTTCAAACATTGTCGAATAAGCAGATCTCCAAAATGTGTAGTCAATCAAGCAATGGGGCATAAAACATCATTGACAACGGTATCTCTGATACTTCAGGACATTAAATTTCTGTAGAGCTGCAAGTCTTGCCTGAATGAAACTGTTTTCCACGTGTTACCAGATCTTCAGCACCGCAAGCAAGAAGGAAACCTCAACAGTGCGGCATTGATCCCGGAGGTCAGAAAAGGCTTGCACATACGGAGACGATGCTCCGAAGTACATTTAATGAATGGAAGATTGGTTCCAAGTTAACACAAAACATGGGAGTACAAATATGCGGGCGTGAAGTCTGGAACAATGGGCCACGGAATGACTGGGTAATCATGGCTTTTACAGGCCAGAGCTGGCAATAAAGAAAAGCATTGCAGGTCTCCGCGGTCGCACAAACATCTCCAACAAAGCTAGCCATTGAGAGGACCAGTATTGGATGTGGTATTCGTGTTGTGAACTCGTGAACTCGTGAACTTGTGAGAGAACAACCCCGAGTCCAATGGGGAAAGCTGAAGAGCTCCCAGAGATCAGGAGATAAAAGAGTGATGTCTTCAAGTCAAGAAATTGAAATTTTATTTTCCAAAAAGAACCAGAGAAAAAGAAAGTGCCACAAGGGTGAAGGTTTGATGCTCACAAAAAAGCAAGTACTGGAAGAAGCCGCAGCATCAAGCCACGGAGTGATCGCCGATGTTGACTAAACGTGCCGACACGTGACTTAGGTCAACCACACTCGACTCCTATTGGCTGTCTTGCCCAACCTTAAGAGGCACGCAAGCCACCTCAGGATGTGAATCAAAAGCTGAGAGAGTCTCAAAAACATCAACAACATTAAGGCAACCGTCACTCATGACAATCCATGGACGAGATAGCATCACGAGTGGCAATCCCCTTAGTGCATGTTTTCCAATATCTCACCTTCGATCTCAGGTACTCGATATTTGATTTCATACGCACCACCTTAAGCTTATCAGCAATCAGCTGAACCTGTACTCGCCCTACTTATGAGGCCCGCCAATTTGGTTCTAAGCTCCTCGGAAGTAGATCCGACAACACGCCCGCCGCCCAACTCCACTTCCCCAGGTTCCCCAGAGCTAGGTAAGTTAGGTGGTATCGGAGCAGATGTCAGATCATCTACAGCCCCGTGTGAAGAGGGCGAGAGATGAGGATTCACAACGGATGACTACCTTGGACGGCTCCTGGTCTGGCTCTGATGGTCAGTATAACCCTATTCTCCTTACGGACATTAAAAGCTTCAAAGCTGCAAAGCTGAACGGCACTTTGCATACAGAGCACGAGTCTCGTCATGTTTCTCCTTTCAATTCTCGCAAGAGACCCTATCATGGCTCTGGCGATGAGTTCCCACCACCCCCTGAGGCAATCGAGGAAATCGGGATCATTGAACTCTTGGAGCAAGACAGCAGACCCACATTCATCTTTGACATTGACGCTCCTGAACAAGAAGTAAATGGTCGGATGACTTTTGTTCCGGTATACTGCAACAAGAGTCTCAGATTCTTCGACTCTCTCAGAAATGTTGTTTGTGCAGAGACATTCTACCCAAATATTTCCGAATCCACTCCATCTCAAGTAACCAGTGCAGCATCTGAGCGAGAGTTCAGAGAATGGGCCATGACAATGCCGAACTTTGATAGTTCGGTTGATGGATATCTACCTCGCCACCAGTTCCTCGGGATGTACTGGTCCATCGTGACCCTGCAAAAGAAATGGAGGGTTGTCAGTGCCTCACAAGTTCCCAGCCAACTCAAGAAGAGCCATGGAACTCCCAGATTGATTCGAACACGAACACGATCAGATTCCAGATCTTCAGTGGAATCGTCGACGGTCAGACAGTCACCTGTTTCGGAAGCCACGCCAGAGGATACGATCATGGACGAAGAGGAATCGAATCTCTCAAAACAGCTGGCCGACAGTGAGTCAAAGTTCAAGGTCCTCACAGAACTCAGTCCAGTCGGAATGTACTATCTCTCACCGGATGGCAATATTCTATACTGTAACGACACGTGTAAGCAAGCATCTTAGTCAGCAAGTCATGATTGCGGTCTGGTATCTGATTTTGCGAAGGGTACGAAATTACAGACCATCCTAGGGGTCTTGAAGGAGAGATGTGAGTACTCCAGTCCAGCAAATGTGTTTAGCGACTGACTGATGGTTCAGGTCGTTCATGAATGTCATAGCTGAAGTGGACCATCCGGTCATAGCAAAAGAATGGGAGATTCTCACGACCCAATCTGGCAAACGAGCATTTGAACTTCGTTTGAGACACCCATGGATCAGCGAGAGCGGCGAACCAAGACAGAGGTGGATTCTTGCATCGTGCGACCAAGAATTCGAGGCCGATGGCACCACAATCAAGACAATTATGGGCTGCATGTGAGGGCTCTCGAACTTTCATGAGACTCGGCTAACATTCCCAGTACCGACATCAGTGCACAAAAGAATGCCCAAGAAGAACTTTTGGCTCGCGCCAACCTTACTCAAGAGCTTGCAGATAGAACACAAGAAGCTGCACATCATGCTGAGAAATTCCAGTTAATGGCAGAATTAGCCCCTTGTGGAATGTTTACCTTCGACCCTGATTGCAGCATCACTTGGGCCAATTCACAATGTGAGTCCAACCAGGATTTTGTGCGATTTTGAAGGACTATCCCATGATTGATACTTATCGTTCTCGCAGGCTACGAGATGACCGGACACTCCCGAGATGAGAAGGCACATTATCCTATGTCAATTCTGAATTGCATCGAGAACCAAGATCGTGAGGCTTTCAGATCAGAGTGGCAGAATCTGAAAGACTCGAAGGAGGAAGTCTCTATGGAGTAAGTCCTCGACCGGTCCATGTCATCCCCCATTGTAGAGCGATCGTTGATTTTCTGTCAGGCTCCGTCTCAAAAGGCCCTGGATTCAGCAGGAGGCCAACAACTCTGCGCATTCTGTGCGAGATACCAGATGGATTCTATTCCTCGCTGTACCCCAATTGGATGACGAAGGAAAATTGACGAGCGTTTTGGCTTGCACCACAGACATTTCAGGGTTCAAATTGGCCGAGCACATGCAAATGATTAGTCGAGTTGAAGCAGAGGAGGCAAAGCGTCACCAAGAAACCTTTATTGATATGACTTCGTGAGTACTTCTGTCTTGGGACTTTCGTACTTAGACTAATTCACTCACAGGCATGAAATGCGCAATCCTCTCAGCGCAATAATGCTTAGTGCCGATGGTATCGCTAATTCAATCATTGACTTCCGAGCACCTCAAGAAAATCCAGCATCAGCTTATCGTGATCTTCTGGAGAGTAATCTTGATGGAGCTCAGACAATCGTTCTATGTGCCCAGCATCAGAAGAGAATCATTGATGACGTTCTTACTTCGTCGAAACTGAATTCCGCCTTGTTACAAGTCACTCCTGTCTCCGTCCAGGTGAGTTGATTAATCCTCAGATGAGAAGTTTCGCAGATCTGATTCCACATAGGTTGAGGACACCGTTCGACGGACCTTGAAGATGTTTGAGAGCGAATTGCTTGCCGATAACATCGATATTGCTTTTGCAATTGAGCCTTCATACCACACAGCAAATATCGATTTCGTTTTTTGTGATCCGGTCCGACTGACCCAGATATTTATCAATCTCCTCACGAACGTGAGTTTCCATGTGGCGGAATACTGAACTCAAAACTGACTAGATCAAGGCCATCAAGTTCACCAGATCTGAGCCCACTAGAGCAATTTCTGTTAGTCTTGGCGCGTCCGTCAACAAAACTCCTAAGGATCATGTCCCACATATCAGATGGTTCCCATCCAAGGATTCCAGCGCTGTACAAGATCTGACGCTGAGACGTGATTGGGGAACTGGTCAACAGGTCTATCTTTACTTCACTGTCAAAGACACGGGTCGCGGTCTTTCGGAGCAAGAAAAGGAGAGACTCTTTCACAGGTTTAGTCAAGCAAGCCCCAAGACACATGTAATTGCACTAAGCTATCGACGTCGAGAAGTTTTACTAACACGAATTAGGTACAATATGGCGGCTCTGGCTTGGGTCTCTTCATCTCGCGGGAATTGACTGAGCTTCAAGGTGGTGAGATTGGAGTCGATTCAAAGGAGGGTGCTGGAAGTAAGTCTTCTGCGTGATCATTGAAGCCTAATTTCTCACGATAGTCTAGGTACTTTTGCTTTCTACATCAAAGCTCGCAGATCGGTTGATGCCACTGCCAATCCGTCAAATGGCTCGACACCTAATCATGTCACTGCCGATACTGTTCATTCATCGCCTCGCGACTCGAAAGTCAGACGAAATTACCATATTCTCCTGGTCGAAGACAACCTGATCAATCAGAAAGTTCTCAGCAAGCAATTACGAAGTGCTGGTTGCATTGTGCATGTCGCGAACCATGGTGGAGAGGCCATTGACTTCTTGGCAAAGACTGCTCTATGGCATGAATGCAAGAAGTCTGGAATTGGAATTAATGTGTCCTTGATCCTCATGGATCTTGAGGTAGGTTAGCTGCATTGTTGCTGTAGATCTGCTAATCTTGTCAATAGATGCCTATCATGGATGGTCTGGCGTGTACTCGCCGAATCCGAGATCTCGAGAATGAGGGCAAGATCGATGGACATGTTCCGATCATTGCAGTTACTGCCAACACTCGACTAGAGCAACTGTAAGTTCCACAATTCATTCGTCATGTGAGATTCTGTTCGTCTGAACTTTTGCTGACATCTTCAAGGGACATGGCTATTTCAGCTGGCATGGTAAGCACTGCGTCGCTCCAACTAATCAGTGTAGGTACTAATCAAAACAGGATGACATTGTTGCCAAGCCTTTCCAGATTCCAGAATTGATGCAGAAGATGGATCGTCTACTTTCCAATCAGACTTCGTCTCCATGAACTCTATCTTCACTTGACGAAACGAATCAGTCTTTTATTTATACATGCTTAATAATTCGGAGATACCAAAAAATTTCTACTAGCTGGCGCACGACATGAGGACTGGCGTTTTGAGAATGAACCAGCAGATTTGCTTGGGCAAAGGGAGGCTGGGGAACCTAGAGGATTACCTGATCTCGGTCAAATACGGCAGATATTTAATTCTTGCAAGGCTCTTTGCCTGCTTGCGCGTATCTACAATGGGAGATTTGGCGAAAGGTAGCTCAATGAATTATTTGCGTTACTTTCCAAACAGTTCTCAGTTGTCGCTTCTCATTATTGACCTCCTCTGCTCCTCCCCAGCTGCTGGGGCAACAACCTCGCTAAAAGAAAAGGGGGTTCGAAGCGCTGGCTCGCGCTGGCTAGCATCGATCGATTTCCGCTTGTCAGCACCAAAACTGAACGCTACTGGAACCCTGGGAAATCGATCCATCGATCGAAATTGAACCGGTGAGAGAGATGTGGCGCACCAGCACGCAACCCCAGCAGCAAATAAAGGTTCAACTACGGGGCTGCAATCCCTGCAACCAACGCGAGCAAGTCATCCTTTCGGGTCTAGTGGCTAAAACGGAATGCAACCCTTTCTTGCAAGGCTTGCACACTTCAACCTTCCTAGTCTAGCGCCAGTGGTGCGTATTGGACTTGGCGGGAGGAATGGAAGGGTGGAAGGAATGCATATTCGATAAGAAGGCAACAAACCAACAGGTGTTGTTAGTTTTGTATCGTAGAATGCGGAGAAGGATAAAAACAGTGTAGTACAGATGGGCCAGGCAAGGTCAGGCGAGTTTATTTGTTGGTTGACGGATATTGACACCTGTCAGTGGTGTCCGCGGACGGCGCAGTACTGAAATGCTCCGCTGCATGCGCGGCCAGACGAAGTTCCAGAGCCACATCAATTGGTGCCCAGTAGTGGCCAAGATCTTTCTTTATCTTTCTCTCTATCTTAGTTTCTTCAAAACAGTCCCAAGAGCTCTTGGACATTGGGGGCAGTCAGAAATATCCGGGGAGGTTGGTTGGTTTCTACATATCCAATGCCCTGTGTGCCCCTGTGTTCTGCTGCAGAAACCGTGGAAAAATTCCCGCAGTCGCACACCAACGAGGTTCAGACTCCGACGCTAGAAGCTGCCAGGGCGTCTGGACTCTTTAGGATGCCCTGACCTCGTTCCCTACTGGCTACGTTCCAGGGTGGGCTTAGGGGTCCATTTGACTTTCGGGCTTGCTCCTGGTGCTCTGTGGTGTCTGCACTACAGTACTGACGATGTGTGGTGGCTGAAAGACGTTTTCCCTCTTTCCTCCCCCGTCCTCATCGCGATGAGATGCCCCGGCCGTTCGCGCACCTCACAGGTGTTTGTTCCAACGGCGCCGCGCCGTTGGACTTGGGATCGGTTGCCTCTCCTGACAGGCTGACACTCAGCAATTGTTGGTAACAAGTGGCAGCTTCTGGCACCCGTCGTAACTGTACAAAAGCGGCTCGCTAGCATCTCTTCCCAGACTTGCAATCGAACGACTCCCTATCCACATTTATCCAATTGGCGCCCCCGGCTCTACTGTATCCATGTTGATACCTTGCCCAGGACCCCAAGGCCCGAGATGAATTTCTGATTGCGGACTCCATCCATTCTCCTTATCGATCTCCTTGCCCTCTCCACTTGCTGTGGCTATGGTGTCTGAATCCATTTATGTCCACAATATGTCCTGGTTCGTCCACAACGTCGTCTCTCCTTTTCCCCTCTGTTGAGAGCAGTCGAAGCTCTTGTTGTGCGATCTCGACATCTAATTACTTTGGTTTGGAGGTATACGTCGCGCCATCGACTCGTCCAACCCCTTTCTTCAAGTATATGTCTCTGTCGTGTTAATCTGCATGTTTGGGTATTGAAGCTACGACAAGCCAACCCGACTTCCAACTTCGATTCTCCATACGACCATTCATGAAATTCATACCCTCCGCGCCAGCCTGGGAAAGGAAACCATCCATACCCGTCTTCATGAGGGGATTTCCAACGAGCCCCTCCCACAAGTGGGATTCCCTCCCAGGTTCGCCACCCGCGGCCTGGGACGAAAAGAAGGAGATGCTCATCCGCAGCACAGCAATATCCCTTTCGATAGCCCGGCGGCGGCGGTTTCCACTCCTCTTAATTGCAACTTTACTCCTCACATCTATATTCTACAACCAGCGGTATCATCCGTTTGCGCCGCCGCCGAGGGACGCGCATCCCAGGGGAAAGGGCAGTTTCGATGGGACATGGAATTATACGCGAGATGCGAGGAACCTGATGCTGAGCGAGAGCCAGTGTTTGCAGGCTTTCCCGGATCTGTACCATGAGATTGATAGGGCTGTGGAGGATAGGAGGAGTAGTCATGTTACGTTGAAGGAGATTGATGAGATGCCTGTAGCGAATGGATATCTAAGGGCGATGATTTACGACCAGCAGGTACATAACCTCCTTCTTTCCTGCAAGCATTACTGGATTGGGCTACATGCAGTTTTGTGAAAGGTTGCTAATGTTCTGAATCACAGTTATACATGATTAACGCCACCAGCGGAATCAACAGCCGCGGCGAAGCCTCCCTCCACGCCCTCCACCGCGCAATCCTCACCTCCCCCGAACCACTCCCCAACATCGAATTTACCATGATGGTCGACGACCTCGCGGAATCCGCCAACCCGCGGTGGACATACTCTCGGCAAAAATCCATGACCTCCCTCTGGCTCATGCCTGACTTCGGATACTGGTCATGGCCGGAACCCAAAATCGGCGCCTACAGCGAGATCCAGATGAAAGCCGAGCAGATGGACGCAAAGGTGCCGTGGATGCGCAAGATCGATAAACTGATCTGGCGAGGCGCGCACTTGAAGCTGCTTGTGCGCGAACAGCTTGTTAATGCGAGTCGAGGGAAGAGCTGGGCGGATGTGAAGATGATTGTCTGGGATGATAATGCGAAGGGGACGGCGCATGATGCTTTCACGATGGATGAGCATTGCATGTATAAATTTGTTGCGCACACGGAAGGAGTGTCGTACTCTGCTCGCCTACAAAACCTGCAGAATTGCCGCAGTGTGATAGTATCGCATAAGCTTTCTTGGTTGCAGCACCATCACCATCTCATGGTGTCGTCTGGTCCAAACCAGAATTTCGTAGAAGTCGCGAAGGACTTCTCGGATTTGGAGAAGACGATGGAAGGACTGTTGAGCGGGGAAGGAGGAGGGGGGAATTTGAAGGCCGAGAAGATTGCGGAGAATAATGTGAAGACATTTAGGGAGAGGTATTTGACGCCTGCTGCGGAAGCGTGTTATTGGAGGCAGCTGATTAGAGGATGGGCGACGGTTAGTTTCGAGCCGAGCTTTTATAAGGAGAGTACGGGACAGAAGGAGCAGTGGAGAGGGGTGCCGATCGAGAGTTATCTGCTGATGAGGCAGATTGAGTGGAATTATCAATAGTGATTGGAAGTCAAGGTCGGATAGATCAGGTAATGTAGATAATTTTAATGATAGATAGAATGTATATGACGGATCTTATGATGACATACATATGTACGTACATACTTAGCTCGGATGCAAGAACTAGTGATTTGCATGCTGATATGATATTTGATTGGAGAGGAGACTCAGAAGTCTGTCCACTCATGTGAAGTGGGACAGCGTTCTTATCTGGGAGCTTAATTAAGCGAAAGGTATGAGTGGTTCGCTTGCTGATGAATGTAAACAAATCGTCTTGCCCACCAATCTGAGCCGAGGCCTTTATCTGGTAACATACCCGATTACCCAAGCTGGAGCTGGGCCGTAACTTGCTGCCAGAAGCTCTTCCTGAGAAATATATTAACGTTGGAGGGGTGAAGTTATGCTAGTTGAATGGGGCCGTCCTGATCTTTGAGATATCCAATGAAACCAATATATCCATCTGGTCTCACCAGAACGAATCCAGGCTCTTCGAATCCGTACCATTCGTGCAAATCTCCACCCACATCCACAAGGCCCTCTCCACTTTTGTCCTCCGAATTCAAGATTTTGTGGACTGTGACATTCTCTTTGCTTTCAATCAAGGTGGACCCAGTCTCGCGCAGCTCTTCTATGCCAAAACTGCCTTCACCAATCCCTGAAAACAGCAACATGCGATACCCTGGGCCTTTGAGTAAGCCAATCAATGTTGTCTCCTCACCAGACGCAATCAACTTCCCATCAGCAGCTCGATTACCACCCCTCAGCTTTCCATTCCAATTCCTCGAATTTCCCACAATGGGACTCTCTCGATATCTGATCCCTAATTGTGAGACGAATCTCATTCTGTTCGCTCTCCTCTCTGCATTACCCATGACAAATGGGACAACCCACGGCACCAACCAATTTCTCAAGAACAGAAATATGGGATTAGTGGTAGCCATCATCTCGAATATACGGTCTGTACCGTGTAGAATCGCCAGACCGACCTTGTGTCTCTCAATACTATAGCTATCGAGTAGAGAGTCGGGACTTTGACCACGGAGAACTCTGGCTAGTTTCCAGCCTAGGTTGACAGAGTCTTGGATACCGGTATTTATTCCTTGTCCTCCAGCTGGACTGTGGATATGTGCTGCATCACCTGCGACGAAGAGGCGTCCTGAGCGGTAGTTTGAAGCAATGCGATGATGGATACGGAACCTTGTCATCCAGATTGGGTTGCTGATTTCAACTTCACCAGGAACTTGCTGCTTGATCGCGGCCCTGAAGTCATTAAGCGTGGGTTCAGTTTCTTTGTCGGTCTCAAATGGACGCGAGCAAATGAGTCTAAAAACTCCATTCTGTAAGGGAAGAGCAGCTAGGAGTCCGTAATGGCCGATGAAGATGTGGAGGTTGGTTTTGTGCTCCCATTTCAGGTGTACATCCGCAAGGATGAAATCTTGAGGGTATGCAGCGCCTTCGAAGCTCAGCCCTGCTGCTTTTCGTACGATGCTATGCGCACCGTCGCAACCCACGACGTATTTTGCTCGGATGGTCTCGTCACTGCCATTAGCATGCTGCAACACCACATCGGCACCATTATCGTCCTGTTCGACTTTCACAGCCGTGACACCCCATTCAACAGCCTTCCCATACCCGGACAAAGCACCGGCCATAATCTCCTCCGTGATCGCCTGACTGACGAACAAAGGACCAGGGAGCATCGAGTCCTTGAACGGCGTGTCCTGGAGCTTGATAGTGAAGATCGGCTTTTTGTTGGAGAAAAGCTGCACGGATAAATTGAAGGTTCCGCGTTTGACGAGGTTTGGGAGGATTCCTCCATGGCGACTGAGTAATTCAAGACTGCGTGGGTGGATAGCAAAGGCGCGGCTGTAAGGGGAGCGAGATGGTGAAGAGTCGATGATGCGGAAGGGGATGTCCTGGAGGGAGAGCTCGAGAGCGAGTATTAGGCCGGTGGGTCCAGCGCCGATTATGAGGACGTCCGTGTTGTTTTCGGACGCCATCTTTAGTCTCTTGGTGATTTCACGGTGTTATGTGATGGATTATACGGGAACTCTTGAGGATTGTTGGGAAAAGTTGCAGTGCTCGTTGGTAAACCTTTAAGGTTTCAACTGGTGTCCAAGCTGACTATGATGACGATAACATTCTTTCATTGGGTACCCGAGTATCCTATACCTCGTTTATCTGATAGCCATTTGGGCATCGAATACGAAGCTGTCAGACGTTGTTAGGTGTCGATTTCCACACCAGCACACAATAGCCCATCTCGCATTTGTGATGGTGGCGGCGCGTCATGAAGCTAGGGATGTGGAATCATTAGCCGCCAATTCTCTGTGGTCCAATGAGAGGATTTCCCACCAATCTTTGCCCAAGGTTGAAATATCACCATTTAAGGCTTGAACTATACTTTTCGAGTAACTGCCATGCGCGGCATTTGTGTAAGAATGTTGAGTTTTGAGTTTTGAGTGCTATTTGCAGTTTCTCCTGGATGCAAACACATGAAAAGGATAGCTTGCCTCGTTTAGGATATACTCATGAATACAAAGAAACTAAGAATCAGAAGTAACCTAGCTCTCTTACTCGAGTGAAGAATGAGAGCTTCAACCATCTTTGAACTAGGAAATCTCGCTTACTGTAAACAGAGACGACAGGGGTTTTCACCATCCAGATTGAAACGGAGTCTGCCAAGCAAACAAACCCGGTCCGACGTTTATCCGCACCGCCTTGCAGGCAATCAAAATCCCCTGCCCCTCCATCTGACGAGATAATTTTTCGACCCCGCGATCCCCATTGTCCCAACACAAGCCGCGACAATGGAGTTTCTTACTATTCCTGGAGACTCTTGCTTCACGTCTGCGGACGCGAAGAAGTTGAAGAAGGCAATCAACAATTCAGATCCAGGCGCACTTGTTACAAAGGTTCGCGGATATTGGGTGCATTATGTGCATTTCAAAACTGGCGACGCGTCGGCATTGAAGGTGAGATCTGCATCTCTTTGTACAACCGAAAATGGTATTGATACATTACAGAACGTAGAAGCGAAACTCAGACAATTGCTGCCAGGCTCAGATTCGGATTCGAGCGAAGTTCTAAGCAAGCCCGGAAGCCAGACACTAGTCTACCACATTACGCCGCGGAACATATCGCCATGGAGTTCAAAGGCTACAAGCATTGCACACGTCTGCGGGTTGAAGGCAGGGCTAAATAGGATAGAGAGAGGCCGAGTTATTCTGTTGAATGTGGAACAAAATGGAGAGAAGTCAGATTCGAAAAACATACCATTCCGGGATGAGCTTTATGACAGAATGACCGAGAACTTCGAATTATCTCCTCCAGAGATGCGTACTATGTTCGCAGAAGACCAACCATTCCCGCTGGAGGTGATTGCTCTGGGAAATGAGGATTCCGCTAGGTTGGAGACGTTGAAGGGATACAATAAACTGCGGGGTCTTGCCCTAGACCAACCTGAGATGGAATACCTTGTTCAAGCTTGTGAGTGATGCGTGTACCATTTGTCATATCAATCTGCTGTAATCTTGGTGTTTTCCCTAACTAAGGCTGTCACTACTTCCTTGCATGTATATTGCCAATTCCGAAGCCCTTCAATTTATTAACTTCAACAGACAAACAGCTCGGAAGAGATCCTCACGATATCGAATTGTTCATGTTTGCTCAAGTAAACTCAGAACATTGCAGACACAAGCAGTTTAACGCCAACTGGACTATAGACGGTATTCCCATGGGCAAATCATTATTCGAAATGATCCAGAACACTCACAAATTAAACCCAAAATACACAGTCTCAGCATACAGCGACAATGCTGCTGTGTTAGAGGGAGAGATTGCCAGCTTTTGGGCGCCTGACTATTCTACCGGCAGTTGGAAACAAACAAAAGAGAAAGTTCACTTCTTGATCAAGGTAAGTACTCCGTACATCCTAGATTTTCGGTTACTGATGCATTATTCAGGTCGAGACACATAATCACCCCACCGCTATTTCCCCATTTCCAGGTGCGGCGACTGGGTCTGGTGGTGAAATTAGAGATGAAGGTGCTGTCGGACGAGGCTCTACCCCCAAAGCCGGACTTTGCGGATTCTGGGTTTCAGACCTCTTGATTCCTGACCACAAACAACCGTGGGAGATGGATTTTGGCAAGCCAGCTCATTACGCTAGCAGTTTGGACATTATGCTGGAAGCCCCAATTGGTAGTGCAAGATTCAACAACGAGTTCGGCCGGCCTTGTTTGACTGGCTGTTTCCGCACTCTCCTCGCTGACGTCGATGTTGGAGTTGATGGTCGCGACATCAGAGGGTATCACAAGCCAATTATGATTGCAGGTGGAGTCGGTACTGTTAGACCCCAACACGCTCTCAAAGATGGACGAGATGTCAAAGAACAGGCACATGTCATCGTTCTCGGAGGCCCGGCTATGTTGATCGGTCTTGGAGGCGGCGCAGCATCAAGTACTGCCTCCGGAGAAGGTTCTGTCGAATTGGATTTTGATAGTGTCCAAAGAGGTAATCCAGAGATGGAGCGTCGCGCTCAGATGGTCATCAACGCATGTGTGGCTTTAGGCGATAACAACCCCATTGCCTTTATTCACGATGTCGGCGCGGGTGGTCTGTCAAACGCTCTGCCTGAGCTCGTTAAGGATGCTGGATTCGGCGGCAAATTCGAGTTGAGACAAGTCGAGAATGCAGACAGAAGCATGAGTCCCCTTCAAATCTGGTGTTGTGAGGCGCAGGAACGGTATGTTATGATTGTCAACAAGGAAAACATGAACCGTTTCGTTAGCATTGCAAACCGGGAACGTTGTGGGTTCTCTGATGTTGGCACAGTAGTTGCCATGGATTCAAATGGCCATGGAAGTCTTGTTCTTACCGATCGAGAGTCAAACATTTATCCTCGACCTATCGATCTGCCCATGTCACTTCTTTTCCCCAAGGGCCGGAAATTGGATCGAGTTGTCAAGTCAAGAAAGCCAGTTATGACGCCGTTTGATGGTCAAAAAGCTCTCACCGAGGCATATCCACAATTTCCCGAACACGATCTGCTGAGAAAAGCTGTCGAGCGTGTTTTTAATTTACCAGCTGTTGGATCCAAATCTTTCCTAATCACTATTGGAGATCGCACAGTTGGCGGGATGACTGTCAGAGATCAGATGGTTGGTCCATGGCAGACACCAGTTGCGGATGTCGCCGTGACAGTCACAACTCTGAACATGGGTGACAAGATCAAGACTGGTGAGGCTATGAGCATGGGTGAGAAACCAACTCTAGCGCTCATTTCGCCGGCTGCCTCAGCCAGAATGGCCGTCGCGGAAAGTTTGATGAACTTGGCTGCTGCACATATCCTTCGTGCCAGTGAAGGAGACTTAGCCCGCGTCAAGTTATCTGCCAACTGGATGGCTGCAGTCAATCACCCGGGTGAGGGTGCTGCCTTATATGAGGCAGTACATGCCATTGGCATGGAGTTGTGCCCAAGCTTGGGTATCAGCATCCCTGTTGGGAAAGATTCTACTTCAATGAAAGCATCTTGGAAAGATCAGAAGAGCGGTGATGCCAAGAGCGTCACAGCTCCTATGACAGTTGTTATTTCCGCTTTCGCTCCAGTCGCAGACGTCCGAAACACTTGGACTCCAGCCCTTCGAAGACTTGAGGATGTGGGAGAAACGGTGCTCATGTATGTTGATCTTGCCCAAGGCCACAAAGCCTTAGGTGGATCAGCACTTGCCCAATCATTCAGTCAACTTGGAGATAAGGTACCAGATGTAAGAGACCCCGATCTGATTCGGGATTATTTCGACGCGATTGTTCAGATGCACGAGCTTGGCGTTGTGCTCGCTTACCACGATATTTCTGATGGCGGTTTGATCACTGCCGTCGCCGAGATGATGTTCGCTGGTCGGTGTGGCGCCGAGATCATGATTGATGCCTTCACGGACAGCCCCTCCCTATCTCATGTTTTGGAATCTCTCTTCAACGAAGAGTTGGGTGCAGTTTTCCAAGTTCGCAAATCCGATGAAACCAGATTTAGAAGTTGTTTCTCGACTTGCGGTCCTCCAGCCGGTATGGTAAGGAAGATCGGCCGTGTGCCTGTTGTTGCGAAACAAGAACTCTCTATTCGATATGGCCAGCAATCAATTCTTCACATGCGACGGTCTGAAATGCAACAGATGTGGTCCAACACATCTTATCAGATGCAGAGAATCAGAGACAATGTCGACTGCGCAGAGTCAGAGTTCGAGACAATCAAGAATGACCGAGATCCAGGTTTACACTATAAGTTGACCTTCGATCCTAAAGAGAACATTATGCCACTTACCTCTTCAATAACTTCCGTCTTTGCAAAGGTGCCTCGAGTGGCCATTCTTCGAGAACAAGGTGTCAATGGCCACGCGGAGATGGCTTTCGCATTCAAAGTCGCCGGCTTCGATCCGATCGACATCCACATGACTGATATCATTTCCGGAAGAACCCTATCAGACTTCGTCGGTATTGCAGCCTGCGGTGGATTCTCATACGGTGATGTCCTCGGCGCTGGACAAGGATGGGCCAAGTCAATTCTCATGCACGAGGAGAACGCACGGCCAGAGTTCCAGAAATTCTTTGCACGCCCGGATACGTTTGCTCTCGGAGTTTGTAACGGCTGCCAGATGCTATCTCGTATATCGGAGCTCATCCCCGGCACGAAACATTGGCCCACATTCCTCCAAAACGAGAGTGAACAGTTTGAAGGCCGCGTCTCGATGGTCAAGATCCAGGATAACAAGAAGAATCCATCGGTATTCTTGCATGGCATGGATGGATCCTCTCTTCCTATCGTGGTGTCTCATGGCGAAGGTCGTGCATCGTTCAAGCACGTTTCTGATCTCGAGGCTATGAACGAGCATGGATTGATTCCAATCCGCTACACAGACAATCTTGGTAACGTCACGACTCGCTACCCTTACAATGCCAACGGCAGTCCTGAGGGAATTGCCGGCGTGAGGAGTCTGGACGGTAGAGTCTTGGCTATGATGCCGCATCCCGAGCGGACCATCATGGCGGACGTTGGCTCGTACAATCCTAAACAGCTGGTGGACCAGTGGGGAGAGTTCGGTCCTTGGGTGAGAATGTTCAAGAGCGCGAGAAGATGGGTCGGATAAGTCAACGAATTGCGCGTGTGGTGTCAACACAGTTTTCGTCTTTGTTGTCTTCCATTATTGCATCATCATTTAGTAGGGTTTGCTTCTGGAGTGGTGGGATGAATGCTTGTAGCTTGCATATTTTGATATTGGCGTTATGAAATAGAGTTGAGCGCTTATCTGATCTTACCACTAGATGGCTGTTCGACGTCTTCCTTTACTGACTGCAATGGCAGCACGAAGACATGCCAATCATGATGTCCAGACTCACGTTGAGGAGTACATAAGTGTATTCCTGGCTTGCTTAAAAATATTCCTATGCTTCGCTTCGATACTTTCTCTGCCCGCTACGGAGGTACAGTGCAGGCGCAAGTAAGCACGTGGATATATGAGCTATCTCTCGTAAGTTTCTGCATGTGGTTGACAATCAATTCATCTGGATCTGTATATATATATTCACGGTTATCTCGGGCCATGCCACGTCCCTAATCAGATGACACCTAATTGGGTTCTGCAGCTGTAGACCGCCCTAACGAGTACGGCTGGCCCCGCGCCGATCGAAGCTAGGCAGGTACCAAAAATACCGTACCCCTCTTTTAGACCCAGGAGCCCAGGGCAGGGCAATCTTAGAGCAACCTCCGTAACTCCTCTCACGCCTCTTTGAACCTCTCTATCTGTCTCCAAAACCACCATGGCATCTGTAGAGCACTGTCTCTACTGCTTCGACGTGCTTACTACAACTCTCGAGGACAAAGACACAGCTCCCATCTCCCTCGAACGTATCCAAGAGACATGGCCGTCCTACTCTAAGAGTCTCGACGATAACATCGACGCTGCCTCTCTCGAACCTGACTACGATATAAATACGAACGACCCTTTGAACAAAGATGAAATCGACAAGTTAGAAGCAGCAGCGGATAAAGTCTCACGCCTCCGGCTCCCAGCCCTTCAAAGACTAGGTCGTTCGAGCAATTCTCCAGCGTCGTCATCTACCCCAAGCTCTAGTTCCTCAACTTCCCTTGCACCTTCCACAACGGCAACTACTCCGGATCCTTTCAGCTCGGGTAGCCTCGATCCACGGATATCTCAACGCCGCACCTCCATTACTACGTCTCCACTCTTTGTGACGTGGAACACTGTGTCGCCTACCTCTCTCCGGTCTCTCCGCGGCTGCATCGGGACTTTCGAGCCACAAAATCTGTCAATTGGCCTTGAACAATACACGCTAATCTCTGCCCTTCAAGATACGCGCTTCTCTCCCATCACTACATCTGAGCTGCCCTCCTTGGAAGTCTCTGTGACTCTCCTCACAGACTTTGAAAAGGCTGATGACCAGCTGGACTGGGAGCTTGGTATCCACGGATTGAAGATCAATTTCACTGTAAAGAATAGACAGTATGGGGCATGTTATTTACCAGATGTGCCGGTAGAGCAAGGCTGGACTAAAGAGGAGACTGTTATTAGTTTGATGAGAAAGGCGGGGTGGACTGGGCGGAGAGATAAGTGGAGAGAGGTTTCGGACTTTAGGGCGACAAGGTTTCAAGGGAAAGCGGAGAGTTTAAAGTGGGAAGAGTATAACAAGTGGAAGAAGTGGGTAGAGATTATTGATAAAGAGTAGGCTAATAAGATATTATAGATAGGGTAGATAGCTGTGTAGAGTAGAAGCGGCGTTTATAAGTTCGGAGGAGTTTAGGGTCACAGTGAGAAAGATCATGGCTTACAGGATTTCTGCTGACACGTTTCGTATCCAATTACGATCCTGACAGAAGACAACTGACACTTCTTTCGAGCTATGAGATCCCAATGAAAGAGTTGAGTGAATTTACCGCGTCTATTGAGAAGTTCAGTCATCCGCTATTCCGCTCCATGCACCTGTGCTTAGCTATAGGCGAGTTATCCCCGATTGGAAGAAGTTCTAGATCACTTGCATTACTCTCTTGCCCAGCAAAACACTCATGAATGTGAGTAGTGTTCTTGGCTCCAGAATCCAAACCCCAAAAGGAAACAAGCAACCGCGCGGTCTCTAGCTCCGTAACCAGTGCAGCTGGGTGATTTGTTTCTAAAGGTTGAACCACAAATGCCAGGGAATCTCCCACCAATCTGTGAATTAGCGACCTGCTCAGTGAGGGAGTTTGAACCCAGCTGACGAAGAACCAACAACCTTATAATTGCAGTACTGGACCTTCTGGGAAGCTTACTGCCGAGAGGGCCACCGTCGTGGCGGCATCTTGGTCGAGCGTCAAAACAGTGGATGGGGAATTCCTGAATGGTCGTCCTCTATCTTATGGTCCCTCAGTTGGAGCTCCTCTTGTGGGCGTTGCAAATACAATCTGCACATCCATGAACAACAGCTCAACAACCTGCAGTGGGAGCCCACTTGGCGTAGCTCTAGAATGGATCAAGTACTACCTCGCCAAAGACGAGACATTTGAGTTTGGCACCATCACACGCCGACAGGATGATACATTATACCGGCAGTCAGTCAACCAGTACAGTTCCGTTATGGGGACATCAGACCCAGATCTCACTGACTTCAAACAACATGGCGGGAAGCTGCTGACATGGCATGGCCTCAATGACCAGCTTCTTTCTGTGAACAATACTATTGAGTACTGGGAGAGAGTCGAGGAGCAAGATCCTGGTATTGATGATTATTACCGTTTGTTTGAAGCTCCTGGGACCTTGTATTGCACGCCTGGAAATGGTTGGTTTCCTGGAGATGCGATGGATTCGCTTGTGCAATGGGTGGAGAAAAAAGTTGCGCCGGAACATCTGAGAGCTACGACGGTGGGTTTGGAGCAGGAGAGGAAAGTTGATCTGTGTAAGTGGCCTGCGAAGTTGGCTCATGTGGGAGGGGATCCGGATATGGCGGAGTCTTACTTTTGTAAATAATGTTTGATGGTTTATCAGGCACTAGAGTAGAAAAGAATGATTGGAATTGCAGCAAGGTTCGAACAAAGTGTTGATTTCATTTTCCTCCTAGTCGGCGAGCAAGGTTAGATAAAAGTCAGTCAGCCAATTCGTTGTTTCAAAACGTCTCCACAGCAATAAAGTCGTGTTCAGAAGCATGCTATCAAGCTTGCAACCACTTACGGGACACAATCTATTCAACAGAAAGTAGTCGGTCAAGGGGTATTACAACAAGAGATGGCTGAGATTGGGGTTGTGCCTGAGCATTGAGCTAGCAAGGTTGGAAAACTTGTAACCATATGAGAAAGGCAAAAACCATTGCCAAACGAATCTTAAGTGACATAGAAGAGATATCCCGAAGTGCGTTGTAAATGATGAGCAGAACGCGCTAGATCTCAGTGCATCATATGTATGAACGACAATAGTTCCCACTTCCAACCCGACAGCAAGTTCTGTTCATCCTCCTCCAAATGATTGCGGCCAACTGCCATCCTTAACCTCTTCACAGAATGCTTGCACGACACAATGATTCCAAATTTCAAGGACTGGTACACAGTCCATATGCAAGATGCGCCAAAGCCAAACAATAGGATAGCACGGATGACGCTTATACGTGCTGAAAACACAGCTGCATTTCCAGTTGCGTGCCAGAGAAGCACGGATGCAAAGTCGGAGAATCTCAGTTGGTAAGATAGCACCCATCGCTGTGTAGCCGTTGCCAGGCTTTTCAGTCCCATGTATGTATTCCCAGTCGACATTGGAACCCCGAATCCTCCCTCTGGAGTCCTGGCGAATTCTTGTGCCAAACCACTAATAGCTAGAGTTAGCAGCAATTTAGTAGTCAATGTGCACGAGATGAACGTACAAGCCACAAACGTAAAGCAGACATCGGGGCACGTAGGGAAACGCTTTGTACGACGATTCGGCCTCTAGGATTCTGTCCAGCAGTGACAGCATGAAGCGCAGGTCTACACGCAAGAGATCTCGTGCTACTTCGAAATGGATATTCTCTGTATCTGCATCGTTGGCATTTACTACACATACAGTCAATCACCAAATCAAATTCCAAAGGAATCGAACGAACTCATCGCTCCAGGTTCGTGGTCCTTGTCTAGGTATCTATGGTGTACAAATGTCAAGAATTTGCCGTTGAAGCGAGGGGTGGAAAAACGGACTGCTTCGCGCGGATCGGTTCTTGATATCTAATAAATTTCTTCAGGTGAAAGATTGCCTTTCTACGCTGTCCTTCAAACCGGGCGCCAATCGGTCTCGACTCTTCGTTGCTTCGAAACATGCTCATGCTGTAGACTAATTCTCCACGAAGAGGGACTGGCTCATTGTGACGTTGTCGTGGTATACCTCGCGCGATGACATACTCTCCAAAGTTTTCGGTGGCCATGAGGACGATGGTGCGGCGTTGTTTTGATCAGATGGAAAGGAAATTATCTTCCGCAGGGAGGGGAGAGGAGGCATCATAAAGGGGCGGGCGACACCTTTGGCCGCTAATGCGCATGCGGTACTTTCTTTACCTAGGCACGGGAGTACACGCTCCTCTCGCTTAGCTACGAAACATGTTAACCAAGACATGGACAAAGACGAAGGCAGAGACTATGACAATGACTGCGCCAGCAATTTCGTCCGTCCACCAGCCTGTTCAGCTTGCAATCAATCAATCAATCGATCGATCAATCAGTCAATTTCTTCAGAGTACATACACCACACTTCGGTATTAAAGCTTGTCTCGCCTAGCTCGTGGACTCTACTCTTACCTCTCGCACGAACGACAGGAAGTGGGTGGATCGCATTAGCTGCACCTCGTTGAGCTGGCTGGTATTTCGGTCTGCCCTGTAACCTGATTATGGTGGCTGAAACCGCCTGCAACTACCTTGCTACTTTGTCTTTGGCCCGCTCAGTATGTGTACGATGTCTTCCCCTGGGAAGGCCTGGCTCGAGTGTGTCTACCATTGCCTATATATTACCATCTCCTACCCTTCTCTCCATTTCATTTCACATCTTTTACCTGGCAACATTGCCTTTTAATAGAGAGCACAAGATGAGCGCTCTGGAAACAGCCGGCCAGAAGGCATCAGCAAATCCGTACGACTTCTTGACAAGACTTCCTCAACGAGCTCCTCCCGGTACTGACTTCACGGCTCATATGACTGTGTGGAAGAATGGACAAGGAGGGCAATGCCAAACAAATATTCAACTCGCACGCAGCATTGGGAAATTTCTCCATTCAATGCATGTGGCAATGTGCGAAGCACAGGGAACTGCCGTAAGCCCAACTCCATGGACCGTGATACCTATGTCACCCATCCAGGGTCCGCTACCGCAGCCACTTGAGGTGAGTAAATATACAAATCATTCTTTTCCTCACAAGTAATGTTGGGATGTCTGGATGTCAGTCACTGATTACGAGCCCTTAGATTGAGATCTCATGCAAGACTGCAGACATGTGGAATAATGATGAACCTGCCAACGAAGTCGAGAAACTGATGCGGGGTCGAACACTCATCGACGAGATCTTATGGAAACACTTACAAGCTCTAAGCGACCATCAAGACATCGAGACAATATTTTCGTGCCTACTCGGGTTTGTCCTCAAGTACCCAGCAACACCTACTGCCGGCGTTGAAACCTACCATAAACTCCACGTCCAGAGCTTCCATATCCCCGAACTCGAACAATGGCAAAGATGGGAGAAAGAGACGGTTAAGACGAAGTTTTATGATGGACCGTAAGAGCCCAGCTTCCATTGGTGAGAATACTGTAGAGGACGCATCTAATATCTAACAGACTGCTCGCCTTGGATCAAATCGCAGACATCTTTTTGGCCTATGACCCTGTCATTCAGATGATTCCATGTAGTTCTTCTGAATTAACACCTATCACCCGAGCAGTCCAAGGACTGAAGGTAGCTAGTGGAGCACTGCCTGATGTGAAGGCAAGGGTGGGTTTTCAACCTCGGCCATGGTCGAAATATGATACTTGTGCTAACTGAAGCAGCTGCCAAGATCGAAGGACCTTGACCGAAGCTCAGTGGACAATTTGATTCGCGAGTGCTACCCACCGGTCCTGCGATCCATGGAAGACGCCTTGGAGGCTTTGAGGGACTTAGCCATGGAAACCAGTCAGTACATTTTATCAATGATCTCTTACCCAGCTGCAAAAATGAGCCTACCCTCACAAGAAGACACTACCAGTGCAATTCACTAGGATCGAACCAGCCTTGTCCTCGAAAGGTCTGCAATTCCATCTACAAAATCTACAGACTCAAACGAGCTACTCCAAAGCTCACTGCTGTCCTCGCCTTCCTATCTGACAAGAAGAAACAAGACATGGTCAAACGTGGTGTTCTCACAATAAGCGGCGCTACCATATGTGGGGGTATTTTGGTTAGTAGCGGTTTACCGGCAGGATCTACGGCCTTCGCAGGTAGAAGCTTGTTCATGGCCACAGAAACACGCAACGTTGCCGATGTCACAATGTCAGCAGCATTTGCCACAACATCAGGGGCAATAGGCATGTCTTTGGGGAAAATCGGGACTGCGGCCTCAGGACTTGGTGGAGCACTGTTTGGGGGCGCGATGACCATACACTCTTCCCGCGAACATGCCAAGTCAAATACTGGTATGTAGGGCGAGGACTTCCAAAGGATCTGAACGGCAAGCTAACTACCATGTTCGTGGCACGTAGTGCAATGTATTAATGTAGAAATTAACGGCGACGTCGATACGGTCGTCTACTACCTTGCTCTCTGCTTTATGAAGTCCAACGGCGTGGCTCGTCCACGTGAAGCCGAAGATGAACTCGAGGGGGTTGTACAGAACTTGTATGGCCGTCGCCCGCAGAAATCGAAGCAAGAGTACCGCGCGGTATATCTGTATGATCTGGTGGAGGAACTTACGGTGCAGTTCAGAATCGTGACAGATGTCCTACGGAGCTTTGCATACAAGGAACTTGAGGCATTAGAATGGGAACCGAACATGACGATCACAGAGCCAGAGAGTATTATGATGATCTGAAAGCTTGTTTAAGGCGAAGGATTTTTCTGTCAAAAGGTCAAAAGATTAGATTTGTTTTCTTCAAGTACACGATGGGAAAAGGTTTTCTTTAAGAAATGGGGGCAACTGTATTCGTTATCTAGACTTGGATTCCATAGACCGGGGACAGGAGCATCGCATCGGGTTTTATTTACAAATTGGAGCAACAGCTTTGCTTGATACTTCTTCTCCTTTGGTCTCAATTATAAACTAGATGAGGGTCGACTTCTGAGATATCCGTGCTCCTTCCGTAGCTCCGTTTTTCTACCATTCAACCCCACCCTTACGTGTACTCCATCGCCAGTAGCTGCCATTTTATCTGATCTTTAATTATGGGCTGTGACAGATGACACAGTGTGTCTTTCTGTTATTGTGATGGCTTGACTTTCTCCGTGATGGCAAAGTTTGTAGAGGGGTCCCACAGGTTTCGCGATGGCAGCTAGGGTGACTCTGATCGGAATCCTTTCGGGCGTGTTGTAAATTTTCCACAAAGGGATTGGGTGGTCATGGGGAATGAGACAGTGAAGATGCGATTGGACAAAAAGGATTCAGATTCTGACGAAGATTGAGGTGGCCTCCTTCACTTGTCGCCGTGTTTTTCTGGCTACAATCCCACACCTCTCTCTCTACCACCCACGACAAACACCAAAAGCCGACGCCTCCCTGACCGTTCTAATTCGAGACACTCGGTTCGGGATTGTCCTCCTCAACTTTTTCAAGACATTGTCATCTTACACCGTGACCTCCTCCACCTCCTGCGTACGTGCTGTACCGCTCATCATCCTAGGATGGTGTTTCTCCAGGCTTACCGAGGCCCATGTTCCTGGACGAGTTAGAGGATGACATTTTCCATTTCCCGAACGCTGATATCACTTTGTTGGCGTACTCTCCTGTGGCTACTGGATGATACGAGTTGGGCGAGGCATCGAGGACTGAGAATTGCTGCACTGGGTAGTGGACTCGTATTGAGGTTAACAGCGTTGTGTTTCGGGAAGAAGTGGAGGTCAGTGGTGGTTCTGACAATGATGTTGTGCTGTTGAAAATGAGGTGAGGACAGTGAGTGACATTACCAGCTCACTAATTCCAGACCCTAAGACCGCAACATGTATTGTAGCCTGTGACAAAGTCCTGATAGGTATGGATGAGAAATTCGGGTTTGGCTTGGAGACAGATTCTAAACATGATGTTTGGGAGTGGGTTTGATCGAATCCGATACATACATTGCTTTCTGCGCCGATTCAACGATCGTGGAGAGAAGATGGGATTGATCGTCGTACTCGGCTAGCGTTGCATCGGGAGGAAGTTGAACAATATGAGAGGGTATTTGAGGAGAATATTATGAGAAGAGCGTATGCTGCTGCGAGGAATGAAGTACGCTTTGAATTTTGGAGACGATCCAAACAGCAGGGTTCCTGAGTGAAACATTTGGATCATAGCGACGAGGCAAGCCTTTGAATGATAGCCGGGTTCATGAACGGGGATGTCGTGAGCCGCCGGTCGAACACAACAAGAAGAGTTCTACTCATTTTAGATGAAGTAAACTATCAGTTTCCTCCTTATCGCTCTCCCCCCTCTCGCTGTGAGTTTCTACTAATATTCCGCCAGTGGCGGCTGTATATTTTGTGTATTGTATCTGACTTTTTCTGGTGCTCTGAATCGTAACCTCAACATTAAGGGGAGCCGTTCGGTCAATCAGGTCTCCAATGAACTTTCATTTTGTTGTTGTGAGTGATTCCCTCTTGGTTTTGCGTTTACTAATAAAACGTTCGTTTTCGTTTTCTCGTGATTTGCGCTCAAGAACAAGCTTCCTTGACCGCTTGGATAGGGTTCTGGAACGTCGCAGTGCGAATTTTACAGCTCCATAGATGGATACTGAACAAATGAAAGCGTACCATAGATTGGGCTCCAGCAATACTCAACACAGGTACTTCGAGCTCTTGATGTGGCAATTATATATAAATATTTCATCAGATCTAGCTAGAGCTAGGTCTTGGTCTAGAGCCTGAGCTAGAGATGAAACTAGGCGGACTCTACATACTAGTGCGTAAATGAGTCTGTTAGAAGCAACCATAGCGTGTGAACTTGGAACTTCGTAGTGCCGATTTCATCATATAGCAAATTGCGCTCTACTCAAATACAGAAGTGGCGGTCATCATGACATCTCTGCAACTCTACACAGACACCGTTCACTTCAAGAAGTAAACCTACTTCGAAGCGTGTAGAAGAACTTGCTTTGCATCTGTATCTTGTGCAGTACTGTCTTCAAAAAAGAGGGGGGGGACAACTTCCCCACACGACACCGTTGCACAACATTGAATGCTTAGAAAGCAAGTTCATGCCGCAAAGGAGGAGAAAGCCACCCTGAACTGCATGATCGTCGTGTAACAAGACACATGAGAATAGAGAAGAAATGACTCGAAGTGGTCAGAGGCATTTGTCTGACCGAGTCATTTCATGAAATTGTTAGGGCAGTTCTGCAGGCAGCAGGTCTCAATTGCACACCGTCCTATCCGAAGCAGCTAAATATGAGACTGAGATCAGGTGCCAGATGCACAAGCCAAGGTAAGACAAGACCAAGGAAGTAGAAGAAAATGCCGCATATCATTTCCAGACAAGAAACTCAACGTGGGGTAAGCTGTGGAGATATATGTATGAATATGTCCGGTAAAAATGGAGTTATCTGCTAAGAATGGCGGGAGCTCAGGTGAGGGGACTGGTAGAACTCTGGGAGAATAATAAGAAGAATGGAAGGATAGAGCTTTCTGCACTTTTGCACAATCCCAACGATGCCGGATTATGCACCTAACCTTGATCATCTGCAGCTCCATCTGCAACAGGAAAACCGGAATCAGGAAACGTGCGGGTGAAGGCGCGATGCGATGTACTGCACTGTGATGCTACGCTCAGAGACATCCATACCTTACTTACCTGGGTAATTCATGCAATGTAGACGCAGACGCAGACGCAGTGACGAGTTGAATCCTACGGCCGTCATCACCCGCCATTGACAAATGAGCGGGCCTGCCCGCAAGCGACCTGCAGCATCTCGCAGGGAGCAGCTGCAGAGCGGGCGCTAAAGCGCGGTCGGGACCGGGTGGGCGAATGGGATGAGTGTTTGGTTTCGAGGGCTGATGCAGCTGGGTGGGTAGGAATTGGAGTCGAAATGGAACGTCCGCCTTGGGAGAGTTGTCCGGGTTGGTGGTCGACGTGACGGTGGTGGGAATGCGGTGGCTGTCTGGGTGAGACAGCAGAGCTTCACCGCCAGAAGTTTTGAAGCAGAGGAAGAAGTCGATATGCAGTTACCTGCCTCCGATATCGAAAATGCTGGGCTCGTAACGACGATGCGTATATGCCGCAGTTGCTTTATCAACGTAGTTTGGATGGTAATGTTAGCCCCGAGTTAGATGCAACCATCAGACGAGTTGAGCCAGGCCACTGGACACACCTTCCAGCTCCCCCTGCGGCTGATATGCATGAGCTCTCCTGCGTGCCTTGTGACCAGGGCACGAGAATACAGAATAGCTTGTGCTTAGATTAGCTTCGCACTGCGGTGTTACCCATGACCTCGGTCAGCCAGACCAGATCATATCTCGTCACATCACATCACCTCTCGTGCTCCCCATATTCTTAGAGTGATCCTCTCCCCTCACTTCCTTTCTTCATGTTGAAAGAGCGCATTGGCGTTCTGGTCTTTGGAATTTGCAATGCATCGATGGGCTTGCTATTGAGGACCGTTGGATTAGGTTGGGACTCGCGCTGTTGAATTAAATACCTTGGTTTCGCGATTAGCTTTCTCGAGTGCGATCTTGTGACGGTTGGAAGGGTGCGACGCCAGTGGTGGACATGAGAGTGAGCAAAAGTTGCAAGGAGAAGAAAAGATGTCCCTCCAAGAATACCCGCTGGTTCTTGATTCGAGACTTCCAAATCCTCAAACTCAATGTCTCTTCTTCGACAAATTGCCTCCAGAGATCTGTCGGTTGATATTCCTGCATGTAATGAGTGAGTGGGGTTGGACAAAAAGGTGTATGTCTGAGGTTTCTCGTATATCCTTTTGATATAAAATTCGGTGGGCATTCAGGATCCGTCGTTCGGAATGTCTGGAAAAGAGAGATCAGTGCTGACAAGAGAAAGTACATATCATCCGTGATTACGAGGAAGGCGATTTCGGTGACGGCGACTTTGACAGTCCAGTGCCTGCAGCCAGGAAGAGAAGGCTGACATATGTGCCCTGCACCGCGATTACTGAATCCAAACCCGCGATTTCGATGACGATGCGATGGCCCACGCAGCATAATTCTTGTCGAGGATGGAAGGCACTCGATGACTTTCCTCCCGAGTTCCGAGGGCTATATCTAGCGTTGTCCTTGACTTGCCGACGGTTGTAAGTAGATTTTGCTAGTCGTCTGATTGTGAAGTCCGGCATCCCGAGATCCCAATTGCTGGAAATTGAAGTCGAGAGAATTGACCGCGCAAGTAGTCATATCGAGGTGACCTCACTTCTTTACACCCAACACACCTTCGATTTGCTCGACATCCCAACAGCCTACCGCTTCCTCAAGCTCGTTCCGCTGCCTCGGCTCCAACAAATACAGCGCCTCCACCTGACAGCCATATTCTCTGCGCAACATCGCGATCCCAAAGAGCATCCAGGCCCTCATTCGCAGCCAAGCGCTCTCCCAAATCAAATTCAACATCCGAATCCAACTTCAGTACCCCACTATTGCATCTCGCCCGAGCAAACGAAGAAAATTGCCGACCAGTGGAAAATGATTTGTGGTGTTCTGGCGGAAATGAACGGACTGAACGAGTTGAGAGTCAGAATTTATCGAGACGTGGAGGCGGGGTTGGAGGAGCGTGATGTTTTGCTGTGGCTGGCTGGAGTTAAGCTTAAAGCCTCGGCGCAGTATGTGGTACAAATGCCATGGTCGAATGGAGAGGCTGGTTGGGCAGATGAGGTAACTTTGCCGTTTGTTGTTGAGAGGTAATGTGATGAGTAGCTGAGCCTGGAGTTCTGGGGGAGGGGGTCCTTTGAAATTGCTAGATGTGCTGGGACTAATGAAGGTGGCATAGTGATCTTCGCGGTTATATTGAGCTTCGTAGCTTGGAGAGCATTTCTGCATCAATAATTAGCAAACCAGTAAATTGCGAAAATTTTTATTCGGAAAGGGATTGAAACATGGATAGGGGATGGACGTTAATGCACTATGAATGAATACGTTAAAACTTGGTCGCTTGGAACAGCTCAACTCTGCGTCCACAGGTAGCAAAGTATCTTAAAAATTTGGCACGGAAGGATGGAAACGAAAGGAAATCGCCTTAGGAAACACGAAGTATAGATTGGCCATGGGTAATCGGGAAATGGGACAAGGAACTTACGACTTATGAATACGTTGAAGCGTGGTAGCTTAGTTTGTACATAACATTACATCTATAATTAGCAATGCATTGAAAGTCTGTTCAGGAACACTCACGTAGTCATAAGGCACGCTGATCTCTGGCGCTACAGAGTAATGAAAGAGTTGTGTTCTGCCGGAAATGGTTGAGCGTGGTCCTTGTGCTTGTTGTTTTCGGCGGTGGACAAAGGTCAACAAAAAAGATGGAATTTCTAGAAGAACAAGTCGAGAAACTCGAAGTAAGAAGGACAAAGCTTCGCAGCTAACAGAGAATAAAGCTTCTTCACGCTTTGCAAACCATAAAAACGACGATTCGTCCAATCCTACTCCGTCCCATTCTACTCCGTCCAATTCTACTCCTCAACCCACAGATAACAAAAGCAACCACTGAATTGCCCATCATGTCTACACCTGCTCTCATCGGAGATCTAATTGATCCATCTGCCTGGTCAGAAAGCGAAAAGCTGACCATGGACAACTACCATATCTGGTCTCACAAGGTCGGTCTCATGCTGCGTCACCACCAACTCAACAAATACATTCGAATCAAAGGTGCTGCAGTGGAATGTTTGGAGCCTCTGACAACCGAAGACCTTGAGAACCTCAGCCTAGCATCCAGTTACATACAGCAGACGATGACACAACCCCTCCTCGTCAAATTCGTGAACGGCGATGCTGAAGTAATTCACAACTCGCGGAAACTCTGGAAGAAGCTCGCCGATTCGCAAGAGCTGATTCCGAAAGGCAAGGCGGCTTTCGTTCGCTTCCACCTCCAATTAGGGAATCTCCGACTGAGAGACTTTAAGGACCCTGCAGAGTTTGTGGAGAAGCTTGCTGAGGTTCAGAGCATGAGAAAGGCAACCGGGGTGAAACTGACCGATGATCTGGAGAACATCGTAGCGTTAGTGAGACACTTGCCCAGAGAGTTGGAGGAGGTAGGACTGAAGTGGAGATTAAGTGACTATGAGGGTTTGACTGCGGCTGAGGCCCTGATGCAAATCAAGGCTGCGCAAGAGGCGTATGATAAATTGCCTAAGGTCGAGCAGCCTAGAGAGCCTAGACGTCCTGAGATACGTCGTGGTTATGGGCGGACTCGCGGCGGGGAGAGGCGAGGGTTCGATCGAAAACTCGATGGGCGACGAGGCGGAAGGGACAGACGATAAATGAGAAGTGACGTGAAGCCGGTCTCAAGCTTGGGTCAGGTAGGCCGTTCCTTTCTGGACCGACAAAATTGTAGGCTAGCTCGTTTGCTGGTAACGCCTAGCAGTAGTATCGCACCTAGCTATCACACTCTTTCGCATTCAAAAATCAGATTCAAATTCATTTCAAATTGAGAGCAGTTGCGTTTGTATAACAGAGGAGTGAACTCAAGGATCGACGCAGTCAAATAGAGTAACAAAAATAACCAATGTCGTCCTTCGAAATCGAGTTCGACAACGCAGCATTCACAGGAGACCTCACGCGCGCTGCAAAACTAAAAGGAAAATCCAACTACTTACTGTGGAAAAACGAAATTGCTGAAATTTTCCAACGCCATCTCTTGGATCTCTACACCGCGACCGACGAGGACTCCAAAGACGAGGTTGATAATGGAGAAGAACTCGATCCGGACGCTCTCAGCTACTTATCAGCATGCATCCAAAGCACCTTCCACGATGATCTAAACTTTTACGTCTGGCAGGAACTCAGCCTCGATTCGCGGAAACTGTGGAAGGAGCTCGATGATCGATTTTCACCCAAGGGAAAGTGGGCGTATATCAGGTGCTCGGTGAAGCTGAATCGAATGCAGCCTTACAACTACCAGAACGACGATCAGTACTGCTTTCATGAGAAGTTGCTTGTGATGCAGAGGAATGCGACAGGCGTTCGTAAGACTGGCGACATTGAGGATATGATTAGGATCGTGAAGGACTTGCCGGATTATCTGGAATATTTAACGTTGAAGTGGTGTGTCGCTGAGGAGGACGATTTGACAGCTGCGAAAATGTGCCAGGAAGTGATGTTGGCGGAGGAGAGGTATACGATGCCTGAGGAGGTAAAGTCTGGAGATGAATTTGAGTTGAGTTTCAGGACAGAACCCCACATATTGGGATCTGAATCTCCAGAAGCTGGGGAGTAGAGATGAGGGCATCTGGGTAATGACGTCTGACGTACTCATGAGCGAGGTACAGCGTAAGGTTCACTTTGAGAAACTGAGATTTTCACTGTTCGTTACAGTTATTTGACGAATACGCTGAAGGCTTTCTTCCGAAGTATGTACTTTTCACCTTCGCTGTCGTTGAGAGGGAGTTGGTCCTGAAAAGCAAGGGCTCAAAGTCAATTCACACCACGTGATATAACGCTAGTCCCAATAGAATTAGGCAGCTCTCCACTAGCGTCTTTCCACGACCATATCTTGAAGCTCTCCATACTTCATTCTTTCCTTTCTTCTTTTCCTCTTCATCTTAGTGCATGGATAAGCAGCCACCCCCATATACTCCCATTTTCTCAGACGTCTGACGACACCATAGGTTTTACGCGTAGCAGTGAAGATTCGTCTGAGCTCGTGTTTTTGCCAATTGAGAACTTTAATATATTGACACTCTTGCTTGGCTTTGGTTAGGCAAGAAATTTTTGTACTCAAACATATCGAAAGAGATCACTTTTCATTGCGATGGGGGCTTCGAGCTATCGTGAAGAAGAGAGCGTGGTTGATGGAGGGTATGAGAGTGGAGGTGCGTGCAGGAGAGCATTTAGGCAATGATTGTTAGATCTCGGCAATATCAGATATATGGCAGGAAAAGAGCTGTTCGGTAGGTATGTAAAGGAGAACGACGTCTGATAGGAGGACATACGGAAGGATGGAGTATTGGGATGTTGATTGAGAGAGAGATTTGATTAGGACTAGGAAGAAAAGGGTATCTAAGTATCATCCCCATGCTAGATCCCTAGCTATATTATCATAGAAAAGAAATGAACCTTCACCCTCCCCCTTAATTCTCGTTCCCATACCATGCCATGCCTGACACAAAACGATCGAGTCGGATTGCTCGCTGGGCACTTTCTACCTCTCCAATATCTAATAGCATGTCTGCCCAGTCGACAGGCAGAAAATAATACGCACAGCACTGTACTCCGTCCCCCTCCAAAATCTAGGAAGGAGAAATCTATGCAGTGAGGACATCCTCATCACTACCCGCATCAGCCTTCTCGATAATCGGCGCTGGCTTTTCGAGGCCCTTCTTGCGGAGGATGCTCGTCTTGATAAAGTATGGTAGTTGGACTTTGAGTTCGTAGCCGAGGAAGGTCTTAGTGGGGACGGAGAAGACCTCTGTGGTGATTTGTTAGTACACGTTGTCATGAACCACATGTTCAAAGAGTGGAAAAAAAGATGGGGGAGGAGGAATGACTTACGATCCAATTCCTCGAGAGTGAGTTGCTTGGTTTCCCTCACGAAAGCGAAGATCATGAACCATGCGATGAGGTTGAGTCCTGCGTAGAACCCGAATGCACCGGTCTGGGTCATGACGGTCCTCATGCGAGGGAAGGTCAAGCTGAGAACACCAGCTAGGATTACAGTTAGTGAGCTGTCACAAGATATGTGAGGAGATTATTTACCGAAGGTGTTGTTGACGCACACAGCCCAGGCCATGCCCTGCTCACGCTGAATAGTTGGGAAAACTTCAGCGGAGTATTGGAATGCAACAGGTCCTTCTCCCATAGCTATCGATTGTGTCAGCAGTTTTCTCAGTAGATGTTTGTCATTGAGGCAACTTACAGTACGCGATTGTGAAAAGATACACGAATAGAACGACTGGACCGACTTTCGCGGCTTTGGAGACATTCGGATTGGCGTTGTCGAGAAGGGAAAGACCAGCAGCCAAGAGGAATACACACATGAGGGGGAATGTCTTGAATAGAAGTCAGTAAACTTCCCAAGAGTCTCCTGTGAAATATACTTACAACAAGACAAAGCTTTCTTCGTCCCTTGGTATCGATCAGGAACAGGGTGGGAATGGTGAAAACGACTTGAACTGCGCCATATCCGAGAGAGGCATACAAAGCTTGGGTATCAGTATAACCGGCCTCCTTGAAGATGGTCGAGCTGTAGAACGAGATAACTGTACAATGTTAATGGCACGTTGGGCGAAATTTGAAGGGGACAACTTGCTGTTGATGCCGCACATCTGCTGAGCAAGCATGACGGTCGAAGCACCATAGTTTGCGCGTCTAATTCTTGGGATGCGGAAGCAATCGGCCAAACGGGCGAAGTATCCAAGTCCACCAGCAACCTTCATCTCTTCCACATAGATGATGTATGAGTAGTAGAAGTCTCTAGCGCCAATGATAGGATGAGCACGGAGCTTAGCCATCGACTGATATCCTTGGCGAATCTTGCCGTGCTTCATGAGCCATCTGGGAGATTCTGGGCAGAAGAAGATTCCGACGGCGAGGATAAAAGAGGGAATGAACGCTGAGCCGAGTTGAAGACGCCAGGCGATACGGCCAGTATCTTTGACAATAACGTTGGCGCAGAAACCCAGGAAAATACCTGGATGAATGATTAGTACAGGGCCACCAATTGAGGATAAAATGACTTACCAGCGACAACCCACAATTGCCAAAACATAACCAGCGCTCCGCGAATCCTAGCAGGTGCCATTTCAGCTGAGTAAATAGGAACAGTCGCATTTTTCGCTCCAATGCCGATACCCATGATGAAACGTGCTGCAAATAATTCTTGCCATGACTTGGCGAATCCAGACCAGATCGGGGTAGCTGTAAGACATAGGGCAGTTACGAAGATTTCTCCTCGTCGACCTAGGTAGTGATTAAGAGGATCGACAATGAAAGCACCACTACAATCAAGTCAGTCGGGATCTCAGGCAGTCACATGTTCTACTTACACGAGACCAGCAGTCAAGAAAATGATGGCATTGACGACACCCACAATCCACTCGTCGCGACCAGGATTATTGATACCGAACTCCTCAGGGAAAGACAAATTGGCTCCATTGGAACCTGTCTGATCCCATCCTTGAGTTGCAGCCCCGACAGCGCACAATGAGATCGAGTACCACAGCATCTTCGATCCGTGCCACTTATGATCTCTCTCGTAAATCAGCGCCGCGCGCTCGTCGTCCTTGAGCTCGTGGACCATCTCGAATCTCTGGCCATCGCGTGCAACGAGGGCGGCTCGTCCGAAGAGGTCGGAATGTTCGGGCATGCCATGTTCCTGGGCAAAAGCTTGGGCATTGGCATATGTCTCCTCGCGGGAAAAACGCTGAAGGGGTGGAGAGTCAGTATTGTGGAGTCCAGAAACTGGGAGGAATTGGCATTATTGCTTGAGAAGCTTACCTTCAGCGGGTTTTCGACAATGTTGAGCGCAACTGATTGACGACGTCCGCCGGCAGTGCTATCATGGCGCTCTGGTGCAGTGTATGACGTCTTCTCACCCTCGAGATGAGAGGTGTTGACAGTGTCGCCTGCCACTGTGGAAGAAGCCTTGTCAGACATCTTGGATGCGATTGCTGTTATTACTGCGATATGTCGCGTGGGAAAGCGAATTGTGCACTACAATTCCAGCGGATTTGCGTCCAAGTCCAAAAAGTCTTGGAGAAGAAGAAGAAGCACTTTTGACAAGAGGGACGAGGCGCCAAACATATAGTCTGGAGGAACAGAGGAGAAAAAGAGGAGCGACAAGAGAAAATAAGAATCTAGTGCTCACCTCTCCACACCTCGCTCGAGATCATTCTGGGTAGTCCCAGTCCAGCATGCACTTCATCCCCATCTCGAGTTTACCTTCACGTCATTCAACATCGCAGAGTGGAGCCTCTTAGTAGCAGTACCCTGTACCTCCGTCCAGCCAAGAAACGCCGGGGAACGCCATGAAGGAGACCCCGCAGCCACAGCAGTCCCCCACGGCAACAGTGCGACATTCCACTCGCCAATGAGGACAAGATCAACAGATCGGCGCCTCGCTAAAGGACGCCTTCCCCCAGTGCATCGCAACGTTTCGATGGTGGCCAAGGGTCTTGGGAGTACGGGGTATAGACGCAAACAGCGAATGGTCTTTGTGCATATGTGAGAATGAACCCATAAATCCGATGAAGAAACAGGAAAGAGATCAACAAGGGGCTGCTGATGATAGTGTGCCCAGATGAGCGCGAGATATCACCGATCTCTGACAAGTGACAGCTCGCTGGCGCTGACTGTTGCTTGTACCAGATGAGAGAAAAAACAGCGCCAAGATAAAACCAAACGAGCGAACTCTTTCTTCCAGATACAGTGGTCTAGCAGTTCCTCCAGGGGATTAGTTTCCAAAATGTTGAATGAGCAAAACCCTCCAAAGGAAACGCTGTAAATTTAGTGTGAAGTTGGTTCGGATCATCCAGAGTTACGAGACGAGGTCTCGCAGTCGCAGCACGCTGATGTGTGCCGAGACTTAACATCAGCGCCGCCAAATCCCGCTGTGCCGCCCGTCTGACCAAAGCGCCCCACTGAACTCAACATCGAGTGTCATCCACAACCTAAACTCAGAATTCGCTCCTAGCAACCAATCAGTGTGCTCGAGGCCGCAGATAAAACTCTTCGCAGGCATAATTTCCGGTCCGATAGTGACAGACTCAAGAGATGCAGGGTACAAATGCTGTTGCCTGGAATTTCTTGTGGTTGTTTGCATGGTGGCCCGGCCCACGCGCGAGAAGTTGGAGAACAACCTTTTCTCCAGAGTCCAGATGAACGGCTGTGATAACCGGATTGCCAGGTCGGGGTTTCCCGACTCTATCGACATCGTGTACCCGCTCCAGAATCGGCTCCAGAGCACGAGTCTGAAGGTTTTCAAGCCGTTGTAAGAGTGGGGAAAGGCTTGTGAGGCTTGAGGTGGCTCGATGCCCAGCTCTACCAAGGTACAAGTGTAGTTGCCTGATGTCTTGAGTTCTTGGAGTTCATCTCGAAACTCCATGCTGCTGAATCTTTAAACTCAGAGTCTTCAGAACTCCAGGATCCTTTTCCATTATCCGGTTAGAAACACGAAAATGCGCCTCGACAAATCTGCATGTAGGTACAAGCGCTGTTGCCTGGTTTTTCTTGAGTCGAGATGAGTGAAATCCTCCATGCATGGAGCAGTGGAGTGAGATAGAGCTCTCCAGGTCTCCATGGTGTGATCCAGTGTTTCCCGGAAATTAGGTGGACCTCAGATTCGGTTATTCGGTTGGAATCTTCCGACCCCTATCGCCGTCTCGTGTCTCGAATTCAGAGGATAGCGTGAACCCGAGGATGTATTGAAGCTCGGAAAGTCTGTGGTAGCAGTGCAGAGCTTCTCTTCCTGTCCAATATCTTGTCCCCAAGCCGAGTTGTGGTAATATCCTCATCGCTTAACATGGGACGCCCTACGACAGGCTCGCTTGAAGGTCAACACAGCAAGTCGGTGCGACAGCATACGGCTCGAATCGAACATATCGTAAAGTTTATTCCCCACAAACTCAATTCTCCAGAAACTCAGTTCCCAGTTCATTGAGTCAGGCCAGTGCCCGCATACAGGGATGGTCGAGTTTGTTGAATACTGGACAAGTACCGCCTTCCGTTGGGCTCCAGGCAGCAGAATTCTTTGACTTTGCTGCACTGTCGGCTTGAGCAGGGAGAATCCAAGGCCTTAATGTTACGACGCCATTTGGGCAATTTATTCCTCTTGTCGATTCATCGTGCATATGGTGTGCTCACTCCGAAGACTTGTCGGCAGCCGTGAGGTGATGTGACAAACTCAACACTTCAAGTCGCAACTGAGAAATGGGTGCTGTCTGAACGGGTGCGATGAAGAATAAAGGCCGAGGATTCTATGCATCTCTCAAGCCTACCATGTTCGCCACTGAAGTAGACGAGAGCATATTGGCGGCTGTGAACGTTCAGTCGAAGCAGCATCCAGACAAAAATTGTACCTAAAGCACGTGAGAACTGTGATTATCCCCTTCAACAGCCGGAAGAACGACTTACTTTCATCACACTCTACTCAGAATCATATTAAATGAATTTGATGAATCCAAAGGGTGTAACTGACAGCGAGGCGAAGCCATAAGAAGGGAATGGCTGCCTATGTGATTCGTATGCTGATCAGGCAGTGCGTAGCACGTGATGCATCTGGACTGGTAAGAACGGCCCAATATCCACGAGTGGTAGAGGAAAGTAGCAAAGGAGTGACGTATGAATGTTGATCCTGATTTTTACTTGACCGGAAGAGGAAGTATACGCACAGTGTTGTTTAGATGATCAGGCTAGTGCCCAGCAGTGTTCAAAGGGCCTAGTATCATAACAGGTACCTATTCAGTACGTGTATTAGACCTCAGCATAACCCCTCTCATGACTGACCTGAGATTGAGAACGATCAAGAAATCCACTCATGAACATCCAACACCGCCCTCGCAAACTCCTCCGGCCTCTCCACAGGCATCGCATGTCCACAATCCACCACCCTTCTCTTATGCCTGCCCGCAAACATTTCCCCATGACTCTCCGATCCACCAGGCTTCAACGGATCCCGCATCCCATCAATCGTCACAGTCGGAACCTCAATCCTCGGTTTCAGCTCTAACCTCCTCTCTAACCCCTCCAACCTCTCCTCACCTTCCAAATTCCCAAATGCATGCCGATAAATACTAATCACAACATCAACCCACTCCTCACCCTCCCAACTCACCGCCACACGCTCAAATACTTCTTCATCAAAATCCCAAGTCGGACTCCACTGCTTCCAGAGGAGTTTACAGAACGCTTTCCGATCTTTCGCGAGACATTTCCGACCGCGCTCACTTTGGAAGAGATGCTGGTACCACATCACTGCTTCCAGCTCTGGTGTACACGGTTCGTCTCGAGCATTTGCGACGTTGTAGATATCGTACCCGGCATAACTTACCAAGCCAGCAACTCGTTCAGGCCAAAGTGCTGCGACGACGCAGGATGCTACACCACCCCAGTCGAAACCTCCTAGGATGGCTTTCTCGATGCCTAGAGCGTCGAGGAGATCAAGGAGGTCGGAGCCGAGTGCTGCTTGTTGGTTGGACTGCGTTGTGATTCCTGTGCTGGTGGTATCTTGTGAGAGGAAGCGCGTCGGTGCGAAGCCGCGGAGGTAGGGTACTATGACGCGAGCTCCTTGTAATGTTAGGATTGGAACGACAGTGTCGAAGGAGACTGGTGAGTAGGGGAAGCCGTGGGATAGGATCACGGGCCAGCCGGTGGGTGAGCCGTGCTCATGGTAAGCGATTTCGAGGTGTGGTGTTAAGACTGTTTTGTAAGAAGCCATGACGACGAAGGGAAATTTGAGAGTGGATTGAGAAGGTGAGATATTCCTGGATATTTGTCATTGGAATGCTCGGTTCAAGTGAGACGAGAAGTCCTCACTTGAGGGGAACGAGTTGAGGCGGGGTATGAAATCGTGACTTGCTTGCTATGGAGAGATTGACTTGAAAGTTATCGAAAACTTGAAAGTACTTTGTGAAGGAATATCTCTCTGCTCAGAGGTTCTTGTGTTGACATGAGAAACGAAGCTTACCTCATCCGAGGACCTGATTTCTTAGCTAATCATCCCACGCTCCTCATCTTGGCCAATCTTGTCTGATCCAGTAGCTTACGTAATTTCAATATTGCTTGAATGAGCACGAAAACTTGCTTCGAACCTCCACACTTATGTCATTCTCAATGAAGCTGATTCTGCATGTTCAGTCAGGGACCAATCGATAGAGCGTTGTTGTTTCCAAATTATTCCATTCTTTTAATTTACTTGTGGCTAAACTCCTCCTACTATCCCCTCGCTGCCCTCACTAGCACCACCCAGCTTCTTCCTCAGTGCAGCAATCTCTTTGTTCAAGATCTCATTGATCTTTGTCAAACTATCCACTTTATCCTGCAAATCCTTCGTCACCTGATTCCTGCGCTCCCGAAATCTATGCTGAGAATTGCGGTTCTGCTCGCGACGTCTCTGTGATTATATCAGCTTTGATACAGAGAAATTATTATGGACAAAGTTACTAACCTGTTTCGCACTCAACATGCGTCGGAACTCTGAGCTATCACTGTTGTTCATTTCTAGACTGCTGCGTTCGGATTCGCGCTCACGGGAAGGAGTTCTGCTCGATGTGCTCGTCACGCTGCTTCCCCTCGTCATAGGCGTGATACTGGTTGCTGGCGATGAAACATCTTCACCTGATGTAGACAGAGAATACAATCCCAGACTCGTTGCAATTGGGGAGATGCCAGTCATCGCATCGAAAGCACTCGTTTGCGAACTAACGCACGCATGGACATCTACCGAGCCATGCAGCCAGCTATCAACAGCATCGTAGTGGCGAGGCTGGAGGCTCTGGAATGCGCTGCTGTCGACCGCTTGGGGTAGCCATGTGTTGTTGGTGGATGTGAAAGAGACGCAGATGCAGAGTTCGGTGCTGAGACCGTCGTCGAATCGTGGGCGTTGGCAGAAAGAACACCAGACTGATTCGATGTCGAAGAGGGCGAGATTTTCGGTATCGGGCTTGATGTGGCAAGTGTCTTCAGCCTATTAATAGTCAGTATATGGTTCTTCGAACTTTCGGTGTCTAGACCAGGGTGGACATACTAGCTGAATCCCTCTTCCGGTATTTTGTGTTTGCATCTCGTGATCGTTGCGAAAGAGGTTCATGTTGATGCAATGTTGTTGAGCGAGGTAAATTCGCGATTAAGTGTTTTTCAAAAGTAGAAGATTGTATTGCAGGCTCGTGGGATTGCGATGGGCATTTGCCTTGCTCGGCTTTGAAGAAAGTGGGTTGTTGTCTATGGAAGAACAGCTCCAAGCAATGGAGAACAACATCTTCATATATTCTCTCGTGAAGAACTCAGCGGAATCCATTAACCACAACTCGAAACATCATCGTCATTTCTGACATTGATGATATCTCTCAAAAGGGTACATTAGCAAACTTTTCCGAAGAGTCAGCCGCGAGTCTGATTGGACCATCTCAATTCTCATTCAGGTCAAGCGTACATATTCGAGTCTCCCACATACAATGAACTTGATTGGACAACGGAACACGTCAACGAAGACCTCGAACATGACTTCAGGAGTCACAGATCCTGTCGTCGGGAAATAATGGAATCTGAAGTCTTCAATATCCTAAAATGTACAAGTAGATACCAAGAGATCCACTTCACATCAATCTCACGAATCAACTGTTCTCGCTTAGCTGCATGTTGCTTACTGATGAAGCAAAACCTTGCTGACAGTGGGATTATGTTTCTCGTGCGGGAAAAGCACGGAAGACTTCTATCCAATACGAAGCAGTCATTCAGAACCACAGCGCTATGCTCAATCAGGTCCGTAGGTGAACCAATCAAAAGCAGAGGCGTTTTCCACACATATCATGCGCAATCCCCAGATGTCTCGATCAGGACTCATCTGAATTTGATTGAGTTCTGGTCGGTGGTATCCAGCATTAATTATGGCACCTTTGAAATCTGCAGGTACCGGTATGTGCCCTACCCTGAATTTTCCTCTCCACTTCTCTCTCGATCATCGCTCATTGGCTGACCATAATTCTGCTTCTGGTTTAGCACTGACATTACAGCCACGTGCATCTGTGACTTTCGAATTCATCGACGTTGAGGATAAAGATGCCCGTCGTAAGGCTAGATCACACGTCATTCGTGAGGCAAAACAGAGGCAGAAACTCGAGACGTTGAGGTACCAGAAGAATAGGGAGGGGACGAAGCGTTCCTTGGCGCCAGCAGTGATCAGGACAAAGCCTATCCTACCCACTGAAGAGGAGACGACTCAGAGTCAGAACAGCCTTGTGGCCAAGAACGCCGTAACCTTTTTACCTTCGATTAATACAGTTCTAGAAGGATTGGTAGATCCATTTAATCAGTTCCCCGTGAAGCTGACATCCGGTAAAGATCTGGGCTTGGTGGATCACTGTAAGTCCGCAATGCGTCCGCTAGAATATTAACTAAACATTACAGACTACACCACATTTCGACCGAAACCATTTTTATTATCAGATTGTGATTATACTCCTGTAAAGAAATTGATGCTCCAAGTTTCTATGCAAGATGCCGCTTCTTTCCTCGTTATCATCTCCGGCGCTGCAAATGATATTGCACTCCGTTCGGGGAGACCTCAGTCTCAGCAAAGTATCGAGTATAAATCACAAGCGATGACACTAGTAAATAAACGAATGGCTGTTTCACAACAGTACTTCACAGATGGTACGATAAATGCATGTTCGATGTTTGCTGGTACAGAGGTATGCCACCCACCCCTCTTCATTTGACGAGCAAGTGCTAACTTCGTCGACGTGCAGCTATTATTTGGCACACCCGAAACATTCAATACACACATGAACGGCGTAATGGAAATGTTGAAGGCCAGAGGAGGCTACGAGAAGTTGCAACAAACAAACCCACTCCTGGCATCCTTGCTCGCATGGCATGATTTCGCCGGCGCTGCAGCACTTGCCTGCCATCGCAGATTCGCATTCACGAGTTGTGATCCCCTCGGTATCTCATCATCTCTGAAACCGATTGAGTACACCGCTCCATTCAACATCCCTCGTGACACTTTACCTCCGAATTATACGCTGTACGATGACCTGATGATCCTGCTCGGCAATCTCGAAAACGCCACGACCTTGATCCGTACGAAGAGTATGGACAGAGAGAAAATGGAACAACATACCAGTTTTGTAGCCAAGCTCAATTCGGATTTGATACGCATACTGTCGCCGCCTACGAGCCAAACAACACCCTTCCGTCGATTTCTCATTGAGGATTCATTCCGTATTGCGTGTTTGATTTACATCAGCGCCATCTGCAGAAGTTACGACGACTGGGAGTTTCAGACAAATGCAACAATTGATGAGCTGAAGGGGGCATTGCTGGATGATTCCGAAGGATGGAGTGTTGCTACGGAGATGCTATTGCGATTTCTGCTGGGTAGTGGGAAGGCGCAGAGTCAGAGGACGGTGCATTATGTTGAACAGCTAATGAAACTGTTTGTCCCGATGGACTGGAATCAGTGGAAGAACGTCAAGGATACCTTGCTGTCGTTTTTCTTGTCGGCGGATATGTGTGCGGGTCCGTTGCAGGATTTGTGGAGGTGTCGGATAGATTGACATTGTGTTGGGCATTGCTGCATCAGACGCGGACACATTTAATATTCTTTAGAACCAAGACAGACTAGAACATACCTGCCTCATGAAATGTCTGAGAACGAGAACTGAGGTCTAGGTCCACAAGGAAGCCAGGTTGAAACTAGGACGGATTAGGAAGAATGTCGCATCCAATCAGGACAGTCGAAGTGCTTAAACAGATCCACTTTCAGCCCTGCCGGCATCTTTCTCCTACATGAAATCTGCACTGCAGCGGCAAGGACTGATGCTATCGTTCTACCGGAGTTTATCCTGTCATTCCCAAGGATATAAATAACGGCCGTATTGAGACGGAAATGGCACCATGACGGATCAGGAAGAATATTGAAGCCAATGAAAATAAGCGAGGTCTCCGCCTTCACCTACATGATTGGCTGCCATTTGGACGAAAAGGGATATATATGATATTCGCAAAGGATTCAGAGAGAATCATCGGGTGTTAAAAGGCCGCCGATGCATATTCTCACGATTACGCTATCACAATCTAGCTCTAAAGCCAAGTGTTGGGGCGAGAGATGATCCAGTCCTGGAGACTTAAATGGAGATAGGTACACAGCGTATTTTCTCTTCAGCTTACTCCCTAACTTTCAAATCGAAACTCAGATTTGTAGAGATACGGTTTTTGTGCTTTCAAAGTTAACGGGACGTCCAAGACCAACATTCAACATCTTATCTCACCATGCCAACAATATTCCTCACTGGGGCCACAGGCTATATCGGTGGTCACGCGTTGCAACTCATCGCCAAACAACATCCAGAATGGGAGATCATCACTTTGGTACGGAATAAAGCTCAAGAGGAACTGCTCCGGAAACACTTCCACTGTGTTCGAACTGTTGTAGGGAGTCTTGAAGATCTGGACCTGGTTGGTAATTGTGCCGCCGAGGCGGATGTTGTGTTGCGTAAGTGCTCTTTTCTTGATCACATTTAGTAAATTCTCAAGCGACGACCTCTTATTGTCACCAAGTTGGGAGATGCTGATACATGTGACATCACAGAACTCGCATCATCTAGTCACCCCACTTCGAGTACAAGAATGATCAATAGCATGGCTCGACGGAATAAGGGAACGTTCATCCAAATGTCAGGCATCTGCGCTCTACAGAACCACCCTCATGGCTACGGCAAGCCCTCGGATATCATATACAACGACAGTGACCAAGACAAATTTGCCACCAGCTTCTCCTCAAGTAGCCCGGAGCTCTCAGTCCTGTCAGCGGGTAAACATAATGATGTTTCAGCCTCAATCTTGTGTTCCGGGTTGATTTACGGAATCGGAAAGGGGCCCGGACGGAGGAGGGGGACGACGGTACCGTATTTGATGGAGGCAACACTGAAGCGTGGGAAGCGATTTATGATTGGTGAAGGTACAAACGTGATGAGTTGTAAGTCTAGACCTGCTACTCTCCCATGTACATTGGAGCATTGTTGCTTTTGTTGCTGTTGAATATTTATTTTTGGCTGATCGAAGAAGGTATACACATCGACGACGTCGCATCAGCTTTACTTGTGCTCACCGAACATGCTCTCGCACGTCAGAGTCGCGATAGTTACCTTCCAGACACATGCAGCTTGGAGCCATTACCTTTCTACTTCCTTGGCTCAAACACAATATCGATGAACGACCTCACAAAAGAGATTGTAAAGATAGCACAATCACGCAGCATTCTGTCACTAGATTCCCCCACAATCGAACAGCTCAGTCCCGGTCAAGCAGCACAAATTCATCCCTGGGCACCCATGCTTTGGGGGTCGAATTGTGTTGGTGAAGCCAAGCAGCTGGAAGAATTACGGTGGCAGCCGGAAGGACCAAGCTTAATTGAAGCATTGCCAGAGATGTTGGATTTTGAAATCAGCTTGTTGGCTGGGCGGGATGAAGACCTTTTGTGCGCTTGGCAGACAGATGTTAAAATACGGAGGGAGGAGATTGTTTCGTGTTTTTGAGTTTCGGCAAATAGCGTGTTGACTCGCTTATGATCAGTCCTTTCTGGACTTGGGAGGTTGCCCGAAAACTTGCACAGCGTTGTTTCGTATCTCTCTAGAGCTTCGGTTCCGGTGAGTGGTTATGCTTTCTTTGATCTGGATAATTTTGAATTCTACTATATTCATCTATCAATGCCAAAGGAGGTCTGTTAATCGTGGCTGTCAACGGAGAAGCCTTGCAGTGCCCCATGCAAATAGGGCTGAATCTTGGCACGCAGTAAAAGTCACGTTCACACGCGTCTTCATGCAAGCCATCGGAGCTGAGAGAGCTGCACCTGGGGAGTGCAGCTCGGGGCTGAGAGCAGCCTAAATGGAGAACGGAGAAATATAATTGCTGTGAGAGCTCACCCAGCTAGACGGGTGCTTCCTCTCGTGTTCTTGTTCTACTGCGCTGCTGCTCTGCTGCTGGGTGATTTCGATTTCAGAGTTCTGCAGCGACGTTCCTTTCTTTTATGACTTGATGCGACATTCTGACAGCGTGAAGGAGAAAAAACAATTTGAATCGTAGAACAAGGAATTTCGAGATCAAAGTCGAAGAACGCGACAGACAAGATGGCAGAGGAATCCCAGACCCAGACACACATGGAGACAATCCTCTCCACCGCGAAACTCGGCGAGAAGCTCTCCATCGACCTCCTCAAATTCTCCGCCAGCTACAACATCAACCAGCTCATCATGTTAAACATGTCTACAGCAATCGGTCTGATCTCCGCAAACCTGCAAGCCCTCTCCCAGAACATTGAAGCCTTTGGACCAAAAATTGATTTCGACGAGGCCCTTACTAAACCGCTGGTCGAGAGCGTCCGAGCCATCTTTGAGAAAGTGCAGAAGGCGTTGGCGGACGGATATGAGGCGGAGAAAAAGCATGGCGATGATTTTGTTAGTCCAGAAATGGGTAGTGGGGTCCGTCGGTCAAGATACGATGCTACACGGATCCTGCACCAGCATGCCGGGGTCATCGCATTCAACAAGGTGTTTGGTGGGTACCCAGGGGGTGAGATGTTGATGTGGAATCTGGACACGCAGAAGGGTCATGTTTTCTTTCTTGCGAAAACGATTCGTGTTCTAGCGTTGAAGAAAATGGAAGAGGAGTAATTGTTTCTGTTCCCGATGGTAGAGGATAGTGCTAATGATCGAAGGGGCACGTTGCCAGACGAGCAGAGAGGCGCGCTCAAGAAATTCGATAAAGAGCTTCCCTGGTTACTCAACGAGCTACAGTGGCGCGGGCCACAACTCAAGGAAGTGGCTGCGAAGTGGAAGGCGGGTGAGGATCTGACAGATACTCAGTCTAGGAGGAACAGCGATGTTTCCATCATCCCTCGCTACCGAGAGGTAGATGTTGATGCCCGTAGCATCAGTTCCGTGAGTTCGAGGGGATCTGAGTATGTGCAACATAAGCCTTCATAGACTTTGCTGACAGATCGTCCAGCGGTTGGATCGAGGCAAAGGAGATCTACGAGACTTGGTTCATTCGAAAAGCCGAGGGATTAGTGCGCAGAGCGGATCGCAATTTCAGTTTCCTCGGTCTGAAAGTCCATGAAAATTTTATCAACCAGAATTACAGTGCCGATCCGACACCATGTTCCCAAGAGGATATGAAGAACAGATATGAGCGGTCTGAGGCAGATGGAGGACCGAAAGCCTTGAAGAAGCTGATCAACAAACTACCCGAGGGAGTTTACCGAGAGATAGACTTCCTCCTCCAGGAACGTGACAGGAATTCTAGAGCATCCAAGTTTATTCGCATCTGGAAAATCATCGATGTGAGACCAACTTCGCCTCTCATACCAAAACAATCTGGGGGATGGTTCTCGTGGTTCAAAGGCCAGGAACAAATCACGGATTGGATAGTAGTGTTGAAAGCCAAGAGCCTTAGTGCAGAGGGGCTGGTATGGCCAACTGCTACGAGCGATCCATTCAGGAAGGCACATGTTCAGGGAATAGTAGAGAGAAGAAGGATGCCGGCATATCGTGGAAATCGGGATTACTCTCCCGAACGCGAAATTGTGATTAATCACCGGCCGACTGGAAGATATAATCGAAGGGTGATAGCCAAAGAGCCAACTCCTGATGAAGCTCATGAAGCGATCAAGGACCTCATTTCTGGTATTGTGGTGTATACCAAGGATTCTGATGGAGAGAATCCTTTTACTTCGGTTGAGGAAACAAGTTCTTGAAGGCAGGATGGCTAGCAGAATGCAAATTGAATCAAGAAATGTAAAGCCATGAAGTGCAGTCGTGAACAGACAATAAAGATGCATTAAGCCAATGATAAGCTTTATTGGCCAGATTTCGGTCATTCCGGTATCCTCTGTGGAGCAGGAACGACTTTCGCTTCCCTCAATCCACCATCCTGGCTCCTCCACATGTGAGGCATCTTCTCGTCAGGAGGTAAACTCGACCAGTTCCTATAAGGCTGCTCCAGAAGCATCCATGAGATATCCTCGGCCTCAGAATATCGAATCCGCTTACACAACGCACCCTGCACCAAAGGCCTCCGATCCCGAAATAATCGGCAAACATTGATAACATCCATGTCCTTAACTCCGAAGGAACCGTTGTAGATGACTTGCAAGTACTCCAGATTTGGGAAGTACTTGAGCAGTGAGATGAGATGCTTGAGCCGATCGAGGTTGATGTTGTGTGACGGAATGTACAGTCTCTTGAGGTAGTGGCGTGCTAGGCAGACCTTGCTCATATCAACGGCCCATTGAGAAGGTCTGAGGAATCCATCTCTTCGCTGGCTGCTGAGAAGATTGAGGAACTCCGGTGCTGTCCAGGCTGGAGTTCCTCGGATCTGAAACATGTTACGCCCGTAGAGAACTTCTACAACTTCAGTGTAGACTTGACGATTCGTTCGAAGAAGTGAGATGTAATCCGCCACGCCTGCTCGTTCCTTGCTCGGATACAGTGGGCCATCGACCACGAACATAACATCGTAAATGGTATCTCTGATCTCGCGAGGGAGATTGAGTAAATGCAACTCTTGTGATTTCATCTCCTCAACATCAAGAATCATCGACTTCGAGGGTTCCGTGGACACGTTCCTCTCGTGAGAACTAAGAGCAAGAGAGTTAATGGAAGGACAGCATTATACATTAACGCATATTTAAAGAATTCAAAGTACAAAGCAGTAAATGGATAATACAGAACTGCCAACCTATATAGGAAGGGATAAAAATTAGAGTTTAATAGAAGTTGGAAGTGGAGATGTCAGCCAGAGCGAACACGATACGCTCTTCAATTGCGAGGAATGGTGGAAAGCGAGCTAACAGCCGAATGCATTGCCAGACCCAAACAGGACTAGCACCATCAAAATCCCTGTCCAAATCGCAAACTCCAAAAAATTATCACGACTCCAGCGGTTTTCGCACCACGCATCCCAATATCGATACAGGATTCCACACAGCACGCGGCCACTCATTCCGCCTACGTCAAGCTCGATCAATCGACCTCTGCCAGTTTAAACACATCTATCGCCCAAACGATTCCGTCCCCCCACACCGCAACCATGCATCTCATGTACACTGTCGACAGCGCTGGCAAGCGTGTCTATACACTCAAGAAGGTCGTTTCGGGAGAGGTCACCAAGTCGGCACACCCTGCGCGTTTCTCGCCAGATGACAAGTACTCCAGACATCGTGTTACGCTGAAGAAGAGATACGGACTGCTCTTGACGCAGCAGAGTAAGTTAACTGAATCCGCCGAGTTCATAGCAGATTTTTGCCAGGGCGATCGTCGAGTGGAACTTGTGCTGACGGGTTGACAGAGGATCTCAAGGTCTTGGGCCAGTAATTTGGAGGGGTAGTCATGATTGAGGGAGCTGGAAGCTCGATTCACAGTGGGAGATGGAATGTGAGGAGGCATTGCAGGCGCATATAAGGAGTTCTGGTGGAAAATATTTGTTCATGGTCATTGGCGTTCTACGAACGTGTGTAGGAAATCCAAATGGACTTTCGCTATGCAAATCCGTCTATGTGCAGAGACCCAACGCCGTGACTCCTCCGTCCTGGTTTTTGCACGCCAAATCCAAATCCAAACCCCGAAATCTAGTGCCGTTTCTTGGAATTTACGTTCCTCCCTGCTCCAACCTTTGTTCTGCCACCTGCACGGCCTCTGTCGCCGGACAAGAGTCCAGGGAGGAAATCCTCGTCCATCAGATCCTTCTCCTTCTTCCGCCGAGCCCCAGTCATAGCTTGGATGTATTCCTTCTGATCTTCTGCGAGGATCAAACCTTGACCCCATCCACCCTTTCCTCCTCCCTGAACAAGCTTCCCATTGGATGTACCTGCAACAGGCTTTGGTATGCTGTAAACGTCCCCTCTCTTGTTCCACTGCATGTTCTTCTTCAAATGAACTTTCACTTTGCCATCCTTATCCGTAGTGCATGACGTTCGCATGAGCGTTGGCTTTCCGCATCGACCACAGAATTGTTTGGTCATGTCCTTGGTAATAGCAAAACAGGCGTGGCATCGCAACACCCAGGTCTTCAATTGCTTGATTCTTTGCAGGGTTGGTGAGAGGAGATTAAGGTTCATTCGTAGGAGGACGTTCTGCATGGCGAAATCAGATGTGATGAGTGCTACTTGCATTATCGCGGCTTCGGTTTTCTTCTTGGTGGCGCCATTTTCGGATTTCGCCATAACTTTCTTGAGATTTGAAGGAGTGATCCACCCTTCACCATCTGATCCTTCAGAGTCTGATTCTTCAACTTCTTCAACGAGGCTCTCCGGGACAATTGAATCGGGTGTAGGCTCTGGAGCTTGAGCATCTGGCGCAGATGATCGTGCTACATCTTCGACTTCGAAGACGTTCTCTGACGACGTTGACTCGGGGACAATTTCCGTTGATTGTGCTTCTGATACAGGTGCTTGCGATTCCTCTGTGAGCTTGGTCGGGATTTCTTGGACTTCGGTTGATATTTGCACGTCCTCTGTAACCTGAACTGGAGTATCTGACTGCGCAACTGACGCTGGCTCGTCTGCAGTAGGAAGGATGGCCGCAGGGGTATCTTCTGGGTTCTGTGATTCCGATGTAGAAATGTGTGTGCTTTCGAGAACTTCATCTATCGTTTTTGGCTGCTCATCCTCTCCAAGAGTCCTTGGTACCGACGTTCCCCACGCGCCTCTTGTTTCCGGAGCAGGAGCTGGCGCTTCCACTGACTTCACAGTCTCCTCCTTAATATCTTCCGTCAAATTTTCCTCCACAGGTTTCGGCGGCTCTCCATTAATCTTCTTCTGATTTGGATCACTGCGCAGCCTCCAATCGCCATTGTTCCTCTCACATTCCAACTCATAGGCTAGCGCCATAAGATGGATATCCGGCCTACTCAACACCTCCAAATCACCCGTCTTACGCGCAAAATCAGTAATAACCTTCACGCTCGCAGGTCTCGGTGATCGTAATTTGAGGAAGGGCAGCAGGGTGCTCTCGAGTCTGGCGCGGGTGACTGCATCGCGGATTTCGTCAATGACTGCGGGGATCGTGTAGATGTTTTCGGCCTGGCCTAGAATTGTAGATACGTGAGGATCGTTCTTGATAATAGGACCCGAGTCGAGAATTAGACTGTGAATGGGCTTGGGAGTTTCGGTCGTCATTATGGCGGTAGGTTGTTGTGGTTGTTTTACCTTTGGCGGGGTAATTTTGAGGTTGCTGATAGAAAATTATCTTGGATTCTGCCCCGTGTGAAAGAGCCGGGCGGTGAAAGCCTCTCGGGGTTTGCCCGGTGGGAAAATTTTGCAGCACCCACACGACCTTTTGATTTAGTTATTAAGATAAGAGCTTTTCTATAAATCATGCCAGAACATGATAGGACAGATGGCCGAGTGGTTATGGCGTGTGACTCAAGATATTATCTTGTCAGCTAGACGCTGAAACAATTCTCATGGGCTTCGCCCGCAGGGGTTCGAATCCCCTTCTGTTCACTAAAATTTTGCTTTTTGAAGCTTTGATTTTGCGGTTCTGATTGTGGCGTGGATTTCAGCCAGGGCGTACGTAGCGAGACTATTCATTTATGCCGCGGATCTCTCCTTTGACGAGACTATCAACAGACTAAGTAGCTGCACTTCGTAGTCATCTTTGTACCAAAAGTCGTTGCCAGAACAGTGAGGATAACTGGTGCAGGTTTCCGTATATTAATAAACAATATAAACTTATCATATTAAATAAACACTACGATAATACGAGTTTTCAACTATTCTTCTCCTCCTGCGCACAACCATCAAAACACCCTGTCCAACAGCCAAAACCCCCAACAGCAACCACAACCTCCCATACGCCCACTTTACAGCAGCAACATCACCCCCATGCCACGAACTCCCCTCTGTATGTCCAAAGAACGAGTATCTCGTCCGATCATAAAACATAGGTGACAGAATCCTTACAACATTTCTTCCATCTGCACTACCGACAGTCCTGAACCACCTCCCCAGTATGGTATTAACAAACATCGGACCTGTAGCCCAGAACACTGTCGTATACCCCGTCCCCACCCGTCTATTGTGGTCTTGTAGGCTAAGTGCAAGTTTAAGCATGATGGGATGACGAGGTTTGCTGGCCATGATATCGTTGCTGACTCCGTATGGCTGTGTTTTTGGAAACCAGACTGGAAACGCGAGCAGTGGATCAAGAGGTCGTCGACAGGACACATCAAGGTCGATGTATATGCCGCCGTAATGCCAGAGAAGAAAATACCGTATTGAGTCCACTCGTTCGATGGTGTATGGATATGAGTCGTAGGTAGGAAGAAACCAGGGGAAGTGAATTTCTATGAAGTGACGAGCAGTCTCATCTGTCCAAAACATGTGTGTGTACGTTGGATTTTGGGCTTTACAGGAGTTGTGAGAATGTAGCCAATTTTCCGGGATTGTAGTTGTTTTGTATGTTTGGTGCATGATTCGAGGGATTTGTGTTGAAAGAGAAGTGGAGTTCTACGTGAAAGAAGTATCTTGGCTGATAGATTCGTTGAGGGTGCGAGTGTAGTCTTCGGGTAGGTCTGAGAGGGTGATACATCGTTTACGTAGAGCGATTCTGTACATGCTGATGTGCTTTACTTCGCAAAAAAAGTGAGGTTGAAATGTACAAAAGATAAAGTATGAGGATTGCTAATGCTGCATTGCGAAAAGTCCGACTTCCAAGTTTTGCGAATGAGGCTACTAATCTCATCTTCAAGGAGTAGAAAGTGACGGCACTGACGGTGAAGTGATAAAATACTTAGACCTATGTAGATTCAAATAGTGAGAGCTGAAGGGGGAAAGAACAAAAGGAAGCTCAGCGATGATTCGCAGTCCAATACCGATGACTGTTCATATAGAGATGGAACATGGCTATCAAGGCAAAACTGTGAATGATATTCCGCCACATTCACTCCAGTCCTGCTTTGTCTGCTATTTGTTGCCATTCTGCAAGGTCGTACCATGATCCAACACTTAGAAAGTAAACCTCTCACTCGATTTTCTTGACACAATCTGCTTCCGAGTGATGATATCCCTCTTCGTTCTAGCAGGCACCCCGTACTTACCCTCCCAAGAAATACCATATGTCGCAACAGAATGTGCAATGGCCTTCGCATTATGCAAGAACGCACCAATATTCAGGTTTTTAACATCATCCTTCGCACTGTGGTAGTTGACATCATACGCAACGCCAGCAGTACCTCCAAAGAGAGCGGCTTCTTCTTCAGTCTTGAGCTGCTCGGCTCCGGTGAAGAGTCCACCGCAGGGGACACCAACTTCGAGGAAGGGCCCGTAGTCGGAACGGCCATCGAATGCCGTGGATGCAAATGGGAGGTGCTCTTCGTATTGGAAGAAGTCTTCGAAAAGTTTCTCGGCCTGGGCAGAACCTGGTGCACCAGCGGTCCCAAATGAACTTCCATCACCATCATAAATGGCGTAGTAATAATTGGGCGAAGCAATCATATCGAAATTCAAATAGAGCCGAATTTTTGCGAGCTCCTCAGGGGACAAGGAATCGACGTAGTAGTATGAGCCGATCTCGCCTTGTTCTTCTCCGGACCACCATGAGAAGCGAATGGCGTTGTTTACGCTATATTTGGTGAGTTGGATCGCGATCTCAAGAAGGGCGATTGATCCTGAGCCATTGTCGTTGATACCAGGTCCTACAAATGATGTTAGAACCACATTTGACCAGTAGAGCTGGGAGCCACAAACCATCAATAACAGAGTCAGAGTGACCACCAACATGTAGAACATTGTTTTGGTCACCTCCCTTGGTCTGTGCAATGACATTATAGCTCGTGACATCAGACAAGTCAATTGAGAGAGAAGCAGTGACTGGTCCAGCACCGAGCAAGCTCAGTAGCGTGGCTCCGACAGTATCAGACACACCGGCTGCGGGTTGGAAGGGCCCTTCTGGATGGGTTTCTTGGGGCTCAAGAGTACGGTCTGCGAGTCTTACGACCACATTGTTGTAGATTATCGTGCCAACCGCACCTGCTGACCCAGCAAGAGCTACCTTTGAGCCAAAAGGACAGGTTCCTCGCTTGATGAAAGCAATTGAACCAGCGACTGCTGCTGGAAAATCTGCCTAGATGGTAAATTAGCAGATATAAGCTGTCCTGGCATTAATTGCTTACGGCATCGCATCCAAGGTTGTTCACGAGAACCATCGGGGCCGAAACTGATCCTTCAGGGCTGTAGATCATGTAGTCTGCAAGCAGTGTTTGACCATTGGCGGAGAAGACAGCCTTTCCACCGGGCATGGTGAAAGGTTGAACCTCAACATCATAGTAGTCTGGGTATGCGGAGAGAGTGTCCACAATCCAGTCAACAGTCTTGTTGTGGCCCGAAGTTGCTGCTCGACGAGTATTGTCATCTGCGAAGGAGAGTAAGGTTTCGGATTTCTTCACGAGCTCCGATCGAAGCAATACTCTGCGGAGTTTGTTCTATGAGAAGGTCAGTAGTATTCAGTCAAATGGGGTTATCGGAAACTAACAGACTCCACCAAAGGTAGTGCTGCAAGGGCAGTAGATGCCAATGCGCCAAAAGCAACTAGTGTCTGAATTGACTTCATCATGAACTGGTCGATCAGATTAAACTTCGGGAAGGATGCGAGACAGGATTTGTGAGCGAGGATAGCATGGTATCTTTATACCCATCTCTGGTTCTCAGAATTTTGCATGCCTATGACAAGCCCAAGTTTCCATAGCTATGGAAGTACCCCACCACGAGGCATTCCGAATGAGGCACAATATGTTCCCCTGTGCAAGGTGCAGTGTCATAGGTTGTGCCTGTTCCAGGTACAGGCACTTTGCAGATAGAGAGTATGGTAATGATTGGCTGTTCGTTGGGTCTCTTGTCGCCAAGTAAGAGATGCTTGATGTTGTAGAAGAGGGGTAACAATGTAGCATGGCGTTGCTTGACAACTCTTGCCATTGCTTGCTTACCCATGGCGCCAATGCGACTGTGAATAACATCATGATAATCAAACGAGGCAGGAGCCAAGATGTCAATTCTTCCAGACCGCTGTCAATAATGCTGTTCTGGAAGATTACAAGGATTGCTAAGCTGGAATATATGTAGCCAAGAAATGAGGCGTGGAAAAACATGACGATAAAAGATAAGGCTCGCGGTCGCAGGATAAGCTCAAATCGAACTTCCGAACCGTCGCAGCCATCTTGTGGACCTCGCATGTGAAGCTGGCAGAGGTGACATTGGCCGTATCATTATAGATAGAGGTCAGTATAAACAGCTCGATATCCAACAGTGCCTCTACAATTTCGCTTAAACCCCCTATCGAGATCACGTGGTACAGCGAAAGAAAACACACCGTCAGTCATCGCATTTGACGCCAGTGGGCGAGAATTGATTTATCCGGAGGGAAGAGGTACACCTTTGAACTCCAGAAATCCCATTGTGGAAATATCCCACACTTTTCATAGTACTATCCCTCGATGCCCTGAACAGAAGCAATCGGAATTTGGTCATGGGTTCGGATAGCTATTTGTTTGTTCTGATCGTCGGCATGTTCGTCAATGATCGCGAAATATCTATGGGGAGATGAAATATAATAGTTGAGCTAATACTGATGCATCCGAATTTACTTTGGGACTGCTCTCACTTCGCAGTTTTGGCAGCAAAGTGTGAAGTTAGCGTGAAGATGGTCGCGATGGCAACAAAAGGAGCACCGTACTTGAAATGGAAGCACAGGCATAATTGAACTCCTTTTTTGGACACAATCGTATTGTATTGAGAGACTCTTTAACCGTTTCTTGACATTCGCGGTTCATCAATCCGTTGCAGCGCGTTGATGGGGGTGTTTGCTCTACCATCGGTCCTCACACAGCTCAACAGGGGACATATACTAGAGCTTCTCTCGTCAGATTATGTTTCGCGATCCATTTGTCTGTACAAAATCTTGGTAAGTTTTGACATCTGTGATGGGCATGTTTAATGTAAGCAAAATGTCAGCGACTCGAATTGGCTCTTCTACTTTCAGAAAGAAGCTATGAAGAGGCAACGCCTGTAAGTTGACGTTCCATGACGAACAAGAGGGATAAATGAGACTGATTACGCTGTTGGAGTCTTCTGGGGAATATCCATAGAAAAAAACCTGCACTTTCTCAGACATGAAGCTGCTGCCTGGACTATTACTGTATCAACTAAAGAGATTAGGAGTTTCAAGAATATCACACAAGGAAGGTTCAGTGCATTTGCGCTCGTTTGAGTCTAGAAATACCAGTGACGTAGATCCCCTTCATCGGGAATAGTATTGGAGGTGTACATTAGTGGCTATGTTCACCTGTGTTCTTGCATTTTTTCAATCATTAATTCGCTAACCTCAAATTATCGTATATGTACACAACCTCCCCCACCCCAGTCTATCTCTCTCTCATCAGCCTCCAATATTTATATCGTCCCCTCTACTCTTCAGTGATATGACGGCAGTTCATGAGGCGATGACGAGTTGCCGTATGTCGAAACCAGGCGAGGTTTTGGCGAAGGAACCGCAGAAGGCATTTCCTGTTTGTACTCTGTCCCAGCTGTCGGCGCATCGGAAGGCGAAGTATGTGTAGCATTCTTTCGCTTCATCAGCAAGTATATGCCCACCAGGAGCGCAACTAGGATGGCTACTCCAAAACTGACGCCAAGGCCAACGCCGACCTTAGTACCAGTAGTCAGGCCAGAGGAGTCGGAGTCCTTTACCGAGATGGAGGTTATCGTGGGAGAAGTTGCCGATGAAGATGAAGGTATCGCGGCTGTACTGTCAGAGGATGAAGGGACACTCGAGGTAGTCGATGAGATGCTCGAAGTGGTCGATGAGCTGCTCGACGCAATACTGCTAGTAGTGGCTGGAACTGACTGGCCAACGGCGTTGACCTTGGAATCTGTGAGGTTGAAATATGAGGTAACGCTCATTGGCGTCAATCCATTTGTTTGGTAGAGGGCAAAATAGAAAACATTGCTCTCAGTTAGGTCGAAATCGGGGTTGGCATTATTTCCATCTACGCCGATGGGGTTCCAGGTGTAATGTGAAGTGCCTAGATTGCCTGGAAGAAAGATTAATCGGATTGTTTGTATACATTCTATGATCTGTTTCAACTTACTGGATCCAGGGAGGTACTGTAAGTCTCCAATCTGGTTCTTTGGTTTCTCTGCATTCACCTGCCACATTACGATAGTGGTCAATCCAGATGCCAGAGGATTCCATGTTATGTTGAGAAGATTGCCGACGGTGTATATGGCGTTTCCACTCAAAGGAGCGGTACCAAAGCGCCCAATATCTGCTGGTTGTGGTGACGGATTAATGAATATTCCCGGAGACTGTGAGTTGACAGTAGAAAAACACAAGAACCCCAAGAAGACGATAAATATTGGTGTCATCATGAGGTACAAAGAATGTAACCCTCTACGAGATGGTTGCAGTAAATGCTCAGCAGAAAGTGAATGACTCCGAGACAGAATTCTGACAGAGCATTTCACAAGGAGAGATGGAAATGTCAGCCAGATCCAGTAGAGCAGTCACCGCCGAAGGAGAAAACGAGCAAGGATTTTGATTGGTTACGCCAGTGAGGTTACAACAGTCAAGAGTTGGTTCCAACTGTTTTGGTCTTCCCCCATTTTACTACATGCAATGTCTCAGCTACAGTCCTTCACCCTTTACCAAGCTTGAGCCTGGCTGTGTTGTTGGCCGCAGGCATGATAAAGGTGACTCTCATTTGCTTGTTGGTTTAATTTTTGACAGTTAAGGTGGATCCGAGCTAAATTATGCATATCTGTTGCTGTGGAAAGGCACAGCGAAGCTAGAAAGCAGCTCCGACACGCTCGTAAGGCATTAAGGCCTTGTGAATGTCATTGTTTTGCAATGTAATAAAAGTACAGCATTGTTACAGTGAGCTTCTGTTCTCACGGCTGCTCTTTTCGAGAAGTCAGGAGTCAAAATCCCGATAGTTCGGTTAAGCGCCCATGCACCTGACAGGGCAGGGACAAAGTTCGCCTACTGACGTGCTCTCATAAGATAGGACGCTGTTACGACAATTATGGGACGTTTCAGTTGCCAATTTTGGGCCGATTGACCGCCCACGGTGAACATCTTTCTTGAAGGCAGCCTGAAAGAGGGGAATAATGTGGAATCCGTTGAGGGGAGCCACTCGCTGACTAAGCGCCTGCAATCGCCCCTCCGAAATGTACGCTCGCTATCGCTTGTTTACGTGTTCCCATAGGGCAGAAGAGATCCAGGATGACGTTTCAATTGCCATTTCTTGGAAGCGCTCCTTTGCAAAACCAACATGGGCTTCTTTCAGCTCTCGGATTCTCCCCCTGCTATGCTTAATTTTAACCTCGTGCGGTTGGTCAGCGATTGTCCCGTACCAGTCACAATCTCGCGGCTTGCTGTTGGGTTACGAAGAAAATGGAGGGGCAAAATGTTGGTTGCAGGAGATTGACAGCTGCGGTCGAGCTTCCTGGTGAGGTTGCATCTCCTTTTCTTTTTCAATTTTCTTCGAGAGTGGGCCAAAAGCGGATGGCTATTGTAAATTGATATCCCTCTGTTCTTGCTGGGCATCCCCAACTTTGCGCACCAGCATCGATGTATCGATCTATATCTCCATTCCGGGAGGTCTTGCACACTCTCCACATACCAGCATCGATGCGAAACACCAGAATAACTCGAGCTACTGCCCTCACGATCGGTGTCCTGTTCACTCTGTTCATTCTCCTACCGGATCAGCACCTCCCTTCACCAGACCTATTCCAGCAGAACCAATGCCCTGATACCGACCTTGCAAATAACATCGTCATCGCTGTGAAGACCGGAGCATCGGAAGCCTCGGAAAAAATCCCTTCACTTATGCAAACATCGCTACGCTGCGCAAAAAATGTTTTCTTCTTCTCAGACTTAGAACAAGATATTGGTCCTTACCACCTGCACGACACACTCAACAAAATATCTCCGGAAGTCAAGAAATTGGATGGTGCCTTTGAATTCTACAGATTGCAGCAGGAAGCATGGCGCCGGGATGGAAGCGTCAATTCAACCAGGGGAATGAAAGATCCTAGCTCATCCAGTGACCTAGCTGCTTGGACACTGGATAAGTACAAAAACACGCATATTCTTGAGAAAATTTGGGAGTTCGCTCCGGAGAAAGAATGGTATATTGTCATTGACGCCGATACTTATGTTATCTGGCCCAACTTGCTTCACTGGCTACCATCATTGGACTCGGCCAAGAAGATGTTTCTGGGATCTGTGGCGTTCATTGGAAGTACTGGCTTCGCACATGGGGGTAGCGGTACTGTCTTCTCTAGAAGTCTGATGCGTGATTATGCTGTCACACACAATGGGACGGCATCACGGTTGGACATTAAGATACACACGTCGTGCTGCGGGGACGTCATGGTCAGTGAGATACTGAGAGAGTACGGAAACAAACTTGTCAACATTCAGCCGGAGATCAGTGGTCAAAAACCAGGCACGATACCCTATCTTACGGACTACTGGTGTCAACCTAGTCTTACAATGCATCATTTCGATGCTAAAGACATGGAAGCATTCAATCAGTTCGAGAAAAGCCGGGGAAATACATCCGTTCGTAGCCCATACACCAAGAAGGCATGTGAACAATTCAACTAACATCTCGCTATTTTAATAGGTACCTCTGACATGGGCAGAAATATTTGAAAAACTGGCGAAGAAACAAATACAATCCATGCCTGAAATGCAAGAAGATTGGGACAACTACTCGTCTGTGGTGGATGTTGGATCTGGGATATTACAGGAAGGGGTGAAGAGAAGCACAGCGCGGAGTTTTGGTGAATGTGCTGCTACATGTGAGGTAAACGCTCAATGCGTACAATATACCTTTGACGGCGAGGCCTGCTACTGGGGAAAGGCCATTCGTCTGGGTGAAAGGAAGTTACCGGAGGGAGGTAAACGTTGGCAGAGTGGTTGGAATCAGACCAGGGTCGCAGACTGGATTGCGAAACAACCAAAGTGTAATGATGTCGAGTTCCCAAATTGGCGGAAAAGTGTACAGTATTAGCATGCTGATTACATAGACATCTACAATACATCTAGAAAGAAAAACTAGACAACAAAAAGTTAAAGAAGCTTCCAATTGTCTCTTCGTCATTGGCTTTTGTAAATGGAGTAAATGGTGGTTCGTCAAGCAAGACTTGAGGCCTTTGCTATCTTGATTGTGTCCTGGGCTATGACCTAGTGTGCCCTCTTTGATCGGGACAAACATCCCGTGGGAAGAGCTGTTAGTTCTCGCTCAGGAAGCTGGAGAAGCGAAGGGTATTTGAGTACTTGTTTCGGGTGCTGTGTGGATAAGAATAGGCACACAAGTCCGAAAGATACTTTCAGTTGAGGGCCATGGGTCATGACTTGGGACTTCAATCTCCGCCGAATCATCCCTCTTCTCTGGCAGCGGGTGGCGACAGAACAAATAGACTTCAGGATCAGGAAACTTGGATCTGTCCATCAATACCAACAATACCAACAATATCAGCAACGAGATCGACAAGAGCGACCACGCCGGGATGCTAGGGAAAACCAACAACAGGATCCAGCACATGAACAGCCACGCCTGAATGACCAAACCGTCGGATAGCCTAGCTGGGGGCAGTTGGAGAAGCACTGTGTGGAAATGGGAACCGAAGGACATGAACATTGAAATGATAGACTGTTCGCAATGCAACGATCAAAGGCAATGTGACATGATTTTTCTGGGAAGGTTCGTAGCTTAACGCCTCCTTTAAATGCGACGCTGCTTTTTTGCCCTCTGGTAACCTCGCTTACAAATTGCTGAAGGCTGCAGCCATCTGCAGCCATGAAGAGCCTTGGCCACTTCACTTGAAGTGAAAAGGTAGATATTGTTTGGTACAATCTGAACTGTAGTTGCTAGGGCTGATTAAAGTGAATATCAAGGAATATGGGATGGTCATACAGATGAATAACGATATATCGAAGTCTTCGAGCGGGATAAACGGATTATGGAGCGACGAGCACTAGGACGCAGGAAGAGGTCTTCGACATCGTTATGCTCTGCTTGGGAAGGCTATCTCTTCGGCTTTTCTGCGAGTGGTGCACAGACCTTGAATGCTCGGTAAGATGAGAGGACATCGAGTGCACACCTCTGAAGAACGAAGGGACGATTTGGTTGACTGATGACAGAAACACCACTCGGTGTACAGTCAGAAGCAAAAATATTTGGAATTAAAGAAAGGAAGACTAAACACAACAGACAGTTTACGTAGCTCCGAGCTGCAATACCAACAGAACGTGCATTTAGCCAAATCGCTCAATCACCTTTTGAAGTCTTGTATTCGATGGCTGGACAGATTAGCCCCAGCCTGCGAGTGCTCGTAGATCTAACTCCTCCCGCTAGCGCCTGAAATGCATGCTTCTTATACCTCCCGTGTCTTTCACTAATCTTCGGCTTTGATCTCATAGATTCTTTCGGATTTATGACTTGTCCACCGCTCAACTGACATCGGGTAATCGAACAGCGATATCTCCGGATTGAGTAATGTACCGAACCCATGGTAAAGATGGGTATTGTAGCTGTATTCGTTAGAATGGCCATTAATATCGCTGAGTACTGAACATACCTTTGGCTCAATAATCTTCAGGTACCGAACCTGGATACCGCTAGTCGTGAAGTATGGAATCTCAAACTTCACACTGATGGGTCTCTTCGCCCCCTTTCCACCCACGCCGCCCATACTACCTCCGAAGCCACCTGTCATACCACCACCATGCTCATCATCGCCCTTTACACTGGGTAGTCCTAACTCAGCTCTCATCAAGAACTCCTTGCTACCTCCAAATTGCTTGATCTTCCAGACAATGGCAGACTTTTCTGGCGCATAGTGAACACTTCCGATATTGGTTCTGAACCTTGGAGAGTCCGCATCTTCTGGTACAGGAACAGTAATTTCGACATTGTTTGCCGTGCTTCTCCGCTTGAACTGTGCCTTTGCCTTCAGCATGTATTCGATCCTGCTCCCGGAATGTGATTCCACAATACACTCGACCCAGATCAAAGGCTTGACTTGTGTGTTTAGTCGATAGGACATCAACTCGAATTCGCCATCGGGAGGAATGAAGGAGATTGTGCGGTCGTTTTCGAATCGTGATAATCGTACACACTGATGGAACTTGACATCCTCCATTTCGATAGCCTTCCCTCGAGTCGCGCGACCAGTAGTTTCGAACATAACTTTATCGTTCAGTCCTAGACGTAATTCGGGCATACCAGATAGATAACACTTCATCTTGATCGCACCTAGAATCTCGGAGCGCAGGACATTGCCATTTGAAGACACAAGAAGGTTGAGAGATTCGACAACGTCGAGGAAGACTTCGTTCTTTCGGTATCTGATTCCTTCTGATCGCCACGAGACGGCATTTGTGACTGCTATTGGAGGGCGTGCTTGGACCTCCAGCTTGTGCGACTCCTGTGTGATGTATTCTTGTAAGATCTTGGATTCCGTCGTCTGCGGATGCCCAAAGTCCATCATCTCATCAAGCAGTTCGTAGATGATAACAAAGTTGTCCCGTATCGATTCTTCCTCCAGTTCTTTGAAATACTCGGTAAAGACTTCGACAACTTTGTGGAGAAATAGAAGGATTTCGGCAGCGTTGGTATTTCGTTTCGTGAGGGCAAGGAGGTAGAGATTGTTATGTCTGATATACAGGTACTGGAAGAATGTCAGGGAAGGCCAGGTTCGTCGTGGCAGAGACATACGTTGATCCCCTCATCTGAGAAACATGGTGGAACAGATGAGCTCTCTTCCTCTGCTTCACTCAAGAGAATAGGGAACTTCTCGACCGCAGACATAGGAATATCTCCTCTGTAGTTCCGAGCCAAAAGGGTCTGCGGAACATGATCAGCATTGTCGGTGCTTAAATGCTCAGGGGCATTACCTTTCCCTTCAGGTCGAGGAAGAAGAGAGCGGAAGCCATGTTGGAGTGCGACGGAAAGGTTCTTGGTGCTGATGAAGAGCCAAAATGGCCAGTATGAGGATATCAATTAGGTGGAAACATTCATAGGGGTCGTAGATTCAATGCGCTGTTGAAGTAGAGTCTGGTATTGAAGTGATGTTGACCCCACGTCGCCCTTATTTCCTGGGAGCTTCAACTGCCTCCGTCGCCGTGGCCTTGTCTCGCTAGGTTAAGCTTCACACTACGGCCAAGTTAGAACTAGCCCCGACTAGCGCCATCAGGTCCATATCTCAGAAAATTCGTTTCGCCTGAACTTCTCTTTTCTTTCTTCTTCAACGCGCCCTTCTAGACAGTGCAGCTCAACATATAAGCTTAACCGGCCTGACTTTCTGTCAGTGCCTACTTTGCTTCCTATTGATGAAGTTAGCGATACCGTGGCGCGGAGACCGATCAAGGGTACCATAAGAGCTGGCCGAGCATTTGCTTCAAGCAACCTGTTGCTTGGGTGGCGTCAGAGGGACCATACAAACAAGTTGGAAGAAAGCATCCTACTTATGACTACCTATCAGACTGTGAAGGTTTGTGAAGGGAGCATTGGTTGCAACTGGTCGTGCCAGCCTTCAATCTGTCGTTTACAATTGCGTCGATGAGTTTTCTTGGAAGAAAACATTCCATGACCTCGTCGTTCCGTTCGCTTGCACTATTAACCGGACAAGGAGCTGATAAAGTAATTCATAAACTCGTGTTTGCGGATGTGAGCCCACAGTATCATGGTCCGTTTGGCTCCCAAAGTAATTGGCTCACATCTCGCGTATATCGACGTCTATCTATCTATGAGCAGTCACCCTTCAAGTCGTTGCATTACAGATAGTCTGCTTGTCTCAAGAATTTTCAGCCTCTTTCACCTAAATACAGCCTCTTCAGCTTTGAGGATCTTGGTAGATGTGAACAAGCAAACCACTTCGATCAGTTCCTGTTTTATTGGCAGCATAGTCATTCGAATGGGAGAATCACTCTAAGGATCTACGTCAGTGTCTCGAGATATCCTTCCCAATTTGGCGGATCTCAGAGGCCACCAGTGATTTTGTGGTATCCCTTTTTGCTGCCAGAAATGGACATGAACATGACATTATAACATTTGTGACTTAGAAACTCACAGTGACCTCGGCGATCTTGTGTCAGGGTAATCGTATTGGAGTAAATATGATACGACAGATAGAATAGATATTGATATTCGCGTATCACCCATGCCTGAAGTTCTGATCAAGTGCCAACTTTGCTTGGATAAATGGCAACTCCCCAACCAAGCCCCGAAAGGAGGCGCGATACTCCCAAATGAGGGTACTCAGCAGATAAAACATATTAATATAGATAAGCAAAGCTAAACAGCGAATTAAAGCACTGCTGTTGATATATCCTAAGATCAAACTCCAATCCACATGTAGGAAATTCGTCGACTGCGCGAAATGCGCATGGCACACAGCCCGTGAGACAAAACCCACAACGTAAGGTCACCCTCGGGCAGTATCGAATGGATTGTAGAGGCAGCTAGAAACGGATGTTCATTCCACCAAAGACAGGAGACTCAGCTTGTTTACTTCAAAAGATGACCACTGCGAGACTCCAAGTCGTTCAGTATCGCTGATGTTGAGCCGGATGGGTTATCAGGATCCAGATACACCGACACGACCATGCCTCTTGTTTCTTTACCTGCGATTATTAACAATGCACCTCATGATGTTGGGAATCACGCACGGCCATGAGAATGATTGTGGCCATGCCACCTGTTCCCCCGCCAAGCTCGCTCTGTCAGAAGAACTCGATCCAGATCTCTGCGTTTACAAGAGAAAGCTACCAGCCCGATCAGCATAGCCAGATTCCCGGCAAGTCCGCTGGATCTTGGAGCATCTTCGTCGGGATTCTCATACGCGCTAAGCCCGAGCTGCCGGATGAAGCTACGATCGTTGCCTGCAAGGTACTGGTTGCCTACGTAGTCGAGACGAGAGAGTGCATCCTCATGGTGAAAATTGATCGCATACCAGGTATCTCCCGGAACGGTGTCTGCAATGTTCCTTGTGGTAGCATCGCCAGCTGCCACCATGAATTGATAAAAAGGATTGCACCAAACCATTGTTGTAGCTTTGTATAGCTCGAGGGTATCGTCATTTGGTGTCTTCCCATATCCATCATCCCACCGGTAGCCCGAGGCGGTACTGATGTCTCCATCGCTCCATCGAAAGACCGTTCCACGATTTTGTCGCCCAAAACCAGCTGCATATATTGGAGGGAGCCATCTGCCATAATCATCCACTCGGGGAACAACCCCATCCTCTTGAGGATCATCGTTCAACGTAGTGCCATTAACGACGAAGAGGAAGCTAACCGCAGGTGATGAAGCGTATTGAGCCTGAGCCTGAGTCGTGCTTCGAGAGGAGAAGGAGGAGCCGGGTGTGATCTGCTTGGAAGTTTTCGGAGTTCTGGACGACGAGTGCTAGAGGAATTAGGCGAGCGGATAACCCCAAGAAGTGGGAGTGAGCATACCTTGGGTGACATGGTTTCGTCTGAGTCAAAACTCAACTGGAGAATTGTACAGATGAATGCTTCACTGTCTGGATCGAAGGAAAACCACCCTTTGCGCGGAATATAACCACAAGCAATTGTATCACATCAAAAGCCCCCCAAAAGATTGGCTGAGACTGACGTGACATGCCCTTTTCCGCCTGAAAGCGACACCAAGCGCCAGAATCGTCCTTTAGATACCAAAATATCGTGGTGCAAGTGCTCGTGACCAACCCTGATTGGGCTGTGGATATTTCGTCGACCCAGGATCCCAGTAGAAGCTGCATGCATGCTTGGTTGTTGCAGGATGGCTGGCATCGCAGAATGTCAATAGTGAAGTGAGAACCCCTCCATGGGTGACGATCGGCGGAAGCAAACCGCGAAGTTGTCGCAAGATGCCGCCAGTGATAATGATAACAAAGGTTGTAAGAACGCCCCTGTGAATTGGCAGGACCTCATCAATTCCTGTAGCTTTCCCATCAAAATGATACGAATACCAGCCAAAAAAGACCTACCTGTGCCAACAGACTAATCCTGGCCAAATCAGCCAGAGCTGAGGAGCTGTGCCGTCCTGGCTCCTCTTTGTCTTGATTCAAGGCAAGAGACAGGATGCCACCCTCCCCAGGAAAGCCACATATCTGCCGAGGGTTCCATAAGGAATAAGGCCGTTGCTGCAGAGCAGACGCACACCTATCACTAGATCGGTGGCTGATTGGCTAGCGAAAGAGAGTATTGGCTGCGACATACATAGTTTGCGAAACCGACATGTGGGAAATCCATAGTCCTCGGTCTTAATCCCTCTGTACGATGGACGGAGAAATCGGGAGAGGAGTGAATCGCAACTGAGCAAACTCGCTGCAATAATTGCGGGGGTCTCTTGATGGCGGGGTGAGAAGGTGGCGCCCTTGCAGGGAAAACCAGCAGACAATCTAGACACTTGCTGTCGCTGGCACTAGACCACAACGTGTCTGACAGAAATTTTGCACCTTGACCCAAGGGAAAAATATCAGAACGGGGATGGGTAGCCGGAAGATAGTGGAACATGAGGCTCTGCGACGAAGGACGGTCCGCACAGGCTATAACTTGGATGGTTTCGCCGTCAGACGGGGAGAAAAGTTGGCTTGAATGGGTGGCCTAGCGGCGACCTGATTCGATCGTTCCTTTGGGTGGGAAGACTCTCATTCTGTTGGTGTGGGTGGCAAATCCAGCGAATCACCGTTTCTGATTTCCTGCAAAGCGTTTTAGCGACCTTTCGAAAGTTCGAGGCGCAGAAGAATTGGAGAGGATACAAAACTTTTGAAAAGCGCTATCGCGACTCGTGTTTATCTGATTTTGAACGTTGTCTGTCGAGGTCTTTTTGCAACGGCGTCTTTCCTGGAGGTGGGAGCTGCCATCTTATATTTCGACCTGCAGTCATGACCAGGGTCACCTGCCACTTGCATGCGTGTACGCCCGGCTGCTGTTGACAATGAAAAGTCTAGTCTGGTTGCCTCGTTTTGCCTTGTCAATATTGAGGGCCAGCATCGATTTCTTGACCAATTGCACGGCCAGGGCAAGTCCAACGCTTGATGAGGCACACAGCATGCAAAGATGCAGCATGTTCCTGCAAGTGACAGCGTATGGAAGGACATATTGTTATTTTGCCGCTGGGACCGCAATGCGAACCATGACAGAGTGACCTGTCGAATTTGCAGATAAGAGAGGAAAGCCATGCCGAGAAATGGACGTTGAAATAAAGTTTAAGGGATCCGGGGCTGTGTGAGTTGCTCCCAAGCGGCGCATCCATAATGCATACCTGATTGGAGTCTGAAAGTGTCGAGGAGGTGGCCATGTGTGGCAGAGTGATAGTGGATGATCGATGGTCAAGGGAAAGATCCGTTTGGCGGAGGTTCCGCGCACCGTTTATTCTCGTCAAGTCATGGAGACAGACGAGGTAAGCTAGGAACATATTGAAGTCATCTGATCGGGATCGGAATCGGAAACAGAGGTGCTCTTATGAAGGTCACTTTTCATCAGACTTCCAAGATCAATGTGTCCACTGTTGGATGGGATGGTTGGAGAATGATTTCTATGACTGTCATGTTTCGATATTTGCCGTTTTTGGGCTCGTTGAACCACCGAGCATGTACCGATCGCGGAAACGGTCGATTGGAAAGCTTATATATACGGAGGAGATTCGCATGGATAGCACACGTTACTCTTATGGAGCATTCGTTGAGCCAGTCTTCTGGGTGGTGAGCGAACAGACCAGGAACACGTGTGAAAGGCCAGAATCTTTTTCAACAGGGCCCACGTGGCGAACCGCCAATACGTGGGACATGGTCTACAGACTCTGGCATGCGAAATTGGAAGTTCTCGTGGAACAAGAAAGGATGTGATGCGACTGTGACTCCCCTGTGTTGTGGTGTGGCGGTGTATGACTCCTCAGGCCCAGCTGATCTGGGAACTGATCTGGGAACTGATCTGGGAAAATGCCGCTCTACCGAAAACTCCAGCACCTATCTGGAAGAGAAGGCCCGAGATCAATTCAGCATGCCTAAAATACATTTCTTATCCGAAGCTAGTTGGCTTGGATTGAAAGTACTGATTGAAGTCTGCTGGTGTGACCGTGATATAAATGGAAGAAGACAAGGAGATCGTGGCGTCGGCGGAAAGGGCTTTGACTTCAAGCGAGGAGAGAGGAGTCACGTGGACCACACCTTTCAACGGCAACCTCTTCAAACGGCGGGTCACAATTTCCTTTGCGAAGCTAAAGTCAAAAATATTTTCTTTCAGCTCAGTTTTCTTTGATGCAACCCCAGCAGCTGCATCAAATCATAAGACTAGGCTCCTATTTCAACAGGAAAGGCACTTGAGGGCAGCGATTGCGAAATTTGCATCTTCAGTCTTGAAGCAGACTCCACTAAAGTTGTTTACTTCACATTCCGACGGGACTCTCTTCACCTTTCAATACCCACTTCCGAACACATTTCCTTGCAAAGCCATTATAATACAGAAAACACCTCACAGCCTCGAATTAAAACATTTGAAGCAAGAAGGAGACAAGTCCTTCAAAATGGAGTCCAACAACTGGCGCGTCAAACGCGACCCACAAGACTCACCAGCTACACCAGCAAAAAGTAGCCCGCGAGTTTCATTCCAGCCTCGCTCGAATTGGGGTCGAGGCCAGCAGTCGAGCCCATTGCAGCAAAATTCACCATCACGTGATGGTCTCAGAAAGCCAATGAGCGAGTCGCAGGTAAGTGACTTGCCCAGAGTCCGTAGATGTAATCTAACGGGGGAACAGGTCTCGCAGTGTATCGAGGAAGGCCGAAGACTCTATGTCGGAAACCTGCCGTATGAGGCTACCATCAAGGACATTGAGACATTGTTTCAGGACCTCGCGCCAGGGATTGAGGGAATCAACATGTCCGTGGATGCCATGACTGGACGCAATCCATCCTACTGCTTCGTTGATTTCAGGACACGAGAACTTGCTGAGGCAGTAATGCAAGAGTACAACGGCCGAGAGTTCCTCCGACGAGCACTCAAGGTCAAGCCAGGTGTCAAATCGGACAGAAGTACCCCGCGGTCTTACAACCGTCCTGAAATCAAGCCTGAAGGTGGTAATCTTTCTTTCAATCGCCGGAACAGTCTCGAGAAGCCCGCCGACCTAAATGTTGCTGCGGATGAGGGCCGTCGTCTCTACGTTGGAGGTCTACCAAGATTCGAGAGCCAGCATGAAGCAAACTTGCAGATGACTGAGCTGTTCAAGGATTACAACGTCAAAGTCATCAGCAAGCCGATCTCAGCACACGAATCCAAGAAAGGTCTACCTGGAAACCATAATTACTGTTTCGTCGATCTTGCAACACCAGAGGAAGCAGCTGCCGCAGCAACAGCTCTTGACAACATGCCAAAGTGGGACTGGAACATCAAAGTCAGCGTCAGTCGAAGCACATCTGGCAAAGTGACCGAGAGGAGACGACTGTTCGTAGGAGGACTACCCGAGTTCGCGGACCAAGACACTGCCGACCGAAAAATCCAGGAGCTCTTTGAAGGATTCGAGATCGCCACGATTAGCAAGTTGAAGGTCCCACAAGATAATGGTGATGGAAAGAAGAAGAATTGTTTCTGCTTTGTGGATTTGGTGAAGGATGAAGATGCAGATAGAGCATTGTTGGAGCTTGATTGGAAAGAGAAATGGGGAATTCAAGTTCGGGTGAAGCCAGCGACATCATCAAATACGCCTGGTTTGAAAGCAGAGACACGAAAGCCCGCGGGGAGGTGGTTGTCGTAGAGTGGAGGCTGGTAGCGAGAGTAGTTGTACAAATAGGGTCGCAGTAGAATCGAAGCAACCTGTCTCCTTTGCAGGTTGATTCTCATAGACCTTGACATATTTTTTGCTTCCACAGTGACATCTGTGTACTTCAGGAGTACCACAGAAAGCCAAGGACCAAAGGAGTAACCTTCGATCTTGCTTTGGGGCAAACAAAGCCTTGCATGTCTTCGGCAAAAATCAGAACGAGGATGGTCAAAATTAAGCGACGGCGGGGTCATGGCGGGGTCATCCAAATCCAGCGAGGCCGGCAACACCACCAACTTCAATATATCAAACACACTGACCAGATCCTAAAACCAACATTTTTTTAACACCAATTGATATCCATCACCAAAATGTCCCGTCCAAAAACCCTGGAAGTGTCCATCTCAGACCTCGCTCAAATGATAGATCACTCCTTATTACATCCCACCATGACCGACGACGAAGTCCTAGCGGGTCTCGAAATCTGCAAAAAATACAACGTGAAAACCGGTCAGTAACCCATCCTCATAGAACTTCAATCCTCTACACCAAATTTGATCAAACTCCTCAATCTCCCACCCTACTCCTGCCCAACTAACATTCCCGCACCAGCCTGCATAAAACCCTACCACATCCCCTTCGCGCGCAAAGCCCTTGAAGGAACTTCCGTGCTGCTATGCCCTGTCATTGGTTTCCCGCATGGGAATTCAACACTGGAAGTCAAAGCCTTTGAAGCGAGGCGAGCGGTCGAGGAGGGTGGGAAGGAGATTGATATGGTTGTTAACATTGGGCGGGTGAAGAGCGGGAAATGGTTCGTGTGTCTTTAGTCCGAGAATTTCCTTTGCTCTTTGCTCTGGGATGTTGGCTCATATTGCTTGACTCCCACTTATTTATCTCAAATATTCGCAGACCTTATAAGCTTACTTTGAGAACAGGGAGTACGTGAGACATGAGATTGAGACGTTGAACAAAATTGTGGTGGAGAGGGGTGCGATCTTGAAAGTAATTTTTGAGAATGATTGTAAGCTCATGCCCCAATCTGTCCTCCTCCCAAGTCACCCCAAAGCCAATTCCAAACCTCAAATACATACTGAACTACCTCTATAGATCTCACCGATGCCGAAATCATCCGCCTCTGCACCATCTGCTCTTCGGCCGAACCCCCCGTAGCATTCATCAAAACCTCCACCGGCTACGGCTTCACCAAACTACCCAGCGGCGACTACAATTATCGCGGCGCCACGACCCATCATCTCGAGCTGATGCGCAAGCATGCTGCTGAAGGTGTGCAGATTAAAGCAGCTGGTGGAGTGAGAACTTTGGATGATCTGTTGAGGGTACGAGCGCTGGGTGTTACCAGGGTAGGTGCTACGGCTACGGAGGCGATTTTGGAGGAGGCGACGAGGAGGGGGATTGGTGAGAGCAAGGTTGTTGTCGATGTGCCGCCTTTCAAGGGCGGAGAATGATTTGCATGGGAATTGCGAATGGTAGAATTTGAGATCAGAAATGGCAACTCGGGACATTATGTATCATTCAACACTCCACAACTACCCCACTCTCCAATTACTAAACGCGGGTGATAACATCTCTAAAATGCTCCTCCAAGAACTCATGCATGCAAAGAACTGGTATCTTAGAATCAGGACAAAAAAACTCCTCGCTCAGAATATGCATCAAACCACCTCGTCCTTCTCAGCTCTCTTCTCACCATCCACCCTTCCTCCCCTCTCCTCAAATTATCTTACAGCCAAACTCTTCCCTCAATCAAACAGCGACAGGCGTAGCCAACACCTCTGTAACCTCCACTGTACTACTCGCCTTCGTCAACTCCGGCCCAGGCGCAGAATCCTTCCCGCTGCTCTTCGGTTTCGACACTTGCGATTCAGCCTCAACTTCACCAGTAACCTCCGCCGTGCTAGCTTTCACAGTTGCCTCTTTTGGAGGAGGCGTAGAACCGCCGAATGGCCAGAGGAATTTACCGATTGAGCCGATTACGCTGCCTCGCTTGTTGTGCGTTGGTCGTTTGGGGGTGGTGGGTTGAGTCTCGGGAGGGTTGGTGGAGGTGGTCGGTACGGCTGTGATTTCATCCGAGGTTGTGTTGGTTGCTTCGACTGGAGCAGTAGTTTCTGGTTCCTGTGGTGCTGATTCTGAGGTTGATGGGACAGTTGGCTCTGGAACTGCTTGAGTGGTGGGAGTCGGTGTGGGTTCAACTGCGACCTCCTTGACAACGACTGGTGCCGGAGCTTGAGGTGCAGAGAGGTGGGTAGCTAGTTTCTTGGTGATGTGTTGGATGGCTTCGTGCATGGCGTCGAGTTCTGCAGTATGGTTAGTCTCGGACTGATTCGGAAGGAGAGTGGCAAACGTACTAGCATGCAGGGCATCCAAACTCTCTTGGCTGACAGTTACCATCTTCACACTTGGACCAGATGGTACCTCGACGGTCTTTGTCGTGGTTGTGGTGATATTGGTAACAGAGGCTGCAGCTGTCACAACATTTGGGCCAAATTCGACTGCACTGGATGTGAGAGCGGAGACTGCGAGGTCTTTGGCTTGGGAGAGGGCGGTTGGGATGGGCTTCTGTTCAACTTCTACGGAGCTGTGGTTTGATTCTGGAGATGTAAACTTGGCCTCTGGTGCATCTGGCTGAACTGGCTCAGTTGGATTGGTGGGCTTTTGCTCGGTGCCAGTGGCAGATTCTTCGGATTGCACTGGGACTTCGACAGGCTCTTCCTTCTTCGACTGCTCAGTGATGATTGGAATCACTGCTGGCTCCTGGTTGACTTCGGGGACAGACTCAACACTTGCTGACACCGGTGACGAGATTCCCCTCTCCTCAACCTTCTCAACTGGAACAACTGGCTCTACCGAATTCGATCGCTGCAAAAGCTGCTGGACGAAGTCTTCTGTCGTATCGGGTTCTGAGGTCGAGACCTCCTGGATCGCTGGTACCTGGATCATGGTCTGGTCCTTGGCGGCGTCGCTGTGAACAATTCCAAGTACAGACAGAATCTCTGGCTCTGCAACCTCCGTTGCCTCGAGCGCACTCGTTTGCACTGGTCCCCGTTCATTTGATGTTTGGTTGTCAGCTACTTTCGCCGGTGTTTCAGGCTCAGTCTTCGTCTCAGTGTCGACCACAGACTTCGATACTGGAGGCTCTGTAGCCTTGGCTTTCTCTTTGGCTGACTCTTCCTGGGTAATTGGGATAGGTACTTCCTTGACCACTGGAGCAGAAACTTGGGTCTGTTCTGGCTGAGGAGTCACACTCTCAGATTTTGCTGGCGTGGCTTCAACAACCGTGGATGTCATCGTGGGTATCGATTTCACTGGCTCTGCTTGGGCTGGAATTTCTTTTGCGGAATCCAGAGTTTTTTCTGCAACAACAGGGGCGGCGGGTTCTGAAGTGCCTGGAGCAGGAGCTTCTGTCTTCACTGCCGCCGGTGTCTCGATCTTTTCCGTAGCCTACACACAGTCAGTCCCAGAATGTCACATAAAGAATGTTGAGCTTACTTCCGGAGCAACAGTCTTCTCCTCAGCTGGCTTTTCCACAGGCTTTGCCCCCTCAACCACTGACTTCGAAACAGCTTTGATCTCCCCGTCCGACCCAATCGTGATCTTCAACTCTACAGGGGCAGCCTCTTCTTCGACCTTAGCTCCCCCCTCAGTCTTTGCAGCAGGTTTCTGGACTTCAATAGCAATAGTCTTTTCCCCTTCTGTCACAAGCTTCACTTCCGCTCCCTCAGGTGCCGCCACTTTTGCACCCTCCCCATCCTCAGCCTTCTTTTTCTCCTCAGCCTGCAACTTATCCTTCTCGGCTTCTGCCTTTGCATCATCAGCCAGATCTTTTGAAATTGCTTTGACGATCTTCTCCCCTTCATCTGATGCAATTTGCGTGACTGTCTTCTTCGCACTATCCGCAGCCATCTTGCCCAGAATCGCAACTTCTCCAGCGATAAGTTCAGGCTGAACAAGTGATGCAACGCCAATTGCTACCGCGAGTGCTCCCCTACGCCGATCAGCAAAATTCCTGAATCGGTAGACCGCGCTAGCAGACTTACTCAGCAATCAATTCCGGATGCTGCTTGACAGCTTCCACGACATGTTCCGCGCCATTCGAGACCTCTTCTACCACGGTTTCTACAGCGCCTTGCACTTTGTCAATTATATTCGACACGTCATCGTCTGTTGCTGATACGGCTTCTTGTGCGATCCCACTTTCAAGAGACTTGAATTCGGCGGTGGCGGCAGCGCCAACGGAAGATAGGACAGCTGTTGCTGTTTCCACGAGGACGTGCTCGGTCTGTGGGTGTTAGTTGATTGCTGCTGGAGAGGTAGAGTTCTATGGGGAAGGCAGCTTACGGCTTTTACTACTGTCGCCATATTTGCGATCTGCTGTCGCTTCTGGCGGAATATTCGAATATCTTCAGACGTCCAATTCCTTCAGCGCAAATATGTCTTTCTCGCAAGCACGCAATCTCTCTTTTCTCTTCCTCAAATCTTTTGTCAATTCAGCAACCTCAAAATCTTCAAATAAATCAAAGTAAAGAAACACTGCCATCAAAAATTGAAGAAAACTAAAGTAGAACCCCTCCAGCTCCCGTCTACCTAGCTCCCTCAGCCCGGCCCCGCCCAAATTCACCATCGATAAACCCCCAAAACTCAACCAGTCAGCGCATCCCACAGTGCACCATCGCCGGCGAGACCTACCTAAATAGCCCTAGCTGCACCCCACATCCCCCACTTCAGGGTCCCGTACGGGCTTCAGCGAGAGTGTGGCTTGCCTGGAATTGGGTCAGCTGCAGAGAGGTGCAGATGTGTGCATGCGACGTGCAGATTTGTGCATGAAATCGTTCGTGAAGTAGTGGATGAAGCCCTTCGTGAGGAATTTCAATGTTCGGTTGATGGAAATGTGTGTATAGGGAATTAAAATTGTGAAGGTAGACGAAGACAACGAAATAGAGGGTGGTTGATCTCTTCAAGGATCCGGGCTCCTGATCCAAGCTCAGACTCAATTTAATAAGCGGCAATATTGCGCAAATTACGCAATGTCTTGGACTTCTCGATCCATCTTCAAGCCTCGGCATATCACCTCCGAATTCGACTTCCAAATGGATACTGAATTGTGGTTCTGCTTTTCAACTGTAGTCACTTCATGAGGCGGATGGGGACTAAGAAGCGGAATCATAGATTCTCCGAGAGAGAAAGGTTTCTAATCAGCAGAGGAAAGCTTTAACGGTGACGGGGTATGGGCAAGGAGTAGAAGCCAGTGCGTCGCTAGTTCAGTAAGCGAAAGCGAAGTGTAAACAAGAATGCTGCGCTTCGTTCATAATACAGTGGTTCACATAATCTACTTGAATATCTCTGCACTGACGCCGTTGTCCCTTTAGTCTTGTTAGAGCGCGATACATGGAAGTCAAGTCAAGTCATATTAATGAAGGGCGAGGAGAAGAGAGTGATCTGAAAGCAATATTATTACGCTACTAAGAACACGACGATCAATCCCCAGCCCAATTTGATCCAACCACCGAACCACTAAAAAACAGCAGAATGTATCTCATATGCCCTATTCGAAATGTGTCAGAGGTCAGAAGCGTTCTGATAGGAGGAATAGGCTGAGCTACCTTTGATAAGAAGGATTTTGATTGATTGGGGTCTGTTAGAGACATCAAGCTTTCGCCTGAGCCTACACCTCACGCCACGGGAAGGCCAGACCATGTGAGGCGCCCTGTTCGACGTTAGCAAACAACCAAAACGGACTTACCATAATGCCCAAGCTAGTGCAAGGGAAGAGACTACTGCAACTCCAAGAGCTACAGCAGAATGAATCCACCTTGAACCTGAATCGTCCGCCACCTCAGCGTCCAAGTGGGGGTTAGTAGGAGGGGGATCAAACTTACTTGGAGTGTGAGGGAATGGATCCCTGTACATCAGAGAGTTCTCAAGCCAATAGCTAGAGTCTGATGCAGTATCATCCTGCTCCTCCCGCACTACAGGGAAGCTAGGATGGAATGGGTCTTTGTAAATCAGAGAGTTCTCAAGTAGCCACTGGCTAGACTCATCTGAAAGGGAAGAGGACGGGGACGACGAAGGACAGAACGAAGATTCTGAAATATAAGAAGTAGATGGAGAGGAAGGTGCTGATGTGTATGGAGTGAAACTGAAAGCCATGCAAGGCTCCAGAATGGGGATGAGACTCGAGTCATCTTCTACTGAGAAGGAGACCGACTCTGCACTGTACAGAGTCATAGAGTCAGAAACGTCCAAGTCATTGCAAGCCGCATCACACTTGGAGCAGTTGCAAGACTCATCCATTCGCACGAAATGGAGGTTGGACATAAAAGGATCCTTGATCCCGAAGGAAGACTTATGCCACTGGCTAGAGTCATTTGCAGAAGTGGGGGACGGAGAGCGGTAGTAAACCGGAGACATAGATTGTGAGGAAGAATCAACTGGAATTGTGTTTTTTGATTTTGTATTTTCAATTGTTTTTGGCGTTTGAGGTTGCTCGTAGGCAGAAGGAGAGATGGCTGATATGCTAGCAGAAACACTCACCTCAGGAACGTCCTCAAACTCCTCCTCCAATACCGAAGTGTCGAAGGAATTGTCGAAGGATGTCCGTCGGAAGTGAGTGTTAGGGTAGGAAGGGGCACTGCGAAGAGTCTGGAAGCTCTTGTCTATATCAGAGGAGAGATGTTAGTAAGTGATCATGTGAGATAGGATCATGTGAGGCGAGGTCATGTGAGGTAAGGTTATGTGAGGAGCCAGCTTACCGGCAGTGCGAATGTATCTCTTCGTCCAAGAGTTGAGGGTAGGGCGGAGGGAATAGGGCGAAGGAGGAGAGGTGTGGGACTGAGACCCACGACGAATCTCAGAGAGAGACGCCGAGATAGGTGACCGAAGGTGTCCAGGGACCACCTTGGTAGAGGTAGAAGGAATGAAGCGGTGGAAACGCGACATGATGTGTGGGAGAGGAGAGCGAAGTGTGTAGAGGAGAGAAAGAAAAGTCAGAATCTCGGGGGGCGGTCGACCTTTTGAACCCCTCTGTGGCACTAAGTAATTGTTGGGTGACGTGCTGGACTTGACCGTTTTCGTGTGCTGATCTCTGGAAAAAATTTGCTTGTGATCGTGAAATGATTGGATTCATGAGCTGGTCGATGCTTGAACCTATCCGGAATGAGGTTCGTGGCGAGAGTAGCCTCCCAACAGCGAGAGCCCCGATCGAGCCGGTATGGGCGGTGCGCGCAAGAGGAGGAGCGCTGGAGTGCTGGCGATGGTGATGTATGTTGCGAGAGTAGACATTGAGGCGTTGAGAGTGTTTTGAGATGATGGTAATGATATTTCTAGATGTAGGAGTCTCTCAATCTGAAGTGTCGGTGATAGAGTTTGATATTGTGGTGTGGAAGGAGCACCTGAGTAGGATCCTGCCAGGAATCGCGACAGTGGGTAAATAATGCAATCAGAAAGACCGAGACAACTTCAATTACACGAGTCTTGAGCTCTTGATCATTCTGAAGTCAATCCTGATAAAAAAAAATCGACCTATTGAGATCAGCGCCCAAGTCTGCTGCTTTGTTTACTTCCCAAATCCACAGAGAGGCCGCCAGATTCGTCCACAGCGACTACACAGTACCCTACCAATCGCACAGAGAACTTCCTGTTGATAATGAACCAAGTATAAGATTCATCATGCGGGGGTAGTTTCGGACAATGGGAATGTGGATGCCAGAGTGTTGAAACAAGTGCTGCCAAACACGGCGCAAGCTGCGACAAGAGAGCCTTCGTAGATCGCAGATCGCAGATCTCAGCACTGCTGAATGAGAACTACGGGGGTTTTGTCTGAACGAAGAGAGAGATGAAACTGACATTGGGTAGGAAATGCATTCTGCTGGACACAACGGAGGCTGTCAGCAACGTGGAGTAATGGCTAGGCTCCGAAAGAACAACCGATCACGCCTCCATCGATCGCAGACCTCATCGCAATCTCGCAGACGATATATTCACCATAGGAACTTGAATGTAAAATGTGGCAATAAGGACAAGGGTACGATAGGTGGTCTGATGTGTCTATGGCTAACGGTGCCTACAACCCGAGTTCACCAGATCCAAGCATGCTTCCCACGACAGAACGGTGCGAGAATCAATATCCAAACTATTTTAAATACCCAATAACTAGGAAAAGAAGAGAGACGAGCAAGAATGGAGGTAACAAAACAGCCGATTACAGCCTCGTTGGAATGATGAGCCCTGAACGCCACACACAATGAACATGACGCCTCTCACCCTGTTCTCAATTGTCGAGCGGAGACATTGTGGAGGGCAGATAGATAAGTTGATACATTTTGCGCAATGTCAAGATACCAAGGAGCAAAAATTATCTGGAAATGGCGCGAATGGAGTTGAAAGACAGTACCAACGAGGAAACGGTCCAACTGTCGCTACCGCTTCCGTCGGTGTCTAATGCTCTCAACTCATGAGTGAGGAATGTTGACCAGAAGCTGAAATGGTGCGGATACAGCGTTGATGGAAAATACTACATAGGTGCAAGGTGAGCGTCTGGGACTGTACGGGATGGACTTCCAAACAACACCTCGAGCAGACCGATCATCTTCGCAACAGTAGGCTCTATTACGAATTATGACACACAGGACGCAGAAGAGCTATGATAATACTCTGCGAAACTTAGAACCCGCACGAGGAAGGTAGGTATATTCTACCCTTGCTTCCAAGCTGACTGACTGGTCTCTGGAGTGCGACGAACGATCCCGAACCCTCTATTGCAAATTCAGGATCGATTCCGTACAATGAATCGAATACAGTGATATGTTCTCTCTTCAAGCTCAATAGCCAAATAGCCAGATGTCTACTGGGTCTGCAGACCGCCTTGACGAGGGTAGGATTCTACGCCACAAAGACCAGCGACGAATTACTACCGCTAACAGATCGAACGCTTCACCAGACATCTACCAGTTGCTACTGGAGCTAATTGACACTGGTTATGGACTGCGAGGTTTCAGAAGAATATCGTTGAGCAACGGAAGGCCGTACACGCCCTGGTTTGGGTGAGAGTGGAGTTCGCCGACTTCCGAAAGAACTCGCCTTCGTCGAGAATCTCTATCGTGGGTGGCCAGCTCTTCTGCAGATAACTCAAAGGATTGCATGATCTACAGTGCATATATGCAAGCAAGGAGGCGGAGGATCTACAAGGGAGTGACAGTGTTGTGCTGTGACGGTCAAACCTCGAAGAAAGTGGCCGAGAAAGCTTGCCATCAATCGCAGATTTAGTTCGAAAACAGCTGGATACGCAGAGCCAAGACATATGAAGAGCGCGAAATTAAGTACCAAGAATTACAATGGGAAGGCATACGTTTGCTAATGGAACAGGGCTGATACAGGGTGTCGAACCAGTCTTGCCCATCCTTTCAGATCCACCCACTAGAACGATCTTCACCAGGACTACTCGTAGACATACAAATATCCGAGAAAATCGCAAATCAGGGTCATGGAATTACGGATACATTATGATGGGTTGCTGGTTATTTCGGAAAATAGGAGATTGGGTTGGATGATGGTCCCAGGAGTGGATCTGGAACGCCACAGCCATCGCAGACTCTTCGCAGATATTCTAGACACGATGAAAAGCTCTGTGGACTTTGATTTGCTCTGGCTGAAGCTCCTGTAAGAGCAGGAGGGCATCGACGTAGCTTATGGTTACCCAGTCCGATCCTCAGCAAGCCCAGCACTCAGCACCGTCGATTACATTTTGCAGACCTTGAAGTAGCGTGAATTGAAACTGGCTCACTCCCATAAATTGCTGATGAACCCAGGAAGCCTTGGAAGAATCGCACATGCGTAAATAGCAGGATAGATAGCAAGTATACACAAATTCATAATTGGCGGCCACAAAGAGTGGGCTGAGGCTGCGGGACTGATACCTTGTTCAAACTGCGCGCGTGGGATCAAACATGAACGTTCCATGATCACCCGGGTTGATACTCGGCCATACATTGACAGAAGAGACAGCGCCTCCCTCATAGATAGGGTACACTTCGTCAAGTTACCAATGGTCATGGAACAGCAGGTCTGATCCTTGGCATGACTTCGCTGCATTCAAACGATCAGCCACGATGAAGTACGTTGCAGATTGAGTAGCCAGGTCCCATTGCATTGATATCATGGCGGGAACCAAGATGGGCAGATTCAAGCCAAGGCAGATTCCATAGTCCCGTAATGACACCGAGGTAGCATGAGACAAGGCCGAGATGCAAACCGTTTCCCATGAACAAGAATCTGAGTCATGTGAAGACTTCAACTTGAAGCCGGGCACGATACCCCAGCTCTCGATCTTCTTTCCCCTCATCGCAGGAAACTGACTTCTCGCAACAGCTGACGGCCCCTTCTCAAACCCCCATGCTAACCCCTATTCAATGCAGATGCTCGAGACAAGATAAATATTAAAGCAACGAAAGATTTACATAATATCAAGCAGATAGATGGCAAGATCCGATAGATTAACAAAGCACAAACCATTTGACAGACTCTGCGTATCTCAAAAAGGAAGGTAGTAAACAAACAAGGAGGAACAACCGAAAGTAAAACCGAAACTTCCTTGTCCGAAACTTCAGACTTGGACAACTTCCTAAACATCCTTCCAAGTGTCTCATGTGCCAAAGGAGGCATTTTTGCAAACGAATCGAAATACCGTTTTGAGACCAACATGAAGCCGTGTCTGGGCAGACATGCATGGCACTATTCCCCTAAAGGAGGGCGTAGCCTTCCATCTCCCTCGAAACCAACAAATCGATCGGTGCCTGGCAATTGAATGAGCAATGCAGGGGAAGAGACTGCACTTTGGTAATCGGTGTGCGTTCATGTACCGGTAAAGGTTGGAGATAGGGCTGTGTTGGTCTTATTCATGGCAGCTGTTCACCAAGTCGTTGGGACTTGGGCGTCTTTTGAAATTTGACAAGCCCCTTAACTCTTACAGCCAATTGTCTTCCCACGATGCAAACCGCGCACCACGACCAGCCGTCCTCTTTCAACTCCTCAAGAAGCCAGATCGTATTCCACCACACTTCTGGAACAACCTGATACCCACGTGGCCAGCCAATAATCCGAGTAGATGCTGCTACATCTTACGGCTGGATACGCAAGGTTACAGCTCTTGGAAGTCGAAACGTCCCGAAGACAGAGACATCCTGGTCTGCATGTGCTAATATGACGATGGAGGCAGATTCGACGGCTTGCGTGGAAGAGGGGCGTCTGCATGGAAGGTTTTCGAAGGAGAGAAGAGGCGGTAAAGGAGGATCGAATTCTTGATGCCGGGACGGTACGAGGCGGCTGGACTGGATGTTTCCCATGGTTACCTTACCCCAGAGTTCTGGATGTTCTGCTGTACCGTCCGTACCCACTCGATTCCCACTCAAACATAATCCATGCCAGTCAGTCCCAGCTCCAGGAATCCAGTCTCTTCTAAGCAGGTGCAGCCTTTCAATCCAAGGATGACCTGCAGTAGATCATGACGGGATCTAATCAAGCTGTCCGGACTCGCCGATCCACTCCCCCACACCTCTCGATCCTGTCACGTGAAACAGGTGGGGGTGCTCTTACCTATTATGCATTCTATTGGAACAAAATAAGACAACCAACCGCAGCGTTCGGTACGGGACGATAAGAACAGAGACATGGACGTCGACGTGATGGATGGCATTTGCCAAACCTACATAATCTCGACCTGACCTGCCAGCCTTCAAGCCGCCTTTCCCATTCCATCAGTGCCTTATCTCCATCCCTTTTATCAGCAGTCAACGCTCATGTCTCGATCATCCAAATGCCCACACCAAGGATTAGGACCGTCGAAGGGTCATGCTGGGGATGTAAGGAACGCAGAGTGATCTGTGATCTGACATTGCCAGCTTGTGCCAAATGCTCCAAGGTTGGAAGACGTTGTGATTATGGCAAGGTCAGATTACGGGTATGTAGAACCCTTGCTGGCATGTAGAAAGCTTCAGATGGGCTTGAAGATATTGCGGATAGCCGGTGTCTAGGGACCGAGCTGATTTTTGGACTCGATGTAACCCAGCGCTAACTTTATGAAGTGGACGGACTGTGTAGCTTCCCGAGGACGTCTAGCCGGCAAGAAGATTCCTCTGTGCAAACCCGCAGCCCTCATCAAGAGCGCCGACCACCATATGCTCTACTTCTCTCAAGAAGTCCTTCCCCGCTTCACCATTTCGAACTCAGTACTGCACCTCGACCTGACCGAGTTGTCGAAAGATCCTGTACTTCTCCAGTCGGTCGTTGCGGTTGCAAATGCTCATGCGACGTACCGCAGTGCCAACGAGAAAGCCTTGTCACTATCGAAGATCGAGGACCGAAATAATGCGCTTAGATTATTCAGGGAACACTTGATGGGCGCGCATACAGAAGAGCTTAACCACTCCCTGTTCATAGCCAATGTGCTTCTCTGCATACTCGATGGAATCATTGAACCTATTACGGAAAGCTCTGCGACTCACCACCATATCATCGGAGGAAAGGCTATTTTGAAACAATGGAAGGGCATGGGAGGAATACTACAGACAAAGTACGAGCTGCCACTATTGATGCTCTCGATATTCGCGACGCTGGACCTCACACATGCTCTCTTGATTGGAGATGATCCATACTTCGATGCTACAACCTGGGCGGAATTTGGGGATTGTGACCCTTGGTGGGGCAATGTCAGAAGCGACGATGATTTTCTGGAAACAATGGCTATCATATCACAACTAGCTTCGCTTGGGCACGAAGTACGCAACTTTCGGAGTACTGTATCTATCGGGGTCTTGCTCTCTATCCAGATGGCTCTCGAAACACAAACTGTCCGACAGCTAGAGGCGAAGCATACTCCCGATCAAGCAGCTTGGGCAGCATTCTGCGCCTGCTATCGATTCACAGCATCTGTCTATCTTTACAGAGCCCTCAGTGTCCTTGATGTGAACCATGAACTTGTTCAACAAGCCGTAGCAAGCTGCATGGAGATTATCGGCGGAGATGCTTTGACCAATAAGCTTCATCACTGTATCCTATTCCCAGTCCTCATCGTTGGATCACATTGTTTGAAGGAGGAACAAAGGGCTGGCATCAAGAAGAGTCTTGCTCGGACAGGACTCTTCTTGTCATTCGAAAGTCTTCGATCTTTGGAAGGGTTTCTGGAAAAGCGCTGGGAACAATTGGATCGTGGGGATGATTGCATGACGGCAAGCTGGTGGGTGTATTTTGATGACATCGCAAACGTAACCTGTTTGTTCTGAGAGGGCATTGGTATGGGAGCAGGCAATTGGGAAATGCGGATCTGCAGCATCAGATACTGTTCGGTCAGAAGGAGGAATGGTATGCATGCAAACGTTGGTTGTACAAAGATGGTGCCACTCTGCTACGGACTCGGTATCAAAAGTTCCGAAAAGTGGGAGGATTTATGGATCGCTGTAGGCCGGCGGAACGACTGCGTTGGTACACGCCGAGGGTCAAGAAAAGGAGGAAAGCTCAAGATGCTTGGAAATTAGCTCATGGCTTGGAGGCAGAAGGTACACGTAACCCCGGTGGGACTGGAGAAGATATAAGAAGGTCCCAAAGGTGGGCATAACAGACCTTAGCAGAAGGCTCTCATCACCAAATCTTGCGTGGAAGCTAGATACTAACGAGCCATTTGTTTACTCTAGTCTTATTATTGGATTACACAAACTTGCGAACTCCACACGAGCCTCTGGGCGAAGTGATGATCGATTAGGCTGGGCCTGGCCTTATCTATGACCTCTTTTGTACGAGGTACTGCATTGTGGGGCCAATCGCCGCCCCTGGTCTCGCAAGCCAACAGCCCGATAAGAACAGCTCCCCCAGCATGGGGAATGCGAACCTCATGAGAATTGAGTACCTCTTTCTTTGCGTCTGTCTCTGGTGTTCTAACAATCTCTTGTTTCGTGCTGAGGAGATTGAGTTCCCAAAATGAAATCTGACGTTCTGAAAGCATGGGAGTCATGTGATTTGACGGATACGGTAAGTTCTTGTTGACATTGGACGAAATCCTCTAGCTCAGATATTCCATTGTGATTAGATGAACAAGTATCTCAGAACATGCTAACATGCGCAGCTCTTCGTCCTCGTCTGCACAGTCTTCTGCTGGCCCATCATACCAGCCGTCGGCCTCGCCTACTCAGGCTACAGCCATCGCCGCAATGGCATGGCATCATTTATGCCCTCTCTACTCGTGATATCCTGCTGTACAATCCAATGGTTTGTAGTCGGCTACTCTCTCGCCTATTCAGATGGTTCACCTGTCATCGGAGACTTCAAATATGCGTTTCATCGAGGGGTGTTGGCTGATCCCGTGGGAACGATTCCCGCTATTCTGTTCTCCGAGTTCCAATTAGTGTTCGAAGCCACGGTTTGTGCAATTGCGGTTGGAGGAGCCATTGAGAGGGGGAGGACGGTGGCGGTTATACCATTTATTTTTGTGAGTTTGTTTACATTGGGTTGATATCAAATCCAGAACCGAGACCAGGACACTAGCTAACATTTCCCAGCTTTGGACAACATTCATCTACTGTCCATTAGCCCATATGGTCTGGTCTGATACTGGATTTCTCGTCAGCCTGGGAGTCCTCGACTTCGCCGGCGGTACACCCGTACATATCTGTTCCGGTGCAACAGCCACAGCACTGAGTATCTACCTCTCCTACCCGCTCTTCCGCTCAAAGAAATCACCCCTCCGCACACCATCCCACCTCGCTCTCCACCGCCCGGGAAACTCCCTCTCACAACTCCTCGCCCTCGTCACAATCTGGAACTCCTGGCTCGCCTTCGACGCAGGCACCACTCTCTCCTTCAACTTCAAATCCATCATGGCTCTCTGCGTCACCAATCTCTGCGCTTCAGCCGGTGCCATAACCTGGGCGTCAATGACGTACTACGAGACAGGGAAATGGAGTCTAGACTCTACATTCATGGGCGCAATTTCCGGGCTCGTGCTCATCACTCCCTCAGCGGGATTCATCGACATGCCAACCGCGTTCTGCTTCGGCGTGTTTGGCGCGGTGATTTGTAGACAGGCGTTGAGGTTTAAGAGTACGAAGTTGGCGCAGAGGATTAGGTGGGTGGATAATGGGGATACGTTTGCGACGCATTGTGTGGGTGGGGTGGTGGGCACGGTTGCCACGGGGTTGTTTGCTAGGAGGGAAGTTGCGGGTTATGATGGGACGGTTATTGATGGTGGGGTGGTGTTTGATGGGAATGTGAGGCAATTGGGGGTGCAGTTGTTGGAGGCGTTGATTGGGTTTGTGTGGAGCTTTGGAGGGAGTTATGTGCTTTTTGCGGCGGTGGATTGTATTCCGGGATTGGAGGTTTTGGCGAAGGATGAGTAGGTTTTTTGCTGTTCATACTTAGCGGTTGAAAGAACTGATGCTAATTTATCACAGCGATATCGTATCTGGAATGGATGTCGCGGAGATGGAAGAGTCATTTCATGGGGAGTGTGAGGAGGATTATCATCCGTTCAAGAATGGTGGAATTGAACTTGACTAGATCGACTCCTTGCTCTTGAGGAGCTCGTAAATCGAGGAGCTCGTAAATGCACACTGCTACAGCTGAAGCTACGAGGTGAGCTGTTTACAAGCGGAGTTACCAGTAGACTATTACCTGGCCGTCTCTTTCTAGACTCGGAATGCCAGCAGAGTAAACACATCACTCTGCCGGGTCTGGAGTAAGTTAATTACACAAACGAAGACAATGGTTTGGAGTCTAGATAAGGTTATACTCACAGGGAGCTGCTGTACTACACAACTCTCTAAGCTCAACATGCAATCGTCATGTGCATCTCTGTCCTACCACGATTGTCAAGATAATTGGCTACCTCGTGAAAGCACATCCGCATCGCATTCCCGTCCCGACCCTTCATCCTCACATCTACCCGCACGGAACACTACATTATCGTACTGCAATGCTGTGAGACCTCCCTCCCTTGGGATATGCATTCGTGCCAACACGATCTTCGTACTCGCTTCTGTAATCTGGAGGCCATGTTAGTTGCAGGAACGCCTCAAAGCCACAACACCAAATGTCAGTTTCAAGTCTTCCAAAAAGATGACTATCTGCGTAGCAATGAATTTGATAACTGATGAGATCCCCACACCATCCACGTGATAAAAATGTTGGTCCAACAAACTTCCTATTCCAGCACCTCCACCCCGGGGCGTACATGCAGTAGCGTCCCGTTCGTGCAGGGCTTCCCGCATTCATAGTTCTTTTGATCCGCCAATCAACATTGGTTTTTTTCGGGACAGATCAAGCTTCGAAGACTAGGCTTCTTTCCCCAGACTAGGCCTAGAACAGAAAACACTTCCTGCAGGTGGTGGGAGGACTACCTCTGTATCTGATTGTTTTCTGGGGAGTCGGTGGGGATAGACTGCACTTTGTTTTACCAATTGGATGTGTTGATTGGTTGGTAGAGGGGAGAGATAGGGTAATTTTGGTTCTAGCGAGAGGGGTGGTGTGGTGGCTTTTGGTTGTTTTGTTTGTTGATAGATAGGGGAGATGAGGATGAGAGGAGGCAGGGAGGCAGGGGTACGAACTGATAAGGTTTTGTGGAGGATGTCCGCTGTCAGCCTTGGCTGCTGCTGCCCATGGGGTCGGTATCTGATGATGACTTCAACTTTATGGTTAATCATCTTGATGGTTGAGTCGCAGAGAGCTTCTTGGTGGTGGTGATGCATGTGTACCGCGGTACAGGTCATTTATGCTGTACAGCACATGGATTTCTTCTTTCATACTCCCGCAGGCAAGGTGATGTATGATGCGTTTCAAACACGGACGTGCGTGCTCCGCAGATACACATGTTGCACGTTGTTGATAGACCTTGCCTGGGGTATTCCCGTCCAAATCTTAGGCAAGAAGGGAGGGAGGGGAGTCGAGCTAAATAGGTAGATATCGGTCCCTAGACCATGGATAGGTGCACGTTCCGTACAGGACCATGTGATAAGGTTCGCCGTACCTTCGCGTTCCTTTTCTCTTCTTGTCCACTGATTCCCCTTTCCCCTCTCCCTAGATCCAAACCTCTAGGTGGATTGAGCCGAACAGCCCACTCTTATCTCCCCGATTTTTGTGTGCGTGCTGCAGCGCCGTTGTTGTTTAAAGGGCGAATACCCCTTCGATATTCTGCAGGTTCTTGTCCTTGATTGGATCGAAAACGTATTGTTTGTTGGACAAGAATTCTTGGAGAGGCTTCATTGCTTGAAAACTGGGGATTTTGTGGATTTCGCCCGTCTTGGAACTTGCTTGTGTTTTCTTGGACTATTGGATTCGGATATTCCTGATAGGACGCGTCACGTGGTACATTATTCACCAGTAGGACGCGAAAAAAGCAGCGACGTATTTGTTGGCTTGAACCGAGGATCAACTTGGTTATCAGCATCTCAGGCCTCTCATCTTGTTTTGAGATTGACGTCGTCCAAGGATCTCAACGTTGACACAACTTGACTTGAGATCGATCCCAACAACCACAACAATGGACACCCAAACCAAGCTCGTCGATGAGAAAGGACCTGCATCCCCAAACAACGAAGCCGGAACCGTTCATGATCTTGACAGTCTCACAGCTCTGGGCTACAGTCCCGAACTCCGCCGCAATCGTTCCCTCTTCACCTTACTCTTCCAAAGCCTCGCCATTGCCGCTATTCCTTATGGCGAAGGTGGACCTCTGATTGTAGCCATCTATGGAGGTGGTCAACTTTCAATATTCGTTGGATGGTTGATGGTTTTAGTTCTGGATGAGTGTGTGGCTTTGAGTCTGAGTGAGTTAGCTTCGAGATATCCGACGAGCGCGGGACCGTATTACTGGAGCTTCCAGATTGCGAAGACGAACAAGACGATTTTGTCGTTTATCACGGGATGGATCTGGCTGATTGGAAATTGGACAATTACTCTATCGGTCAATTTCGGATTTGCTTCTCTGATCACGGCAACGGTGTCAATGTACCATCCGGATTTCGTCCCTAAAGCTTGGCAACTCCTCCTCATCTTCTTCGCAATTTGTTTGATCACGCTCGTGATCTGTACATTCGGAAACACTTTCTTGCCCATGGTCGATACCATTTGCGCTGCCTGGACTGCGATATCTATCCTGATCATCTTGATTGCTCTGTCTGTGAAGGCAGATGTAGGACGTCATTCTGCTTCTTACGCTCTTGGGCACTACGATACATCATTTTCTGGATGGGGTGGTTTCACGTTCTTCATTGGTCTCCTTCCTGCAGCTTACACGTTTTCTGCCATTGGAATGATCTCGTCTATGGCTGAAGAAGTTTCAGACCCAGCTATCAAAGTTCCTCGCGCGTTGTCCCTCTGCGTTCCTGTTGGTGGTATTGCTGGTCTCTTCTTCATCATTCCGATTTGCGTCACAATGCCACCGCTAGAAGATATTCTCGGAGCACCATCTGGTCAGGCTCTCCCGTATATCTTCCACATCGTGATGGGCTCACCAGGTGGTGGTCTGGGTCTCACATTCCTGGTTCTCGCAATTACCATGTTCTGCTCCATCAGCATCACGGTCGCTGCGTCTCGCTGTACTTGGGCATTCGCACGAGACGATGCGATTCCCGGATCCAAGATCTTTGCCAAGGTCAATAAGAAGCTCGGGGTTCCCGTCTACTCACTCATCCTCGTAACTGTCGTGCAGATGCTGCTCGGTCTCATCAATCTCGGTAGTACCAGCGCATTTACAGCGTTCGTCTCCGTAGGCGTCATCGCTCTCGCCGCATCATACGCTATTCCGATCGCGCTGTCGCTCTTCTGGAATCGCCGTGTGGAGGTCAGCCAGGCGAAGTGGAATGTTGGACCGATCATTGGACCGATTGTGAATGTGATCGCGCTGTGCTGGATTGCATTTGAGATTGTGCTGTTCAGTATGCCAACAGTATTACCGGTTACTGAAGTGAGCATGAACTACGCGAGTGTGGTCTGTGTTGGATTTGGAGTGATTGCGACGGTGTGGTATTTTGTTCATGCGAAACATGGTATGTCTATTTCTCTCTTTCCAATTATCTGCGAAATTCACTGACACGATTGGATAGTATATAAGGGGCCTCCAGCTTCCGATGGATTGTAGAGCAGTTCGATGCTTGAAGTGAAGTTCTTCGCTTAGTTCATGGTGGATCAGAGGACTGTTTGTTTGCTTTACGTAAAAAGTGGAGGATCGTTGACAAGCGAGTTCTGGCTTGGCTGATTCTGAAAACAATGCTAGCATTTCAAACGTCGAGCGATGGAATCTAGTTCGCTTGAGGTGTACATAAAGATAGAATCAGATCTTATTACTCGAACGACTTGGGTATGATGATGTCGTAAGGTTGAGAAAATGAAAATGCAATTCCAAGTAGTATAAAGTCACAGCACCTCGCTTAGCAATTGCCCAGAATCAATAGACAGAGCTTCATCATTTGTAGACACACGAAGCAGTTCTAGAATACTCAATACAGTATTTGAGATTCTTGGAGACGCCCAATATTCTTCTGAGTACATGAATATCAATCACGGTGACTCTCGCCAAAACCAACTGCGCTTTTCACCAACAGCATTTCAGATACGAATCTTCTGTAAGCCCTTATCTCTTGAGATTGCAGCACTCATGTTACAGCAACTGCAAGCGGTCCAACCAAAGTTGCAGTCTGCAGGTCGTCAAAGGTAGCTGGCTGTTGCGTAGTGAGCGCCACATATGCAACACCATTCATCCCCTTCGGAACTGCTGCAATGCCTGAGCCAGCTCCGAGCTTGGTGACCGGTGTATAAACTGGTTGGTTGAACTGATTAAGCCAAGCAGCATACAGCTGCTTTCCTGTTTCTCTAACCACCCATACTTGTTGATTGTCCCAGCTAAACGACATTGTCTCAGGGTATGTTGCATTTGCAAATGCCCAAGGGAGCGTTGGGTCTTCTTTCAGCGCAGGATACGTCGGCAGAGCGACCTCAACAGGGCAGCTTCCTGGAACAATGAAAGAAAGTCCAATGTTGTAAGCCCATGCTATAGGAATAGCCGTGTCGAACGGAGCTGGGTTTGGGACAAGTCCGTGAAGGATCCGCAAAAATGCGTCGTGACGTGTCTCGGCTCCTAGGATTGCGGTTGTTGATGGACCGATCGAAGGGTTAGAGGTACCTAATTGCTCCTGGGCACCTATGACGCTCCCAAGGTTGGCGGAGGTTAGAAGATTTGCGACAGCGAGGAATTCTTCAAAGGTTGTGGATGGGAAAGTGTAGTTGCATGGTGGGATGACGGGAGCAGAGCTTTCGAGAAGGACTCCAGAAACTGTTGCAACGTGGACTTCTTCTTGCTAGTCATGGTATCAGTATATTAATTTTGAAATTTTGTCAATGTCAAATCCTGGGAAGCGACATACAGCAGCAATCTTTGAAATCACATCCACCACATCATCGAATATCGAGGGCTCAGTAGTAAAAATTCCGTTCGTCAGGTTGTGGATGGCATCTGAGTAGAAGAACGCCTCGATGTTCTCCAAGGTAGCAAGTAGCTGTAGGCCGGTAATGCCAGCTGGTGTAAACCCCGATAATCCAGCTTCGGAAACATTTGGCGTGCCTCCACCAGCAATCAAGGTGATATTTTCGTTGACTTTCCCTTGGAGTAACTCAGCAGACGGCGGAAAAGCTGGAGCGGAAATGACCAAGGGCAGAAACAGGAAAATAATAGAGGCGGTAGATATCATTTCGAAAACTTGAATTTGGTCGCCGGGTGGTGCAGGGAATAGAAATGATGTTACTGCAGTGTCGAAATCGAGCTTCTCACAGAGAGACTCGGCGCTTTATACCGTCCCATTGCTCCTGGCAAGTTTCATTCAAGTCCAGCCTTCACGCGAACTATGACCTTGTAGAGTCGTCATGATCTTTCCAAATCTTACGCTAAATGCCGATTTCTGCCGGGAGTTGCGATGCTCTTCCAGTCGTAGTCCAATGTTCTCTTTTTAGCCCACTTCTCGACGAGCTAGGGAAATTGAAGAGACATTTACACTGTTATCATGCAAGATTTGGTTGTCACTTACGTGACTACATTCGAAGTTGGTGAATCAGCAGAGTCGTGTAACCAGATACCCGAGCACCCTTACCTCAAGCGGTTCGCAGCTCGTAGGATTTCGCACCACAATGACTACAGAATGGCGTAAGCAGACAGTCTCACATCCTTGCCTCAAACGATTGGCAGCTCGTAGTCTTTCGCACCCGGATGATTCCAAGTATATCTTGCGAAACAATCGAGAAATCTGATAAATCTACGAGAATGTGTTTCGCAGTGACATCATGGATAGCTCGGAACTTTCAGTGGTGTTTGTTCGTGTGCCGCATGAACTCAGGCTCTGTTATCTGAATGTATAAAGTGGTAACTTAAAAGCGCATCCTTGTGCCCAATTTCTCTTAATCCATCTAGCGGTCGATAAGCCATCTCAACATTGCAGTTCACCCAATGTCGATTTACAGTCTTTTGGTATGCTTTGCCTCTGTCGGCGTTGCTACAGCAAACCACTCTGGGTCTCCATCAACAATGCAGAGAACCTATGACTGCCAGCCTACGCAACCATGTTGGCCATCAAAATTGGATTGGTCGAATTTCAATAAGACCATCGCCGGCAATCTTCGTGCAACCATCATGTTCGGTAGTCCATGTTTTCCTAGCTCGCCTGATTACAAGAACAACACCTGCCAAAACGTCATCTCGAACTATACCAATGCCGATTTCAGGGAAGGGAACTATGGTGGAATGGCTTACACCAACTGGGAGACTTGCGGCTCGGCAAACTGTTTGCCTGGTGTCAATGCACCACAGTCAGAGACCTGTTCCCTTGGTCGAATGTCAGCGTTCTACGTGGATGCACAAGGCCCGAGAGATGTTCAGGCTACACTGGCCTTTGTCAAGACTCACAATATCCGACTTACGGTCAAGAACACGGGTCATGACTTTCTCGGCCGAAGCTCTGCTGCAAATACCTTGGCTTTGTGGACCCACAACTTGAAGAATCTTGAATACCGAGCCGATTTCATGCCGATGAACTGCCCGAGCAGCAGTGTACAGAATGTTGGAATCATGGGAGCCGGAGTTGTTGCTCATGAGGCCGTTGACTATTTTCTGGGCTATGGAATGGATGTTACGGTAGGTGCATGCCCAACTGTAGGTATTGCTGGCGGGTTTGGTCAATCTGGCGGTCATGGAGCTTTTGGACCCAGCTACGGATTGATGGTAGACCAGGCTATTGAATACGAAGTGGTCACCGCAGATGGAATCTTAAGAACGATCAATGAATGCAACTCTCCAGATCTCTTTTGGGCGATGAGAGGGGGCGGAGGTGGAACTTTCGCGATCCTTCTGACCTACAAGTTCAAACTCTACCCCAAGAAGGCCCTTGCAATGTACACTTTCCGTGCCAATATCAAGGATCCCGGTGCCAACACTACGCAGAGTCAGATTCTCAACGACACAATCACCACACTTGCCAAAACCCAATTAGCTTGGTCATACCAAGGAATGGCAGGATACGACTTTCTTTTCTACAATTCCATCGAGACCCACCAAATACTACCGGGCAATGGAGATGTGATGGGAAGACTGAAAGACATTACTGCTGAATGGACAGATTTTATCAGCAATTATCCTGGATATGAAGTCATTCAAAATAACTTTACACTCTTTGCAGATCAATCTGCCTACGAATCTGGCACCGCACATATCATTTCTCGGAATAACCAAGTTGGCGTGGGAGCTTTACCAGCCAGCCGACTGGTTCCCAGGTCTCAATTTGAAAGCTCGCAATCAATCGATACTCTAGTTGGAGGTGTTCTGAAAGGTATAGACAATGCAAGACAACTGAACTCGTCTGATAACCGAGTTGCATTTGGCATCTACAAGGTCACGCCAGCGAATACACCAGATACCCAAAGGTCAACAAGTGCCAATCCAGCCTGGCGTGATTCTCTTTGGCATGTGATTGTCGCTGGAGGATGGGAGCAAGGATTCCCAGAGGAGGACATCAAGGATGTTCAGAAGTATGTCCGGCTTGGACTCAAGGGGCTTTCTGATATCCTTCCTTCCCAGGCGTGCTACACGAATGAGGCAGACTATGGTGAGGAGGATTGGCAGTCTGTTTTCTTTGGTGAGAACTATGATAGGTTGCTCAAAATCAAAGAGGAATGGGATCCAACCTTTCTGTTCAACTGCTGGAAATGTGTTGGCTGGCTTGGCCCGGCCGATGTAATGTATTCTTGCTACGGTGGCAATCCCATTCCAACAGGTTTTTAAGCGTCTTCGTAGTTAGCAAACGGAAGCCTCTATTTACCCCGCCACTGAAAGTCGCTTCTTCTAGCACGGTTAGGACTTATTTAATGTCCTCCAAGACCAGCAGACAATGAAGTGGGGGGGGGACAGGACAGTATTAGTACTGGAGAAATTCAAGGAACTATAGTCTAAGCATTCTCGATGGTTCAAATCTAGATAAACGTCCCAACGGCTATTGAAGGGATTGGCTGCATGCTTCGTTAACAGTGCCCCCTGGAAAATCGTGTTTTCGGCAGTTGAGGGGATAAAGCTCGCTTAACCTAATGTGGGTTCTCAAGTAAACAACAAACTTGGCGTTTTACGGATGTCAAATCATGCGACGTCAAAGAACACACAATCTTTTTCTCTCAACTGTCATTGACTTTTTCATTCGTCCTTTTCTGGAACCATCTTGCAACTTGGTGTAGTGGCCTGTTCTTCCCCCTCTGGGCTCGAGGGCAGATCGATTCCCGGCTCAGCTTCAACTTCAGCGTAAAGGCGCGCATTATTTTGGCACACTTTCTCTTATGCCTTCCCTCCCTGATGAAATTGCAATACTCTTCAAAGGTCGTCTGTATCTGATGTAATCTTGTGCCATTGATCTACTAACGAATGTGGAGAATAAAACAGCTACCGTCCAGCCCCATTGAATCCTTTGCTAAAGCATGCGAGAGCTTCCAAAAACTATATGTCACAATCCTCATGTCTCCAAGAGAAAACATGTCATCCCATAGTGTCCACCGCCTCCCCAGACATCTCATGCGTCGCGCATCCCACGACAAGTCCGCTGAGCTATCCTCCGCGCTCAAGCACCCCCATCAGAAAGGAAGGACTGAACCGTAGTGGTTGATGGCACCAGATAGCATTCATCCGATGATGCTTGATCGATCATGTCGACACAGCTGGCGTCCGAGTACAGAAATATGCCTTCATTCGCGGCGAAGTCCGTCAAGGTAATAGAGCCAGCTGCTTCATCCACATCCGTGACGTTGGAACATGACCCAGCTGCTGGCGTGACGGCAAAGAGCGATTCGCCATTGCAAGCATTTCCGAGATAACCGACCGCTGTCACAGCAGAAGATCCGGGAAGTAGTGTCGTGATGACAACTAGAGCATACATGGCGTATAGTGTTCGTGCCATTGTGCGGGCTTGAGTGGGTTGCTCAATGAATGGATTTTGCTGAGACCCAAGATTGAATCGATATAGGGCGCGGAACGTAATTGAATCAAATGTTTTGGTGTTGTGGATACAAGGCAAAAAGCAGTTTTGTCCAAGTGAGATGAGGAGAATATTCTGGAGTAAGAGTACAAATTTAGAATGCCGGAAGCCAGACTTTATAGAAACTTGCTAGACGACGTGCTCGTCGAGGAAGCTGATACCCCACGCCACCTCCAAAGAAAATATCCAGGTCGAAGAAATGAGATTCGGTCAACCGATGAAGTACGTCACTTTGACGAACATGAAATCATTCTCGGAGTCAATAGACACTCCATGAATGCAGGATGATGGCACTTGTCGGAATTTCAGCTTCGGCCGGAGTTATTGTTCAGTCCGATTCCACTTTAGTCTTCTCAATGCAACGAAAAGGAAGCATTACCAGACTTTCAACCCAAGTAGACCCAAGCAGCTGACGTGAGTAGCTTTGAAGATCTTGAACTTCAACGGATCGCATTCGTTTAAGTCGAGATAAAAGAATGACTGAAAGGTTGGAAATGTCACCTTGTAAAGCAGATCGATTCCCACGTCTGACTGTGCCACCCAGTGAACCTTCCAAGGTGCAGACGAGATCTCAATGCCAAAAAGCTTACTGGCTTGCTGCTAAATTGCCTAGTTTATGGGGCAGAATGCCAAAGAAGATATCGTGGTGCTACGAATTGCTATGAAAAGTACGGTGAGGTTTGGACTGCTGATGAGACGATAACTTCAGATGTTGTAACGATGAATAAATATAAATCAAAATCCCATGAAACAAAGACCTTCATTGAGAACCACGAGCTTGCAGTACGAAATGAATCTATGAGTGCTTAGAAACGCAATGAAATGTCAAGCGGCTACGTTGCATGGGACATACAATTGTCGATCGCTTGGGCTGAGTTAAAGCCAAGCGAACCCAAGCAAAGCTTGAAAAGGCTTGTTACGACGATCGTCGATATTCAGTGTGGGATAGAGTGGTATTCCACGTCTTGCACTGTGCCACAGTATTACCAGCTGTTCTCTGCTTTCTTACGAGCTCACCAATTGTATTATTCCCTCAACTCCGCATTACCTGTGGCAGCAGAAGGGGGATCACTAACTACTGCTTCAACCCGCGTTCCCTCAACTGCCGAAAATACAGTGTTCCAGGGGGCAGTGCTGAAGGCGGGAGGGCATCAATTAACGTTGCCTATCCTATAAGGCAGAGGCGTATTCCAGGGTTCCTCGCTTTCGTTTATTACAAGGCGTTTCTTCAGACTATCCACCCCTTGTAGAAACTGTGTTTCGTTTGGCAGCTGAAGGAATAAGACTCAATTGCTAGTAAGGTTCGGTCCTCGGATCTACCTTATGGAAGCGTGGTAGCCTAGGTCAATAAGGGTTGCTATGGACGGCTGTGACGTGGAGCTTTATTTGGCCGATTGAGGCACATCAACGAAAACAATACGAACTGTTCTAAATTTCGACTACGCCTTGATACTTTACTATTTGTCCGTTAGCCTGTGGAGTAGCAAGTAACTTAGTGATAAACTTATCATATGTATTTTAAATTGTTTTGTTCGATTTATATTTCACGTTTTAATATATTCTTGCATATGATTTCTGAGCTAGCAAAATGTCTCAGCACGTCAGTTGAGAACTCAGTCAAGTCAAATTTGGATACTACCTTCTGAAAAGCGGAATGATTGTCTTCATTCTCTCGAGCTCAGAGAATTGGTCACTGCCCATACTAGACTCCTCTTGGGTCGGTTTTGATGAAACTGATCAGCACCAACAGCTTAAACCTCTACCTTACATGACTAAAATCCGGCATGTCAGAGCATAGTTACATAGCTTGAGGCACAGTGAAATCGCGTCCTGTTAAAGCTGTATTTGATGACGCAAAAGTGCAGGGTAATATCTGGAGAACTGAGCAGCTACTTTTCGGCGGTACGCCATAGCCGTCCAAACAGTATTTTCAAATATAACGGAGTTAGTAGGTTAAAGTATATAGAACACTTAGGCCGCAGACTTTCTGCCACCATTAACTATCGAACAACCGGTGTTCTACAAATCTTTTTCAATTCAAAGTCCTCAACACAAGATCGCAATGAAATCACTCCTCGTTTCAGTTTCCCTCTTCGGAAGTGCTGTCTTCGCTCTCGATCTGACCTTCGCCTCTGTGGCCAGTTGTACTGGTAAGGCTCTTCATGGAAGAAGAGACTTGCCCAGTATCTCATGCTATAACTTGACCTCCTACCCCGCTACTCAGTCGGTCATCCTTGCAAGCTTTGAACCTGGAGAAACGGTCAAGTTCTTTTCCGATGCAGAGTGTCAAGATGAAATTTATCGCGCTTCATCTGATCAATGCTATACGGAGACGAACAGGAAGGTACTAGGGTTCTCCCTCCAGGCCGCAAATGATGCAACATCGAGCAGCGCATCGAGTACCGACGTTGCGGTTTATGAGGTTAAGCTCACCAACTTCACAGGCTTATCGCAGTCAAGCCCATTCAACATCGATCTGAACTTCAGCCGTTTCGCGACTGGAGTGACACTTTCCATTGTGGCAGGTCTTGTCGCTATTTCAACAATCGCAACTGGGTGCGTCTTGAACGATTCTACAGATGTGTTGTCTATCTATGGCTGTATAGCGGGGCCAATGTCAACTAGTATGTGCTTAATACTATGCAAATTGACTTATGTTAGCATCACTGACTTCTTGCAATAGTCATTGCAGTTGTTGGGGGATATCTCATCAGTAAAGGAGTCGGCTCTGGTCCCGGCCCGTTGGAAGCCGCTATCAATATGGGCACTGGAACGATCAGTGACCTGAGAAGACGGGAACTGATTGACAGTGCGAATTTCGAATACATGTCAGGTATCATGAAACGGGACCGTGGGGATGGAATCGTTGTCGGTGAGCATGTTGGATTTCAGGGTCGCGACATGGGCAATGGTGTTCAACAGCGAAGCCCTCTTTACGAAATGGACTTCGGTGTTGGGGGCATGTACCACATGGCAGCATTCTTTGACGAGAGATCCAACAAGTTTGTACACCATTTGCACCGTGCGGAAGAATCTGGTCTGAAAGTTCGTCATGATGGCCTCGGCAGACGCCAAATCTCATACGACGATGTTCGATGGTGAGTATACCTGGAGCTTTCCTGCTCCTGCAGAGATGTGCAAAGTGACTTTGAGTCGAAGCAGTACTGATTCAACCATACAGGAACACCAATGGACTCGACTTTGACTACTGCATTTTTCAAGGGGCAACGTCTGGATTTAGCGCAGCACCCACGGACCTCTGGCAGACGGCCTTCGACCAGTTCAAGTGCCAAGTACCAGAGGGAAGTACATCTCTAGAGTCTGATGCTACGAATGTGAACGTGAATCTGTTTAATGAAGCTGCCACTCTTGTTGGGTCCATTACGATTGTTGGCTACAGCGGCACCGACACATCATCAGGCAGTCCTCCCACTTGTGCCAATCCTACCTCGAACTTGAATGAGGATTGCGTTGTAGCTTGAGAGCTCTTGGAAGAGTTTGAAGGAGATGGCATAAGCAGCCAACGATATGTGGAGTGAGAATAAACAGGACTTGCGGGTTGAATTGATTTGGAGTTTCTTTCTTTCACTTTCGGATATCTGCGTTACATAAAAACACCATATCATTCAACATGATTTGTGGTATTCCTGGGACTAGCTTCTTTTTCGAAATTACTTCGGTATGCCAGAAAAAATCCATTCCTTCTGAAATGAAGACATATTGAATTGGTCTTGCCTCGCACTGGTATTCGCAAAAACCGGACAGGGGGATGAATGCGGAAGTTGAGTCCAACCAATTGACATCTGTCCCACTCCAGAGTACCTGCTATTAAGCAAGAGACCTAGCTGGACTGTTTTGAGGTACCATTAGGCATCTACAGGTTACGGCAGTAAGCTTCCTACCTGAGCTGTCAAGCTTTGTGATCTGCAAGTGCTCCCCTTACAGGGGTTTTATGCAGATAACAACTGTAATTTGTCTGTATTTTGTCTATATTCCTAGTAGTAGTAAAATGCAAACAGAATTCAAACAATATCTAGGTACTACAGTTTTATCAAAAGAAATGCAGACAAATTAGCATATGTTAAAAGTAAGTATGAGAGTTTAGGTAACTTAGACTTTTCATGTTTTGATACAAAGTTAAACATAGACCTTTAACTACCTAATTTCGGAACACTCGGAAGGGAGACCTACCTTTAGAGGGAGAGAGACCTTGGAGGGAGACCTCAGAGGGAGACCTTGAAGGCAAACCTCGGAGAAGGGAGGGAGAGAGAGTAAAGGAAAAGGGAAGGGAAGGAAATAGGGGAGGGGTAAATAAGAGGGAGGAAATCAACTTTATTAGTTAGAAAACTCTTAATATACAGATAATAGCCATATTTTCCTTGAATTACACTTAATATTTATTTTGTTATTTTAAATCTTTAAAAATCAATTAGAATTAGAGTTTCTAGCTAAGAAACATATAAACAAATAACTAAAATACAAACAGAAAATATATCTAAAAGACCTGTTTATAGACAATATCTGTAGGAAGTGCAGTTAGTGTCTGTAAAAAAAACTCCCGTAGGCCCGTAGGGTCCCGGCTTCTGATTGAACCCTTGAAGAGGCACAGCTGCAAAACCTGTGGAACAGTTGACGGAAACTCTTTTTGGTAATACTACCTACCTTATGCTGGTAAGCCTCGCCCAATCAGCGACACGTTCAACAACGTCACAAGGTGCGAGTACTAGGACAATTGAGGGACGATCGTCAACCCGCCACACTCTGGCCCATCCATCAGAAGCAAAACAATCCGAGCTGTGCTGTTCATATCCATATCCACCTCACCTCCACATTCCTCCTAACTTTCGCAAGATACCCAACAACTCCCACAATGTCTGCACATACACTACTCAAAGCTTCAGTACGAAAAATATGCCAGCTAAACGAACTCACTAGCCTCTTGAACCCTTGGATCATCACCCCCTTCAATCCACACCTTGCCATCGCTTCTGATTTCCATCCTCTCACAACCATCCTTATTTACAGCCTTCTGGAGCAAATCTCACTCCTCGGAATCAACTATGTAGCTCTCGAACCCTGGACTGTTCTCCTTTGGACAGCTACCACCCACCTTGGCGTCTCCCTGATGTGTCTGGACATGTTTGCAGCTCTACGTCATCGGGAACTCCAGAACACTAGGGAGGAGAAGTCAGACAGTCAGGGATCGAAACCTCGTCCCCCAAAATCCTCCTCTGCTTTTTGGCTTCTGCCACCTGTATTGACAGCTGCGCTCAATAACGCCGCGTTCATACTATACAATCAAACCTCGCAGGCACCGTCTAGACTCAAACAACATTCCAACATTCTCATCCTGTCGACCTTCGCAACACTCTGCTTCCTCGGCTGTCGATTTGCCGACTGGCAGATATGGCATCGAACACGGCGAGGGCTCGATACTACTACCTATCTCACCTCTCTGCTCTATCAGCTTCTTTTGCTTCTTGCAAGAGTGCTTATGAGATGGACTGCTGGTTTCCAGCCTCTGATCTCACTAAAGACTTTGGATGAGGTGGAGGCAGAAGAGAGGTTTGGGGTGCAGAGATATCGATGGGTCAAGGAAATCGGGCTGCAGAGACTGCCTGATTGGGTCATGTGGATTTTACCATTGTTATGCTTCGTTTTTGTCTTGTCGGGGAATTTGCTGTGGGGTCGAGAAGTGAAGGCTGTATGGCGTGGGGGAGGGAGCCGAGCAAGTTCATGATACATTTGTCCTGCCCCAGACCTTGACATGAATATCGATATATATTTGATTCGACTAGTTTGACTCCCATACAATAATAGCATACCATTTTCATTGCGGGAAGCACCATCGCTGGATGGTTAGTACAGGTTGTGGTTGGTCTTTTCCTCTGCGATTGCTTGAAGTCCTTATTCCGACCTTTGAGTATGAATTCAAAAACCTTCTTCTTGCCAAACTGCCACTCAGCGCCACGTCTTGGTTTTCAAAGTACAGTAGACACTGAGAACTAAAAAGCATTCATACCAGGCTGTTGAATCGGGCAAGCTCTTCACCTTCATGACCCGATCAGGTGATAAACAGCCCCTCCAGCTGCGCTACTAAGCGAGGATGGCCTTGGCGTTGTTGATAAATCTCGTCGTCGCGATCTTGCTTCTTTCCTTCTTTCTCTCTTCTTCATCATCAAAAACCAACGCCACTGCCACAACATGGCAGCACCAAATTCTGCCCAAAACGCGCAGAATTACTTGCCTGCTGCTCCTGCTGCTCCTCCCATGCCAGTGTATAATACGATCTTGCACGACTGGGCCCAGGGTATCCATCAACACCCGTGGAACCTGACACGTGACGGCAGAATTACTACACTTGAAGCCATCTATGAACAAGTGATGCGTTACACGCGCTTTATCAATGATCCAGCTGAACATGATCCATTCCACAATGCACCAGCCCCTGTGAAAGCATACCGTGTCGAGCGCTGGTCTTGGCACACAATTTGTGAGTTCACTGTTATCAGAACGCTTTACTTGGGCTGTCTAACGGACATTCGCAGACGGTAGATACAATGATGGCCCGTTGAAATTCCCTGGTGTTGATCCAGAGCCAGAGTGCGTACGGGTATGTCATCTGTTACTTGTCCAAAGTCTTGATAGGTGTATCTAATTTATCATAGTTGCATCTGTGGAACCCCCCGCCGTTTCTTCAAAGACAGCGTGGACAGGTCTCGACTCCAGTGCAAACCACAGCTGTTTTTGTTCCTCAATTTGATGCTCCAGTGCAACAACCTCCACAGATGCAATACCAACCACCGATGCACCCTCCGCAGCAGATGCAACAAGTAGACACTGCTGAAGAACAAAGCAACGGGGACCCTGACGGTGATCTCACCTATGAAGAGCTCCTGATTAATGCAAGTGCGATGAACTGGCAGGTTGGACATGGCTAATTTTATGATTTAGGTCCTGCTGTCACATACACTGGAAGAACTGGCACAGTTGCAACAAGAGGCCTTTGACTTGAAGGCACGACGCGATGCTGCAATTGACGATGGTAGAGGGGATGATGGGGGAGCTGAGAGTTCTTCTCGGTAATCCGGTGTCCTGGTATAGTATCTCAGATGAGTACTGCAAGTCTCTGTTGAGACTGATTTCCTTTTAAGTCTCTTTTGAGAAGTAGTACTCTGTTGAGGCTACTGTTTCCTTTCATATCTCTGTTGAGATGTAGCACTCTGTTGAGGCTACTGTTTCCCCCATTTCGCTCTGTTGAGTTCCAGTTCTCTGATGAGACTGTGGTATTTCTGGCCTTAGTTGAGGTTCCGATTTAAGTATCTATTTACAGTGGATGTAATAAAATTTAACTGTGCCTTATTTCCCACATGACAGTGAATATGTTCGCGCCAGTCATGGCCACGTCCCCCACATAGAGCTGGATCAATCGATGTCCAATTGCCATCCGATTTCAACACACTTTCACTTGGCTTTGGGATCCCCTTCGTCTGTTTTGGCATGCGAGACAGTCGTATATTATTTAGGGGTGGCGACAAAGGTCCCGCAGCAGAATGCGGGGAAATACTGTATTTTAGGCCGGAATGCTCTGCCGACAGTCGACCCCTTGGTCACCAAGGTCGCGAACCATTCTGAGAACATACCTTTCGACATAATTATAGCATAGATCATCGTACCTTTCTTGCTCCAGCCGCTATTATTTATGTGAGAATTTTTATGCTGACGGCTTGAATTCGATCAGCAATTTAACATTACGTCAACTCGTCAAGGAGCAAATCAAATTCTATCAAGAAACCAATTATTCGTTCATCAATCACAATGTCCGAGATCAACCGCTTTGAAGGTCTCTTTCGCCTTGATGGCAAAGTAGCTCTCGTTACTGGAGGTACGAGCACCTCAGGCTTACCTAGTAGAAATTCGTTGACAAACTGTTCCAGGATCACGAGGTCTCGGCCTCCATACGGCGACAGCGTTCCTCCTTGCAGGTGCAGAGAAGGTTATCATCACCGCTCGAAAAGCAGAAGGACCTCAAGGTATTGATCAGGCTGTAGCGAAGCTCAACAAACTCTCGGGTATCAAAGGAAATGCTGTAGGAATCCCAGCTAATGTTTCTAATGAGGATGAGATCTTGCGCTTAGTGAAGCGGATCGAGCAGGAAGATGGAAAGTTGGATATCTTGGTGGCGAATGCAGGTGCAACTTGGGGGAGCAAGTTTGAGGATGCTCCAGATCAAGCGAGTGAGAAAATTTTGAACTTGAACGTGAGAGGGGTGTTTTTGTTGGCACAGAAGTGGGAGATCATTTGCCCTTGATTGTCATTAGCCATTTTGCTGACATTAGGTGCAGATTTGCTCCCCTCTTGGAGAAGTCGGCAAGCCAGCGTGACCCTTCGAGAATTATCATTGTGAGTTCAGTTGCTGGAAAGACAGTTCCTCACACGGGCGAGAATGGAACAATCATGTATGCGGTGTCAAAAGCAGCAGCCACAGTGAGTAGTAGCTCAATGCTTCAAATCATCTTACAGTTCACTGATAAACGTGCAGCATCTAGGAAAGAATCTTGCAATAGAACTTGGACCGCGGAACATCACGACAAATGTGGTCTCCCCAGGATTCTTCCCCAGCAAGCTGGCTTCGGGCTTGATCGATATCTTGGGAGGGACGAAGGAACTTGAGGACGAGAATCCGCGGAAGAGGCTGGGCGAACCTGGTGACATTGCGGGGGTGATGATATATCTTTGCTCACCAGCTGGGAATTACATGTATGAAGGATTCTTTGTTGGCTATTCAATTTACTAATCTCTTTCATAGAAACGGCGTAGACATATCTGTCGATGGTGGGATGATGTATACAGCGGGGAAGTTTGCAAAACTGTGAACGTCTTGATAATCACAGACTTTAAACACCATAACTATGCACTGAGTCTCGGTCCCATATGAACAAGATATTGATAATATAAGGGATGTTATTCAGCAACCCGTCAATATTCACAGGTGTCGCTGGGAATCTCGGGTCGTCCTGGCTAAGACTCGGCAAACTCGGCACTGGCATCTGCGGGGTAGTCCGAAGTCCTCACTATGAAGTTATCTTAAGGAATACGAATCCAATCAGATAATAGTTAATTAAGACGATTTGACAGCCATGTTTGTTCCTCAAAGTACTAAAAGAACAATTTGAGGGCAAATTTTGAATACATCTTAGTTGCCGTTGGAGATCTCATCGATGCGGGGTATGTGCTGAAGCTTCCTTGGCAAACACCGCCGGATTTACCAAGCTCACAAGTATTGTGCCTTAGCCTCACGCTCAGAGAATGATAGACTGACGAAGTAGGGGGAAATCGAGCTTTCTCGTAAACCAAACGTAACAATTCTCCACAATCTTCACGTCCACGACGCAGATTCCTCAGCAGCAATACTGCTTTATTGTCTCAAATCCTCTTGCGACTTTTACTTCAGACGTTGTTGACTGCATTAAAATGACCCAAGGAGAGCGATCTGTGGGACCAGAGGGTCCTGCATTCAATCGAATTCCGCCATGGGTCAAAGCAAAATTGAGTCCCATCGCCATTGAGAAAATCCGAAAAGTATATGACTTTGTTGAAGAAGAATGCATTCCTGCAGAGCCGATCATGAAAGCACAAATTGCCGAAGTTGGAAAGAGATGGACGACTCAGCCACTGATGAAAGAGCTGAGAGAAAAAGCGAAGAGGGCTGGATTATTCAATCTGTTTCTACCAAATCACTTTGAGCAAAGTCCAGGCTTGACGAACCTGGAGTACACATGTTGTGCAGAGCTGATGGGAAGAGTTTATTGGGCTCAGCAGGTATGGTTGCTTTCACTAAAAATGGAGAATTTGCTGACATGAACAGACCATGAACTGTCACGCGCCTGAAACAGGAAATATTGAGCTCTTGGCAAAGTACTGCAATGAAGAGCAAAAGAAGAAATGGCTTCAGCCCCTCTTGGATGGAACGGCATCATCAGCATACTCAATGACAGAGCCAGACGTGGCGTCTTCAGATGCCACTCAAATCGGCTGCCGGATTACACGAGAAGGCGACGAGTATGTGATTAACGGAAGAAAGCTGTACGGAAACTGTATCTGGAACACCGAAAACAAATTCTTCATCCTGATGGGCTGTTCAGACCCAGAAAATTCCAATAAATGGGCTCGTCACTCGATGGTTATCGTCCCGACAAACACGCCGGGCATAACTCAAGTGAGGAATCTCATAATCATGGGATATGATCATGCACCTGAGGGGCATGGGGAATATCTCTACGAAAATGTCAGAATCCCAGTTGAGAACATGATCTTAGGCGAAGGGAGAGCCTTTGAGATCGCACAGGGAAGACTGGGCCCAGGACGAATCCACCATTGCATGCGCTTAATCGGGCAATGCGAGCGAGCCTACGAGCTCGCCCTAATCCGCTGCATCGATACTCGCAAAACCCCACGAGGCAAACATATCGGCCAATTCGACAGCAACATCGAACTTATAGCACAGATGCGACTCGAGATCGACCAAGCGCGTCTCGTCGTCCTGAACGCTGCGGATATCATGGATGTGCATGGCAATAAAGCTGGGCGGTATGCCATTGCGCAGAGCAAGATCTTGATTCCGAATATGGCGACGAGGGTTGTTGATGAGTGTATGCAGATGTATGGTGGGCAAGGGTTGACGCAGCATACGCCGCTGCCGGAGATGTGGACGTATGCGCGGTTTGTGAGGGTTGCGGATGGGCCGGATGCGGCGCATAGGCATCAGGTGGAGAGGGATGAGTTGAAGAGTGCAGAGGGGTTTGCGGAGAGGAATAGGAGGTATAGGAGGAGGTATCTTAAGCTGGTTGAGAGGATGGGTGGGGAGGAAGAAATTTTTTGGGGTGTGACTCCTGATGTGTAGGATAGTTTGATAAGATGTAGTAGTGTTCAGCTGCCCCTTTGAATGAACAGGACATCCAAAGACGACCTGATTAAATTCATTGTTCAATAAATTCTTGATACAACGCTTGATCTATACTTTCTACTGTATTATCAATAGGTTGTCTGTCCACCTTTGCCCAAATATCATAAATAACCACTTGCCAAGACCCTATTTCGCCCCCTTGACTCGCTTGTACTGTCAACAAAATCAAGTCAGCGCAAAAATTACACTACCAGTTGAATTATGCCCACAGCAACGGAATACCTTGATCAGTATCAAACCTTTCCTTTTAGTGCGTGTAGGCACACTTGTCATACTTGGTAACAAGTAAGTCCACCAAGGCATTTAGTCCCTACCGGACAAACCCACAACTTCGAACGAAGCTACAGCTATACCGCAAAGTTCTAGAACTGCCCTTCCCGCTAGCCACCTCAAGTCCACTAACCGGGCTGGATAACATTATCCCACAAAACACATAAATACAAACCGCAAACCATACGCTTCCTTCATCAGGACACACAAACAATTTTTTAGTCTCTGTACAATGGCATCACCAAAACCTCGGAAATTCTTCTTCTCATCAACCCTCGAATTCCTCTTCCCCAAGCGTTTACAATCTATCTTCAGGCCTGGAGTTTTATGTACGTATACGTATCCATACACCCATATATCTCCCACATTCTACCGGCCAATAACTCAAAATCCATCTTCTTCAAGGCTAAACCATGGCGGAAGAACCGAGCAGCATTTCTTGGAGGGGATATTTGGGGATGTTGTGGTACCGGTCGTATTATCGTATATGGAGTATAGCGCTGACTTGGGGCGCTGCAGTATCGCTACTTATTGGGTTTCGTTTAGCTGGTTCGTGTTTTGAGAGGGGTGTGCTGTACTTGTTGGAGGAGAGGGAGAGGAGGAGGAGGAGGAGGCGGGAGGTGGGGGAGGAGGCTGGGCGGTGAGGGATGAGGGGATGAGGGTATGAGGGGATGAAGGGTGAGAGGGGCGAGGGGTGAGGGATGAAGGGTGAGGGGGGTAAATGGTTAGGGGGGGGAGAGAGAGGGTTGAAGGAGGGACCGATGGTGGTAATTGTGGTGAATAGTTTGTGATGGGAAAGATTTGAATTGGGTGGGTTGATGGTTTATTATCTTTCTGAATGTGTATGTCACAGGTGGAAGTTGGCACTTGTCGGGTGCTTGATGATGTGTTCTTCTGGAAGATGAGGGTCAGATGATTGATGGACAATATATGTTGGACCATTTTGCGATGGGGTTGATACCCTGTGCCGGGAGACAGACGGCGCTGAGGTATGTGTGGGGTCCTTGAGCGTGTATTTAGCTGATGATTGGCTCTGAGGCAGCGGTAGGGTAGCTAGCTAGTCGACATTCACCTTCCCATATATATTCACCACACGGCAGATCTCCGATCACGCTCTCTCTCTGCCAGGCAGAGATGGGAAAGCTTAAATGATATCTTCTTCTGAACCTTCCCAAGAAAATTGTAGTACTCTAGAACGCAATCCAGGCGATATCAAGCTGCACAGTCCCTCACGTCCGAAATGAAATCTCGAGTATGTGGTCATTGGGAACAATTCCTGAATCAAACCTAGGATCATCGGTGAAACTCTTCATAAGTGTTCAGCATATCTGCAGATTCTGCTACTGATAAGCTAATCTCCTACACACGATCTCGTGTTCCTTGGTAAATTGACGAGTTTCATGCGTCGTTGGCTGACTTTCAGAGGCCATCAGACGCAATTTTGACAAAGTGGCCAGCTCCTTATGTTTATTTGACGGTCAACTGATACCCAGATCCGGGTGACTCGATGATCACTCTCTTTTCTCTACAGAAGCCTGGGACTCTTCCCTTCTGTTCGATCCTATTGAGAGGAGCATTACCCCAAAGGGAAAGGAGAATTTCTACATAATCACGTGTCAGACTTATGAAGCACGATCAAGGGAAGCCGATGAATTGCTTTCGAAGCCGTACCATTAGCACACACTAACTTCTTTGTCAAGATAAAACTTCGAACGAAAATGAAATTGAACCTCGGAAATTGGCTCGTCTCGATGTGGCTGTGTGGAGTCGAATAGCAGTCGCTGTGCACTTCACTGAGGACCCAGCTCTTGTACTAAGACAACACCAAGTGACCTGAAATTCAGAGAGCCATGAGGATGAAGATGACGGAAGTGACCTTGGCTATCTTGGCCATTTCTCTTTCTCTCTGTTTTTCCGGATGATGCCCAGGTCATCGAAAGATTCTTGACTCTGACAGGTTCTGGACTCAAGAGTACACTCCATATTTGGGACGATGGCCAGGATGGTCAACGAGGAAGGTGGATATTTGTTAGCAATGTAACGTCTGCTTCTGCTCCCAATTTCCATGATTGCAAACATCCTCGGATAAAACAATTCGCAGCAATGATGAAATCCCGACTTTGTGGTAACCCATCAAAACTGAGCCGTTGCTTGGCTTGGTCCCAGAAACTCAACCGAGCAGACGATGGTCTCGGTGAATCATGGTTCAGGGTCCTGTTGAGACATGGATTCTACCGAGGCTGTCTGTTTTCGAAACTGAGTTGTCGTGAAATTACTGAAATGTCTTATATTTTTTGTCTCTCGCTTCAGCCTCTGTAAACACCAATGTCACCTCATTCGGAAGATCCGGCAGCCGCATGAGAGAAGTGCCGTTGACTTAAGTTACGCTGCTGGACAGCCAAAGCCGATCGGGGAATTGGAGTCTCGTTTCGTCAGCGAGAGGGGATCGTAATTTCACAAAGTCCACCATGATGCTGTTTCTGGATTCTCTCCAAACTTGTTGACTTCAAAATGTGGAGCCGGCAAAGACGGATGCCCGGATGGGGTAAAGAGTGATCTTCTCGTATCAGTGGAGCCAGCATCCCAGCATCCCAGCAAGCACTGCAAGCAGTCTGTTATCACAACGCCAATCCGGAAACGGCGTCCAATGACAGAATCCTTGATTCTTTTAGTGAGGGGCAGAGACTTCCTCTTGAGCCAATTGACGGTCAATAATGGGACGGCGGCCGGCTTGGCTTGGCTGGGCTGGGGTTGTGATTGATCGGTTCCTGAGATCTGAGCCGTGTACAAGTCGCCTCAACCTTGCGAGGACAACAATTTTACAGAGTTTCCCACCCCTTTCGAAAGGAAAGAACCTTTATGCAAGTTTGCATAAGCTGCATATCGAGTCGGGGCTACTCTTCTATGGTTGGCCAAAACGGATGAGTTTGCAACTGTGCAAACCTTCCAGCCACTGAATTTTCCCTGTTTCTGCAGAATCTTCAACGGTGCTTCCACTCGAATCCAGCGGTCGTCTGATAGCGGGGTTGATAGTCAGGAACTCCCGCCTTATGAGAGGCTCACAGTCATCCATCCCACGCTGGAGAGATGCGGCAAGGCGTGCCACCCCGACTCGAGCCTCCCTCCCCCTCTGCCTCTGTCATCCAAGGCACAGGGGGGCTGGTGACGATCAGTCAAGCGGCAAGCCACTTGTTGTAATCGTCCTGCATGTAAATTTATCTTCCAAGGCTCGCTTGGTTGCCAGGCCACGCCGTCTCCCTTCATTAACTGGATGCGGGCTAGACGAGGTCAACAACGTCGGGCGTTTCGGCGCGACATTTACAGTACTAGCAGTAGTAGTCGGCTCGATGATGGGATGGATGGAAATAGCAACAAGTACTGTAGTAGTGCAAGTAAGGGATGGAGAAGAGAAGCCTTGAGTTCGGGCGAAGAAAGTTTTCTCCCTCCATCCCGGCTCGATGACGGACGATGACGGGAATCACGGGATGTGTGGTAAGGCCGATGTGGGCTGGGTGGGCTTGTGGGCTTGTGGGGTGTCTGCACGCACTACTGTACTGTACAGTATTGGGCACTGGCCGTTTGACAGTCCGTTGCGTTGGTTGATGAGGTGGGCTCGGTGTCGTCGGTGGGGACTTGCCTCGATGGAATAATCCACCTCTCACTACTCAACTCAACTCAACTCAACTCAACTCAACTCAACTCAACTCAACTCAACTCAACTCAACTCAACTCACCTGCAACCTTGAACTCATCCGCTTCGAGCAAGTTTTGAGTTCCAATTCTCCAGGCCAGCCTCCCAGCTCCTCCACCGGCAGTCTCCCGTGTCCGACCCACCAAACAACGTTCTCGTTGGCCCGGCAAGATTGCAGACAGAACTCAATTCTTGTCTTCTTCAAATTTCCCTCCCCTCGTATCGAGTCCTGGTTTGCATGGGGCCTCTGAAATTTCTCATCTCTGTGTCTCGTCTCTCCCCGCGGCCTGGTAAGAGACACAATAATGCGACTTCATGTTCGGGTTGGAGTCTCGCGGGTCTCGACTCGATAGCCAACTTCCACGGCTCTGATTTCACGGTTGGTTCAACAAACAAAGATGGGTCGGGTCGCTCTTTCTTCTCTCCTGAATCGCAAGGATTCGATTCTATCCAATTCTATTCTAGAGGTATATTTCAAAGACCGACACTAATGTGAGGCTAATATTCCCTGCCTCTTGAATATGGATCTTTTACTTCACCCCGTCGTTCGTTCCTGCCTTGCCCTCCCCTGCCTTGCCTTTGCCTTTGCCTGCCTGCATCACTTCGCCTTCTCGCTTGATCAGACCAGGCCAATGCACATAAATCTCCCGACCCCCCGAAGCTTTCCTTCTTTTCTTCCTCTTCCCCCCTCTTCATCCACACAGTCACACTCACTTTCGTTCATCAACCGCATCTGTCTGTACATCTCAAGTCTTCAATTCAAGACTTCATCAACATCCACCCCACTCTCGTTACTGCAACTTACTGTCGTTCAATACAACCTTCCCTTCAAAATGAAGTCCGCTCAATCTCTCGCCGTTCTCGGCTTCGCTGCTGTGGCCCAGGCTGCCTATCCACATGGATGGAACACCACCTCCTCCTCCTCGCCAGTAGTCTACACCACCGTGACTACTGATGTCTATACGACTTACTGCCCAGTGGCCACCACCTTCACTCAAGGTAAGTTGCCAGCCCTTGCCTCCCCAAGATCTAACTAACGCGGTCAAGGCTCCAAGACGTACATCGCAACCGCATCACAGACTCTCACCATCACTGATTGCCCATGCACCTACTCCCACCCACTCAGCTACACCCCAAAGCCAACTCCATCCACCCCCGCAAGCTACCCTCCAGTCTGGGTCACCACCACTGAGATTGTCCAGACCTACACTACCTACTGTAAGCGCACCTTTACCAATGCTTTTGGACTCTGCTAATATCGAGAAGGCCCTGTTCCAACCACTGTCGTTCAAGGAAACCACACCTACACAGCGACCGAGGCCACAACCTTGACCATCACAAACTGCCCATGCACGGCTGTCAACACCTACCCAGGTACCACCACTACCATCCCCGTTGGTACGACAACTACGTACTGTAAGTTTGCTGTTCTCATTCAGTCGAATTTCTGCTAACGCAATGAAGGCCCGGTCCCAACCACCATCACCACTGGTGGCTCAACCTACCCAGTCACCACCCCAGGCATTGTCACCATCCCAATCTACTCTACCACAGTCGTTCCAATCACCAGCCACCCAGTTAACCACCCTGGAGTCCCAGCTACAACTGCACCATACCCAACTGCCTCCATCGAGACCAGCGGATACGCCTCTGGAACTGCCTCCGCAACTCCATCTGGACCAACCCATGTCGAGGCCAACGGTGCTAGCATGCAACAATTTGGCTTCGGTGCCATGGCTGCTGGTCTCGTCGCTTTGGTCATCTAAAGACCCTTTCTACACTTCTTGCTCCATGAGCCTAATGATTTAATGGACGGTTATAGAGATATGGGAGGAGTATACACGGACATTCATTTGGCATCAATACTGCCCTTCGGAAGATCGAACAGATCAGGACATTTTTGGGAGAGACCCCTCGACACATTTGCACATGAGTGGCTCGATAGATTCAATTCTCACGTACATAGATTTCACACTTGCCTGTAGGACCATGCATATCTGTTGGGCTCGAGAAGAGCTCAACACCAGATCCATAATAATTCAAAAGGTTCATAACAAAACCTTCCAGCTGTTCCATGGCTGACAACTGTCGCGTGCATATGCATATATTGAAATGTTGCATTCAATCAAATCTACCTACTTCCGATGCATCCAAGTGGATCTCTCGTTGACATGTCGTTAATCTGTGTGGCTGAATCCTTATCTCGAGCCTCGTATCGACCTGCATGCATGCATGCAGGTGGAGTGATGTAAGGCGAGGCGAGGCGAGGCTAGGCAAGGTGAGGGGTGATGTCCGTTGAGGGGACAACCCCTTGTCCGATGCAGTGCAAATGTAATGCAGTCAATACGATGTGATGCGATGCGTTGCGATGCGTTGCGATGCGTTGCGATGCGTTGCGATGCGTTGCGATGCGTTGCGATGCGTTGCGATGCGTTGCGATGCGTTGCGATGCGTTGCGATGCGTTGCGATGCGTTGCGATGCGTTGTGATGCGGTGCTTGCGATCTCGTCTGATGTTGGTTGATACTGTATTTGTTGGCCTTGGTTGGCTGATTCACGAGCGTGCAGCCAGCCAGCCGCAGCTTACTGGTTTGTATTGTGTTGTGTGGACAGCAAGCATCTTGAGGGCTTTTGATTTTGATTTTGATTTTGTGTCGTTTTACGAAGTTACCAAGTTACGAAGTGATGCACGGCTAGCGGCCTAGTGGCCGTGCGGGTCAGAGGTAAGGGGTTTAGGGGTAAGGGGGTAAAGTGGGAAGATGGAGAGGAGGTGGAGGGAGGTGGAGGAAGTTGAGGAGAAGGGAGGGGATGAGATGGGAGGAGAGGGAATGAGATGAAATGGGATGAATGGGATGAATGGGATTTTTTAAATGGGGATGGGATCTGCGATGGGAGGTGTTTGGCTGGCTGGTTTAGTGGTTCAGGTTGATGTTGATGCTGATGCTGAGGGTGAGGGTGAGATTGAAGGTGAGATTGAGGCTGCAGCTGAAGCGATGTGTGAAATGATATATGAAATGATATGTGATACGTGATTAATATCATCAGATATCTATCTATCTGTCTGTTCTGTTCCTGGAGAGGGCCAGTGCGGGGATCTGCGCCGTACTGTACAGTATGTGCCCCTTTTTTCTTCTTTTCTTTTTCTTTTTCTTTTCTTTTGGTTCCTGTTTCTGTTCTGTTTCTGTTTCTGTTACTGAGAAGAAAGGGGTGCGCGAACGTAGTGCTGCTCAGTGCGGTTCGGTTCGGTTCGGTGTGGTGTGTTTTGGTTACCTAAGGTAGTTGACTTACCTAGTCTGGTTTGGTTTCGTATGCTTCGGAGGCGAGTAGGTAGGTAGGTAGGTAGGTAGGTAGGTAGGGAGGTAGGTAGGTAGGTACGTATGTAGGTATGTAAGTGTGAATTGGGATGTATAGTAGATCAGATCAATGGATGTGGAAGTGTGAATAGGTGTTTTACTCGTACTGTATCTATACAGTATATTCCAGGTTTTTCGGGGTCGTGAATGTATATGTATACATGTATATGTGTGCACGTTCTCTTCTCGTCCCTGGTGCGTTCCATGAGAGCTTCGGAGGCGGAGAGTGCATTTATCTGGAGTCTGGAGACTGGATGGAGGATGAGTTGAACGATATAAGTTTTGGGAAAAAGACATCTTGACTGTGAAGAGGTTGGGAACCAGTGCGATGCGTCCTCACTGTGTTGAGGTGTGGGATCTGTTTCGATAGTCAGCTGGAAAGTTCATGAAATACTCGCTTGAAAGAGGAGAACAAAGAAGGAGTTTGTTAACTTCTCAAAGTTGGGGCAATTCATCTTCGTCTATGTTTTTCTGAAGTTGTTTATATTCGAGACAGTACAAGATCATAAGGACTTAAGAATTTCGGATTTAGATGTACTACGTGGGTGTGGTGCGATTGCGAAAAATAAGCCTGAGTATCGGAGGCTAGGCATGGCTGCTGAGCATGGCGAACCTACTCTGTAGCGAAACAGGCTTATTTACGACAAGTTGTCGCAACAAGAAGCTGCTGGAGTGACTTCACTACCAGGCAAAAGATCTCAATACTTAGAAGCCGCAGAATAGGGGCACTCTGGACGAGAGGAAGTGAGGCTGGGTCGTAGGCACAGAGCCTGAGCATGAGCATCACGGTTCAGGTAGCAAAATAAAGTTTAACAGCTCGCTCGACTTCGCTGGTTGTGTACTTATTGCTAGAGATGCTGCTACTGACTGTTTTGAGGTCCGATTTTGTGACCAGTGGTTGCATCTTTGCCTTCCAATGTCAAGCCCTCATCGCCGAGTTGATATGTTCCGTGGATTTTTCCCCTTTCCACCATTGACGATGCAAGATTTGTAAAGTCTTTAAGATTATCCAAGGACTTCGTCGTCATCATCATCATCATCATCATCGGCATCATTCCCAGCATCGGACGACTCGTCTTTCGAGCGGTGAGCGTGGGGACATTTGAATTTATGGATACTGAGACTTCTGATGGTATCGAATTTAATCTTGCATTTGCAGTGCCAAGTCAGAAATCCATGCTTATCAATAACTGCTGCTCCACAGTCTTTCTCATGAATCTTCATCCTCTGAGTGCTTTGGCTCTCTGCAGAAAACTTGGCTCTGGGAAAATCGGTAACACAACCTCTGTATCTGAACTGACAATAAACTTTTTCATCCGATTGAAATCGATAAATACCGTCACATGAGCCTCGATGAGTAGCCATTAATTTACCCCGCCGGAATTAAGAGACGACACTTTTCTTTGCCGCAAGTCTCGTACTTGTGTTTCCTTCCACGTTGCCCTGAATCTCCTGACGGGGCCATGTTTGGCCGTGGACCACCTGCTACTTGACCGCCTTGAGGCGGAAATCGACGACCTGCTGCAGACGCTGCAGGGATACCAGTAATTCTGGATTCGATTCTGTTTTCAGGCTCGGATGTTGTCACTTGGGGTTGCCACTCGTGATTTCCGCTGTTTGTCTTGTTCACGGGAGGTCGCTGTACAGAGTGTCCCGAGAGAACTACTGGATGTTGACTAGCTTGACCCATCGACATTTGAATTATTCTTGGATCGAGCTGGCTTTCGTTCCAGACACTTGCTTGTTCTTGAGTATGGGGTTCTATAGCCTGTGCTTGTGCCCGAAGACTTTCTTTTTCTGCATGGCCAGAGTAATTCCCAATCGACGGGCCCTCCCCGTTGTGCCAGAATTGCGCTTGTGTTGTATCCACGACTGCGTCGTAATCATGTTGAGTTTGTGAGATCTGTGAAGTGTCTCTTCTTGCTGAAATTGACGCTCCTGTTACCATAGCGTGCAGGTCTCGAGCTGGGAAATTCACAGAACCAAGCGACTTGATATATTCCGCATTGTTCTGGAGCCCCCTGACATGAGTACCACAAATAGCACTATCCACAACTGAAGAAGTGTATGAACCGCCTGCCTGATCTCCCGTAGGACTGCCCCCTGGAAGCCTTGGAGGATAGGCAAGTGTCGTGTCGGGCCAGCTGGCTGAGGGGACCGCTGCTCCGTATGCAAGATTCTGCTCATGGGAAGTATTCATACTCTCAAAGCTTGCCGTATGAGGCTGTGGAACCTTATGCACTGTTTGGGCAGGTTTCTGAGCCCTGCAGAAATTGTTCGATATTTGAAGGTTGGAGGAAGCGTTCTGAGCCTGAAACCGCTGCTGGACGGTTTGTGGGATCGTATCTAGTTGATATTCTGGGGCTTGAGAGCCATTAAGGTCCAAACCCGAGCTCAAGATAAGGTAAGAGTTGTTCTGTGCCATCTTTATGTCTGCATGTGCGACTCGCGAAAGCTGATACTGGCCAGAGATGGATTGTTGAAACAATGCACCGTTGTGATATAGAGGATATGAAGATATTGATGAATCTGGGAGCAGTGAAGGAGATGAGACGAGAGATACAAAATAAATCTAAGCACCTCCTCTCCCCAAGGTTGGAGAAACATGACTTGAGGGAAGGAGCCTCCCGAGCAGAGAGACCATTGGTCTGAGCAAACAGAGGGCTCAGGTGTGTACCGGTGAGCTCAAGACAAAACGCGGATACTGAGGGAGACATATTATCATTACCGTCAGTCCAAGGGAGAAAAGTCTCCAGATGAATGCTTCGTAAACCTGTCTTGCATGTATCTGGCAGTATGTGGCTATTCACATGGCGAGAGACAACAGTGGCAAAAGGATATCACCAGAGGCGTAGAGATACTGACAACCACACTTAATCAGACTCTTTTGGTTCTTGGGTTGTTTTGGGAGAGAAATGTCTTGCCGTGTGAAAGCTCCATTTAGCATTGCCGTACCAGCTGAAGGGACCAAGAAGTCTGGGTGATCTCAAACCTCGGCCACAGGTACCTGACCGGCAGTCTTGATACAACTCCAGAAGTTCTGAGTCTAGCATAAAGTTGTTTGATACCTCATGGCAGACATGGACATCACTTGTGGTGGTGGATCGAAATTGTGTGGTAGACCCCCAGATGCGAGATCTTAGTGAGCCCCTCCAAGAGGGAAAGTCAATCAAGACAAGCCTGCTTAGAAATTGCATTCAAGAGTCTGGCCTAGGAATCTTCTAGCTTAGATCAGAGATGCCAACTTTCCGTCACACAGTAAAGACCTTGCAATACGTGCGCGGGATTACTTCTCGAAGACAATGGGCTGTCAACGGCTTGTCCAGAGTAAGGCGACCTCCAGTGCATCTTGCCAGAAGACCAGTGGCAGAGAGAGATGCCCTTAGCAGCTCTTCAGACACAGAATGTGAGCAAAACACGTAGAGCATGTGGCCGATCTCTACCTGCTTGTAGCTCCATTGTGACTTTCTTCAACTTGCACGCAGGACAATTCCCGCAGATCCTAGATTCTACCATGCTCCACGATCCTCCGCCAGTATCTCGCTGGAAGTCGTCTTGGGGTGGTATGACTGGACACCTTGGATCTTGGGTAAAGTCATTTGATCGACCGCGCCATGGGCCTGCGAGGTTCTGTCCAGACAATCACAGACCTGCAAAGTCTCAGGTATGCCGACGAAGGGGGGTGCCATCTCCTATGAATGTAGATCATCGATTGACTCATCTTCCCCATGCCTCCAGGCATTCAATATCCAGTCGATTGTAAAGAGGATTACTGGCCATATTGACTTGCAGAGGGTTCCAGCGCTCCGGTGATCATGATCTCCGCTGTCCGTCGTCAGGGTTGCTTGCAAGGCTCTATTCCAAATACACCCCGTCGAAGTCGCCAGTTGCGCCGTCACTGGGCAACGCCTTGCCGTGCTACTGCCGTCCTGCTCCAATATCTCCTAGTCGCGTTCAACAGAAAGGCGGGCGTGAAATCATCCGAATGTCGTCGTCGATGATCTTGCGGGTGCCCTACATGACCTTATGGATGAACTTGGGAGATTTGGCTGCTAAGAAAGCGTTTCGGGCGCCATCTTCCGGCGTGCTGGTCGGTAGATGTTCCTGTTGGATGTGCGTTCAGGATCAGAGGTTCTCATGAAGTCGTCCACCGGTCCGTGTCCTTCAGCCTCGCTTTGGCCAAGCCCGGGCCTGGGCAAAGCTTCACCCCTCATTCCACAAATCCAGACACCATCTTCTGCAGCAAACTTCGAATTGTAGGTCGTGATACTGGACTCCTCCAGGCTCTGTACTTCCGGTACCCCTCAATAAAAGGCGACTCATGCATAATTCATGTAACCTTGCAACGCTGCAGCATGGGGTGGGACTATCAGCTGCAATAGACTTTGGTGCACCCTTTCTCGACCTTCCTCTTTTGTTGGAAAGATCTTCACGTATGTCATACATAGATCGAGTAATTTGAATGACCAATCGAAGGATCGAGGTCTAGGGTAGGTAGTTTAAGAAGTTTTCCCCCTGTTTACTTGCATGTTCTCGATAAAGATATACTTCCTCAATTAGCTCTGAGGCATTCCAACATCAATTGATATGGCCACAGAACGAGATCCGAACCGTGTGTATTACCGGGCAGGTGGATTTGAACAGTCTCGACCTATCTTGAGAGGAGCAGAAGCTACAAATACTTTCGAGTTCATCCCAATTGTTGACGTCAGCAATGTCTTCAGCTCGGATTTTGAAGTCCGCAAGGAATTGGCCGCAGAGATAGGAAAGGCTGTAACTGAAGTAGGATTCTTCTATGCTATCAATCCACCAGTTGATACGGAGTTGATGGGTTTGTACAAATCAACCTGCGTACCAGTCAAGGTTAGAATTGATTTTGAACTCAGATAAATCCTTTGCCGTGATCAAGAAGTTCTTCGACTTGCCACTGGAGACGAAGGTAGGAGAACCTCCCAGTTGCACACCAGAACCCTAGTTTAACATACCATCATCTAGAACAAGTATATATTCACGAAGAGTCCCTGCTTCAAAGGCTACATGCCCTCCAAGACTCAAGAGAAATCAGCTCCCGATCGTGACTCCTTTGCGGTTAGTTCTGACTTCTCCGACCCGGAGCAACACTTCATCAAAATTGCCCCTCCAGGATCGGTGCCTCTCAATCTATGGCCTGATGAAGAGTTGCCCGAGTTCAGAAAAGTCTTCTACCAATACTGTTTGTACACCCTTCCTCCCTTGACAATCGCTGACCTACTTCCCAGTCAGACAATGCTATGCGTTCGCGAAGGCACTGATTCATTCCTTCGCTTTAGCACTCGAGTTGGACGAAGACAGCTTTGACGAGTTCTTCAATGCACCGTTGACAGATGTTGTCATTCAGCATTATCTTGCGGCTCCAGAAAGAAAGGATCACGAGGAGATTCTCTTCCCGCATGCCGACTTCAGTGGTGGGTGCTGAATCATGTCTTGGGGTTCTCTGCTGACCCGCGATGTAGCTTTTACTCTGCTACTTAACCAACGTATGAGCTATTACCATATACCTAGCAGCTAATACTGATATATTGCAGGAGATATTCCGGGACTTGAAGTTCTCAATGCGAACGGAATCTGGGTTCCGGCACCACCTATAGAACATGCCTTTATCGTGAATACTGGAGCATACTTTGAATTCTTGTCCAATTCGAAGTTTCCATCTACTGTGCATCGTGTCTATACGAAGGTACGACATACGGCAATGCAAGTCAGGCATCAACTAACTCATCTTGCAGCTCGGCATCGAGAGGTTCTCATTTCCGATCTTTTTCTCCCCTGAGTAAGCCCCCCTTGTTCATTTTCTGGCGCAAAACTGACCAATCTTAAAGCCCTAGCTCGTTTGTTCGCCCTCATCCGGCATTAGTGAAAGAGGGAGAAAAGTCACAACATACTCCACACCACATTGGGAAGAGATACATTACCGGGCTCGTCAATAATGCCCCAGACCATCCTTGGGTAAAAAAGTTAAAAGCGTCCGGAATCAAGGAAGAAGACTATAAGTGGGAACTTCTTTCGCAGCCATTTCCTGAACAGAACGGAGTCTAAGGGAAACAACCGCATGCGGGCACTAATCGAAGATGTTTACATGCATTGGCAAACTCTTCATGTTCCAATATTTGATCCCTTCTATTTTTCCTGCATTCTATCAATGGCTAACTGGCGGAGTTTGTACTTTTCAATCTTCCCACTTGCTGTCAAAGGCATCTTCTCCACCCAGAAAACATGTTTCGGGACCATCATCTTGCTCAATCTTTCTCGAACCCATTGCTGAATATCTTCTTTAGACAAACTCAAAGGCGGCGCATCATTCGATGCTGGCTCTACCTCTAGAGCATGTTTTGAGCCATTCACTCCTTTTCCTTCTGTTCTGACATGGTTTTTCACCACGATAAATGCAGCTATAACCTCTCCATACCTCTCATCAGGCAATCCTACAACGCTTGCATTGCCCACCAACGGGTGCTGAAGCAACACATTCTCAATCTCAGGCGGGTATATATTCTCCCCACCGCGAATGATGATATCCTTGATACGTCCAGTAATGCGAATATAGCCGTCCTCGTCCACCATTGCCTCATCACCAGATCTCAACCACACCCGCTCGTCTCCTTTCCTATGCTCCACCACGAACGCCCCGGACGTTCGCTTTTCATCTTCCCAATATCCCTTCATCACGCAGTATCCAGAAATCAAAAGCTCACCCTTTTCTCCTCGATGAAGAGTCTTAGTCGCATCATCCCTGGCGACGATCTTCAACGAAGTATGAGGCAGCATTTGACCAACAGTGTTGAGCTTCTGACTGAGTTTGTCCGTTGGGACTGTCATGCAGATTATGGGAGAAGACTCCGTGAGGCCGTAGCAGTTTGCTAGATCTGAAAGGTTAAACTTATCATGTAATGTCTCACGGAGAGCTGGTGGTATGGGACTTCCTCCTATGACGCCAGTGCGAAGGTGGGCAAAGTTTTGAGGTTTGAGGAAGCTGAACAGTATGTCAGTGTAATCCCACAAATGGATGTGGTGCTTACTCACCCTTGTGATAGAAGTTCAAGTTCCGCGAGGAACATTGTTGGAACACCGTACAGAGCTGTCGGCTTGTCCTGCTCAATTGAGCGGAGAACTGCTCTGGCATCGAATGCCTCAGCCGGGAGCACAACGCAGGCACCTACGATGTCAGAGCCTGATACATGAATCATATCTGCCACTCACCATAAGTCATTGCCGACAACAAACCAAGTACAAGCCCGAAGCAGTGATATAGGGGTGGTGGACAACAGATGATGTCTTGCTCAGTAAGTTGCATTCCACGACCAACGAGAAAGGCATTGTTGAGAACATTTCTGTGACTTAGGCAAGCTGCTTTGGGGTATGATGTTGTACCAGAAGTAAATTGAATTGTTGCAAGATCGCTGTTTTTCAAGTCTGGCTGGGGTGGCAGTGTGCGGTCCAAGTTCCTGACAATGAGTTCATCGTATTCAGCTGTGGCGTTGAATCTGACCTTGTCCGCTCCTTGAATCCTTTAGCAGTCGTTCTGATTTATCATGCGATACTTACGACCAGCAGAATTATCAATGAGCAACACCTTTCTGGAAAAGCCTCCATCATTTGCTTCACCCGCAACGGCTTCCACAAGTGAAGCAGTTGATCTCGGCTCCTTGTATGGTAACGTGATCTCCGTGCTCAAAATAAAACAAGCTGCTTCAATATGCTTCAGAGCAGCGATGACTTGTTCAGCGGTATAAGCTGGATTCAGAGGTACCACGATTGCCCCGATCTTGAAGCACGCATACGATATCTGCGTACGCAGTGAGCCATCGTACCGTCCTTGCAGACCATCCACCCAAACTTACTACCGCATATGGCACACAGTTTCCCAAGCTAATAGCTACTCTATCTCCGTTTCCAATACCGAGTTCAATAAGACCGAAAGCCAATGCCTCACTTTCCCTATGCAGCTCGAGATAAGACAGCTGTGATGATGGCGTTTTCACAGCTGTTCTGTCCGGAAATTCTCGGCATATAGCTGCGAATTTCTCGCTGATTGTTTCTTCCAACAATGCAGGCTGCTCAATAATGGTCAACGAAATTATTTAATCGCTGAACCGGATTTACGCACTTCTCTAGGACCAGACAGAGTCGCAAGGCCATGATCTGGCACCCCACTCGGGTTCCAATTCAGAAGCGGCGACATTCTGCTTCTCATGCGCCGGATCGTGTCAAATATAGGTGAAATACCACCTCCCATGTAGCTCATCGACATCCAGAATAATCTTTTGAATGATGAGTACATGTTCCGTGGCTTATTAGGGATGCTCTCTAGCACTCTGGCAGCTGCCTTCACATGTCCAGCACCTGCCTGCCAAAGACCCGTCGCTGTTCACACACCTGGAGTCACTATTTGGACTGCTTGACGGCTAAAGATGCCAGGCAACCTCCACAAGCTTTCCTAGCCGAAACCCTCAATAGAGTTGCCGTCGGACTTCGGGCAACGAACCTGCAGTCAATCAAGCTTCGAGGAAAGTTTGGGCGAGATGCAGACACGGATCTCGAGAACACAGATAAGCTGCCCGCGGCGTTCCGTCAGAAAAAGTATCCCCTTCATTGCAAGATAGCGTATTGATCTGCAGCTTACTACTCCCCACTCAAAAGCGTCAAGGTTGACGGATTCCTAATGGAGCTAGAGACTCGGCATGCATGTTCGCGCCCACGTATGTGGCACAGCTTATGTCAAGCACCCACTTAGGCCACCAAGGTATCACCTCCCTAATGCAGGTTAAGACGTCAGAAACTTTTGTTGTGAAACCAGGACAGTAATCATGTAGGCTTTTGAGGCTAGTGGAGGTAAGCAGTAGTTACTGAGGGGCAGACAAATTTCTGTTCGGAAGCGAGAATTGACTGCATAACAAGGTCGCGTACGAGCTGCTCACAGCATTTTGCGAAGCTGCCAAAAATGTCTTTGATATGTGTGCGACGTCGTGTCGCTGCTCAAGCATATCGCTATGCAAGCCAGAAAGCGGCGATTACAAGCATTATTTATAAACGAAGTCTTCATGAATAGTGGGAAGCCCATCCCGTGATACTTTTTCTCTTTTGCTAATTTCTTCTATCAGTCTGGTAATGGTGAACGACACCAAAGCAATCAAGAATCTTGGGCCTCAAGTCAAGGCCACATTTGCGGGCGAAGTGTTGGAAGAATCTTCAAGTCCAAAGAGCATTTTCGCATGCCGAGCTGCCAGCGTGAAGGCTGTTGAGGAAGCATTGAAAGAAAGTGTACGTTCCTTTCATTTATTCGTCATCTTCTTGCTGTGAGGTGCTGAATCGCCATTCAGGGTGACCATGACATGGCCACTGTAAAGATATTTCCACTGGAGACGGTTCATACGAGTGCTCTAGAAGGATCGTGATGCAAGGAGAGCGGAAGAAATGTGGGGTGTAGGAGAAATGTAAGATGGAAAATGGTATCTGGTAGCATCAAGTAAAGTTTCAGTCACATTCCAAAAGAATCAGACAATACTGGTCACTCATTCTTTGAATACGACTTCATCGAACCCAGTCATCAGTCTGCTCTCAAGGTACCTCGCCATGTCTTCAATCATCCTTTCCTCCATACTACCTTTTTGCCACGTCAGAGTCATGGTCATTGGACCCCCGGCAATGCTGACACAGTTACAACAGAAGACAGGACCAGTAACTACATAGAAATTATTAGCTCAGGTCTTCATCAAATAATTTGGGGGCCTCCAAGGTAAAGATTGAGAGACGCTGTTCGGGAGATACCACTCCAAGGACGAAATCTACTGACCTGATCCACATTGAGATACCAGCATTCTTTCAAGCTTCAAACCTGTGCCTTTAATATCTCGTTCGGGATCCACGACTTTTAGATTGCCAAGATTGGAGATCTCGTAAGTCAGTGGCCGTTTCTTTCCCAATTGTGCCCGTGACTGCGAATACCAGTCCGAGACCCCAAACATACCGGCCCCTGAACAGCAAGTCAGCGACTGCAGGCTAAGGGTATTCGACAAAATCGGCTAAAATACTACTATACAAATGCTACTTACACACATTGTTCTTCGGACTTCTTGCAAGCTCAGCTGCCATGTCTTTGCTGAAGATATGACCCACTTCGACGATCTTGTCCAACTCTTCAAGTGATTTCTCCGGAGTTGCACGAATCTCCGAGACAAGTGGTACTGAGAAATCATGTACAAGTGCTGATGCATGGTTGCATATCTCATCATCAGAGACTTTGGTAATCTGCCGCATGGAGTACGGCGTGACAGCAAGAAAATTATGACCGGGAGGAATATATCTAGCAAGGAAGGTGACAATAAGCCCATGGATCAGTCCCGTCAGAGTAATTCTGCGGCTCCTGGAGATCTTGACTGCTTTGCTGATCTCGTCTTGTGGTATCGTAATGATACGTAGTCCAGATGCATATTCTTCTATCGAGGGAAGGAATATGTTTGCACCTGACCAAACTGATGTGGCGCCATAATCGACCTCGCTCTTGTCGCTTTCATCTCGTAATTTGAGATCAACAGCATCCTCGAGAAGTATGGGACAGCGCAGGTCTCGAGGTACAGTGACTGGCCAGACACAGTCTTTGGTCTCTGGATCATTGAAAAATTGAAGTAGGGTTCGATGGAAATTGACGTGACTGAGGCCGTCTGCAAGGGCATGATGAGAGAGAAAGGCAATGCTGACTTTCTGAATCTTGGAATTGCTGCCCGAGCCCCATCGATTTCCATGTTTGAAAACTACAGCTCTCCATGATGGTTTGCGGTGGCCCTCCAAAAGTATCCTCGCATGAGACCTTTCGAGCAGACTCGTGATTGCCGAATCGACATCATTCGCTCTTTGCTCACCAGGATCCTGATCATGAAACTCCGCGACGTCATCTCTGTAAATGGCCTGTAGCCTCAGGAACACAGCTTCACGATCTGGAGTTTGATCAAGGATCCCATAGCAAAGTGAAGGATGAGCTTCGACGGTGTGGTACAGTGCTCTGTAGAAGACGTTCTTGAACCATGAATCTGGATTTGAAAGGCCCTCCGTGCAGAAGGAGGTCTCTGTGAGAGCAGAAGTCGTACGATAGAACCCCAAAACATTGCGTGCAGAATAAAAACGTCCCAAGGCACCTAAAATTGTCAGTCAATCGGATATCCAGCGGGAGATGGTGACAGTACCTAGGTTGATGATGTCACTTGACTCCATACTTTGAATATCGCTTTTCGAGTTCCAGAACCAATTGCCAGGTGTGATAACTATGCCGGTCCAGATTACACATGTCGCGGAAGCAGCATTCCACAGTTGTGCTAGACGCCTAGAGTTCGTGGTGTGACAAACTTACAATATGCGTATCCAGGAACAGTCATCTCGTATCCTCTCACCGCCTAGATAAGTCTGCATATTATTGGAAACCCAAAGCAGATTGTTGACTTTGATTCTTAAACAGCCCAAACTTTCTCAACATAATAGCCCGATTGGGTAAGGGGCCCGCTTCGTGAAAAGAGGTCGACTTTGCGACGCTACCTGAGAGCTACAGATTGACGGACCGTTTCGCAGCCCGGGTCGCCCGAGGCAACGTTAATTCAACGACGGCGCAGCAGTGCTGCATTGCTACGACGAGACAGGAAGGAGAGTAAAATGAAAACTCTTCTAGCAGTAGAGACACGTAAGTTTCTCATTTGATTACGCCGCCGACAGACCGCATGGAGAAGGTTCATTCAGAGAGGCAAAAGTGGGATACTGCTGTATGATTGGCAACCACAACAGATAGGGGCATCGAACAAACGGCGAAGTGGATATCTTTGCACAAGGGCATTGTAGAAAGGGTGGACAATCAATGTCACCATCGTATGTCTTCGGGTACACCTTGCAGGAAAAGTTCGTGGGACGTGACCATGACAACGACAATTCCAGGTGAGCTGCTCCTGAGACTTACATCCTCGTCGTCACAAGTTCAGCTCCTCGTCACGTGAGAAGGGTCGCTGATGGAAGCCATGATTTACTCAATGATCTCGAAATTAGGGCTGGGTATTGGGTTGGTAGGTCTATGGTTCCTGTACAAGCTGTTCAGTGAGAGACGTAGATTTGCTGGTTTGGTGAGTCCTGTTTCCAGTATGCAAGTAACTCCATCTTAAACTGTCAAGCCAGGACCACCTCATCACTGGCTCTATGGACATCTCCCTGTATTCAACGATGTAAAGGCCAAACTTCCAGCGGACGCCCATATGAATTTGGTGCAAACAATGCTGGCACGAGAGTATGACCTAGGGCCAATTTACTATCTCGATCTCTGGCCATCTTTTGACCCTCAAGTCATCGTCCTAGATCCTGCATTAGCAGCCCAAACAACTCAGCTTAAGAACCTCCCAAAACATCCCTTGGTAGGTTGCAGCATTTTTAGTGTAATTCTGGCTTACACCTGCACAGTATAAGTTTATGGAATATACCGTCGGCACTCAAAGCATCATTACCACACATGGAGAGCAACATAGATTCTGGCGTAAAGTATTTGACGCTGGATTTTCCAGCTCGCATCTAGCCAGTCTAACACCAATGGTTGTGCAACGAGTCAATGTTTTCATTGAGAAACTGGAAGCTCATGTGGCGACCGGCGATGTTTTTCCTCTTCTGCCGCTTACCAAAAGCCTGACACTGGATGTGATAGGCCGAGTCACCATGGCTGCTGATTTCAATACTCAAAAGCAGTCGAACGAAATTGTAGATGCTTTTTTGACGATGCCAAAGTACATTCCACCCATCAATTTTGACCCATTAAGACTACTGAGTCCAACTCGGATCTGGAACGCAAGGTACTATCAACAGAAGTTGAACAACTTGATCAGCCAAGTCGTTGAGCAAAGATTTCGTGAGAGGAGAGAAGGCCGAGTGGGACCAAACGAGAAGTCACTTGTTCATTTAGCTTTGGATAGCTATGAACCGATGCAAGAAGGAAAAGAAGGAATTACTACAATGGATCCAGTTTTCATGAAAAATGCCGTTGACAATATAAGGGCATTCTTCTTCGCAGGGTCAGTACATGATCGCAACATGACAGTAAACAACCACGATTCGCTAACAGTATGACAGACATGCGACAACAGCCGCGTCTCTTTGCTATCTGTACTATGTCCTCGATAAACACCCAGAGGTCCTGAGTCGTCTTCGGAAGGAACACGAGGAGTTTCTTGGCTCCAATCCAGCTGATGCTTCCGCTCGCATCCACGCGGAGCCGACTATTCTGAAAAGAATGACTTACACCACCGCTGTCATCAAAGAATCTCTAAGGCTTTTCGTAGGAGCAGGAACTATTCGGACCGGCATCAAGGGGGTTGACCTTATCGATCCCAAAACAAATAAACACTACCCAACCTACGTCGGGGGTCCCTTTCCAATCATGGTTCGAGCGTTTCCTATTCACCGCGACCCTGAGAACTTCCCTGACCCGGATGTGTTCGATCCGGAACGATTCTTGGGTGCTAGTGCGTCAGCAATGACGAAAGATGCGTATCGACCTTTTGAGAAGGGTTCTCGAGACTGTCCAGGTCAGGAGTTGTCAATGATGGAGATGCGGATTACTCTGGCCCTCACAATACGGAAGTTCAATATCAGATCATTTTATGCTGAAGATGCCCCCGTGGTGATGGGCGATCCGGCTTACAATGTAATGTTCTCCAGTGCTGGACCTGCGGGAGGATTGCCAGTGAGGGTTTCGCTTCTGGGATCATGAAAAGGGGGCGGGGTAATGGCGGTGCGGGGTACAAAGTTTGCACTGGAGACGATTCGATTTAGAAAAGTGTATGGAACCGGTTTAACAAGATGGCTGCTTAAAAGCTGAGATGGATCAAAATTCCATAAACATGTCATTACTTGTTCAATTTACCTTCCATGGCTACTCTCTATTCCAGCTGAACATATCCTGAAAATGTTTGTTTGCAGGCTACGTTAGCGATGTATCGCTTATTTGTGCACCGGAGCTACCCTGACAGCCCCGTGGATGCTGTAATTTTAGTGATCGTCCACTCCCACCGTCCCACCTGTTTAACCCAAACATCGCTGAGTACCCTAACATTTCATAAAGTTGAGTCACATTGAAACCAACAGCGCAATGGAACCTTTCGATCGATTTGAGCTCTCAGAGCTTGATCAGATAATGCCTCGGGTCTACGTTCGGTGGCTTCTATGTATCCCAATCTCCCAAACTTCGCCGTCCAAACCGGAGATTGTCGAAAATCTAACAGTCGCGATCAAAGAAACACTGACGAGGCTACCGATTCTCCAAGGTATTCTTGTTCCAAAAGCCTTGGATCCGAGCCGGCTCGAAGTTCATGTCCCAAAAGAAAGACCCGACTTTGATTTGCGAGTGCAGCATCACACTGACGATACTGACGACACACTGCCGACACATGAGAGTCTCAAGGAGGCTGAGTTTCCAACATCTTCACTGCCAGACGCAATCTTAACACCTCCTGAGAAAAGTCCTCCACCAGTGTTTGACATGATGGCAACGTTCATCAGAGGCGGACTACTTCTCTGCATTAAGTGCCATCATGCAGTCGTTGACGGAGGAGGGATGGGACTCGTCATCAAATTTCTGGCCCAGAATTGTTTCGCTGTATTTGGCAATGAAAGTCGAGCGACTATTAATCCACCCTCTATCGACCGGTCTATTCTACCTCCGGGAAAGCGATCGGACCTAACCGTAGAAAACGGATTCCGTATCGTAGACCACGAGGGCACTGCCCAGAAAACAAACGAGTACGAACCTATGACCTCGCATACTTTCAAATTCAAACCAGAGGCCCTCCAAAGGCTGAAATTATTATGTACTGCAGAGACCGAGTTTATCAGCACTCAGGATGCACTGACAGCACTACTTTACGGATCTGTGTCCTACGCTCGAGGTCTTCGCCTTACAAAGCACTCAACCAAAAGCGCTAGCCTTCCGTCTGTGATGGGCATTGCCGTGGACGGACGAGGGAAGCTCCATCCTCCTTTAGTGAATTATGCTGGAAATCTGACCATATATGCAACATACTCTAGTCCAATTTTGCTCCCTGTTCAGGCTATTCCAAGGAATTCATTCGAGAATTTCGAGTTCCTTTCACAACGTCTCAGACTGCCCTCGCTGGCCTGGCAAACACGAAAAGCAATTACTGGTGTGACCCAGGACTACGTTGAATCTGTGATATCTGTAGCAAAGTCACTTGAAGATATTTCCAGACTCCAACCCACATTTGCCAATTTCTACCAAGGCACAGATTTCTTCATCACCAGTGGAGCAGACTTCCCAGTCTTCGAGCAGGAATGGTGGCAAGGCGGGAAGATTGAAGCTATGAGAATTCCGTTCAAAGGACACTGGGATGGGTCATGTGCAGTACTTGCTACTGAGAACAGAAAGAAAGGCTTGGACGTCATGCTTGGCTTGAGAGAAGATGACATGGCGGTCGTGCAGGATATCCTGCTTGCATTCGGAGCTCAAATCGTCTAATTCTTTGTTTTGAAACGGACGACTAGTGTAATGATTCTGTAAAACTCGAAGCTAAGACCACAATATCAACTTTGGTCGCCCTCCAGGCGCATTCGCAGGAATCAAGCCCATAAAAGAACTCAGCGTCAACCTCGGTCGCTGTGTTCCGTCTTCTTCTGGCTCTACAGGAAAGACTTGGTGCATGTTTCTTGAGTTGAAAATACAAAGATCGGCAGGTTTTGGCTGAATGATGACCTTCTTTCGACCTTTCACTAAATCTTCCGAGTAGCCGTAAGACGAAAAGTCTCTCCAATCTAGCGCATCTTCGGTCCATTGGCAGTCATGCACTTCAGTCTTACCTCCTTTGGGATCGGTGAAGTACATGTTGAATACAGCTTGTTTGGTCACTTGGTTGATAATCCAATCTTCTGTTCTCGAGTCATATGGCGACCACTGAATGTTGAAGGAGAAAGTCAGTGTATGCATCGAATGGGTTGAGGAAAGAGATCAGATTTTGAAGTCAACTCACATCACAATGGATAGGCGTAGAATTGTTAATCGCGCGAAATATGCCAGAGAAATATTTCCGCCCGCCCTCTTCGGCAACAGCCACATCGTACTCTGGAAGCAACGCCGCAATTTTGTCAACCACAGCTCGCCAGATATTGAGCCCAAGCTTGTGCTTTAGATCCTCGTGTAACCTGGCATGCTTGTCCGCCTCCTCAAAGTATTGCAGCTTTTCTGTGGAGATTTTAGCGACAGAACAAGTCTGTGAATGAAACAAGAGCCACATACCATCTCCGGTAACTGATCTCTGCTTCAGTTGGTCGTCCGAAATTGCTTGAAACTCAAATTGCGCCACGCCTACACGATGTAAAGTAGGTCCAGGTATATCTTGAAAATTCAGGGCATTAGCATAATTATTGAGGCAATACACATTGTGGAGATGAGGGTTCGGGGTCCCGAGTCAGTGTGTGACTTGACGAGTCGTGGTACAATGTTGTGGAGAATGATCGAAAAGTACCTTGATAAGGTGAGAGCTTTGGAGACAACTCCTCCTCAATCCTCTGCACTACTTCGGGAGATACAAAATGAGGCTCTTTGATGTACCCGACTTTCCCATCCAATACCCCAAGTAAAGCTTCTCTAGTGAAGGGTGCTGAGTCTGTGGATTCCCATTGTGAAACGTACGAAGACATCTTTGTAGAAGGCTTGATTATGTTCGGACGATTCGAAACCGGTCTCAGAATTTGTCCTCTGTAACTCGTATATGCTGTCCTCAAAAATACTGATGACGGGGTTGATAGAGCCACTCCTACGTTACCCACTGGAGTACCCCGCTGATAGCCTGCAAAGCGAGACCACTAAACCAGAATTCCACTTGCCTCATGCTCGAAGTCTCGAACATCATACCCAATCTCTCATGCCACAGGGGCCCGAAGTAAGACTTGTCGATGCCTTTAGGGGGCTTCTTGGATCAGCCATGCTTGTCAAATTAGCTTGGTCAAGCTTTCTGTAAGAAAGTTCGGGTTTGAACTCCGCGATAGCTTAATTGTCGGCCGCCATGGTTGAATGACCGTAGTGGCGTTACCTTTGATGGGAAGACTAAGCTTTACCAAATCTAGAAGGTCCAAATGAACAAGCAGGCCCAACGAACGATCCGTGCCACACAAGCAGGCAGGTCCGGGGGAAGCGATCTTGACATGTAGAGTGGAGACTGTGGATCGAGTGAGTTTGAGTGATACCTGAATTAAAAAAAAAACATGTGGATTCCGGAAACTCTTAGGCTCTCCATGATTTTAGATTCATTGATTCAGGAAATTAGGGTGGCCCAATTCATGAAGGGGTATCCAAGACGTGCACTGCAGGAAAGTTGGTTCCACGATCTGTGATCAAGCCCGATGGTGTAAGATTGCGCTTAAACATTTGTAGACTCGTTATCAATAGATGCGTGTCCCAGTTTCGAATTGATAGTCCAAACGTATTCACCATGTCAAAAGCATTACGGACAGTTGCAAAGATTCCGGTCAAGACGACGGAATGGCTCGTGATACTGGCTGACAAACCTGGAGTCGTAAGTGAAACTCAATCTGTCAATATTATTCTCAAAGAAGATCATTTGCTGACGACGTTCATCACAGCTTGAAAGACGGATTCAAATCAGACCAGTACACTCCAAAGCATTTGTGAAGCTTCATGAGACGGGGTTTGTGTCTTGGGCAGGTAAGGACCCAGCTCTTCCGGCTTGTAAAAAAGAGATTTTGACATGACCCAGGGCCTGTTTTCAAAGAGCATGTCAGTCAAGGTATCAGGCCATTTATTGGCTCTGTAATGGTTGTGAATGCGGAAAGTCCGGAGAAGGTCCGGGAAACACTCAAGCAGGACGTGTTTGTGAAGGAGGGCATATGGGATTGGGCAGGTGTTAAGATCTTCCCTTTCAGAACAACCGTACGGCAGCCGCCCGATCGCGAAGAATAGAATCACAACCCTATTTTGTATACGTAGAGTTTAATGAGTGAAATAAATTTCGACATCGCATATAGGGTTTCGGACACTGCATTGCCGGAGGGATGAAAAACAGACTGTTGTCGTTCGCTTAGCTGATAAGTCAGTCCGCAACAGGACTAGAACAGGGGCATTCTGCATTGCCCTCCTGGCAAGGATTCCAGCTGGAAAGGAAGCTCCTCAACACGACGCGTCCATCCACACGCACGACCGAATCCAGCTGGCAACCTCGGGTTTGACAATGTTACTAGACTGAAAGGCATCATCCTTGATTAGACAGACCGCCACTCTATCCCACCCTCAATTGAATGACGACCCAGATTTGGGCCGGCAGGATCGAACAGTAGCGTGTCAACGTCACATCAAGACCATGGCAGCAAGACCCGCAGGATACCTCACACAGACTTTCACCAAATCATAAACCTGTCGTTTGAAGATAGGCTACTAAGCTCCTCTTGCCGCTGACCTGCATGCTCGATCAGAGTTCCAGTATGCAAGGAGCTGATCCGTGTGGGTGCCAATGGGGCGAAAAGGTAGACCGAATTCATGATATTCTCCACACAGCTACACCTGCCTAAAGCCGTAAGTATGATGCACAAGGGTAAAAATGGGGCGAAAGGTATACCCCTTCAAGTTAACGGGGGCAAAGAGAAAAGCGCCATGGAGTCTGAACATGCCATCGTGGTCCATGCAAGGCTGAGAAACCAGCAAGCTGCCATGACATCCTGTGAAGGCATGGTTGAGGATTGAGTGGAAGATCTCCAAAATATGTCAACAGTACTATCAACTTTGGATTCATTCGGGAGAAAATAACATCACAGCAAATTCCGCCGTCAAAGATAGCACACTCTCGCAAAATCCCAATAATGTCATTGGCCACTCCATCAGATCTGGACTACTGGACGACACGACTTCGAGACAAGGAACAATGTTTATTTCCAATTCTCAACGATGGAGCAAAAGATGTACCGAATGAATTGCGAGCGCTTGAAGTCAACGTACCCGCCTTGAGCATTTTGAAGGCGTTCTGTGATGATCACGACCTTAGACCATCAACAGTTTTCCAAACAGCTTGGGCACTTGTTCTTAGGAGCTATACCGGCAGCGATGAGGTGTGTTTTGGATATCGCACCTCATCCGGATCACTTCCGTGTCAGTTGAGTATTCCACGGGAATCAAGCCTTCAACACGTTCTCGACACCACGAACTCGGCAGTCGCACGTGACTCCACTCATCATGGTATCTCCTTAGAGCACTTGGAGTCTACTCTAGGATATGGAGAAGCTGGTCTTTTCAACACGGAAATCTACTGTCGAGAAGACCTGCCGCAAAACCCTGTACGCCGGTCACTCGGGGAAGAGAGCAGCTTGGAGCTCAGTGGAACAGTCACAAGAACAGAGAGTCTGAACCATGACGGGCAGAATCTGGATCCACGAACCATCATCAGAGTCGAGACCGATTTAGGATTGGAATTTCTTCGCATGAAACTCCTGTATCGGCTCTCAAGTTTGTCAGATGGCCAAGCTGCAAATGTGGGGAGTGCCTTGGAGATGGCTCTGTCATGTGTTTTCGAGAGATCACATCTAAGTATAGCAGATCAGTCACTCTTCAGCAAACATCATGCAAGGAAAGTAAATCAGTGGAATACGCATCATCTGAAGCCACTGGATCTGACCTTTCACGGCGTGGTGTCCACGCGAGTCAAAGCGCAGCCAGACACCCCCGCGATCGATGCGTGGGACGAGCAATGGACGTACCAAGAGCTGGAAGATTTGTCATCACATCTTGCTCGTCATTTGGTAGAGATGGGAGTCAGAAGTGGCATGAAGGTTCCCCTCGTATTCGAGAAATCCGGGTGGTGGGCGGTTGCCTTGCTTGCGGTGTTGAAAGCTGGCGGGGCATTTGTGCCAGTCGACCCCTCCCAGCCGGTTTTGCGACTGAAAGATATCGTGGAAGACGTGGAAGCGAAAATTTTGTTATCTTCAGCTCAATACTCTGAGCTGCTGGCGGAGTCAGTTGAGAAAACGGTGGTTGTATCCCGGTCAACTATGGAGAAATTATGCTCCAAGAGCACAACCCCAGCGGAATTGCCTTCAGTATCCGCCGATAGCGAGGCTTACGTTATGTACACAAGTGAGTGGATTTCGATTTTTCCCATGACCATCATCTCGCAATGGGAGCTAATCTTCTCGTAGGTGGCACTACTGGTAAAGTCCGAAATACCCCAAATCTCATTGCAAATACAAAAGTTAATGTTTCCTAGCCCAAAGGTGCGACAATGAATCACGGACCATACTTATCAGGTCTGTATCAAATATTTCAAGGAACAAATCTTGGGCCTGGGTCAAGAGTACTGCAAAGTTCTTCTTACGCCTGGACCCCCTGTATTATTGAAATGATGGGCTGCTTATGGAATGGAGGCTGTTTGTGTATTCCAAGCGAGTTTGCCAAGCAGAATGCCCTTACCCAGGTCTTCAACGACATGCGGATTTCATGGGCTTTGCTTTCACCCTCAATCATCAAGACCATCAAACGCGAATCAGTGCAGCATCTGGAGTCTCTCTTGCTCGCTGGTGAACCCGTCTCCCAGGAGATAGTCTCTCAATGGTCGTCTGAGAAGACGAAAGTGTGGATCTTGTGGGCTGCAACGGAAGTTGCGAATCTGGCTAGACCAGGCCACTTCACAGAAGATTCAGACGTGCAGAATCTCGGACGGTGTAGATCGATCTGTCGGATTGTAGAACCAGGAAACCCTGAAAAGCAAGTTCCTATTGGCTCGGTGGGCGAAATCGTCGTCCATGCGCCATGGATAGCAAATGGATACTTGAACGATCGAGAACGGACAGCCGAGAAATTCCTCGATCGCCCAGACTGTGAGTGTTTAGCGAGTCTGGCCTTTCCGATTCTCTCAACATCGAGCTCTTCTTGAGCGGAGCTCTTGCTGTGTGTCAATCGCTAACATGCCCATTACCTAGGGCTTCCACAAGGGCCATCGAGCTATGGATCTCGCTGGTATAGAGTGGGTGATCTTGTCCGTCAAAATTCTGACGGCAGTCTGATATTGGCGGGACGTGGCGACAGCATGGTCAAAATAAGAGGGCAGCGATTTGACATGTCAGAAGTGGAGAAGAACCTGGGGAGCGACCGTCGCGTGAGGAATTCTCTGCCCATCATCGTGAAAAGAGGGCTGTGCAAGCATCGTCTGGTTGCAATAATTGCGCTGCATGATTTCGCTACCGAAGAAAGCAGTGACGAAACTTTTCATCTCGTAAAGGATGATGAATTGCAAGGGGCCGCATCGTGGGTGTCTGAATTCCAGAGTCAGTTGTCCTTACGCATTCCAAGTTTTATGATTCCCACCATATGGGTGATGGTGAAACGATTGCCTCTTACCATCACTGGAAAGATCGATAGGGTTTTGCTGAAACGACTCGTGGAGAACATGGACATCGAAACATATGAAAGCATCTCGTCCTTGGGTATTTCTCCAGAGGCTCCAAGGACCGAAATGGAGAAGCGTCTACAGCAGCTTTGGAGCGAAGTGTTGACCATCCCACGAGACAAGATTGGTATAAATCAGTCATTTATCAGTCTTGGGGGAGATTCTATTTTAGCCATGCTTGTTGGCGCTCGCTGCAACGATCTCAACCTCAACCTGCGAGTGGAAGACATTTTGAAGTACGGGACAATTGCTGAACTCGCGTTACGCACTTCGGCCAAAGTCGGTGATCGGAATCAGGATTCTCTGCTCCGCGACCGATACGATCATTTACACAGGTCCATTATGAGAAACCTGCACGAGGTCGGGGTACCTAGGACCTGCGATGTTGTGGACGCGTACCCAACAAGTCCAATGCAGCAAGGAATGCTACTGAGCAAGGCACGGCTAAGTGGGGACTACAACACATCCACCATCTATGAAGTTATCCCAAAGTCACAGCGTTTTGCTCCGAACGCTGAGTCGCTCCTGCGAGCATGGCAACAAGTTGTAAATCGACATTCAGCTTTGCGAACCTTCTTCGTGGAGAGCACATCACAGAGTGGATCTTTCGACCAAGTTGTGCTTCGAGATTGGGACGTAGCATCGTCCACGACCATTTTCAGGAACATCGCGGTTGAATCAGTTGAAGGAGTTGTTCAGATATTCAACCAAAGGCCGCCACAGCCCTACAGCTACCAGCAGCCACCTCACAACTTCACCATAATCGAGGCCAAGTCCGGACGCTTATTTTGCAGGCTAAATGCTGAGCACACTCTTGTTGATGGAACGTCGATTGCAGTTATCGTGCGCGATATCGTCTTAGCCTATGATGAAGCCCTCGAAGCCCAGAAAGTCTATCAATACTCATCATACATTGATGCTCTTCAGCAAGTTGATTGCAGTGTCGACAACAATTACTGGAAGTCATACTTGGATGGCATGCACCCCTGTCTACTTCCAAACCTCGCCTACAGCTTGTCTCGAGAACCACCCAAAGCCGAGTCTCGGGCAATCGTCGTTGATATCAAGGAACCACAAATGCTTCTCAAATTCTGCCAAAGCCAAGAGATTACTGTTTCCGCTCTTTTCAGAACAGTTTGGGGATTGCTTCTACGTGCATATACTGGCTTGGACGAAGTGGCGTTCGGTTACATCACCAACGGCAGAGATCTCCCCCTTGCTGGGATAGGTCAGATTGTTGGGACATTAATTAACATGCTTGTTTGCCGCATGAACCTCAAGGAATCAAGTCCGGTGAGGGATGTTATAGCCAAAGCCCAAGTTGACTACAGGAACAGCTTGCCACATCAGCACGCATCGCTAGCACAAATCCAGCACGTTCTTGATTTGAATGGCCAGCAGCTATTCAACACATCGATGACAGTTCTCAAGCAAGTTGATCTGTCTGCTGGAGAAAATCCCAGCATCCGCTTGAAGAACGTTCACCAGTGGTCTCCGGATGAGGTAAGACATCCCTCGATATGGAAAGGCCTTTCTAACATTTACTCTCTAGTACGATGTCAACGTGCAGTGTTGGGTATCGGAAGCGAGCGTGAAAGTAGAACTGTGGTACAGAAGCGAGACCGTTTCAACTGAACATGCCCAAAATATTGCTTCTACCTTCGCTAAAGGTTTAGAGGTAGTCACAGATGATCCCGAGCAGCGAGTTGGTCAGCTGGATCTTTTCAGCGAACACCATAAAACACAGGTTTGGGACTGGAACGGGACTTATCCTGATCTCATTGATACTTGTCTGCATCATATCATTAGTGCCCAAGCCGCCTGCCGACCACAAGAAATTGCGATCATCTCGTGGGAACGGGAGATGACGTTCCAAGAGTTGGACACTCACTCCGATCGACTTGCACATCATCTACTTTCCCTTGGCGTCGCTCCGGAAGTTCATGTACTGCTATGTTTTGAGAAATCAGCCTTAGCTATAGTCGCCATGCTAGCTGTCTTGAAAGCTGGGGGAGTGTGCGTGTCTATCGATGCATCACACCCAATGCAACGGCTGCAACGTATCATTAAAGACACTGCGCCCATATGTTGTTTGGTCTCGACAATGAATCGCAGCTTGTTCGAAGACGATGGCCTCCGGGGGCGAGTAAAACATGTTGTTGCTGTCGACCAGCCATTGGTAGATTCGCTGCTACTGGTCGATGGCACAAAACCATGTTCAGCTGTCAAGCCAGACAATGCTGCTTTTATTTTATTCACATCTGGTTCGACAGGTACTCCAAAGGGAATCGTACATACACATTCCACGATCGCATCATCATTACATGCACACGGGACCGCTATGAACATCGGAATTGACTCCAGGACACTGCAGTTCTCTGCATTTGTATTTGATGTCAGCATCACCGAGATCTTCATGTCTCTGACTCGTGGTGGCGTTCTCTGCATTCCTTCAGAAGATGAAAGGATGAACGATTTGGAATCCGCTATCGGTCGTATGAGCGCGAACTGGGCCCACCTCACTCCAACCGTAGCCTCTCTCTTAGACCCAAATAGAGTTCCGACGTTGAAGCATATGGCACTGGCCGGTGAGCCCCTCAAGAAGATTAATGTCACTGAGTGGGCGCCTCGTCTCGAATTGGTCAATTTATATGGCCCAGCCGAGTGTGCTCTAGCCACTACTCTTCGTGTTGGATTGGTGAAAGATGATAGAACGGACAATATCGGGAAAGCTATTGGCCTTCTGGTCTGGATCGTTGATTCTTCTGATCCCCACATACTTGTGCCTGTCGGAGCAGTAGGCGAGCTTCTTCTAGAAGGGCCAAATGTCGCACGAGAATACTTGAAAGACAAAGAGAGAACACTCGCATCATTTATCGAAAACCCAGCATGGCTCAAAGATGAGAAAACAATACCGCCTAGAAGATTCTACAGGAGTGGTGATTTGGCTAGATACAACGGAGATGGGTCGATCCAGATACTGGGCCGAATCGATACTCAGTACGTGTTTTCTTGACCCTGGTTGTCTGCCACACTAGGGATTCGAACTTCCTTTTCTGATTTTGTTTAATGGTGAATTTGGGGAGCATTAGTAGGATCTGCATGCTAATTTATTGCACAGGGTCAAGTTGCATGGACAACGTGTCGAGTTGGGCGAGATCGAATATCAGGTCAAAGTCAACTTGCTGGGTCACAACTTGGTTAACATGGCGGTTGTTTATGCCAAATCTGCCAAACACCCAGGAGGTGGAATACTTGTGAGTCGTCCGCCCCAAATTTACTCCTTTTGTGCAAGCTATCAAACCATTGATGTCAACTTTGTCGACATATTCCATCATTTCCGAATGAATCATTACTGATTTATCAAGGCCACATTTCTAGAGTTCGAGGAGAAGTCCACAGATGTTGACAACAACCAACTCATGCTAACCATTTCTCAACACCTGCGAAGAACACTCATCATGTTAGATGTCCATCTTGCCGAAACTTTGCCTTCTTATATGGTGCCCGCGATCTATTGTCCGATGAACTCAATGCCACTCTTGACCGCGGGAAAAATTGATCGGGGAAAGCTCTCGAGAATCGTACAAAACCTCTCGACAGATCAGGTCGCGTTGTTTTCGCTCGCTGATTTCCAGGAGGCAAAAGTCATGCCAAGAACGAAAATGGAAAGGATACTACAGAAGCTGTGGGCGAAGTCGCTTGCCATTGAAACAAAGTCGATAGGAGTTGATGACAACTTTTTCCGTCTTGGAGCAGACAGTGTTGTAAGTGGCTGACTGTCAGTTGATATATCAGGAGATGTTGCTAACAAGCCCTTCAGGTGGCGATGAGACTGGCTGCAGCCGGCCGAGAAAGTGGCATCACAATTACAGTGGCAGACATATTCCAGAACCCAAAATTATGCGACATGGCCATGGTTGCAAAACCTTTCAGCGAGAAAGTCATGATTGATCTCGAAGTCAGATACGGCATACAAAAGCAAAATATCCAGGCGATATACCCGGCAACTCCGCTTCAAGAGGGACTGCTTATGCTTTCCAACAGGGAACCGAAAGCATATACCGTACAGCATGTCCTCTCGTTGGATTCAGATGTGGAACTTGAGAGACTTCGCATAGCATGGGAATATGTTATTGAGCAAAATGCGGTTCTCCGTACTCGGATTGTTCACGTTGAGAGATCAATAGGGTCTCTTCAAGTCGTATTGCAGGAAGGAGCCTCTTGGCAGACTGCAGTATCACTTGAGGACTACCTGAGGCAAGACAAACAGCTGCCTATGGATTACGCAATGCCTCTTTCGCGGTATGCCCTGATTGATGAGCACAAGAACGGCATGCGATACTTGGTCTGGACTGCCCACCATTCTGTGTTCGACAAGTGTTCCGCATCTTTGATTTTCAGAGAAGTCGCTGCAGCTTATGAATCCACTGTTAACGGACCCAAGAACATTAATCTGCCAGACAAGGTGTCGTTCAGAGCCTTTTCTGAGGGTGTCTTTCACATGGATATCTCAGGCGCTGAAGCCTTCTGGAAGGAGCAGTTTTTGGATCTGTCATTTTCTCCATATCCTAAACTCCCTGCAGGACATCAACCTTTGGCAACGAATTCTATAAACTACTCTGCCTCTTTACCACCTTTGAATTCCACTAGCTTCTCGGTTCCGATTATTCTTCGCGCCACCTGGGCGTTATTACTCGCGCAGTATACCGATACCCCTGAGAATGTTGTCTTTGGACTGACTTTGGACGGCCGTGGAGAGTCTGCTTCAATGCCTGGGACTGACACCATGGTAGCACCTGTTTTTGCTACCGTTCCAGTCAAAATCTCAATCGACAAGCAAACAACCATTGAGAGCTTTCTATCTGAAGTTCAAGAGTCAGCTAAAGATATGAAGCAGTGGCAGAACTTTGGATTGCAAAATATTAAATATCTTAGTCTCGATGCAGCGAAGGCCTGTGACTTCCATAATCTGTTGGCTATCCACCCTTCCAGCACCCACAGCGGCCACGGCAATAGCCCTTTGGATCTTTCAATCACCACACATGATTCTCCTTCACCCTATTTGCTCCTACTGGAATGTCAAATAATGGAGAATGCTATCGCCATAGAAGCGCAATATGATCCAAAGGTTTTAGCGGCTTCGCAGATACAGCGCATGCTGCATCAATTCGAGCATGTCCTGACTCAATTGACAGCTCATGAATCCCGCAACAAGAGTCTCAACGACATTGAATTCTGCAGTCCACAGGATATCCAGCTTATCTCATCCTGGAACGAGCACCTACCAGAACCTATCGAGAGTTGTGTCCACGATGTGATAGCTTCCCACTCGATTTCAAGGCCGGGAGCACCTGCAGTATCTTCTTGGGACGAAAATTTGACGTATCACGAGCTTCATATCCTGTCCTCAAATTTGGCACATTACTTGAAGACCTACTTCAATATTGGCCCCGAGTCACTGGTTCCGCTATGCTTTGCAAAATCTGCTTGGGCTGTGATTGCCATGCTGGCAGTGCTGAAGGCCGGTGGAGGGTATGTACCAATGGATCCCACCCATCCCGCTTCACGCCTCCAAGAAATCGTCGACGCAACCAAGTCCTCTGTGGTCCTATGCTCTCCACAACATGAAAGATTGAGTAGGTCGCTTGCAGAGCGAGCGTTTTGTGTCAGTCGCAAGACAGTCGACATGTGCAAACAATTCGACGGTCCGGCGTGCAGAAGCGTCACGCCAGACAACACTTGCTACGTTATATTCACATCGGGCTCCACCGGGAAGCCCAAAGGTGTCGCCATGTCCCATACGGGATTTTCAACAGCTGCTGCAGCCCATGGCAAGCGTGTGAATCTCAACTCGGAATCCCGGGTCATCCATTTCTCATCATATGCTTTTGAGGCTTGTATCTTGGAAATCTTAACCACATTATTCAGTGGTGGTTGTGTTTGCATAGCTCCTGAATCCGAGCGGCTGGAAGATATCGCGAAGACAATGCGAGAGCTTCGAGTGAATTGGGCCTTCTTCACTCCCTCCTTCATCCGTACAATAAGTCCTGACCAAGTTCCGGACTTGAAGACTTTGGTATTGGGTGGCGAGGCTTTAGGCTCTGACAATATCGATACATGTACGTTCTTCGACCAGTGCATATTTCCCCAGCCCCCGGTCGAATGTCTAATACTTCCGAGGCATGAGTAAATGAGTGTTCGCTGACATCCCAATCCTCACAGGGGTGGACCACGTATATCTTGTTAATGGTTATGGTAAGTATTTTCTTGCTATCCAGTCCATACCCTCTCCTCTTGAGTCGTGCCAAGTTCGCATTTCAAACAGTGGCCGGATACGGCAGTACTTCCCTAGTCCCACTCTGTCCACGACTGACAATTTACAGGCCCCAGTGAAACTTGTGTCTTTTCCGTAATAAACGAGAATATTCGCAGGCATCATACCACCCCCGACATGATTGGAAGTGCAGTTGGGGGTGCGTGCTGGATTGTTGACCCTGAAGATCATAGCAAACTTGTTCCACTGGGAGCTGTGGGAGAGTTGTTGATCGAAGGACCGACACTTGCACGAGGTTACCTCGATGACCAAGAAAAGACCACTGCAGCATTTGTCAACAATCTGGAAGTGAGACTCCGCATCAGTGCCCTCAAAAGAAATCAAGTAAACGGATCAAACACTTGCAGGGCAGTCAATGGGAATGCTGCGCACTTGAATGGCAATGGAACAAATGGATTCTCAAAAGTTACAGGCAGAATGTACAAAACAGGCGATTTGGTGCGCTACGATACGTCAGGCCTTGCGGATGGAACAATTCGATTTGTGGGCCGGAAAGATTCGCAGGTCAAGGTTCGGGGACAACGAATGGAGCTTGGGGATATCGAGCATCATCTGAAGCTCAATCTGAGCGGTATTCGGCACATTGCTGTCGAGCAAGTCGCTCTTCCTCATCGCGAAACACAACAACTCGCTGCATTCTTTTCACCCGACAAGCAAACCCGAATATCTGGTTCGAATTCCGAATTGATTACGCTCCCATTGCCGGCTGATGTGAAGCAATCGATACTCGCGGCTGAAGCAGCATTGTCCGAGAAGTTACCCGCATACATGATTCCTACACTGTACGTGCCAGTAGCCAGGATCCCTCTCCTACCTTCAGGGAAAACAAACAGAAGAGAACTGCGCCAGGTCTCTTCACGATTCACGGAGAAGGAAATCGAACAATACTCCTTGAGCGAGGGACAAAAGAGAGCTCCAAGTACCGATGTTGAGAAGACATTAGCGAAGGTCTGGAGCCAGATCCTTCACACCGGAGACGAAACCATCATTGGCCTAGATGACAGCTTTTTCAGGCTGGGGGGAGATTCCATTGGCGCTATGAATCTCACGACTCTTGCTCGTGAGAATGGTATTTCCCTGACCGTGGCCAAGATTTTCCAGCACCCGCGGCTAGAGGACATGGCCTCTGTTGCCATCAAAACCAGTGAGGTAGTAGAGAATAGGCTCGTGCCATTCTCCTTACTTGCAAACATTGAAGATGTGGACACAGTCCTAAGAGAAATTTACAGAAGATACCAAATACCACAGGGGAAAATCGAAGATGCGTTTCCGACATCTGCCCTGCAAGAAGGCCTCTTCTTGCTTTCCATCAAACAACCAGGATCGTACATGAGTCAAATAACACTGAGTCTCAGGTCTGATGTTGACATCGCACACTTCAAATCAACTTGGCAAAAGACTGCTGAGAGAAACTCCATCCTCCGATCTCGCATCGCTCATACCGGATTGACATCTATCCAGTTCATCGTCAGGGAAGAAATCGATTGGTACCACGGCTCCGACTTGAATGACTATCTCACTGAGGACAAAAAACATCAAATGGGTCAGGGAAGCCCGCTCATTCGATACGCAATTATCACGTCAGGAAATGATCGCAATTTTGTTCTAACGGCCCACCACTCATTGTATGATGGCTGGTCATTGATGCTGATTATGGAAGATTTCACTCGTCTGTATGGGGCTGACCCGGTCAAGCCACCAGCTCCACCTTATGCCAACTTTATCAGGCATTTGATGAGTGCGGATGTTGAGTCTGCGAAGTCATTTTGGCTATCCCAGTTTTCCGGAAAATCACTTTCAAGCTTTCCAGAGCCGCGACCAGCTGCGCAAGCAGCCGAAGAGACTCAAATTTTCCAATATGCAGACATCAAGCGGCCTTCAGGATCTGACATCACCCTATCAACTGTCATAAGGGCGGCCTGGTCTCTGGTTGTTGCAAGATATGCAGACACTCAAGACGTGTTCTTTGGAGCAATATCTACAGGACGCAATGCTTCACTTCCCAATATTGAACAGATGACAGGCCCATTGATAGCGACGATTCCAGTTTGCATCTCAATAGATGGGACTGAGACTGTCGACAATTTTCTGCGAAGGACACAAAGACAAGCAACAGACATGATCCCATTCGAGCACACGGGCCTTCAAACAATCAAGTCCTTTGGTCCCGAAGCCGAAACAGCCTGCCAACTCCAGAATTTGTTGGTAATTCAACCAGAAGGCTCTGATGATATGCAGAGTCCCGTATGGAAAGAAAACGTACTGTTTGCTAAAGGAGAAATGGTCACGATGACGTATGCGTTGATCGTCGAGTGTCGGCTGTACAAGGATAAGGTCAGGATCACTGCTCAATACCGGGAGAACATTACTCCTACCGGTCAAATGCAACGAATGATTGACCAGTTCGAACATGTCCTGCACCAGCTCAACAACACCAGCAACAAGCAGAAAGTGGACGAAGTTGAGGTTGTCAGCAAAAAAGACAAATTAGAAGTCTTGGAATGGAATAAAGACTCCCAATTCCCTCACATAGACGACTGTGTTCATCACATCATTGAACGACAAGCCACTCAAAGACCTCGCTCCCCAGCTGTTGAGTCTTGGGACGCCAGCTTTTCTTACGAGAAGCTCAACAACATTTCAGGTAAACTTGCCCAGTATCTGAAGGGACTGGGTATTGGGCCGAATGTATTTGTCCCGCTTTGTTTTGATAAATCAGCTTGGACGGTCGTGGCCATTCTAGCAGTACTGAAAGCAGGAGGTGCATACCTCTCCTTGGATCCGAAACACCCAAAAGCCAGAAGAGATCTCATTATTCAAGATGTTTCTGCAAAGGTTGTTCTGACAAGCAGTCAATATTGTGGCAGTTTTGACTCCTCGGGAGTGACGGTTCTCAGCATCGACCAGGCTCTGCTTGACGACCTTCCCTCTCTTTCAGGCGTCGAAAGTCTTCCTGGGAAGTCGACAGACGCCGCTTTTGTGGTCTTTAGTGAGTTTGCAAGCAATCAACATTTTATCATTCTGACAATGCGTAGCTTCGGGCTCAACTGGTATCCCTAAGGGTATCGTTATGGAACATGGATCGTTTGTCAGTAGCGCCGAAGAGCACTCGAAAGCGCTCCACATCAACTCTGATTCGCGCGTTCTCCAATTTGCAGCTTATACTTACGATGTGAGTATGGGCGAGATTCTAACAACATTGATGCGAGGCGGTTGTGTATGTGTACCTTCTGAGGAGCAGCGCATGGGAGATCTAGCAGCTACCATCAATTCTTTGGAGGTCAACTGGGCATTTCTGACACCAACCGTTGCTGGGTTCTTGACACCTAGCGAGGTCCCTGGCCTGAAAATCCTTGTCCTTGGAGGAGAGCATTGCACAAATCAGAATATCGAAACGTGGTCGGAGCATGTAAACTTGATAAATTCTTATGGTATGCCTCTCCGGTCCCTCTTGGGAGCTCATGATGTCCGATTGTTGAAAGATGTGCTAACTTTTGGAAAGGCCCCGCAGAATGCGCTATCGTGAGTCCTCTGATGAATATTTCTTTTCCTCATCAGAGCCAGACACTAACTTCAGATTTTCAACAGTGGTGCTGTCGAGCACCAAATTTGACCTTGGAGTCCAACCCTGCAAGTCTCGGATATCCAGTCGGCGCAACACTTTGGATCACAGATGCCGTGGATTCAGACAAGCTTGCTCCTGTTGGATGTGTTGGAGAATTACTTATCGAAGGACCCACACTTGCCCGAGAATATCTTAACGACCCCGAAAAGACAGCAGCAGCGTTCATAGTGGATCCAAAATGGTCTAATAATGGATCTGACAGAAAAAGACGATTCTACAGGACTGGAGACCTGGTCCGGTACGGACCAGAGGGAACTATTCTCTTCATTGGCCGCAGAGACACACAAGCAAAGATCCACGGCCAGAGAATAGAGCTTGGAGAGATCGAGCAGAACCTGATGAGATTTAGTCCACCGAACTGGTTCCCAGTGGTTGACATCCTCCAATTTTCCGACGGCAAAAGTGATGCCACCTTGACAGCATTCATTCACTTGAAAAACGCTTCGAATCTTCCCAGGGCCGCAAATGATATGGTTATCCCCATGGACTCGGCAATTTCTGAACAACTGAGCAGGATAAGGTCCGAATTGGAGCAGGTCCTTCCAGGTCATATGGTGCCCGCTGTATTCATTCCTCTATTCAAGTTGCCTCTTACAGCAGGGGGTAAGGTTGATCGAAAAGCTCTCAAGGCATTTGGGCAGAGTCTAGATAACGACCAAATCCTTGAATACTTGCTGATTGGCCATGGTGCTGTGAAGACCCCCTCAACGGAAATAGAAAAACAGCTCCAGAAACTGTGGTCAAAGGTTTTGAATGTCAGCCTAGAGTCGATTGGCACAGGTTCAAACTTTCTACGACTAGGTGGAGACTCAGTAGCAGCAATGCGACTTTCTGCTGCTGCAAGGGAGAGCGGATTGTTGTTGACCATCCGGTCAATATTTACCTCACCAAAACTTGAAGACATGGCTAAGACAGCAGATGTAATCTCAAACGAACCCCAGAAGCTTCAAGATTATGAGACATTCTCGATATGGAAGGATTTCAACAAGTCGAGCTTATTTAGAGATGTTCTACAGCCTCAAATATCCAAAGAGCTAGGAGAGATTGAGGATGTTCTTGAGGCAACCGATTATCAACGGTGGACTCAAGGTTGTGGTCAGCTCAAGACTCGAGGTTACAACAATTACTTTACCTTCCACTTCAAGGGGTCACTGGATTTGACAAAACTTCACGCTGCGTGCCAAGAACTTCTCAAGCGCCACTCAATCCTCCGTACCACATTTATCCCTTACAAAAGCAAACTGTTCCAGGTGGTTTTAAAAAGCGCACAGCCAAGCTTCGAGTACTATAAGCATGAAGAGCGGGCTGTGATCCTTGCCCGCGACATGGAAAGACCCGTTCGATTTGGAGAGTCCATCATTCGATTGTTGTTAGTCGAGCAGAGAGATGACGAACATGAACTGCTGATCCGAATTTCTCATTCCCTTTATGACGGTATCTCGTTGCCAATCATTGTCAGAGACTTGAAAGCTGCCTATGCCGGAGAGCAGTTATCAAGTAGTTCGCCGTACAACCAATTCATCTGGGGATCATTGCAGACAATGAAAACATTAGACGCGGAAACATTCTGGCGGCGTCTTCTGAAAGGCTCTACGATGACACACATAGTTCACCATCAGACACCATCTTACCGCAATCCGATCAACAAGTCTTTGAAACGAACCGTACCGGCACCAGAGAATAGAAATATGGGCATCACATTCGCATCCATAGTCAAAGCATCTTGGGCATTGGTTCTTGCAAAGTTCTCGGCGAGTTCAGATGTTGTCTTTGGACAGATCACCACGGGTCGAAGTGCCCCTATCCCAGGGATTGATGAGATTGTCGGGCCTTGTATGAATCTTGTTCCAGCTCGATTCAAGCTAGATTCAGCTGCAACCCTTTCCGAACTTCTCCAGCAAGTTCAGGCTCAGCATTTGGATATGTTGCCTTACGAATCCCTCGGGTTTCACCACATCATAGAGAAATGTACCAATTGGCCGACGTGGACCAGATTCAGCTCTATTTTGCAGCATACGAACTTCAACACCGGTATGGATGCACTAGACATGTGGGGTGATGTTGAGATGAGGCTGGGAAACTTCACACCCGGCCATGACGTCTCGGACATTTGGATTTGGACAGGTCCTGCCGGAGAAAACTTTTCCATCGACTTCACGTACTCCAGCGATACCCTCCCAGAAGCGCTTGCTCAGGAGATGCTCGACTCGCTATGCGAGAATATTGGCAAGCTATTCGAGTGCCCAAGCAGTCCCATGGACAGTTTGCTGGCGACCCTTCAAGCACGACTACCTTTACCCCTCACTGAGAAGAGCTCTTCTGTCCCTCGTGCTCCAGCCAGTCCTGAGATACTAGCAGTTGTGCAAGCAACTTGGGCGATTATCTTTGGCGATGATGAAAATGCTCTTCCTCCTGGAACGATAGACAGCACGCCATTCTTTAACCTGCGAGGTGACTTGCTCGCAGCCGCTCAAATTTCTTGCGAGCTCGGAAAGCGAGGCTTTCAGATGACACCGGAGGACGTCATTGACAACCCTGATATGGAAATGCAAGCTGAATTTCTCTCTGCTCGGGCTTGATGGATGAAGCAGCGATTTCCCCAATGCTGACATGAAAGGTACTGAATATGGGGTGACTTGAACTTGGATAGCCAATTCGGAAGACATGGAATGGAATGAAAATATTCCGTAGCCGTCCCCAAAATATCATATGCAGATTGATTAGTCACAAGCGCAAACCGTCAAAGTAATTCTAGTGTTATCTTTCAATTCATTCTGCGCTGTGGAGCTTGTATGCTGCGTCTCGCAGCTCATGTCTATGCAAGGCAGAATCTCGCTGTCCAAGTTAGGTCTAGTATGGCGGGATGAGGAGTGATCTGATGACAAATACCGCTTAGCTGACAAAACAAACACTCGGCCATGCATCCTCTAACCATCCTGCTTGGAAGGGACAGTCATCCTTGCGATATCTAAATTATGCTAAGCATCCTGATATGCTGTATGGTGAGAGGTTCGGTTATGCTATTAGATATACATCCACTCCTGCACAGCAATCATGAATGCCTCAAAAGAGTTCGCACGTTCCATAATTTACTCTGCTGAGAAATTCACTGAGGACACCGGTGATATGGTGGCTCTGAAATGCAGGCTGAACATGATGTGGTGTCCAACATGTTGACTATATATTCCACAGCGATGCCTTCCAAAGTCCCAATATCACTTCTCATCCTCTTCAAACACTAGTGCAGCATCGAAACAAAGACTTGCATTCATCCAACAAACCAGCAATTCCTCAAAGAATACCATCTTCTTTCTCATACAATGGAGAACCTACCAGTCGACTTTTTTGTTACATCCCAGGCTTTTACCAAATCTACGTTTCGTGATGTCTATCCAGCCATAGATCCAGCTTCACCTTCAAACAGCCAAGCTGGCAAGGTCATTGTCATCACCGGCGCCTCAAAAGGTCTTGGTCGAATTGTGAGTCAAATTCCCTCCCTTCTCCAGACATTGACTAACACCGCATCCTCAAGTCTTTCGCTACATCTTTTGCCAGAGCAGGCCCCAAGGCGATCGTTCTCGTTGCCCGAACCGCGGAGTCTCTTGCAGCAACTGCGAAAGAAATCCATGCTATTGACAGCAAGATCGAAGTTCTCACCGTCCCGACCGATCTGCTCAGTGTTGAATCTATTTCCGCGTTGTGGGAGAAGGTCAAGGCTAAGTTTGGACACGCCGATGTTCTCGTCAACAATGCGGGAACTCTGTCCGGAGGAGGCCCTCTCAGTGATGCCGACCCTGCAGCATGGTGGTCCGATTTTGTGAGTTATGTACATCCCATCCTGAGAATCGTAGCTGATTTCGCAAAGGAGGTGAATGGCAGAGGTACATTCCTCATCACTCAAGGCTTCCTCCAACTCCTCGGAAAGGAGAAGAAGGGAAGCGTCATCAATCTCACCACCGGAGCAGCTGTTTCCATCTTCCCGGGAATGTCCAGCTACTCCATCTCGAAGCTCATCCCAGTCCAACTCGCAGCCTACGTCGCAGCCGAGAACCCCAACGTCACAGCCGTGGCGCTACACCCAGGAACTGTCCACACCGACATGACGCTTGACTCCTTTGTGCGCTTCTCGATCGACACTCCTGAGCTTGTTGGGGGAATTGGAGTCTGGCTCGCGACGGAGAAGGCGGCTTTCATGACGGGGAAGTATGTTAGCGCGAATTGGGATGTTGAGGAGTTGACGAAGAGGAAGGATGAGATTACGGGGGGAAAGCTATCGGTTGCTTTGGTTGGAGATTTTGGACAAGAGCAGTTTTCTTAGATAAGTCTTTGGTTATAGATCTGAAATGCTGAGTACAATTGAGCGATAATATTCCCGCTTTGCTTATTGCCCGTGTTTGGCCCTTTGAGATTGCTTTCTTCGAAGTTCAAACTTTGCATTTGGACAACTGGACTTTTTTTTTATGACAAGCTGGAGCTTTCCACAACAGATATCAACTTAGCTGTAGCACGCTTTGAGACTCTCGTTGATTGGGCGAAAACTAGCCTGACCTTGTGTGGAAGATTTTGATGTCCTGTCCATCCATCTGTTTTCGTAGCAGATACAGATCACGTAACCTTTGTCTGTCTCCGTCCATAGGTAATTTACTGTATTCTACGTTGTAACTTTACCATGCACGAATCACTGTCTCAATCCATGTGAGACCCGGCTCCTGCGGCTGATTTCCTCCACCAACATCACAAACTCTCCGACGAACACATTGCACCATCACGCTTCGATCCTCCAGACCGATCTTAACCATTGAAAGTTGGACCCTCGACCCCTCCGGAATGGTACCAACACCATCCCAGCCTTGCTCCTCAATTTCCATTATCCAGCTCCCAATGCTCGCAATCATAAATCGATCCCAAGGGCCATCATGCTGCTGCATCCTCAGAATTTCGATAGCCTCCCGCCGCACGGCTCGATCCCTACACCTCAATAGAACGATGAAGAGTGGTGGTACGACACTCGTGTGAAAGTGGTATGCTGGCTTGTTGTTTGATATTACGAGCAGATTGTCTGTTACCTGCCGAGCCAAAGATACTATTTCGGTGAATTGAGGCAGAAACTCATCATAAGAGGTCTCGTTCGTGAAAGTTGTGCCTGCGACTGCGACTTTGATACTGAGACTGGTCATACGGAGTAGCGCGATGTTTGCGACCTCTCGCAGACCCGGAGAAGCACTCTTCCCATTGGCGAGGAGTTTGTGAAACGATGCTGACCAACGATCGATGTCGTTCATTTTCTCCGCTTGTTCCTGGATGAAGCCATCCGGTACTAGGAATGGGGAGCCATATATAGAATTTTCGGCGTTGATTTCAATTGTTCTTCCCCCTAGCGTGCTCGGAGTGTCCTTCTGCAGCGTTCTCGATTTTGTTCGTACGGCTCCGTACATGATGAAGTGGCAAGACCGTCTGAGGACAAGTTCCCAATATGTGGTCGCTTCAGCAAGGTCCGAGAACACCAGTGGCATTTCTTGAACAGCAGGTGTGCCGTCCCGCATCCCATTGATGTGTACTTGATGCCCTCTGGTTTCCACAAAAGTGAGAAACTGAGTGTCGAACCGACAAAATATGAGAAGAATCTCATCTTCAAGTATACTTGTTGCTGGAGAAGCAATACCGCGACGACGAGAGTTCCTGTTGGCCCACTGCTCGGTCACCCAAGAACACAGCATCCGATCTCCGATCATCGCGTGCCAGAAAGCTACGTCGGGCTGGGCATGGATCGTTTCAAAAACGAAGACCAAGAGAGTGGAGATCAGCATCTTCCTCAGGTAAGAGTTGCTGTCTGTTGTGATTGTTCGCATGCCTCTGATAGCTTTGTCATATTGCTCTAAAGCATACTCTCGTTGATTTTTAGCTTCAGCTTGCCAAGCGACCTTGTTAGAGTCGGTTGCCGATCGGGCAAGTTCGGCGGACTTCACGGATTCATTGAGAGCAGCAATACTAATTATTCCTGACATGACGGAGTTTTGATGTGTCGACTCCCGAATCAGGATGTGATCCCAAAAGGTTGACTTGTAAACTCCTGATAGATCGGCAGCTGTCTGGCTTTGGAAGATCTTAAAGAAGTACGATTCTTTCTCGTCGTTCAAGAAGGCTTTTTGAGTAGGCTGTTGAATTAAGACACTGGGACGGGCAATGATGGCGCGGTGATCAATTCTTGTCGATGGTACTTTTGCGTAGCCGGTACACGTCCCAGTACTTTTCAAACACCGCAGACAGCTAGGCTTGGATTCATCGCATTTGAGATGTCTAGTTCTGAATTCCTGTCTTAGCTTGATGAAAGGCTTTGAATCGTGCTACTCACTTGCATGTCAGACACCCAGTCTTGGTTTTGGGTTTCCTAGTTCTGCCCAGTTGCTGCCTTGTCGATAGCTCTAAATGTCTGACCCCTGCTGGATTTCCATATGTTCCAGCGTCCTGTCCAGACATATTGCGAGATAGATCTTCTTCTTGGGGCTCGGTAAGAATGGCCGACGATGGCCCAGCGTTGAGGATCGAATTCCATTTCTCCATCTCGCTCTCACCATTCTCAATTACATCCGCGCCAGGTATCTGATCCCCTACATTGACCTCTTCTAGGAGTATCTGAGACTCCGATGATGGAGTGAAGCTGAATGAATCCGGTACAAGAAGTCGAAATTGCAGAGGTTTAGGGTCAACATGTGTTCCTTTCTGTCGCGACACATGATTACGGGCGTTCTGGCGGACGAGCTTCTTTAATTTCGGGTCCTGGATCTTGGGACCTGTTTGAGAGATGAATGAAAGCATTGGAGGGCTACTTTCTGCCACCTGAAGATCTTCCATGTCTTGTGTATTTTACATTCTGCTCCTCGGCCAGATATCAATGCTGGAAAGTCAAACCGTACCGGCATGGTAGGAAGAGCTCACGTAATCATGTTTTTGTGGACCAAGTCGGTTCCTGCTTAGTTGCAGAAGTGGGCGAGTCATGCCTTGAGGCTTGGTTGATAAGATGAACCATTGATGTATCGGCAGGAAAGAAATTGAACATGTTAGAGCCTTATCATGTCAGCTCCGATGCAGTTTTCTGGCCGTAAAGCTTGACTAAGGCAAGGGGCCGATGCCAAGAATCGCGTGCATATTAACAAGCCAATACTGGGGCGAAAGACACGCCGGCGCCCCCTCATGTACGCCAAAGTCACATAAGCGTTGATTTGTCATAACCTTAACGTCTGCTTTGTTATCCTGATGCTCCTGGGTCGACGTCACAAATACCAATATGAAATAACTTCAAGGCGACAACAGATGAGTTTCCTAGAGGTAGGGTCAAATTTGAAAGAGGAGAGGCAGAGACGTGAAGGCAGAAGTGAAAGTCTAAAACTACAGTATCAATAGATTGCCGATCGAAGGCGCTAATCAATTCGGGACCCTTACTCTTTAACCGGTAGACGAGAGCTCTACAGTGTTTGAGACGTCCGATCCAGTACACAAACTGACCTGGCAAGGTGAGGCGATTTATCAAACATGGATGACAGGCATTCTTAGTGACCAGCAAGCCTACCTTATCGCCCAGCGCCAGCGCCAGCGCCAGCGCCAGCGACAGCTCCAATTACGCTGTCGCCTCGCTTCCGCCTCTTGATATCCACATCCACCTTCTTTGTGTGATCGAAACGCCCGTGACTCTCGGACTACAGGCAGTCTAGAAAACCCAAATCATTCTCGAAGAATAATTACACCGAGATACAAACCCAAAACATAGCACGGTGTCCGCATCCACCAATACATATTCGCAGTCCGGTGATGCCAAGCCTCCATCTCGCGGGGAGGAGGCTTACCCCGCTGTCGATCGATGTAACGAAGTAGGTAACTTTTGTCGATCCCGAACAACGCCTTTGACGCCATGAGCTTGCTGTGCGACATTAAGTAGACGTGTCGATCCAACTCAAACGACATTGAACTGGGCTCGCTGGGCTTGTACCTGATCTGGGCCTCAACTTCACGTTCCTCACAACTTGGATCTGGACTGTTGACTTCACAAGCGAGAGGGATTGAGCAGCTATCAAAGATGGCGATATTCAAGAAGAACTCGCTGAAAACGCGGGATGATCAGAAGACCAACGCTGCAGAGTTGACGTTACGGCAATCGATCTATCCGATCTGCTTGGTTACGATTCTGTTCTTCCTTTGGGTATGTCGCTTTCCCCTGCGCTTCCCCAGAATTATTGAAGAGTATCACTGATGGAGAAATGATAGGGGTTTTCGTACGGACTTCTCGATACATTGAACAAGCATTTCCAAAATACGCTTGGCATCACAAGATCTCGGTCTTCGGGATTGCAGGCAGCTTACTTTGGGTACGTTGGAATCCAATCCTCATTTCTCTTCCCTGCAAACGAGGTCGGCTGACAATGAAGCAGAGCATACCCCCTTGCTTCGCTCGGACATGCGAATTGGATCCTTAGACACTATGGATACAAGCCCGTCTTCATTTGGGGTCTCTGTCTTTACGGTATCGGTGCGCTGGTCGCATGGCCTTGTCTCCTCCATCGCTCATTCGGAGGATTTTGTGCTGCAATTTTCATCATTGGTAATGGATTGGGTTCGCTGGAAACTGCTGCCAATCCATACATCACTGGTAAAGATCCTATTCTGGCAAGCAGGACTTATGGCTGACAAGTGACTTCCAGTTTGCGGACCTCCTCGCTATGCAGAGATGAGAATCAATATCTCCCAAGCCTTCAACGGAATTGGTACGGTCGTGGCCCCAGTGCTAGGCTCCTACGTCTTCTTCAAGCAGACCGGCGACGACACCAAATCTCTGAAGAGTGTGCAATGGGTCTACCTAGCCATCGCATGCTTCGTCTTCCTCCTAGCCGTAGTCTTCTACTTGTACGTACCCCCTCACCAACCAACCCGCCTATCCTTGTCCCTACCACTTTCCCCTCTTTCTCCTCCCATCCAAGCCTCAACCAAGAAAACTCTAACGAGAAACTTTTCCCCAGCTCTCCAATCCCCGAAATCACAGACGCAGACATGGCCTTCCAAGCCGAAGAAACCCACGCCAACGAAGACATCAAGCCCTTCCGCAAACAGTACCGGCTCTTCCACGCTGCCTTCGCGCAGTTCTGCTACACTGGCGCACAAGTCGCCATTGCTAGCTATTTCATCAATTACGTCAATGAGACGCGACGCAACACAGATCCATCCCTCGCTGCTAAGTTCCTAGCTGGGGCTCAAGGCGCTTTCGCACTAGGACGATTCGTTGGCGTGGGGATGATGAAGTTTATACGGCCGCGCTGGGTTTTCTTGTTCTTCCTAGGTATGTGTATTGTGTTCATCGCACCGTCTATTACCCAGAGGGAGAACACGGGTATGTCGATGCTGTATGTTACACTCTTCTTCGAGAGTATATGCTTCCCCACGATCGTCGCGCTGGGTATGCGTGGACTGGGCAAATACACCAAACGTGGCTCGGGAGTCATCGTAGGTGGAGTCGCTGGGGGCGCTGTTGTTCCTCCTTTGCTGGGAGCTGCTGCTGATGCGAATGACTCGACTGCTATTGCGATGAGTGTCCCGCTTGCTTTCTTTGTGGCGGCTTTCACTTATGCGGTTTGTGTGAACTTCGTGCCGGCGTATAGGGATGTGGCGGATAAGTTTACGGTTGCGGAGGTGGGTATGGCGGGGAATATTGCGAAGGTGCAGGCGGGAATTCTGGCTGATAATCCGACTGCGAGGGGAGATGAGGAGAAGGCTGGTGCGTTGGAAAGGGAGGATGTTACTGCAGCGCCGGAGGTGAAGTATTGAGTGCTAGGAGCAGAGACAGGACGGGCAGGTTGTTTTTAATTGATGGAAGCTTGATTTAAGGAATGTTCAGCGTAGAATCGAGACAATTGACAGACCTGTCATCGTATCGTTTGCTCTAGACTGTCATAGGGAGCCATGTAGACATGAGATAAATAAAGATACGACAAGCGATCAAAAAGCTGAACAAGCGAGGCAGAAAGAAAACACACAGCAAACTGAGAATCAATACTTCTGGATCAGAACTGAATACACCACGAAGGAACTTTCAGAATATCAAACCAAAGTAATGGCTTCCCAAACATATACGACTCACAACAAAGCGTTACAATACCCTCAATCTGGCGCTGCTTTTGTCGAGAAAGCCCAACATCAGCCAGGTATGCAATAATATTCTCCAAGATCATTCCAAAGCGGACGATTCGATGCGACGGCCTTGCAGCTCATCAAAATCAGAACCCATCCTTGCTTTGCTCGCAACCGTATGAGCAAAAAATCTCGACATCTGACCATTCTGTGTCAGGTCCCGGTGGTCCAGCACAAATCCGATAACCACAAACCACCTCCATCTCCACACCTTCTTCACCCCAACAGTTGATGACAACCAAGTACTTAAATCAATCACCATTCAATCCGCCACCAAACGAATAGTATCGTAAATCCTTACCTAGCCCGCCATATCTCATATTTCTCCGATTGCAAGCCTACCTACCTTCCTAACCAGGCGGGGCCATGGCGCCAAGTGAAAAGCGTTGCGGTTGCGGTTGCGGTGCGGTTGCGCGGATGAGGGAAGATACGATCCGACGCGCGTGGCGGAGAAGGGAGAAACAAGCTCTCGCCCTCGGAAACGCGAGGGGAGAGGGAACACAAACAATTGTTGCACATCGCGATTTCTGTGCACGGGCCGTACCCTTTGGTCCGGCGCTTCGTCCACGAGGGAGATGAATGATAGACAGGAAGTACTGGGATTCAATTTGTGTGTGATGACGTGCAAAGCGGTGCGGAAAGGTACCTAAGTTGGGAAGGAGTTTACCTTAGATCTTGGGTAAGTAGCGGGAGGGGAAGAAATGAAATGTTAGTTCAGGGCCATTCTTCAGGACGATATGATGAGAGATGAGGATGAGAAACTTCTTGTCTGAGACAAGGTGCAAGAATAGATGACGGCTGTCAGAGTTGATTAATTGATTACCTAAATTGAAATAACCTGGTTCCTTGTTGTGAGGAGGAAGGCATGAGGAAATATAATTGTATTCGCAAGAACGCTAGGGGTATACCTACATGAAGCGAAATCCAGGCATGAGCTGACCTGAAATGAACCCATCCTCCCTACTCGTACAAAATCGTAAAGCATGAAATATCCACCTGCTCGCAACTATCCCCAAATCAACATGCACAGACACCTGGGATAGTCGGCGACCTAGAAATCAACGAAATCTTGAACCTCCCAACACCGAGAGGAGCAGGATATCAACGCCACATATCATATTGGCTTCCGCGTCGCCTCTCTCCTCCGGAACTGCTCGGTCTGCCACCATCTGAAGGTACGGCAAGGAAACCACCGAATCCATTGCCTACGATGACACTCTTTCGAGCACCACCGCTTGCAGACTGCCAGCCCTTGCCCATGCTGTCGCTCAAGCCGTAGGAGCTGACTGGTCTTGGAGCTGTCGCGCTACCTCGTCTTCCACGAGCTGGTGGTTGGACTTTGGAGAAGTTCCATTCCATCTCGTCCAGTCCTTTGCTGAAAACTTGCAGTTCTTGCCTCAATCCTGGTCTTGAAAAATGTTAGTTATGCTGCATTCGAGTTTGGGGCGAACGCTTACCCTGTCTGCATTTTGGCGAAAGGGTTGTTGGAGCTAAGTCTGTTCTGATTTGTAGTATGGGGAGCGAAAGGGTTGGGGGCAACTGGGGGAGCGAAATTATCGGGATCAAGGGCAAAGCCGGGCAGTGGTGGCGCAAGGTCAAGGAGAGTTTCCGGGAAGTCAGGATCTAATATCCCGTTAGTGAAAGTCTCCAATAGTCAGAACCTCAAGGCTTACCTCGAACATAGAGCTCCTTCAAAGAAGGAAGTCCTCCGGACATCAACGATCTCGTGAGATAGGCGTAATGACTTGCAGTGGTATTGGCGTAGATATTGGCAGAATCAGCAGAAGTAATTTCGTAGTGAAACGTCTTCAGAGATTTTGATTGAAGATTTGGAGTAGCCCCAGCTGGGAATGAAGCAGTCACTGATTCGGTAATGGATAAATGCTCTAGCCTCGGAGCCACTGCGAGAATCCGGTGCAGATTTGGAGGATGGATCCCTGTCGCCGTCAAAGACAGAGTCTTGAGAGTGTTCTGGGTATCGGAGCGGGAAAGGTATGCAACCAGGCCATCAGCTGTGACGTTGGGTATATTCTCGAATATTATTTCGGCCAGAGCAGGAAATGGAGGGAGGTAGTCACTATGCTGGAAGAGCTGATCATGGAACGAGATCATGTCCGTAACCTTGAGAGCATGTAGATTGGGAAGGGAACCCAATGCATGTCGTAGAATGGTAGGATCCACATTCAACTTCCCAAGCTCCAGTACTTCCAGGTTATGCCATTGATGTCCACTCGCCAACATCTCCAATCCCCTCTCCGCTCCTCGAACGTATGTCATCTTCCTCAACTCTGGACATCGTCCTTGTACTTCTTGCTTCAGGGTATTGCAAGAGGGGTCATCTTGGAAAACGCCTTCTGGTAGGTCGACATATCGTAGATTCGGGCAGCATGCGACCGTCCTCGCCAGATCAGGTTTGCAGGTCTCTCTTGTCATATACGGTGTCTTGAGGTATTGTACATTCAGCGCAAATCCACCTCTATTGTCATGAAGGGTCCTGGCCAAAAACTTCAGCCTCGCTGCCGCAGTGTCTTCAGGTTCGGCATTGTGTCGCATAAAAGATCGACGCTTCCTCTTCTCGGCCAGGATATCTTCGAGTTCGCAGTAGTGAACGGCATCGATTCGAATACTGTGGTATCTGCAGAAATGACATGTCAGAGTGGATCCAATGAAGCTTGGGGGGAGCGACCTACAGAACATTGACCGCTGCAGCCCTCCACTTCCTCGAGACTTGCGCGCAATGCGACAGGTCGCGCAGATCGCATAGCATGCAAGTATCCTCCGCGGCTGAGTCCTCGCAGCTGTCGTACGTCTCGTCCTTTGCGTGTGGGCAGACGAACGCGAAGATGCGCTCCAGTATGGGGACAGGGAGTCTTGCCAATGTCTCTCTTGACACAGGCGGGGTTGCATTTTGCGGGAGGGACCGAGTAGCTCTCAAATCCTCCTGCGAGCGCGCCTTCTTGTTCTTCTTTTTGAACCACTTCATGATGTTGAATTTCGCCAGTTTGCCGGTATTGACGGCCCTCTTCAGGACGAGGGCGAGGCGACACGGCCGAGAGGAGAGGAGAGGAGAGGAGAGGAGTGGTGGAGTTGGTGTGAGTGCGACAGTCCGAACTTGATGGACGAGAAATAGACTTTGGGGATTTCCACCGCCTCGAGGCTGACAATCCAGGGGTATCGCTGGCGGCTGGGGAATTCAGGGGGAGCCAATCACGACTCTTATGGGCTTCTGCGGGATTGTTTAGTGTTTGCGGCGCATGCAAAGAGGCAGTTCAGTAAGCAAATAAAAGGGGAAAACTTGATTTTGATATCAAATAATTTTCCTTTCCGGTGCGATCTCCTTTCCTTCTTTTGTACTTCACGTCTGTGACAGTCAACACGGTTGTGAAAAAGTCGCGATTCCACACTGAGTTATGGTCTCGGCTCGGCTTGATTTGTCTTTATCTCGGAATGCGGCTGGCACAAAGAATCAATTGATCCACTTTGAGGGACCCTTAAGCTTTTTATCCAAGCATACGGTTGTTTGATTGATGCGTTCTGAGTTGAAAGAAACTCTGATTTCTAGAATATTGTTCGCACGACCGATGTCTCGGTCCGTTTCTTTGACTTTGATGAGAAGTCTCTGCCTGTCACATACAAAGAATGAGGGAAGGACATTGGATGATCTGAACAGCTGGTGGCTTTGGTGTATGACAGAAATGCCCAGTGGTTGGAACCAAGCTTGCTACATGTTGCGATTGTTAGAGTCACGGGAGAAAGGAGGCAATTCTTTATCATATCATGGATTCATTTTGTCTAGAAGTTTGTCGATTATGCGCGTAGCCATTTCAGTGGTCCCTCACCTGGTGCAAAGCTGCACGCACCCACTCTGCGCTACTAAGAAATACTTGTTGCTCATAATAAATGCTTGCCACTATCGTGGTATTGAGCGTTGAATGTTGATATGTTCCCTGCCATTCCTTACATGTTCTTTTATAACGATGTTGAATTGGGAAGTAAATGCGAACCTTCATCGGCGGAAAGATGTCTGATTTTGCAGAAGACGTTAACTTATTTCGAACTTCCAGTCGTTCCAACTCCGTTTTGAGATTTTGATGAGTCGCAGCAGTGCCAGCAAACACAGCTGTTCTTCGCATTGACTGGACGACCTTCTCTCCTTGCTGCTTCGTGCTCTGCAAATGCGGGCAAAACAACAGCCTTATGGAAGCCATAATAATCACACTCGTGGATTCTCATATATCTCTTGACCGCGATCAAGCAGTGAGTGGCCACGATCTGCTCAGGACCAACCCGGAAAGGTATGATGTACTCGTCCCGAAACCAAGGAGCTTCTCTGCCTTGAGGAGTACCGACCTTGTATCGAGCAATCTCCTCCTTGACTCGCAATGTCGGCAGTCCGGCCGCCTGTCGTACGTTGGCATTGATATACGTCAGCTTCACAGTATATCTGGAAGGCTTTTTACCATCGCGCTTCTCCATATGTGGAATACGCCTGTCAATAAAGTCAAAGGCACTTCCAGTGGTAGAGATGAACGCAGTTGGCTGTCGATTGCTCCAGTTCAGGTGCAACTCCATAGCCGCCCGACGACCCGCTGCAGTCTTCAAGTCAGCTTCAAATCCACCTGATAAGAAACCTTGGTCTGGGTAAAGCTTTGCTCTGCTTGCTTCGTCCGTGACACGCATTAGCAGCCCACCCTCCGGAAGCTCTGCTGCAGATTCTGCTGATCCAGACCAGGGATTATTGAGTTCCTCTTCTCCGGAAATACGAGCCATGATCTCTTCTGTTGTTTTTGGATGCTTGGTTGCAGGTATCGAGCGTTTGATTTTCTTCGACTTTCGTCGGCCTTCGGTTGCATTGGCATACTTCATAGCAGAGGCTTTCTGGATGATCTGACATCGCTTAACGGCTGTCAATAATCTATGCATCTTGATTGACTTGTTCTTTTTTCGGGAGACCATCCCTAATTTAATGATATCTTCGAGGCAGATGTTCATCTCTCTCTCCAGAGTAGAGAAGTGCTTTCTGGCGTATTGCTCGAGGACTTCGTGCTCGGCTTTCTTCTTGGCTCGCTCTGCTTCTGTATCAAGAAGATCAACTGCGCCAGCACTAGTATTCTCGGCGGTGCTGAGTACATTGGTTGAATCAGCTGCATTGTCTGGACCGACAGCATTGATCGGAACACTCTCAGTTGCTGCATCGACTGCATGACTTGAGCCAAGCATGGGACCATCCGGCATATCTAGGTCGTCCTTGCCAGTAGAGTCGTCGTCGGGCATCTCTTCTTCGTTATCCAGGATGTCATGCATCGCATCTGAATCATCCGCGATATCAGAGTCAGTCATCGCTTCGTCAGCTATTCATTGTCAGCATCAACTAGATCATCGCTGAGGTCTTGGACTTGTCTTCCATACTGTCTTGGCCTTCTTCATCAGTGTCATCGGCGTCATCTGGCAGCCTTTCGAGCTTCCCTTCCTTGTTCATAGCTTTTGTAGCCTGGTAGTGCAGAAGGTTGTCTAGCCTGGTCATATAGAGGGGAAGCTTCACAGACCCTATAACTGAATGCTTCACCGAGGCACCGCTGACTAGCCTCCAGGCTCGCTATATGGAAGATAGCAATGTATGATCAGCTAGAGTCTCATCTAGTCCAGAGACGAAGGTTGTTTCCTAAGACGATATCAGTACAGCAAAATAACACAATAGCAAAAGTGAGAACCAGAGTCCCCCACTGGCCCAGCCCAAAAGGTGAACTGAGATGAAGACGAAACCTACCTGGACTGCCGCAAAGCTGAGCAGCAAATAAAATCTTGCATCCAGATGTGGAGCAACAGTGATAGGACTCTGCGATAATATCCAAGCCTGCTGCGATTGGTGAAGACCGATATGGTCAACAGATATTGTCAGATCTGGTGAAGACCTGCAAAGCTGGGGATGTAGCTGTCTTAAAATGTGTGGCTCCTGTTGACCAAGGACTAGAAGGCGAGTAGTTTAGTCTCTGATCAGAGCAAATAAGAAGATAAATGAAGGTTAGATGGAATTGTTCGAGATGTGTAAGCGGTTGTTAATGTCAGACCCCATGGAGATCGAGGTTAGGCTTGAGTGTGATGATTGAGCGACCTTCAAGGAAAAGTATGTTGATGGTCGAAGCTTCGATTGAGAAGCTAGGTCGCTTATATAGACGACAAGGAGCTGCTGTACCTCCCCCTCTCGCCAACCTAGGAAGGCACAGTGGAGGATACACTGAGGTGTAGATCATGAGTGAATAGATAATATTCAGCTCCTGCCTTTCTACTAAACTTTCCGGATTCTATGAAATTCTGCTGAGATAGAATAGAATGAATTCAGTCTCACCTTCATCATGTCCTTTAAGATGCTCTAGTAATTGGCACCAGTTCAACGTACTGTATGTATTTCCTACCAAGGCTTTCCCCTTAGCGACACTCTACAACTTCTCACTGCTGAAATGTAAAAGTATGATCTTACTGGTGTTTATTTATAGCTCGTACTCTACCAGATCTGGAGACATTAGAGGCAGAATCTTCATAGGAAACGGGTGGACTTCAAGTGATGTTGGCGGGGTACAAACTGCTCGCTTAACTGCCCCGCTTTCTAATCAAAACAAAAGCATCGGCGAGCAGACTCGTTGAGGTATTGAACAACTGGAGAAAGTCCCACTACGCGCTTTTTTATTTGATAGGTTATGACATAAAAGTAACTTTAAATTTGTCAAGTCCAAGTTTGAAGATAATAATCCAATCACATTAAAAGCTTCAAGCTGAAGTCTACCTACCTGGGTAAGTTTGGGACCAGCCCACATTCCTACTTACCATCGACAAATATTAGGATTCTCCCATTCACCATCCATCATATCCATATAGCAATCGCCATCCCTATCCACATACTGTTTCTGCTGGTGGTACACAGCTGCACAAACCCCCTGGGTGTAGTGCGTGGGAAACTGATTCGGATTCACAGCGCCGAATCTCGTGGCCGGATACCAAGGATCTCCAACAACGAACTCCTCATCAATCTCATCGCAAACATCCCAGAGACTCTTGACCGGCCGCACGTATTGCACTGGCTGTGCAGGATACCGTTGGTATTGGTATTGGTCTACAGGTTGCTCGACGGTATTGGGGCAGTTGGTGCTGAGATGCTGGCCGCTGCAGTATTGGCAAGGAGTGTCAAACTCGGCAATGCCAAAGACGTCTCTGAACACAGCCTGTCCTTGATTGGTGGCAGTGACATAGCCATTGTCATTCCTGCTGCAAATTCTAGTGGGGCAGTCTTTGTCCAAATGCATCTCCTGGCACCATCTGCAAGGTCTTGTGACCTTCTTGGTATTGTGAGCAGTGCTGGTATTGTTATCATAGGTGCTCTGTTTCTGACCTTTCTTACTGCCTCTGGTACAATCTACAGTGTTGTGATTGGCCATTTTGCAGTTGGTGCAATATTTTTTGACCTGACCTGCAGACCGACACTCTGCAGCAATGTGACCAACTTTGTAGCAGAGTTGGCATACTTTGGCGCCTGCGCCTACTTGTCTGTTGTTGTTCCCATTTCCATTTCCTCCTCTGCCACCTCCGTTACCTCCGCGTCCGCTTTTTCCCATTTTTATTGGATCAAGAAAGTGTTTTGTCTGGGTGGCGTATATAGGTACGTTGCTGTGAACTCTATCAAAGAATGTCTTGATCAAGCTTAAACGATTCGGCCAATTGAAAGTTGAATGAAAGTATGCGGACGAACTGAATAAACATACAAAAGTGAGGAAGGATGGGGCGGATTGAGTCTGATCTATCAGGCAACAGAGGGTAACTACTCTTTATATAGACTGTTGCATGAGCATGATCGCTGACGGGGAATAAAGGGACTCAAGCGCTCTTGGCCGGTTCTGGAAGGTCGAAAGAGTTGAAGAAGTACTCTCGTGAACTTATTGTTCCTAACAATTGATCTCTTTTCATGACAACGAAATACTGAGACAATCACTGTACTATGATCCATTTTCCTTTGTTAATCCATTCCCGCAGTATATACAATGATGTAGCGAAGGTGTAGGCGGAGTCAAACGCACGTGACGGAGGGAGTCCTGTGCAGACAAAGGTGCAGTTCAAACCTGCCTTTTCCTTGGTCAAAGCATTTCTAAAAATAGCAGAGAGGCGTTACTGATCTGAGTATTTGCTACTGAGGATTGCACTATCCTGCTTTGGCGCTGCTCGCTTCCAGATGTCGTGCACTGAACTTTGACTTCTCACTGTCTTCACATATTCGTCCTTCGTGTCTCATATGCCCAAAGTCCTATACCAATCGTCCCCTCAAGTAATCTGTTTCATTCAGTACTTGAATCATTTAAATGCATCAATTTGACCGTACTCCTGCTAAGCAGCCTTGAACCCGCCAGAGCTCTACGTAGCTTAACTAAATATCGGTTGTTGTGATGTTCTGCTGCCATAAGCACTAAAGCAAAGGGCTCTCGATTTCAGCGAAGGACGAGAGTAGACTCGGTGGAGGACGAGGGAGAGAGGCAGGCACCAGCTGGCAAATCAAAAGCGCCTTCCTGTCGCACAGACTTACTCATCAGAACCTCCCTAAGTACTGGGGCTGAATTTCAACTTTCATCCCTCTGTACACCTACTATTCCACAGACCTCCATTGACCTCAAATTTCATATACTCATACCCAGAACTAAAAATGCCGACATTTGCCGCCGTTACCATATACCTTTTCGGTGTCACAGCATTTGCCGTGGGAATCCTGCACCTGCTCTCCCCATCAAGCGCAGTTTCATCCCTCGGCCTTGCGGAATCTTGCATACCTGCCACAAATGGTGAGCATAATACTACGATTTGCACCGATCTCCTCTCCATTTCTACTTATCATCATCGCACCGACTCTTCATCTGTAATTTGTACGTGCTGACTGTGAGAGGCAACTCTCTCGCCGCGATCGCCATGGGCATCTATTATACACTCGCTGCATATCAAGAGAACAGAGCTTTCTTCGTTCTCACTGTACCGATGAGGATGTTGACGAGCGCAGTATTCTGGAAACAGAGTGGGAGCTGGAAAATGGCAAGTGCTTGGGAAGGAGGAGGAGCTGCGCTCACTGCAGCAGCATTGTACTTAGGTATATGACGACGATGCCGACGATTAATTGATGGACACGAAAGCTCCTCGGAAACCCTATCTTTCACGGTTATGTCAATTAACTCTTCATAAGAATCTTGAATCCTCTGTTTAGCTCAAGGTCTGGGTCCTCCAAAACACCAAACGCCAGTTCTCAAGACACCGCCCAAGCCCCAGAATGAAGTCTAGTTTGGCACCATAAAGAAAGCCCACAATCTTCACTCATTCCAGCTGTAGCTACAACAGACTTGCCGGTACTCAATTATCCTCTCCCTCAAAAGCAACATGGCCACAGGGGGGCTGTGCCTTGACCCAGTCCGCCAGCCTCGTCTTGTTCCATCCACTATGCCAACTTCCATCCTCATCAGCGTCTCTCGCATGACCAAGTCGTACACTTTTTCCAATAGAACAGGTCGTCTCATGGTACGAGTACTGTAAGCAATCTTTATTCTGCTCGCAAGTCTTCGAACACTCTTCAAACGAAGCAGCATCCGAGAATACACCTCCTGTATGACCAAATTCACCAGCCTCTGATGCCAGATTATCCCAATCTGAGCGAGAATCGGGGATTTGTGAAAGTAGGAAGTCTTGAAGAATTTCAGAGTGCGTTAGTAGGACCTGATATCGTTAGTCGGCATACTCATTTGTTCGCAGTGGGCCAGGTTAGGGGACAGCCTGGTATGGAATGTGACGATGTTGACTTACCGAAATGTCGCGTCGCTGCTCTTCGAACTTCACAAACTCTTCCATGCCGACAGGCGTCAAGTGATGCATGGTTATCGCGGGCCAGCACCGGTACTCAGGCGTACCTGGACCAAATGGCATGCTCCAGGGTGACTCTCTACTGATCAATGGCCAAACACCTTCCAATGTACCACCGTAATCTTGCAGCGCTGCACTGATAGCAATATCGCCACAGCAATGATCGTGTAACTTTGCGTCCCATAGTGCAGCTACTCCTTTCTGCTTCACAGCCATCTCATACATCAGTGCTTTGGAAATCATGTACCCAGAACCGCCATGGGCATATCGGATACCATTCCAAGTTGATACCGAGCCATAGAAGGTCCGAGTTGTCGGGTCGAGCGTCTCCAGCCAGGTGAGCAGGTTGGTCCAGACCAAGTATGTGTCTGCGTCTATGAAGATATACCAGTCCATGTCTGGTTTCAGCGCCCAGACTTTCTCCAGCATGTGAATGTTCTTCCACTTATCTAGCGACCACGCAGCGAGGTCACTCTTGGCAACGGGATGCTTGGCACCTTTCAAGTCGGTGATATTCTTCTGCGTCCTCCAGAGCGCTCGTTGCTTCTTGTAGAAGTCAAAATCTTGGTTGTTGTCCATAATTAAAGGTGAGATCGTGTCAAGTGCATCATGTAGATGATACTGCCCCTCCTCGAGATCTTGCTCGAGATCAGAAAAGAAGAAAACGTGCTCCGCACATCGTAACGTCGTCTGTCGCTGAATTGGAATCTTGGCAGCTGCTTCTGTAGCTCCCGTCTTGACTGATATGACAATCTTCTCAGCAATGGCCGAGTGTGGGCATATCTGTGGCTGGGAATATCTGCTCGAGAAGAAGCTATTTGACTGCTTTTTATCGCTCGGAGAGCAAACCAAGAACGCCAAAACGAAAACAAAAGCTAGAAATGAAGCGCGTTTCCAAATCGAAAAAGAGCGTGGGGTCCATCGCACCATGATTTGTGTCGAGATGAAGACGTTGGTGAGGCTGTCAAGCTAGCTTGCTGCCAACTGGACTCGTGTCATGTCGACCATTGATAAGAACCGCGACATTGGTAATGATGACGTTTGATCCGGGGTCTTCAAGGAGAGGGTCGACAGGGAATGTATCCTTTTTTCCATGGGCTGATTAATTTAAAGAAGTCGGCTGCCTCGCCGCACGCTTACGTGCAGGATGATACGTAGTGGGGTAGCACCCCAGGCAGAGTCTCTAAGCGAATATAAATTCAGGGGTTATAATTATGGAGCGATGGGTTGCCAGGACACATACCCGTGAGTTTTAAGATGAAGTTTACGAAGCCAAGTCTTGATTTCAATTTGGAGACAGGTTACGATAAAGATTCGAACCCCATCGGATGGTACAAAGATCAATTCCTAAGGTGTCTTGACTGTTACTTCCATTTGCGAATCTCGTTTCAGCCGGCAATGTCGAACTTTAAATATATGACAAAATGGGAAGCAGGCTCATCTCGTGTTCAGTCGCGGGCACGAACACTTTACTGCATATCCCACAATCATTCATTTCGTGGACGCTCGAGAGTTACGGAATCTTCGAAAGGATTCGAGACGAGCACCTGACTACATTGTTGAATACAGTCATCCATCCCAGTTATGTCTCTCTACCGATCCGCTTCTGTAAACGTGCAGAATGTCCTTCACAGCCCATTACTTCCTCCTATCCACATATTTCACTCTCTCATCATTTTCTTCCGGCGTGTACGGAAAGCATCTGCATTTATCATTTCAGACAGAGTCTCGGCTGTGGATAAGGGTTTGGGAACTTCCGATACTGTTTGTCTTTGTGGACATCAGTCGTGAGTCAAAAATTGCGCTTTGGTGGCGGGGGCTGAGCCGAAGCAAGTGCTAGAGTCACTGACCGAGTTTGCATTGCATGTTTTAGTCTACTCTTTGGTAAAGACCGCTGATAGAGACAGAAGCTGGATGAAGAAGCATTGAGGTGATTCTTTGTTTGAGAAGTGAGACTGGGTTCGGCTATGATGGCTTGGGCAATACTCTATTCTTTGTTCTATTGTTGAGTTTTGAATGGAGACTGTGTGTGATGACTTGGCAACAGCAGTATACAAGACATTGATTCAAGTTATGACTGCGCGGAAGGTTTGTATCAGTCCAAGCTCTGAAAAGCTCCTTCTAGTAACTCCCAAACAGCCAAAATAAGTAACCCCGCCAAGCCTCGCTAAAACCTGTTCCATAAACAGTCCGACCTATCCAGTCTCTCTGTGCTGATACATGCGATGTGATACATGCGATGGTCCTCTGGAACCTCATCTGTTCTGATTTGAGCCTTCGCCTACAGCATTTCTCCGTTGGCGTAGATACTGCCAACAAACACAATGCGACACAAACCTATCGTAAGTGTGGCAGAACACCGGCAATGGGAACGCCGGACGGCGATATTCGGTGCATTCTTTGTCCGTGTGTCGTCCTCCGCAGTAATTTCAGGTCACCTGAACTGGCATCTGAGGATGTATTTCAACGCATAGCTGGTAGCTGGTGGGTTTGGGTCGATGTTTGCGCGGATGGAATCTTTAGCTGTCAAAATCGGGTAGGAATATTGTGCGGATAATTAGATGCGAGAATGGCAGGAGTAGATTGCTACTGCTTCTCTTAAGACGAGATGCTCGCCTGTGCTCTGCTCTCTGCTCTAGATGAGTCTCGCATTTCAGAAGCTCTGGCTCTGGTCGCAATATTTGGGTGAGCGGACTTCCCTCCATACTACGGTCCAGACTGCGGTCCTCTATCGCCCGACAGAGAGAACGCACCCACTGAGTCTTTTTGGGCGGTTCTGAAATCGAAGATGAACGAGAAGAGCTAGGCGGAGAAAACCATGAAGGAGGAGAAGAAGATGGAAAGGTTGAAGAAGGAAAAGAGGGAGATGGAGGAGCGATTGGAGAAGAGATTTGAGAAGGCGAGGAACACACGCAATATGGTGAAGAAGGGTAAGAAAGAGTGTGCGGTTATGTATAGGGGTACCGGGACGGGGACGGGGAGAGATGGGTGGTGGACAAGCGGGGAGTGGTGGACTGCATATCTTGGGGGTTCAGAGAATGAGGAATGATTAAGTGAGTAAGTGGATCGATTTATGGAGAAGAAGGGAGTCAAATACAAAGCAAGAGACTTCTAAATGTAATAGAATTCTTCATTTCGCGCCATCTACAAGCTGCAACCGTTGAACGGGTGTGAGGTTGAACCAAAGCAGTGAGACGCTGGATGTTGGAGTTAGGACCAAAATACTGTAAACATGTTTATATATATATATATATATATATATATATATATGCAATAATGTCAAGTACACCAACTCTTGCTGCTCAGTAGCTTAAAGGGTCTATATGTACAAGAAAAGGTGAATGTTGAGTTGGTTGTCCGCTTTGGACTTTCACCACTCAAATAAACAACCTCGCTTAAATAGGGGGCGGGGTATTTATGCAACTACTGGAACCCAGAGCGAATGTCCCCGTCACAATCACAATACCAAGTTACTCAAACCACAGGAGAGGGAATAGCGCTGCATGACTTGGTAGGCTTTACTGCAAATAATAGCTTGCCACCGGATTGTGACTTCATTCTGAGAATATCATCGACTCGACTCACTGCTTTCTGTTCAGCGCGGAATTTATTGGCTGATGGAAAGGAAATGCTGGAATTGACAACACCCCTGCAACGACAGCAAGGCCGAGACGAAATAGCCTAGTCTCAGTATCTGCATACTCTAAGAAAAATAGAGGTTATCAAGTACAAGCTGCAAGTCGAAACAATCCCACCAAGATCCTGATTAGGGAAGACCACTGCGGGAGACAGTGCGTCTCAGGTCCATCAGGTTCCGGTTGTGCAATACTGGGATCACTGAATAACGAAGCCTGTAACTTTGGTACTTGGGATATATATCATCCGTCCCCTGCCTCTCTCCGCATATTCACTTGTTTCCACGCCATGAACATTCAAAGTGAATATTTTCTGGTGGTCTAATTTAAGCCCACCCTTACAGCGACTCTGCAATGTAGCAAAAGGGGTTGAATGCATTCCTAGTTACTGATCTATGGTCGATTTCTATAAAAGCTTCGCTGTGCTGGGAAGATGAAAACGCCAGGACTTGGAGGTCGTTCGTAAGGAGTTACAGTGCGACGGACGGTGGGAATCGCGGAATCAGATTGGGACATCGAATATAGCGCGGACCTGCCTACTCCTCCAATGTAGCCTGCCAAGTGATACTGCGAGCTTCGTGAAGTTCATGGGCCGTGGTCTATTAACAGCGAGCGAGTAAGATTGGGTCTGGGACAGCGGGACGTTGTCACCTTGTCACCTCGCTTGCTTCTAGATCTATCATCGCCACCTCCATTGCCATTCGATTCTCCACTTCCACTTCCACTTCCGCTACGTCGATTTCTTTCTCTTGGGTTAAGAAGTCACATCAAACACAAATGACATGATATCATAATGGAGACAAAGCGGATACGCGACGCTTATGCTCGACACCCCTCCCTATTGTGCTGATCCCGTAGAGGTACGATGCGTGGCTCCATTGGGAAACTGGTTAGAGGTCAGGCTATTATGTATGGGTATTGGTTCACAGGCTGGGATATTGATACTCAAGGAGGGAAAGAGCAGGTGAATATACCAACCAATCAGTCTGGAGAGCCTGGAATGGAGGTGAAGGGAGAAATCAGACCGTTGGGGTTAGATAGACCGACGGATCACTGGAGTTGACGTGTATAAAAACTCTGAGCGAGACCAGCATGCAGAACTCAAGTCTTCCAGCAACTCGTGTCAGGGGAAAAAATGGATCCTGCAGCAAAGAGGGGATCATCATCCGCTGATGGTGTTGACCGCAGAGTCCCTCGTGGGCATTTTTTTTCTGTCGCAATGATCTGTTTCTAAAGTACAGAGCCAATGCAAGTATTTGCATTCAAGTCTAGTCTACCCTTGACTGTCATTCCCACTCCCGAATATGTCTGTCTTTCATCTCCTTTTTCGTTTACCATTTCATCCCACTTCTCCTCTCCTCTCCTCTCCTCTCCTGCAATCTAATCCATTGGAAATCCGTCCGACCTTGGAAAAGTAAATATTAAGCCAGAGCTAAGCCGAGAGTTCTAAGTTACCGAGCTAGGGGATTTACGAAGAAATGGATAGAGGTAGAGAGAAAGTGTGCCAAAATGGTTGGCTGGTTTTCGTATATGGATGTGGATGGGTCTCATGGCTACTCTGTCTATATCGAGAGGTAACCACGGTGGTGAGAGTTTTTACCTGGTGAGGAGAAGTGAGGTGGCGTGGCTTATGATCTGGGGTGTGGGAAATTGGGAGGTGGCTCGTTCACTCGCTCACTCGAATGATGGGGTGTTAGTGAAAAATGATAGAGGCTTGCGTTTCTGCCGGAGTGAGTTGGCTGAGAGGTGGTGGAATAAGGAAAGGAGTGGGTACTGGGTGGGCATCGAGCCTGAGCTAGAATAGCAGCTGGCACGCTGGGTTTGGGAATTTGCTGATAGAAAAACTTGAAATTATTTCTTGCGACATGGTTCTTTCACGATACCCGAGTCCTCGGTGACTGCAGATTCGACAAAGCTTTGTTCCTTCTCCAAGTGTCTACTAACAATGAACAAGGCAATAAACAAGTAACACAACGCATTGTCCTTCCATCTTCTTAGCAAAACACCCGCTTTGCAAAATGAACAAACAATATTATTGTTTCCTCTAGTTCAACATCCTCAAAGAACCATCATGCCATGATACGAAAATGGAATACATAACCCCTGAAATTACCACTCCAGAGTCCAAATTCGCTGTCCATCCTGGTCTCATTTTCTCTCACCTCAAAGTATCCGTATATACCTGGAAATCAGTCAGTCAGTCAGTCAGCCACCTACTCAGTCCTCAAATCGACGACCCAAACTACCGCCACCCACTCTCCCACCCACCTTCACCACTCAGCAAAATCTTACCATACCGAATATCACCTTACCAACCAGCATCTAGCTAGGTAGGCCACTCCACACCCATGTATCCCAACCCCGAACCCACAACCACTCCCAAATCCACAACCACATCCGCACCCACAACCCTCACACAATCCACGCTCCTCACACCAATTTCCACCACCTCAAAATCCATCTCAACCTCCATCACATTTTCAAACCCCACAACCAAATCCAATTCCAATTCCAAATCCGATTCCAACTCCCAAGCCATGGCCTCCCTCCTCTCAACATTCTCAGCTTACAAAGCGAAGATCCTAGACTCGACAAAGCCAAAGCAAACCACAGGATCCTCAAGTCCTACCGTACCAATTCCGGACTCAGATGAGGTGGTCTCGAGATACCGACCGACGATTGCAGAGAGACGGAGGTTGCACTGCCCGTCACGGCTGAGAATACAGCCGGTTGTGGGGAGGTTGGCTGGTGTGGAGATTGGTAGGGAGAGGGAGGTTTCGCCTGTCGCATTGTCTGAAGCTGAGTCTGAGTTGGAGTGTGAAGCTGAGTCGGAATCTGATTCTGGATCCTTTGCGCTAGATGAATATTTTGGTTCTGAAGCTGAAGGTGGAGATCTGAGTCCTCCTGTAGTGTACCACCAGCCATCAAGAAGGTGGGGAGAGACGGGAGTTGGAGTTGGAGTTGGAGTTGGGAGACGAGCGGCGATTGTGGCGCCGATGGTGAGGCATCACAGCCAGGCTGTGGTGGTTGAGGTTTGTGGTGAGGAGGAGATTGGGGGGTTGGGGTTTGATGAGGGGGGTGGAGATGGTGAGGATGAGAGTAAATACCAGGTATGTAATATCGACCTCGTAGAATGTCGCTCGCCAGTCTCGCCCTCATCATCTTCTAGTTACTCAGACGCGATATTCCCGCTACAAATCACCACGGCGGAATCAACCCACCACTCTTCTTCCTTCTCTTGCCCCTCCTCCCTTTCTTCAAGCTTCTTGGCTAAAGACTATGAGAACATGGAGGCCAGTGTCCAAGTCTTCGCCACCCTCGACGTCGAAAGCCTAATCAGCGACCCCGGCCCCATATTTACAGACCTCAACCTCGACGACGCAGACTGGTGTCTTGAACCACATCCCATGAGTAACTCTTGTAGCTGTCACTGGTGTGAGGTTGCCAGATTTCCGGAGCTGAGGAGAGAGAAGCATGATTTTGGGGTTTGGTGTAGGTGTTTGGCTTGCTTGAGATTCGAGGCGAGGAGGACGTTGTTGGAGATGGTGGAGGGGAGTGGGGGGAGTGAGGAGGTGCGGGAGGTGCTTGTTAAGTGGGTTGAGAGGTTGTTGGATGGGGAAGGGGAAGGGGTGGAGGGAGAGGGAGATGAGTGGAGTGAGGATGGGGATGAGGATGAGGATGAATTTGATGCTGGAATTGAAGGGGTTCTCAGTCCTTACTTTGAGATGGATGAGAGAAGTATGGTGGAAACAGAGGAGGAATACTCCATTGAGTGTGAGGTTCTCTTTGATGCTGGCATCGATTGGGATCTTGGTGGTCTTGATCTACATCCTGGGAGATTCAGCGCACTTTGTTCGAGATTGAGGAGGTTTTGGAGCGGACCTCCTGTTTCTACTCCTTTGCTTCCATTGCATGAGCCAAAATAGGTTGATAGCATTGGAAGTATCCTAAGGTACCTCGATAATGAAAACTTTTGCTCTTGCTAAAATAGAAAGATTAATGAGAATTGTGACAGTTGTGCGATGACAGAGTGACTCAAGATGAAAACAGTAATTGCAGTGCAAACGAGATATTGTCTCTATAACATAACATAACAAGAACAAACAAGAAAGATACTCATTTATCTCCAGGTCATGAATTAAATTAAACACTCATCCTATTATCGTGACCTTGCCGAGATCCATGAGGTCTCGTGAGACATCCCCAACTCTCCCCACTGCTCTCCCCAAACCTTCATCCCCACCCCGAAAAAGCACCGATGAAGCGCGCGGGGAAGCGAGTACAATTACCTAATACACCGTGAAGCTGAAGCTGAAGCTGTCACGAACTTATCATTGCGGAGTCCTGTTTTCACGATTGATTTTTTTTTTTTTTACAGCAGAAGATATCTGCAAGCGCGGCGATTGACGGGTGAGGTGAGGTGGCCAGGCCAGACCCTCCTCGCCTCATCTCGTAATTATGCTCGCCAAAAATGTTGGACCTTTTGGACGCTTAAAATGCGCCCAAAAACAGGGGTCAAAATTTTCCCGCACCGCAGCTCTCGTCCCCAACGAATAGGTGAAATTCTCACTCGAGAGGTCCTCAACGATGCCGGGTATTCTTCTTTGATGACCGGGTTGAGTACGAAATGTTTGAGGCGAATTGCATGGGATGTATGCAGATTGAGAAGGGGGGTCAGCAAATGGAGAGCGGAGAGCGACATCGAAAATACCTGATGCTGGAGATTGAGGGTCCACCCGCAGTGCAAGCTAGACTGGCGAGACTGGGTGCAGGATCTTGAATTAGCATGTTTTAGTGCAGCGTCTGGAGGAAAAGTGGAATTCGCGGAGATGGGCCTGTCCAAACTCAGAGGGGCTGGATGTCAAAAAAATTGGAGAGAAGACGGCCCAGGCCAACTGTACGGGTGTTGTGTTGCGATCATAGCAACCATAGCGGGTAGAGAGGAATGGAAGAAAAACAAGCGAAGGAAGTGTTGTTTGTTGGGTTCAGGTTTGCAGAAGCCACCACACCACATACATGTCTGGCATCCCGAGGTCGTACGGTGATTCGTTGGGTGGGATGAAAAAGTTGAAAAGAGTTTGATGCTTGCGATAGCTCCCTTTCAACCCCGCATCGTCCCCTCCCTCGTGTCGCTCCATCCCGTGCGTGGTGTTTGATTCCATCCATTCGCAGGATGCTGTTCTGTTCTGTTCTGTTGTTGCGCAAATGACCGTTGACTCTGACGGGCAAGGGCAAGTAGGGTGAGGTCATGCCAGCAGGGATAGAGCAGCCGACAGGGTTCAGGGTTCAGCAGCGCAACTGAAGAAGGCCCCGCCTTCATTTGAGCCAATGGAAAAGAGTGTTGAGCTCAGAATGGAGCATGCTGGGGCTTAGCGAGCCACCAGTCGGTGCCAAGGCTCGCCCATCTCCGTGCAATCCCAGCTAGCGTATCCTCCCAACCTTCCGACATTCGAAAGGCAGCTTGGGCCAGCAGAGGAACGAAACCGTCTGGGCAGACAGACCAACCTGGAGCTCTACCCTCTCTTCTTCTTCTTCTTCTTCTTCTTCTTCTTCTTCTTCTTCTCCTCCTCTTCCGACTCCTTCCTTCATCCTGACTCCTCAAACCTTCTCATAAGAAGGGCCCTTTCACTCATTCCTTTGACGCCGTCAGATTGTCTTTTGCGCAACTGAACAGTCTCTTCTGTTGGACCATTCCCAGACGACGCTGGTAAGTAAACAACTTTTTTAGCAACAACCCCCGTTCCCGCATGCGGATAGCTGACTTGATCATGTGGGGAAAGCTCCATTGCGAACGTCAGAGCTTCAAGAGTCTACCTACCTACCTACCTTACCTGACCTAGCACGAGGAAAATCCACTCCGCCCACAATCTGTGAATCTGCGAAACAAGCAGGTTGTCGGCTCTGTCTGTGAATTGGGATTGACGCTCCTTCCTCTTCGTCAAATCTGAAGCCTAGGGTCTGGACGCCGATCGCGCCACCAGCTTCATCCTCCTACTTCAACACCTCCACCTTCTCCTCACATCACCGAAATCCTAGAGCTGTAGCGCTTCCACAGCACAATGGCGGAAACAAACAGAGACATCCGGAACCATTATCTCTTTGAGATAGCCACAGAGGTCGCCAACCGAGGTACGTTACACTAGAAAGCCGTTGAAGAGTGCCACTGATTCAGACCAGTGGGTGGTATTTATTCTGTCATTAAATCGAAGGCACCTGTCACAACCGCAGAATATGGCGACAGATACACCCTTATTGGGCCTCTTAACAGGCAATCGGTAAGTTCACAATCATTGGACCTTCGGGGAAATGCTAACAAGGAATAGGCCGCTGTCGAAGTGGAAGCATTGACTCCAACGAACCCCCAACTGGCCGCAACAATCGAGGCTATGGAATCAAGAGGAATTGGCATTGTCTATGGTCGCTGGTTGATTGAAGGAGCTCCTAGAGTCATTCTGATCGATACAAAAACTGCATACAGATTCCTGGACGAGTGGAAGGCAGATCTCTGGAACACTGCAGGAATCCCATCCCCACCAGGTGATGACGAGACCAATGAGGCAGTAGTCTTTGGTTACCTTGTCGCGTGGTTCTTGGGAGAGGTAAATCAACCAAAGCCAATTGGAGACACCAGCTAACAATTCCCAGTTTGTTGCTCACGAAAAGACCAAGGCAGTCATTGCGCATTTCCACGAGTGGTTGTCAGGTGTTGCTCTTCCCCTCTGCAAAAAGCGTCGAATCGATGTCACAACAATCTTCACTACCCACGCAACACTTCTCGGTCGATACCTTTGCGCAGGTTCAGTCGATTTCTACAACAATCTACAATACTTTGATGTCGATGCGGAGGCTGGCAAGCGTGGTATATATCATCGTTACTGTATCGAGCGCGCGGCTACACATGCTTGCGATGTCTTCACCACTGTTTCTCACATCACTGCCTACGAATCCGAGCATCTCCTGAAGCGCAAACCGGACGGTGTCCTTCCCAATGGTCTCAATGTTACCAAGTTCTCGGCCATGCACGAATTCCAGAATTTACATCAACAGGCAAAGGAGAAGATTCACGATTTCGTTCGTGGGCATTTCTACGGACACAACGATTTCGACCCAGAAAACACTCTCTACTTCTTCACCGCTGGTCGTTACGAGTACAGAAATAAAGGTGTCGACATGTTCATAGAGTCGTTGGCTCGATTGAATCACAGACTGAAATCCTCCGGATCGAAAATGACCGTTGTTGCGTTCATCATCATGCCCGCCCAGACACAATCACTGACAGTGGAGGCCTTGAAAGGACAAGCAGTTATCAAGTCGTTGCGAGACACGGTTGACGTTATTGAGCGTGGTGTTGGAAAGAAGATTTTCGAGCGTGCTCTCAAGTGGCATGATGGAGACCCAATGCCAGATGACAAGGACTTAGTCACCAGCCAGGACCGCATCTTGCTCCGCAGAAGGTTATTCGCTATGAAGAGACATGGCCTCCCACCTATTGTCACCCACAACATGGCAAACGATGCAGAAGATCCAATTCTCAACCAGATCCGCCGAGTTCAACTTTTCAACCACCCATCCGATCGTGTCAAGATTGTCTTCCACCCCGAGTTTTTGAACTCTGCCAACCCAGTATTGCCAATGGATTACGACGAGTTCGTCAGAGGTACACATCTTGGTGTTTTCTCTTCCTACTACGAGCCATGGGGATATACACCAGCAGAATGTACTGTGATGGGTGTTCCAAGTATCACGACGAATCTCTCGGGTTTTGGATGTTACATGGAGGAGTTGATTGAGAACTCGACCGATTACGGAATTTATATCGTCGATCGCCGTATGAAGGGTGTGGATGATTCAGTCAACCAGCTCACTTCGTACATGTTTGACTTTGCCGGAAAGTCCCGCCGTCAACGTATCAATCAGAGGAATCGTACCGAGCGACTCAGCGACCTCTTGGACTGGAAGAGAATGGGTATGGAATACGTAAAGGCGAGACAATTGGCCCTGCGAAGAGCCTACCCAGCATCATTCAGCAGCGAAGAAGAAGACGACTTCATCCCAGGTATTGAGCAGAAGATCTCGAGACCATTCAGCGTACCTGGTTCGCCAAGAGACCGCAGTGGAATGATGACTCCTGGTGACTTTGCAAGTCTGCAAGAAGGAAGAGAAGGCTTGAGTACGGAGGACTATGTAGCGTGGAAGCTTCCGTAAGTTTGGTCATGCTTGATGTGCGAACACTGCTAACAATTATCTAGTGAGGAGGAAGATCCCGATGAGTACCCATTCCCGCTCACCCTGAGAGCAAAGCGATCGACGGGTCCAACGAGTCCTGCTGAGCCAGTTATCGCGAACGGCAATTCGTAGCCCTGGTGACATTTTTGGAGGAGAAAAGAGTTGAGGGCTATGAGAGATTTGATACAACGATGGGGGAAAGGAAACGGACCCTAGAATGGAACGAATGTGGATAGGTTGTGGTGGGATGGAAGGACAAAAAACTAATCATGTACTAAGATGTCTCCTTTTTTCTGACAGAGAGAGCTTTGTCTCCTTTTCGTTTTCTCTTCACCCGTCATTCATGGCATCGCGCTGGGTCTCTTTTTCCTTTTACTGCATACATATCTGATTACCATCTGCTTCGTGCCGCTTTTCGTGCTTTGTGCCTGTTGCCTGCCTGCTGTCTGTCTGGCACTTTGAAGTTACCCCACTTATTTCCACATGCGCTCTTTGTTGATTGATCTGTACTTTGGACTTGAGCTGCGAGTTTACTACCCTTGGTTGTTCGCTATGCTGCGCTTTACTGTGCTGTCCTGCCGTGCCGTGCTGTGCTGTGCTAAGGGGACGGATAGGTGACGTGTTTAGGATTGGTGGGGGAAATTCGAGAACATTGTTGGTTGGTCTGCAGATATCCTATATCCTATATCCTAAGTTACTGTATCAAGTAAGCAAAACCAAGTAAATACCAAATGCAATGCAATGCAATGCAATGCAAATATTTTCGTGTGTTTGTAATATTTAAAATAAAGAAAGGATTCCGTGTGTTTGGGCTAGAGATGGAGATGGAGATGGTATTGTGAGGGTTGCGAGGTTTGTGAGGGGTTGGGGAATAGGGTGTGTTTTGTGAGGGAGAGTTGGTATGTAGGATGTAATGTATCAGCAGTGATATTTGGATAGGTAGGTAACTTATGTACGAATGTCCTTACGCACGCCATCGACATTTTGTAACGGGTGGGTGACGACGTGTTATAAGTTAAATGAGAGGGTTTAAGTGCTGTGTTAGGAATGGGGGAATTGGGAATTGGGAATTGGGAATTGGGAATTGGGAATTGGGAATTGGGAATTGGGAATTGGGAATTGGGAATTGGGAATTGGGAATGGGCATTGAACATCCTGGGTTCTGGATTCTGCGTCTTGTGGCAATATGGAGGTTGTAGGGGCACTGGGTGTTAAAATGGCTAGCCGGTAGTGGGAACGTCACGGGCGGAGGAAGGGAGAGGGTGTGAGGTTCTAGGTGTCTAAGATATTGAGGATTGTCGGGAGGGAGGGTAGGTGTGTGGGGAAGAAAAAGATGGGAGAGGATGAGAGTTGACAGCGAGATTTTACGTTGTAGACTCGAATTCCTGGATGTGTACCATTGTCGATTTCGAGAGTGTTATTAAGAAAGCTTCCTCTCTCGGATGGATGTAGTGTTGCTGTTTGTCAGCTATCAATGTATTTTCAAATGTTGCGAGAGCTGTGCATGACATTTGGGTGTAAAGTCATTCGAGTTGTTTGGAGGATATAGGATGGCTGTGAAGAAAGGTGGGGGGGGGGGGGGGGGGCGGGGTGGGCGGGGGGGGGAGGAGCTACCCCAGTAAAAAAAGTGTTTAGCGAAGAGAATGATGAGTGTCAGTCAGTTTCCAACCATTCTTTTTCGGTCAGTTGTGGCGTCGATCGTTGTTGGAGATTGAGGAGGGGTGTTGGATGGCTTTTATAGCTGGGCGTTGATGAGAATGGCTGAGTTTTCCCTTGTCTTACATTGTGAATTCGGTTGTGATGTAGTGAGCAGGATGTGGAGGAGGTGAAAGGTTGGGTGATGATAGGATGTGATGTAGGATATAAACCATTCACCATCTCGACCCAACAAACAATGTGCGAGGAGTGAATCCAGGATCTGGAGAGCCAATTACGAATCTTATATGAACAAATGATATTCCAGCTTTCAATACCAAAGTAGTCTGTCCGCAATGTACAGTAGCTATATGGTGGGAACTGGGAAGTCTGTCAGGAGTTTGTGTATGATGGACGACCGTTTGGTAATACTGCTACTTTGTGCTTGGACACCTTTCTCAATGCCGGTTATGCAAATCTTGTGATATTAGGATATTTCTTCTGGGAAGGAAAGGTCAAGGTTTGTTGTCATGGACTCTCTCACTGTCACTTCCATTGCATTTCCTAGCTTATCGGCAGATATTTTATGGGTGATTACTACCAATATAATAATACTTGGCTATTCTTTAAAATTCTCTGGAGATTAATGATCCAACTTTGAAATGTCTTGTGACAGCTCTTCGAATAGGCATTTCGTTGCGCTGTACAGCTTAGCCGAGTTCACCATACGGCCAATCTGTTTCACCCCCAATTGTTGATGTGGTTGCAAGAATCACGGAAGCCTGGCTTATATGGCTATTTTGAACCAGAGTAGCTGCTGTGATAGATATTCGGATGTAAGAAAACTCGGAATCAATGAGTTTTTCGCAGGCGAGAAGCAGTGAAGTGTGGTTGTTGGGTGTGAAGCGAAGCGAGCATTAGCTTCTCACCAAGATGATTGTGAATAGAAGCCCAGAGAGTCATCGGTCTCTGAAGCAAAGTCAGGGGGATCTGAAAAGAACATATAAACGTGAACGGATCCGAGGCCAGTAGGTACAAGGCCAGTAATCATGAAGAAATTCAAACAAATGAGACTCTGGACATTGAACGCCGAGTGATGATGTATGTTTGACTCCCTCGGACTTTCTTGATAATATTTTCTGGGGTTTCAAATACTTGGACGGCAAAATAGAAAGATTTTCATTATATAGCAAGTCTCTACAGACTCCCAAGTCGATTGCATTCTCACTGCCATCAAACGCTCCGCTGTCAATTTTATCGTCTCACTGCAGACTCCCTACTGAGCTTCACTCGATCATTTCGTTTCTGGATCGGAGGAATTTACCGCCAGGACTCATGCGCAATACGGCATGTCAGAGTTGGTTTCTTCAGTTGGGCTGACTGTCAAAAATGGGATACACATCCCTGGCGCATTGTGCCCTGGGTTGCATGTTCTGCTCGTACTTGCGGGCCTGCTGATGACGAGGGAACAGATTTCAAAGTAGGGAGCTCTGGTTTATATGTTAGAATTATGCCAGCGGTCAAGACTGGTATTAGTGAGTCGAGCTTTTGTAACACGAGTGAAACGGGCTTGGCAAAACTGCATGAGGTGGAGTATATGAAATGAGGGGTTCGAATTAAGCGATGTTTACTTCACCTGTGAATGATGGCTCAGCTTGACTTGATACCCCAAAACAAAGATTAGAGGCACAATTAGTGGACCATGATGTCCATTAAACTTTTCGGTCGTGTAATAAGTACTTAACACTGGTGCCCTCAGCACTTTTCTCCCTAATCAGCCAAGACGGACGTCCATTTTCGCAAATGGCCACCTCTGAGCAAGTTCCGGCAGAGAGGGGAGACATATTGATTAAATTGAAGAATTTCATTCTGAATCTTCTTAAATCTGAATCTAGTTTGTTTACCCCCTGAGCAGGATCAACATCTCTCAAAGAAGTTGGTGGTAGGGGGAAATGATTGCTCATTTTCTGAACTCCTGCTGTCGTTGCGAGCTTCGCTGTCAAAACTCATTGACAACGTGATAAGACACGATTTTTTTCCTATTTATCCAACCTTGTTTCAGCCAATCTTATATGGGGACAAGCTGTACTGGTTCTTTGATGTTATATTCCGCAATTCCTGAACCCAGGTACGTCTTCTCCGGGATCCAGAACAGCACTGGACAGACTGTTTATTCTCATCCAATGGCAGTGTGACTTGTAGAGTCTCCACTAGGAGCATGAGGTAGAAATATATACTCGTTGGAGGACATGTTGATGAGTCATTGAACGGTTGATGCCGATGGAGAAGTGACTCAGAAGTGACCGAACACATAAGAACGGGAAGATGGATGACAATGAGGGGTAAACCTGTGAATTGCGCCTAGGTATATATAAGTTCTTCCGAGATTAAGACAAAGAGGTCAAGACTATCAATAGCCTAATATTTCAATAATTGGTCTGATTAGAACTAATTGGCCAGCTTGCATGTGCTGCGAGAAGCTGAGAGTGGTGCGATTTTTAATAACGTGACGTACTCTAAAATCGTCAGAAAGTGAATGATGGGCGGGCTGTTTTTCACTGAGAACTGCACTCCAGCGTTTAGATTTTTGGTCATCAGTTGTCTTTCTCTTATCAATCCACTGCGTTTTGTCTCTGTTCCTCTGTCAGCTCCAAGATCGCCGGGCGATATGAGAACGACAGTGCTGGAAGTCGATCGAAGGGAATTTGCCATGCAAAACAAAGGGTTTGATTTCATCAAATATCAAGTCGTGGCTTTTCTCGAACCAAACCTAGATTTTCTAGTCCATCACTGTGAGGCCGATGACCCAGAAAGCTGAGACTCGTATCTTGTATTTATAGTCTTCCCTTCCAGTGAAGTGGGAGTAAGCGACATCCCTCAAGTCAGCAAACCTATCTTGGAATGTTACACCTATGGGTGCTCGCCGCCATCTTGCTACCGAGAGAGCACCTGATATCCTCTGATAGACATAAATGGAAGTTAGATCCTAAACCTTTAAGGATACCCATAATTTCATCAAAGATAACATTAGGAAGGGTGTTGCTTAGAGATGCTTCGACACGACAATCCCACGATTATTTAAGCCGAGTCACGTCAAGGGTTTTGTATATCTTGAAGTTGATTGTGCAAATCTGTTGATGAAACAAATCCATGACCCACTTCTTGTTGATTTGTGCTGTCAAGTCATGAAGTGTTGTCAAGGATTCTCTCGGACGTTCCTCTCATTCGAATGTGGACGACGAAAGTTCCAAACCACCAGTCCAGTCCAATCCGAATCATGTTCAAAGTAGCATATTGTTCACAAACTGCACATATCAATTGCCTGTTCTCTCTCTTCAACAAAAAGGAAAAACGATGGCTACCCCATTTCTAACCAAACCTTCCACCCAACTCATAGATCGTTCAAAATCTTGGTTTCAATTATGTGGCGATTTCGGCTGAGGATCTGAATCTTATATTAGAGTCGAGAGGCCTTTCAGCATTACTCCCCCAAAAGCAGCATATTGCATGATCGAAATCAATCGCGAATTTCCCCATAGGGTTGCTTATGAAAACCCCAAGATGCAACATCCTTGCGTCCGAAGCGGGAGTGATGTCAGTACGACCACACGCTGCATCAACGTATAAATTGCCCTGCACTCTGTCTCACTTCATGAAGTCACGCACTGTCAAGAGTTCAAAGACTGCGCTTCAATGGTGAAGTACAGCGGAGTGGGGTAGTAGGGAGATCTCTGTTGGAAAGTCCTGACTTGAAACCGAATTCACGCTTTCCTAGGTTGCCAAGGACCATGTGGCGTTGAGACTGAGCAGGATCCCTTTCTCTCTCTTCGTTTCTGGTAGAGCCTACGCGTCGCTGCCAATGCATTGTATGTTGTCAAACTTCAACGACACTATACATTCTCTGTCCCGTAATGCAATAGCAAGACCACTCGAGGATGTTGGTTCATCCGCGAAGAATATTCCCTCAAACCATCGTGACGACTGCTAATAGATTTGTGTCTGAACGACTAATCAGTCTTTCTGGGCTCTTGAGTGTTAGGGGAAAAAGGAACCAAGTCTGATCAGGCATAGATCTATATATGTAAATAAAATACCGAGAGAGTGACCCACAGAGGCGTGATTAATGGTCTTGAGCGCTCGCCAATCAACGATGAATTCTATCGAAGAGAGGAGTAGAATCTCCGTGGATATCAATCGTCTAGGAGTGTATATAAAACACTTCACGGGATGCCTCTGAAGATCAAGGTAAAAATTGAAAGCTTCAGGGATAGTGACGAAAGCCTCCCTCCCGTGGAGAGATGTAACTCGGATTGTGCTAGGTTGCTTTTTGTACAGCATTGAACCAACTAGTCATAAGATTTGAAATTTACATGATCATCTGTTCTGCAGTACTCAAATTTTCGTCCATTGGTCATCACTTTTCACTGTCGTCTGTCTAACAACTGTCAACTCCCACCACATTGTCACTTGGCCACTTCTATTCGATTTCGCACAGAGAACGACCGTATTCTGTCACTAACCACGAGCGTCTTCACGAGATCCTCGAATATTCCAACATTGAAGAAGCTTAGTCTGGTATGAATTACCTTGAACCAACTGGTTACATCCTCCATACCCTTTTCAACCTACAGTGGTGTCTTGCAAAAGTCTATCTCAGTCGCTGCCTCGAATCGACGTGAGCCAAGTCATATATATAGAGCACGTATAGTACTGAAACCAGACTACCGCAATGAAGCAGGAGAATTCGCTAAGCAACTAAAGTCTGCGTTGCGTCCACAGACGCTGCATGAGGAAGTCCGCTAGGTGAATGAATATGGTGTTTACAGTCTGTGAACTAAGCGAGCTCTCCTTCTGTCTTTCCGACACAAAGAAACCCGTCACTCAGCATCGATCGCATTTAACGGAAGCTGTAGTTCTGACGCCGAAGCCAGCATGCTTTCAGTGAGTAGTGGGGGGAGTCACTGTCATCAAGTAGACAGAGCAGACGCTCACTGCGCCTTTGAGCTTGTCCCAAGTTTCTTCTTCACCCTCCACCATTGACCTCCATCGTGAAAATTTACGGCCTCTATCTCACGCTTCTCTCCATCTTCTCAACACCCTACAAAGCAATCTTCACCCCACCAAAATACAATGGCTCAGACTGACTCGCTCTCCTTGGGTACCCCTCCAAGTAGGTTGTTGATAAGCACGGATTTGCAAACATCTCCAATCTGTTTGTTTACAGAATAACACAACGCGCAAAGTTAACACTATCATTAAGATCTAGCATTACTCTTACTTACTTGCTCTTCTGAATTCAGAAAAGGATTTACAAGACTTCATATGAGCAGACCTAGTCTTGCCACGCGCGACAAAAGGAAAACCATCATCCATCCAGAGGGTAATAATGATCTCTCTGGGTATCCGCTTTTAGCAACGCGTCAGGAAAGGAACTCCTCTTTCCTGCCACCAGAAAATCCCAACGAGTAAAATCTCGGTTTAGTTCGATCCAACCCAATCCAACCGGCCGCTTGCGACCGGTATCCATAAACCCCATTCTACAGTCCATCCAACCATCCATATATGAAGAAGAATACGCACCGAACCCACCCACACAACACCCACGGTTTTCCCTGCCCCTCAAGGCAAGAAATCTGGAGTCAAAAAGACCGATTCAAGCAGCCTTCTCAACAAGATACAGAAACTTCCAAAACCCCAAAACTGCAAACCCCGTATACGTCACAGGGACATACCTCGCCCCCCTCCTAATCCACCACATCGCAACAGCAGCCGCCCACCCGGGCCCCACAACCGCCCAACCCATCCGGCTCCTAAAAGCCGCCGGCACAATATGCCTATACAGGATCCCCTCATCATCATAGTACTTCCTCGCATGCCGCGCAAACGCGCGTTTCGACCGCGTGTAGTCTTTCATGATTTGGTTCCCCGGCGGCGAGGGGTGCACTTCCGCTTCGCTGCCGACGTACCATACTTCGGGGAGGAGAAGGGAGTGCCCTGGTCGAGCGCGGTAGTGTCTTTTGAAGAGCTCGATGAGGTGTACGGCGGAGGTGCAGTTTGCGGCCATGGGGTCTGTTTTGGAGCCGTGGGAGAGGATAAGGATGTCTGTGTTTTGGAGGATGGGGATTGCGGCGTCGTAGTCCTTGTAGGACCACTCTTTGCCGAATTTGAGATCTTGGATGATGGATGGGGAGTCGGTTTGGAGTTCTGCTTTAAGGGCTGTGCCGAAGGCGCCTGAGGAGCCGGTCATGGCGATGCGGCGGGAGCGGATGGAGCATGAGGTGCCGATTATCCAGTCGAAGACGCGGAAGCAGGAGCCGATGTACGAGGAGGGATCGACGTGGTGCATGGCGTGGTATTGGGGGCCGACGACGAAGGAGTTGGGATCTTTGGGGACGACTCTTGGGTAGGATTTGTGGTTTGAGTCACGGCCTTCGAGGATGGCTACTACGAGGACTCGACCGACTTGGAATATTGTTACGAGAGTAAAGAGTCTCTCAGATAGAAGACCTGAACCGGTGAGGTTCAAGGCCTGAGCGATTCGGTAGCCTAGCCATGTTCCGCAAAGCTGGCATGATAATTCTAGTGGTAGTTCGATGACCATATTCTGGATGAGATATCTGTTGTTGAATTTGAGTCGACGGTTGAAGTATAGATGGTGCACTTCATGAAGGTATCCTATCTGACGCAGGATCCAATACCGTGATTTTGAGAATTTGTGAAGAAAGAAATGTGCGACGTCGAAGAAAAATGATCCAGCGAAGTAGAGCCAGAGACTGGATATCACCACCACCCACCATGGCGAGCCTGTCAGACCCTCCCAAGCAAAATTGAATATCCTCCCAGGTATCCTCACAGCTTCTTCTGCTAGACTCCCCCATTTTGATGTCTTTAATGATTCCATTTTGGCAATGTGTTGTGGAGATGGCAAATAAATACGATCAAATCCTTTGAATCCACGTGAGGAATGCGGATGCCCAGGAACCAGGTCCTTGATGCCCACAGGCTAAGGACGGAAACAATCCAAAATTCGAATGCTCTGCCATCCACTGGCAATTCGAGATACGTTTGCTTCCAAGAGAACCAGAAATGGAAATAAAGGACAATGCCTCGTCCAATATGACGAAATTCTTCGTATCCAAACCGAGCCCCAGATGTTTCGGCGGACCCCAAAAATACCCCGCGATCCCAACAATCGAGGAGTGTTCTCCAAAAATTCCCAGCGCTAAAGGTCAACGGATCTGATAAGAAAAATCCCAAGAATCGGGGACAAAAAATTGAGATAAATATCCAAAATGTCGTACGAGATCCAGAAAGGTTTTGGTTCAAATGACTGATGTCAGAGAGCGCGAACCGGTCCGTGGGCTAGGTAGATAGAAAATTGAACGATTGACGCAATTCAGGTGATCGACCAACAAAACCAACACTCTGTCCTCGTGAAAGGAAAGATCAATTCTGTCCTCTTTGATCAATTCCAGGCAGAAGGGCGCAGTCCTTTATGGATCCGCAAGGCACAGCAATCCAATGCAGTGCAATTGGATGTAATTCGTTTGAATGGATGGGAACTCCTATCGCGTCGTGCAACAGCAGGCGTGGTGGGTTCTTCGTCGTTTGCTCCCAGCCACCACACACCGACATGTCCTTTTTCATCAAAACCAAACCTGAGCGAGCGAGCGAGAGAGACTTGAGACAGATAGATAGATAGGCCACAGATAAAGATGGAGCGGAGCGGAGCAGCGACAGATAAAGAATAGATAAAAATATCTTTAGGAGAACACCAGCGAAAGGGATCCAATTCCAACACGCAACGTCAATTGTCTCTCATGGCTGGCTGGATTGACCGAGGTGCGAGCTGAGGTTGAGTGTTGAAGGGCGCCGCTTGTTCGTGTTCGCAGGCGGGCTGATTATGTGAGAGAGAGGGAGGGAGAGGGAAAGGTGGTGAAGGAAGGATGGATGGATGGATGGAGATGAGATGAGGATGCTGATGCGAGATGGGCAAAATCGCAGATTGATTGATGGATTTTGCACAGCCCAGCCCCAGCCCAATGTGTGTGTGCGCGCGCGCGCATCAAATGCTTATCTGCAGGGCCAGTCTTTCAAAAAAGCAGGCAGGCAATTTAGTTAATTTAAGTAAAGTTTTTAACAAGTAATTTACCTAGGTAGATACTAGGTATAGGTTGGCATTTCGCGCGTATTACAAGTATTCGCATCTATCCATGCCAGCATGCATCCATGCACACGCGAGCTGTTAAATTTCCCACAAAAGTCCCCGTCCCACAGCTTCTAGATCTAGATACGGTCACGTGTGTCTAATTTCCAGGGAGAGAAAAAGCCCCTGAGAATGCCATGCGCGCCCCCCCCCCCCCCCCCCCCCCCCCGCCCCCAAGCCGCCCCTGTAGTGCAGAGCTGGATGGATCGTCCCCAAGCTACGGAATAACTTACTGGTAATGATACATTTTCCACGGGGCTCCAGTACAGTACTGTAGTGGCCTGCGGTCAAGTAAGGTTTGGCGGGTGGTCGGGGTCATACCGAATACGGGATAAACGAAGCCATGTGGCCCTGTGCAGCATTGCTGAAAAAAACTCAATACTTACCTACTTAGGTAGGTACCGAGCTTAATAATGATGAGAGATTTATTTATTATCTTCTTGTCTTTTAGAGTTTTCGTACTTCCAGCGTGGTTATGGGGATCGCATGAATGATCGGTCGGGAGAGAATGGCAATGATGACATAGAGACATGGGTCCTTGGCGACCGTTGTTTTCGGATGAGACGAGCAGGAGGGAAAGCGAAGAAGAAGGGAGGGGCAGGTGACGTGAGTTGAAGCATGCCCGTATGAGACTGTGAGTGAAAGTGAACTTAGTGAAGACATTCCGGGGACATGGATGGGCATGGATGGCATGGCGTATGTGGGCTCTCACCCATCGCATTGGTTCGTGTGCATCTCGCGATCCATGTGTGTTCAGTGCTCCTGTGCCTGACTAGTCCCAAACGTGCCATGCCCAGGAGTGCCCAGCCTGTGACAAGAAAGCTTCATTTTTTCAGTTCAGATCTTTGGGCTGGGGAGGAGATGGGGGGAGGAGACGAGGATGGAGGGAGGAAACATGGGAGGAGGAGAAGGAGGAACAACAAGAGACCGATGGGTCCCGTTCTTTCACTTCCACCATCCATGTCTTCGACTGGATGCCTGTCTCCCTCCATACGAGATATTTTGACCGTGGGAGGCCCGGGACACGCCGTTTCCGCCGCCAGCCACGGCATGCACGCCCCCTGAGTTTTGACTCTCGAGATCGAAGATGATCAGATCAAATCAGATCTTCTTTCTCTTCTTCCTTGATGTCTTCGTATGGCCGTTTGAACTATGAGATGATCTCACCTCGGCTCCTCAAATCTGCGCCGTTCCGCTGTGTCACCGCCATTTTAGCGGGTTTTATGGTTTGGGAAGAATGGAACCTTCCGCTTTGACTTTGAAAAGAGAGGGAAGCGAAATCAGTTTCGCTGACTGTCTCGACAACCTGGATCTGCTCTATTCGGTTACAGCGTTTTCACAAGATGGGCTCAACTGTATAGCTTTACGCTTGCTCCCAGGGTGATGGATAAACGTCGATTCTCTCATGTCATCATACCTAAGGAAGTGGATGGTGGACGTCACAATGCCACTTGAGCAAACACCCTAAATCACATCGTAACTTGATTAGAGTCTCGCGTTTACGTGCGTGATTGCAGATTTATGTAGCCATCTGTAAGGTAGGATTTATGCGGACGTATGCCATCCATCCGTCACACTTTCAGCCCAATGCCACATCACTCCCATACCCACGTCCTTGTGCATAGGGAATCACCCAGCCAAACGCCGTTTACCCGCTTCTCATTAAACGAATTGGTATCCTCAGCAAAAAGCGCGCCATCTAAGTACAAACAGACCATATAAGGTCCGAAACGCCAGTGCTATGCTAAAAGCAATGAAATGAAATCATGTGCTATATCAAATGAAATGTGTCGTGCTTCGAAGAAATGTGACAAGTAAGAATTTTGATACCAAACTCTTGAGTTGCCAACTCGCTGCAGGACACACGACCAAGTAAGGGTCCTTCGAGAAAGGGGCCGAAGAGAAAGACATTCTTCGTCGAATCACTCGGTGAGTCGTCTACGTCTACCAGCGTGTGCCTGAAGCATAGCAGCATCAGCTGCATCTCTATGCAAGGCTTCTGGGGGATGATGATCTCCAACCAAATCTACCACATCAGTCTTCCTCATTCTTTTAGCAGATCTTGACCCATTTTCGGCCACATGGCTCGACGGTCTCTTAACACTTCGAGGAGAAACCGATGTTTCCTTGCCCTGAGACCGGCTTCTACCCGGCAAGGAGGACTGGTGAACAACCTCTGTAGGCGAAGACGACGATAGATATGAGACATCTGGCGGCGACGCTGCTCGCGATGGCGCATCTTTAAGGAACATTTCATCGTCCTCTTTCTGTTGCCTACTGTCCTCATTGTATGGATGTCGTTCGGGTGAATCGAGGAGGTGGACAGATCCAAGGCTTTCGTCCAGGTTGGCACCGACGCCATTCCATTCTTGATTTTGTTGATCATCCTCGGTAGCCTGATGAGACTCGACACGACTCCCAGCTTTTATCTTTCCAGTCTCGTGATGCTTTGAGGTCTTGGTAACTCTTCCTCGAGTACGGGGTGACTGCTGTTGAGCTGGTTCCTCCTCTTGGCTGCTGTCTGGCAGAGGGTGGCGGTTAACATATATCTTGTCTGTAGATGCTTGTCTAAGAAGCTTGGGTGTCCCAACGGGACTGTGAAGAGTTGAAGATTTCGAATCTCGGGCGTTTGCGCCTCCAGAAGATCGTCGATCCTTAACTTTCTTGGGTGCAACGGTTGCATCTTTCAGTTCATCATCAAAATTTTGGGAATCGTCTATGACAATTGGCTGAGATGAGGATGTTTTCAACTCGAGAGATTCCCGTGCCAGATCTTCCTTCTCTTCGACATGGCTGTATGTTAACAAAGCCGATGTGACCCTCGATATTGTTCTTAGCAAAACATTTCCTCGAACGGAATTCTGCCTAGTGTGATCGAAGCGCGGCTCAACCAAAGTAGACTTAGACAACTCATGTTCGGGAGTGACCTTTGCCGGTGTTTCTGTCGACTCGTTAGCAGCCAAGTCGGCCTTCTCCGCTGGTACTTGATCAATAACTTCTGGTAAGGGTTGAGCTTTCTCTGGGCTAGCGGAATTTCGAGCGCTTTTGGATGCCTCGCGTGATGCTGATTTGGAAGTCGAACCAGATGCCGGTGTTCCAGCTTTAGCCGCCTGCTTGCTCTTGGCTTTCTCCTTCTTTAATGCCACTGCTTCTCGAACTTGCTCTTTCTGAAGTTCAAAGAGCTGTTCGCGAATGTGTCTTCTCATATCTGATGCTGATCGCCACCTGCTGAAATCTTGCTCATTCTGTTGCAGAATGTCATGGACGAACCCATCGGGCCTCTTCAGGAATTCCTCAATATAAGTAAGGAGAAACGGGCCACAGTCGCAGTGATTGTCCTGCTGAGGGATATTTTTGGCTGTCATACCGAGATTTCTAGGCTCCTCGATCTCGATGTTTTTCTTTGCTTTGATCTCCTGCATCAAGTATTTTTTCAGATTGGCGCAGGTTGGAGAATGCGAAAGTCCCAGAGAATCGAGCGTTATAATGCGCGGTTCTTTGGGGTCATACTTTCGTGGTGGAGGAGCCGACTTTCGTTTGCTTTTCTTGGATTGAACTGCCTGAACCGGTTTCTCGCCACCTATATCTGATGACACAGTCAAAGGTTGCGAGTCCGGATCTCGGGGCTCTATGTCTTTCTGCACTTCGGAGGCTACAGGTATGGCCGCAAGAGACTGGAGTCCATCAACAATAGACATTACACCACTGTGATCCTCAAGAGTCATTTCCTTCAGTTCCATACTGACATCGTCGGGGATAGTCTTGGCAGGCGATTTCGGTGGTGATATTGTAGGGTTGGAGCCAGATTCGACTGTGTTCGGGTCCTCTTGCACAACTCCATTCTCTACGTCCAATTGTGCCGTCTCCTCCAGCGGCTGCTTGAGGAGCTTGGGAGCGTTGCAAATTATGGCAACATACCAGTGCACTGTTTCATTTACAGGAACAACGATGTAATCGTACTGAAGTAGATCAATTTTCGCAGTCCAGCGTTCGACAGCCTCGTAGTTGATTCCACCGGATTTGCCCTTGCCGTGCTTGGTCAATCTCGTGTAGAAAAAGGTGTTGTGAAAGTAAATACGGCTAGCCGCCTCAGGGTTGTCCTTTACAAGGCGTTCTTCCAGCCAACGAAGGTAGAAGAGGATCAAGTTATCGTTCAGGAATTCTCCTTCATCTAGTCGCGCAACATCCTGCATATCCACAGTGGCTTTATCTTTCCCATTCGGAGGGTAAATCAAGGAGCTCTGCCATCCTACATCCTTCACCCATTCTGGGTTATTAGCAGTCCATCGTGCTGGTTCTGGGGTCGGTGATCGCGGTCGCTGACGTGGGGATTGGCGAAAGGCAGGAGTGCTATCAACTTTGGCCAGTCTTCCGGAGGAGCGAGTTCCATGGGCATCTGCTCCATTGGCTCTAGCATTACTAGAATTGCCATAGAACTCCCCTGATTGGAGAGCTTTAGCATTGGAATCTCGTCGCGATTCTTCAATCTCAAGGAGGCCATGACTTGGGGAACGACCTCTCATGTCTTTTGCAAGACCTTTCGATCGGGTTCCTCGTTCCAAAGGACCACTTTTCTGGTTTCCATCTTTGACATTGCGACTGGTTTTATTGCCCTCAACCCATTTTCCACCGAATAGCTTCTTCTCGGCTCTGGCTTTCACCAAGCGAATGTCATCTGGCTCCTGCTGTGCAATGGGTGTTTGTCTTTTGGCTTGAATGGGTTTCTGGGCCAAGTTTCTGAAGACTTTGTCGAGATAGTCACTGCAAACGTCAGTCAGAAATCATGGAAGGGCGACTTTTGTATGACTAACCGGTCTTTAGAGAGCCTGCCAATAGTCACGTCTTTAATTTTTAAATTTTCAAACAATTGCTCGCATTCGTCGGAAGACGTGAACTCAACGTAAATATGCGTTGAAAAAGCAGCTGTATGGTTTCTAGATTTATGGAAGACCATCTTATTATGCCTATCGGCAATTTCGATTTTCTCGACGTCCTTAGTACGAAATTGGAGAACCTGATCATCGGATCGATTATAAAAGGTCAAGAGTCCGGCGCTTTTGTCGTGAACCAGGATCCAGCGTTCTAGCTGTCCTTGAAGTAGCCATTTCTTGACTTCGGAAAAGACTTGATGGATAATGTAGGAATCCTCTGCCTCGGGCTTTTTGGACTTTGTTCTGGAAGGACCATACTTGCCAGGAGTTATGTCATTCTTCTTGGTGGAAATCTCGTCTTCGCTTGAGTCCCCTACGTTGATAGCTATGCCGTGACTTTCTCTGTCTCCTGATTTGGCAGGCTGGCCTTTCCTTAACAGTCTCTGGGCGATGTTCACATGCTCCGCATTTCCGTACTGATCAGTAGATAATTCATCTTGGTCGTCTTGCGATAAAAGACTAGGATCCTCCTTTCGAAAAAACCGTGATGCTTGTGCTGTCTCAAGTGACGAGCTTTTTGGGTTTGTACTTGTCGCATATCCTTTCTGCCCTCGTGGCCTTCCATGGGAAGATCCTTCTGAACCTTGGATTTGAATCTCCAGCCTCGTGTTGGACTTAATGGGCTGTTTGGGTCCGACAATCTTCCAATCTTCACCGGCGTCGTCATCGGAAATGAGATCGTTCTGGTCTTCTTTTGCGATTTGATCGAAGCTCTCCGGATCAAAGCGCTGATGCCCATTGATGAGCGCAAGTCTCTTGTCTGTAGCACTGCCGTTTCGTTTGCGTTGCTTTTTGGGGGGCCTCACAGTCTCTTCCACTTTTCGATGTTCCCGTACGCTTTCGTACGCCCCATGGTATGTATTTGCCTCTTGCCCATCTCGGCTACGGCTGTGTCCAGACCATGTTGACGAGGGCACACTCTGTCTGGTATTCTGAGGTGACGTATTATCCACATCGATTGGCCGGTTGGACGATCCATTGTCAAGTCGCTGTCTTTTAGCCGGATATCCATATTCTAGGCGGCTACTTTTTGCATCCCCTGTGAGATCGAACGCCTTTGCCTTCTGTGAGACAGGTCTTGGCTGCTTTGTTTGAGGAAGTGCAGCGTGATTTACAAGTCTGTTTATTGGCTTCGGGCCGCCACTATGAATATAACGAGGCTTATAACATTAGCTTACGAACAAAACGTGCTGAATGGAAGTACATACCATGATAGCCTCGGCTTCTTGCGGAGTTGCTGGCAAACGAGCTGACGGCCTACGGATAGTATTAGTGAATGTTACATATTCCAGGCAAACAGAATATACCCATAATCAGGAAGGCAGTTTAGGTTGGGATCCTTATATCGCTCTCCAAAGGCCCTATAGACACGAAATCAGTACATTGATAATAGCCACAACCCTATCGTACGGCATACCATCTTGATTTTCGCGGTTTTGGCTCGGCTTTGCTGGCAATCCAAGATCGTTCGTCTCTTACTTCAGTGGGGAACGCGTCGAGTTCAATTCTGCAAAGAGTTAGCCAGCGTCTGCAAGCGGTGGCAATCTGCATGCTGGACTCACTCTTGAGAGGTTGATAATCCCAACTTGTCCTCCTCCTTCTCGGACACCTTCGGCACGTCCTCCTGGCGAATTCGTTTGGAAGATCCGTGGATATAGACAGCCTGCGAAGAGGTGATGTTAGCGGTGTTGGAATCCAAGGTCGAGGAAAGTCTAGCCGAGGATTCAGCGACAGCCTCGCCAACCTCCAGCTTGGAGAAGTTCAAGAAACCCACCTCATCCGCGCCCGCAGACTTTGGAGCTTCTTCTTCGAATGTGCCGGAAGTATCAGGTCCGCTTGGAAGGTCTACAGAACCTTCAATCGTCGAGATCAAGCTGCTGCGCGTTCGTCTTGTCGTCCCAGAGCTTCTTTCCGACATGACATCGCTGGCATACCCCACCTCAATCCAGGGTTCTGTGACTCCAGCGCGTTGCAAGCTTCTTCCGCGTTCGCATGCTTCGGTAACAATCTCCTCGCTGCGAGATCTGAATGTTCGGGAGTTGTCGTGCTCTTTGCTGGTCGGGACATCGAGGAGATGGTTGTGGACGTTGATGTACCGGAGGGAGACACTTCGGACTCGCTTGTGATTGGTTCCTGCGTTGAGCCTCGTACATTTACCCTGCCCCTCCAAGTTGATGTCAATTTCTTGAACAACAAAACTGCTGAAACTGTCCTGCTTCAGGATCTTGTTGAGCTGTACTATCAGCTCATGTGCCTTGGTGTTCGTGTCCTGTAGCCCTGCTGTCACTCTTTCATAGATTGCCCACCCTGAGGCAATATGCTTCTGCCGCTCCTGAGCAGCGGCCTTGCAATCTAGCACTTGGTTTTTCTGAACTTCTGCGCTTCCTTCTTTGATCAGAAGCTCTTGGAACATTTGGTGATACTTGAGGATGGTAGCTGAGTTCATTGGAGGCTCGTCTTCTGCTAAGATTTCCATTTCTTCCCCCTCTGTATCAGTATCAGGATCCTTGGCATAATCGGCCATGTTGTTTGATTTCATGAATTGAAACCTCTGATCGTATTGCTGTTGTCGATTGAGTTGAAATAAGGTTCTGAGGGGCGATCTTGAAAAGAGGTAGGATGTATTTTGACAAGAGCAGGACAGCTCACGACCCCAAAGGCAGTGAATAAGTTGAAAGGCCAATTTGGTTGAGAACAATAGTGAAACTCAGCCACCTACTTCAGACGGCCTTCCAGATCACTTTTACCATTTTAAAGTGGAAGGTGATCAAGTGTTCTCCATAAATAGTTACGAAGGGTGCTGGCTATCGTTGTTTCTCATAGTAGCAGTATACAGGAAGGAGCAATTGGCAATGTAGTTGACCAAGCCGAGCCGAGCTGGAAAGGGAAGTGGAGGTTCCTGAAGCTCAAGACGGGGCGTCGAAATGGGAGTCAGACATTATAAGTCATAGCAGTTATATTCTGTATGGTGCCCTTTGTCACTCTATTGTCCAGTCCGAGTACAGTTAGACGGCGGAGGATATGAGGCTCCTCACCATGTAAAGGTCCTTCCACATCGACTACCCAGACGCAACTCCTCATACAGGGCATGCCTGTAAAGTCTTATGCAGCATATGTGTTAAGAATTGGCATATATGCCTTGTGACTTGTCCCATCTCAAGTGAATTGCGCTTGACTTTGATATCCAAAATAATGAACATCACCATGGACTTCCCAAAGATAAGTCGGTCCCATCAGATTGCCTATCCAGGCTGTTTTCAAGCACAAAAGCAAGCAATGAGCCAGAAGAAACGTGCAGTTCCATCCCAGTCAGACTCACTATCGTCGTTCTCTCAAAAGTCGGCAACCAGCAAAACGTTTGTTTTAAGGTAAATGCATTGCGGTTCTTGATACAACTGTACACATAAGAAATTTGGCAACGCAGCGCCTCCAAACGCTCTCCCAACGGCTTCCCCATCTATAACCCGCTTCGATATCCATCTACACAGATGCCTCCCTACTTCCATTCTTCCTACTTCCATTCTTCCAACTTCCATCTTCTACTTGGATTCCTCAGGGTAGAGATCCTCCTTGAGTAGGACGCCCAACTCTTCCCGAAGTGGCTTGAGCTCCTCGAGATATTGGTCGTACTGGCCACGGTTCTCGACCTTTGCTTTGATTCCTGTTGCTCGTAGTATCAGCCATTGTTCCTGCCAGCCTCTGTGATATCCCAGTATGCCTCGGGTCATGTCGGTAATGGTGCTACGTACCCTCGAAGATCCGTACAGCGGTAGGGAAGTCATTGACTCTTCTCGCAGCTTTCAACGCAGCGGTGAGGACAGAGGGCGAGGGGACGAGATCGTATGCGAAGGCGTTGTTCAAGTTTCTCTGTAGACCATCGGACGATAATCAGCAATCTGCATAAAGGGATGGGACCTTGCCGGGGATAGCCAGGACCAGAGTAAACTTACCTGAAGCTCGAAAACATCTTGAACTTGGTCGAACTCCTTCTCATATCTATTATCCGGCACCTGAGCGTTAGCAATTGACGGTCGTGGCCGACTTGCAGCTTTGTGTTTCGGCTACGCAGGAATATGCTCAAAAGAGCTCCGATGGAAACCATATAGGGCCAATTGAAGCCACGTACCTGGCAGTGAACTCCTCGAAGCTCTCCTCGCCGTGACCTGCATCAGAACGAAGTCTGCTGGTAGTGCTGAAGCTGTTGATGGATCCAGAGGTCGCGATCATGGCTGGGACAGCGTAGAAGGCGTTCGCACCGCGAGGGGTCAGGCTACGGAGGCCATTGGCACGGAAGAAGGTAGATGGTTGCGCACGAGCTGCGACTCTCAATATCGAAGTCGACGACATTAGGAAAGGATGTGTTGAGTGAGGCGTCTGTGGAGGGAATCTGAGGGGCTTCAATTGTGATTCGATTTTCCGTTCGGTTTCTGGACGTCCCAAGGAACGGCTATGCGCCAACTCCTATTGGATGGCTGACTAATCATCATCAAACCTATTTGGCTTGCACCCGACCTGATCTCATATCACTTCCTTAGTTATCCCTCCAGTATACAGCAAATATTTTCAGATCCTTTCAAAGGCATGGGAAGTTTCTGTTAATTCTGCGTTGTCTTTTTTAAAAGCCGTACGCAAGACTTGGACTCCGGATTCCTGCCACAAATCCCGTCTAAGGAGGCTGGGTCTTGAGACTTTGCTTGCAAAACACTGATTAGGGTGATGCAAAGATTTTGATATCATTATCGGTGAGAACGATGATTTGGTACAGCCATGAAGGACAGTATCCTTGCATCAAATTGTGATTCAATTGCCACATCAACGTTTTTATCATTCCTTTTGTTATGCTGGTTGTATTTTACGTTATTCTATTTGACTTTGTCTCATCGAATCTCGATTTCTATTCTGCATTTCGATAGCCTTGTGGGCCAACAGGTCGCTCTCGATTCGATCAATCTAGTGGAGGTACCCGTGAAGAAGTTGCGCTCCTCATGGATGCAGCAGTTATGAAAAGGCCCGAAACACCTGGAAGGCATCTGAGCGAGTCGAAGCTCGTCGAGTAGGCTCAATATGATCTTGGGATTGGAAATCCTGGAAGCTTGCTCGAATACTAGATCTCTTTTTCTATTCGCAGCGAGAACGATGAAGGTTTAGATCGCATGTCGGACCAAACGGTGTGGGTATCTCGCAACTCCCGAAGCAAGTTTTGGAGAACTTTTGGATATCTGAAGACCGAAGGTGATCGACTCAGGACTGACCAGACACGATGGCACTATTTATTGTGCACTGGTGGTTAGCTCATACAACTACTTTTCTACCGGATTACACCTCGTTATATGTATCGCACTTATTGGGAGCTCACATCAAGGTTCCACGCATCATGTGGTGTTTTGGCGTAATGACATGTCGCTCAAATATTGCAGATCAACTTCATTGAACTCAAAGCTAGTCTTAGTCACCATCTGCTTTGAAGTTAACTAAGAGGAGACCCAAAACTTCTCAGACTTGCGCTCGCTTTGCTTTATTTGGTTGGTGCATAGGGCCCATTCTCAAGCATTCTGACAAGCTCCCAGATTTCTCACCACTAATGATAATTTAGAGACTCGGCGTCAGGCAATTCAATAACTGGGCCCAAGATGCATTTCGCCAAAATAGAGCAATTGAACGTCGGTTAAATGAGTGGTAAGTAAACAAATGATGATATACCCCAAGGAATTGTAGAAGGGTGCCTACCTAAGTCGTGGCCCATACCCGATGTCATCACTCTTAGTCATGCTTCATACCCGTCCCCACTCTCACGCATAAGAGGCTGATGGACAGACAAAACCTAAACCAATACCTGCTCTGCGGGCTCACAACACCAAGCGACAGGGCTTATTCAGACAATCGGGTGCACCAGGGAGCAGAACTTCGCCTACGCTGCGCTTATTCACAGCCACGCCGTACGCCGTGTTGAAGGACAGACGGGCCAAGGCGGGTATTTGAGTAGAAGAGGAGCGAGTATTTGAGTTCCGAAGTACGATGTCTTAGCAAGCCCAAGTTGGAGGCCAAGAGGTAGATGAAGTCTACAAGTTCGCGCCTGCCCCGCGGCATTCGAATTTCAACGTTCAAGCTTGCAGCATTTATACACGCTGATCTCGTCATGGAGAAACCCAAACTTTAGCTGAGCACATCATGAGTACCTATACTTCTAACTCATCGGGAAACATTGTGAAATCGGTAACGGGTAAGAAGATCACACGTCGACGTGATAAAATAAGCTGCATCGAATGCAATCGGAGAAAAGTCAAGGTGCGTGAGGGCTTTTCCATGTTTCGATCTCCTCTCGAGGTCACCATATATCCAGAAAGCAGCTGATACCATTCAGTGCAATCGAGAATGGCCTTGCCAACCATGTCTGGCTCGAAAGTCCGGCCACATGTGCCGATATGCTGCATCAACCTTGTCCCCTAAGACTCGGACCCAAGGAGCTCGACAGCTTCAGGACAGGAGTCCATGCGAGTTAGATGAGGCCAGGAACGATTTGGGAAGTCTAGAGTCGGAAGACAATGTAGACGAGGCCGAAATGCCTCTGGTTCTGGTAGAGAAAGGACTGTGAGTTATTTCAAGTGACTTGTGTTTGAATTGTACTGAGATTCACAAGTGCACAGTTGGGCTTATGCGACAAACCTTCCTCGACAATAAATCTAGGAAGTGGTATGAAAAGGGCACGAGCCGATATTTTGAAGTTCTTTCCAAGCAGGCAAGAAGTTGATTTTCTCATCCAACATTTCCTAGACAAGGTCAACTGGACCTATGAATATATCACTCCCGTCATATTCCTCGAGCGTTATGGAGCATGGTGGTCACAATCCAGCTACGACGGCTCAGACGATATTCTTTTCGGTACATTGATACTGCGACTGTGTACTTTCAGTTTACAGCATCTCCCAAATCCGGATTATCCTACAGATGGATTCTTGGATTATTCTGTTGATACCATGGAAGCTCGATGTGATGAGCTGGCAAGGCACTTCGATTCATACAGACCGAGGCCGCCATCAGTGATTCGAGTTCAGTACATGGTTCTACACGCAGTAACGCTAGTCACAGCTGGAGATCCAAAGGATGGCTATCAAGCTTTGCTAGAAGCCACCAAAGAAGCCCATGCCATTGATCTGTTCAACGAAGAGAGATGGCCTACACTTCACGATGCAGAAGCCGAGACGAGAAGGAAGATATTCTGGCTTCTCTACAACTGGGACAGGTAGGCATGAACTCCATTGAACGAACATATCTACCAGCGATGCTCACACCAGAACAGATTCTTCTGTGCATACTACGGCCGCTGGCCACTAATCCCAGAAGACTACTGCACCGTGACGCTACCCAGCGAGCTCCCCTACACTACAACACTCGACCCGGATATCCCCACGCAGATTACGGACAACATCCTCGGCATTAAAACCTACCAATTCGTCCGCCCCTTCATCAGCGCTCCCGCCAAAAAGCACGAGCGGCTGGATCCATTCAAAGTGGCAGAGCACGTCAAAGCCTATCAAACGCAGATCACAGACTGCTTCCCTGCCGCATTTCGCCTCATTGATCCAGATACGAGCTACGACAGTACGATCCAGAATTTGGATCTGAAGAGAATCAAACTGCATGCGCTGTCTTGGGGTGTGGTGGAGGGCATGTTACGCTGCTTTATAGGACCGAGGACTCTCAAAAGCCTACAGGCACAAGTCGCATCTCCAGATAGAGCTCGTGTTTTACTCGCGGAGGAGCACCGCCATACACTGGCAGATGCTTGCTTCAAAAGCGTGGATCTCATGCTGGACTTGCACAAGAGGATGGGCGGTGGTCAGACAAGATATTGGGCAATTCCAGCAGCTATGATTGAGTATGGAGGGGTGATGGGAGGATGCCTAATATCAGATGCTCTGATCAAGAAAAATTGGAAGAAGACTGATGGTGTTTTTCGCGCTTTTGATGAGAATAGATCGAAAATCTATATAGATGGCTTTGAAAAGGCTGTGAAGCTGTTGGGGCTTCTTGCTGAGAGATCACCACTAGCCAAAGGAGGCTTGGGCCTACTCAATAAGACGTTGTGCAAGATCAGGGGAGAGAATTTCGTCAGACCTCAAACAACATCGGACGACTGTGAAAAATATTCCACTACGACTGAAACGCCAGCTGGGAATCAGCTAGATCAGCTGGACTTTTCCCAGTATCCCGGTTATGGCGATGGCCAGGTAGCCGAAAATCAGTCCGGCACCTCGATCGCCTTTTCGTTCGGGATGTTGGAGCCTGACCCGATTATGGGTGAATGGGAAGCTGTCCCAAACATTGCAACGTCTTCGTGGTTTATAGAACACGAGACTTATGATTTTGGCATGCAATTTGGGGATGAACTTTCTTGATGGAGTTTACTTGCACGAATATATATCCGCTCTGTGTACCTTGTATAGCATAAAAATCTCAACTAACCATAACTTATTTGCACGAATCTGCAAATATTCAATAAGAAGGTGGTGGTAACCTCTCAAAATTCATCTCATTAAGCGAGTCCAATGTTTTTTGACCGTAGTATCGCTCTGTTTCAACTCACGACAAGGTACAAGCATAATAGACACTAGACTGTTTTACGTCCTTTGGCCGTGACACGATGTCTTCACCTATTGAAGTGACCTCTGTCTGTCCTGCGTATGTGTTGAGGCACCACCTCCTCCCTCTTGCTGACAGGATATACCTAAACTCCACATGAAAATCATAAACCTCCTCTAGACTCTTCCCCGCATGCGGATGTCCCTCCCCCCTCTCTGCAAACTCGCCAAACTCTCTCTCCCTCTTCCCATTACACCTATTCACCCATCAAATCAGCCCTCCCGACGTCACAACACCATACAACAAAAAGCCCAACACAATCCCATGACCCTTCACAAAGCTCGGCGGCGTATCATATTTCTTCTGCCTAATAATTTAAAAGCACTGCCCGAAAATCTCTGCCATTGCCCACGTTGTACCCCTCTTCGTAAAACCACCCGTATTAATCCCCAACCAAGAAATCAACAAAACAACACTAGGTGCCATTCCGCAAAGGAGGGCGCCGAATGTGATGACAGTCGCCTAGAGTTGTTGATGTGGGACGAAGAAACGGAGGAGGATGATTCCAGGAAGCATGAAGATGACATATCCTACGACTGTCGAGACGTATTAACCGCTGAATGCAGTAGGGAAGTGTAATGAAATGGGAGATCAATTCACAGAACATCATTAGACAGTTGTAGTACTGCTCTGGGCTCAAGTGGAGAGTTTTCTCCGGTCTTAGGAGTCGAGCATTGCCGATGCTGTTACGATCCTGGGCAGATGTGTCAATAACGTAAAACGAGGTCTTTATTTTGGAAAGCCTTACAAGATAAGCAACGAAGTAGATAAGAGCAGCAACTGGAATGATGAGACAGTCGGCTTTGAGAACTAATTGTCTTTCTGCCTTCGACTTATGGTGGAAATTGATGTTGTCCTCCGGGACATAGGCCGTAAATGGTTGTTTTTCTGGATCCATAACATTTTCAACGAATTCGCTGGCTGGCTCGGGCATGTCATATTTCCCATCAAATCGAGTCATGTTGAGATTTTTTGGCAGGAGTGGCACTTGGAATTTCGTGTACGGAGAGTGTGCGAAGTAATTTTATGTGATAGAGTGGAACTCTTCTCAATAAAATGAGGAGTGTATGACATTTATACACTGCACTTTAACCTACAAAGTGCGGGGAAATTCATGGAGAAACCTAGCGAAGACCAACCAAGAGAAATAGAGAAGAGAATGAGTCTAGAATTAAGCCCTTGGGTAATCTTTGTCCAATAATCATCAAATGTGTCTTTAGATTATGATTACTGTTGAATGCTTCGCGCCACAAATGCGAAATTGTAGATTGGTGCGGGCCGATTCCTGCCACGAACGCCGAATACCACTCCATGCAAGCAGAAGCTATCTAACTTATCGGCACTATGGAGCTTTCGAGAGACTCTCGACATGAAAGTCCACTGGAAGTTTAGCTTGAGTGCGGCAAGGGTCTGTTGACTTACCGTTACCCCGCTTGAGTTTCATAGCCTTTGTTTCTGATGTACATGAAGGCACCAAGTCCAAACAATTCAATAGCCCCTCAAATTGCTGAAGCTTTCCCTCACCCAACAAGAACAGAGAACTGCTCCTTGCATGAAGTGGTTGGCTACATCGTTCCTGGTTATGGCATTCGTCCATGGCTGGTGAGGACAGTGGGTATAGAGTCTATGGCATATTTATGGATATAACTCGCTCCAACCTGCAAATGGATAGAGATAGTAGCTGATTCTTGCAAACTTGCATAGTGAATTGTAGAACTAATTGAGACCTCAGGGTTTTTCAACCAGTAAGCATACTCTGATACATGCGGTCGAGTCATGGCTCTGAGTCCACAGCTGCGGGAAGGTCAACGGTGAAGAGTTCAATGTTCCAAACGATGAAAACGTCAGATATAATGAGAACTAAGCATTCAAACGCTTGACAATTAAAGTTCAGTCAACGACACAAAATGAAAATCGTAGGCTAGCCATGAGAACGTCCATAGTTACTGAAGGTAAAGTGACCCCTATGACTGCTGCAAGAAGCGTGCGAGAGATATGTGGAAGTCCCCTTTCTCTCATTGCAACAGAAGTCCCGGATTCCAAGACGCTAGAAGCCAAAACTAAGAATTCCAAGCTTGAATGCTCCGAAACTTCTCGACGATTTTTGAATTCTGCTGTTCCCACGATGTGAACAATAGGGGGCAGTGGGGTGGAATTTGAACCGAGGCACAAAGAAAAGCTTTGGGAACGGCGCTCGAGTGACAGGAATTTAAAATACGAGGCTAGTACTTAATTTACCAATGGAAGTCTGAGATAAGAGTGGACAGGCCAGCTTGTCGATACAGAAAAGATGAGAGGTCCAAGAGATGTCGGCACTTTCGGCAATCCTGGAGACTTTTGACAACATAAGGTCTGCAAGGTCAGCAAGGTCAGCAAGTGGCTTCTCGTTTAATCACAATTGCATACAACCGTGAATAATAAAACGTCTGCTTGGATCCGTAGAAGACTTGATCTTATATACTGAATATAAGATGTAGTTAATAAGCCATGATACTCCCATCTTCACAGCCACTTTACCATCAATCAAGGGCCTTCCAGGTAATAAAAATAAACAATACCTAGCCCCACTAAAGGAGAGGACAGTCCTCGACAACAGCCACACGTGCTTATCCCCCAATCACATGAAAAGACGTTGGCAGTTGGTCCCAGACTCCCAGTCAGTCGGGGGGGCTAATTTCCTCTCGCTGCTCGGCTACCGGGCCCATACCCCTTTCGAGCGAGTGCGGATCGATTCTTGGTCGAACCCCTTCCTTCAACACGTCAAGTCAAGTCCGCCAGCCGCCGCATCGAACAAAATCTTCCTCTGCTTCCATCTTCACCACCTCCTTCTTCGTCCCCTCTTCCAGCCGGTGATTCTTCATCGCAGATTCTAGTCACTCCTTCCACGAGCATCAACACTCGTGTTTGTTCTTCTCTTCTCTAATTGCCTCCTGCACGACTTCGCTGTTGTGCTGCGCAACGTGTCGTCCCGAGCCAATTTTTAGTTTTCTTGTCGCGTTGAGGATTTAGAAAATCTCGTGCGGACCGACTCGCCCAGTCTGTCAACTCAACGCATCTCAATTGCCCTGCAGACATACTTCATATTTCGAACAGTCCGAAGCCCATCATGTCTTCGAAAACCGCCACCGATATCCTCGCGGCTCTGCCATTGCCCAGCATAGACAGGCCTTTTGGCGTCCATCTATGGCCCATCTTCGATAAGGCCTTCAGCGCCATCAAGGGCTATTCACCGCAGGACTTCGACTTCCAGCCTCGAGTTACCCCCATGTCGACCTTGAAAGAGAGCGGATTCGCGATTCTTGCATACTACATTATAATTCTGGGTGGGAGAGAGTTGATGCGCAATCGACCAGCCTTCAAGCTGAACACCTTGTTCATGATCCACAACTTCTACCTCACCAGCATCAGCGCAATTCTCCTGGCGTTGTTCCTCGAGCAGTTGATCCCCACTCTGTACAACCATGGTCTTTTTTTCACTATCTGCGAGAAGGCTGGTGGATGGACTCCTCAACTTGTCATTCTATACTATGTGTGTTACGCCAAGCCAGAGAGGCAGATTCAAGTAGATGCTGACTTTTCTACAGCTCAACTACCTCACCAAGTACCTCGAGTTGATTGACACCGTCTTCCTTGTCTTGAAGAAGAAGCCATTGAGTATGACATACCTGTAAAGCTGGACCAGAATACATGCTAATACATTGTGAAGCCTTCCTTCACTGCTACCACCACGGCGCAACTGCCCTTCTCTGCTACACCCAATTGATCGGATTGACCTCAGTATCATGGACTGTCATCTCCCTCAACTTGTTTGTGCACGTTGTCATGTACTGGTACTATTTCCAAAGTGCGCGTGGTATTAAGATCTGGTGGAAGGAGTGGATCACCCGTCTTCAGATCACCCAGTTCGTCATTGCTCTTGGTAAGACACTTTTCCAATTTCTCCAGCTTTCAGCTATTGATTTGATACCTAGGATTCGTCTACTTTGCATCCTACACCTACTTCACCTCGACATACTTCCCATGGATGCCAAATGCGGGCAACTGCGCTGGAGAGGAGTTCGCCGCTTTCTCTGGCATTGCTGTCATCAGCTCCTACCTCGTCCTCTTCATCTCTTTCTACTTCGCAACCTACAAGAAGGATGGCAAGCGCCCAACAGGCCGCAAGGCTGCCCGCTCCCTCAAGGATGCCGAGATCCCAGACGTCGCAGCCCTTACCCACGGCAAGATCATCCCCGGATTGCAAAATGGCAACGCCAAATCTTCCGGCTCCAGCCCTAACGGTCGCACCACAAGATCCCGCAAGGCTTAGGTCTCCTTAGACCAGACAAGACATCGGCAGCACCGATACGTTTAGACGAAATGATATGACTGTGGCCATGCGAAGCAGTCTCGAAATAGATTCCTTCTACTTCTCTGTATAATGTACTTTGGGACGGAAATGGATGGGTCGATATCGCACAGCACACTACAAAGAAAGCAAGCAAGGCTCTCCCATACTACCGTCATAGAATCTGTAATGTCAACACACAAAAAACATCTGATTGAACAAGCATGAGAGCGAGGATTTGGGATTTCGCGAATAGGCGCACACACAGCAGCATAGAGATATTTCTTGGTCTTTCGAGACTTCGGGGTTCTCTTTTCTTCACACTACACTTTTCTTTTCTTTTTCTTTTTGTATTACTGTGCATGGCATGATGCATTAGACCTTTTAGGGGGTTGGGTGGTCTGGTCTGGTCTTCTGGGCTATGGCGTGGCCTGGCATGGTGTAAAGTGGAGGATGTGCGCATGCATGCGAATGGAACGAGGCATGACTGAATCAATCGATTGTTTGTTATAGGTAGTACAGGTGGCAGGTGGAACATATGTGTTGATAGAGTGGGATGGAACAGAATGGAAGCAATAATAGAGGCAATCAAAATACAGGTTGCAAACAGATCAAGCTGGAAATGTTGCAGTATATGAGGGACTGGTAAGATAACTGACCGTGAGTAAGTACTAAATTGCGATGTGAGAGAGCTCCGGTCGGCACGTGAAGTTATCGTAACTCTCCGTTCAATACGGATATTCCTATCCAACCTGATACAAGCAAACTTCGTGAGCGAGAGTTGCCGAAGGATCCCAAACTATCGCAGTGAAGTATGCTCCTACAGTATGAAACATCTAGAACAAGTAAAGTCCAAAGTAAGAACTGTCCGACAAATGCTCAATGACACAATCCCGTCTGTATAAACTTCCGATGCCTGAACCGATCATAAGATCTCCTTATCTGAATTGATATACATGTTACCGTCCGTCTGGGCTCTGGAGCAAAAGGGATATCCCTTCAAAAATTTAACACGTAGGTGCTTGTTACGTTGGGTCGGAGGTCGGAATGTAATGGATCCCCTGCATCACTCTGCATGCTTGCATTTACTTGGTATCCCGACAGCTTCAATGACGTAGCGATCTCGCTTGTCATCATTGGAACCCAACCAAACCAGGTTCTCTATTCAACCCAAGGCTGAGGTTCCATCGACCATCAAATACCCCGCCAGGACACCCCCAACAACCTACAGACAAATACATCATCTCGCAGCACACAGGTACAGATACCTGGAACTTGTTATCGATACCAGCTAGCTGTATCAAGAAAACCTTCTAGAAAAAAAAGCTTACAGAGATGGATGCACAAACAAGTTTTCCCTGGAAACTGGCATAACTTTAAGCGAGAGGGGGAGGGGTTCATGTGCGATGACATGAGACACGCTTAACAAAGCCAGCTTTGCAGGTTCGCCGAACAGCTGGAACCTGATATGCCGTCAGATATCACATTACACTGTATTACGTTCTCCCCAAGTATTCACTTCACATGCCTGCCACCAGCCCCACATCTTCTCGAGAACTGTACAGCTCTCCAGATCCCCAAATCCATGACGACCAAAAAAACAAAGTTTAGCGTGGTCCATCAACTTTGACATGACACGTTCTTCCTCCCATCCCTAGGTATGTACAGCTGCAGCTCCAAAACTACTGCACGGTATCGAGCCATTCAGAAGCCTGACATCCCATACCTCGCATCACTATCAGCGAGGTAATCTGTCAAGTCGCCGTCTGTTCGCGCCGGCTGCCGTTGCAGCTTTGCGGGAGAGCGAAGCGAAGCATCCTTGCTGGTAGATGGGAAGGTGAGGCACATGATGTTTTTGCGGTGTTTGGTGTGGCTGCGGTTCAGCTGGGTAGGTAGGTAAGGTGAAGCGAGAGTTTTGGGTGGGCTGGCACTTTGATGTGCAGCCGGTACTTACTCGTAGCTCGTCGTAGGTAAATTCTATTGCTCTGATGAATGGATTTCCTCGAATAAGAGAGTAGATCTGGACTAAATAGACAGAAAAAAGAAAGGAAGCAGGACAGAAACGCGGCTCGTTCATATTCTCTGTACCAGCCTCCTCATCCTCCCCCTCTTTGCATCCCCTGGATTTAAGAATCTCGCTTGTGAGTTCACTTGGCCTACCACTTTCCCCTCCACTTTTTCTTTCCCTACTGTACCTGTACTCCGTACTGTAATCACCAGGATCTCAGCAACTCGCAAGACAAAAGACACCGGTTCGTCGATCAAACGACGGCTGCTCTGCCGCCCAGAACGGGTGAGATATTTGATCAGCATCGGAAACAAATCAGCTTCAGCTTCGGCAGATTGGCCGAATTCGACAAGCTGGAGGATTTGAGCAACTGCAGTATCGGCCTGGGCTGACCAGACCTGAAGCTCACCAGCCAGGATGTTATTATTATTCGCGTAGTGGCAAAATAGGTCAGGCAGGTCAGGCAGGTCAGGCAGGTCAGGCAGGTCGGGCCAGCAAACAGCGGAGGATAGAGTGCGTCCCTTAGTCGCTATCTATTTATCCCAAGACCCTCAACTTCAAACAACAGGCCAGGATCGCAGCAGACAGGCTAAAAGAGGGGTTGGGCCGGCTGTGTAGAATACTAGAATAAGTGCAGAGAGCGGGAGGAACACGAGGCTGTTCAGATTCTGGTTGCAAGAAAGACCAAGAGATGCAGAAGATTTATAAAGATATCCAGTCAGCATCCAGAAGTGTTGTCTCAGACTGAGATGAGAGGCCAATGACAGCGCGCGGCTGCTGAAGAGAGTGAGGTCCCAGACTCCCAGTTTTGAGCCGTGGCGGTGGCTCGTCGGAATCCTGGAATCCTGCCGGGGTCGTTCAGTGCAGTAGTTCGTTGCCATGGATCCCTCGTCCTGCCAACACCACACCAGTCCCGCCAGTCCAACACTTGCCCGCACCACCGTTGCCAGAGCTATCATCCCGGCCATCCAGGGGCATGGCGTGTATGGCTTCTGACTGGTGCAAACTCTCACAAAAGTCACAGCCTCGAGTGAGGAAGCGAGTGGCATCGATGACAGGATTCGTGGAGAGGGGAGCTTGGGAGAGAACAGGATCAACAGGTGGCCGGTGGTGGGATGCCCTGGCCTGCCTCTGCCTCTCTCTGCCTCTGCCTCTGCCTCTTGTCCCTGGCCTGCCATGCATCCATGATGCGATCTAGAAAAAGATGCAAGTGCCAGCAGAGCAGAACAGGCCAACAGCATCCCACAGCTCTCTCTTGGTCTGCTCTCAGCATGACATGGCCCTACAAAGGTTGCGATGCCACCCTCCGTCCTGCCTAATCGGCCTACATCCTGTTTCGATTGCCATTTCTTGATACCACTCACGCAACACATCATCAGCCGCCCGGCCTGACTCTCACACACTTTACCTGCTGCCCCTTCTTCACCCGTCACAGACCTCACATAAAGACAGAGCCCCTCCCCCCTTACTCTTTTCAAACTCTTTTGCGTCGTCGTCGGCCCGCGGTCAGCAATATCAATTATTTCTGCTCTCTTGCTCTTCTGAATACGGACATCCTCTCCGCTCTCGCATAAGTATCGAAGGAGCTCGGTCCAAGGTCACTCAAAGAGGATCAACTTGAAACAACGCCGCGGTCAAGGGTCGCTTTCCCCCATCACGAACCGAACGAACCGTTTATTTTAGCTCCACTCCTGCAATAGTTATATTACATCCTCCAATCACCGCGGCACGAAACGGATCCTTCAATTCCACGTTCATACGTGAGAAAGGGGGGTTGGTACGGTGCTTTCCCAGCAATTGAGATAAACGAGATCGTGGACCCTCTCCTAATTTCCTCGTCCAAGGGGAGATTTGCCAGGGTAAAATTCATCGCGGATCAAAGAGCTTGCCAAGAGCCAGGCCCGGTATTTGTTTCAGGGGACTAAAGGAAACGGAACAGTAAGAAACGGAGAAAGGGAAAATGCCTCTTATTAGCGAAATGCCCCGGGGAAGAGAGGCGGTTGAAACGTTTTCTGATCCCTCACCTCTGCTACTCGCCAAACGAACGGAAGGCGTAAGTCTCAGTTCTGAGCAGGATCAGATTGAGGGTCAGGATCGTCATCGCGGGTACGATCACCAACACTTTGAGGAGTTCGACCAGGACGAGTGTTTGGATAGCGATATGGAAGGCTCGATATTGCATCGGCCCAGGCCGAAGAAGGTAGTCAAGACTCCAGTTCTGCCACAGAGGAGCGAGAAGAGAACTTCAAAAATCTTAGACAATGTCTTGCTGGAACTGAAGAATATCAATGGCTCTTTGGCGAAGGAGAATGATATTTCCAGGCTGGACCAGGAGGATCCTCACGAATTGTATCTGTCCAGCGAGGAAGACGCTTCACTATCAGACGACTACGAAGATACCGATTCATTACTGGATTTCGAAGAGACATATTCGGAAGACGAGAATGGAGGATCGTCATCTCGAGCTTCAAGTAGGAGGTCAGAAGAGATCACAGCGACAGCGGTATCGTTCATGGTTGTCAAGCCTCACATAGTCGAAATCCACATCCCATCCAACCACACCGCACCAGTCACACCGGCAGATGAGAAGCCCGACTCAATGGATGCTGCTCTCCCCACCATCACCACCAAAGCACCATCTCCAGCTCCTCAGGTACGACCAGCGATGCGGAGACCACCACCGCTCAACCTGCACAATGCCCGTCCAATGTCTATGGCCACAACAAGCTCTTACATCCCCTCCACTTACACACCCGCCATGACCACCAACGCCTCAATGGTAAATCTTTCTACAACAGGCTCAGTATTCAACTCAGCTCGCAAATCCTCCCGTCTCGCCTCCCTCGTAACATCCACCAAAGCCAGTCTCTCCGCCCGCACATCCTCCTTCTCAGCAAGCAGCACGCACTCGTTCCTCGACTCAGATCCCTTCGCCCAATCAAGCACACACACAAATCCACCTCTCACACCCACGGACATGTACACGCCCATCACACCCAAAACACCAACCAGCCAGTCAGCGTGGAAGAAATCCATCTCGCGGACACTGTCCAAAGCCGCACGCAAGCCAAGTCTTCAAAAGATCAATCTCGCGTATAACACCTCCCTCTCAAACACCAATACCAATTTCCAACGAGCGTCCACAATGTCCAGCTCCACAATGCCGCCCCTCTCTCGAATAACATCCAATCCCGAACCCACAACACCCAAACTCCTCGACGACAATAAGTCGTTCGACTCGAATACGGAACCCAGCGAAAGGATAATTGAAGTACCCGTCCGCCGCGCAGAGACTATGCCAGTGACGCCCAGCCCCAGAGAAGCACCAATGCAATATCAGGAGCTGATGAAGAACCGTGTGCCGCCTCCTATCCCGGAAAACACTGCACAACAGCAGCCAAGAGAGGGCAGGAAAAGCTTCAGTCTGGGCATGGGGCTGGGCAGGAAGAAGAGTCTGAAGAGATGAGTGTGGTCTGGCGTGTCCGAGACATGTCTTTGATTTGGGTGGGGGATATTGGTTTACCGAATATATCAACACGGCCATCCATGAAAGCATGAACATGGATCCATCGTTGAACTGGGCTGGCAAGCGAAAACAGCAAAGGTCCAAGCGAACCAGCGGTCTCGACGCAACGCAAGAGGCGAGAATAGGCCGAGTATTCGTTTCTTGTACAAGCGACCTTCTACCCTATCTCCTTGGGATCGAGTCCCGATATTTCTCTACCTAATTGTTTTTCTGCCATTTATTTGATTTCCAGCATCGTTTGCACGGCCTGCATATTTATCTCCGCACATCATTTTTGTCTAGCTATTTTGTCTATTTCTTGGGTATGCATGCATGGCGTACTGGTTCTTTTTGGGAGGTGGCAACGGCGTTCGATACCACATATACTCTCTATCACTCCTTATGAGGTAGATGATCTGAATGGCGATATCCTTATGTATGGTTCTGTTTGGGAATATTTTTGTAATTGAGATTGGAAGATTTTGGGCTCTGGTGAATGCCAACCCCGATGTGCTGTAGGTATGATTTGGGAGGAATGGAAAATGGAATGACAAATACAAAAGATTCCCACTACTACCTTAACTTCTTGTCTTTGGCTTGGTCGTGTACCGTGAAATGGTTCATTCAAGATGGCCTTCATGTGTTATCTTGTACAAAAGGATCAACAGCATTTCCAACTCGCAAGTGCAGTTAGCTTACCTTCCTCTGACCTCTTGGGCAGATACCTTATGAGTCTACCTAGGTAATAGCCAACCTTAGAAGAGACAGCTTGCAGCTGTTGAGACCTTTCAGTCACTGTCATTTGACAGCTCGGGGCTTAGGTGTTATCTGTCAATTTATCACTTGAAATGCACCGTCCCACTCCGACGATTCCCAGAAGCAGCCTTCTCCTTCAAGGGAAATGGGACTTGAAGCAGAAACGCAATCACGTGCTACTCACATGATCAAGCCCAGTCTCCATCCAGCAACCACGACGTCAACCATACCTCCTTCCTCCTCAAAATCCAATCCCTCAACATTCTATCTCTACACCTAGTGGTTAGAACTCTATCCACCCTGAAGCCGTAACGGGCGAAAGAAGCAATGCCACGTATATTTTATTAAAATAAAAATAATACTGAAAATTACTTAAAAGCGCTTGTGTTTCCCTTATTTTTTCAACATCAACTACGTACCTTTTCACGCACTCGCTTAAGAATGGGCCAGTCCAAACACAATACACTTGCACTTCACCTTTACCTCAGCGTTGTTCGAGAAATATATTTGGGATTGTGACGATTCTTGTATTCCTTTTCTGTTCTTTCTCCTCTTGCGCAAAGCACGGCTTTATTTTGAATTAAAGAACATCACACGAAAGTTTTTCCTCATAGAGTAGTCGCAATTATCGGATTCGAGCGTAAGACAATCACGCCTACCTTGAGTGTCGGGAGGCAGGAATCGGGTTTCAGGAATCACCTCTCCAACCATCGCGTCACGGTGAACAGTACATACCTCAAAACCAAGCTTTCCAATCTCATAGTTAACAACAGTCATGAACAACATAACTTCCATACAAGGCGCTCCATCAAGTCTTCCGAGACCGTCACGTTTCGCACAGATTAATACCCCCGTGTCGCGCATTACTCAGTCCGATATCCTGGGCCAGTGGGAGCATGATCGATTCGGTACGGTTGGTGCTGGGTCAGGCTTGAATGCGAGTAGGTGGGGAGAACATAGACAAGAGAGGAGTACAGTGTCATCGTGGCAGGCCTTTGCGCAGAGTCATACGTCAATGCCTTTACCGCCGTTGAGGGGGAGGAAATCTGGAGTTGAAGGTGTGCAGAGGAATGAGGAATTGGGAACTGGTGCTGCTGGAGTTGAAAACCGGAGATTAACAAAATTTCCTACGACACCGCCCCAGGAATACACTCGAGGACATGCAGAAGAGTCTTCATATATACCACGCCGTGTACCGACTCCACGAAGCCAGACCTGGCGCAAGAGGAAGAGCGAGATCCGCGACAGCCAGAATGGATGGAATTCAAACAGCGCACCTCAAGTCAAGAGAGCTAGTCCAGATCGATCATCGCCATTGTCTGCAGCAGTTGCTGGTGACAGAAGATCGAGCGGAGATGTTGCAAGGCGAGAAATAACTCAGCAGCCAAGAAAACCAGGTTTCGAACCTTGGGTGTCGTCTCGAACGCGTGGACACATTGTTGCTCCTAACGGAATACCGATCATACCAAATGGTTCTCAGCCGGGGAAATCATTTCCTCGACACCAACAGTCCACGAGCACACCACATCAAGTGATTGCGCAGAATATACCAGACTCGGTGCCAGAGAGACAGCCTGTGAAGTCAATACTAAGCCCTCAACAACGACATCCCAGCTGTCATCCATGGAAAACATCAACCGCCACTCCATCAACACTAGCCCCTGCCGACACATCCACGGCAACGAGCCCTTCGAAGTCTCGAGCCAAGACTACCGATGACATTGCTCGCAGACTGATATTTGCTGGTATTGGAGCCGGTCGAGCGCCTAAACGGACAGAAGAGGAGCTGAGAAAGAGACACGAAGAACAAGAGAGACGGCGTATTCAGCGAGAAGAGAGAGAAAACATGGGGAAAGATGAGGTGATGAAGTGGTGTGGTCTTGAAAATGTGAAGTCTGAAGTGAACCCATTTGAACAGGCCGTTGTTAAGAAGAGTTTGATAAGGTCTTCTACGACGATGGAGATTGTAGTAAAGGAGCTGACTAGATTCAATGGTAAAGAGATCCAGTGGTAGATGATGAGGATCGGACTTGGCTGGTCAGAGGACAGCAGTCTTGACGAGTATATCCGTGCTGGTAGGGCTCGAGGATCCGCTGTGAAGACCTATTGCTTTGAAGGTTCTGTGAGATAGCTTTGATCGATCCTTATGGATATGCCTTTGTATTGGCAGGATACAATAGCGGCAAAGGTTTTTTGAACTATCGAGAAGAAATTGGATATCTCGTAAAATCCATTACAAATTGACTTATCTTGAGTTGCAATTTGTCCTTTGTGCTGAAATGATCGAACCTACTAAGGGACCACAAATAACACCCAATCTCCTCCATATTTCCCTGACACAAAGTACAATTTCGAGGTCCCAAAACTCGGAATTTCATATGCTGTCTGTCGTTGTTGTGGTCGTCCCAAATAATCGGAAGCGCACCAGCCACATTCCATATCTCCACAAAAGCACGTGCAACACACAACCACCCCTGCCCACGAGCCACGAAATTCGCTTAACGGCGCACAGCCTCCCACACTGAAAGTTGCCGGTAATTTTTCTCCCTAACGTCGTTTCGCTGGCTCTGATCAACGACAAACCTCTCTCGACAACTACGACACCGACGACAACCCCGCCATTTCTCCCACAAACCGTCGAGATGGCATCCCGTCCTACAGTCACCATCTTGTCCGCCGATGGCTCTGCCAGCGGCGCGACTCACCCTTTGCCAAAGGTATGGACGATTTTCTTTTGATGTGATGGTGTGAGCTTGGGATTTGTGGGAGGCAGGAATATTGGATACCGGATGGAGAGAGGGAATTGAAAGGGAAAAGAAATACATTGCGCACGAGTGAACCGCTGAGAGAGGGCACGTCAAGTGGGGATTAATTGGGGGATTGGGCTTGCGACCGAATTCCTCGTGGAGAGGTTTCGAATTCTGGGATTGGGATCGCGCAACGATTTGAGCACTGCACAGAATGATACTGATTGAGTGGAATACAGGTCTTCACCTCGCCTATCCGACCGGATATCGTTCAGACAGTCCACACAGGAATGGCCAAGAACAAGAGACAGCCATACGCCGTCAGCGAGAAGGCTGGTCACCAAACCTCTGCTGAGTCCTGGGGAACTGGTTAGTACACCTTTTTCCCGTGCCAACTGTGGCCATTTCCTCCGGTATCGAACTTCAGCCCATATATAATTGAGGAGTGTTTGGAGATGGGTATTGGCTTGGTTGTCATACTTGATATGGATCTCTACGACATAGCAAGATTGGCGCAAGATGTGATGAAGGATCTGGCTAATTGAGATCCAGGTCGTGCTGTTGCCCGTATTCCCCGTGTCTCTGGAGGAGGAACCCACCGTGCTGGACAGGCTGCTTTCGGTAACATGTGCAGATCTGGTCGCATGTTCGCTCCTACCAAGGTCTGGAGAAAGTGGCACCAGAAGATCAACCTCGGACAAAAGTGAGTGCTACAACTCAAATCTCCAAAGTCTTGGATTCAAAATGCTGATATCATTCTCACAGGCGATACGCCGTTGCTTCTGCCTTGGCTGCTTCTTCCGTCCCGGCTCTCCTTTTGGCCCGTGGTCACCAAGTCTCCACCGTCCCAGAGGTTCCTTTGGTCATCAACTCCGAGGTCTTCGCCGCTGGAGCCATTGCCCGCACATCCTCTGCCGTCGGTCTCTTGAAGTCAGTCGGTGCCTCCGCAGACGTTGCCAAGGTCAAGAACTCCCGCAAGCTCCGCGCAGGTAAGGGTAAGCTCCGTGGCCGCCGTCACCGTCAACGCCGTGGACCTCTCGTCGTCTACGACCCAGAGGTCGACGGAAAGGAGCTCTCCCTCGCTTTCCGCAACATCTCCGGTGTCGAGACCTCCTCCGTCTTCGCCCTGAACCTCCTCCAGCTCGCCCCAGGTGGCCACCTCGGTCGCTTCATCATCTGGACCTCCGCCGCCTTCAAGGCCCTCGATACCATCTACGGCTCGACCACCTCCCCATCTGACCTGAAGAAGGACTTCCTCCTCCCATCCCCAGTCGTCCAACAAGCAGATATCGGCCGTCTCATCAACTCCTCCGAGCTGCAATCCGTCATCCGCGCCGCCATCGGTCAGGCACGCACCAAGCGCGCCGGTGTTCAGAAGAAGAACCCGCTCCACAACAAGCAGGTCCTCCTCCGTCTGAACCCATACGCCGCTGGCTACAGCAAGGACAAGATCGGCACGAAGGGTCTGGATGCTGGCAAGCCGGAGCGTGCTGCCAAGACTCCTTTCGCAGCTGTTCTCAAGGAGGATTAGATTTCTGGTCTTGGCTTGTAGTTCAGTTCGGCGGGGGCGTTTGTGCTTTTTATTTTCTCACTCAGAAAAGGGCAGGGAATTGGAATGAATTGGCTGTGTGAGCGTGGACTCGTATGAAGGTCTTCGTCTGCATGGCTGCTGTGGCTGCTTACATACAAAGTAATGAACAGTCGCAATGATCACCCAAAAAAAAACCACCATGTTCTCCGTAATGAGACCGTGATAGGGATGCCTTTGATCCGAAGGTAAGCTCAAATGTTCAATTGGAATGTAGAGTTTTCCCTGTCACCCGCCGCATCAGCTTCAGACGCTTTCTCGTGAAGGTTTTAGAAAGAAGACGCTGGCTCTTGCAAATTGACTCTTGATCACACAATGCCTAACACATTGAACCCATCCAAAGGCTTGACTCCAAAAACAACAATTTTGCTCTTGCAAATTTGAATGCTTCTACCTCCCTTCCGGAGACTCATAGGGAGGAAGCTGAGTGTCCCTGCCAAGACCAGAGGATTGGATTCTTGTTAAAAGCCAGGATTGGTTATGACCACGACCTTGAAGATATCCCATGCTGTATTTCTAGTTTCGGAACGAGAACATTTGCCGTCTCTGCACATATCTTGTTCAACTTTCCAACTTTTTTGGGGAGGGGAGGGGGGGGGCCCGAGGGGGGGGGGGCTGGCCCGTCAATTATCACAACACTGACACACATCGCACCTCACCACATCCAATCCACAAGCCGCAAACGGCAAATCGTAGTATGTGCATTGTGTGACTGCTGCTATGTAACATTAACAAGACAATCTGTCCACCAAACGACCCCAAGCTCCCGCTCTCGCCCACTCTGCTGCCTCCGCAGAGAAGATGCAAGTAGCAGCTAGACCAATGCAGTATGTCATCGCAAAACAAAGGGCAACGCCAAAACACAGGAGCAGGCAAGCAGACGCATGTAGATGATGATCTGCCTGTATCCATGGACGGTCGTCATCCTAACTATAGTCCTGGAAACGCTCACCAATTCTCTATCCTAGTCTATGCATCTCACCCCGGGTCATTGCAAATGTTGACCCCATCTCTCTCTCGGCGGTGGCGGCGGTAATGAATTTGGGAACAAGGCATCACCAAAGTTACCACCAGCTATAGGACCTGGACCACCCGTGATCCTCACATCTCCAGGTGCAGGACTATTGCCTCTACTGCCACCCTGTAGAACTCTGCTAATCGGTCTAGGACCTGGCGAGTTCTGGTTCTGGTTACCCATTCTCGGACTCTGGGGCACACTGGTTCCTCTTGTACCTCTCCGGCCATTTGTCACAGCCATCAGTTCTTGCTGCTTCTTGTCGTAGTCTCGCTCAAGGTCTTTCAACCGGGCCCTAAGCTCGGCATTTTCTTGACGGAGCTCGGCGTTCTCGTTCATGGACTGAATCTCCTGGATGCGAACTTTATCAAAAGCAGCTTTCTCCCGGAAGGCATCGACTTCTGTCTGGAGGCGGGATAATTCAGCCTGCTGCTCAGCAGCGCTGGATGACGAAGTTTGGAAAGTGCTCCGAATGTAATCGAGGTCATTGGTGGCATTGACATAACGCTTATGTTCTCGCTCATTCTCTAGTTTTGACTTTGCGAGCTCATCTCTCAATGTAGCTAATTCGGCAGCTTCAGGAACGGCGGAGGTTCTTAAGGCAGTCTCGGCCGCAGAGAGCTTATCTTCGAGCTCCAGATTTTTCTCGCGCAATTTGATGACTTCTGCATCCTTATTGTCGCGTTCCTTCTTCATTTTCATTTCGCGAGCCATTGATAAGTTGTTCTGATGTTCAAAGTCGCCTCTATCGTTCAGAGCTTCTTGATATTTAGGTTGGATGCTTGCCATGCTATCTTCGTAGCTTCTACACCGAGACTCGAGGTCCTGATTGATTTCTCGCAATTCCAATTCCTTGGCACACTTTACACGTAATTGAGACTCTAAATTGCGGACCTACTTTTGTTAGAAGGTATACTGACTTTCAGTGTTCGGCTTACCTTTTCGAGAAGTGAAGAGATCTGCCCACTCTCATCCTCTGTCGAGCTCACAAATGGTTTGGTTGCTATGGGTGTTGATGATCCGCGGAGCACAGTCTCACTGATGTGTGAACTGTCCATCTCGCTATTATTAGGCGTTAAGCGCTGTCTCTTCTCCGCACCAATGGATTCTTCCAGGTCCTGCTCTGTTAATATACGTATATGGTAAGAGGAATATCAACTTACCAACATGCGTTTTATCCCTGATTGGGTGTTTGCAGCAAATGATGTCGCAGATTGCTCTTCAGAGGAATTCTGGCTGTTGAGAAGACTCAGATCAATATTTGTGATATCCGGCATCGGAAGCAAAGGCCAGGAATCTTCTCCTGGTCCAACAATGAGATACTCAGCGACCTTATTAGCTGCACCAGGTGGGTCATAATAGCCATCACTGTCGAAAGTGCCTACTCTCCCCATCAGCTGGCATACACAGCTGGCTACCCTGCTCATTCGTGCAACTGCGTTAAGCTTGTCATCAAAGCACCTGTTGACGTGCTCAAAGGAGTTGGTCACAACCAAAGATATCACTGGTGCCAGCTGATCCGGAAACGAAGGCTGTGTCCGCAACTGCTTAAGGTATGGAAGTGTTCGATAACTAGAATCAAGAGCGATGACAGCTGAAGCCGGATCCACGGCAAATTGCTGTGTTCCAGCAGGATATATTGTGACTCGAAACTGCCTTGCGCTGTTCGTTCTCTGTTGATCGGCTCGCGAATAGTTGATGCCATGGTACATTAACAACGCCTCTAGCTCATTCATGATCTGATCAGGTTGAGCTATAATGACAATATGCTTGTCGGTTGCTGCCATAAGCTCCAAGAGCTCTGCTAAGAAGATGAACTTTGTGCTGACATTCTCAGCCCACTTAGCCTGTATCTCATGATTCTCATTCTGACTGTGTTCTTCGTCGAGTAATCCTGGATGACTGCAGATAGTCTGTAACATCTGCAATAACGAGTTCACCTCTGCAACCAAGCCGTCGTTTAAGATTTCATCTCCGAGGAAAGATTGAAGCGAGTCTCTGTATATCCTTATGCGGCGAACATAGATATCTCGAGTATAACTTGTCATAGAAAGCGGCACTTCGTACTCAGCACGTCCAAGAGGCAAGACGCTCAAATTGATCAGTTCTTCTTCTTCCTCGTCTTCTTCAGGGTCTGCAACAGGTTCCATGTTTGCTGGCGTTTGAGAAGGTACAACCCCTTCAGCAAGGGCAGGCGCTTCTAGAACAGAGGCGGTAGCTATAGAAGGGTCGCTGACTGGTGCTACAGGAGATTCGAAGAGAGGCACTGCAGGAGGTGCAGGCGAGGGGTCAACTGGTTGAACAGGTAATGTCCGATTCATCGCAACAGCACTTTGGTTCGAGTGGACCAGGCCAGGAGCAGGTGAGTTTGAAATAGAAGCAGCTGCTCGTGCAGCTCTTGCCTCTGCCATTTTCGCCTTGAGGATATCCGTCGCGTTTGGGGCTTGCATCTTGGCTTGATCCGAGACAACTGCAGCTGGACCATCTGCTTCCTCCATGCTTGTGGATGAGTGTATTGGAGGAGGATACTTGATATCCAACGGCTCAAAGTCTTCGACACTCGGTCTTACGGCTTCAGCCGGAGGGCTAGGAAGATGGCTCGATGCTTGACTATGCCCTGATCCCTTTGAGCTTGTCGAATTTTGAGTATCCCCAAGCTGGAGAACAGGCACCTCCGGAAAACTTTCGTCTTCTGGCGAAGCAATCTGGATAGGATCCTCCCGTGTTCCACTAGCACTACTCAAGTGGATTTGACTTAAGAATCCTTGACTCGGAGTGTGAGTTTGAGCTTGAGTTTCAATTAAATCCTTGAATTCCTGCCAGTCGGCGGAGCTTGGGGAGGATAATAGATCCGGCTGCTGATCTAATATTTGCTTAGTTGGACTGTCGTCGTCTTCTCTAGCCGGTTCGACTTCTTCACTAGGCGAACGGATATCGCGTCTGTTTTCCAGATCGTGCTCTATAGAACCACTAAACGGCAGTAGCTCGTCACGGGAATCCTCGTTGCAACTGATCTGTGGCAGCTGAGTCTGAAACCCAATACTCAGATCCTCCTCGATCGATTTCGCTGGGGATTGTGAAAGCACTTGGGGCTGGAATAAGATAGAACTCGCAATCTCAGCTGGAGGCCCAGCTGCTTCGTCAAGAAATTGATTAGCTGACTCTGGGAGGTGAGGATTACTCGAAATCGCGTCTAAAAAGTGTGAGCTTTGAGTAGGTGTACTTAGTACTTGTGCGGACGTTGGTTCGGGAGTTTGAGTGTAACCTTCGTGGTCAAAGGCACTTGCACGCTGAGCAAATTGGCTTTCAATGCTCCCAGAGTCTTGTTGCTTGCTCGAAGAAGTGAAAACCTGGCTGTTTCGGGACTCGATTGCCTCAAGCGACGCTTCTGTATCAGTATGCGTATTCCGCCTTGTTGTAGTGTTGGATGAAGAGTCGGGTCTGGATGTGGAGGTTCCCGAAGGTTTGTATGACGAAGAGCCTCGAGGCTCTTGAGAGTCAGGGACTTCTAGTGGTTCTTCCTGTTCCTCGTCTTCAATATCCGAATCCCAAATGAATGGTGCTTGTGACGAACGACGTATCACAGGAGAAGACGATTGGATGGGGTCACTGGGTACCTCTGGAGTACGTGAAGTCCTGGAGAACCGATTGTCCTCAAATAGAAATTCCTCGCCCTGGGTGTCCTTGTTCCAGCTATTTGGAGATGGGGATAGCTGACGGGCTTGCGGAGCGGAAGAGGAGTGTGATAGACCGCTTTCGTCTGTGACCCTTGGTCGTACAGATCTCTGGTGTTCCTGAGATTGGGCGAGATCACTTGAGAAGTCTCTACGGGGTTCAAGTGCTTCCAAGGAGGAGCTGAAGTTATAAGTGGTGTATGCGCTTGGATCAAAGTCTTTAGGAGCGCCAATTTCCACGAGAGCTTGTAGTTCGGGAAGCTGGCCTTCGCCCTCGCCCTCGCCCTCGGCTGCGCCGTCTTGCGAGTCTACGTGCGTTGTCTGTAGATTTCCTCGCTCTTCCTCGTAACTATCAGGGATCTCTGGTTTATCGTCCTCGACTTCGTGCTCCTGTATTATCGCTTGTGCTGCTTGTGATTCTGCAGAAGGTTCTGGGCTAGCGTGCCGGGCTCTCTTTGCAGCGACTTCTGCCCTGGATACCAATTTCCGCTTTCTTGACCGGACCGGCCGACTGTCTGTAGGAGACTCGGGTTCGAGAGCAGGCAGGGAGCTGGTCTCGCCGCGAGGTGGTGTGCTGTCTTTCGGTCTGTTCTGCCACTCTGCAATTGCTGGAAGGGTAACTCCTGAATGGTGCACCTAAAGCCCCCATTTAGTAATTTAAAAAAAGTCTGGAGTTCGGTCCAACTCACCCACTCGTAGGGGTAGGATTCACCAGTGACTTTGTTGTCTTCCCAGTCCACTAGATACCAAGTCTCTCCGTCGCGCTCTTCCTGATCCACGATGCGCTTGATCTCCCAGAAATCATCTGTACCCTCTACTTTCTGGGTCTTCTTCTTTTTCTTGTCTTTCTCTGCCTGCCGCTTCTTCTCTGAGCTACGCGGGCTGGAGGATGGTGGTTGAGATAAAGAACTGCGCGGTGTTCTGGTTCGGGTCGACCTTTTACTCGATTCTCCTACGCGTCCAGGCATGTCGATGCGATACATAGCGGGATATGTGCAGTTGAGATTGCGGCCATAATGTAAAGGAGACAAGATGGGGGTAAAAATATGTATAAGAAAAGAAGGCCAGTTTCTTCAGTGACTAACAATCAGTAAAATCCTGTCCTCCAATGGGGCGGTTATTATGCTGCTTCTGCTTGACTCTCTCGTGGTTGCGCCAGGTGGTCGTTGTCGTCTGCCGTAGTCACCTTTGCTTTAAATAACCCCGCGCTTCAGGAAGTCCGACTCTGAACGCTGGGCAAAGCTTTGGGAACTGTAGGGTTTGAGCTTCGCAAAGCTGGGTATGAAAGTGGATGATTGACCCTGAAAAAATGATCTAGGGCTTTAGAAGTAGCTCAAGTAAGAGCCACCGAAAAACCTCGGAGTCAGTGGTGTGTTTGCGTGGGTAGTTGGTGATTCCGCAAAGCATGTACGTGTTGTTTGGGTGAGTAAAGCGGTGGTTAGATGCCACGTAAGAGGGTTGTCATATCAACTACTGCTTCATTCACTGCTTGATATTTGTAAAATAGAAGAGCAAGAGCTCAGGGCAGGAGAAGCATCGGAAGGAGCACTTTCTTCTCTTGGAGGAAGACGAGCTGAGGAGCTGGTAGACATGCAAGCCACGATCCACTGCTAAGTGGTAGCAAACAAAGTTGGGTGGGTCGCGGTCTTGTGTTTTCTTTTTCTTGAACAGATCCTCAACCAAGCCCTTTAATTTGGTTCGAATCCCTGTACTTAAGGGGCCTTCTGCTCCACAGATAGGCGAGTGCTATCCTACAATTCTTTCACGAATTGCTGCTACGAGACCGAGATGTGTAAATACCAGTGAGTGTGGAGGATATTGCTGCTCGGTCTCGCTTTGCTTTACCAACTTCACTTTAGCATTCACGAAGGCCGGCTTTCTCTCAAGAACAGTTGGAAGTGAGAGCTGTAATCAATCTAGAAATGCGTCTTGAATATCATCTTTGGAACAGTTACTGTAGTAGAATGCAGCCTTGGGCAACGCAATGCAAATTTTGATGTTGATGTTCGAAAATCACAAGCGAGCTGACCGCTGATAAGCAAAAACCTCGAGCTAGCTGAGCAATAACAAACGCGAGGAGTTGAGAATGCAAAGTAGGCAGGAAATCTCGCATATCGATTTAAACAACTAGTCATGGCATATGATCAAGAACCCATGTCTCCAGCTAGCTCTAGTCCAAACATCCCCTAAGCACTTGCAAACACCTTCTCCAACTCCAACAATCTCCTGGCCGCATCCCCAAAAGTCTGTTCCGGCGTTCTGGGCTTAAGACCCAGCTTCTCATTCCACTCCTCCACATCGTCAGAGTTCAGTACCTTCTCTTCCTCGGTCCCATCCTTCGGCAGTCTGCCTTTGAGTTCCGGCACAGTTTTGAGGGCATCAACGGCGATTTGAGAACTGTACTTATTGCCACCGACCATGAAACGTTTGTTTGCTACAGCTGGGACGGTAAGTGAGAGGATATGTGCTGTGGCGAGGTCGCGGACGTCGATCTGTTGCTGGTATCAGCTTGGATATTCAAGATTATAAAGATAGGCTGGAAATTGTGTATTGACTTGAGGCAAACGTACGTAAGATGGGAAACTTGTGTCCGGAACAACTTCATACGTCCCATTGAAAAGACTGTAGAACACATCGCTCGAATAATTGATCTTTTTCAGACTAGTGACAGGCTGGATTGGAGGTCCAAAGATCAGAGCAGGGAGAAGAACGGAGACAGTGTAAAATGGGTTGTTTTCTTCGACGTATTTCCAAATTGCCTTTTCAGACTCGGCTTTAGCAACGCAGTAGCTGATGTAAGGATGGTTGGCAGCAATGGCGTCGTCGATGGAGACCTGGCATCTGTGAGTTCTTTTCCACTGAATATGATGTCTCGAATAGCGACTTACTGGTAGCCACTCACTACTGTTGAATGACCTTGCTGCAATGTCCATACCAGTGGTCATTGCATTGACCGATCCAGTAACAGCGATAGCCTTGATGTCCTTTCCATATTTGCTGGCGCTCTTCAACAACTCAACAGCTCTGCGTACACAACAAGTCAGTTCCATGTACCAATAATCGATCGCCTCTGAAGTACCGAGAGAAACTCACCCATTAACACTCGGCACCAAAAAATCCCTTTTGAAATCTGTATTTCCAGGATCATCCAATAGTGGCGCCGCCGTGTGAACGACGTAGTCGAAATTACCCCCTTTGATAGCCTCATCCCAAACTCCAGCCTTGGCATAGTCGGACACGACAGTGAAGGTTAGCTTGACGGCATATTCTGGGTGTGTAGCGAGGATCTGTTCGCCTTTGGCGACTGAGCGCACGCTGCCGGTGACTTGGTGGCCGGCAGCGATCAGTTGGTCAATGACGTGTGCGGCGACAAAGCCGTTCGCACCTGTTACGAGGGTATTGGGCATTTTCGATGTCGAAAGTCTGATGCTTGGCTGTATGCTGAAGATATGGTGGTGTAGTTGAAGGTGTTTGTTGACTGTGTTTGCCTAGCTTGGATGTAACCGAGATGTGATGTGAATTCTTGAGGTCGTAAGTTGGATGGTATTGGCTGAGGGATTGATGTCAGAGAACTGAAGATGAATGTGAACTATGAATGTAAGAGAGTCACCCCATCAGCTTTGATGCTGCCCTTCATATACATTTCCCCCCTAGCACGAAAATCACAAATGAGTCCCCTTATCTCAAAGTCTCACGATCACATATTGCACCCATTCTCAAGCGCACGGCGCATCCCCGATTTCTAAGCCGTCCACATTAGGAAAACGCTATAGCACGCAAGGAGCAGCAAACAAGCTCCCGCACGCGCATAGCCAATGCTGACAAGTTTTCAGGGGATCGTGGAACTAAATGGCGTCCTTGGCATGCAGTCCTTCGCTGACAAATGGAATCAGGGGCTTCTTCTGAAGCTGCGATGTCGCGGGGTTGGAGCCAATCACTTGATGGGAGCTATAGAAGTCATGGTTTTCGATCAGGTTTGCTGGTTCGGGTCGTCAAGATTGTATTAATTGTATGCAGTAACACACCAGACTTGTGCCTAAGTGCAAGGCATCATGTCTCTTGCATGCCGATGCGCCAAAGCCACGAAGTCCTCATCATGGCGCTATGAATATCTACCTCACACCGTAAATGCTCCTTCCGATTTTAGAAATACAGTTGCCTTACAACGCCTTGCTATGCTTTTTCCCCGCCGCCCTTCCAGCAGTACCCTTATCACCATTCGCCCGAGCAATTTTTGCTTGAGCTACGCCGTCTAAGCTTGCGTACCAGTTCCTGAGTTGCGAAACGTGATTCTTCTCTGCCTCTCCATACTCTACGGGAGGTCCACGAACCTCCACTTCATCATCGTCCTTGAACACCGCCCAACTGCTGGCATCTTCTTGAGTCGAACGTAAGGCAAAGGCCGGTCCTCCACCCCGACTCTGCACAGACATGACCAAGAAGTTTCGGAGAAGGATACCATCGCCTGCTTTGACAATTGGCAGAGCATCTTTGTATGGCCGGAATACCTGGACTTCTGTAACGCTGCTTGGTGCTATGGATGGATCTGTGATGTTGAATGTGATTTGATATTGTCTCGGACCATTCTTTGCTCGTTGCGGTTCCGGTGGGGTCGTTGTAGCAACAGCAAGGAAGTCCAACTTTTGCGTGAGGTGAAATCGAATGACTTTCAGGCCAGTGAATTCGCTGAAATCTGTCCGAAGGGCTCGCGTCAGTCTCAGCTTCAGGTCAGCGACTGGGAGCTTTCGAAGATTATGCTGAGGTGGCGAAGATGCGTCGGAAGACTCAAGGGCAAATTCGAGACTCGCATCGTGACCTTTTGGTGTTGCTTGATTGTCAATTACCACCAAAGGGGACTGGTCATTGTCGGAACTCGCTGATGGTGGTACACGAGACTTTGCAGGTGTGACTGGTCGTGCATTTTCCTTCGTGTTTTTCACGCTAGATTCGATTTTCGCTGGGGATATCGGAACGCTGCTCTGTCGGACGTTTGCGATTACAGTCTTGTTGGGCGTTACTGGACGGATATTCTCCTTCACGTTCGCAGCAGCTTTGAATGTCGGATTTGTGCGCCTCGTGCTTCGTCTGGGACTCTCGACCTGGATTTCGGACGTGTCTGCGGCATCGTTTCCATGCTCACTATCTGGCTGTGACCTCGAATCGGCAGCGTCATCAGGTGACTGCATTTTGTCGTGGCTCGAAACGATTTGGTCCTCCATGGTGACAGTATGTGCTGTTTCAGTCAAAACAGTAGTATCCTCACCCTCGTCTGCGCCACTGGCCTTTCCATCCACCTGAACAGCCTCCTGGGATTCTTCTTCTTCGATACTCTCTTCGCAGCCAGTATTCTCCCTTGTCTGAACAACTTCGTTGATCCGAGTGACTTTTTCGGCGTGGATTTCAGTTTGGAGATTGCCCATCTCATCTGTCCCCTTAGTCACTTCCACGGTTGTCGTAATGGTCGTCGTGGAAGTTTGTACATCTGGCATAGGCGATGGTTCAGTCACGACTAAGCCGGGCTCTGCAGCATCCTCTGCTTCATCTCCAATGACTAGTGCTTTTTCGGGTCGATCGAGATGCATATTACCAGGAGCAGAAGTCATGGGCTGCTCTGTACCGTTCATCGAGGAGAAAGAACTTTCCAAGGACACGGTTTTGTGCGATGTCTGAGTATCTTCCGGCGTTGGGAGCTGCGCATTAACATGCTCAGTCGAAGCTCCGGTAAATACTTGCTGGAGGCGAATAGAAGATGGCAGTACTGCCTCTTCTCTGGACATAGAGCGGTATGATGCTCCAAAACGTGGCTCGTCGTTCGCTCCGTCTAAGCTGAACACCCGGGAGAACAAAGATGGTCTTTCTGGTATTGCATCGGAAAGGGACTGGTCAGTTGTGACCGCCATCACGGGACTATCAGCATTCAAACCGGTTGGCTTTGGATCAGGCGGAATGCTAATTCGGTCAGCGCCATCCGGATTGCTGTCCTCGTCTATGTCAGCCATTCCTGTGCTGCGATCTTCCATGCCTTCATTTCCACCCATGGACTTGTCTCCTGCGAGAATCATCGATGGCTCCTCGGAGACAATATCCTCATTCTCGTCCTCATTGTCGTGTTCGTTCAAACTATCGTCTAATTCCGGGTCAATGTTGCTATCCAATTTGTCATTAGGAGAAGCCGAGTCCCGACGTAATTCGTCCTCAGGTATATCGTCTTCATACACAGCATCTTCATCTTCGTCTTCATCTTCGCCTTCTGCCTCAACTTCGTCTCCAGACGCTGACGACGAGTACTCTGCTTCCGGACCAAGTATCGAGGTCTTAATCTCAGCTCGCTCGGAATATGGGATTTCTTCGTCCCCAAGCTCGCTTTCGCCCCCACTGTCCCCAGTGTCGACATCAGGCATTGGAGAATCGCTTGCATGCCGACTTGAACCGGATCTATGAGAATTTACAGCCGGAGCAGGAGCTTTTGCTGGCATTTCGTCCTCATCATCGGAAGACAGCAAATCAATGACTTCAGGCTCTTGTCGTGCTCGAGGCTCTGGAAGCTCATCATAGCCCATTTCTTCCTCTTCTTCATCGTAGCTCTCTTCCTCTTCGTCAAAACTGCCTTCTTCATCCTGGTCCAAATCCTCAATATTTTCTTCGTCGTCCACGTCCGACCCAAATGCAGAAGGTGGCTTGGCATATACTCCCTGACCTTCTTCTTCTTCTTCTTCTTCCTCTTCAAAATCACCCTCGCCATCAGCCCCGGAATCGGGATCTTCATCTTCGTCTTCGTATTCTCGTCGGGCAATCGGTTGGTGACTCCCAAGTTCTTCATCTTCAAAGTCACCATCCTCTGCATCGCCCTCGAGTCGGTCATGAGCAAAGTTCCCCTTGTGTTGCTCCGCCGAGCTTCCTTCAGCCGAGCCGCCCTCGTCAGACTCATCGTACTCGTCTCTAGATTGGTGCAAATGAGACACTGGATCTGCTTCGTCGTCACTCTCCGTCAAATCAACTACGGCCGATTGAGCACTTTGAGACCGTGACATTGGAGTAGCATGAGACGGTAGAGGGTTATATTGAGTAGCATAATCAGTCGATCCAGACGGCTCAGGATATACAACCGAGCTAGCAAGCCAGCCTGAAGGGGCCTGTCCTAATAGACCATTGTCCAAATCTGGATAGGGGGTACGGTGCATTCCAGCATCAGTCGCGAGCGAGTCTCCGTTTCCTTGGTGAATTACTTCGCCTTCATAGAACCTGTCCCCGTGGGTACCCTCCATGAAGATCTCGTTTCGGGAAGGGGATGCAGCATTACTTAGCTGCGCTCCTGCACTTTGCCAGTGGCCGTACTGATTTTCTGCGGCGAATTGACTGTCAATTATTGAGTTCTCCGCGTGGTCGGTGGCGCCCATAGACTCGTTAAAGCGTAGAACACCAGATTCTGGTCGTTCAAGATATCCAGCAGGGCTCGCACTGTAAATGTCCTCAATTTCAAGATCGGCAGAAGCTTCCTTGTTTGACTGGATGATCACTTCGTTGTTCAATATCAGTGGTTGCCCGACTGTCTTCTCTCCTGCCTGGCTATTGGCCGCTCCATCATGAGAAAACACTGGCTGTCTCCTGTCTACTTGGACATCATCAGTCTGCCGTGAGAATAGGTTGCTCTTTGTTGACAAGAGTGGTGAAACCAATGACAGAGCATCCGAAGGTATGGGTTGCAATCGCGGCGATTTGGGGATTTCAGGCTCAACTTCATGGTCGTCGAACTGGTGGGTGATTGCTTCTGTCCGCATCACAGGTAAGGCTGGCTCGCTGGCGCGATTTTCTAGGAAGGATACAAATGAATGCTGCTGGCCGAAAGACGACAATCCGTTGACAACTGGGTACGCTGCACCCCCAACATTTATCGCCTGCCTCGAAAGATCTGCTAGTGCTTGTGCTACATCCTCCGTTGCATTATTGCTGCCGAGATCGACAGTTTGACAGCCTTCGTCTGCCATCGTAGGTGCTGATTTCTGGGCAGGCTCGGGAGATGTATCCATGGACTCGACTTCTGGGTCCGTCACTTCGGGGGATGGGGATCGACTAGTATATCTCCAGGTCGTACTGAGTCGGGTTCTCTTCCTTCCTTTTCCCGGCACCGAGCCATCGTCCTCTGCAAATGGGTCTATTTCGAAGAGGGACCCATATGATGTTCTCGCACGCTTGATAAAGGCTGGAGACGACCATTCGTCGCCAATTTTTGACCCAATAGCTGGTCGATTTACGGATGGAGTGCTCGTCGGTAGATTCAGGTGTTCGGGTTCTGGAGTCGGTATTCGGGCAGGAGCAGGAGCAGGAGTAGCCGCAGGTTCTTCTAGAACCGGATGGTCGATGTTGATTTTCTTGATTTCTCCAGAGTCTTCTTGCTTGAACTAAGTCATCTTGTTAGCAGCTACCGAGCCATCATGGCGCCGTAGACCCAACCTGCAATAATAATCTCTCAGTGAACCTCAGCTCATACTCGATACCCCTTCCTGGAGTAAGTACTGTGTCATCGTCGGACACCCACTCCACCCCATCCAAACATACAATAACCTCGTCCCCACTGGCAATCCCGGATGCTGCAATAGCCTTTGCACTCGAGCCTGAGAATCGAACACGGACTTGGCCTCTCGTACGCCGCAAACGAAAATCCGGTTCAGAGAGCAGAAAGGCCACAGACCCCGTCGCAGAGCTGTATGGCCAAGTCAAAGTGACTACTGCCCTGATTGCCGTCGTAGCAGGCGTTGAGAGTCCAGGATTGAGCTGTGCGATAGGAATGTGTTCGGTGCTTTCGAGCGCAAGGGCTCCATTCGTCTCCCCCGCCATGTTCACCTTCGATGAGATGGACCTATCCAGCAGAGAAGATAGCAGGCATTCTCTGATGGTGTGTTCTGGAGCGAGTAATTGCTGCGACCGTGTGAAAGAGAATAGAGTTGTCCTATGGTTTGTTTGCTTTGTCGTTTGTTAAGAACGATGAACGCGGCTGGTTGCATGCTGGAGCTTCAGATGACGCGCCTGCAAATTGTCTCGAAGCGGCTACCGTAGCCGAGCGTTCTCTTCAGCAAATGCAGCTCCAGTACAGGTCGAAGCCAGCCACAAGCGAACGCTTGTCAAAACATGGATGTTGGATCAATGAGTACATACCTATTTTCCGTTGCATTTATTCGGAGCGGGCCTTCTGTGTAGCCTGCCTATTTGTCTTGTGATTAATGCACAGTTCATCCCCGTTATTCTATGTCGTCGAGCTCTAAGGCTGTCTAGGCTAGGTACGCATTTACCGGCAAGTTGTCGGCGTCGTTTGCCCCACGTACGCCACCGTGAGGACGAGTAATCACCTCATCTTCCCGTACGTCGACGTCCTCTCTTTCGTCCATTTCTTATTTCAATGTAGCTTTATTTCATACGGATTCGGGTCTCAAAAGTCAAAGTGCCCTTTGCTTCTCCAGACTCTCTTCCATTCTCGGCTTATCATCAGTGCTTAGACAGGGGCAATCAAAAGCAGCACCAACCCCCATCCTTCAGTAGAAGACTTCCGCATCTGGACTTCGATGGGATCTATACCACGGCCAGTTGTCGCCTTCAATGTCAAGCGCATTGCTGTCATCGGTGCAGGTCCGACAGGGCTTGCAGCTGCCAAGTACTTGCTAGCAGAGAAAGCTTTCGACACCATCGATGTATATGAGCAGCAAGCAGAAGTAGGAGGAGTCTGGAACTACACGCCTTCTCTGGTCGAGAGAGTCCCCATTCCTCAAACCACACCGTGGGCCCCTTCCGAGAAGCCATCATGGCCCAGGGGATCACCGGCGCCGATATTTTCAAATCCAATGTACGAGAAGCTCAACACGAACATCCCCAAGCCGCTCATGCAGTTTTCAGACCAAGAATTTCCGGCTGACGCTCTACTCTACCCAACACGGCAAGATGTTCAAGCTTATCTGGTCAAATATTCTCAAGATATCAGGCACTTGATAATGTTTTCGTACCAAGTCGATGATGTAAGTCTATCTGAGACAAATGGGCAGGACCTTTGGACTCTGATTGCCAAATCTACCATCACTGGAAAGAAGTTGAGCAAGCATTATGATGCTATTGTGGTGGCCAATGGACACTACTCTGTTCCGTGGATCCCTGCAGTTTCTGGAATCGAAAAATTCAATTCTGCCTATCCATCTATCATTTCACATTCCAAGATATATCGTTCTCCGGAGAGTTTCAAGGACAAGAAAGTTATAGTTGTAGGTAATGCTGCGTCCGGCTTGGATATTGGCAACCAGGTTCTCGAGGTGTCCAAAAAGCCGCTCCTCAATTCCATCAACGGTCCATCTACCTTTCAGCTACCAGTGGACGGAATCAGCAAGGAAGACGTGCCAAAGATAATTGAATACATTGTCGAAGAACGAGCTGTCAAGTTTGAGGGAGGGAGGGTCGAGAAGGATGTCGATGCCGTCATCTATGCTACCGGCTATTTGTACTCCTTTCCATTTTTGAAGTCGCTCGATCCGCCACTTGTGACGACAGGTCGACGAACGATCGGATTGTGGCAACAGATATTTCATATAAAGCATCCAACACTAGCATTCTCTGCGCTCGGCCAGAAAATTATACCCTTTCCATTGTCTGAGGCTCAAGGTGCAGCGATGGCGAAGGTCTGGTCTAACAACATTTCGTTGCTCAGTGTGGAGGAGATGGAGGCATGGGAGAAAAGCAAAGTGGAAGAGCTTGGAAATGGCACGGCATTTCATGTCCTGGGTTATCCCAGAGATGCTGCCTATATCAATTACCTTCACGGTTGGGTGAAGGAAGCCAATAATGGCTTCTCAAAAGAACCTCCGTTCTGGGACGATAGACTCTGTTGGCTACGTGAGATCTATGTAGACATTAAAAACAAGTTCGCGGATACTGGGATGAAAGCAATTTCTTTACAAGAGCTCGGATTCGACTTCGACAAACGCGATTCGGAGATTTGAAAATATGCTTCCGCGTACAGGAGACCTCAATACCCGAGGTCGAAGCCCGTACTCCGTGTAGAATACGTTCCAATCAAGCATTCTTTGAAACTTGGCAAAATATTTTCAAAGTAGTTTCGTCACGTGGATTCGTCATTCGAAAGTTTGCATCGCATGTTCGAATCTTGCACTCCATTCCCACTCGATGTTCTTGTTTAACACTATGCTTGTGCAAACTTGGTTGACATGTGTATCAAGCTTCGCGTCGTATCATATCCACTTGCCTACCCAGGCATGAAAGCATATTAATAGATTTATATGTGCAATAGACTCGTCATCTTTATGCATTTTTTGGCTAGCCTCAAACATTTCACATAAAAGCACAGACGGGATGCAAATTCGAAAACTGGTTGCCTTCGTGGCCTTCCCTTGGAGTGCGACAGTTAAGAATTTTTTCGTCTCTTGCCTAATCCTGCAGCCAGTTCTATCGTTCTAGAAGCCCGGCAGTCACAAATATGCCGGCAGCACTGGTTCAACCATCCGATAGGGCTGAAAAGCGTCCCGAGCTGCCACCGTCATCGCCAGCTCTGTTCACGCCGCCAACCTATACCATGAAAGAAATATACGATGCTATTCCACCGCACTGCTTACAACCAAACACTCTCTTGTCTCTATTCTACGTTCTTAGAGATTTTTCTTATGTCGCCACCCTAATATGTCTTGCTACCCAAATTCCTAAAATTCCAAACGACAACGTCCAATTCGGAGCTTGGGCACTGTATTCCTTCCTACAAGGCTTGGTCTTCACAGGATTATGGGAAATCGCCCACGAATGCGGCCATGGAGCTTTATCAAAATCCAAACTTTTCAACAATGTCACGGGACTCATTGTCCACAGTCTCCTTTTTGTCCCATTCCACTCGTGGCGCATCACGCATTCAACACACCACAAGAACACCAATAATCTTGATAAAGATATTGCTTTTGTTCCTAATCTCAAAGAGGCTCACGAAGAAGCCCATGCTACTCATTCTAAGCTTCGCGATTATGTAGAGGATATGCCTATTACGGCTTTGATACACCTATTCTTTCATCAGCTGATTGCTTTTCCTGTTTATCTTACCATCAACAACTTCGCTTTGGCGAGGATGGCTGTTTATCCATGGTGGACTAGATCTCATTTCTATCTGGGCGACGATGGCCCAAACTTCAAATTTGCGAACAAAAAAGATATCCTCATTTCAGACATCTGCATTGCTATTTCTGCTTTCGTCATGTGGAGTCTGGCCCAATACTTTGGATCTTGGAACATAATGCTCCTCTACGGTTTTCCTTATCTGTGGACAAACCACTGGATTCGTAAGTCCCTCGCCTCCAAGCTCTTTCATGCGACTATTGAACTCTCAACTAACATCGTCCAAAGTAACAATCACATTCCTCCAACACACCGACGCATCAATCCCCTACTACCCCACCAAAACCTGGACTTTTCTGCGCGGTGCAGCCTCAACAGTCGACCGCAACTTCGGCTGGATCGGCACCCACATCTTCCACGGGGCCATCGAAACACACGTCATGCATCACCACGTCTCACGTATTCCTTTCTACCACGCCGCTGAAGCTTCTCTTGCCGTTCGGAAAGTGATGGGCAAACACTACCAAAGCGATTTCAAGACGCCGTACTTGTGGTCTTTCTGGACGAATTATCGTAATTGTCGATTTGTGGATGAGACTGCAAAGGGAAGCAGCATTTACTTTCTTGCGAAGAATGAGTAGAGCTTGATTGTGAGCTCCGGTACGAGCTAAGCGGGCGAAGGCATCGAGTTTCGTTCTTGCGCAGAAGGGTGTTCTTGGATATTTGAGCGAGCGTGAGGTGTCATTTGGTCGGAAACAGAATTGGAGTAGATAGAGACAAAGGTCTGGAAGTACTAGATATTACAAAGATCTAAAATTAGATACCCTTCAAGTACATAGTGTAGAGCACTAAAGATTTATTGATTCTTATATGATAGAACTGAGCTTCCAAAAAAAATCGCTCTCCAAAGACCGACAAGCTTTTGAGCCTAGGTACCAACTCAATTGCTTCGTGGACCAGCTAGGTACAATTTGTATATACTGTATGCCGTGGATAGCTGACAGCTCATATACCTTTGCGATTTTCGCTACTAACATGTTCAGGTGATCTCGAATGTCAGTTGAGTGTCACATGATTTTATACCGGTGTGGAGTCCGAGTAGGTAGCTATTCTATCTAGGTCGGGCTGATAGTCATTTAATCATCGGTTCATCCGTCCTAGGTATGTTTCGGTTATTTTTCTACATGAGAGCCATTACAGTTTTCTCAGAAATTATAGCTGAACTTTGATCTTTTGAAAAGTCACGATTTAACACTTGTAAGCTACCTTGGTAGGTCGTTAGCTACCCGAAGAGACCCAATCCGTGAGGAATTCTGTTTGACCTTCAGCTCAGATGTTTTTGAATGATGTAAACTTTACACACACATTTATCTGATCTCGAATTCCATAGTACGCTCTTCTTTTGTCAAACAGGTCAGTGCCTCACCATCCATCATGCCGTACAAAAAGCATTCTCCGATCAACTCATGGTACATACTTTCCCCGTCAGCAACCTTCCGCAGAATGACTGGTACACTACATCCATATAGGATGCACACCGTGTCGCCTTCCTGCGTATTCGGTGGTGCAAGGCCAAGACGTTGCATCCCTTTGAGTTTGCTCCGAGTCAAGAAGACCTTGCGATTCCAGGTCACGCTCTGAACCCTGTCCAGAAACTCAATCATGCTTCGCGAGGCATCTTTCGAATTTATTGCGACCTTAGTGTCCAGATCATAGTTCCCATCAGGCCAGCAAGTATGAAACGCATTTTTGAACCAGAAAGGAGCCTCATTACCCTCAGCCCCTCGATCTGCAATCATCGTTCGCCAAAGTTGATCAGTAAAGCCCTGCAATGTCCACTTTGAACCTTTGGAACATTCATCAACAAACGTTGACCTCAGCTCACGGGGTATTATCCCGCCCATCAATCGGCCGGTGATGAGTCCGACAGTAGCGATCCGAAATCCCTTAATGAATAAAATCTCGAAGCCGGGATCTGTATTCAGTTGGCTGTCGCTATTGTGCGTTACAAATTGAACTTCAGCTCTCGTGTTGCCCGATGCATGATAGCGTCCTTGTCCAGGAATGCCGACCAGGCTGTCTCCGTTGATTCGACCTAGGTTCTGGGCGTTGCCTCCGACTTTGAAAGGAAGATTCTCTATGGAGGTCATCCAAGATGGGATCTTCGGAAAGACTGGCCCCGTTTCGAGACCCACTACCGGTGCCCATGGTCGACAGATTATGTCCACGCATCCCGATTCAGCAACAGCAATAGCGACAAATTCCCTGAGGACGTCTGTCAGGCTCTTCTCGTAGTTGACCTCAAGTCTGGAGGCGGTGCTTGCCAAAGCCTCCAAAGCGTATATTGTGTCTCGGGGGTCGTTGACGTCAAATGCAGCTAGAACAGAGACCAAATACTCAAGAGAATGCAGTCTCTCTGAAATAGTTCCGTCAGGGGCCTTTCGGAAAAAGAGATCCTGCTGCGTGAGCCGAACCAGAACAGTCGCTCCCATGGCAGGAACGCTTGAAAGAGTTTCATCATACGACCCGTTTTCGACTGTTCGTGAGATTTCTTTGCACCAGGAAATATTGGTGTTCAGATAGGCAACCACAAGGGCAAAGTCTGGCCAAGATATTCTTCTCGATCCAGAATGCAATGAGGCTCGTCGAGAGAGCGCCAATTCCTGAACAAGCCAGCGGCGGGTGAAATATTTATGTTCCATCAACTTGATCACGGCCTTCCATTTTGGGTACAGCGATGCGGCGATTATAGTGTCCTGTCTTGCGAAGATTCTGCCAGCTGCATATTCGACAAAGTCGAAAGCGATATCTGTTGAGGGGGATGGGGCACCGAGCCAGATCCGTACATTTGCTGCGTTGTTGAAGATCTCTGGCATCGCTGATATTTGCACAGCCTTTTCACTACTGTCGAATTGGTTGATGCATATTGCGTCGATCCACAATACGACTACACTCATTTCGTCTCTGAAATGCTTCAGTGCGGCCAAAAGATCCGGTTTTACTAGGAATTCTTTGGGCGAGCGGACAGAATGCTCTGCTTGGGCAGGAACCACAGGCGCGTCGAATATTTTGATATCTTCTTCAGCATCCTCCAAAACCCAGCAGTACGAAATTGCTTCGAATTCAATCGTGGACAGATCTTGAACCGGAACCAAAGTACAATATACAGGCTCGTCCATGCGGCCTGGATGAAGCCGCAATAATCGAGTTTTATATCCCCCTGGTAGCGGCTTGTGACAATATTCATTACGCTGCGAATTGAGGTGGAACTTAAGTTTGTCTTTCTGCGCAATAGATGCGTGAGTTGAAACATCGCCGGCGCCGTAGGATGAGGGTATTATTGCGATATCATTCAGGTCATTTGAATAGATACGAGTCTTCGTATTATCGTCGTCCGCATTTTTCATTGATTTTTCCGCCCACTTGGAGAGAATCGAACGATATGGCTGGGAGCCGTTTCGAGCGGCAAGTTGCGCATCACTCCAGATGTCCTCCATGGTTAGATGCAGTGTCTCTAAGCAGCTGACGTAGCATTCTATGTCTGCTGCAATTTCTTCCAGAGACCTTGCGAACGGACAGATGAAAAATCTGCCAATGGCCCGAATCGCTTCGTCATCACTGAGGTAACTCGGCCTAACGAGGGGCAGTGCCATCATATCGTTCTTGGTAGCATTGAGAAGAAATCGCAAAGTGTGCGCCTTCTCCCATAGATCTCCATACTCTGTCAGGCGAGGTGGAAGACCTGAATTACGATCAGAAATGCTAAGTCTTGCCATCTGCCATTCCTTACCATCTGTCAAGATTGTTCCAAGCCGTACAAGGAGGCGAGCTGTAGCGAATGCAAACTCTGGGGACAGTTCCGTGGTGATTTCTAGCTTGTATCCGTCGTACATCATCACCTGCCACTCTTTTAACCTTCTTGAGGCTTTTCTTAACGACGTCGTTGTGGGATTCAACTGGCTGAGGTCGGGAGGGTCAAGCAATTGGTTAACAAATGTCAAAATAGCATCAATCAAGGCCCGGAATGGAAGTGGAAGCCGTCCATGCGACCTATTTCTACTGCGTTCCTCCATATTGTATCCTATTTGAAATACATGGCGCCTATGGATGCTGCAGCGCAGGTGGTGCCTTAATCATGTTTGGAGTTTTGGCACCAGGGAACAGCTGGATGAGAGCAGTCAGCCCAATTGGCATTGGATATTCATGCTAAAGAGTACGCCTTTTAGGCTGGCAAGAGTCTCGGCCTTGGTTTATGACATACGATTGGCTGTATCCAGTGATATGAAGTGGCCGTCCTGCATGAAGGCGTCGAGCTGAGCCCAAGTCCACTGCTGCTTTTATCTGAATTGCTTTTTCTGCAGCCTCACAACTGATACCCCGCACCTCCTACTTTTACCCAGCCTTGCGCCGTTTTTCAGTAATATAGATCTGTCACAGCTGTTTTCTTTTCGAACATATCCCATTATCATATTGTAGTGGTATCCTCGTCGTTTCTTTGGGCCTCCGATCACTGTTTGTTTCCCCAACGCGGCGAGAAAACACAACGACACTTTCCGATTGTGATAGGAGTCTTGCCTGCCATTCATCGTCTCTCCAGCCGACGTCGCAGAGTCGCCCCAAATGGATTCCAACCGGCCTTTACGTATACTCAGTCTAGATGGAGGTGGTGTGAAAGGACTAGCAACTCTCTGCATGCTCGAGGCAATCATGGTACAGCTTCAACTGGAGATGCCAGGTACCAGAGGCAGACGACGAGTCATTCGACCTTGCGACTACTTCGACCTCATCTGTGGTACGAGCACAGGCGGCTTAATTGCTATATTGCTTGGTAGACTTCGATATGTGCGTACTGCCTCTGAATACTTTCAATTAGAGGGTTACTGATCGCATATTTCAGACTGTCAAAGAAGCGAAAGATTTGTACCTCAAGCTGGCCGAGGAAATATTCAGCAAGGAGTCTGACAGCATTGACTCAAAGTTTGATCATTCGGTGCTGGAGCAAAGCATAAAGGATATTGTTGAGTCAGCACCAGCGCCCAGCCCTGGCAGCCTCGACCCTGATGTTCTCCTTGAGGATGAAAGCATCGGAGATCCAGAGGGGGGAACAAGAACATTCGTTGTGTCAACAAGAACTAGGGGAACTGGTGCTACAGCGGTAATACCACCTTTGACTTATAAAATTTCCAAAGCTCTCAAAGACGCAAATCAGTCTATCTTGAAGCACTTCTCTTTATGTGAGAGGATTATCGTGGTCATTCTCATTTGCTTTCCAGAAGAGAGACTGACATAGAATAGGTTCGAATGAGAAGCTACGAAATTGCGAAGAAGGAAATTGCATTCGAAGCCAAGATCTGGGAAGCAGCCCGGGCAACATCTGCGGCACCGACGTTCTTCTCCCCCATCACAATCCGACATGTGACATATGGAGATGGCGGGACGGGCTGGAACAACCCTACCAAAGAGGCCCTGAATGAGGCACATAAGATATGGCCGGGCCGTCCCATCGCTTGCCTGGTCAGTATCGGTTGTGGAATCGAGGATCCACTCCAGCTCGTCGATGGTGCGGCTCTCCCAGCGACTGGGATGTTTGACCGAATCCTCAACTATAGTCGCCCTCGAGATGCGTTCCGTCTCGCGGTCGCGAAATATTGTGCCAATTGTCTTACGAGCTGTCAGCGCACCCATGAAGAGATATCATCCAACATCGAAAAGGATGGGCTACGCGGGAAATATTTCAGACTAAACGTACCGCTTGGCGTGGGGAAGATTGGCTTGGAAGAATGGAAGAAGATCGGAGATATTATATCTCTTACAGACGACTACATGGAAAGCTACGAGGGCAAGTATCTGAAGAACAGAGTCGCCCAGATCCTGGCGAGTCCAGATGGACCAGATCGCGGAAAGAGTAGAGACGGGAAAACAAGCATGGAGGAATGGGATGATGTACTAGGCCATGCTTATGTCAAGGATGGGCAGAGAGCAGAAGCGACCTCCGCTGATGTACCATACACTGTCGAAGAGTTTGAAGAGGCAGAGTCGTCGACGCATGGATCAAGGAAAATCCAAAAACAAATCCAGTATCTGACGACCGATCAAGACAACGAGAATCAAGGTACTGCAATTCCGACTGCGGCAGAACAAGTTGGCAGAAACTGAGGATAATAGGGTCTATAGCAGGAATGCAGTACTTTTCCAAGCATGAGAAACTTGTTGTCGCTGTGGTTCAACGCTACGAGGCCGCATTGAAGGCGCTCGAGAGCTTCGAGCAGCACAGGTTTTACGCCCCAGAGCTACATCGTTTGATAGCTTTTCTCGAGACACAGTACTCAATTTTCTACATCCAGATAAAGAGACTACTAGGGCTTAAGCTGGCTTTGCCACTACATGCACTTGACCAATCCTTGACAAGTAGCATGGGCTCACATGGGGAGAATGTGGCCTTCTCGAGACTTGACGGCGAATCGCCAGAACTCGTTCAGATTCTAAACGAGCTCAATGACTGTCTAATCAGTATCGAGGGCGACCATAGCTTTCTTGAGTTCTTCACCAAGAGAAACAACATGGTAAGCCTCCTCAGGGTTCTTTCGCTCCTCGCAAACCTTCTAATTCGGTGAATAGCGAGATACAGAAGCACAAGAAAGATACAGGACTTTGGCTGCGAAGCGGAATATGCTTGACAAGTTGGAGAAATTGAAGAGTCTAAATGAAAGACTACGTGCAATCAGTAGCACAGCCAGATAGGTTTCACAACGAGTTGAGAAATCTCAGAACCTCAAGAGTTTACAGAAATCGTCGAATTCCAAGCACAGTCCGGTTTCAAGCTCGTCTTGAGCCCCATAATTAGTCCTCGTGTTGTTGTCAATCGCAAATCTGTTGCCCATCTTTCATGCCCAGGGATTCTAGTGGGTCATATTTTCACCTTGTCGAAGCACTCCATCAGCGTCAATACCTTGTTGCTGTCACTTTGTTCATCTAGAGGCTTCACAAATGCTCCAATTCCTTGCACAAAAACTTCCTTGTAGTGCGCTACAATGCGGTCTTACTCCCTTAGTCCTGCTTGTTTGACATAATTTCATCATGGATCTGTATGAAAATTGAACCGAATCGATGCCTCAGCGCCTCCATCAATTCTTGGCCAATGTTGCGGTATGGCCCGACATGTGTGAGTTGCCATGATATTGTCGCAGGCTCGCACCAGGATCTGTGATATCCTATGGGACTGAATCTGCAGACGACGGCAGCGAGGACAACTGTAAGCAACTGTAAGCAAATGAACAATACACAAAGAATAGTCGTTGCAACTGTAGATTCTCATCTTAGCATCAAATATCAATTCAGAGCAGAAAGTCAGTCTTATTATTGTAGTGTGGCCAGCCGATGGTACGGGCGCGACTGCCATAAACCCCCCACAGGTAACCCCAACAAATATTGATCGATATATAAATTATTAAAACTCCTCAAGAACATTTCCGAAATGAGACAGGGAACTTTGCTGCAGATTCGGTAAAGATACAAAACGATTCGTTTTCTATTCAAGATACATGTACGCTAGTAGATCTACTTACGCTAGCTGCTGCCATGGCACTGTTCCCGGAGTACCGACGAGATGAGGTCAGTAGCTTTTCAAGCATGCAGCTCGCGCATGAGACCCTGCAGAAAAGACAATCGGGAGCTCAACATTCAAGGATGGAGCTGAGTGATGGAGAGCGGCGAACCAGCCAGGAGATGCCCTTGACTTTTGCTTCTATGAACGGAGATCAATTCACATTGTCTTGATTGCGGCGAAAGCTGGTTTCGTCGAACAGGAAAATATGATGGGAGCTTGATCACCTCCTGGAGCGCCTTGTACACTGGTGTAGGCGTACCAGGGGCAAACCTACGACTTTGACGAGGGCACTGGATTGACGAAAGGCTGGGCATACATAGAACGAGGCCAATGATGATATCCTTTGAATGCGGGCCACGCGCCTGAGACAAAGAAAAAGCATGGACTTGAATTCCATAGTCTTGGACAAAAGCTCGTTCGTCAAGTCGCCGTTGATTATCTCTCTAGCACTGTGAATATCTACTTCCGTGCTCCAGGGCCACTCGACAGGCAGCAAGCAGCCAAATTCGTCGCACTTACAGACTGCCCCGCCCTGCCGGAAGAAGAGGTCATGAAGGTGCGGAAACTTCTCAACCCAACTGGCTTCACATTTGCCGTGACAATGAAGCTGAGCACTGGCGGGCCATTTTTCGAATGGGCTTCTATGCTTTGAAGCTTCAATTGGCACGTCCCCAGAAATCGGTAGCCGCTTGACCACTGCGTTCTCGACAGCTCCAACCTGCGAAAAAGGAGGAGATGAAATCAATAGCCTGGTAGTTTGAACCTGGAAAACGATACATCAAAGGGGAACGATCGTACTGTGGTAGGCAAGTGCCACTTTTGGGAGATTGATAAGTCCGGTGAGAAATGCTGCGTCTTACAATTCTCATAGGCGAAAGGGACAATCGACCGACTTCTAAATGGTGTCACGTAGGAACACTGCCTTGACAGTAGAATGAGAAGATGGAGGTACCCTACTTGCCTACCTTACCTACGCTAGGTAAGTAGGTAGGAAAGGTCTGCGAGATTACCACGTGATCCGGATACGCCATGGCAAACTACATATTTTTAGAGTTTCTAGAGAGGCCACTTATTCCTGCGAATTACAGGTATTAGCTATGGTCACCTATAGAATGCAACTCTTCGAGGGTCACAAGAATATCAATCAGACACAATTGCCAATCTTTGCATCTCATATTCGACCACTGACCATGCAAGCATGAGGGCTGAAATCGTATTACCAGAGTTGAATTTTCATCACTTGATATTTCAGCAGAGCGAAATCTTTGATAGAAAACAAGACTACGTACAAAGAGAAGCAGATCCATAGTCTAGCCCGTCAGAAGATGTAAATTCGCTCGTCTTTTGTGTTGCCATCAGAAGGTCATCATCTTGTCATGGAAGCACGCGCTGCCTACAAAGTAGATAGGGGCCCTCGTGACGATGGTTTTAAAGTGGTCTTTGATCTTGACCACACATCGGAGTCGCCAGCTGAGTGGAAATTGATCGAGCTGGCGAAGATTTGAGTTGGAGGTCTTGCTGTTGAAGAGAAAAGAAGAGGAACAGGACTTCAAGCTATCTTCGCTTTTTTACCTCACGACGCTAAGGGCTGCGACTAACCCGATGCACCCAAGCGACTTTTCCACCAAGTCAGGCCCCGCCGCCTTTAGTTTTGCCTCTGGTCTCTCCTGGTACCTACTGCCAGACAGACATCATCACAAATTCCAACGACAATTGAACTTAATACTCCAATATTTCCATAATAACAACACTCCCAAGTATTTGAAACGCCGCCGAATATTACACAATCATTCGATCTCCTGTTCCACACCATCAACCCCCTTCTGAAGCAGACGCAGCTCCACCCCGATCCCTTGAGAGACCGCACAGCTATCGACGACCGACTATTCAAGAAGTTCTGCATAAAGGATCCAGCACGTTCTCTTAACCACATTTTATCCCATTTACCGGCCCTCTCTTCCCCATGGATTTGTGGACTCGCCGTTCAAAGTATGTCCTTTTGACCCCTTCCTACAAGTTCAAGGAGCGCAACTCTGACCATGGATTAGCACCAGCAAGCTCTCCTTGTCCACGCCCACGGGCACTCCTGCGACGAACGGCGCTCGCCCTCCGAATGAATCGACCAAGAGCTATACTGGATCCATAGGTAGACGGGCGGGAGAGAACTCCTCCCACAGCAACAAAAATCCTTTCAATACCATGTCCCCTTCCACTACATCCCTCGCATCTCCCACATCCGGCGCAGCTGGCGCGTTTGGATTTGGCACCGGCGCTTTCTCCAAGTTCACCACCAATCCAAAGACGCCAAAGGCATCGACAGGCTTGGACTATATCAGTGCTATTGGTGCGAAAACCCCAACTGCTGAGAAGCAGAAGGACCTTGGTGCGAAAGTATCGAAGACATCCCTCGCAGGATCCAAAGCACCCACACCACCACCTACGCACAGCTTAAGACATGGCTGGGCACTCTGGTTCCGTCCACCTATATCGAAATCGAATGGATTTGTGGAGTACGAGAAAACCCTGCATCCCATGGCGCAGTTCGAAACCATGGAGGAGTTCTTTACTGTCTACAGTCACTTGAAGCGTCCCTCGACCCTGCCACTCGTGTCCGATTATCACATATTCAAGAAAGGTATCCGCCCAGTTTGGGAGGATGATGAGAATAAGAAGGGCGGAAAGTGGATTGTTAGACTAAAGAAAGGAGTCGCAGACCGATACTGGGAGGACCTCCTCTTCGCACTGATTGGTGACCAGTTCGCAGAGGCGAGTGAAGAAGTTTGCGGGGCTGTTCTGAGTGTCAGAAATGGAGAAGACATTCTGAGCATCTGGGCCCGCAATGACGGCGGGAGGGTCCTCAAAATTAGGTGTGTTCCGAGCTTCCTCACACTCGGGCCATTTCCCTTACTTACTTGCTCTCAGGGAGACGATGAAGCGCGTTCTGGGCTTTCCACCGGACACTAAGGTTGAATGGAAGAGTCATGATTCCAGCATTCAACAACGAACCGCGATTGATGACGCGCGGAAGGAAAAGTCCAATCAGCACAACAACCACCACACTACGCCAGGACGCAATGCCAACAGAGATGTTGATAATGCACCTTCGTCAGACAAGAAGTAGAGTCTCTACCACAATTGCATATCAGCGAATCTAGAGCTTTCTTGAGTTTTAGAGCGACGGTTTTATTTTGGGTTACGAATTCCTTCAGTGTACAATATTGGGTTTGCATGATCGGATGAAAAGCGACACGAATGAAGTACCTGGGCGAGTTGAATGTTTTTTTAGGGTTTAGCAACGGCGGGCGGGTCTTTCTTGCTGTATCATAGCGTGAAGAGCCTGCTGGCACTCTTCTTCGTCCGAGTTATGGTTGCGTTGCTCTAGCTGCAAGTCACTGGATGGGGTTGTGTTCAATAACATGAATGAACCTTACATTACAGTAACTCCATACCTAGTTCTCCGCTAAAGCTCGGCTTTGGAGCTGACACAGCAAAGGCGGCAACTGGCTTGAAAGTATAACTTCAAGTAACATGTAAATAAGGTATAACCAAACCCGTCCTTTGTCCAAGCACTCCTTGCACACCTAGAGCAGCGAGTTACACCCAACGCCATACTTGCATATGTACTTGCGCTTTCTCTTTCCCATTGGTCAATGCTGTCACCGTTATGTCACCTGACATAGTTCTGCGGCTGGAGTCCCACAATTGGGTAAAGTTGGGCTGACTTTCCCCTGGCAAGGTTGAATCCCAAAGCATGGATCCTTTCAGCATAACCGGCACTCTGATTGCTGTGCTTCAGGTAACTACAACCGTGATATCCATCTGTTACGACTACCGTCAGGGTGTGGCTTCTGCATCCCGAGAAGTTCTCCAGGTATCCTCAGCTCTCAACTCTCTCCGAGATGTTCTCGAATCATTGCTCGCTCTCATAGAGCAGTCTAAATCTGATGGCTCTGTGTCCAAATTAGCCACGATAGAACTGCTCGCCAATGATGGCGGCACGCTTGAGAGCTGTCAACAAGAATTGCTCAGACTGAAGAAGAAATTAGAGCCGGAGGCAGGATGGAGAAAGATCAGAAAGTCGTTGGTTTGGCCACTAAAGGAGACGGAGGTTAAGAAGGCGTTGGAAGGCCTAGAGAGGTCAAAGAGCACGATGCTTTTAGCACTTTCGGCAGACCAGACGTGCGAACCCCTTTCATTTGTTCATCAAGAGGAACGGTATTGTTTGCGATATCCTAACCGTGAGTAGGTCGTTGAGTTTGGCTATTCATGAACAAGTCGGTGGCTTGACCGAAATGTTTGAGAAACACAGTACAGGTGCGCTAGCCACAAGTACAGATCTAGCTGGGTTTGCTCACGTACTGCCAAATGACAGATCAAACGCAACAGGACATCAAGACATGGTTAGCAGCTCCAGATCCATTCACGAACCATGTCGCAAATCGCAAGAAGCGTCAAGCCCATACCGGAACTTGGCTTTTGAGGAGCAAGCAGTATGAAAATTGGTTGACAAGTCCAAAATCATTCTTGTGGCTCTATGGAATTCGTAAGTCATGGCTGGTGGTGTCCGAATATATGCTGATGTTCATCAGCTGGGAGTGGGAAAACTGTGCTCTGGTACGTCTTGATTGACGAGAATTTCAAATCTAATATTCAATAGCTCTACGCTTGTCGAGCAACTGCTTCTGTATTGTAAGAATATGCCACAGTCAGCAATAGTATATTTTTACTTCGATTTCAACGATGCTGGGAAGCGAGACGTCACCTCACTGATCCGATCTCTTATAACGCAATTATCAGCGTGGACCAAGGCAACACCCATTGTACTCCTCGAGGCTTACAAATCGTACCAAAGCGGTAACCTATCTGATGATGACGAGTCTCTGGCCATAGTGTTACGGAACCTGGTCCTGACCTTCGAGAATGTGTACATCGTTTTCGATGCCCTGGATGAAAGTTCAGACTGTGACGGCATCCTTCAACTCATGCACACCATGAAAGACTGGAAGCTATCTCGGCTACACATATTAGCAACAAGTCGGCAATTGACAGGAATCGAAGAGTCGCTGACAGGTCTTGTAACAGACAAGATATGTCTGCAGGATGCAGAAATGAATGAGGATATTGTACTGTACGTCGCGGACAAATTGCAGAACGACAAAAAACTGTCCAAGTGGCCTCCAGATATTCGACTGAAGATACAAACGAAGCTGCTTGGTGAAGAAGGCGGGATGTAAGTTTGAAGTTTACTCACTTCTCAACTATATATTACTAATTCCATTCAATAGGTTCCAATGGGTCGTTTGTCAGTTGGACATGCTCAATCGGTGTCTGTCAGTGGCTGCCGTGCGTAAAGCTTTGACGGCTGGGCTGCCTAAGAATTTGGACCAGACTTACGACCAGATTTTGGCGGGCATTGACGAGGAACATTTTACCGAGGTCATGAAGATATTGCAAGCCGTGACAGCAACCAATGACCCGCTGACTCTTGAGGACATTGTTGAAATTCTCGCTGTTGATCTCGACGCCAATCCTCCACGCTTCGATCCTGACTCTCGATTAGTTGATCCCCGAAATGTGCTGTCGATGTGAGTGCCTTTCCTTGCCTTTGAAATGCGCAGCACGAATATATGGGTGTTAGTAGCCCCAAATATAGTCAAAGCTGACTCTTATAGCTGCTCATCTCTTGTGACAGTTCAACAGGTTACAAGATGGCCAAGCAGAACCCCAATCTCTGTGCTTAGGCTCGCCCACGCCTCAGTAGCCGACTACCTGACGCAGCAAGGACCTGCCGGGCAAGCAAACTTTCACTTCTCACGAACAGCAGCACGTCAATTCCTTGCTCAGTCTTGTATCGGATATATGATGAACCCGGAATTCTCTCGATGCCACAAGCGTGGAAAACAACAAGAACTTGCGCTATCGTATCCATTCTTAAAACACTGCGTAGCTCGTTGGCCAGAATACTTAGAAAGAATGCCAGGCGACCCGGACGATTACCTAGATGCGAAGACAAGGGAGACAGTTCAGGCTTTCTTCGATACTTGGTCCCTTCCTGACGGTGGCAATTACGCTTTTTGGGTCAGCTGTCTCATACCAGATATGCCGCTTGACTATGTTCTTAATACACGTCCACTCTATGTATGTCTATAATCTACAGGCTCCCCAATGAGAGGATTCCGGAGAACTTTGTTGTTCCAAAGACTTGAATTTTTCACTAACATCTATTCAGTACGCGGCATCATTCGGCCTTGTCGACGTAGTTCGGCTCATCCTCCTCACAGAAAAAGACGCAGACATAGACGCGCTCGGTGGGCGTGCCCGTTCCAGTGCTCTCCACGTCGCCGTGTACAGACATCATATCGAAGTTGTGAAGATCTTACTTGAGAGAGGGGCGGATCCGAGCTTGTGCAATGAGAGGATGGAGTCGCCATTGTATTGGGCCCGTAACACCGAGATGAAGCAGCTTTTGCTGAAGTATGGCGCGAAGCTTGATGGAAGAGTTATCTATGGGTAACTTCCAGAGTGAAAATTGGAAGGAACGTGCTCAAGAACCTACCTACAAAGGATGTCTTTCCATGAAGATCAGAGTATCGTGGCTGACTTCAAAGGAGAGTAAGGGCCTGACCAGGAATCGAAATATACTACCGGTCTCGTCAATCTTACGCCACTTGAGGCTGAATGGAAATATATTGCGATAAAAGCCTCGTGACCCTCACTTCCACTCTCCTATCCTTTCCCAACCAACAAAATCGAAGACCTTCAGTTCCGCTTCTCAGTTCTCAGTTCTCGACCTCGATCACATGATATAATTTTCCAAGGTAACTGGTAAGGTACCTAGGTATCAAGGTAGTAGCGCCACGCCAGCTATGAAATAATTCGCGTCGCCCTTCCTATTCTTCTATTTCTCCCACCACACGCTGTAAAGTCAAAAGCCAACGTCACAAATATTAAGTCCAAGGGATAGTTATTTAATGAGGGTGGTATGCCGTCTCACGAAGGCACAGTCGGCTAGACGGTGGCCGTTGAAAGCTGGCTTCGTTGATCAGTGATGACATCGCTTCGAACACTCATCGGGACAGATTTAATGCTGCTCGGTAATCCGTACAGAGTGGTTCTGGGTGTGGGGTTCTGAGATCAAGTTCCTCTGCAATACGTTCGGATCGACTACTTCCTTTGTCATTATGTTTGGGTAGGGGTGCGGTGTCGTTGCTACGGGAGCATCACATTATTCAAGCGTGACTCTGAAGTCAATCTGAGCGTGGACTTTGTCTGAATGATTCCAGACAGTCTGGAGTCTCGACTTCGAACCGAACAGTCCAGATCAGTAGCACAGTAGCCTCAGTGAACAATGTTCTCACAATCTGTGGACAGCTAGTAAGTGCATGCAGTAAGGCTAATACTTTGTACCCCCTAGGTTTTCAACTAGGTAGCAATGCCTCATCTTTGCTTGCGTACATCCAATCAAATAAGCCCCGTGCTTCCAGTAAGGCTTCGGAGACCAGTACCATGTGAAGCCTGTACTTTCGGGGAGCATTCATTCATGCTCACAAATGCAGACGGGGACTTGGCCGGAAACGTACATAGGTACTTTTGTACTGCTTCGGGGAGCTGAAGGCATGCTATCCGTTGATCAATTACTTTTCATCACGTTTCTCCATTTTCGGCCGAAAGATGCCTTGAAGTTGACTTTAAGCTTGCTGCGGGGTTTAATGAATGTTAAAACGCGCAAAACAGGGGAGGACGGATTAGGATCCTTTCTTAATAGACTGTTCGACGCAATACAGTCAGCCTTCATTTTGCATCAGCACGATCCCAAGTAGTCAAGCGAGTCGTAGATAGGGAATAAGATCCGAACATAGAAATACTCCGATTGGCTGAACTTCATTGTCGCGCTTCTCAATACGGCTATCATCAAAATCAGGCCTTATGGCCCCTGTATTCAATGAGACACATTGTCGTAGTGACAGCGGCACCTCGCCGAGAATTGCTCAACTGTTCAGCTTTGTGTCCTTTGAAATCACGAACTGTAAACTCAAAGCTTTCTTGGACTATAGCCGTTGATGACGCTTTGTAATCCGGAGTTCCCAAGTTCCCAGCACCTTTCTCTAGGGTTACCATTACTGGCACTGATATAATTGGGAAATCAACTTCAAATGAGTAAAGTGTAACACAGATGAAGAGCCACTTATTCGGGCATGCTGAGTATTTGGTTATTCGGTCTCTTCATCTAATATTTGATATGGAAGCAGATCGAGCTATTGGTATCTCCTGTGCCCTGAAGATATGAGTTCGATGTCCTGCTTCCTCCTTGGGATTTCAAGCTAAGGCTGATTGCTCGAGTATTTCGAGTCTTGCTATCAGATTTTCCGTGCTCTGACGAAATGTCTGACAAGTGGAGCTTCCACAATATCTCTGATAAAACAATCTCACAACCAGAATGCGAAATCTATCAGGCTGTTCGCTCCGGCTGACGTTATTGAAGAGCAATATAAATCTACTTGGCGAGAACAAGTAGGCTATGAAAAGCTTTCCGATATATAATCCATATTTGTCAACACGTCGAGATATGGGTAATCACGAAATACAATCTCACGAGCTAGTGATTCAGTGCCAAACACCCAAGACTGACCACGCTTCCACTCTATAAGAGAAGCTACTGTTCTCCTTCATCTTCAAAAATCAACTCATACTCGATCATCACAACTTCGTACATCCATTTCCATCAGAGCAAGAATTTACCAGAATCCACCATCATCGTACTTCCTCTCCCCCAACATGGGTAAAACAGACATAATCTCCGGAGCGGCGGAAATCGTCAAAACCATTTTAGAAGCGCTCCAGAGGAAGAATGATGAAGACCACGCAAAAGAAAGAGATTTCACTCAGTCTACAGTTCAAAATCTCCGCGTCAAGTACCCTTACTACAATGTTATGGTAATTCATACCAAACATCAACGCAACTTCGTCGACGAAGCACACAACCACCTGGAGTTGCCAATTTCGAACAAGCGAACACAAGGATACGAAGTGTATGTTTTTGAATCTGGAAGTTTCACTCTCCAAGGTAATAGTGGATTTGAGAACTGGGCATTTGGGGGCAGCTTCAACAGAGACGGCAATAATGTCACATTCCAGAAGATTCCAGGTATTGTCGTTCACACTCAAAACACAGAAAAAACATTCTCTGACATAAGGAAGCACCTCAATCGTTTCCACCGGTTCAGGCACCTCCTCCACCTGCGATCTTGCCACCCAAGCCTACCCGAACCCATGCTGATGGAATGTACCTCGTCAATTGTCAGCGCGGAAACGAGTACTCCAGTGGCGTAGCTTATTACAAGAATCTCCACGACGGTGGAAATACTGGACGAAAGCCTGATGATTACATAGATGTTGTAAAGGGAAGAAACGTCAACTGGGAGAAACCAGGAAGTGGTGAGCAGCCATTGATAGACAACCCGTTTTCTTGTTGCAATTTGGATTCTTCAATGCGTGTACTAAGATTGCATCTAGTAAGTTTCAAGAACGGCACGAAGTTCCGATGGGGGATCATTGCTGATGCCCAGAGCAAGGCGGACACGACCCGTGTTGGCTTTGCTGACAATGGTTATGGCGTGTACGCTCTGTACAAGGACAACAAGAATGTTCTCTACAATATTGATGGATGGAACTGCCATGCGATCTATTGGGGTTACTAAACACTGGCTTAGACGCTCCAGGAAAGCTTCATGGGGGCACCTTCTAGGGTACCGACATCATTTTGTTTGTCGTTTGTTTCCAGTGACGCATGTTCTGACGAGTAATTTGGAAGCGGCCAGGACGCTGACTTCTGCTGTTAATCATTCATGAAAGAGCTCTCTCGCTTTCCATTTGTTGCTAGCCTGTCTCTATCTAGTCAAAATCTCTCACTTCACCGGCTCTCAACTGCGACCCCATTCCATGGATCTCCAAGCCCTAAATTATGAATGAAGTATTATACTGTGCCACCCCGACTTTTTTCGGTATCTAATAATGTGGGACTTGTCTCTTTTAAAGACTATTCAATGCAAAATTTGCTCCTCTAATAAGATCTTCAAAGATAAGATTTTTTGTTTCCGCGTTCAACTTGCAAAAACTCCAGCTTTTAAGCGAGTCACAACGACGAAAATAAACAAAAAGATGCATCTCGGATTGGCGGTCAATTTGCACCAGCCTCTGCGATTCTGCGTCTTAGCAATCTATGCATAACTATAGCAATAGGCCAGTACGATGGTATGTAGAAATTAATCTATGCCAGCTTAGAGACTCTAAATCCCTGCTTGGAATTCACTTCAATACCTCAACACCGAGTCGGCTCATGAGTGATCGCTTGCGAGCCCCACAATCACCTACCAAATTCTCATCCAATTTTTGCGTTCCTTCCTCGGCTTCCTCTTTACTCTATAGGAGACAGGGGAGCCGAGGCAACTGTCTCAAGGCTACATCGAGGAATTCCGAAGCACTGCATGCTGGCGCATGCAGTGGAAAATGCCGACATTGAGGAGTGGGATTTAGGGTCATTTTTGTCTATGTTCAAATCAGGGAGATGTTGAGGGGGACATAGTGTTGGACGAAGTTATTCGGATGGCCGAAGCAACATCTCGGGGACTAGATATTATGTCGTACAGCCGAAACAAATTCGAAGTGAACTCCAGCATGTCTTCCCAGTATTCACCATTCATCTTCGGTGGATATGAGTCACAACAGTTCCTCGCCTACTACCCCTGCTAAATTTAGCCTGCTCCTTTCTTTCAAGAGTCAAAGGCACCCCTTCTCGCCCACGAGCTCAATTCTTTCCGCTCATCTGGCCACAGCTCAGTCGTAACTCTTCCAAATCCTCGCTACTACCACGAAACATCACATGGGCAAGTGATGAGGCCGTCTTGACTTTCTTGGGATCCAACTAGGCTCGTCGGCGGCCCTTGTACGTGGTGTGGTTGGACTCCTGATGATCGGTGATGAGATTCCTTGGAGATTGCTCAGCATCATGTTTCTAATGGGCATATTGAGATAGGTGTCTGAGGCTCCTGGGTTGATTCTGAGATCATAATTCTTGTTTCATCCTTCATTTATTTGTGTCGGCAAGTTCCCACGTGTCCTTATTTGGCCGGTATCATTTCACTTTATTCTCGTAATGCTCTGAAAGCTGTCTCAGGATGGTGCCCATTTTCGGGGTTACGCCCCATATCCACGTATCGTCGTAGAAGTCTGCCCAGGATCGGGTCAATGTGGCAGCCAGCGATGTTTCCAGATCGTTTGCTTCAATGTCTTCTGCAAGCATGTCGCGTACTCGCTGTATAATCTGGGTGTCGGCTTCTTCGAGTCCAATGCCTCGTCGCTGCATTACCTCTTGGCCGTGAACCCATTTGGTCAAAAGAAGGACTGTGAATTTCGTCAGTTCGTGTTTATTGACTGGAGCCACTCAAGACTGACTAGAGTCCCAACCAGCAAAGGCGTGTTCAACAGCCCACGTAAACGCAGCAGTCTTCCTCACCAAGCTCTTTCCAATCTTCGACGGTATCAAAATTCCCTCCAAGGCCACGGAGACAGCACTATTCAAATATAGACTCCACTCCATAGGTTCAGACAAGAACTGCTGTATCGCTTGCTCCGTCTCATTCTCATTCACACGGAAGAGCATTCCACGAGATGCAGATTCCGCCCTCGTCATAATCCGACAATAACTCACTCTTAGCATCGCCAATGAGTTGAATAGTAAAGGCCCTTCTGTGTCGTCCCAGACGTAGGACTCATCGGCTCTGACTCTCGCATCTTTGATTAGCAGGAGGCATTTACTGATTGCAGTCTCCATCTGAGTCGTGATACTGGAAACCTGGAAATGATTCGCATCGCTACCATAATTGGATCTTTCTCCCAAAAGATACAGACCTTGTGTCATATGCGACACATAAATTGATACCGCATTCACGGCAACGTAGCATGAGTATGGATCCCATTCCCAATACTCTTCTGGAATGTCATGGGACAGCGTCACATCGAGCAATCGCGATACAGCATCTTTCAATCGTAACAGCGAGACGAGTCCATGAACTTTGGCGTTCTCGCGCCAGGTATGTGCATTTGGAGAGTCCCATAGGGTGTGGTGGCAAGGCATCTCAACGTTGCCGTCTGTCAACATTGAGAAGCCTGAGGCGAATCCATAAAGCATCGATGAGAGGTTGCAAAGGTATATATAGCCGTACATGAGTCTGATTCTCGGGGTCAGAAAGAATGTTGCAGCACACTATTCACTGATTCCATGTGGAAATTGTCTTACCTCTTGACAGATTCTCTTTCAACCCATGCATCCCATGATACGTCTTGATTCTCAGTTGGATTCGATCGAAGCCATATCAAACGAGCACGGAAATCCTAAAAGCCTGGTCAGAATAGAAGTCACAAGGATTACAGGTAACTTTACCCAGACGAAAAATCCAACGCGATGGACAGCCATTGAAGATAATTCTGTATCCCCACTGAATGTCTCGAACATTGCCAGGAGCAGTTTTGTCTGTCCGATCCAGAGAGGAAGAGCTGGGGAATCGTTGCTTTTCGAAGAAGCAGGCTTGATCCAATCCTGAAGAAGCAGTCCTTGTAGAGAAGGTCCTCTGCCAGAGCTGAGCGGGCTGATATTCTCCAAACTACAATGTGCAGCGTTGTAGAAGATTGCAGCAATCTTCCTTTCCATCCGATATATTGCACCGATTGCACAAATACAGAGCAGCAATGGTGTTGGAATCTTGTCGAGATCAACTGATGGGAGGTGAAACAGTGGGCAGTGAGTGTTGAAGATTGCGAAGTATCGTTGAAGACAGCGTTCGTACAGTACCGTGGCAAAGGACGTCATGACTTTGAGAAGGTCTGGAGATATTTGACCTGACAATTCTTTGAGAAATCTCTCACGCGTCTCCTTGGTGAGGCGAATGGAAGACGGGGGTTTTTGATGTCCTGTTGCTTGGAGGACTGGGCGATTAACTTTCACTGAGATGGGCCTGCTCTTTTCTGTAGTAGGCTGTGAGGTTCGGTGGTCACTAACGAGGTTGGGAACAAGGTCACTGAACAAATCATTATTGCCAGTGAATAGTTTCGAGAGTTCTTCCAGGGGCGAGAATCCATCCACGAGTTGACTATCAAGGTGGGGAAGAGCGAATTTCGCCATTTGCTGAGATGGCCACTCGAAAAATGGGTCTGTGAAGACTGGCCATTCTGCATCGCCTTCTCCATATTCCATGGGAAGGACAGAGACATCCTTATCACCAACTAATCTAACCTGCTTGAGCTGTTGTAAGGGGTCCGGAAACGCGCTTGAGAACGTATCTTCGGTCGTCTCCATGGAAGTGGTGTACGGGGATGCGAGCTCATCGGCGAGAGGACCGGTTGCGGGAGAGTACCGTGGTGAAGGCAGAGCTGCTTTACAGTCAGGTATGCTTCGCAAAAGACTCTTTGGAGAGCCTTACCTGTTCCTTGTAGGCTCTTGTGACTCTTGTCTTGGTCTCTTGGTACATTTGACTTGACTTTTGGCGGTGCTTTTTCTGCGCCGTGCACAAGTCTCTGGTGCCGCACCAAAAGATCTCTGGTATTGCTCAATTATCAGAAAGTAGAAATAGTCGTATCATATTCTACTTACTTGCGCATGTATCGATTCTCACAAGTCTCACATTGGTAAGGCTTTTCCTGGGTATGTCTTCGTTCGTGCCTGGTACGATGCTCACTTCGTTTGAAAGCTCTGGAGCAAGTTTGACACACAAATCTCCTCTTCGTGGTAGCAGTCTCTGCCAAAGTAAACACATCTGTTCCTTGAACATGAGCCATCATGCGAAAGTGGATGTTTTTCTTGGGATTTGAGTTTGATACAAAAATAACAGGGTCCAGGGACAGCGCGGGGTTGAGAAGAAAGCTCTAACTCGAACTCGTAAGCGTGTGCTTTGGTGGCGTTGAGATCCAGTGTGGGGAAGTGTCCGCTGCGGGGGAACGAACGACTGAATCTGACAAGCGAGAATGCCTACATTAAGAGTGGATATTACCTTCATCGTACAGACACGATATTGGAAATAACGTAAGAATATTTGACTTCTTTTAAAAACCTGATTTACATCTACTTTATCAATTCAAAAAGATTCAATTGTAATTTGTTGACCTGATTCCAGTATTGCTGGAGTCGCGTGTTATGTCAAAATCACCTGCTTAATTCACTGTCAGAGGGGAGGATTGGCTATATAAAACATCAAAGATTTTGAACTCGTTTACGATCATAATTAGCAGCCATCCTTAAAGATTGCAGAATTATTTCCTAAGGATTGTGAAAATACATCATGATCTAATATAGTCAAAGTTCAATTGAAAAGGGTCGAAGGCAAGCGATGGTTAAGAGCGAAATTTCACGTGAAATGTATGTGCATAGCCAGGACCTTCACAAGTTATTGCAATTCAATCATTATGTCCATTCATTGAGACTTTGGGATTTCGAAATTCCCCGGTCGGCTCTCGGAAGCTTTGATAATCCTCCGGTCAAATACCTTGCTTGCCAGGAGGCAATGTGGTATTTGGACCTATCGCTCCCTTCCAACCGTTAGAGAGAGTTGCTGGACTAACTTGCACTTTCACTCACTTCGATCATCTCTGCATACCGGCGGTAAGCATGATCATTGAAATCAAAACAATCCGCGTTCAGATCTTCACACACACCAAGTCAACCTCAAATATGGACTCCTGCAGTAATCTGCTTGCCCATGAATTTTACATGCATTCGCTTGCTAAACCCTCTTCTTTTATCGTCCTTGTAGCACTCAGTGAGAATCGTACTGATTGCTTGCCAGTGTTCTGGCTTCGATTTTTCGAATGTGATGAAGTTGACGAAGATTACATGCCTCTGATGCATGAAGAAATCGCAAATACATCCTACCTCGGAAGCGACGCAGACTGACCCCTAAAAGATCGCAATTCTTGCATACTTCAAAGCCATGGTGAGATCACTTATCAATATCGGAGGTCAGGTCGGCGTGAGTGTGAAGGCGGTGCAAGCAGTTAGGGGTGCAGGTACTCTTTTGCGTTAGTGTTCTCAAAGAGGCAATTTGGGGTAACTGCGGGGTATTGGAGTGACCCAAATCCCCCGCTTGGTCACCTACCAAAACGCTACTCACAACATTTGGAGCCATTCTGAGGCCTGGAATCATGTAGATCTCTTCAAAAGAAAGTGAGCTGGACTGCGAGGAGTGCCTCACATTTCGTAAACTGTGATCGCAGTACAGTATCACCTGACCTTCTCTTCATGCCGATGACTCATCCCTCGCCTAGGAGGATTTCATCGACGCGGCTTACCATTCTTCATCTTCTTTCCCTCATCATCAACGTCGCAGTCGCAAATCGCTAAAAGTCGTAACAAAATATCTCCTATGCTTGTAGGAGATACAAATGTCGTCTGAAGACAATGCCAGAGCGAGTCGGCCGCTCGTTGGCGCAAATGGCTGCTCTTCTCTTGATCGATGATGACACCACCTTGGACAAGCCCGGCTTGAAGATCTAACAATGCTTCGGCGTTCGAAGTTTAGAGGGTTGGGCTATCTGAGGATATGGGTTTCTGAGATTGCTTACAGCTTTCCATATTTGATTCATGTGCGTGGCAGTCCTGACCTCTTGCGCATCAACTGCCAATAATTCAGTGTCGTCCTCCGCTCAGTGTAGTCGATAGTTTTGCCGTTTTGTCAAGAACTAGCACTAACTGCCGCTCGTTACTAAAATCCTTAAACTAACTATAGTTAGTTATAATAAGTTAAAACTGTAGTTAGTTTATATATTAATAGTAAAACGGGTTCGTTTTTGAAACGTACTATTTTTATAACACTTACCTTACTATAGAAGACTAAATCATATTATAATAATAGTCTTATATATTAAAAATATTAAGTAAAAGTAATTAAGCTTATTTTTAAATCTATAACTAAGATAAAAAGAAAGTAAAGGAGGTTAAAGGAGGTGTTCTCGCTTAGCTCGGGTTATACCTTCTTAAATAGGAATAGCTAACCGAGCTATCCGAGCTAGCTACCTACCCTTAAATCGTTATATAAATCGCTATAGTTTATTTACTTCGTTCTTAAGAGCTACCCTGTTTCGTTCGTTTTAAGCTTTATATAACGGACTTAAGTTAGTTTTTAAGGCCTAAAACGCTAGTTAGTTTAAAATCTCGAAAACGGGGTCGTTTGAACGGCTGTAAACTATCGACTACACTGCCTTCGTGTAAAGGTAGTAGTAACTACTTCTTTACTATACCCGATTAGGAAGAGTCTAGAGCTCGGTAAAGCTTAGTAAGACTCAGTAGAGCTCAGTTAACTCTGAAAGGGTTTACCGATAGTTACCTACTTAGTTATACGTAAAGGGAAATAGCTTTACGCTACTATAGGAGTTTACGTTAAGTTTTACGTTAAGTGTAATTAGGCTTAATCGGGAATAGCCCGGGGAATTTATCTATATAAGCTCGAGCGCCCTCCACGGAATCGAGGGCTCCTTAGCTTAATATTCGCGCTAATAGAGAAGTTATCACCTGATCTGTAGTTATTTTACTCACGTGCTAGCTAACGCTAAACCGTGCTATTATATTATATTAAGCTTAAATCACACTGCCGGTAATAGCGTAATAATATCCTAATAACTTATACTTATTACTCTAAGCGAGCCTTTATTTTTCGACCCTTATTATCGCTATCTTACTAGCGCTACTCACTTAGTTATACGACGATAGATAACTTATATAAAGTTATAAGACTACGCTTAGCTTAGTGTTATTTAAAAGCTGGAATCGCCTAGCTTTACTATTAGTTAGAATTATAAGGCTAGCTAAAAGCAGATAAGTGCTTATTATTACCTAACACTCTTATATTAACCCTGAACGTCTAACTAGGTCACGGGACTTAGCTATATAATCCGACTACTAAGCGTCATGCTAGTCGTTAAAATACTCCTAACTCGGACTAGCTTCTTATTCGCTATTAGCTATTACAAGAGCTAATATCCCTCTTAGAAACGTTATTACATTACGATAGCGAATAAGAGCTACTTCAGAGAGCTAAGCGAGCCCACTAGCGTGCTCCTAGCAGCAGTAGAAAAGACCGTTTTTATAGCCCCTATTCTTTAATACGCGCGGCTCCCTGAAAGAACTAATTAAATCCTTAAGTTTAAATATATATTCAACTTATAAGCGTAAAACACTAAAAAGAGTTATTTTAGTACTTATTACAACGGTTATTATTCTGTAATAAGATAAGATACGCTAGTATGTAACGTAATAGTTACTATTCTACGTTATAATAGTAAAAAGAGCTTTTATTAAGCTTATACGCTAAAGGGGTTGTTTTTATAATTAACTTACCTTTTAAAAACCCTATATTATCACTTGATAATATCTTAGTTAAATATTAACCGATTTCCGCGATTTTAGTAGCTAATTAATAGTACGAACTATAAGCTCTCGATATAATACTTGGGGTAGTTATAATAATAGCTCTCCGAGTAGAAATATAACTTCTATAGAAAATTAAGACGAATCGAACTAATTAAGAGTCGACGACGAAGCTAAGTTATTCTCCTCGGTTTAAGGTACCCCTGCTAGAGTGTAAATACCTAGTGCTAGTAATATAGACTAATTAGAGGTAGAAGAAGCTTCTATAGCTAGACTTAGGTCTCGCTTATAATAAAGAGATTCAGCTAATAAGAGTCTAGTAGACTAAATCGCTGAACTATGTAGTATAATATAAGAGTAAGTTAAAGAGAATCGCTTATTATAGCGAGAACTATAAGAGCTAAAAAGCTCTAACTCTAACCCTAATTAGGTAAGAGATAAAAGCCTCTTAAGGTATATTCGTGAAAATACACTTAGAACGAATATTATAGAACGTACTAAGGGTAAGTAAAAAGATAAGGAAAAAACGCTTATAACGTATATTATAACTCTATCGCCTAATCGACTAATTAGAGAAGCGAACGCTACGACTTGCTTTATAACTTAAATTCAAAGAGAGCTTCCTAGAGCGTCTCTACCTCTAATTTCCCCTGTAAATTCCTCTTTTATTAGAGATATAATTAGAGCTACTATTATAGGGGCCCCTAATAGGTTTCCTAGATATAATAATAAATAATATAAAACCGGAAAAATACGTGATCCGAAGCCGCTTATAAATAGCGTAGACCCTACGTTTAAGCGATAGGAATTATCGATTATTTCTAAGCTAAAAGTAAATTAGGACTACTTTAATAATAAGTTCGCTTATATAACCTATATATATAATATAATAGAGAGTAAAGTATAAGAAGCCTTATTTATAAGGCATGATATATATAGCAGGGATCCTTATACGTATTATACGAAGCTAATAGCTGATTTACGTAAGATCTTTATTATAAAGTAAATATCGATATATAAAGCTGAATATAATAGCTTACGTATATCATCTACCGACGATTTTAGTAATTTCAAAGCTAAATTCCTACGCCTTACTAATAAGGCTAGAAAGCCTAGGGATCGCTTAAAAGACTACTTCTATATAAAGTTATATCCTGATCTTAGAGCTACTATAAAACTCG